GGAGGGGGGGTGCGTCCGACGTCCATGAGAAGGATGGTGAGGTCTTTGTTTAGGGTGGTGAGTTGGGTGTAAAGGTAGAGGAGCTCGGATTGTTTGGTGTCGAAGGTGCCGAGGAGGAGGATTGTAGGACCCATTGTGTTGTGTGGCGGTGGTGGTGTGATGGTGGTGTGGTGTGAGGAGGTGGGTTGTAAACAAGAGACAGTTATAGTTCTTGAGTGGTTTGGATGGTTTAAATGTGTTACAGCGGGGTGGCAAGAACTAGGTAGTTACAGTGTTACACAAGTAGCATGATCATCCTACTACTATGTAGTAAATAAATTAATCGCGCAGCGTCATACTGCAGATGGTCTGCACTAATGCAGCTGCCATTCATTAGGGCTAGTCATCCTATTCATACATACAGAGCCCGTAACATTCCATATCCCTGTATATACTCCGTAGATTATTTCCCAACCCTAGTAATACGCTATTCCATATAGAACAAGGCTGTATTTCTACCAATGTTTCATAGACAGCTGCTATGTATGAGAACGATTACATACGGGGGTAAGGTGTAATAGTACTTGTAATATTACAGCTCGAAGATAAACCACAACTGCTAGTTAGTTATGATATTGTTGAGATTAAGTCATTCAGGCCATTTTCGACATACAGGCTTCACGGTGGAGACACAGCCATAAACTGCACTTTTCGAAACCATGTATACATGTGATGTGCTAACCCAGTTTTCAGAAGTTCTGGCTCAATAATAACTCGTGTTGGGGGGTAGGCCCTGTAACTGATCATTTTTCTGGACATCGGGGCAGTTAGTATCTGGTGTTGTTGCACTGGTGATCCACGAACCAATAGCTTTCCGAAACTCTTGACAAGCTCGACTTCATACTCGCAGTAGGCTTTCTCACGAACGCCCAGATCTGTAAATGTCATGGCAACATCAAAATCAATCCAGACAGTTCTACTACCGGACACAACGAGTATATTCTTTGGATAGATGTCATGGTGATGGATCAGTGCTCCATGAATTTTACTGATCCCCTTAACCGCATAGCGAAACAGATCATCCGAATAATTCACGCAATTGAGCTTTTCGGCTACCGGGAAATACTCGAGGATTATCGCCCTCGGTAGAAATCGATCTTTCCGGAAGTGATTCAGCTGTGGGTTAAAATCGGCCGGATCGAGGCGATCAATGAAGCCGTGAAAGAACGGAACAAAACCACTATCACACACGCCAAATTTGAGGAGGTTATGATATGCATTTAACTCGCAACGGAAACGGTTCAGGTCGCGACCTCTTCTGCTATAACCTGGATCCCCATTATCATGGAACTAATTAGTTAGTGTCGTCCTAGAATCGCAACGAAGCTTGACTGACTAGTTTCATAACGCGTGTCTTTCCGCATATTCGTACTTCGAATACAGTCGAAGCTTCCGAGCGGCTGATCTCCCGTTGAATGACAATATCGCGGGGATCTAATTCAAGCGAGCAATCACCTTGCGGAGCCATGGCTGTTGTATGAGCTACATGGGGTCGGGGGCTGTGGGTAAACTGAGTTGGTTCGGGCAGGCCCAGAACACGCCTTTCTTAACTTACATAACCTTTCTAAAGTCATGTGATGTCTCGATTCAAAGCATCTCAAGCGCCCCGCATTGTTCCGGAACCTCAACCATGGTATGACCCACCCTTACTTCGGCGGCTTTGCGTTTCCATGGCAATAGAGAATTGAGAATGAATACTCAATCACTTCTGCATTATCTCTCCATTGCTCCCCCGACTATACCAAAACAAGGGACCAATCCTGGTCCTAACACCACAAATCCTCAGTATGATGCAGACGACATTACTGAACTCGTCCTGTGGCCGGAATTCAGCTACACCGTTATCATTCAACGGTACGGAGAACTATTGAATTCGACGCAGATTCGTCCTGACCCATTTACCTCACCTCCTGCCCCACTGAGAGATGAACCAACGTTTCATCTTCGTTTCGCGGATCTCATTATGAACCGGGTGAGACGCGGCCTTCGAGCTGGTTTTGCACAACTCGCGCCGGAGCTCCAAATAGGGCAGCTTTCTACTATAACAATAGACGGAGGGGGATCTGCACGGATCATCAATCAGTTCAGGCCAGACGCAGCGTTTATTGTCGTCGGTGCAAGCCTCACCACAGGCGTCAATCGAGCGCCTGGGGACTTGAAGGTCTCCTGGAAGTGGAGATCTTCCATGCGCTTTTCACAAGAGCTGATGGACCAGCGAGAATATAAGCAGGTTCTGGCTCAAGTGAATTTCTATATGGAACAGCACCACGCCCGGCACGGGTTTATCCTCTCGGACGCCGAGTTGGTAGCAGTGAAGCGACTGAATGGGAATGGTCGGTTAGCTGTCGCTACATCCATTCCATGGTCAAGCGGAGGTGCCGGGAGGCTTTCGGTATTGCTAGGACTGTGGTATCTTGGGATGCTAGCAGCTGAGAACAATAATTGGTCTCTACACTAGGCTCATCTTTCTCTTCATGCTCAGTGGTTCTCCAAAATCACTCGACAGATAACGCCGAAAGTCGGCTTTGTACGCCGCCTCGGTTGCACATGATTCCAACCATTTGCAAGACCCTCTTACTGCTTGCTCGCGTGGCCCAGAAAACAAGACATCCATCTGGTGGGAACCTTGGTGGCGACGGAGTACTCACTGGGCGCTATGACCGGATCTTCTTCAGTCCCTTTATCCACTGTCTTGCAGTTAAGTATAAGCTTCCATGCAAAAGTATAGTAATTATACTTAGGCGGTTGTTTATTGTAGTCGATATTCTTCTCTCACTAATTAAATAAAAGGAATCCTAGTTACAGAAAGTAGACTAGGTTCTGGGTGTGCTGGAGGAATACAAGGTAAATAACTTGAGAAACTAGAAGTGGGTATATATTGTAGAGTGTTGTCCTAAGTTGATCATCCATTGATAAGTATTACTACAATGTAGGAGATCTACTAGTTATTATCTATTTTCTAAGAACAATCTAAGTAGATAAGCTCTAAGGTATTAGCCCATGGCTGAATATATCTAGCGAAGCCGCAGCATCATAATAAGCAAAGATTAAAGCTGGGTGATTTAAAATAAGAAATGGCCCGGGGGTTGTCCAGTCTTCCCTTGTATCTACGATACATGTAATATTACAGCGCTACGTAATGTTACAAGTAAGGCATGGAACAAATAATTACCAGTAGTCTGTTTGCAGGATAGTGTATCATTGATGAGGGTTCCAAACAAGCCTCTATTTACAGGGATATAGAATCCGGTTACAGACACCTCTGTACTATGTGGTATCCGTACTAGATGGAGTTAGTCGATGGGTCAATGAAATCATAGCTGATGCTGAAGTCTCCACTCATGAGGTGTCTTCTGCAGTTCTGCAGTTGCCCCTCATACCTCTCAATCCGTCCCTCCCGTAACTTAATATCTGACACCCGTCCTGCCACCTCTACAGCATCCCTACTATCACAGCACATACGATATACTGAAAATGCCCCGCCCAACAACCAGACAAGAAGTCCTCGCGCGTCTCCGCCAAACCATCGCCGATGGTTCCATCATCGTCGGCGCGGGTGCTGGTACCATTCCTCCACCTACCTCTACTCCATATGAATGCTGATGATCTAGGAATCGGCCTCTCCGCCAAATTCATCGAAAAAGGCGGGGCCGATCTCATCCTCGTCTACAACTCGGGGCGTTTCCGCATGGCGGGTCGCGGATCCCTCGCCGGCATGATGCCCTACTCGGATGCCAATGCTGTCGTCTTAGACATGGTATCCCCCTCCACCCATCCAGTTACCACCAACCCTGCTAATAAGGTACAGGCAAATGAAGTCCTCCCCATCATCCAAAACACCCCCGTCCTCGCCGGCGTCTGCGGCACTGACCCCTTCCGCGACATGCGAGTCTTCCTACAACAACTCCGGAACATCGGCTTCGTGGGGGTACAAAACTTCCCCACGGTCGGGCTGATCGACGGGAACTTTCGCGCCAATCTCGAAGAAACGGGGATGGGCTACGACAAGGAAGTCGAGATGATTCGCATCGCCCGGGAAATGGATCTCGTGACGACGCCGTATGTGTTTACCGTGGAGGAAGGGGAGAAGATGGCGCGGGCGGGGGCCGATGTCATTGTGGTGCATTTGGGATTGACTACGTCTGGGACGATTGGCGCGCAGACGGCCATTGGGTTGGATGAGAGTGTTACTGTGGTTCAGGAGATTCGGGATGCCGTGGTGGAGATTAATCCGGAGGTGATTGTGTTGTGTCATGGGGGGCCGGTGGCGGGGCCGGACGATGCGGCGTATGTGTTGAAACGGACCAGGGGAGTGCATGGGTTCTTTGGGGCGAGTAGTATGGAACGCTTGCCGGTGGAGAAGGCGATTGAGGAGAATGCGCGGTTGTTTAAGGGGATTAAGTTGGATGCATAGGATGTATAGATTTGTATGTGGATAGGTGCCACCGGAACCCAATCGGGTAATTTCCCGGTGTCCAGGATAATTAACCGACCCGTGTTGGAGTATTTATTATGCCCTCTATCCTACTCAATCATACCCATACACATACACATCCTAGCTTCTCATCATGTCGCGTCCCCTTGAAGGCAAACTCGCCATCATCACTGGTGGCTCCCGCGGTACTTCCTCCCCCAAATCCTCCACACGCATCCCCCCACATCCTCCCCCACTAACAACCCCAGGAATCGGCGAAGCCATCGCCCACAACCTCGCCAGCAAAGGCTGCTCCCTCCTCCTAAACTACACCTCCCCCAGCTCCTCCACCCGCATCACCACCCTCTGCGAAACCCTCTCCACCACGCACTCCATAACCTGCATCCCCATCCAAGCCGACCTCTCCACCCCCGAACCCGCCATCAGCACCATCCTCGCCGCCGCAAAAACCCACTTCACCTCCCCCACCACGGGCACCCTCACCATCGACATCCTCATCAACAACGCTGGCGTCAGCAAAGACCGCTTCCTCAACGACCCCTCCCCCAACAAAGGCCCCATCGACACCCCCTACTTCACCTGGCACTACACCATCAACGTCCTCGCCCCGCTCCTCCTCACCCAAGCAATCGCCCCCTACCTCCCCACCTCCCCCCCGCACGCCGGCCGCATCGTCAACATCTCGAGCATTTCCTCCTCGCTTGGATTCACCGGCCAGTCCGTGTACGGGGGGACCAAGGCCGCCTTGGAAGCCATGACGCGGACGTGGGCGCGGGAGTTGGCCGACGTGGCGACAGTCAATGCGGTGAATCCGGGGCCGGTGGTGGGGGATATGTATTTTGCGACGGGGGAGGAGTTTTGGAAGCAGATGCAGGGGTTTCAGGATAATACGCCGTTGAGTAAGTTGGTGGAGGGGGGTGGGGATGAGGGGGTGGAGGGGCTGGGGGAGGAGGAGAAGAGGTTGATTCGGGAGAAGATGGGGGGACGGAGGCCCGGGTTTACGGCGGAGGTGGCGGGCGTGGTGGGGATGTTGTGTACCAGGGATGGGGGGTGGTGTACGGGGAGTGTGGTGTGTGCGAATGGGGGGTTGAAGTTTACTACTTGATGCTGCCGCTAGGTGGGGGAGGCTGGTGGAGGGGGGGGAGGGGGGAATTGTTATTTGTTTGTGTCTGTTAGAGTGGGCTTCATACTTAAATCAATTAGTAGATAGACTATGTTTAAGAATGTCAAGTTCGTTTTTATAAAGTAAACAGTCCCCTCTAAGACCTAGTCACTAAGATGACCACCAACTAACAGACCTACCTATAGTAGCATGTTCCTACCAATCACCACAAACGAATCAAAAACCATGAAACTCAAACATAAGATAACCACCTAATCCCCATTACAATCATATTCCATTCTTCTAAGAATAGAAACCCCACCTAATCAAAGAAAGTATTTGTAGGGTATACAAGATCCGCACTTAGGGCTCCTGCACGGTCCCGTGCGTGACTGCCCTAGCCCTAATTCCCTCCCCATTCCAACAACTATGGATGGGTAACTTCGTGTCATGAATATCAGATAAGTATTATGGATAGCGTATTTACCTATTTCTTTCTGTTAGAAGAATTGAAATAAGATGCAGTAATCCTACATAGAGAAGTAAATTTATCATTTCATGGTACATTAAGTTATAGTGTTACTATTGACAACTCAGTGATCACAGTTATGATAGAATAGAAAGGCACCATATGACAACAGTATTGCGATATAACTTATGCTTCAAGAATGAATTGGTCACTGAGCATTCATCCTAGGGTCACTACTTTATCTAGGCGGCAGGATGTTACTGTTAGACAACCATGACTGCGGCCAGTGGTAACGTCTGATGAGTGGAGACGGGAGCGGTTTATCAGTATTGGAATATATAGGATAGGATACATTAGGATAGAGATTGTAGCGCTGTGACAGGTATTGTTCTATCATATTGATATCCTAAATGTGATGGATTGTATCTCATCGCTAGAAGTGGCATAACTGCTTAATTTATTTTGTCGGTATTAATCACAGCTGAGAGCAGAACGGTATTGTTGCGAGAATAGACGACAGCAATCTGATTGTTTTTGGGCCTTATTGAGGCGTCAAAGAATAAATTGATTCATTTAGTAGGCAGCTGTCATGAATAGTGAGTACGTAGGTAACCTATCTGTATTGCAGCTCGTACGTGTGCAACTCCAAGAACTGGAATATAGGATATGCTGGATATGCTGTGTTTAACATATCAGAATATCGTGTTGAAATTGATGCCTGTATTCTTTCCATAATTCCATCAGCCCGGAACTAGTTGGATCTGGCTTTGGAACTTTGTTGGTTAACCTCTGATGTTTCTATATTCCAGGAATAATTGATTGCTTTCCAGGTTTTGTACAGCTTGTCAGGTCTAGAATGCTTTAGCTGGTCAATATACCGTTCATGCCGATAATAGTGAGTGTATTGCTGAGTATTGGCGTGGTGCTGATCTTATCGCTTGCTTTGGTAGATTGTCTCGATATGATACTGTCTGGTTTGAACTCTATCTGTTCCAACGGGTTTGGTCTGTGGAATGGGTTTAAGATTCCTGCTGTCATTATTGAATAACCCCATGCTAGTGCGGTTGATGTAATGGGCTGAGCAGAACACCATATCTGTGAAACAGCTGGACTAGATCCAATCTCCAGTACTTCACATATACCTGTTTGACAAGATTCAATGTTAGAATCGATTCACTGCTCGATTGCTTCATCGTCGGTTCGTCATGGTTGATTGGTAAATACCACATAGATGTGTCAGAGCATAGGATGTGAAAATGCATCGTGGCAAAATTGGAGGTCTTGTTTGATGGTTGTATATTGTTCTTGGAGAGAGTTGTCAAGGGTCATGAGGTGTCGTATAGTATTCATCGGTAGATATGCCATATTAAGGGTTTGTGATTTCGTTGTGGAAATTAGTAATATTTGAAACTGTATTATCTGCTCCTGATGCAGGCTGATGGAAAGAGTAAAAACAGCCTCCAGGGTTAAGTGGGGCTGCTGACGACGACCACTTAGTCATCGACAGGCAGCGATCGCCTCATTTTCCTTCCTGACGGCGGCTCTAGCAAGTTGCAACTTCGGACAAGTTCAATCCCGGTGGTCTTGCAGCATGGATGATGCAGATGCCTTGGCCCCACGCGGTGGGAGGGCCCGGAGTGCATGTGACCTGTGTCGACATAAAAAGGTAGGGCATGCTGAGATCCGTCAGTCAGATGCTAATCTGCATACTGTAGATCCGCTGCGATGGCGAGAAACCCGCGTGTGAAAACTGCCATTTTGCCGGCGTCGTCTGCACCTTTACCTTTACCGGTCAACCTCGGAAGACCATCCGAGAGTATGTCCTCTGCCTGAGGCAGGATCAATGCTAAATTGTTTTCAGGCAGCTGGCAGAGGCTAAAGCCCGCGTGCGGGAATTGGAAGAGTTCATTGCTGCGCGGGATCTCCCGTTATCAGGCTCCCCACTGCGCGGTGAGCCGTCGCGGATCTCCTCGCCAGAGTCGCCGCTGTCACTCGACTCAGCGCCGTCTCTGCCTCAAGACTCGTCCGTCTATGACACGGCCTTGGAGATCTTCCAGCAGCACCTCGAGTGGTCGTGGCCGGGAGTGGCCCATTCGCCCCAGCGGTCGTCTTTCTATGCTACTATCTACCGGCAGACGGGCACGATCTTGGACATGTCTGGCTTCTGGGCTCGTGTGACCGATGTCTACAAGTCACAGTATCCTGCTACTCAGGCGAGAATTGCCTCTCCCAAGTGGCCTAGTTACCCGCTCATCCAGCAGTGTCTGGAGTACTACTCGGCCGAGGGTCTATACGCCGTCTTCCCTGTCATTGACATTGCCGCTGCTCAAAGCATCATCACCGATCATGTCACCGGCCGGGAGGCCCCCCGCATTGCCGACCGAGCTTGTCTGTTTGCTTTTACCGCCTTTGTCACGAAGCTGCATCACCATCAGCCCATGTTTGCGAATGCCGACTCGGACGGCTACGCGCAGGCCGTCCTCACCCTCGTGCCGAAACTCATGCTCGAACCGAATGACGTGCGCAAACTCGAAGCCCTCCTCATCCTAGTAAGCCACACCATAGTCCCCATGCATAAAGCCACTGACCTTGTAGGCCCTCCACATCGCCCCCGCCGGTCAACCCCAACAATCTCAACTGCTCCTCTCCATGGCCATCCGCATTCTCTACCACCTCGGCGCCCACCGTAAATCCCCCCTCAACCCCACTGACCCATCCCACGCCCACCTCCGCGCCATGTTCTGGGTCTGCTACACCATGGACAAAGAAATGTGCATCCGCTCGTGTCTCCCTCCTCTCCTGCAAGACGTCGACTGTGACCTCGACTTCCCCACCACCTACGTCGAATCCTTCGACCTGCAATTCCTGCCCCCGGCCCCCGCCACGCCCCGTCTGCTTCTTCCCACCGACCTCCGCGTCGCCATGCTCAAATCCAAAGTCTACCACGGGTTGTACTCGTGCCAAGCGATGAGATTCCCCGAAGCCCGTCGTCTCGAACGTATTCGCCAGCTCGATCAAGAACTCAGCGACTTGAAAGCTAGCTTTCCCGTCGGGTTCCGTCCGGAATCGTTCAGTCCGGGGGGTTCCGAGAGTACCCTCACTTCGATCAACTTTCATAATCTCGGCCTGCGGGGGATTAACATCCATCTGGAGTATTATTACTGTTTACGGAAATTACACGAAGCGAGCTTCACGGGGCGTTTGTCGCTGCCGCTGCCGTCCAGTCTAGAATTATATTATCAGGCGTCGCGATCAACCCTCTTGTATTATTTGCGCGTCAGCGGGTTGGTGGATCGGTTTAGTTTTTGGTACCCTGCTTTCCCCCATTATCACCACTGCTGGGAAAGTATGCTAATGATGATAGGATCCACGCCCAATTCATCCTCTCCGCCATCCTCTCCCTCTTCTGGTGTCTAATTGAGGGTCCTACCGCAGCAACCTTTACTCGTGATCTGCGGATTCTCGAGGATACGAGGGACCTGTTTGCTTCCTTTCAGGGTTCGAATCAACACCCCCCCTCGCATACGCAGTCACCAGAGAAACAATTCTTTCCACCCGCGTACCTCATGCACGAGTTTCTAGTCATGTTGATTGCATTAGCGCGGCAGGCAGTGACGCGGACGAAAGGGGGAGTGTGAGCTTGCTGTGATTATTGTTATGAATGAAGGTTGCATCGATGGGTTGCATTATGCATTCATTATGCATTGTTGGTTGGGGTTTGTTTCTACTTCATCTGTAAATATCCATTTCATTTCCTTCGTGTTGAGCATGTCGGTGTGCATATAAAATCCTGATTAGCAACCGGAGTGAGAAATACACTCATGGGTTCTCCCCCCCTCTCCTCTCTATCTCTCCAGTGTCATCTAATCACACCCAACACAAAACCCCATACCTATCCCTCCCCCCCTACTCCTCTTCCCCCCCCTCCCTCTGCTCCTCTTTCCACCCCTCCCTCCCCACCCACCACCAACAATACCACACCGCCCGCAATCACCCACAGAAACCCCCCTTCCAGCATCGATCCGCCCCATCCACTTCACTCACTCACATACATACATCACTGCCCAATTCCCAGTATTCATGCTCAAACTACTTACATATCCCTACCATCTATCTCTATCTCCATCTATCAAAACCAATCCATCTCTCTTAAGCAGTTAGAGTACGTGATCACCCCTCCTATAATATCCTGCTTGCTTGCTTTGTATGCTTCCCTGCTAATCGCGTATTATTCTCTTTAGCGGATTAGGTTTAGGTTTAGTCGAGGCAGGTTCTGTCTCGGTGGAGGACTGGTATAATGGCGCGGTAACTAACTAGCAAGATCACATATGGATATGTCAGCACCAACATACACCGTGGTAGTAATGTGAATATGTCCGTCAAGGATGGAATATCTGATGGGCTTTGTTTCGATAGGTCGGGTTGGTTATTTGTCATGATGGAGTGAGCGTTGGGGTGTAGTCGGGCCCGGATGGTAGGGTGGTGGTGGTGGTGTGCAGGGAGGTTGAGGGTGTTAGGTGGTGGTTGGGGTTGGGGTTGGGGTTGGGGTTAATGTGTGGTAAGTAGGGGCGCTGAGGAGGAGGGGGATGATGGTGTTGCTGAGTGGAGGTTGGTTTGGGTGGGTTTATAGGCTACCACTTTGGGGATTAGTATGTAGGGCTGAAGCTGGGCATGTATTATGGGTCTATGTGAGTGGTGTAGTGTGAGAAGTGACTGTCTATTATAAGAGACTGCTGTTCTACAGACTGCTGTTTTACAGACTGCTGTTCTACAGAGAGTAAGGTTCATCTGCTACTATGATTATCCACTCCTTGATCAAATATCTCAAACGTTAGGCAGCAGCTATTGAAAAGATAGTAGAAAGTCATAAAGACAGTCACTGCCTAAGGTGTCAGCGCCCTACGCCACATCGCTCGGCACGATCCAATCATAATCAATCTTCTGTCCCTGTCCTTCATATCTCCAGCGACTGAGATAAGCGGGCGTCGAGCCAGACCCGCCGTTGGTCGTCGTATATGCACCCACAGGAGAGCCTAATCATCAGTATCCAGCAGATTGGAATGCAAGCAAACGTACCGGTAAATGGCCCCGTCCCACCACTCACAATTCGTGTATCTGCGTACCCGATCACACTCCACTGATTGGGGTTATGAGATGGGGCAGATGCAAAGGCATATGTTGTGTCGTTGACAGCTTGAATCTCCAGCCGGATGGATTGCCATGTCGTGGGGACAGGAATAGTTTGTTTAGGAAGAAGACCGTCGTAGTTACCATGGCCTTGTGCACGGAATCTGAATACCCGGTCGGTCTGGTTCTCGGATAGGACAATGCCCAGGTCGATGTGCTGATCCTGGGTCAGAAACACCGTCACGCCGGCTTCTTCGTCGGCTGTCTTGGGATCAAAGGATATGTCCACGCTATACGTGAACAAGGTGTCGGTCTGTCGACGCGTGATCAGCGTCAGGCTATCATTCGGCTGGAATGCTGCCGTCCCTGTCAGGTTATAAAACGACGGAGTCAGTTGGAGAGTATTCGGATGTCCCTGCGGCGAAACCACAAAGTCATCTACATTCGGATACCGCCAGTACACAAAGTGCGCGGGAATCGAAGAGCCCGGGATGAAATCGATCCGATCAGGCTGATCGATCCAACTCCCCTCGCCCACGGAAATATTCCTATCCCGTGGCGGCAGGGGCCCACGCATCTCCCCCCGAACCGGATGAATCGCCGGCCACTCGCCCTCCTCCCAGACCGCCGGCGCCAGAACCGTCTCTCGTCCCATGGGATAATTCTTCCACGCCGGTCCAGACCGGGTACTCAGGGCCACAGCCCACCAGTGTCCGCTTCCATCCTGGAAGAGGTCGGCATGCCCGACGGTCTGGAAATACTGCGTCGTGTTGCGGTTCGTCAACAGCGGGTTCCGCGGATAGGCCTCCCACGGTCCCGTCCGATTCCTCGATCGAGCCATCATCTCGGAGTGGCCGAGTTCCGTACCGCCCTCGGCGATCATGAGGTAGTAGTAATCATCTTTGCGGAACATGTGAGGGCCTTCGGGACTGGCGCCACCGGTGCCGTTCCAGAGGTAGTGGAGGGGACCGGTCTCGCCGGTGCTGAGGTCGAGGGAGTACTGCACAATATGGTTCCCGGAGGTGGCGCCGCTGTTCGCCGAAGTCACGTAGACGGTGCCGTCGTCGTCCCAGAAAATATCCGGGTCGATGCCTTGTACCTCGAACACGAGGGGGTCGCTCCATGCGGAGTCGCGGTATGGATCTGTGGTGGTGAAGAGTAGGCCCTTGGTCTCGGGTCCGAGGAAGGAGACGATCAGGTAGAAAGTTCCATGGCGGTAGCGGAGGGTTGGGGCGTAAATGCCACCTTGTTGGCCGGTGGTGTTCCAGAGATCGGGGATTTGAGTGGGGCGATTGAAAGCGTTGCTGGCGAGTTTCCAGCTTTGTAGATCCCTGCTGGCGTAGACAGGAAGTCCGGGGTACGCGATAAAGGTGGATGTGACGCAAAAGGTGGTGCCTTGCTCGGGGACGTGAGCGCAGGTTGGGTCCGAGTGCCAACCGGGAAGAATAGGATTAAAGTAGCTGTGACAGAGCACAGTAGGTGCCAGGAGAACGGCCGAGGCAAGGGAGAGCCACATTATGAGCCACCTGGTGAAGTGTGGGGTCCATTTCGATACGAGACCATGGGGTAGGGCTTTATACAGCCTTAGTTAAACACACGGATCATATTACCCAATACGTTGTTGCCTAGGTAGGGTCCAACAGAGTATAAAACCAGTTTAGGCTAAAAGGTTGAATGCACTAATCATCTGGTATCCTGCAGATCATGATCTTGGCTCCTCTATTCAGGCTGTTCCAGACCTCGGGTCCACCCAGAAACCCATCCCTCAGCCAGGGCGATAGGTTGTGAATACTCCGTACTCCTGGAGAAAATGAGATCCATACCACTGACAAGCAAACATCAACAACCATAAATGTCCATGATAGCTTTGAATGAAGGGTCGTGCGAAAGCTGCGTGGCAGTTGGACGTTTCTCGGGATCGTAGGTAAATACTTTATTCATGATGGATAGGACATGTTGTTGCTCAATTGGATCGGCATCCGGACGACGTTTTGCAATTATTGATGCAAGGCTCTCCTTCGGAATGGGTGCCGGAGATTGATCATACCAGACATCACGGCCCTCGGGGTGATTGTAGAGGCCTCTCCACTGCGCAGGGAGTGGTCCCAAGGACATGGTCATCGCAGTCATTACTCCACCCTTATTCCGGACCACAAATGGCTCATAGCGAAGGTACAGTTCGGAGAAGATGACCAGATAACTCCACATGTCGCAGGCAAAGCTTGGGGCACTCCCATGGAGGCGTTCTGGGGAGCAATATCGCAACGGGGGAAACCCACGTTGAGTCACCGGGTCGTCAAGCTTCTTCGCCAGACTAAAGTCGCCGAGATAGAAGTCATCAGTGCGTAAGTCCTCAGGGACCCGCAGGGACTGGACACGCTCCCCTTGCTTCCAGAGTTTCACCTCGGGTATGATTTGCTTTACTGGCCGACCGAGTGCCTCGTATTTGGCACTCCTGCTGAGATTGTGGAGAGGGACCATCCCCCACATGCAGTTCGCCGGATTCACGTCTGCGGGCTGTTCGTTAGATGTTGACCAAAGCGTAAGCGGGCAGGGAGGCAGTTTCCACTCACCACGGTGCACGGTTCCAGCGTTGTGTAGATTCTCCAGGGCCTCGAGCAATTGCCGAGCAGCAGACATGCGAGGAACCACGGGCATAGTATGCAGGAGAAGAGAAGTGATGCATGGCCCCATCAAGGGAAACACGAGGACCCGATGGTGGCCGTGGTGTCCAGGAATGGAAAAGGAGTCTCGATAGATGACGAGGTGGGAGGTATCCTGGACGGTTTGAATGATTTCATCCTGCATGCGAATGTCGTTGGCCCCCCACTCCCCCAAGGCCAGGACTTTGAGGACCACTTGCTCCTTCTCTCTTCATCTACTCCGTACTCTCCATCTACTCTCCATCTAGGTGGAGACAGGAAGGTGAACCGTGAAGGCAGAGCTGTGCCTTTAACAGGTGATATGTGGTGTGCTCAACAGGAGTCGATCTGGGTGTTGAAAGAGTCCAAAATTCAAAGCCCCAATGCCCAAGTCTGTTCCCTCCATCCGCGAATACGAATCGGCTGCACATCTTAGTATAGAAGCAATACGCCACCGGGAGAAGCCCGATTTTCACGGCTCGGGTCAGATAGCTGAGCGCCACGGCAAGCTGGCCCAGCCTGGCCGCGAGCGCGGCAAACTCGTCTGTGCCTGGCCAGATCATAAGGATGTATTGTTCGTCGCCAGCTTCTAATGGCTTGTTTGGATTATCAAGTGCCATTTCAATGCTTAGTCCCCAGGAAGGGTCGTTTTCCAGCACTTTCTGGGCTTTTTCTTCTCGAGTCTCTGGAGACAGGGCCAGGAATTCCTGGAGCTGGATGTTCGCCCGCACCACAGGCGGGGTAGGTGCATCGCTACCTTCAGAGGCTGGCAGCACGAACCTGACATCGTTCGGTAGAGCAAGGAGCTTGATATCGAACCGGTTCGACCACTCGCGCAGTTCTGCTTCGAGTTCTTGGAGTTCGCTTCGTCGAGCGAACCATAAAATCTGGTTTCGTCCCCGCTGGAGGAAGCCTGAGCTTTGGATCTTGCCCATACTGCTGGCGACCTTGTTGGCTAGCCTGGTCAAGTACCTTGCAGTGTTTTCCAGGAGCTTTTCATCATCATCGGAGAGCTCGTGCTTTGAATTCTGGCGCCGTCTCTCTTCGAAGTACTGGATAATCTTCTTCACGACCCGTAGGTCCCAGTTGAAGCGGTGCAGGAGAGATTCTGCATCGTCGGAGTAGGCGGCGCTGGCGGAAAAGAACTTGATGATAATATCGACAGAAGTGACCACCGTGCCAAAGATGTCTATAATGGATCCCAGATTGGGGGCATGGGCGAGCCGCAGAAGGGATTATCGCCCGTGCTAGACTTGAAGAGGGCGCTTAGGATAATATATCCGGGGGAACCCCTCCATATGGCCGTGTTTTGAATCACGAAACGACTCATAGCCAATCGAAGTAATGCACGTGTACACTGACATTTAGATCATCTCACAGCCCGCACACGAAGCACTCATTCCATTGGATGGTCAGTTGTGTCGGAGCTCCGATGAAACGGGCGCGGAAGTGCGTCCAAGCGGCTCACTAATGGACCGGACATTTCTAAAAAATCTTAAGCTTCCAGCGCGTAGCAAATGGCTGATGTTGCACAGGATGGTGGAGGCAGAGATGGAGGGGTTTTTGTAAGAATCGCTTGCAGAGGATGGACAGAGTGCTTGTTTTCAACAACTTCAGTCATGATGCAGCACCCTTTGCAAGCGATGTTTAGAAGCATCCATCCATACTCCGAGCATCAAATACTGCATAAGTATACTCACCAATCAATCAATCAAAATACCCGTTGATACTTTACAAACGCATGGTCAAATCCCCGAGCGATATCCCGGTTAGTCAGCACAGACCACCAACCAGAAACCGACGTCATTTCATTTCCCCGTCCCCGGAGCTCAACAAACACCGACCAACACCTCCCATCTATCCCCAAATCACTACCACCATCAGTAACCCACCCAACCTCTATCAACATGTCTCTCCGACTTCCTCTCCGCCGAATCCACCTCTCCCGCGCGATACTCCAGCGCCCAATCCCCCACCACCCATCCCCAATCCGCTCCCTAACCACCGCCTCCCTCCGTCTCACCTCTCCCCGAACCGCATCCGTCGTCTCCGATCACCCCGGATACACCACCACCACCACCACCACCAACCGCACCACCAACAGAACCTACTCAACCACACCCACACCCTCAACCGGAAAACCAACCGCCGACCTCATCGTCGACGAACTCCAAGAACTGTACGCCTACTCCCCATCCCCCCCTCCCAACCCATCCCCCAACTAACACTAAATCAAAACACAGCTACGAAGTCGCCAAAGACGAATTCGAAATCGCGACCGAAAGCACCGACTCCGCGACCATCTACGCGGCCTCGGATCGGGAATCCGCGCGGGATGCCCTCGATGAACTTGTCGCTGTGTATACGGTTTATACGCGGGATGGGTCGTTTGTGAGTCAGACGGCGGATGCAAAGGGACAGGGGCAGGGGCAGGGGGTGGTACAGGGCGTGGTGGATGTGGATACGGGGTTGAATCCGGAGGAGGTGGAGGAGGGGGTGAGGAGTGAGGTGAGGAGACGGGTGGGGACGAGGGTGAGGGAGTTGGTGGGGGCTGTGGAGGCGTTGGAGGAGAGGGCGAGTACGCATGATTAATTTCTTTCACTAGTTTCTATGGTTGGGGTTGATCGTTGTAATAATCTAGGGATGGGGTGAGAAAGACTATTGTGGTGGTGGTGGTGGTGGTGGTATGTTCATTAGCGTAGTACACATAATCTGATAGATATGATATGTGAGGAATATAACGTCGTCGTCCACTCATGACTGATTTTATCGAAACACTACTCCGAGTCGTTCCCGTGCGCCGTCCCTCCACTGCCGTACTCCGTTCATCCTGAACTCCGTGCTTCACTGGATTATCTGGTATGTGGTATCGTCTCACGCCACTTCGGGAAAGGCCAGGCCGAATTGCTCCACCGCGGGGGAGGGCATCATGATGTTTTCTTTATGGGTTGTTTTTAGATGTCGTTTTAGTTGGTCTGGAGCTATTAGATGAACTCTCGGATTATGTGGATGGCTGGTGGTGGTTACGTACCGTGTCGCGTGAAGCTTTTCGTGCAGCCGGGGTGGTGGCATTTATGTCTGCGTTCGCCGTGTGCTAACTCTGTTAGTATATTGAAACAGCAGCTGGGGTGCATGCTTACTTAAACGGTGACTGGACATGTTGGAGGACTGGGGTGGTTAGTCTAGTTGGTACCTCTGGTTCTGACTCAACTTACATCGCCGGTTTGAAAGTCACACCCCGGGTGTGTACACTTGAACGGTTTCTCGCCGGTGTGTGTCCGCGAATGGGTTTCTGTCTGGTCAGCTTGTCCGACATGACATACCGGGAAACATGACAAACATACTCAGCTCGCTGCTGTCGGTAAACGACTTCCCGCATTCACTGCATTTGTACGGCTTCTCCCCCCGATGACTTCGCTCGTGCCGCTCCAACGTCGCCTGTCGCGCAAACATCTTTCCACACACCGAGCATTTGAAGTTTTTGTCTGCGCTATTAGCTAATGCTTAACTGCTGGAGGCAAGAACTTACAGTTACTGTGTGTCAGGAAATGTCCCTGCAGTTTCGACTTTTGCGAAAATGGTTCGTCTGGTCGATGACACCCCTCCCAGCAGCAGTAGTAACCTGTGCCTTTGGCCCCCTCCACGGTTGCCATGTGGCTCGCCACCAGATGTTCCTGCAGAGCACACGCGTCGGCAAAGGTCGCCCCGCAGCGCATCTTCACCCCCTCTGTCGTGGTGGTCCACTGGCAGATAAATAACTCGCTGTCCGGGGCATACTCCGGACTGGTCAGGACGGATGAGGTGCCCCCATCCAGCGGGGGCGGGGTCTCGCCTGGACTCAGCTGGGAGCTGACGCTCGATCGCGAGTGGCGGGAGTATGGCGAGTATGGGGCATAAGGATGGACGTGGGCATGTCCGTGTGTGCGACACCGGTGGACATGCGTGCGGCATGGCTTCCAGTTGTTGGTGGGCTTCTGCGGGAGAGCCGGGCTCTTCATTTCGGTCGGGGGATGGTGGTGGTGAGGGATATGAGGGATGTGAAAGCAGGTAAACGAGTTCGAGACGGCGTCGTCGGCGGGCTTGTCCGGAACAGGACAGGCCTGTGCTTCGTGGACATGGAACTGATGGCATCCTGACAGGTCCGGACATGCGCCCATCATGTGGAAGACATCCGCCGGGTTGACGGCGTTCTGTAACGGTAGCCACGGATTCGCGGCATGGTGAGCATCCTTGGAGAAATCGTGACAGTGGAAATGCTGATGGCTGTGAGAGTGACAGTGGGACACGGGTGCATAGGAGTTGAGGAACGTGTCATTCGACGGGACCGGGGCCATCAGGCCGGTGGCGGGTTGTGTCACGGTCTTGGGCTGCTCCTGTGACGGTGGGATCGTGGTCGGCGATAGCAGGTCGTTGGCTTCGAGGTTGAGAGGAGACCCCAGCCCTAACAGGGACTCCAGAGTGTGCTCGCCGTCTACATTGCTGCCGGCATCGAAGCAGTGTTCATCAAAGCAGACCGGATCGACGTTCTTGCAGTGATCTTCGTCGCAGTGCGCTGCGGAGCACACTAACGCCTCATCGCAGTCGACGAAGCCATCGCAGACGGAGGAGCAGTTGACGGAACAGTCGTCTACATCGCAGCAGTCCTCGTCAACGTGGCACTGCTCATCCACCTCGCAATGAGGTAGCGGGGTGTGTACCTGGTCGGAACAGTTCCATTGCTCCGGCTGAACCTCGGAGGGATCTTCGGTCTCTTTTCCATCCAGATGAAAAGCCTCCCAGTGGCACTCGAGACAAAAGTCGTCTTTCTTCGTGTGAGAAGCCATGGTGCCGAGACCAAATTTCTGGACTCAGAGATGCCGAACAGAAGATGTATCAACGATGGCCCGAGGCAGACAGTCACACTAAGGTGGTACGGACAATCCGTAGAGCAGGCGGGGGATAGATGCCTGTCTTTGTCTGTCACGGAGCACGCAAGTGGCGAGTTAGCCCTGCCCTCCACACCACGCGAGCGGGAGAGTCCCTTACCAATAGAAAGGAGGGAAAGGAGCAGGTCATGCAAAAGATCGTCCAACGGGGCTAGAACGGTTGGTGCAACTGGACTATGCGCAGAGACAGGAATGAAGAATCGCCGCTGCAACAATCGGAGCGAGAAAAGACAGACCGCCTAAGAGCGAGGGGATGAGGACCTTGGGGGCCAGCATGAGGACGCGATTGATGGATAGCGTCGAGAGTATGAGACTCGGTGGTGGTGGAGTTGGGCTGGAGCGATGATTGCTGGAGGAGAGAGAGGAATACGGAATAGGGCAGTCTTTTTCGGTAAGGTTACCGTTTGCCGTACGGGCGACGCAGATCTAATCGGCGCTGGGGACCTTGGGGGTGAGGACCTTGGGGGATGGCGTCATTAGTCGGGTGGCCTCAGGGCGAATGACACGGCCCCAAATGTCAGTTCGACAGCGATGTTTGCAATACCTCGTTAGATGCTCCGTACCAGGTTATGATCCACCGGAAATTCTCCAAATTGCTGACGGCGTTTGTTCCAGTTGGTTCAGTCCAAAGTCATCGACAGTCGTTCAGGCGGAAAATTCTGTGCCGATTCTGCCTGCAAAACGGTGCCGCCTTGGTTAGGTTCAGCCGTACCATGGACCTTCTGCATGGGTGTATGAGATGGATTATTCTGCAGGCTGTTGGTCGACTGCTCCCGTAGAATGTCTGACCGGACTCCGGCACAGATACCACATATTAATTGCCTATAATATCTGGCAAACGTTCCTGCATCGCAACGTCACCTGACTGTCCAGAGGCGCTTTCTCAAGGTCGAAACTTACCACAATTTCCTATAACATCAAGTACGAAGTAGATCAAGTAGAATCAAATCAGCAGCCAGTCTTCTTCAAAATAGCTAAATTGTATCCAATGCAACCAATAAGCCCCCGAGGGGAAAATCAAGAAATTCATGCTGTCTCGATGTGGCACCGTCCATGTGTTAGCGGCTACCCACGTGCCGCCCGCCGCCCGCCGTCTCCGGCGTTCCTCCGCGTCACTCCTCACTCCTATCAACCCTTAGCTATCTACGTATTATCTTCTATCGCGACCTAGCGACTAGCGACTCCTGACCTTATCCTAAACACACATCATCCACATCCACTACATCACTCCCCACACAAACACCCATCACCACCTCCCACAACCCAACCCAGTCCAAAGCAAGCCAATTAATCCACCCCGCATATCCCCTCACCAACGAACCAACCCCAAGATCTCACCAACACTACCCCAAACCAATCCACCACCAAACAACAAGACCAAAAAGGAATCAACATGGGCAACATCTGCTCCCGATCCTCCAACCCTTCCGACTCCGAAGCCTTCTCCACCCCCGGCCGCGTCCTCGGCTCCAACCCACCAGACGATCCCGCCCCGCGCGCCCCGCTCCCATCCAACGCCAAATCCAACCGGACTGGAACGGGGACTGGAACGGGGACTGGTCGAACAGTAGGTTCTGCGCCTGCGTCGGAGAATACGGAGGGGACCGCGGATGCGAGGGTGAATGCCGCGTTGGCGGCTCAGGTATGTCCTCCCCCCTTCTCTTTCTCTGTATCTCTCTAGCTTTCTGGCTGTCTTTATGTCGATTTGGTTGGGTTGGTGACGGGGCATGAATTTGTGCTTTATGTGGAGGAGCTGTGGTCTGGATGATGCTAATATTGGTATAGAAACGAGCCGAGTCCGCGTCGACGGCGAATAAAGGAAAGCTGGGGACTAAGTTGGCGGCGCAAAAGGCGCAGACGCAGACGCAGACGTTGAATCAGGCCAGTCGGGATGAAATTGCCGCGAGGGATGCGGATGGGGCGGCGGAGACGAGGAGGTGGCAGTGATTGTTGATTGATAGTCTCACGGATGGTGAGATATCGTTGATTTGTTGGTTGGAGTTGCTTTGCGGTTTAGCGTTACATTTAGATCGTTTCGGCCGGATTGGCTGTTGATACCATAGCTGACTTGTCTTTACATGATGTGATTCAGAGGTTAATAAGATGCCTATGGTACACGAGTCTAAACCACATTGTATCGTCCTCCCACCGGTGCCCGCGCGTCGCTGTCGGCGGCCGCGATGGTGCCCTCCTTCAGCAGTCGCATCAGCTCGCGCATCGCATTCGTCACCGCCAGCTCCGTCTCACCCTCAACAAGAATATATAATTTCGGGTTCTCGCCCGGTCCAGGCTCTTTGCCTGTAGCATAGAAGCTGCCCTTCGTGGTGATGGAGGTGCCCGTCGCTTCCAGGATCTTGGCCACGTTGGTGCGGTTGGTGACGGCCCACCGAGCTTTTTCTATAGCAAATATTAGCATCCGCTGTACAGATGAAGAGTATAGGCAATAACTTACGGGGAAAGTCGTTGATCTCCAGCGTAGCATGGAAAGCTCCCGCGTCCGGCCCGCGATTGTCGATAGGCACGCCAGATCTCATCACACCCGCCCGACTCAAGCGCGCGTGGATATCCGCCACCGCCGAGCCCACCTTGTCCAGAGGGTTCTTGGACGTGCTGTTCGGATCCTTCTCGGTCTTGTGCACCGTGATCTTACCATCAAGATCAATGCCCTTCGGGACACCAGGCAGCGAGGTAGATGCTGGTGCGGCGGCGGATTGCACAGACGAAATGGCCTTGTTGAACCGTTCCTCTGCCTGCTCGTTCTTCTCTTCCTTCTCCTCGTCATCATCACCCTCTTCTCCAGTCTTATACGTTCGTCGTTCACGCATCCGAGCGGCATCACGTTCCTGGTCCAGACGCTCCAGACCCTTGCCACCGAATCCGGAAGCACTGGCCTTCTCCTTGCCGGCCTTGACCTTCTCCAAGAACGCATCGACCAGCTTCTGCACCGGCTCCGGCACCTTCTGTCCACTCTGCTTCAATGCCTTGGCGATGTCGACTGAGTACCGCTCCTGATCCTCTGTGAGGAAAGTGACCGCTGTTCCGGTATTACCGGCACGTCCAGTGCGCCCGGCACGGTGAACGTAGTCCTCCAGATGGTTGGGTGCATCGTAGTTCACCACGAGCTTCAGCTGCTTGACGTCGAGACCACGAGCAGCCACAGACGTGGCGATCAGAACCGGGAAGATACCGGCTTTGAAATCCTCAATAGTCGAGTCGCGGTCGATCTGATCCTTACCTCCGTGGATGGACATGCAAGGATAGCCCTTGCGCATGAGCTCACGCAGGAGGGTATCGGCAGCTTCCTGACGATCCACGAAAATAAGCGACCGCGCATCCTCATTCTCGTCACTCGAATACAGGTTACCCAGGAGTTCGAGCAACCGCACAAACTTCTGATCATCGTTGCGCACTTCAACAATCTGCGTGATCTCAGGAGCCACGACACTCTTGCCACCAACCACAATTTCGATCGGTTTCGTCAGGGTCTTGCGGGCCAGCGCTTCCATATTCCGAGGAAAAGTAGCCGAGAACAGCACCGTCTGCCGGTCGGGCCGGATGTTGCCCATGATCTTCATCACCTGCGGCTCGAAGCCCATGTCGAACATACGATCAGCCTCGTCGAGGACCACGTAAGTGACCCGGCGGAGGTTGGTGACTCGACCGGCGTTGGCGGCGAGGAGGTCGATCATTCGGCCCGGCGTGCACACAATGATCTCAGCACCACGCTTCAGATCCGCAATCTGGTCCTTGATCGGGGCACCACCATACGCACAAACGGCCCGAAGGTTCAACGCCTTAAGGAATGGCTTACAGTCCTTGTGGATCTGCGTCGCCAATTCACGAGTAGGCGTCATGATCAGGCCAACGGGCCCTTCCATGTTGTCCAGCGGCCGCTGATCCTTAATGTGCCGGAACATAGGGATGAGGAAGGCAATAGTCTTACCAGACCCAGTCTTGGCCACACCGATCACATCACGCCCGGACATGATGGCAGGAATCGCCTGAGCTTGAATCGATGTAGTCCGCTCATAGCCCAGTTTATCGATCACGTCCAGAGTCTGTACTCCCAACCCGCATTGAGACCATTTCTGTACGGGCTTGGGAACGTCAACGCCACGGACTTTAATACCGTCCAGTTCCAGGCGCAGACCTGCCGCCTCCTCATCCGACATTTGCGCCAAATCCGAGGGTTCGGTGTAGAACTTCTTCCGGAAGGGTTCATATTCGACCTTCTGATGGTTCACAGCCGGGATATCCTTCTTCTTCTTGGCCTTGTTGGCAATGGCAAGGAAATCATCAGCATCTCCATCGCCGACGGCGGTCATAGCAATATCGTGCTCATCACCAAACAACGCCTCCGGCTGCTGCTGCTTGGCCCGCGAGAAAGTGGCGCCAACCTTCTTCTTCGGAGGTGCCGACTCGGCCAGCTCGGACATGAACGCATCCAAAGGATCGACTTCCTCCTCTTCTTCCGGGGCATCAACCTCCATCTGGTCCGCTTCTGGAACTGGGGCATCCTCCATCACGGTATCATCATTGGCATGTTCCACACCATTGGACTGAGCCTTGAGAGCTTCGCTCTGCAAGCGCTCCTCCCGTCTCGCACGTGCAGCAGCAGCATTCTCTTCCTCGGTCCCTCCATCGTGCATGTCGGCATCATCTTCCTCATCTTCAACGACCCCCGCAGATTCATTGGTCTCTTTCGAGTCTTCCAATGGTGGTGTAGGCAGTTTCTCGAGTTTCCTCCGCGTGGACTCTTCCTCCCCAAATCCCAGAGTTTTTGTAGCGGTTGACTTTTCAGTATCTGCAGCCTGCTTGGCTCCCAGGCCAAAACCGCCCACATTGCCTTTCGCTTTCAAGGTAGCTATGAGAAGTTCAGATCGAGTACAAAAAGCAGGGAGGGAGAAAGAGGGGCTGGGCCGGGGGGACATACCTGACGACGTGCTAGGAGTAGATTTATTCAGTTTAACCTGGGTAGATACGACAGCTGGTTTGACGGACGGCACGGGAACATCATTGCCCAGCACCGACGGCGTCGCTGGTGTAGAAGACGCACTCTTTGCAATCGCCTTTGGATCAAACTTCCCAGCATATGTACCGGGAGTAGCATCAACGCCTGGTGTTGCAGGAGACTGGGGAGAACTGACAGCCGGTGACAAACCAGACTTCCGATCAATCTCTTCCAAGATACTTCTCGCACCACCTGCCGCTGCAGCCTCTCGCTGTTTACGTTCCTTTTCGGCGGCTTGTTTCTGCTTCCAGGCCTCTAGCTTGGCAAGTCTCTCGGCCCTCTTTTCGTCTTCCGTCGGGGCTGCGGTTGCTGCTGGGGTTGACGGTTTCGATGTCTAGTCCATGTTAATGAGCTCAACCGGTAGATCAAGACTGGGGCAGGACGTACCTCACGAGACCTAGAGGTGGTATCTTTAGCCCGATCCCGGCTATCGTCCCGTCTAGACTTGTACTTCAAGTCAGCAGAATCATCCGTCCGCCTTCGAGCCCGGTCGCGGGAATCATCTCGCCTGCTTCGATAGTCCCTGTCGCGGCTTCTTCGACGGTGGTCATCTCGATCCCGAGACCGTCGTCGATCCCGAGAACGTTCTCTCCGATTGGGCCGGTATGAATCTTCATCGCGGTAATCGTCGCGTCTGTCTAGCGAGCGGTCACGTCTCCGGTAAGCATCGCGATCACGGTATCGTCTCTATATCGGCCGAACTGTCAGAACCGTCAAAAAAATGTTCCATACAATTAGACGCACCTCGGGACTGCGCGATCTGCGGTAACTCCTGCCATCGTCGCGCCTCCTCTCATAGCGATCATCGTCTCTGCGACTCCGTCTGGATGAGGAATACGTGCTGCCTACAGGTGATGGTGAGCGAGTATCCCCGTGGCGAGCCATTGTTGCAGGCCAACGATGAGTGAGTATTACTGAGACTCAAGAAAACTCGAGCACGTGGACGGGATACTAAAGTGAGTGTTACCCTCGCTTAAGATGAAAACGGTGGCTTATGACCAGACAGTGCCGATTATCCCTGGTGGCAATCCAGCTTCAGGTTGTAGATGTTGAAGTCCGACCGGAGCAATCCACGCCTCGGGCGGCATGAACCACTACGGGCTCACGTGATAGATACCGATATCAGATCGCTCACGTGAGAGCTCCGTTGCCCGATTCGGTATCACCCAAACGACAGCAACGCGACCCCAACCTCCCGCTTTCGTCACTGAGCTCCTGTCAAGTGGAACTCGCAACAAGCGCTAATACCCCCCAGTCGGTGGCTTTCTGCACCTTAAGTTCCTCCTCCCTACATCTTACCTTGGCCTTGCACCTACACCACTATCACTGTTTGGGCCATGCCTTTGAACCTAGCTCGGTGCGGAGGGGGTGTTCTCCAACACCTCCAACTTAGCAACGCCTTTTCTCGCCCTGTCCGTCAGGCCATCTCCCAGAGCCATGTTCGGCGCATGTCTCTGGCCACTCTCGGCCGCTTCGTGACCCCCAATGTCAGATACGCACCTGTCTCCGTTGCACTCTCCGGACACCTGACCAGCGGCTATGCGACTGCCGCTTCCCCCAAGAAACGCACCACCAAGAAGACGGCACCCAAGAGCATCGAGAAGGCGGCATCCAAGACCACCAAGAAACCCCGGGCAAAGAAGGTCCTGACCGAAGAACAGAAGGAGGCCAAGAAGGAGGCCAAGAAGGCAAGCGACCAGAAGAAGCTTGTCAAGGAGCTGAAAGTAACCGCCCTGTCGCCGCCCAAGAGGGTCACAAACTACTTCACCCTGGCCATGCTCTCGAAGTATGAAGAAATCAAGAAAGAGGGGAATTTGACGGGCAAAGATGCCTTCAAGGAGGCAGCTGAACGTGCCAAGACGATCAGTGAAGCGGAGCGCAAGGTTCGTATTTTGTTCTTACAACGAGGGCTGTTCTTGGTATCCTAACGAGACGATGCAGAAATTTGTCGCTGCCGCCGCTGCCAACAAAGAAGCCTATGAGGAATCACTCAAGGAGTGGGTCAAATCGTACACCCCCCTCGAAATCAAGCAGGCCAACGCCGCCAGGCGAAGACTTGCACAGATCCAGAACAAGAAGTTCTTCCCTATTCATGACGCTCGCTTGGTCAAGCGCGCCAAGATTGCCTATCTGTTCTATGCTGAGAGCCGCCATCAAGCCGGTGATCTGAAGCACATGCCTGTCCCCGAGCGTGGTGTGCAGATTGCTGAAGAATGGCGGGGCTTGACCGATGCAGAGAAACAGGTGTGTATCCCGAACCATTGGAACAGAAGGAGTGCTCACGCCACGAACAGAAATATGTACGTCAACAAGAAGCCGATGTCGAACGTTACCAGCGCGAATACAAGGAAGTCTACGGCGTGGAGGCTCCCTTTGTCGGAAGAAACACGTCTAAATGAACATTGTAACATGTCTGCCAAGCAATGGTGTTGGGCATTTGTTTTATTACCGGATGGCTAATGGTGTTTCAAGATGGACTTTGGGCGAGTTCTGTGGTAACGGAGTCTACGGAAACTTGTCTCAGCTGCTTACCTGCAATGTTCCACTCGGCTCTTGTATTTCTCATCTGTGACTTGACCTTTACCAGGGAGGAACTGTACGGATTACACTGAGGAAATATCACATTGACCGCCATAGGAAGACTGGTTGGCTCAATAAAGCCTCATAGGTGCGATATGGTGACGTATCCAAACCACGTGCGCGGGAGCGATCTCCGCCATCGTCTCACATCATCCAAGACTCGTAGTCAGAATGAGAGATTTCCGGTAGACTGGATGAGTCTGATCAGTCTCCTGGACGGGTATCTGCCTGGTCAAACTGCAGATAGCTCGTGCGCTGCCTAGGATCATCGGAATCTAGACCAGCGCCATGTTCGAAATGAAGACCGGTGAAGAGTCTTGCCAGGACCATGACAGCCGCCGTAGGCCACCGCATGCTGCTTATGAGAATAGCAATAGGATGGCCTGCGTCCATCATCGTGATGTTGGGCATACAAGAACGCGTCTCTAGTGGGCACGCGTCCTGAGATCTCCCAGTTGCAGCAGTCTGGACTGGTATGAGTCATTGTCAACCGACTGTGCCTGACTTGCTCAGGTCCCCAACACCTGCTGTGTAAATTCTCAAGCCGAAGTACGTGTCTTAGTTATCCGCGGGCTGAGCCGTTCCTGCCGACGGTTCATCCTAACGGGCGATCTAGCGCGTCGAGCCAAAACATCTCAATCTGGATGCATGCAGACAGCGGATGGAGCGCAAATGTCATGGAGCTATTCTGAATCCAATGCTCCAGCAGCAGGCGGTCGTAAAATGGGCGTGCATATGCTCCGCGGCGGGGGGTTTCGGAACCCCCCAGGGTCCAGAAAGCATGCGATGCAGCGATTACGGACGTCGGAGATTCCACAGGATGGACAACTGTCAATCACCGGACGAGAGGACCTGTGGTGCATCCGGACTAGCTTTGAGACGGTGTCCAAGAGCCCCGACGAGAGGGGAGCCCCGAATGGCCAGTGGTTGGGTCTCCATTGTGCAGGGCGCCATCTCATAGGCGGTGGCGGGGTCTTTGCCTTCGATGCGGTGAAGAAAAGGGCCACCGCAGCAGAAGCATCCTTTCCCCATCCTGGGATTTTTCTGACATCCGAGTTTCTCGCTGAATTTTTCGGACACGGGCGTTGGCTGCCTGATGGATGGACGGGCTTGGAATCTGCATGATGATGAGTGCATGCCGAACCACGGTTGGGAGTTTTTTTGTTCTGTTGCTTTTGCATAGATCTAGAGGCACGTGCGGTGGTGGATCGAGGAGGGGAGGCTCTGAGCGAGTCAGTCTACTGTAGTATACAGAGCAACACCAGGGGTCATGTCTTTTGGAGAGATCTCATTCAGTTGATGCCCTATCCCTCACTCCCATTGACCAGCCATTGATTTGTTTACTGGGTCCAAGAATAGTAAATAGGACGACTCCCGCGGATGTACCAAGGAACCGGTGTTCCTTAGCTGCTTCTGGCACGGTTTCCCTCAGTACTAAAAACCCCACTTGAGGCCGGGAAGGACGTGCCAACGAATAACTGCTGTTAAGCCTTTTTGGGTAATGGCCATAATACCCTTTGTCGGACCCCTCCTATGCACTGATGCAGCGAGAGGGTATGACCGGGAATGCCTGGATCTGAGAACGGATCAGATGTGGTTGACATACATATACATGGGCCGTCTACCCGTCGGGAGGCATGGAAGGAAGTACTACGGACAGTACTCTGCATCACTAATAGCATTCTACTCCATCGCCCACTGCTGTCTGTCCCACCGAAGGAGGGGGGCTTTCTTTATCGATAGGAGCATCGGCCCACCGCCCCCGTCCTTGCGCGCGCAACCCAACCGGGTGTGTGACTGGCTTGTGCCTGCGTGACTTGCTCAATTATCCCAATTGCCATTACCTATTGCTCTGACTGTCGTTGGATAGCCGATCGGATGCGCCAATAACCTCTGCCACCCAGATCCCCGGTTATTTCTTCCTACATCCAGGATAGCACGGAGTACTCCTTTTAAGTATCCTACCGCGGCGTGCGACTGTACCGGCAGCCTCCCAGCGATCCCGCCGCCTCGTTGGCTCACCACCTCCCAGCCACCGGGTTACCTTACTGGCCTCGGAGAATCAAATCACACGGTTTTTACTCCGTATACGTCGATCAATCGAATTAAAGGCTCAGCAGGAAAAAAAAAAAAACTTTTTTTCATTTACCTTTGGTTTTTTATGAAACTTCCTCGACTCGTCCTCGACTTACCCTTTCGAACTCTCGACTGACCGCTGACTTCCCTATGTATGTACGCAACTAGTTCGCATTCCTACCTGTCTATCGCATACCATCTCATCCAATCCCATCCATCCCCGGGGAGATCTTCCGCTGTTTTGCGCTCTCCTTCCTTTTTACCTCTGCCACCGCCCCCCCGGGGTCATGAATTCCATGGCCTGTCCTCCTATCCCTGTCTTGCCCTGCTAAACCTTTTTGTTCATCCAGATCCAGATCTCCTCACTTCCTCCAACATTCCTTCCGTGGTCGATCCACTCCTTTCTTTCCAGCCCTGATCGCAAGTTTCGGTCAGCCCGCCATCTGACGTGACGTTTCGCGTGGTGTAACTACCACCCGCCAGTCGGACTTCGGGGCGAGACCTGCTTATTTCAATCATTGCGACTATCTATACTTCTGCCGGCTCTCTCGTCAGTCTCATCGCTCCGCTTTTGATTGTTCACCGGTGGTTTGAACTGGTGTCAGAAATCCTCCGAGAATAAGGTGCTGCCTCAATTGGGGCTGATAGGGTATCCATGCGCCTGGCATAGAGCAGTCGCTGGCCGTCATACGAGTGTCACGCGTTCCAGTATGGATGTTGTGCCAAGGTTCTATCGTGATGCACTCGCTTTTTCATCAAATGGACACGCCCATTCCCCGGTTGGGTTAAACATACATTGCAGGGAACCATGCGGCGAGTCGAAAGGCTGGCTGAGCTTGGACTCCCGAGCAACCAGATGTGGTTATGTGCACGACAGCAAAGCTCCGCAGGTGGTGAAACACCAGAGCCAGGTACGTTTGCTATTGAACTTACTACGAATGTCAGTTATGTAAATCTGTGCCCGGGCTAATCGTGGCGTATTATCAGGATACGAATATTCGACGAAAGTCATGTTATAAAACCGCCCTGGCTCTTGTGGTTGACATTCACCTGGTCGATCCCGAAGGTTATGACCCACCACCACCAGCATATGATGATGCGATAAAGGATCTGCCTCCGGAATACTCTGCGCTGGCTCCCTTGGCTCAACAAAAGGACCTGATCCAAGACTCCGCGCCAGCACGGACTGCAGATGACACCAAGTCCAGGAGAGCGTCTCGATCGATTGACTTTGAATCGACGTCTGGCATTCGGGAAAATAAGGGAAAGAAAAAGAAGAAGCCAGCACAACCCCAGCGACAGAACTCACCGCCAGCCGAGGAGAGCGGTGGTAACAATGCCGAGGGCGGAGATGAGCCCAACGGTGACGGTACCGGAGATGGAGGCGATACTGGTGATGGCAGCAATGGAGGGGATGGTAACGGTGGAGACGGCAATGGTGGCGGCGATGGAGGTGGCGATGGAGGTGACGGAGGTGACGGTGACGGTGATGATAACTGGAACGCATGGAATACAACTTCCACCAAGAAGAGTAAGAAAAAGAAGAAAGAGGAGGAAGAGGAACGACTGAAGAAAGAAGAAGAAGAGAGGCAAGCCAAGGAAGAAAGGGAGAGACTGGCCAAAGAAGAGGAGGAACGGAAGGCAAAGGAAGAAGAGGAACAGAAAGCGAGAGAAGAGGAGGAGAGACTGGCCAAGGAAGAGGAGGAACGGAAGGCCAAAGAGGAGGAAGAGAAAAAGGCTGCCGAAGAAGCCGCTGCCGCTGCATCCAACAACCTGAATTGGGCTGATCAGGGTGATGGAAATGGCGACGATTCTTGGGCATTTACTACTACCACTAGTAAGAAAAAGAAGAAGAAAGGCAAGGTGCGTCGTACATGGTCCCCGAGATACCTCGACAATCGATCCCCTAACTTATCAGCAGGCCGCGGACGCAGTTCCACCTGAGCCGGCGTCGAACGGGTTTCAGGATGTTAGCTTGAGTGACAACGTGCCGCAGCTGGATCTGAGACACCCTCCCCCAGCCCCTGCAACCAACTTCAACTTCGGTTGGGGCCAAGGCTGGGGTTCTAACGATAAATGGGGCCTCAACACGTTGAACGGCGCGGAAGACAAAGGAAAATCGGATAACCCCTGGTCCTTCTCCGGGAATAATAACCTAGCAAATGCTTCAGTTGGGTTCGGCTTCGGTGGTGGTGATTTTGGAGATATCCCGGGTTCTAATGATGTCAGTGCTCCTCCAGAAGGAAAGACTGAGGATGACATCTGGGCCGGCTTTGGCGCGGCTACGAAAAAGGACAAGAAGAAAAAGAAGAAGGGGTCAGAGGAGGAACTCCCCGTCGACCCTGAGCCCACGCCCATTGAAGAGCCCGAACCCCAAGCCGAGCCTGAGCCTGAGCCTGCACCAGTAGTGGAAAGTCCCTGGGATACAGGTCTTTCCAAGAAGGAGAAACGCAAGGCAAAGAAGGGCAAGGCTGTCGAGGAACCAGCTCCAGAACCTCTTGTTGAAGAGCCAAAATCAGACGACGCTTGGGCGGCCCTTGAGGAGAAGCAAGAGCCAGAGAAGCCGCTGGAGGTTGCCGACGACGACAACTGGGGCTGGGGCATGTCTACTACCAAAAAGGACAAGAAAAAGAAGAAGGGTGCTGCGGCGGAAGTTCTTCCCGTAGAAGAGCCTGCTGCAGAGGAGCCTCCTGCAGAAGAGCCCCCTGCACCCGAACCACCTGCTCCGGAGCCACCAGCGGAGCCTGAACCCGTTGAGGAGAAGAAAGATGAGGATGACTGGTCAACGTGGAGTGCCCCCAAGAAGGACAAAAAGAAGAAGAAGGGCAAGGCTATTGAGCTGGAGCCGGAACCACAGCCCGACCCTGTGCCGGAGCCTGAGGTAGTACCAGAGCCGGAGCCAGAACCAACACCAGAACCGGGACCAGTCCTTGAGCCTGAGCCTGAACCTGAACCTGAACCTCAACCTGAGCCCGAACCCGAGCCCGAGCCGGAGAAGAAGGCCCCGGAGATACCAGACAGCCCTCTTTATAACAACTGGCACACCCTTTCATCTAAAGACCGGAAGAAGCGGGAAAAGCAACTGGTCAAGAAGGGTCTTCCGATTCCCGGTAAAGATTTCGAGCTCCCAGTACCAGGAGCCGAGCCTCCTGAGCCAGAGCCAGAGCCAGAGCCAGTACCTGAACCAGTTCAAGAGCCGGAGCCTGTTCCTGAACCCGAGCCCGAGCCTGAGGTAGTGCCGGAGCCAGAACCAGCGCCAGAGCCGGAACCCGTCCTTGAACCTGAACCTGAGCCTGAACCAGCTCCCGCACCAGAACCAGCAGAGCCCGAGCCCGAGCCCGAACCGGTTCAAGAGCTCGAACCTGTTCCTGAACCTGAGCCTGAGCCTGAGGTCAAAGCTCCCGAGATTCCAGACAGCCCTCTCTATAACAACTGGCATACCCTCTCGTCCAAAGATCGCAAGAAACGAGAGAAGCAGCTAGTCAAGAAGGGACTGCCTATTCCTGGTAAAGATTTTGAGTTACCAGTGCCAGGAGCTGAACCTCCAAAGGAACCTGAGCCGGTGCCAGAGCCAGAGCCAGAACCGGTGTCAGAGCCGGTTCAAGAAGCAGAGCCAGCCCCAGAGCCAGCTCCAGAGATTGAACCAGAGCTAGAGGTGGTACCAGAGCCGGCAGCGGAGCCTGAGCCTGAGCCTGAGCCTGTCATAGAGCCAGAGCCAGTGCCTGAGCCCGTCCCCGAACCTCAAGAACCAGAACCAGAGCCGATTCCCGAGCCAGCTCCCGAGCCAATTCCTGAAGCGGTTCCAGAGCAAACCTACCAAGATGATAGTTGGGGAATCTTAAGCACTTCGAAGGACAAAAAGAAGAAGAAGAAGAACAAGATCGCCGTCGAGCCCCCACCGCCCGCACCTACCCCTCCTTCTTTTGGATTCACTGCCGAGCCAGAAGGCTTCGTGCCTACTGAGCATGTGCCCGAGGAGCCACTTTGGGATGAGTACGATAGCAAACCTTCGAAGGGATTTCAGGATGATTATCTGGCGGAAGAAGCACCTAAACCGGCCAAGGGATTCTGGGCCAGTTTCGGTGTTCCAACCATGAGCAAATCCAAGTCTACCAAGAAGAAGTCGACCGAAAAGGCCAAAGCAATCGAGGTGGCACCAGAGCCTGAGCCTGAGCCAGTTCCCAGCCAACCCGAGGATGATTTACTTATTGACGTTGGTGATGATTTCAAGATGCCCGAAGCGCCCGAGGCGCCAATCCCGCCAGTTGTCGACGAACCACCCGCGCCAGCCGCGCCGCCAGCGAAGACTTCTGTTGTCACCAACAAGACCAAGTCATCGGCCAAATTGTCACTCGCAGAGCGAATCAACGCTTTGGAGCGGAAGAAGGACAAGGCAGCAAAGGCAGAGCCTACCCCGCCCCCGGAAGAACCTGAACCTCAACCCGAACCTGTGGAGTTCTTCGACCCCGAGCCGTTTAAGAAGCCCTATAGGGATGTGGTCCCTGGGAGCTTTCCGGACGCATTTGACGACGACTACGAGGAATTCTACGACGTACCACCACCTGCCCCGGAACCTCCAGCACCCGGGCCGGAGCCAGCCCTCGAACCTGAGCCGGAACCAGAGCCAGCGCCAGAACCTGAACCTGAACCTGTCCTTGAACCTGTCCTTGAACCTGTCCTTGAACCTGAGCCTGTGCCTGAGCCTGAGCCCGCTCCTGCGCCGGTGTCATTGTCAAAGAAGGCGAAGAAGAAGGATAAGAAGAAGTCAAAGGCTATTGTCCTCGAGCCCGTGCCTGAGCCGATACCTGAACCTGTCCCTGAGCCAGCATTCGAACCGGTAGCTGAACCCGCGCCCGAGCCAGTGCCGGAGCCGATACCTGAGCCAGTTGCAGAACCAGAACCGGAGCCGGAGCCACAGCCTGAACCACAGCCTGAGCTCGAGCCCGAGCCTGCTCCGGTACCTGCTCCTGTCTCGAAAACCGAAAAGAAGAAAAAGAAGAAGAGGATCGTTGTCCCAGAGCCAGAGCCAGAGCCAGAGCCCGCTCCTGTACCGGAGCCAGAGCCTGTCCTTGAACTTGAGCCTGAACCTGTCCCCGAGCCTGAGCCTGAACCTCAACGCGAACTCGAACCCGAACCGGAGCCGGAGCCAGAACCTGAACCGGTATATGTTCCTGCCCCTCCTGAGCTACCAATCGAGCAAGAGCGGGGATTCCAGCCAGAGTTCGACGAGCCACCTGCTCCAAAGCCTGAAAAGCCGAAGAAGAGGAGCAAAAAGGTCGCTAGTTTAGAACAAGCAGCGCCAGTCATGGAACCAATGCCTGCCGAAGCTGAACCAGCCGACGCAGCTGAAGCAGTTGGTGTAGATACAGGTCACCCTCCTACGCCCCCTCCAGAGGCAGAGCCGGTACCTGAAAAGCCGGTGAAGAAAGAGCGCGTTCGTCTTGAGCGTGCTCCAGGTTCGACCTCTTGGGGATTCTGGAGTGCTACGCCACAAAAGCAGCCCTCCCATAGGGAGCGTAGGCCAAGACGGGAGCCCTCACCGCCCATGGTGAGGTCAAAGTCGGCCAGACAGCCGAAGTCGAGGGACCCTGACGAGGGGGAGAAGTCTCCCTCTGACAAGGATAGACGGCGAGAGGATCGACGAGAGGACCGACGGGATGACCGACGGGAGGATCGACACAGTCGAGGTATGACTTTTGCTGACTTTGTCCTTGGGGCGCCGCCGCCCACCAGAACCAAGTCGAGTCGAAGGCCTAGACGTCCATCTATGGGCATGGAGGATGCGGGGTTCCCAACTCCACCACCAGATGACCATCGGGACATTCCGGATAAGGCAGCCCGCATGATGGGTGTGAATGGCTCATCCAGGAGGGAAAGACCCCATGAATCTCGTAGAAGACCTCGTAAGTTCCCACGTCACCTCATCGCGACGCTGCTTACAATTTTCTAGGCAACCCTGACTCATATGCTGTGGAAGATGAGGACATGGTCATGGTGGATCGGGATGACTTTTCCGCTCCAAAGGACGGCTCAAGGGGATCGAGACATTCCGACAGACAGTCAAGGCGGAAGGTAGGCGACAAAGTCCCGGGCAGAAATGTAATGATGCTAACACTGGCCCCTCAGTCTCGGTCCAGACGTGGCGAATTCCCTGATGATGCGGTTATGCTTGACACAGACCAGCACCATGGACCCGAAGTGTTCTCAGGCCCCGACGATATTGCCTTCGTAGAAGCCCCAAGAGAACGACGAGTAAGGCAGTCGAGTACTGCTCCCAAGAAAGAGTCCACAGGCCTCATGGGCTTCATTGGTTCTTTGCGCAAGTCCGCTCGTCCAGAACAGCCAGAACGGCGCAAGTCCCGATCTTATCGCGATGACGATGCCAGATACATGACTGAGCCAGAGCGAGATGAGGCGCGCCGTGCGCGGCGTGACGAAAGAAGGAGACGTTATGAAAGACCGGATGCTGAAGGCGAAGAATTCGTCAACGAGGGCGGTCCGGTGGGTGGTTTCCCGGAGACCGATGTGGAGGAAGCCGAGGCTAGGAGGGCGGCGCGTAGAGCGCGACGGGCACGACAGGCAGCATCTGATCAGCTTCGGGAAAGCGAGTGGCGCGAGGCTGAGGAAAGACGCGAGGCCGAAGAAAGAAGAGCTCGACGCAGGGAAAGGGAGAGAGCCCGTGAGCGTGAGATGCAAGAGAGAATGGTCCGCGAGGAGGAGGAGAGGGAAGAAAGACGCCGCGAGGAGAGAAGGGCTCGGCGCGCTGCTCGTGAAGAGCGCCGTGCCCGAGAGGAGCAAGAGGCCCGAGAGGCAGAGGCCCAAGCAGAGGCCGAAGCCAGGGCTGCCGAGCGACGCGAACGCAGAAGGCGGAGGGAGGCAGAGATGCAAGAAGCCGCCGCGTACGAGCCCCGGTCGAAACGACGATCCTCTCGTCACCCGGTCGATGACCGAGCTGCTCGAGACTTCTATCTCGGCGGCTACAATGGTGACAGGGCGTACCGTCCAGAGCGCTCTGCAGAAGACGGAGAAAGACCTAAACGCCGGAAATCCAGGGCCCCCGAAGTGGAACGAGGGCCTCCGATGATGTCCGGAGGACGCAAGGATAAAACTTCGTCCTGGGTACACTCCCAAGAGAGCGATCCGCCCGAGCCACCCCCGGTCGTTGCAACCGTTCTGGACGTGCCACCGGGCCCAGACGAGCCAACGCAAGCACACTCGGTATCCTCAGACGAGGAAGCCCGCCGAGAGCTACGACGTCGAGCTCGCAGACGAGCCCGATACCCCGGCATGACAGACCAGGAAATCGACGAGCTGCGGGCGCGTAAGCGCGAGGCACGACGCTCCGAGAAGAGTTCCAATAGCGCCGATTACGAACGGGTCCGCGGCCAGCGCTCGTACGATGATCGATATGCGCCTGCGAGTGGTGGTGGGACGAAGATGCCGAATTGGTTCAGAAGACTGACCAACAGGATTCATGATGAATGATGAGGATTATACGATGGAATGAATGATATGCTTGATGTTGGATCTGAGGGTTGATTGATTTGGATGATGCCTTAGCGAGCATGCTATGAATGATGTACGATTATGACTCTGAGAATGACTCTGCTCAGTGGATTGATGTTGTATCTGTATTTCGGAATTTGTCTGGCAAGGATAGACTTCGTAAGGGCATTCAGAATACTGACGAGGCTGGGAATAGAGGTTTTGATACTTCGTTGTTGGCATGCTAATCCCAAGTCCTTGAAGGCAGTGTCATTGACTCAAAACTTTACATCTGACATTAAAATCCGGTATTTTTATTAAACACATATATGAGATGGAGGTCACCTATCCATTCTAGTGACCAAAGCCTTCCTCGAGTATTTCGGCACATATGTAATCTAGATTTCCCTGGAGTCTCGGCAAACTCGTTACAAGCTTTTGACATGCTATAATACCGCATCAGTACTCTGCAATATAAACGGCAGGCAGTGATGATCGTAGATATGAGCACAGTATTGTACAGTCTCTTCTACACTTATTCCGAATCGGAGCCGTAGTCCCCTAGACCAAGTGACAGCGAAGACGGTTTCGCTGCTGGTTTCGATGCAGGCTGATCCGGGATCGTCTGCGGAGGGGTTGCGGGCTTGTTTGCGCCAGGCAAAGTCGCTGGTTGTTTTGGTTCCTCAGGCTTCTTTGGGGTAGGCTCGGAGTTGCTCTTCTGGACACCATTATTGGCTTTTCCGGAATCCTTGTCCGCGATGTGATCCGGCGTCGCGTCACCGCCCAGAGACTTGCGTTTCTTGCCGGGAATGAGGAGATCCTTGCTCTTCTCTCGGCGTCTCTTGCGCGCGGGGATTTTCCAGTCTTCGCCTTCGGCGGCGGGTGTGACGTCTGCTGTTGTATCCTCGAGCAGGACTTTTTCGGCCTCTTCTCGCTGTCGACGGAATACCTCCAGCTGCTCGGCAGTCTCCTTTTTGACCGCGGCTTCCTTGGCCCGGGTGGATTCCATGATGGAGTCGAGAAAGTCGACCTCGTCTTCGTCCAGCGAACGGAATTGGTTCTTTAATTTCATCTTCTCTTCGAAAGCTTCCTGCTTGGCCACTTTGCAGCACCAATCACATCACCCTAACATGTCAACCCAACACGTCTGCCAGAGAGATTTCACGCCTCAGGGCATCTCCGCACGATGTGGAGACTCACTTTTGTTCTGCTGGAGGACTTCGTATAGACTCTTGCCATCTTCCTGTCTCCCTAGCTCGGCTTTGCGCCTTCGCTCGGCCTCGAGCTCCTGCTGCACGCGATGCCATTCATCATCGCGCTGGACCGGGTCCTGGTCCGTTCCTGCGGACACAAATCCGGATGACATGATTATCGCTTTGGTATGAGCACACGGTCGCGGCAGTGGTGTGAGGTCGGCAGGCGGCCGTCAAAGAAAACGATCACGGTTGTGATATCCCGCCAAAGCGTTTCGCAATTGATGCGCGACGGGTTTGAGGCGGCAGCACAACGTCACGATATCTTGCTCGTAACAGGCCGGCGGCTCAGCACCGTTTCCAACCGAGTGAGAGCCACAGTGGCCTGGCAGAATCAGGCGGTGAGGATAATGCGCTCCATGGTGATTGGGCCTGAGGCAGACCCGCACTGGGACCGGCGGAGTTGGTGTCTTTTGCCTGAATGGCAAAATGCCTCATTGAACCAGTTACCACGCTGGCTGAGTGTCTTTATCCTTGTGCCATTCAATTTTTCGGATCGGGTATTTTCGGTTTAGGCCAGTACCGCTATGATAGGTATCGCCCTCGGGCCATTGTAGTAATGCCATCCACAGTGGTCAATGTTCTGTTTCGATGATACTAAAATCCATGGATGGAGGGGATCAAAGTATCCAATTGACAATTCAATGGTATAATCTGATAGAAAGTACCTGGTATCGCTTAGTTCTCTTCGTATCATGCAGCTTTAGACTCTGCGTACTAGACAGTAATTGGCTAGCTTGATAAAGCGCAAGTGAACAGGGATCATGAAAGCGCGGTTAATTCTTTGATAACAGCAAAGCATGTTGCAGATCGGGCTGATTGGACCCCCAGCTCGTTGGTTGCTAATGCTCCGACAGGTGCCAATTGCCCTGCAGGACAGGCAACCCTTGGGTCCGTCCGCTAGGAGCTTGCTAGTCGGGGACCACTGGCCAGCAATGGCTTCAGATGGATGCTCCCCACTGCGCCATGGAGGGGCAGCCCGTGCCCCTCCATCGTCATCGTCCCGCTCATGGTGTGCTGGATGGACCTGCCTCTTCATGCCCGCGGTCCGCCCTCAACCTCTTGCCCACCTGGCTATAAAGCCCCTTCAACTGACCCAATTCCTCAGTTCGTGATCTTCCCCATTACTCTCCCGCTTTCCTCCAATCCCTTCTACCACCCCAACCAATCCAAAATGTCGAACCTCGAGCACACCAAGTAAGTCATCCTATCCAATTCATTACCCCATGAATTCAGAGATCAGCAAGCGACTTAGTAATGAGGACACAATCTTATTAACCATCTTTCTCCGTTTGACAGGAAGGTCTACACCCTCAACACCGGTGACAAGATCCCCGCCGTCGGTCTTGGTACCTGGCAATCCAAGCCCAATGAGGTCAGAGAGGCCGTCAAGAACGCTCTCTTGAAGGGTTACCGTCACATCGATACGTGAGTGGAGCTGGCTACCAATTACGTCCTCGAAGCAGCGACATTGACCGATCTGCGTTCTAGTGCTCTTGCCTATGGAAACGAAGCCGAGGTTGGAGAGGGTATCAAGGAGTCGGGTGTTCCCCGCAGTGAGATCTGGGTTACCACCAAGCTCGACAACCCCTGGCACAAGCGTGTTGCGGAGGGCATTGACACCTCTCTGAAGAGCCTTGGCCTCGACTATGTCGACCTCTACCTTGTCCACTGGCCCAGCTCGACTGACCCCAACGACCTGTCGAAGCACCTTCCCGACTGGGACTTTATCAAGACTTGGTACGATCCCTACCAGTGCATGGGTAGTCCTTGTGCTAATAATGTTCCAGGCAAGAGATGCAGAAGCTTCCCGCCACCGGCAAGGTCCGTAACATTGGTGTCTCCAACTTCGGCATCAAGAACCTCGAGAAGCTCTTGAACGACCCCAGCTGCAAGATCGTTCCTGCTGTCAACCAGATCGAGCTTCACCCCAACAACCCGTCCCCTAAGCTGGTTGCCTACAACACCTCCAAGGGCATCCACTCCACCGGCTACTCTTGCCTCGGCTCCACCAACTCTCCTCTCTACAAGGACGAGACCCTTCTGAAGCTGGCTGAGAAGAAGGGCAAGACTCCCCAGCAGGTTCTGCTCCTGTGGGGTGTCCAGAAGGGCTGGAGTGTTATCCCCAAGTCCGTCAGCAAGTCCCGCATCGACGCCAACTTTGAGCTTGATGGCTGGGAGTTGACTGCCGAGGAGATCGAGCAGCTGGACAACCTGAAGGACCGCTTCAAGGTCTGCGATGATGACTGGCTCCCGGTCAAGGTTTTCTTCGGTGATGATGAGTAAACTGCTTCTACGATGATATCCATGTGAATTAGACTATAGATCACCAATTGTACATATTTGGATGCGGCTATGGCGATACTCAGAAGTCTAGATGTTTAACTTAGAAGGATTTCATGGGTGGCAGTGGAGGAGGATAAAGCTGCCTTAGTTCCAGGCTATGATTCCTTATCGGCCGATATCGTCATACATCAAAAATGAAAGTCACGGATCCATGACGCATCTCCTGGCAAGCACAGTGTAATAGCACAAAGGGCCATTTACTCATACTCAAGAGTTTTCTAGTAATCCACATTTGTATGGTTCCCCTGGATGACTTAAGAATCCCGAGGCACGTGGTGCTGGATCACATGGTGCACCGCCACCCCGGATTACTCCATCATCAGGTCCCTCGTCATCCCCTTATCTCTCTTCCATCTCCCATCATTTTAGGATGGTTCTTCCATCTAAGAAACTACTATAACTCCTTTCTCTAATTGCAGTCAGGATGCCGCCTTCTAACGGGCACCTGCTGCTCCCCAAGTTTTGGCGAGCAGCCAGGTGAGTCATTTGCCACCTGGATGTACTTCCGTCCGCTAACAGTTCTAGGTCTGCCTACGAGAAGGCCTACAAGACTATCAAGTCACGGTTCCCCGAGCAATTCCAACAAAGCTCACTTCGTCTCCAACCCGAGTATGTGCGTATAGTCAACCGCCACCCTATCAATCGTGCCGCTGCTATTCGCCAAGCTCGCAGTCGCCAGTACTCGACTCGTGCCGCAGGCTCCTTCGTCTCGTACCTTCGGAGCGGCCTCCAAGGCGATCGTGCTGCCTACAAGACATCTCGCATTGCCGCTAACGTCAGTCGCTTGACGAGCCATGCTCCGTTCGCCTCAACCCTTCGTCCGAATTTGACCGGCGGCACCTTGGGCCGTACGGCGGGAGGCTATGCCATTGGTGCCGGCCGCATCGGTGGGGCCCGATACTTCTCCCATGGCGCAGCTGCTCCAGCACAGGTCATCAACAATGTGTCTGTCGGCGTCCGCGCCTTTTTCCTGTCGGGACAGAAGGCCCGGTTCGATGGAGTCGACCCGATCACCGGCAACAAGCGATTCAAGGCTGTGAGCAAGCTCCAAGATGAGGCCGAGCGGAAGATGGCAGCCATCCCTCGCACGGCTCCCGGTTCCTTTGTCGATTTCCAGATCTCCCCGACCATCACCGCTTTCGGCTTGCAGAAGAATTTGGTCGCGACTGAGGCTGCTGGCGCCCAGACCGTCAACTCGGAGGGTCTCTTGGACTTTCTGTCTGCGGACTTTGCCCGTGCTCTCAAGGACCTTGCTGCTGTGCTGAATGACCTGAAGCGACTGTCCACACTGGGTGACTTGCCTATTGAGTTGCATGATAAATCGACACTTCGGGTGCGGTTCCCTGGCTGCGATGCTAACACGGTTGAACGTCTCTGTGATGAGGCCGGGGTTCAGAGGGGAAAGATCATGCAGGATGAGGATTTCGACATCCGTATGGGTGCCGATCTGGCTCTCCTGTTTCCTTTCGCCCCCAGTGTGCCGGCCTCTCCCGACATGGACGACTACTTCTGTCGCCCTGGGTCCCTGAAGTCACAGGCCCCTGAGGAGGTTGACTGGCATGCAATGATGTCGCCTGATGCTACAGAAGCCTCTCCGGAATACTACAAGCAGCCGTCTAATCGACTCAGCTTTGAGGACGTGACGATGTTTGCCGAGAACCCCTGGAGGTCTTCATCCTCGGGATACTCCAGCATTAATGTCAGCGAGCTCGGGGATCGTGCCTTTTTCGCTGAGGTCACAAGCTTCGGTATGCCCGAGAGTGCTTCCGAATACGACGGATCGGACGGAATCCGCAAATTCATAGCAGAGTGTGATGTTGCCAGGCGACATTATTGAACGGCTTTGCGTATATCACTTGAACATACACGGACTTTGACAGTCGTTTCCTATTGTTCCATTTTAACTTGAAGCATATAATCTGTGATTTACACGCACAAACAAATGAATGCCAAAAACATGGTTGATCAGTTTACCTAGTATCAAATAAGACAAACAATTTCAGCGAATACGAGCCAGACCTGGTTATCCCCCAGTTCCTAATGGGAACTCGGCCCGTCACACCGGTTCTATCTCCCTCGTAGCACCCTTTAATTCCCTCTCCATCTTGGCAACGCTATCACTGATCCTTCCCAAATATTCCCAATACAACTGAACGTCACAGTAGTATAAAGTTAAACCCTTCTCCAAACGATCGACACACCGATCCAATCCTCAACCTACCTATAATATAACACGACCCTGATTCAATATACCCGAAACCAACTCGGCATTGAGTACGTTTCAATTCGTTCCACCATCTCATCACTTCCAGTCTGATGACGATCATCCCTCCCCGATCCGTTTTAGTTACGGAAAGGAGGTCCGTCCGTCTTGTCACGCAATATCACATTCACCACCATCACCACTACCACAGCCACCAACAATGTCTTTTGTAAGATCAATCCAATTTGGTCATCACGGACTAAGCGTAGCGTCTTGGCTTGTCACGGAAAGGTGTGTTTAGCCGGATATCATCCTCCTTCGGTCCTTGTTGGTTTTGGTAATTGATGGGCACTGTATAGGATTGTGTTAGTATAAATGTCCATGATGTATGGGTGTATACCACCTATGAATGAGATAAGAACCGTATCTTCTACTTGATTCATCATTCTACATACGGAATACGCACCGCCAACATGCGAACTTTCTCAACACTTTCACTTTCACTTTCGCCTTTCCTTCTCTCCGGAGTGAGAGCCATCCCCGCCGCCAGCGCGACAGCTGCGACGTCCGTCGCTGCGGCTGCGTCCAGCTCACCGGCCCCGACGGCCACTGCAACTGGGAACCCGTTTGAGGGGTATCAGCTCTATGTGAATCCGTATTATAAATCGGAGGTGGAAAGTCAGGCGATTCCGTCGTTGACGGGGTCGTTGGTGGCGCAGGCGAGTGCTGTCGCGGAGGTGCCGTCGTTTTATTGGTTGTGAGTGGTGCATTTTGTATCTCGTGTTTTGTGTGGGTGTAGGGGGTTTGGTGTATATGCTAATGTGATGTGCTGGTCATTGTAGGGATACGGCAGATAAAGTTCCCATCATGGGCGAGTACTTGGAAGATATCCAAACCCAGAATGCTGCGGGAGCGAATCCCCCTATTGCTGGCATATTTGTGGTCTATGATTTGCCGGACCGGGACTGTGCTGCCCTGGCGAGTAATGGGGAGTACTCGATTAGTGATGGTGGGGTGGAGAAGTATAAAGCGTATATTGACTCGATTCGGGAGCAGATTGAGACGTATTCGGATGTACAGACGATTTTGATTATTGGTGAGTGCTTTCGTGGGGAGTGAGAGGTGAAGGGATGCTGATTCTTGCAGAACCGGATAGTTTGGCTAATTTGGTGACGAATCTTAATGTGGCTAAATGTGCTAATGCCGAGTCGGCTTATTTGGAGTGTACCAATTATGCTCTGGAGCAGTTGAATTTGGCTAATGTGGCGATGTATTTGGATGCGGGTATGTCTTCTCCTATACATGTTGAGATTGATCGGCTTGTGGCGTACGCAGCTAACGATTCAGGCCATGCGGGTTGGTTGGGATGGCCGGCCAATATCGGACCAGCTGCGCAGCTGTTCGCTTCAGTCTATGCAAATGCATCATCGCCGGCTGCTGTTCGTGGGCTCGCTACCAATGTGGCCAACTATAATGCTTGGAGCATCGACTCATGCCCATCTTATACATCTGGAAACGATGTCTGCGATGAGCAGAGCTATATCAATGCCATTGCCCCTGAGCTGACCAGCGCTGGATTCGATGCACACTTCATTACCGACACAGGTGAGTGAGACCTATACAGGAGGTTTAGCTTGCTTACTCGATCAGGTCGCAACGGAAAACAGCCCACTGGCCAGAATGCCTGGGGAGACTGGTGCAATGTCAAAGGCACCGGTTTCGGCGCCCGGCCATCCACTGATACTGGAAACGAGCTCGCAGATGCCTTTGTCTGGGTCAAGCCAGGCGGAGAAAGTGACGGCACCTCGGACTCGTCTGCTGAGCGCTACGATGCGCACTGCGGATATAGTGATGCCTTGCAACCTGCTCCGGAGGCTGGGACTTGGTTCCAGGTGGGTGTTGATTGAAGCCATAAGAGCCTTCACACTAACATTTGTTGTAGGCCTTTTTTGAGCAGCTCTTGACAAATGCTAACCCTTCCCTGTGAACATCTGATGTTGTTCCCCGCATCTTGGAGGAAGCTTCCGCGGTATATAGCAGTGATGTAGACGAGTGAAATCAGACAAGTCAGTAAGAATTCAGCAGTTGAAGCACGTAGAGGATGAATCACATTTGCCAATTCACATATTCCACCTGAAATTATTCTGAATACTTTGTAGTAATGAAGCATGATGCAAGGCGGTGAGCCATGAGGAGGAATCTCACCGCCAACCCCGCGCTAAACTGGAAGAGGGCGCTCCACTGATAACAGGCCGGCTGGATGTCAAGAAACACACACTGTTACCTCCAGCCAGACGCTCTCGTTATCGCCCGTGAACCTGCCGTCTTTCGTTCTCCGGTCTTCACGTTGAATGCTTTGAGAAGAGTGTTCCAACATACAGTTCTGGGGCTCTCCTGCACTGGAGTGGTCTGACGGGTCTCGCAACTGGCCCAGGCCAAGCACGAATAATCTTTCCTGATCACATCCTCTTGGTGGAGTCTGCTAGTGGAATCATGGAGGACTTCAACAGTGAGACCGACAGTGACTACACTAGCTACTGGAGAGATTGGGTAAGTTGATTCCCTGCTACTGTGATCTTCTGTGCAGACAGACCGCGGCTGGAGCAATGGAGCGGCGTGGCTCGTTCTGCGCTCGACGATGTCATCGCGGCTGGTGAGAGACGAGCAGAACAACACAAAGATCTGTTGCCTCTGCTGCAATGGCTTCTCTCTTGAACGCTTCTTCACTTGCAAACCGACTCGTCTCTACCGATACTGTCACATAATGGATTCGTCTCCCCCCGTTGACAGTGTGGGTTCCGACTCCACAATTTGCCCTCCGATCAAAGCCCAACCGCGTCCGAAGCCAGAATTTCATATGCGCCCTTCGCCGTCGTATTCTTACGGCTTGCTGCTCCCGCAGACCGTGGCTGACTTTAGATTCCAGTTCATCTCCTCCCGTGGAAACGAGTATTTCTGCGAAATCGACGAGGACTATTTGACCGATCGCTTCAATCTTACCGGCCTGAACACCGAGGTTGCCTACTACCAGTATGCCTTGGACCTGGTGACTGACGTGTTCGACCTCGACGCGGACGACGACCTGCGCGAGCAAATCGAAAAGTCGGCGCGTCACCTTTACGGATTGGTTCATGCTAGATACATTGTCACTACCCGGGGTCTCGCCAAGATGGTATGTCGCCTGAGAGAAGACTCGAGGAATCGTTCTGACAGGGTGTAGGTTGAGAAATACAAGCGCGGCGACTTCGGAAAGTGTCCCCGTGTCATGTGCGAAGGACACCCCCTCCTGCCCATGGGCCAGCACGACGTTCCCAACCAGAGCACCGTCCGCCTGTACTGCCCCAAGTGCGAGGATATCTACAACCCCAAGTCGTCCCGCCATGCCTCGATTGACGGCGCTTACTTCGGCACCTCCTTTCACAGCATGTTGTTCCAGGTGTACCCCACCCTGCTTCCCGAGAAGAGCATCCGCCGCTACGAGCCCCGTATCTTCGGCTTCAAGGTGCATGCGAGCGCCGCTCTGGCCCGTTGGCAGGATCAGTTCCGGGAGGATATGAAGGCGTCTCTTCGTGAGGCCGGCGTGGAAGCCAAATTCGCGGAAGATGCCAGCGAAGACGAAGAACTGGAAGACGACGACGACGAACCCCTCGAGACCAAGGAAGAGAAAGTCGCCGGGGATGCTGCTTCTGGCCGGATGGATCTGGGCAACTGATGGCGCTCCCTCGTAATATCTTCTTCATTGGAGTTCTCCTTCTGCTTCTTTCTCATCCACTTGCATAGGGGCATGCATGGTGCATTTGCATTTGATTGCACGTGTGGATCTCTTCCTCGGTTTCTGCGTTTTTTTTTTTTTTTTTTTTTGTCTTGTTCCACGTCTCCGGCTATCGGCTTCTGCACCCCGGGCGTATGACGGGTTCTTTACCATTTCATTTCTCTCATGCACTGCAAATAATGATAACGAACACTGGTGGCGTTGGAAGTTGAAGATGGCGGGTCTGTTTTCCTGGCTTCTAATGTACTAGTTTTAGTTCTGGGTCTCCCATCCTGGCGGGTTCAGTTCGTGATACTCCTTTTGTCCGTGACTGATCGAGATACAATGAACTGCTTGCTTCACTGTAATCTGTGCTGCATGCCCTTATCCCGAAACCATCGCAACCTGGTTCTAATTTACTCCCTCAACTTCTCAATGGCAAACGCAATCCCCCTCGCCAACTCCCCTCCCTCCCTCCACGCATCATCATGCTGTCCCCGAATCTCCAACCCCTCCACCCTCTTCCCCCCACCCAAGGCCACCCACTCCCCCAACGCCCTCCTCATCCCCTCCCTCTGCCCCTCATCCACCAACCCATCCTCCCTCGAATACGCCAAAACCGCCACTCTCCCCCCCTTCCACCCACCCACCACCCCCTCCTCCCCCCTCACCACCGCCGGCGAAACCCCATCCCAAACCCCCTCATCCTTCCCAAACGCCCCCTCCGTGAACGCCTGATACGCAGATACATCCCGATGCGTATCCCGCAGTCCTCGCAGATCGTATATTCCCGCCATACCTAATATCCCCACCGGCGCTGGGACGGAGGGATCGGTGCGGAACTTCCCCATCACGGATTGGAAGGCGAGGGTCGCGCCACAGCTGTGGCCTACGAGGAGGTAGTTCTCGCCTATGGAGTATTTGGTTTGCAGGAAGGAGAGGGCCGAGAGGATGTCGGTTATGTGGTCTGGGTGGGTGGCGGTGCGGAGGTGCGTGGGGTCCGTCACGGAGGGGTCTTGGGGGTGGGAGGGGTGCGCGCTGAGTCGGTAGGAGATTGAGGCGAGGGCGTGGATGTAGGGGGTTGTGGTTGTGGTGTAGGGGGGGGAGGTGGTGAGGATGGTGCTCGTTGGGGTTAGGTAGGTGTGGGCGGTTTGGGTTGGGTCGCGCCAGGCACCGCCGTGGATGAGGCTGTTGCGGTAAGGGTTAGTGGTGGTGTGTGGGTGGGATGGGGGATGGGATGGGGTTGTACATCACCCAGTAGCCGGGGGTGGTGGTGGTGGTGGTGGTGTTGAGGGTGGTCACGGTCACGGTTTGGAGGTCGTGGTCGGTGCCGTAGTGGAAGGTTTCGGTGGACATTTTAGTTGTGTCTGATGTATGCTAGATAGACTGTGTAAGTATCTTTGTATGTATGTGGTTTCTCTAGGAGTGCTATGGTAGTATTAGTGAGGGGAAGTGCCGGTTAGTCAGTGCGAGGACTAGTTCGTTAGCTACGGGATGACCCCGAGATAGCAATAGTTAGTGGCCCGGATCAGAACAGCGGTATTGTTGCATTGTATCAAGACATCTTCTCAACCAGACTTTAGATCATCATGATGGTCTGATTCAAGCAGAAATGATGGTTATATGGGAAATGCTGGATGGCTGAAGACCCAAAACGGCTCGTATGGGGCTTGGCGCGCTAACCGCATCGGGCCCTAGGCGGTGGGAAATGCTGAATTCCATCCACACAAACCTCGCCGCCGACTGTCACCATCGTCGCCGTCGTATACACATTCCTGGCAGCATATCAACATGGCGGAGTAGGTGTTATTCCTCCCTGGAGGGGGTTTGTCACGATGCTAATATTCAGCAGGAAAGAAGTCCCTCTTACGGCCGTCAAGGTCGAGGCCTTGGTATGCACCATGAAAATCTCCCCCGCCTCAGATGCTTACAACAGGTCCAGGTGGTCATGAAGATCATCAAGCACGGCTCTCAGGCCTTCCCCACCACTGCCACCGGTGCCATCGTCGGTATGGATGTGGGCGGCACCCTGGAGATCACCAACTCCTTCCCTTTCCCCGTCGTCGAGATGCCCGCCGAGTCGCACTTTGACAACGCCGCTCCCAACCCGGCCGCTGCTGCTCCTCGCGCAAAGGCCAACGCTGCCTACGAGGCCGAGATGGTTCGCATGCTGCGCGAGGTCAACGTCGACGCCAACAGCGTCGGGTGGTACACCAGCGCCAACATGGGCAACTTTGTCAACATGAACGTAATCGAGAACCAGTTCTTTTACCAGAAGGAGATGAACGAGCGCACGGTCGCTCTGGTCCACGACGTCAGCCGCAGTGCGCAGGGCAGCCTGAGCCTGCGCGCGTTCCGTCTGTCCCCGAAGTTCATGGCGGCGTTCAAGGAGAACAAGTTCACTTCTGAGGAGTATGATACCACTATCCTAGCCGACTGAGGTGCAGATTGATGTGAAGACTGACGATTGCAGACTGCAAAAGTCCAACCTCAGATACCAGGACATCCTGGTCGAGCTCCCCGTTGAGATCCACAACTCCCACCTGATCACCTCGTTCATCCACCAGCTGCAGAGCCCCAGCCAGGCCGCGCCCACGGATCTGCCCGCGTCTCTGGCCGCCCTGGAGTCGTCCCCCTTCGCCAAGTCGTCGGTTCTGGCGCCCAACTACGACAACCTTTCCCTCAGCATCGACCCGTTCCTGGAGAAGAACTGCGATCTCCTGCTCGACAGCATCGAGGTGCACCACACCGAGACCAACAACTTCCAGTACTACCAGCGGTCGCTCGCGCGCGAGCAGGCCAAGATCACGGCGTGGCAGAACAAGCGCAAGACGGAGAACGCCAGCCGTGCGGCGCTCAAGCAGCCCCTGCTGCCCGAGGACGAGTGGCAGCGGCTGTTCAAGCTGCCCCAGGAGCCCAGCCGTCTGGACAGCATGCTCAACAGCCGCCAGGTGGAGCAGTACGCGCGCCAGGTGGACAGCTTTGTGTCGGCGACGACGGGCAAGATGTTTGCGGTCAAGGGCAACCTGCTGCCGGGCGAGGTGGCCAAATAGGGGACGTGATGATTTGTGGGGATTCTGGGAATTCATGCATGACCTTACGGCGTAGGGAGGGAAAATCTATATCTGAGGCTGTTAATACATTGTCTTTGCGTATTCCTGTGCATGATTCTTCTTGTTGATTTCCGGATCGACAGCCCTAACCCTGAGACGGCTCGGGCAAGACGTGGTGATGACCTCATTGATTCATACGATAAATAGCTTGTATAGGAATTCTTGAGCTGCAGCTGTAATCATGTCCACCCACACTGACATATGGATAGTACGCATCATCCCACAATCCCTTACCTCCACTAACTTGTAACCCACCAGTCCGGCGCATTTGCCGTCGTGGTCGTCGACTTCCTCGTCTACCCGTTTGATACGCTAAAAACCCGGATCCAATCCCCAAATTACACCAAGATATACAAGAACCCGCACACGGGGGCTGTCAACCGGAGTTTACTCTTCAAAGGTCTTTATCAAGGTGTCGGGAGTGTCGTCTTGGCTACTATACCTGCTTGTACGCCTATCCCACATAGCACCCTCCTCCACCTGAAACCCAACTACACACAGCCCACCCAATCCCTCCCAAACAACAACAACACTGATAATAAATAAAATAGCAGGAGCATTCTTCACCACCTACGAAGCCCTAAAACACGCCCTCCAGAACCCTCCCTCCCCATCCTCCCCATCCTCCCTCCCAATCCCCACCCCCCTCCTCCACTCCCTCGCCTCCTGCACCGCAGAAGCAATCTCCTGCCTCATCATCACCCCCGCAGAGGTACTTAAGCAGAATGCACAGGTCGTTACCACGCCTTCTACCCCCTCCACCCACCAACCCCCAAGTGGGTGGATTAGAGGGGGTGTCCTCATCCAAACCATCACCAAATTCAAATCCAGCCCGTGGAGGCTCTGGAGCGGGTATACGGCGCTCCTGGGACGGAATTTACCCTTTACGGGGCTGAATTGGCCGGTTTTTGAGTATTTGAGGGGGTGGGGTGGGGAAGTTGTTGTGAGGAGAAGAATGAGGGGTGGAGGTGGGGGAAAGGAAGGGGGAACGGGGGATGGGTTGTCAAAGGTGGAATATGCGCTCGTTACGGGGGTATCGGCTGCGGTGGCGGGGACGGTTTCGTCGGTGGTGACCATGCCGGTGGATGTGGTGAAGACGAGGATGATGTTGGGGGCTACTGCTTCTAATTCTTCTTCTGGGGAGGGTGGGGAGGGGAGGAGGAGTGCGTGGGCAATGGGAAAGAAGGTGGTCAGGGAGGAGGGGGTAAGAGGATTATTCAAAGGAGGTGCTATTCGGTCGTTGTGGACGGCGGTCTCGTTTGGGGTTTATTTGTGTATGTATGAGGGGGGAAAGGGGATTCTGGAGGATAGACGCCGGGAGAGGGGGGATTCGGGTTAGTTTAGCGTTATGTTGATTTGGCTGGTTGGCGGGATGGACTGTCTATGGTTTGTTGAGTAGATCGAGATTTGTTGTGCAGGGGTGGTTGGTGCTGGTGTCGATAGTGTGGTTCTTGATAGATGATAATTGTTTATTATCACTATGATCGGTTGGTCTATCTGCATCGTATACCTGCCATTGAAGTATCGGCTACATTCTATACATCAACCTCCAACCAGGAACAAACACTCTCGCGCCCACCAAGACCCCCGCACCCACAAGCAAAAGCCGAACCAGCCCACACCTGAGCAGCAAGATACCTCCCCCCAGTTCTCGAGATCAATGCACCCGCCACGGATGGCCCCGTCAACGGTCCCACGCTCATCAGCGCAAGAACCATACCCACTCGCGTGCCGATCTTGCTCATATCCTTCGTAAGAGAAGGGAACCGCCCCTGCAAATAACCCCATCGCAGCAGCAGAGGCGAGCCCAAAGAATACCGCAAAGAGGTATAACCCGGCCACTGTGTGGACACCAATCCAGCAGTACATCAAAACACCACAGATTGCTACCCAGGGAATGAGACGGTTTAAGGGGCCCGTGTATCGGTCTGCGAGATAGCCACCCGGTGCTCGAATTGGGATTCCAGCTGCATTGATTACAATGACGAGATTCACCCCAGCTGTCTGGGAGAGACCTAGGTTTTTCTTGTGGCGTACACTTGGATCTGTGTGTGTCAATGCTGGCCCGGTCATGGGAGGGTATTCTCACATAGAAAAAAGCGAAATAGAGCGTCCAGTAAAAGGAGGAAGATGCCAAACGTGAATAGCATGTAGGAGGGTTCTTTGAAGGCGGCCCATTCCACCAAAGGGCCGGATCGGCGAGGTGGAAGGCGTGTCCGAAGGAGAAGATTGATGATGATCGCCATAATCAGCGCCAGGAAGCCCATGCAGCGAACGGCCCAGGGGAAGCCTCGTGGATATCAGACGTTGATCAACAGTCCAGACCTGTCCACTTGGCGATTTGCGGAGTCAGATACTGAATCATAGCCGGAAACACCATTCCGCCAGTGCTCGTGCCGGTTGCTGCAGCAGTCACTGCAAAAACGCGATTCCGCGCAAAGTATGTCGAAATCACGGTAACACTGGGAAGCCAAATAAGCCCCTGTCCCAGCCCGATGCATAGGCCCTGTGCAAGAAATATCTGCCAGTACTGGCTTGCGAGGCTGATCACGAATGTCCCGAGGAGAATCAAGATGCTTCCAGCTAGCACAACGGGCCGTGCTAGGCCTGCATGGGTAGCGCGGCCTGACAAGGTAGACACGACCAGGAGGCAGAAGACCTGAAGCCCTCCGATCCAGGAGATATCTGATGATGACTCCGAAAGCTGTGTTTCATAATAGTTCTGAAAGACACCGGATGAAGCCATCATCCACGGTTGTGATTCGCTGTGGCCGCCGAACAGATTAACCCCGCGGGACTGATGCAAATGAGGGATTTTATTCCCTGTTGACAATAAGGACACCCAGAATCTGTGGCCATACATTCAGGGATTAAAACATAATGTTAGGGAGGCACCTTGGGCATGGAGGGTGATATGGTCAAGAGCAAACTGCGTGGAATGATAATGGATCGATGGCCCAGTCTATCCTCCGGATGATGTTTGGCCTGGTTTGAACTCGTAAAATACGCAGTCAGCTGAACACGATACTCACTTTTGTTATTGACATACTCAGCAACCACTTCTCTTCTCACCAATACCTGGATATGCATCACTATCAATCCACTCATTCATTTAGAGCTAAATGGGACAGCTACTGCCAATACAATCGATTCATCGCAATGAGAAGTTATCTCCGTAGAACCCACCCAGTGGCTAATGTCATTCCACATTCATCAGATTCAGCTCACCTCATTATGGGTTGCAAACGCCTCCCGCTTCTCCTGCTGCTCCTCAACTCTCCGTTCCAAATCATGAGGGACAAAATCCTCCTTGCGACGTCCCGCCACAATCCACGGGGAGTTCGAAAACAGATAATTCATCTCCTCCAATGGCAACTTCTTTGTCTCAGGCAGCAACAGCCAGAAGAACACCGCGTTGGTGAAGTTGCAGATGATGAACAGGAAATAATACCGATAGCGCACTCTCTCCATGGCAATGGGCGTCACCTGCCCAATCATCGTGTTGAATGCATACGAAGTCATAGTGGCCAGTGAAACACCCTTCGAACGGGTTCGAGTGTCAAACACCTCTGCTGGGATGATCCAAGAGAGGGGACCGCAGGTGCAGGAGAACGAGAAATTATACAACCAAGTCATGATGATAAAGCCCCAGTGGGCTCCGGTGTTGTTGCTCTCTGGAGGGAACTGTGCCAACAGGATGCAGGCGATAATGAAAGTAACCATGTTGCCGAGGTTGCCGTAGATCAAACTCCAGCGGCGACCGAACCGATCGATGAAGAGAATGCAGAGGAACTGCGCTATCAGGGCAATAATGGAGTTGATGGCTTGGTAGCGCAGAGTTTCGTCGCCACTGATGCCGATTTGGGCATAGATGGTTACGGAGTAGTATCTGGTTCGACAGGTAAGTCCTTGAGGTCTACTTTAATTCAGGATCTTTGGACTTACTGAATCGCAGATACGCCCGTCATTTGCACGGATGCCTGCAATGCGCAACACAGAAACAGACGACGGAAGGATGAACGCGAGGTGAAAAGTTCCTTGTAGGATTTGGCTTCCTGCTCATGCTCGTGTACGATGCTTTCCTGGATCTGATTGTATTCAGCCTGAACCCAGGGATCATTCTCATCGCCGTGGGCGTGAAGCTCGGCCAAGGTCTTCAAGCCTCGTTCGTGATGACCGTGGTCAATGAGCCACCGTGGTGACTGTTGCACATCAGCATGAAGTACGGTAAGACATGGTTCTGCCTACCTCAGGGAAAAGCATGATCAGAAAACCCAGGAACACAGCCGGCGCAATCTGCAACCCTAGAGGCAGCTGCCATTGGGCGTCATTGGTGCTAGAGAAGCCAATATAGGTACCATATGAGATCCAGGCAGCACATAGAGAGCCGACGCCTAGCATGAATTGTTGCAAAGCCGTGACGCGGCCTCGAATATTAGGGTGGCAGATTTCCGCCTGATAGAGGGGGATGACCATGGTGAGAAAGCCAACTCTATGTGCATATCAGTCTATATTCCTTTGGCAGTCGGGCCCGGTTAGCATACCCCAGACCAGCGATGAATCTTCCGCTGTACAGGTAGGAAATGGTTCGTGCTCCGGTCTGAAGACCCCCTCCAAGGCAGAAGACAATACAGCCGACGGTGATGGTCCAGCGTCGGCCTAGCCAATCACCACAGGGTCCTCCGAATGCTGCACCACAGAAAGCGCCAGCGGTAAACATGGAGACCACCAGTCCGCTGTCAATTGTCAGAACATAGTGCATCCATCCAGGTAGGAGACTTACGATTGGGTATCATTAATGTGGAACCTGGATATGAACGATCCAGACGCGATGACTTCAGCAATAACGCCAAGGTCGTCTGCAGAAGCCACTGTTAGCTTAATGGATTGGGACAGGCGATTTTGCAACTTACATCCATACAAGAATGAACCTAGTGAGGCGAAAACGCCCACCAGAAACTAATACCTGATCAACACCAGTCCAATAAATCGATGGGTCACTCACTTGATACCATGCTGGAGAGATATGCATGTTGAAGGAAGCCTTCACACAGCTCAGTGTCGGATCACTAAGCAGAGCTATGGAGAAGTGCGGAGTTCAAATCTGGGGTAAAGGACTCTTTATGAACATCCGGGGAATGAGCCGCGACCCACGCGTATAACCAGCACATGGCCATATTAACCTCATCCGTCATGGGTATCTGGTTGAGCATCTCGGTTAATTGAAATTTAGACGAGGTAGTCCGCGAGGGATACTTCGTGATCGTGTTGTGAGGAGCTCAGGATTCGATCCAACCGAAGCCACTCGAACAACATGCCATGCGTGACCTATCGCCATCTCGATCCTGGTCAAGCCAAGAGACGCTTTGTCGCTGCGGGAACTGACATCTGTATGCAGGTTTTCTGGAAGAAGAAAAGATTCCCGTCCGACGAGCGTGCTGATTGACGGAATATTGCTGTGGCGTTGCCTCGGCTTTACCCCAAGCCAACGGCGCCAGAGCGCCTCGCATGTCGCCCACGCCCAACCATCCCAAGGGTCCAATGTTTCTTGTAGGGCACAGGAATCGGACCCAGGTCTGGGCTCCCCCCGCAGGGGATTTCCCCAATTTATGCGATCTCTGGGACTAATAGCTCCAGCACATTAATATCCGTTGTCAGTCTGCCATCGTAACCAACTTTTGACAGATCTCTCTGGTACGGAGTAGAGTATCATTATCTACCTCCTCTCGCACTAATTCATATTAGGATTACTTTACCTTGGTTGATATTTCGGGAATTTATTGCCGCCATGACCACGTTTACGAAGCTTAGTGACCGGGATGCGCCGAGTATTTCCATCCACCCAACAAGACGCCTTTCCAAGATTAACCCAAACATCTATGCGGGGTTCACGGAGTAAGTTCCAACCATCCTCCCAGTAGGTAATAGAACAGTGGGCTCACGTGTGACCAGGCACATGGGCCGGTGCATCTACGGGGGAATCTATGATCCGGGTAACCCATTGTCAGATGAGAATGGCTTTCGAAAGGATGTCCTCGAGGCTTTAAAGGATCTCAACATCCCTGTCGTCCGCTATCCTGGTGGAAATTTTATGGCGACATATCATTGGATCGACGGAGTTGGCCCAAAGGAGAAACGGCCTGCTAGGTATGTCATATGATCCTTCAGAGTGTTGGGCACTGTCATGTCATACTTTACTTGTACCTTGTCTAGCGATCATATCTCCATGGTATCGTTTATTTCAATGACCAAAGAATCAAAGTTAACCTCAATGCTTCTATAGACCCGAGCTGGCATGGCTGGGAACAGAGACGAACCAGTTCGGAACTGATGAGTTCTTGAAATGGTGCGAAGTCCTTGGAACTGAGCCCTATTTCTGCTTGAACTTTGGAACAGGTAAGCTGTTGACCTTTGCTTCAAGCACAAGTACTGACATCTAGGCAGGAACCCTTGATGAAGGTACTTTATCCGATTAATCCGTATATACTACGATACTGATGGGTTATCACATAGCACTGGCCTGGGTCGAGTACTGTAACGGCACCAAAGACACTTACTATGCCAACCTTCGACGAAAGAATGGCCGCGAGGAGCCATACAATGTATGTAGTCCTAAGCCATATGCTTCTCCATACTCATCTAGCACTCCAGGTCAAATACTGGGCCCTTGGTAACGAAACCTGGGGCCCCTGGCAAGTCGAACAGATGACCAAGGAAGCATATGCTCACAAAGCCTACCAATGGGCCAAAGGTACGCCACTCACTGCTAATCTTAAACACACATACTAACCTAAACTACAGCCCTAAAGCTCCTCGATCCCAGCCTCATCTTGGTCCTTTGTGGACAGGACGGCACAGCTTCATGGGACTACTATACCCTCAAACACTGCCTGCTCCCAGCCCACTCTCCCCTATCCACCAGCACCGTCCCCCTCATCGACATGCACAGTATCCACCTCTACACATCCTCCACCTCCCACCTCCCCAACGTCACCGCCCCCCTAGCCGCAGAGCGTGCCATCGAAATCACTTCCTCCCTGATCGACCTCGCCCGCATCGAAAACGGGGTCCCCCCCGAGCAACACCGCCCCACCATCTGCTTCGACGAATGGAACGTCTGGGACCCCATCCGCGCAGAGGGAAGCAAGGGCGCCGAAGAATCCTACACCCTCTCCGATGCACTGGCCGTAGCCGTCTACCTTAACGTGTTTGTCCGGAAGAGCAAAGACGTGGGCATGGCCTGTATCGCGCAGACCGTTAATGTCATCTCGCCCTTGATGACCAGTAAGGAGGGCATCACGAAGCAGACAACGTGGTGGCCGCTGTATCTGTTTTCGAAGTATATGCGGGGCTGGACTATCGGTGTGCATGTTTCTTGTGCTACTTATGAAGGTGAGACGTCTCCGAAGTGGGTGCGTGGTGTGAAGGATACGCCCTGGTTGGATGTGAGTGCTACGCTGGGTGAAGATGGGTATGTGAATGTTGCGGTGGTGAATATTGATGAGGAGAGGGGGATTCAGTGTAAGATTGAGGGGCCATCGGGGAGTATTTCTGTCTTCACGGTTACGGGGGATGGTGTGGGGGCGTGTAACATGAACGGGAAGCAGGAGGTCGGAGTGACGGAGAGTACATGGGAGGCGACGGGGTCGTATGTGTTCCCGAAGCACTCTTTGACGTTGTTGAGATGGAAGGCAGAGTAGATTGTTGGCTTGGTCTATGGTCATTTGTTATAGAGGACTAGACTGGCTACAATACATACCTCATGTCCTAAGATATCCGATACTGGGATATACCCATATCTTATCAGCTACGCTGCACATACAGAAGGAACAATCCCACATAAACCATTATACCATAGGTTCAGCATTATTTCCATATATCCTCTCCATAGTTAATACATCAATATCATCCCAGTCATATCTTAACAAGTCCACGTTACATCATAAACACCCTGGCTGTATCATGGTCTAAGAAAAGGTGACATTCTTGACAATGCCCGCTTCATCGACATGAATGTTCATCCTATCAAGAAGCCCTATCAGCATGTGCATCTCTGATAATATTAGTTCGAGAGATGAAGCTCACCGATCGGGGTTGAAATCCATCGTGGCCATGTCTCCAGGCTTGATGACGCGATGGCTCTGAGGAAGGTCCTTCTTCGCGAACGTCTACCCCATATACGTTAGCATCATGCAACCCCCAAGCTCCTTTGCAAATAGACAAAAAGGGAATCAAGGCAACATACAGTCACATCGCTCTCCGACGACTCAGTGAGCTTCTTCCCCGCCAGCTTATTGAGCCATTCCTCTTGGTTGGGACCAGGGGCGTTGTTGATACCAGGGACGACGAGAGGCATGGTGAGATGCTTTTTCAAGTATTTCCGATACAGTTTTTGCTTTCTGTTACACGGGATAAAAAGGCAAGGAAGGGAAGGTTTCTGAAGTTGAGATGGTAGATTAGGTTGACACGGCCGGCCTCTATATATGCTTCGAATATAAGCGATGACATCATGCTGTTGATGTGGCTTGATGTGGCTGTGCAGGGGATGTTGGTCCGCTTCCGGTTAGCGGGATCGGGCTGGTGGGGCGGGCTGTCACATGCTGGGCATACACAGTATTGCGTCTTGCTTCACGGCGGTAGGGGATTCATCGTTGCGCTGATAAGCGTTCTATCATTGATTCCATTGGGTTGGAGTGCCTCTGAGATGTATCTTGTCTTGTTACACTTCTATGATGTCGGATCTGATGCTGTTGTACCCAGATTAAGACTAGTTTCGATATATATATATCTATGGGGCTTGGAGATCTGAGTGTTTCATCAATTTATCAAGACGGTGTCGTCGTCTTCATTTTGGACATCTAATACTTCAAAGGGGCTGCTATCCTGAGCAATCGTGCCCTCCGCTATGCCAGCTCTCCTAAATATCGCTTCAATGTTGTGGTTAGGAAGCCACGACTCAGCCGTGCCTCTCAAGGCAGCTTCCTCTGTTTTCAGCCAGCATGGCTGAACCGTGCTGTAACAGCCTGATCACCGCTTTATTTCATGCTCTAACACATTCTTTACATGGTACTGACTGAGCTTTGCTTTGATGAGAGTTAATTATCAGTACACAGGAGACCGTCATCTACGAGCTGTACTACATCTACAATCTTTACTTGAACCTCACAGCCCATTTTTAGAGCTGCCGTTGCTTATCTTCAGCGAATACCGCAATCCACCAAGCGCTCATGGCTCCATACGCCCTTCCAATACAACTAGTCCCCGTTGTGTCCTCGCAGGGCCAGACCACAGCATCGATAGCTCAGAGCTGGCCGTGGCCAAGGGCTGCAAAAATAATGGAGAGCACCTATAGCTTGCTAGGTGTTAATTTCGTGGATAAGCGGCCATGGGCTGAAGGCATCGAAGAGGATAGCCATGGGCTAAGGAGAATCCTGGACTATGCTGGATACGCAGAAGACTCTCCGCATGCAACTCTCCCAGACCACTGGTCAGAGGCCATGGGTGCAATTGAGGATGGTGGAGCACGAGCTGGAATATCTCGGATAAGCTTACATGCAGAGGTTCGACAACCAAAAAGCACAACCAGAAACTGGATACCGCATTGGAGTTATGAGAAAAGTTCCATCGCCGCCGCCTGTATATTCACGGCCATAACAGTCATGGCCTTCATTTTCCTAACCATCTTATCCGTCAAGAAAATCAGAAGGAGCTGGGAGCGACATAAGCGTGAGAGACGAGACTATGCAACCTCCAGATACTCCACCCTCTCCTTGCTCGAGGATGGCCACAAGATGGAATCGACAAGCAGCAAGCAGACGAGCCGAGAGACCTTGATGTTTAGGAGAAGCCGTTCTCCATCTTCGACCTACGTTGTCGAACAAGAAGGAGCCTCCGTGACGAGGGTTTACCGCGCGAGCAAAAGTGCTTCTACGCTGGCGCTGGACCTGCCCGGACCCTCCCTGGGAGATGAAACTCCCACGTCCCCATTAAAGTCGATCCCGGAGCGTCCAGTCAGTGCTATCAGGCCTTCCCGACACGAGCGGCATGGCTCGAAGGCCAGATCAATTGTTGTTGTGCCGTCTCCGTTGAAGCCGGTGGCATCCTTCTCAGTCAACCCGATGACACATCGCTCGGAACCTGCTGAAAGCTTTGAGCGGACACCTTTGAGTCTCGACAATGAGGCTGGAGATAATCCGTCGAACAGAAAGCGCGAATCTTTTGGTGCGAGTAGTCTGTTCAAGCTGCCGGCAATTCAAAGAACCATATCACCTCTTTTCTCGTTTTGATCCCGTACCTGAATGGAGTGACTGTCACAATCATACTTTGGACTAGTCACACTTGACACGACTTTGGATGTTTATGCAAGGCACTGGCAGTGAGTCGTCTTTGCCTTTTCCCTTTCTCTCTCGGTCTATAGAATTATTCGCTTTCATGACAAACGGCGTACCGGACGTGTATTAGAACATGGTTCATTTCTTTGCTTGCATCAATTCATGATCAAAGCTCCTTCAAGGGCATGGCTCCGTGTACAGTAGTCAAAAGTTAACTCAAACCACATAATACAACCCTCGAGACGTCAATATCATCACATCATCGAAGTTATATTAAAATATAGTTTAGTTTAGTTTGTCCCCGGGACTCAAAAAGAGCGACGGTTAAAGAACGAGAACAGCACACACACACGCACACAGAGAGGGAGATTAGGAGAATGAACAGGGAAATCGATCACCACAACCAGTAAATAAGTCTACAAACTTGCCATTTATAAGAAGAAAATCAAGAATACGCAAACAATAAATCAAGACACCGCCTCACATGCATGCATGAAAGTACTAGAAAGACAAAATGATCATGATAGATGAAACATCCCCCACCTCAGTTTGGATCAGCTCAGCTCATCTCACGCACACCTCTTAAACATCGCTCGAGTCGCTTGCCCCGTTCGCGTTCCCGGACTAAGGTGGCCCGAACAAAGGAGCGGATGGCGTCCCGGCCGACTTTCTCGCGCCAGGTGGTCCAGCCTGCGAGCTCGCCGACCACGACGTCCTTGTTCCAGGTGATTTCGCGGGAGAGACGGGCGATCTGAGTTTCGGACTCTTGGATCTTGGTTTCGAGATCGCGGACGGACTTTTGGCGGGATTCTTCCAGACCCGGGAAATTGAGGTTGAATTTGCGGGGTAGGGAGGAGGACACGAGGGAGGAGCGGTTGCGGGAGAGGCTTCTGTTCGTCGAGGAGAGGCTGGAGATGAGCGAGACTGGGCGGGAGAGGGAGGCTAAGATTGCCGTTGTGGTGTTGTCGATTGACGTTAGTGCCGTGAGGAATTGAAGGAGAGGGGAGGAATCTGAAGATGAAGTGGAGAGGTGGGTTGCGTAGCGAGTGAACGCCTCCACGTGCGAGGCTGGAAGGGCGTTGGTGGGTTCCTTGAGGGTTGAGACGATGGAGGCACAGAGCGCTACAGCGTCCGCGATGTCGGAGGCGGCGTTTTGAAGAGCGTGACCGCGACGGAGGAGGCTGCGCGTGTTGACGTGGACAGCGCGGACCATGTCTTGGGCGTGGGAGACGAACTGCTCCGTCTCGCGCATACCTTCCGGCGTGACAGGCTCATAGTCGTCGTTTATGGACTCCGTGAGGACCTGGGCTTTGCGATGAGAGCGGTCTGCCATCATTTCGGGCTGCAATTCCGGGACGAGGAAAAACTCCCAGAGCATTTCGTGGGTGGCAAACGTCGGGTGCGAAAGCAGGACTTTGAGAAACCTGTCAAGCTTTTCTTGCATGTTGTGGAGTACGGAGCGGGACGGTTTAGAATGGATCTGAAATGGGCTGCGGAAGTCGGACAAAGACGGCATGTAAGAAGCCGGATGTTCAATGGACAGACATGTGGCAAGGTTCTCAAAGTCAGCGAAAGTGCGACGGCATGTGGTGACAGTGAACGTTGTCCCCGAGGCAGGACGGGAGTCCGCTGAGTTCACTGCTGGGTTCGGAGCACCGGACTTGAGAACAAATCGCACTGTCGCATCTTCAACGAAGTACGAGCGCACCACGGTAGTGACACGGCCAGACTGTTCGTCGTAGGCTGACGGGGGGTTGGAGAGAAGGATGAGATCGTCAATACGGTTTCGCACCTCGTCATCTTTTGCAAGTTCGACAGCAGTCAGCCCGCGAGATTCCTTCAGGTGAACATCGACTCTAGGGTCCAAGAAGAGAATCCGAACTTGGTCGATGCGGCCGTACTTGCTGGCCATCATGAGAGGCGTGAATCTCTTGTCGTTGGTGGCATTTGGATCACAGTCGCATTCCTGCAGAATTCGGATTGTGATTTCCGGGTCACTGACGATATGCAACAGCGTGTTGCCCTTGGAGTCGACATGGTTATCGAGCCGCAAGGGTTTGCCATCGCCTTGGGCGATCTGCGCGGCCGTGAGTGCTGCGGTTACCATTGCTTTATAATCCGGATGATCATAGGATCTACACAGAGCAAAAAGTGGCGTTTGCCCATGCTTGTCTCGTTGACACCACGGCAGAAGCCCTTCGAGCCTGCGCATGACCGACGGTGTACTGAACAAATAGTGTGCAGCCGTACGTCCGTGCATATCTGACTTTTGCAAGTACGAGGCAATAGTGTGCTTGTCGGTTGAACTGAAGAGAAAACTCAACAGTATGTCCACCATCTCGACATGAGCGAGCTGAACCGCCGCACTCAGTAATGTCGTCCCACTGGTGTTTGTGTCCTCGAGAATATCCGCCAGCGGATAGTAGTCGTGTAGGCTCAGCAGATACTTCAAGGCCTCTGGCTGGCGGCTTTCAACGGCCATCATTGGAATTGAATCACCTGCGGGATCCTGCGTCTTGGTCAACGTCTCGATTGAGCTATCACCTTCGATCGCACTCGATATGGAACCCATGCCTGTCGTTCGGGAAGCTAATGATATGGCAGACGATTCGGACAGACTGCGGACGTCCATAGATACCTTCTTTATGGGACGTCGGATCTCTCTCGGAGGGGAGGCGCTCGCCCATGTCTGGAAAGGGAATACATGAGAGAGAGGAGGCGGTTCGGAGGGTGCCTCAGCATGTGCCGTGTCGCTGAAAGCTATTGTCTCGGGCAGTGCATCCGGTATAAGCATGGGCTCGTGTGGAGTTTGGCATAGAACGTCATCGTCATGGGTTCGAAATGCAACAGTCCTTTCTTCAGCCTCGCCTGGAATATCATCGAACGACTCCTGATCACCATTCGGTTCCAATATGGCTCTCATGTCCGTGACACGTCCGCCTTTCGTCGCATTCCACAAGCGCCTATTCCGGATACTGGCTCGTCGAAGGCCCGCGGAATCCGTCACTAGGTAAGTAAGAACTGCTTCGAGCGTGCTCAATGCATATCCCATTTCACCGCTGTCGACATCATCAATATATATGAAGTGTTGCATGTACATCAGCCTCGCTTGCAAATTCTTCACTTGAGACCTGATCACCACGACCAACAGCAATGAAACCAGGACGTCCGCATTGATCGTCATAGGCGCGTACGGCTTTTCCGACACATGCGAGTTCACCCCATCGTAGTTTCCCGGATACGACAGCAGCTTGACCGTCTCAAGCAACGTGTTTAGCATGTCGTGAGGGCATTTGGCGTCCAGCGTTTTGCGGAATTCTTCCACTGCTCTCCCAATGCGCTGCAGCAATTCCCGCTTACCCTCTCGCCCGCCCTCAACCACGATCCCAACCTGCGATATGTCGATGTTTTCCATGTAGCGGATCCTAGAATCCAGCTCTGCATCTTCTGGCTGGCGGAAGCTGCAGAGACGGGGGAAAAGAAGTGATTCATGCACCTGTTCAGCGACGTAGCGCTCAATGAGTCTTTCAACCAGTGGCCCCGTCAGATCAGTGGTGGCACCAAGAAAAGACAACTGCTGCTTATCCACTAGCCGGAACAAGTCGATCGCGGCAGTCACAGCTGTCTCCAGACTACGACGCATCAAGTCTTCGTCATCCTCAAAGTACTCCTCGGAGTTGAAGGGAAGCCCGTCTTTGTTGCGGGATGACGAGCTGCGAATAGAAGCGGATTCATCAGCGGTGATCTCCTCGCCGTTTTGTTTCCGCTCGTAGTCGTCGAACATGAGAGGAGAACGGGAAGGGGGAGGAGGCAGCGGCTTCCCCAGCTCCTTCCCAAACTCTTTGAACAGTCTCTCCAGACCAGGTTGCATCTGCCGTGCGATCATTGGGAAGTGGGCGAGGAGTTCCCCAAATGTCTTGATTTCTTTCTTTGGTGGCGACGAAACGGGCTCCCCAGACTTGGTGCCGTTGCCTAGAACATTCCTCTTTGGTAGCATCCCAGGCACGACAGCGGTCACGATTTTCCCAGGGTCGAACGAGCCGATCAACGGTCGAGAGATATAGTAGATCAGCCATGGTTGCGAGTCGTTATTGTTGCTGTAATACAAAGCATCGGATAAGAGCTGGGCCTGACTCAGGGACTTGAAGCCTAGATACTATGTTCAGCGCACGTAAAGCCGAAAGGGCTTCCGGATCCCTTCGCACCTTTATTGCTATACACCGAATTCTCCTTGATTATCACCGTCCGCCCGTTGACAGTTGTTACTTGTTTGGCTTTGCCCCGACTGTCCCGTATATTCGAGTCATCCTTTCCCCCACCGGCTCCGGTAGACACTGGTATTCGCAAGGTATGGCTGCCCAAGAACTCTTCAGAGACGACGAGATCGGAGTAGTAGAGGGATGACTCGCGGTCGCGCGAACCGACCAGGGATTCTGTGACAGGTACTAGGAGGACCTAAGAGACGAATGTCAGAAGCCGGCTTCAGGCTGGGGCCCGATAGAGTTCGGCGGGACATACATGATTCTCGGTGGGTATACACTGCCCCGGAACGGTGCTTCGGAAGAAGGCACGGAGAAAGGGATTTAGAGGGTGCATCCAAACGGTCTTGGACGACGGCCCAGCACAAAATCACCGGCACTCATGAAGCCGTCTAGACCGGTCTCGAAAGGGGGGGGGGGGGAATCCGCTGCTCGATCGTCGCAGAGGAGCAGCTCCGGCGCATGCGCCCGCAGATAATCCGAGCCCGTGCAATCCCAACAAAGAGCACAAAAAGAAAGCGCAATGACCAACCAGAGATGAAGGATTCGACGTCACGATGTACAAGCCAAGGATACCAGCTGAACGAGGAGGAGAAGGGCAAAAGTGGGCAAGTTGGGGGGTTGAGAGGGACTCGGCCAACAGCTTTCGCGGACTGGCCGACGGGGAGCTCCTCGCGCTAGGCCTCTTTGGGTCGGTCTAGGTCCCAGCCTGGATCGATGGGGACCACCAGACCCGAACTATATCTGCTGCCTATCCAACCAGATATCCAGACTACGTGGCGGGAAATTCCATGGCATGATATACATTTGGCACCCGTAGAAGCTCGCATCACAAAATCAATCCCATATATGCCGGGAACAGGCTGGCTAGTGTACAAATAGAGAAAATGGGCTAAACCTAAACCCTGAACCACTCCTCGTCCGTGCCATACAACAACCAGAAGGTTGAGCTGATGGAGGGTAGAGTCACCATCTGGCTGGGCTAGAAGGACCCATTGCGGGCTATCGCCGATCCATCCCATCCCATCAGGTATCGTAAAAAACGTGCCCTTGTTCTTGTCCCAGACGTTCTAGCAACACACATCCCTCCGTCAAAAGCAAACAACGATCCAAGTAGGCCCTCTTAACCAAGACGACGGACCCTGGGGCTTCTCGAACCACCAAACTTCAGTCTGGTTGCGTCTGTCACCCGGCAAACCAAGCCGCGGATGTTCTTTCCTTCGTTGCCCAGCAAAACCTTGGTGAAAGCCTCACGGCCGGGTCCGAAGTCGCGGAAAATAATCTCCAAGCGTTTGATCTCCATCAACAGTCCTCTCTCCTGTATTTGGGCGAACACGTGGGCAGTCAATTGATGGGCCGGTTCGTAACCCGCACGCTTTCCTTTACGGAAACCAAGGTGACCGCAGCTCAGGGCCATCATGGGGTCTCCGTTTGGCCGGGTCAGCGTCAACAAAGTGTTGTGCTTGTGGCAGTAGACGTGGAGGTGGTAGGGAGGAGACCGGTCGGCATAAGGCTGTCTAATCATCTCGGCTTCCAGGCTCTCGGCCATTCTGGAGTAGTCGCGACTCAAGCCCTGGGCCGGGCGAGCCTTATCACCCTGCATCATCTTAGTGATCGCAGAAATCGACGCATTCTCCGAGGCCGGTTGTTGCTCTGCAGGGGTGTTCAGAATCTGCCTTTCAATTTGACGGGTCTTCTCCTTTCCACTCTCGAGAATCATCGGGGTCGAGGAGAACGGCCTAGTCAGACGGAAGGCTGGGGCACGAAGCTGACACGAGCGGCCAACATTAGGCAAAGCCCTTGTCAGGGCAGTGACGAAGTTCGAGTTCATCTTTGCGGTACCGTCAATGGAGGATGTCGGGGAGATGCGGCAAAAAGCGGGTGGGAAGACCGGACGTGGCCGTTATACCGGCCAACGCGAGGAGGCGCAGGACCGAGATGAGACGAGGCGCTTGAGTGAGGGAGATATAGCAATGTAAAATGCGTCGCAATTGCAGACAGCCGAGGGTTGGTTCTAGTCGTGGATGCGGCGCAGGTCTGGGCCGGGACGAAGGGCGGCGGAAGAGGGCCGAATTTTCGACGGATGCTTGGCGTTAGCATCTCAACTTTTTTCCCTTTCTCGTTCGACCAGCTGCCGACATCGCTTACTCCCTCTTCCTCACCATTCTCCCCAAACCTCAACCTTCACCTCCCGCCTTATCTTCGGGGTTGACGAACGCGCAAACTCCGTCCTCGTCGACTCGGTTTCCTCTTTGACTTGATTGGATTTTTGTTTGTCTTACGCCTATAGCATGATCTCGGCTACCAGGATGTCGGCTACCGCGCGGGCGGCCACCCTACGGTCCCAGATGCCGACTCTGAAGACGGCATCCGGCAGTGCTGCTGTCTCCCAGCGCTCCCTGATTCAGTCCTGCTCCTACGCAACGTCACGACCTACCCTTCTGAGCAACCAACGCGCGAACCGTCCCGTCTCCCAACTTGTCTCCCCGTATGCTGCTCTTCCGCTGACCAGGTCCTTCCACGTTGCCGCCCCTCGCTGGCAACAGCAACAACAGAAGGAGCAGCAGGAGCAGCAGGAAAAGAAGTCCGAGGAAGCAAAGGAGGAGAAGAGTGAGGAGGAGTCAAAGGAAGAGTCAAAGGACGAGAAGAAGGATGCGCCTCCGCCGCCACCGCACGGTGACAAGACCCCTTGGCAGGTTTTCACGGAGACTCTTCAGTCAGAGTTCAAGGCATCTAAGGAGTGGAATGAGTCGACAAAGGCCCTGGCCTCCTCGGCTCACCAGTTCTCTGAGAACGAGAACATCAAGCGGGCTCGCGCCGCTTACGAAGCGGCCTCGGGAGCCGCTACTTCCAAAACCGCCACTGCCCTGAAGTCGACTGGTAAGGCTATCGGTACCGGAGCATCCTGGACCTGGAATACCCCCGTCGTGAAGGGTCTCAGAAAGGGTGTCAACGCGACTGGCTCCGGCATCGAGAAGGCCACGAGACCCGTGAGAGAGACCGAGGCCTACAAGAGTGCTGTGGGCGGTGTGAAGAATGCCATCGATGATGGTAGCAGCTCCCGCTATGGTGGTTACATCGAGAAGGAGGAGCGCCGGAGACAGAGGAAACTGCGCGAGGAGGCCGAGCTCAAGTCTGGTCGCCGCCTTGAGCCGATGGTTGAAGATCCTAAGTGAGTCATCTCTGCAGATGCTGTCGAGAAACCATCTAATACCTGCTTCCCTCCAGTGCCGGAACCCACGTTACACTTCACAAGGACTCTGCTTGGAAGGAGTCGTGGCGCGACTTCAAGGACTCGAACCCCATGATGCAGAAGCTCTTCACCTTGAAGGAGTCCTACAACGAGTCGGAAAACCCCCTGATCAGCACTGCCCGCAGCATTTCGGACCGTGTCGCTGGATTCTTCGCCGAGAACGAGACTGCTCGGGTTGTCAAGAAGTTCCGGGAAATGGACCCCAACTTCCAGATGGAGTCGTTCCTGCGGGAAATGCGTGAATACATCCTGCCTGAGGTGCTTGACGCCTATGTCAAGGGAGACGTCGAGACCCTGAAGCTCTGGCTCTCCGATGCCCAATTCCATGTCTACGCTGCTCTTGCTCAGCAGTACACTACCGCCGGCCTCAAGTCGGACGGTCGCATCCTCGACGTCCGTGGCGTTGACGTCTCCCACGCCCGCATGTTGGAGCCCGGTGACATCCCCGTGTTCGTGGTGACTTGCCGCTCGCAGGAGGTTCACGTCTACAAGAACGTGAAGACGGGCGAGCTGGCCGCCGGCATGGAGGACAAGGTTCAGTTGGTCACCTACGCCATCGGTCTGACGCGGATACCCGAGGACGTCAACAACCCCGAGACCCGGGGCTGGAGACTGATTGAGTTGCAGAAGGCTGCTCGCGACTACATCTAAGCCCCTCCAACCCACCTCCTTCGACTACCCTACTCTCAACGATCATCACCACTGCTTGATTCTTGGTCTATGACATGCCTCTATTCTCTTCTCGATTGTTTTGATATCATCCGACTGTACAATATTGATTTTTAAATAGAGACCAGGCGGAACTGGCGCTTCATGGAATGTCTGTGATAGTAACTGATTAATCTCGCGGACGCCCCTTTACCCACCTTGGTGGTATCATCCTCACCTCTGCTGTGGCCTCCCCGGCCAGCTAGCGGGTTCTGCATCTGGGCTTTTACTTCCCTTGGGCGTTTCGGGAGTCGTGTTCTTCGATCTGCAACCTCACCCTCCTCCACTCTTCTGATGAAAGTCTTGCATCTGTTCCCTTTTATGTTGTGGTCTGTTGGTACCGTTTGGATCAACTCTGGCGGTTGTTGATAAGCGACCTAGCTACATCACTCTGGCTCGTCGTGGATCATTATGAGATTCTGTAAATACAAAGTGAACGAAGAAATATGTCCCCATCACAAAAGACAGATGTCCAGTATTGCGATGTCTATTCGCTTTCAAATATTAATATCATACTGGAGCGGGTACGAGTCAATGCACTCGGCGATCAATCGTGATTTCTTACGAAGAATCAAAACTCGGACATTAGGATTCGGGATATCTCTCTCTCACTGGCCTCCGCGTCCGGCACCACCACCACCCATCATGTTGCGGGCCCTAAGACTTGGTTAGTTTGTAAACGATGGGGACAGCTGGGTCAGATCACTTACATGTTGGCGATGTTGGGGTCACTCATCAAGGAGGACATGTCCGGCATACCACCGCCGCGGCCAAAGTTCTCGGCCATCTGTCTCAGCTGGGGGTTGCTCATGAGGTTGTTGAGCATGTCAGGGTTGCTCATCAAGTTCTGGGCCATGCTGGCGAACATGGGGTTGCTCATGATCGATGAAAGATCGGGCATACCACCACCGCCGCCACCGCCACCGCCGCCCAGCATGCTAGCGAGGGAAGAGAGATCGGGCATACCGCCAGCACCGCGGGATGCTCCAGCAGCATCATCGACCTCATCAGCAGGGGGCTCAGTGTTGCGCTTGGCCTCCTCGATCTTCTTCTTGGTGGTCTCCAGACCCCTCTTCATGGCATCACTGCCACCGTTGCCCTCAGCCTCAATGCCCTTCTCGTACGCCTCCTTGGCACCGTGGTAATCGGCCATGTCGAAACGAGCCAAACCCAGACGGCTCCAGGCCTTGGAGTACTTGGGGTCCACGCTGGTAGCCAGCTCAGCATCGTCCGCCGCCTTCTCGTGCTGTCCGGCCGCGGAATAGGCAGCAGCCCGGTTGGAGAGGTAGATCGGGTTCGAGGGAGCAATGGCCAGGGCCTGGGTGTACAGCTCGATGGCGGCGGGGTAGTCCTTGCGGGCCATGGCACCGTTGCCCTCCGACTTCAGCTTATCAGACTCGGGGGTAGGGGCGCCAGTCTGGGCCTTCTGTTCACCGGCCTTGGCAGAGTCGCCCGCGGGCTTGTTCCGCAGCTTCTCGTAGACACTGTAGATGCTGGCCAGCGACTGTCCACCCAGAGCATCCTTCATAGCAGCCTCGTTCGAAGGGTCGACCTTGAAGGTATCGGCAATGCAGGACTGGGCGATCTCGATGGATTCGGCGTCATCGGCGGTCAGGGTGCCATCCTTCAGGCTGGCACCGAGGAAGTCGACGATGGCGAGCGCCAGGCGCTTCTTGGACTCGGTGGGGGCCTAGAGAGCGGGACGCATTAGATTCTGCGACCATTGACCCGGCTGAGGCCCACGAAAGGAAGCAATCTTACCATTGTGCGAGGGAGATGGGGATTTTGTGAAAGGGGGGGCTTATCACGGACAAAGCAAAGGCGTCGCGGGGGATTTTGGATGCGGGGACTTTAGGTGTTTGGCACGTTTGCTTCGGAGCTCCCCAGCACGTGATACCCCGTGCTTCCGACCTGGATCCCATCCATATCCAGTCCCCGTCATCTTTCATTCATCGCTGTCAGAGAAGCTTGGGTGGATATGGTCGGTACTTGCGGGATCGCATCTGCCCCGGATCCGACGGTTTAAAATTCCCGCGTCTGACGAAGATGACTCGATGTGAACTCGCTCTACTCCGTGACTCTCGCGCCTGTGTCGAGCCATGTACTGGCCCAATGGAGTTCCCCGGGTCTATGCGATCAATGGCCCTGCAATCCCGGTTACACCTTCCGATGACGATGATTCAATCGACCATGAGAGCTCCACGGAGCAGGAGTTGTCGTTGAGAGAAAATGACCCCGAGAAGCCGACGGAGACGGACTCGGCCTGGGCAGATGAGCCCGTTGCCGGTCTCTGCGTCTCCCGGAGTGGGTTTATGTTTGCGACGATGACCAGCTCGTCGATCGCCATCTGGCAAACTAGAGTATGTTCTGGTCCTTTGTGATGATGCGCATGTGTTGACTGGCGGTAGCCCACCGCTGTTGTTGCTGCCGTTGCTCGGTCTGCCTCGTCCTTGGAGAACTATGGGCCTAACGTAGCTCTCTTGATGCATCCGGATTCGACGATTCTCGTGGTTCAAACGCTGAATGGATATCTCTTGACGTATACGATTGCTGTTGGCCCTACGACCCGTGTGTATCAGCAGCATTTCGATCAGACCAGCTCCACCCGCCGTCAACAGCTTGCTCGCTTGGCCGCGGAGGAAGAAGCGACCGGAATCCGAGACGTTAGCGTCCGATTTAGGATGGCCATCAAGATCGAGTCTGGGATTGCCAAGGCCCTTGCGTTGGATAATGAGCTTGTCGTTGCCACGGTGAAACCGGCCGCCATCCAGTGCATTCGGTGGACGCCCGATGCAGACGGCTCCCAGACCACGTCGGAGCTGCTGAGCCGGATCCTGGGCGTGTCCAAGCGTACGTCTATTACGGATATGGTGTATGATCGAGCTATCAACCTGCTGGTATGGATCACCAACGAAGGGCAAGCGTATGCCGTTCAGCGCACCCCAGACGGAGCCCCGGATTCGGAATCTCCGAAAAAGCTTTTCCAGGGACACTGCTTCCACAACCCGAAGGACGACGGCGAGAAAGCTGTAAAGGTTGCAGTCAACGCTCGATTTTCACTTCTTACTGTCAACTGCGCCAATGGGAACGTTCTCGTCTACACGGCCAAAGACTACATGGGGAATGTTCCCCTCTCACACAGTCTCCAGTTGCCAGCTTCCCCTGCTACGACTGGCAACTTGTCATTTATGTCCTATTCGCCCGACGGGTATTGTCTCTTCGCCGGCTACGAGCGTGGCTGGACAACATGGAGTGTTTTTGGGAAGCCGGGTGGGAATAGCTTCACGGCAGACCGGACGCTCGCCAAGTCGAACGACGAGGACTGGGTGACTGGGGTTTCCTACGGCTGCTGGATAGGCGGGGGAGCAGAAATCATTCTCGCGAGCCAGGACGATCGTCGACTGTGGATTCTGGAGACCGCACGGAGCGCCTTGACGGGCTGTTACTCTTCTGCCAACCTGGCTCGAGGCCTCCTGCAGACCGGAACGGAGATTATCCTGTATCGCGGGCACGATCTTCCCGACATCATGACTATCTCTGGGAAGGACTCGCTCTGGCATCATGCACAATATCCGCCGTCCTACCTGCATTCTCAGTGGCCCATCCGCTCCAGTGTCATCTCGCAGGACGGGAGGTACGTAGCCATTGCCGGCCGGCGTGGACTTGCACACTACAGCGTGAACAGCGGCCGCTGGAGGGTGTTTGAGGACTCCAAGATCGAGAACTCGTTTGCTGTCCGGGGCGGCATGTGCTGGTACGGACATATTTTAATTGCCGCCATCGACAACGATGGATCTTATGAGGTGAGTCTAGTGCAGTTCTGGGTATGGCAGGGCTAATCGTACCAGCTTCGTTTATATTCGCGAGAGATGCCTTTAAACAACCAGACCATTTTGCACATAGAATACCTTCCTTCGCCGGTGGTTTTCATCGGGCCATCAGGCGAAGACTCCCTTCTTGTCTATACATACGATAATATCCTCTACCACTATATCATCAACTCGGCACATTCGCGAATCACACTGGTCCCGGTTGGTCAGATTGCATTCCATGGAATCGTGCGGGCACCGACCCGCGTGCGGGCGATCAGCTGGATCTTGCCCGAAGAACAGATGCGTACGTGGTCCGCTTCTTTGATTGATGTGTACTGACTGTAGTAGGTAACGGCGATCCCTCCCAGGACGTCAAGGTCGCATCGGTGCTCTTGTTAGTCGACGGTAACCTGGTTCTGTTGCAGCCATCGATGTCGGAGACCGGGGAGCTGAAGTACGACATGCGGGTGGTGTCGCACGAAGTTGAATATTATATCTTAATGCGGGACCAGTTGTCCTTTAACTTTGCCCCGTCTATGGACGAGTCCGTCCCGCCTAGCCCGGCTGCGGAGATGGCTCTGAGCATGTATCACAGCAATCTCTCACTCCGGGATTCGCTGTGGACATTCTGCGGAAAAGAGCTCCTCTCGTGGAGTGATGTGCACGACGTCTTGCGCCGGGAGGACGTCGCGAAGCCGCTAGAGGTGCCCCTTGACTTTTATCCTCTGTCGGTCCTACTAAACAAGGGGATTGTGCTGGGGGTGGAAGCGGAGATGACCCAGCGCCGTGATGTCACCTTTTCCGTGCTGAAATTCGCTATCCGAGTGAGTTAATCCCCTAGGTGTCGCGACTGCCGCTAACTGTCCAGACACATCTTTTCCTCCCATACTTCCTCCAACATAGCCTAACGCATGGCGACATGCCCGCAGCGCTGTCGTTATGCCAATACTTCTCGCACCTCTCCTACTTTCCGCACGCGCTGGAAGTCCTGCTGCACCACGTTCTCGACGACGACGTCGACAATGCCAGCAAGGACAGCAAACCCGATCCCCTCCTCCCGGTCGTCATCTCCTTCCTCCAAGCGTCACTGCCGGCCACGGTATACCTGGACATTGTGGTCCAGTGCACACGAAAGACAGAACTCCGATCATGGCGAACGCTGTTCACCTACCTCCCTCCGCCAAAGGATCTCTTCGAGCAAGCGCTGAAGCTCAACTCGCTCAAAACGGCGGTGGGCTACCTGCTTGTGCTGCAAGCGTTCGAGGACGAAGACGACGACCACGACTCGCCGATCGAAGACTACGTGGTGCGGCTGATGTACCTAGCGTCGCGAAAGAACGACTGGGAGCTCTGCGGCGAGCTGGCCCGGTTCCTGATTGCGCTTGACGGGTCGGGAGACATGCTGCAGCGGGCCGTGATGCGGGCGGGACTACGCGATGGCAGTCTCCCCGGGCCAGGACTGGGGTCTGGGACGAGTGTGAAGGGACTGGGCTTGGCGATTCGCACGCCATCGTGGTCGTCACTATCCCCGACGACCCCGTTATCACCGCGTCCGACGGACGATCCCTAGCCTACCTCCCTTCCCTTCCCTACAACTGTATATAGCGAGACCACACCAACATAGACGTATGAACTTTTGACTTTCCTATTCACCGTCCACCTATACAGAACTAGCACATCTGCCAAAGCACTGGTATCATTCCATTCCAACCCGCTCCCAACTCCCATCCCCTTCCCCCTCCCCCTTCCCCCCCAACCCACCCCAACCCTTATCAAAAAAAAAAATAAGCAAGAAATCTAATCAAGATTAAACCTCCACAACCCATCCCCCAAATAATGCCCCTCATCCATAACCACGCCCTTCCCAAGACTCTTAATCTCCTCCGTGCCCACCTTCAACACCCCCACCAAACAAACCATCTCCTTCCCCTCCGCCTTGACGGCAACCACCTGCCCCGCCTCCACCGCCTGCTCCGCATCCGGTAATCTTCCCCCCGGGCTCGTCAACCCCGGCGCCATGAGCGCCGCGCCGGAGAGCACGAAGCGGATGGCGCCGCGGTCGATTTGCACGGTGGGGAGAGCGTCAGGGAAGGCGTGGATGAGTTTTAGGTGTGGGATGGGGGGGCCGTCGAGGGGTTGGTAGAAGAGGGGCGTGTTGGTGTTGCTGATTGTGTAGAGGGTTGCGCGTTCGGGACTATTTCATTGATTTATATCGATTAGTGTTGGGTGGTGGGGGTTGGGGGGTTGAGGGGGATAGGGAGGGGGAGGAAGGGGCGTACAGCTTCACGGCATCCAGTTGAGCCTTCTTGGGGAGGACTTCTTCAATGTAGGGTTCGAAACCGGGATAGGTTTCTAGGAAGCGTTGGCGGAGGGCGCGCTGCACGGAGGATTTGACTTTTGAGCGGTTGCTCGGGGGGATACTGTCATTTTCAATTATTGTTAGTATGTGATTTGATGGGATGTAGTTGGGATGGGTTTGGAGGTGAGGGTATGAGTGAGAGTGAAGGTTATGTTCTGTTGTTTCTGTCTGGGTTGTTGAGTGCTGTTGGAGTTGGCGGGGTAGGTGGAGGTAAAGTAGGTGGGAGGAGGTTGTAGGTAGGTATGTTGGCTTGGCTCATGATATGGGACGTGAAGCAATGAAGGTATCGACTCACTCTTTCTTGAACATGGTGCTGGCGGTTATGTGTGTATGATGTATGATGGTGCTGTGCTGCTATCGCGAATCTTCACGGCAGAGCTGCGGGGATCTAGGTCACGTGGTACTGGTGGGGGACAGCATCCTTCTCAGTTCCTCACTACGGAGTACTATGCATACAGAGTACGGAGTAGGCACAGTACAGGTTGAAGTATTACAGCTGGACTACAAATACGGACAGACTTGAAAGATTGAAGAGAATGCATTCATTTTACTGCACCGCTCTAACCACGGGCAGCACCAGCCTTGATCAACAACACATCACCATCCTCCACCACATAATCCTTACCCTTCGTCATGACCTTTCCGGCAGCCTTCACGGCACCTTCATCGCCATACTCACGCAGAGTCGCGTAGTTGTACACAATGGCCTGGATGAAGGTCTTCTCGAAGTCGGTGTGGATCACACCAGCAGCACCCGGGGCCTTCACGCCCTTACGGATCGTCCACTGGCGCACTTCGTCCGTACCGGTGGTGAAGAAACTGGCCAGGTTCAACACCTGACGCATGGTGGTGATCACCTTGGGCAGGGCCGACTTGGTGCTCAGCGACTTGCACTCCTCCAGAGCAGCCGCCTCATCCTCGAAGCGCGTCAGGCGCTCCTCGAAAGACACGGAGATGGGGATGAGCGGGTCACCAGTAGAGTTGGTCTTGATCCACTCGAACACCTTGGGCAGGTACTTGTTCTTCTGGCGGATGTAGTCCTTCTCACTGAGGTTGACCAGGTAGACAACCGGCTTGGCGGTGAGCAACATCAGGGGGTTGATGGTTTCAACCTAGTTGTCAAATCAGCAGCTGTTTTTCAAGAGCATGAAAACAAGCATAATCAAAAAGATATGACACGAATCAGATAGGACGTTCTCTCATGATGCCTCCGTTGGAATTAATTTGAGACATTCGACGAGCTGGGTTAATTCGAGCAAAGCTCTTATTCATCATAGTGTGGGAAGAAGCAGAAAAAGAGAAAGGAAAAGATAAAGAAATAAAATCAACGTACCTCCTTGGGAGCCCAGTCACCCTTGCGGACATCCTTGCCGTCCTGCAGCCACTCGAGCACCTTGGCAACGGTGGCCTCCTCCTCGCGGAGCTTCTTCATCTCCAGAGACTGACCACCACGCTTGGTCTGCTTCTGCAGACTCTCGAGCGCCTTCTCGACGAACTCGATATCCTTGATACGCAGCTCCTCGCTGATGATGGTCAGATCACGGACGGGGTCGACATCACCCTCGACGTGGATAATCTCGGCATCATCGAAGCAACGAACGACCTGGAAGATGGCGTCGACGGCACGGATGTGCGACAAGAAAGCGTTACCCAGACCAGCACCGGTCGAGGCACCGCGGGTCAGACCGGCAATATCATAGACGGTCAAGTTGGCGGGAACCTGGGACTTGGGCTTGTAGTGCTCGCAGAGCCAGTCGAAGCGGTCATCGGGAACAATGACACGCGCCTCTTCCGGGTCAATGGTGGCATAGGGGAAGTTGGCGGGGTTACCCAGCGTCGACTTAGTGATGGCCTGGAAGAGCGTGGACTTGCCAACGTTGGCGAGACCAACCTAGAGACAGGAGGTTAAAACATTTTTGCTCCTGCGCAATCACATTGTGTGGAATGTGTGGAAGGGAGAGAAAGGGAAGAAAAAGAAAAACCCTGCAGCGGATGGCTTAAATAGGGTAGGACAAGCGAGGGAAAATTAGGAGGCTGGGAGGGGCAGGAAAAAAAAAATCGCTGGTGGGGTCAATGCTCACATACGATACCACTCTTCAGGTTGTTTCCTGGACGGCCCAGCAGGACCTTTTCTTGAACGACGGCTTTCTTGGGAGGCATTTTGGATGCTTTCTTCTTTTTGCTGGAGTAGGCGCGGCGGGAGAGGAAGAAGAGGGGTGGCGGGGACCCAGCAAGCGAGACGAAGGAGGGGGAGGAGCAGCAGCTGCGCGACGCCAAAGAAGCAGGACCAGCTGCGGAGCGATGAAAGCGGAGAGGGAACGAAAGCAAAACAAACCGGGTGACCGAAGGGGGAGACGTGATGGCGGCGTCCACCGGACGTGGACAGAAGACGAGGGGAAAAGGAAGAGGGGAGGCAATGGGCAGTTTAAGCTTTCTCTACAGTACAACCGAGTCGCAATGAGGCCAGGGAGTGAGTGGCAGTAAGTCAGTACAACCAAGTATTCGTGGTTCGGAGTCGCGGTGATGTCGCGGGTGCCCTGCCCAAGGGTACATCCGGGCCCTCGTCATGACGAAGGCCCTTCGCTAATTTCATTGTGCTCGGGGCCCACCGCCCACGTGAGGAGCCAGCCCTGGCTGCCTTAACATTTAGGCAATCCATGGAATACAACTCAGAATAGTAGACCATACATGGCATAGTATATATCATGTGAACGAGTCAGCAGCTTCATAGAGCAGTCTGTCAAGCTTGCGAGAATGATCCAGTATGGTTGAAAAATGAGGGATGCGACAGCCCCTACAGAGTATATATTTCAGCTAGATCCACAACTGAGACACTCGGATTTTGAAAGCCCTTACACACTTTTATATTCCTCCTTATCTTAGAAAGCAAGATCATGTTTTACCATAGTACCAACATCGCTGCGCGCAGTCCAGCACACCCAACTCCTTCTAAATACCCCAGAAGAAACCTTCCCAACATAAAACCCTCAATTCGCTCGATATTCGACGAGAGGGTGGTAGAGACGATCATATATCCAACACCATGTAGTAGCCCTCAAACGGGCGATTTTCCAAGCCAAACCATGACCTGATAAGTGCGCCGAAAGGGTGGACGTCGGTAGTGGGAGCCTGGAACTTGACGCTGTCCTCGGAGCGCGAAGCTTCTGTGACGTAGGGGTGGATGGCCTGGAGACCGTAAAGGAGATAGGAGATGGCGTCATCCGACGGTGGTTTTTTGAATGTAAAAGTAATCTGCATCGTAGAACGTTTTTATATCGGGTCGTGGTGGATGGCTTGGGAGCAGTCGCACATCACCAATGTCGATGTGAAGAGAGTGAACGTGGCAGGAAGATCGTGGAAATGGAATATGGAAACAGCGAGGCCTAATATGTGCCCCATGTCTACTTCAATCATGCCAGTAAGTGCCAATGGGCTAGTGGGCTTGTGAAGCATCTAATGAAGCCGGTCGAGATGCAATGCAGCCAAGGTCCCAGCAATTGCGACCGATAAGGCCATACTCGAGGTATATTGCGTCGGCGAACATTGAATGGACACGTGGGGGCATGCCTTGGATGGAACCTGATTCACATGCTGTACCTAGATGCGCTAGAAATGTAGCGATATGCACCATGCGCACCGGCGCTTAATAGCGTTGCATAGATTGGTCATTACCCACAGAATTGTCCTGGGCCTTATCAACAGCTCTCGGAGTTCCGGCGCCTCAGATCCAACTCGATCCCCTGACGCTTTTTATCGGCCTTTACTCGTTTTAGGCTTCTAAATGCTTTCCACCATGTGGCTGTGAGGTTAGCAGGCTTCATGGGCTCAATCAGAGACTGCCAGAGCTGGAAAAAGAGACAGCGTAAGCTATCAGGCCAACAGTCATAGCTATGCTGGCTCCGAGGCAGAAGAACAGAAGACTTGGAATGAGAATACCACTGTAAGACACTGGCGATGCGAATGCCATCCTCTCAGGCCTCTTGCTTGCACTTTCCCAGATACTTTAATGGAATTGACCTAGATAATTCGATGAATGTCACCCAGTGACCCAGAAACTTGATGGAAAGGATGATATTGAGACTGAATTGATAATCTGACTGGCTTGAACACAGTAGACAATGAGCTGGACAAGAAGACAAGCAAACAGCGGCAACCACGTGCTTGTCCACCTGACCGACAGCGAATCCACAGATGGCAGGTATCACATCATACCCCCTGTCACACTTTCGAACGTTTTATGGCATCGGATTTTGTTATGTTTTTATCCTTCCCAGCCATCTTTCCCTCCTGAGCCCTGACACATTTATCCAAAAGCATCCTCATTCTAATATTCACCTCCTCCTGAAGTAAATCATGAACGACCTCATCAAACGAAGTCTTCCCCTTCTCAAACCGACTACTCAGATACCGAGTCAGGAAATCCTTCCAGGAATTGCCTAGGTTGCAAAGCAAGTACTGGATTTTCAACGGGTCGGGAAGAAGATACTTATCTCCGAGGCTGCGATCTAGTTTCTCTAGAGCTGCGGTGAGCTTCGTGACGTATTCTTCCATGCCATTGCAGTCATCATAGCGAGTATTCGTGACAGCCCGCAGACCTTTGAACGAAAGAGAACTGCAAGGAGTATTGTATTTCGCTTCGAGGTAGTCCCAGACGACCTTCGAGCATGACTGGTTTATCACCTCGTGCTTGATCGGATGGGACAAGGATTGACAGATCATGCCGTAGGCCTTGTCATCGGCATCTTGCCACAGTCTGAGCTTCTCTTTCGCCTGAGCAAGACTGGCGTCCTTGGTCGCTTTGGAAAGGGGCCCGAGTATCTGTGAGATGGCAGCAAGCTCCGGTTTCGTGTATTCGCCCGTGACGTATCGCCAAACTCCGTGAACGCGCAGGTGAGTGATCACGGTGGCCGACCAGTCCTGATAGTCTTCGGGACCGGTAAGTACTGGAAGATTTTTCATGTCCGCAGTGGCGTTCGACATGTTGCTGATAGGAAGTCCCGCGAATCAAGACGCTGATATGTAAAAGGAGATGTCGGGGCACGAAGCCAACAAGTGGGCAAGGAAGAGAGGCGAGGTCACCGGGTTGGGTTCCCAGACTCAGAATATGTCAGATGAGAGGGAAGGATAGTAGCAATCTTTTCAACAGAATATATAATTCGGGGGTTCACAAGAAAACGCCGCAGGATTGCGAGATGGAGATTATATAGTGGACATCTGATCCTGACTCGGAGGAATCCCATCTACACGTTGGCAACTTCCTGCGTACGGCGGAAGTTGCCTCAAAATCGTAGGGGACCTTCAAGCTGGACACCAAAGCAATGCTGCTTCATTTCCCGAGGCGATCAGGCATCTGATAGGGTAACCATCCCGGATTTGCTTGTTCTGGGATTGAGATCCAATTGATATGGAAGGTGGTTGGATCTAATTCTAGGAATTCCAGACAGTAACCGCAGTCGCAGCAGTCGTAGCACCATAAGAACAGTAATGATTGCAGCGCTAGAGAGAAGGATCACCTGGTATCTGCATGGTGCACCGCTTCCTGGCAACGAGTAATGATGTTAGCCAGGCTGCAAGGATGACGACATAAAGACAAGCACCACTCAAGTAGACACATCGCCAAATAACAATAACTAATATGGTACATACAAAGCACGAAAGGTAGTGTAAATCACGATGATAATTCCCTCCCCATCCCTTCCAGCCCATACGTCCAGCCATTTCAGACGAGAAAAAGGAGCACCGAGTCAACGCCAAGATAACGCCAAACAGAAATGAAGATGGCTCCCAAGTGATACCACGGCTTATGTTTCCATGGCATCACCGGCCTCAGACTCGTTGTCCACCACCCCCAAGAGTTTAGCATAGGGGACCGTTACGCGTTGGAGATCACGATGTTTTCCTAGATTGCTTAGTTAGATCGATGGTTGATGACGAAATATAAGCAAGAGCAAGCACATACCAAGGGCAAGGATAACCTCTTTCAATAACACCTCCCGTGGCCAGCCACAGAGAGTCTCTGAGCTTTCGCGCCAATTTCGGTCATCCTGCTCGTTGTCCTGTAACCGACGGATGGTGCCCGTGTCGTCCTCTTCGAATAGCCCGCCGATCAACCCCTTGAGGAGCTCCTCGACCTTCATCTTCAGCCCTTCAGCTCCGATTCGCTTAGCGTACATCGACAGATAGAGGCGAAACTCTTCCTTGGCGCCCAAGGACAGTGCGGCAGCGAGTCGGTTCTCCAGATGTGCAATGGAGACGCTGGACTCGAAGCTCTCGTAGCCCTCCCGCGATAGAAGCACCTTGATTAATCGCTGAAGGAAGTAGGCACGCCCACGCAGCAGTGTCTCGTTAGTAGTGTTGCGCTCCAGGAATGGAATAATCCCAGCCGACACCGCTGCCTTGGCGTCTTTATCCTGTTGCGAGTCCGTCGACTGGAGGTTGCCCACTGGTGCATCCGTGGTGTTCCAGTACTGACTACCGACAGCCCACCAGGCTTCGGAAATCCGCTGCCAGGTGTACATGGACGGTGAGTAAGAATAGCCCTCGCCATTAGACAAGGCAACCACCACTCGACCTTCGGAGTTAATCCGGGCGTTCGTGATGGCTGGTGCAGCTGTGGGGTGTGCGCCTAACGTGTGGACGGCAGCGTCAAGCACTGGCTGCAACGAGATGGGCGGATGTGGAGAGGAAAGATGTTTCACGTTCCAGACGTAGCACATGCCTACAGCGGAGATGCAGAGAATCCATGGGCCATTGCACTCGAGAATCACTGGTTGTGCCTCAAGGACAAGAGCGCTGACCAGCCGACGGCCGGCTGGCGTCCAGATGTACACCGATCCGTCTTCGCAGGCCGCCGCCCACATGCTCTGGTTACCTGTCACCAGAAGGACAGTCCGGGGAAGGAAATCCTGCCACAACGGCTGCTCGCCACGGAAGAGCGTGAGCCGCACTGGCTCTCGATCGACCGCCCGCCCCGTCAAGCTGGCCGGAGATGGATTGCGTGCTTCGAAAACAACATCGACCCGCGACTTGTTGGACTCGCCGGACGCATTGGGCGGCTCCGTCGGCTTTCCGGTGGGATCAATCGCTCGTACAATCTGACTACGGATCTTTGGAACCGCCAACCGAAGCTGGCTGATAGACATGCAGGGATTCATCACGGCGGGCCGAATGAACTCGGGGGTTTGCTGCTGGCCGGTGGGAGCAGGCTGCGGTTGCGCAGGAAGGAGGCCATCGGGCGTGTTTGCCAGAATCGGGGTGGCGCCGTTTTGACTGGCCAGCGCCACGCGCTTCTCAACATGTCCATCATCATCGCCTTCCAGCTGGGCGAGTTTGCGCTTGTTTCCGAAGAGAAGGGCTGCCAGACCACCCTTGGGTAGACCGTCAAATGGCTTGGAGAGGTCCACAATCGATTGTGGGGTGTCGGCCTTCACCTGGCTGCTGACCGAGGCCATCAGCCGAGCTTGTGGGAGAGAGGACTCGGCCGCTCCTGCACCAGACACCAACAGAGGAGCGATTCGCTTCTTTCCATCCTTGGTATATGTCGGACGCTGCTTCAGCCTCTCGAGCTTGGCCTGGTACGGATCAGGCTTCTCCGGTTCTGGCGCCGCGGGCGTTCCTGCAGTCTCGTTCGGTTGAGACTTTTGTGCATCTGGCGGAGGAGACGCTACTCGTGCCGGTGTCACACCGTTCGATGCCCCCGAGCCCGGTTTGCCATTGACGGTGGTGTCTGCCGCAGCGTGATCATCACCCATTAAAGCCCCCATGCGGCCCTCAACACCTTTGATCTCCCCGGCTTTGCTCTTCTCTTCAAGCAGCAGGCCGTCTGTGGTCTCTGTGATGCCCGCACCCTTCCTATTCGTGCCAAACTTGGTAAGTGACTTCTCATTCTCTTCCATCGCCATCGCATAGCCTAAATCCCCGTCCTCGAACCGCACCGCGAGAATCGTGCCGTCCAAGGCAGTAGCATAGAGGCATTTGCCGTCCGGGCTCCATGCGAGGTCGGAGATGGACTTGGCGGCTAGCTCCTGTGCAACCACAATAGGTCTAGGGTTACTAGTGATCCAGATACTGAGCGACTTATCGCCGCCCGCACAGGCAATAACCGTGACGGCGTTCTGCACCGCATGGCCTTGGCTATCCACCGCCGGTTTGGTGAGCGGTTGGGGCGAATACAACCGCGGAGAAAAGGAGCAAACTTCAACCGGCGCTTCGTGCCCAATGAGATTGATATCTCCATCCCACGAGCCCCGGTTGATGATCGCAACAGAGCTGACGGGACCGTTTACCGCATTGGCAGCAGCGATGTGCATACCATCCGGAGACCAGGAGCATCGGCGGAAGTAGGCCGTTAAGGGGGAATTGGAAAAGGGTGCAGAAATAGTCTGTTCAAGGATGAAGTTGTTCATTTGGTCATGAGCGCTGGAATTTGGAGCCGGAGACGTGAATCGGAAGATGCGAACCGTACGGTCATCGCTGGCCGTAGCAAAGTACTTATTTGCCGGATCGAACGTAATCCCCTTGACATGACTTTGGTGGATAGAAAGAGTCTTGAGCTTCTCGAACGTCGTTCCGGACCATACCACGACCTTCGAGTCCAGCCCAACCGACACCAAGATCGAAGAATCGTACGACCAACCCAGATCCTGAACATCGTTATCATGACCGATCAATCTCCGAATCGTGCGCCAGTTCTCAACAGGAGGCGCCTCGTTCGAACCTAAACCACAAAACAACACCAATCAGTCACCACACCATCAACATCACCAACCCCCCCCCCCCACCAAACCACCGGCAGCACCTACCAAACGTCGACGCATGAGACGGCGGGTTCGCGTCCAATGTATAGATGCACACAATCTTATCATCGGCTCCCGAGGCCAGATATTTCCCATTTGGCGAGAATCGCACCGTGTGAATCGTTCCGGAATGGTTGCTCATCGACGCCAGCTGTTTCGGTTTACTGGCATATTGCGGGTCGTCGGTGTTGCAAATCGCTTCTGTCGACCAAATTCGAACGTATCCATCTGTATTCCCCAATGTCTTTTGTCAATAACCTATTCCGTGAAGCTGTTTCCTTTGACAGCATGTATGATCTGTACGGACGGAACACTGACCTCCAGCCGCTGTCACGAGACGACTCCCATCCGGGGATACATCGCAACTATATACCTCGAAATCTTTCCGTTCACCTGCATATCACAAACCGAGATAGTGTTAGTCTGGTTCGAAAAAAGGAGGTGTATTGCGTGAGTGCTAGGAAAGGAGAAAACGAGGAATGATTTTCTCGTTGGACGGAGACCGAAAGGGAGGGAAAGGAAAACATTACCCCCATGTGTTAACCACACTGGCTTGATGATATGCATGGCGGAGACACCGTTGATGCCCTTGCTAGAATATTTCCTCCTCTTTCTCTATGTACGGGTTCACTGGAAGCTCGGTTTCACTGGCAAGTGAATGTGGTGGTGCTGGTAATGATTGAGGGACAACTTCTTTGTACCATCGCAAAGGAACTTCGTCCCCAGCTGATCGGATGACGGGGACCTCCGATCGCAAGTGAAGCCGTGGGATGCAGAATGTGCGGACGCTCGTGGGGAAGACGGTTTGGGCTGGCGAGAAGGGATCGGGAGGGTCAGCGCAAGGAACTAGGCGATGAGGGCGCGCCTGGTTTCAATGAAAGTCGCGATCCCCAGGATGGGCGGCGCGGGAGGCGGTGGCCCGAGCTTCTGCCGAGTATAGACAATAGTGAGAGGGCTGAGCTGCTGTCTACGGCTGTCTACGCGCAAGGCAGAGAATGTGCCCCTGAATCCACTTTTGTCTACTGTACATGATCCAGACAAGACCAACTCCCTCTCACCAATTACCGTAGCTGATGCACGCTCCAATATCCGGAGCCATAGCTCTCATTCGAGGCGACTCCCGAAGCATCATGCATCAGTACCTGACGGAGACATAGGACAATAGAGATACAAGACGGGTAGGACAGCAAGTCATCCAGAAGATTCGTAAGTTGGTGATTAAGAAAAGCAGCCGCGAAGGGAGAATGGTCAATCGTAATAGAACAATAAGGCTAGGAAAAGCCAAAAGAACACGGAAGCCGCTTTGTTCATTGGTGCTTCTGCTGGCTGACCTGGTCGAACCCTTCGAGGACGTCCTGAACGGGATCGGGGGTCTTCTGGTCCTGCTCGAGCTCAACCGGGTCAGACTCCGGGGCCTCAGACTTGATGGTCGAAGAGGTCTCCGTTTGAGCGGGCTCCTGCACTCCCAGGGTCTTTGCTGCGACAGCCTTGGCCTGGCCCTCACTGATTTTGCCGTAAACAGCCATAGCATTGGCAATCATACCACCCATATCCCCAACGTTACCAGGAACAACCACGGCAGTGCCCTCCTTGGCAAGGTTGGAGAAGGCGTCCACGTATTTCTCGGCGACACTGAGGCTGACAGCACCGTGAGCATTCTCCTGGCCAGCCTCAATAGCCTTTGCTACGGCATCGATACCCCTCGCGGTAGCCTGTGCCTTCAGCAGGATGGCCTCGGCCTCACCAGAAGCGCGGTTGATCTGTTCGGTCCGCATGGCCTCCGAAGCCAGGATGACGGACTGCTTCCGACCTTCGGCAATGTTGATCGCACTCTGTCGCTGACCTTCGGATTCGAGAATCTCCGCCCGCTTCGACCGCTCTGCCGTCACCTGGCGGTGCATGGCCGCAACAACTCCCTCGGGGGCATGAATGTCCCTAATCTCGTACCGCAAACACACGACACCCCAATCACGCGCGGCCTCGTTGATGGCCTGCGTGATGTTGGTATTTAACGTGGCGCGCTCCTTCAAGACGTGATCCAGGGTAAGCTGGCCGATTTCCGAACGCATGGTCGTCTGCGCAAGCTGAGAGATGGCATATTCGGCGTCCTCCACTCCGTAACTGGAGACAGAATTCCTCGTGGTCAGTCTGGGTATCCAGCGTATAAAAGAGCAAAACCCATTCCCGGAGTAACTCATGCAGCCATTGTTTCATTCCAAACTCACCTGGCTTTGTAGGCGTCAAAGACCCTCGTGTACAGCACACCATCCAATTCCAAAGTAACGTTGTCAGCCGTAATGGCATTTTGACTGGGTATCTCAATAGCCGACTCCTTCAGACTCTTGACATAGGCAATCCGGTCGAGGAACGGGATCAAGATCGCGAGACCGGGTTCTAGAATCCGGTGGAACTTGCCCATTCGCTCGACAATCCATGCTGTCTGTTGGGGAACAAAGCGAATGACGGTGTTGACAGGGAGGGAGGTGCGATTGGAAAAGTACGTAGGGGGTGCGCCTGATGACGATCCGGATCCCAGAGGCAGGAACGAGGATTCTGGCGCAAGCCTCCGAGGGGTGCTGGAAGCATTTCTCCGTCGAATGCGGTTCAGAGGGGATGTGGTCGTGATAGCAGAGCCGGGAAGGCGAGGATTAGAGAGGATAATTCGGTTATTTGAGGACCGAAGCAGCCTCATTGTGTGCCGGGAGGCCACATCCATTGTGGTATACAGGAATCTGCGGGACGGGATGGAAGGAGGGATTGAATTGGAGACTGATCGGAGACGCTGGAGAAGCCCGGGAGTGAAGCTCAAGCCGCTCGGCTGAAGCTGGCTGGCTGCTCCGTCTCCGCCTCAGGCATTAATGCTGAGTCAGCAGCTCCAGACCGTCTCGGCTCTGCTACTTCATACTCCGATACTTGTATAAAATTGGACAGCTTATATTTCCCCAGATACTTGAATTGCACATTGCCCACTGGACCTTCTTCAAAATACCACTGAAAACGCCAGAGAGCCCCGCTACCAATAAAGAAATCTCCAACGAACGCAATTGACCCCGTTTTTCTGTAATCCGTCCTACTCACACTCCGTATCCAAGGAACAAATTCAAATGGCGATACCCTCACCCAATGAGTATGCAAAGACACAAAAATGAACTTGGGAAGGCACCAAAGCTGGTAGTGACCTGACCAAGTGGGAGAGGCGCTCCTACCAAGCTCGCACGGTCATGCTGGTAAAGTCCTTCATTGTAGCATGTGGAGTATCATTTCATCTTCTGGGAATGCCGTATCAACTCCGCCCTGCTTGAATTGAAAAAAAGAAGCGAGAAGCTTTAATCCTTTTGGGGTTTTTTCTGGTTCCATTCGTACTAAAATCGAGACAGCAGGAGTAAACAGTAGCGCGGTATTAGGAAGAATATAAAACCCAGATGGACATTCTATGGTCGTGGAAAGAATTTCAGCCCGGCACACCTCAGAATCAAGCATCGAGAGCAGAGAACTCTGCCCAGTAAAACATGCCCGGACTCCAGAATTTTCGAAACCTCCCATGACGGAAACAGAAAAACGTAAAACAAAGAATAGGTGATATGAAGCCGAGACTGTCAAATGTGCATGAATAATCCACCTCAATGGACACAGGTCGTCGGCGCGAGAGAAGATAGATGCAAGTCATGAACAAAAAGCAACGATAGAAACATGGATGATCGAGAAAGCAGGGCGAGGAGGGACGAGAAGAGTGATAGAAACGAAAAAAAAAAAGACATAATTACTTTTGCAGCTCGGCACTCAGGCGAGCATCCCTAGTGCAGTCATCCTTTGACGGCTCCGGGGTTCGAAGAATGCACTTCGCCATAGCGGACAGGGCCCGTAGCACCCTGGGCTTAGCATGGCTGCCAGTGAATCACTTCTTGCTCAGTTCATGAGGTCCGGGAATCCTCTCGAAATAAGTCCCTGTTGCTCGTTGAAAGACGCCGTAAAAGGAGAAGTCTGCTGAGGCCGCTGCTGACGTTTCATGCAAAGTGATCATCAAACGCTAGACTCTTAAATTCATTGTACATTTGTGCATTGAAATTTGGACCAAGAAACGTGACCATATTTGGTACAGAACATCCATTCCACGGTCACCGTCTTGGGTTGCCGTTTAGAAAGTCGCTTGTCGAGTACTCGTAATCGAAGCGCGTAGAAGTCGTGGGGAATAATGAAAGAAACAATTTGGCGAAAGACTTCTCTCCATTACCCGGGAAGCCAGAACATGGGGTTTTCGTAATCTTATAGATAGCCAGCCTATGAGATGGGGTCTCGCAAATTCTATGACCTGGCTGCCGGGAGGTTAGCGACAATTGTCGAGCTGGAAAATCCCGCCGATGTCGCACCTGAGAGTATGAATTCCGAAATCCCGGGTACCGAGGAAGGAGTTCTCAGTGAACTGAGCTAGTCTGCCTGCTTTTGAGATGTCAACAGATACGTCACACAAAGTGAGGAGCAGGTATGGGGCTGCTTGGCGTGTTATGCCGAGGTTGGCACATACACCACGACCACCAATCAAAAACAGGAAGGACAGTAATAACCGGGGTTCCGTACAGTTGGAATTTCAGCCTGGCCATTCAGAGCGTTGGCAGGCGAGAACTCTGGGGCAGTGGAAGATAATGATGTCTTCGGGGCATGAGATTCAGAGGTGCCGTTGGTGAACTGCCCATTAACTGGTCCATCGACGAAGGTATCTTCGGGCTTAGCAACGCTGCTGGGAATAGGGCCATCGTTCCGTGCAGACGGATCACGCTGCTCCTGAGGCAGGACCCAATCCTCCCACCTCTCTCTCGGCCGTAGGCGATCCAGACCATCCTCGCTCTGAATATACTCAACGGTCCTCAACTGGCGAGAGCAATGACGCAGAAGCTCGAAATCGTCGGTCAAGCTCTTGATGCGCTTGAAGTTAGCAATGAAAGCGAGTGTGACGTAACCCTGGGAATCCATGTGGCTCCGAAGGAAGATATCCTTGCACAGGTTATCCACGGAAAAGTAGTATTCCCTGCCCATGTGTTAGTTCTCTCGCCCATACCCAGCCAGTGGCGTTCCGAGAAAGAAAAAAGCACTCACAATTGCATGGAGATCATCGACACCTGGGAGTAAGGCTCCATGAGCTGGGGATAGGGATAGGCGGTCATCGGGCCGGCATGCATTGCCTGATAACCGTACATTGTGTTGATATCCCCAGGATAGGGATAGAACATGGTATTGGAGCTCGGCAGGGATGGCGACCTAATGTTCATCCTGTGCCCTTGCGATCCATTGACAGGACCATGTTGCTGGGACCTCTGGCGGTCGTTGAAGCCAAACTTGGGATGCATGAAATTGTGGTGCGAGATGTGGTTGTTAGGGAAGTGAGAGTTCTGAGCCCCGTTGAAGCCAGCATGGCCTCCACGGCCGCCCCGATGCCCACCTCGGCCTCTTTCAGGGCGCGACTCACGAGGGAAATCCTTCTCCTTGCGCTCGCGATCAGCGTGGAAACCAGCAAAATCGGCCGACTTAGGACCATTCTCGAAGCGACGGTCATTGGTCGAGCCGGAGCGAGGACCAGCCTGTGCGTCCACGGAAAGCTGGGGGTTCCGGGTGCCGTGCTCACCACCCTTGTGGCCTGCATCATGACCCCGAGCGAACTGCTTGTGACGGGGGAAAGTGTCTGCCCCGTTGACGTTCCTCCCAGCCGGTGCGCCATTTGCATTCTCGGCTCCCTTGGACCCACGGTTACGGTCCGCTGCCTGGTGCTTACGCGAGTCGGGCAGGCCGGCATCAGCGCTGTTGGAGCGCCTCGTCTGTGCGGGGAGGGAGGTGGCGCGACCGGAGTTCTGCTCGTTCCTTCCTCGGTCCGCAGAAGTAGTCTGCTTCGCCTGGGCAGCCTGACCAGAGGCAGCCTTATCAGCACCAGCGCCATGCGCTCCGTTGCGAGAGTTTTCGCGTCCACCGCGAGCAGCCCTTCCACCTCTGCGGGCAGAAGGAAGAGGAGTGTTGAACACAGCGGTGGGGACGTAGGGAACGGGCATCCACTTCTCCTTGCCATGAGGACGGATGACGGGGCTCTTCTCGGTCTTTTCAGACTTCTCTTGAGCCTTCTTCTTCTCTTCACCCTGCGCAACTTGAGGGGTGGGCCATAGGCTTTCATCTCCAACAGGAGGAAGACTGGCACTGTCGTCACGTCCCTTGGCTCCATCAGCCTTCTTGCGGTCCTTGGCACTTTCCGAAGAGATGTCGGAACCCTTCTTCTTGGGAGCCGGCTTCGACTCCGGCTGGTGATCTCCCGATATCGAGGACGCGGCTGACGTAGTCTTCGAAGTTCCTGTCTTGGCGGCAGGCTTCAATGCTGCAATGGCTTTCGCCTTAGCCTCCTGTGCCTCCTTTCTCTGCTGCCAAATGTTCACGGCAGGAAGAGGGGCAACCTTGAGCTCCTTAGCGGGTACGCTCTTTTCCTTCTCAGTCTTCTCCTTCACACCCTCTTCCTCGGTGTTCACCTTCTCAGCGCCCGAGGCTTGGGACTGCTTATCCCAGGTAGATTCCGAGGTACCGTTGGGCGTATCCGTTCCCTCCTCGTCCTTGGGGACAGAGGACGTCGAAGAGTTGCCATCACTTGGAGTAGATGCCTCGGAAACATTGGCCTTGGTAGTAGTTGCAGATTCGACTTCCTTTTCGGCAATCTGGGTCTCCTGGGCGGTTTCGGCATTGGAAGACACGGAGTCTGTGTTCGTTTGCGAGCTCGAGTTCACATTCTGTTCCTCGGGATTTGAAGCCGCCTGAATCGGTTCTTCGAGGGAAGTCTTTGCTGGGGACGACGCTGGGGCAATGCCCTTTGCTGCTTGAGCGTAGGAAAATGTAGCGGCCATTTTCGTTAGGTGAGGGATGGAAGCGGTCTAATGAGCCCGTTCTAGTGAATAAGAGAGAAGAGCGAGAAAGTCAGTTCTACCAGAGAACAGATACCTCCGTGAGTAGCTCTCAACCAAAGGCTGGCTGGAATCACACCAACAATGATGGCACTAAAAAGAATATGCCACCCTTTAGGCAACCCCACCAAGCTGCAACTTCCCGTCACTGGATATTGTTCCTATTCGGCAGCGGGTTGCTGAGTTGACGTTTGTTCAATCGGTCAAAGACACGGCGACAGTCTCTCGGTATAGGTGTGGTAGACAGACAAACGGAGTCGGAGTCCTTGAGCTTGTATTTGAACCTAGCACGCGAATCGCATCGATGTGCTGCCACAAAATTTTATTGTGTCGAGATGCGCTGAAAGGCGAGCGAGGAGAGGATCAACAGAAAGTGAAGGTTGAACTCGAGTAGACGATATCACCGATAGGATAGCGTCCAAAAGAGATCTTGAATCGACAGACACGAAGGTACTTCACGTCGGGGGTGCTTGTTGTAAGACTGGCTACTAAAAGCACTCGCGGTGTGCGGTTATGATATTCGGGCCGTCGGAGAATCCAACTGCGCTGCCTCTTGGCTATTTGTGGTATAGACGGACACGATTCAAATCGATGAATACTGGCGTTTGCAAGAAGACTCGTTAACCTTTGTTCCTTTGGAAGCGTGAACGAGAGGCGCGACTTGCACGTGGCGACAACCGCTACTGAACTTCGTGGTTTTGGAGATTCGCCAGGTACGGAAGGGCAAAAGGGAAAAAAATGTAAGGAGCTGCGACGGAAAAGTTCGAAGCAGGACCCGTGCGGAGAAAACAGAAAATAAGCAGAACAAGATGAAAGTGATCAACGATCAAATTGACTTGCCAATGAGGACCGAAATAGTAAAAAAAAAATAGGATAAGAGGTGGTCCCGCTCAAGACAAGGATACCTCTGTGTGTGAAGGAGGATCGGGGAACGGAAAAAGTGCACTGAAGAAGAGCACTACCTCACTACAGCAACACGGTCACGGGCAACCGATGGAGTAAACCACAGAGAGGGACAGGATCCCAGATCGATGAGACGGCGAAGAGGGGAGGGGAGGAGAAGAGGGGGGTAAGGGGAAAACGAAAAGAGAGGTAGAGACTGTGTGTGTGTAAGAGAGCGAAAAATAATAATAATAAATCACTTACAGGCCGGAGGGACGTGGAAAAGCCGAAGAAGGCAGGTAAGAAAAGTAAGTACTAGTCAGAATTGTGGAATCCGCCAACCCAGAGGGTTAATAAAAAAAAATTAAAAATTAAAAACTGACCAGAAACCGGCCTACTTTCAAGGTACAGTAAAGTAATGAGGTTTCCCGTCTGTAAAAACGGGGTTTTGGATGCTGATTCTCACCAGTAATAATGGTATAGCGTCTGTATCAATATTCCTACTGTACCGGACACCAGCACTCAACTCAACCAAGGGCAAAGAGGTAAGGGTGTGAAAATATGTAAAAAGCGCAGGAAACGAGGTGAAAATTGTTATTCCTTCCATATACCCACACCGCGAGACAACGCTGTGGTTCGTGGACACCAGGGCTTCTGTGGGTATGAACCATCCTTTTACTTCTGCTGTAAATATTCCGGGTAAGATCTGGACCAGTATGTACTATGTAGTAATGTACCAACCGCGGAATTTGGATTGCTAATAGATTGACATGGGATCCTTATTGAATCTGTCGTCGGATTTCCGGCAATTGGAGGAGGAGGGGAGGAGGAGAGGGGAGATGCGATATTTTCTGCCTCGTAGCTTCCTCAGGTATCGGTATCCGTAGATAATGGTGCCGCCCATAACAGCCGGGCCGTATTATTACCCCCGAGGGTATAGAACAGACACACTTTCTCGTCATGGGGTGCAGATTGGGGTCTAAGGCAGGCAAGAACTAAGACTAAGAAGTCGTGGGTGGCAGCTTCCCTGCCCAGCCAGCCATCCCACATCCCACTCTGATTACTTTCAAAGTTCCAGGAGGCCTCTCAGCTGCAACCCCTCACTTCCCCTCTATGCCCAAGCCCAAACGTTTGACTGGCGACTGACAAAATTCGGACGTTCAGCGGCACTAGCCGTAATGGTCTCCGGACTCCATTCGGGTCATGACAACCGAGTTGTTAATTTGTTACAAAACACCATCCCAGCCATCAAGTCATTCGTGATGGGTTGACACCTGAAAGTTTAATCCTTATAGTTCATCCTCTAAGGACATCAGATACCCTCCGCAGCCTGGGGGAAGTGACACGACAACCATTCTAGTACCTCGCAGACTCCGTACATCTCCGATGTTCACTAATTTTATGACTTAACGTCTCACTTACCGAAAATGCAATGGACTGCAGGTGCTCAAGTCTAACCCGCTACCACTGATGGCGGGGCTCGGAGGGGTTCTGCACTCCTGTGATCAATGCATGGATGGGGCCGATGCTATTTGCTGGACCTTGTAACTGGCCCTTCAGGGTCTCTGGAGTACGGACCCTCCATTGTAAGTTGGTCCAGCTGCATGGAGAGGGACATGAGGGAGCAAAATTCCAGACGATAAAGCGGCAATCAAGCTGAGTCCTAATTTGAAGAGGCACCCGCCATGCGTTCGGACCACGCTCGGCCTACGTGGGACCTGAGAGATTCGGTTCTACAGAGCACAATATCTATAATCAAGACGCATAGCAAGTGAGCATCCTGCTGCCTTCATAATTCATGGACATAAACCTGGATACAGAGGGATGCCATCTCGAGTACGTTTGTCAAGACAACTATCGGTGTCGGTGCGTACAAGCAGGTCAGGTGATCTGTCAGTTATGTGCCTGAATCTGCCTTTGATCTATTTGCTGATCTCTTTCAACATTGATGACAATGCCATTCTTATCCTGCTGCACATACTATCCTCCGGGTATTTCTGATTTCTATCATATGCTGGATGAAGTTTCTAGACTAGTCACACTACGCACTGAATTACTGCAGGCTACTATTTTTCATAGGACGACTTCGTTTGCATTGTGTCAAACAACTGTTCAGAAATGCCGATAGCCGACAAAGCAGAAAGCATCCATTTGCAGTGCTGTCATTCCGACGCCTCGAGTGACTGACGAGGACGGCCAAGCAATCCAAGACAGTACAGCTGACTGAATGGAATCAAAGCTTTACTGTTCACGGCCGACCAACCAGCCTACAAGAATTGCCAAGGCGATTGAAAATTGACACTACTTAACACCAAACATGCCGCCCAGTTTACCCAACGCCAACTTCAAGCTCATAATCTAGCCCCGCAATCCAGATGCAAGAAGGGCACCTTATATTAATCCTAGGTCCGACCAGCCAAGCGAGATATCAAGTTCCGGTCGAGCCTGATCTGCTGTCGACCCACCAGTCACAAAGGACGACCTGAATGTCGGTTACTAAGGTGCTTACTGTACTGCGTAATCAGGCATGTAAATCAATGACGTTCTCGGAACCCGGGCACCTAAGTAAGGTTATATCCATGTCAATCGCGTCAAACACTATGACAACTGCCAAGGGTTGGATGCCAACGATCTAGCAGACGCAATCTATCAACAGCAAACAGTCTCTGGGCTATGGTAAGAATTCAAAGGTATATAAGGAAGGGCACTTCATTCGCTTCTACTCATACTAAGCATTCTGAGTAGTGCCTCCAAAGCATGATGATCCATTGCGCTTATTCGCACTCCACCCAGCCATACCCCTAGGCACTAGCAGACCATCAGATACTAGATAAGTACCAACAACCGCAAATCTCCGAGGTCCTTCATACCGTATCAACATCAAACACCCTCTAACCGCATCCAGCCAAGTGCCCTTCGGCCCTAATCATCAAGTGTAAATTTGCAGCGCCAGCAGCCCGGGGCACCGAGTGAAGAAACTCGGACGGGAGGAAGGAAACCGAGGGACTCTGGAAGTCAAATCAATACTCCATATGAAGTACACATGACATGTATTATCCCGGCGTCGCCGCAACCCAATCAAGGTAATAACACATGCGTATAAGTGGATAGTTTGCTGCCATTAATAGCAGGCGGGCTTAAATGCAGGGGTCATTCCAATAACATAACCCGGAATATTTTGGCATATCGATACCTACATATCTACTGGGTGTCGCGTAGTAGGCTAAGGTAGGTACTGTATACCTATCGATTTAATTCCCTTCAGTTCCCCTGTCCTGTCCTGTCTGGTACTGTCCTGCCGGGTCCCCTGCCCAACAACAAAAAGTAAGTAAGAAATTAGAATACCGAGCCAGTCAAATCAGACAGAATATAATAATTCCAATTGTCATGCATATTCCGCAGCAACCAACCTAACCTAACCTATCTAACCCATACTTACTCCGTACTTACCCAACCGATTGAAAATTGAAATCCACCAAATCCCATAATCCCGGTTCTACCCTACCAAAACCATTGACTTGCCATTTTCCAAAGCATCCGCATTCACAATAACCAACTGCCTACCCAATCACAAACGACCGATATTATTGCTTTGCCAAGCACCCACCACCACCTAATCCCACAATGCAAAACGAACACATAGTTACTATTCATCATACGGAGAAATAGGCAGCCCACCGGACAACAAATTATACAATAATGCAATTTCTCAAGACTCCGCACATAACACTACTATATTTTCCCAATACTGAGAATCGCTTAACTAACTAGTACTCCGTAAATAGCCCGCATGGTTCCATCAATTAGGGCTGAGACGCGCGACTCATCCGTAAGAGGGGTCTACTCTCTAGTACACAGTAGTAGTTGTGGTCGGAATTCCTCGGAAGGATGGATCCGAGCCGATGATTATTGAAAGGGAAAGAGCGTAGGTAGGACGTAGCCTAGGGCCGAGATATTTCCACTGTTTCCGGTGGATGGGTTTTGGGTTGGTTGCGGATGGGGTTGGGGTTGCGTTGGATTTGATGATTCGTTCCGGATGTCCGGTGGATCCGGGTTGTGCCAGTGGATTTTGAACTTGTGGGCTACTTACTTAGTAGTTGGGTGGTGGTCACGTGTGGGGATGCTGGATTGGGGATGAGATTGAAGGTATGTTTGAATGAGTTGTTCTATGTACTATGGGTAGGTAGTGTGAAGGGGCATGTGGTTGTATTATTTGGGAATATTATCAGCCATGATCATGAATCGTGTCTACCAATGTCTGACACTGACGAGAACTTGTTCTCTGGGGTCCAGTTGAATGGATGACTGCTGTCCGGTCACTAATCCAAGGCGCATGAGGATCTGCCAGACCAGCTTGCGCTTCAGTCCCTCTCGCACGGGGATCTTCTCGAGTGCGTCGTATCCGTTGAAGTATTTGGTGAAGGTCGGCCAGTACTTCTTTAGCGTGGTCTGAAGTCCTGCGTATTCGAGGTCCCCATCAGGGATCTCGCCCTGACGTTCGGGGAATCGGGCCATGATCTCGTCTAACCATCGTGTCTCTAATGGCGAGGCACGGTGTGGGTAGAGAACAAGCGACGATGTCTTCAGGGAGGTGTTGCGATCCAATAAGGAGTGGGAAAGGTCGAGCTCGTCGTCCCGTTTATACCGGCCTGGCATCGGGGTTTCATCGCCGCTCCCGTGGCTTCCAAGTGATGACGATGAAGAGGAACCGGCATCATCGATGTCATCTTGCTGTTCGGCGTCTGACATGGAGCTCCTTTTGCTCAGGTATTTATCCACTTCTTCCTGTCGAAGCGCCGTCTCCACAGCCATCTTGATCTCGGGGCTTACTTTGACCCTCGCAAAGGCTCGCAATTGAGTGACCCAGCCACCTCGCAACAACCACGCTAATATAGAGAAGTATGTGTCTTTGTGGTCTTTGCTGGGGATAAAGCTTCCATAGGGCCTAGGGGTCCCGCTCATAGCCGACAGCATCTTGGGGAGGCTGGGTAGCGTTGGGAACGCGGCCTGATAAGCTACCGTGGCTACCTCCAACTTGCTTAGGTCGCAGTTGGGCGACACAACGTAAGTATCTCGTTGATGGAGCGGGGGAATGGCGCGCGCTCTTCTCCAGTACACAAGATGACTAGCCAGCATCTGGATCGTGGAGAGCGGGATGCCGGAGGATACGGATATCTGCGCAAACGACTTCGTTGGCTTCGAGCATCGGATATAGTGGGCAAGCGCCGGAGCCAGAGCACCCCCGGATGCTTCCACATCTTTGAGGATCGCGGCTTCATTGTCCAGCAATAAGAGGGCGAAGTGCTTGGCGAGCACCTGATGGGGCGCAGTATTCTCGTCAGCGGTAGGATCATCAACTGGAGTGACACTGTCTGCAGTCGTGAGCCAGAGTCCCGGATATGCCTTGTCAGTAGGGCCCGGAAGCCATGGCGTTGACGTCAAAGGTGGTATCTGGAGTGAGATAGACACGTCTGCATTCAAAGTGACTGAGGCAATCTTGGACGCCGATATACTGGTGAACACTGTGCAGATAGCTCTTGCGAGGGAGGACTGGCTGATCAGCTCCGAGTAGAGGTTGTTGACAGACATGCCTATTGATCATGGTCAGCAAGCAACGCCCTTCTAGTCAACAGCATTAGCAAGCAACATACGCTTTTCCTTGGCCTTCTCCTTGATATGCGAAATATGTTGCGCCTCCTTCCAAACATAATCCGTCCGGGCCTGCTCCCACTTCAACGCCTTCGTAAACTTCTTGATGATATTGTCGTAAATCTCCCTTAGTCGCATGGAATACTCCAACAAAGGAGGATCCAACACAAACACGACATTGAACATAGTCATGCAATCCTTATCATCCGGATCCAACGCCTCACTCAGCGTCCTAAACGACCTCACACTCTGCATCGACGCCCGCTGCGACTCATACGGCGCCATCTGCTTCGGACTCAAAGTCTCCGTAGAAGCAGCAATCAACTCCACACTCCCCTCACGCACATCGTCCTCCGCATCATCCCCAGGATTCTCATTATGTCCCAGCTCGCCCCCCTCCCACGTGGCGCGAGGCTTCCTCTTCTTCCTTCTCTGTTTCCTCCACGTCCCATCCTCGCGCACAAAAACCGGCCACCCCACAAACGCCAAATCATTAATCCCGACCTCAAACCGCCGCTTATGCCACGATCGCGACGGACTCAGTAGCTTCTCCCACACATCCGCCGGAAGTCCCAACAGCGACTCCCACGGCGGACGATACGGTCCCGCCTCATCCTCCTGCCGATCCGACGCCGCGCCTGCATCATCCTCGGCATCAGAATTCGTCGCTCGTTTCCGCATCATCAGCAATCCCCTTCCGGACCCGACCGAGCCTGCCCGCTGAGACTCCCCGCCCGGGGAACCAGAGATGGTCCCATCGTCGATACCGAAGTTACTTCCCCGTCTGCCCGCTACGGGGTGACTCCCTGCAATATGCGATTGGTTCTGGGTTGAATTCGGTGGTTGGGTCTCATCGTCTTCGGATGAGGAGGAAGAGCTGCTGGATTCGCTGGAGCTGGAATCGTTGCTTTTGGATTTCGTGCGCGAGGTGCGGCGCGCTTTGGGCGCGCCTCGAAGCCCGTTCTCGCTGAGTGGGTTGGGAGGGTAGTGGAAGACGAAGCGCGGACCGGCTCGGGAGCGGACAATGAGGATGATTGCTACCAGGCAGGGGTCTGGTGGCCGTGCGATGGAGGACATTGGTCGTGGGAGTGAATGATTGATTGATACTTGGGACTAGTGATTGGGACGGGCGGAGTGACTGATCGCTGGTCGGGGTGGGCGTTAGCGGGACAGCTTCCCCGCATGCTGCATTCGCTATTCCCAGATTGCTACGACAGTCAATTACAAAAGTGATTAGCAATGAGTTTATGGGTATATTGGCCCTTTTACTAATTTAAGAGCATAAATATTGCCCATAGCCAGGTATGATACAGTATATACAGAACAACCATCCCAACGCCAGAAACGGAGATCTATCATCAATCATCACCCAAACACCCTATTTATACAGACATCCCAGTATATCATACAGCTCTGAGCCATACCCTGCAAGCAAATCCACCTATGCTTTCTTCTCCGCATTCTCAGCAGACCCACTCGAAGCCCCCTTGTCCTGTGCAAAGACCAACCCGAGGTTCTTAAAGTCGTCCGGCGCCATGAGGTTACTAACATCATAGCATACATTAGCCATATTCCCATCGAAGAAATACCGTGATTGGTAAAGAGACATACTGATCCATCCGACACGACAAATACGACTTGGCGAGTTTCCGACACTCCTCGTCATTCACGCCGCGTTGCGATTTCAGGCATTTGAGATAGCTGCTGATGATGTGCTTGCATTCGCCTGTTCGACGGTAGGATATCATGTTAGTTCTTGTTCGTGTCGATAGGTGGGCTGAGAGTTCGCGCAACGGCTCATAATGCTGCTGGAGTATGGCTGATTCGCGAACTAGCGTAAGGGAGAATTACCATCATGATCGAGGGGAAAGCTACCACGCTCAGGACTAGATCATCAGACAATTGTTAGTTTGGCTTGTTTCTCTGCGATTGTCCGGTGCCTGTAGGCATATCCCAGATTGGACGGTGTAACTCACGGCGTAGGCTTGATAGGTACGGCGCCACCACCGGGAGCTCCGAAACCCATATTGAATGATAGATGTATGCGACGGGATTAATTGATCGGGAAAGAAGATACAGATCGACTGGGCCGATATTCGTGCTCTGTATCTGATAGTCGGGGAATTGATAGTTGCTGAAAAACGACACGGCGAGCGGTCCGATAAGACAAACAGGACAAATGGGATAAACGGTACAAACAGAGCAAACACAGTGATCTATGAGGGTGGGACGAGATCGTACGGCGATATTACACGAATGGAGTTGATTTATCTATTGCCATACTCTTATATATTCTATGGTCTTTTAGCGGAGTCTTCTCGTATGTCTGCAGAATTGAGTATAGTTTCGTTCCGTGGTTGCATAGTGCGGGGTATGAAACCGCGATGAGACAACCACAGCGCAAACAAGTATGGGAGACCATGATAGGATACAGAATGCCCAGGAAAAATAGTACGATAAGTGCACGGGGTACCAGCTGCAATACGAGCCCAGCCGCGAATCCAGTTTGCATCGGCGGAGTCAGACCCAGCCCCTCATGGATCCAGAAGATCCGAGTTTGCATGATATGCTCTCTTATATACCAATGACGTTGCATCCCACCCAGCTCCGGATATCGTATATAACCACGGCTTTGCCTTGTTGGGTGTGGAATTTGATAAGACACCTTTCAGCTGACTTTCGATCGAGTATATCAATATGCCGATGTATGTCTCCACATACAATTGTTGGGTTTAGAACACTAAACCGCAACACCACGTCATGCTAACCAACATCAAGGAAGCTTGACGGAAGCTGCCAATGCGGCAGCATCGAGTTCACCCTCGAATCATCCACCCCAGTGCCCTACCAGGTCTGCGCCTGCAGCATCTGCCGGAAGGTAGGCGGATATAGCGGCTGTGTCAATCTGGGCGGTATTGCCGATAGCCTGGAGATTAAGAAGGGGAAGGATTTGATCAAGTACGTCATCTTAACAACTGTTTCAGTATTCAGCCTTTCTTCGAACCATTAGAGGACTTGATGTGTCAGGTGAAATCGTGCAGGTCAAGCTGACCGAGTTAGGAAATATTCCGCGGTCAAGGCTCGCGGCACACCAGATGAGGAGATCTGCTCATCGGAGCGGAACTTTTGCTCCAATTGCAGCACTATGCTCTGGCTCTGGGATCACCATTGGCCAGAACTGATCCATCCCTTTGCCTCGGCGATTGATACCGAGCTGCCGGTTCCGGATGAGTTGGTTTGCATCATGGAGAGCTCGAAACCAGGCTGGGTGCGGTGGCCGGAAGGGAAGAAGCAGGTATACGATGTGTATCCGGAGGAAAGCTTGGAAGGTTGGCATAAGAAACACAATTTGTTTGTCGAGTAGTGAATATACTAAAGATACGAGATGTTGACTACGCATTACGGACATGTGGAAGCAAAATTGGAGATCATAATTCATTTGATTAAATTATATATAAGATGGTGACCTGCAGAATGAATGTTAGCAGCAGAACAAGCAAACATTCATGCATAAACATTCGAGAATGACAGTTCAGTTCTCCAAGGTGAATCTTGTTTGTTTCGTCAAGGTGGTTCGGTAAGAACACAGCGAATTAAGAATTCATCATGCAAAAGCCAGGGATCTGGGAGAGGTGGCACTCACACTTGGAATGTCACATCGAAACTACAGGGGTATCATTCCTAGAACTTTATTCAGAATTAGCCACACATCCAAGACATGCGATGATTGATTCAAGCATTAAGATGTCAACGAAGTCAGGCTAGGAAGCAGTTAGCATGAGAACTATTCAATCTGGACAGAGCAGCTACCAACCTCATTAAATCAGATTTTTGTGTTAAAAGTTCATTTCCATACACAGAGTGCACAGATCAAACAGTGTGAATAAATGTGTTCATCATGTGATGTTGACTTGGGATGTACCAAAGCAAGGGAAATCAAGAGTGACAGTACCTGTCATAACTTGTTAGTATGACTTGCAATCGACAGATTCTGGAAACTGCTGAACAATTGCTGAAAGCTCAGGTGACGAGTTCTCAACTAGTTATACACTTCCCCAACACCCGCAGAGTTTGTACGCTCTGCTTTTGATGGATGCGGGTAGGTGTACACGTTCTGTCCGCCCGTTCGTTCAAAGTATCTTCATCGAGGCGGCCAACAAAGGCATAGGAGATGGGAAAGATAATATGTACCTATCAATAGCATGTTAGCGTTGGTCACCACAAGCTGATTGAAGCATTTAAATGAAAATGGTTTTGTCAGACAAGGCTGAAACTTGAGTTAAAACACGAATTCCACATGGTGATTAAGTTTGAGGAATGCCTTAAAGCGTGTCATAGGGTCATCATACAAAAGGGTGACAAAGAAATGCGCATCAGTGCTCGCCTACCTTTTAGCAATCATGTGTGGGTGGTATCCAAAGATTTTGCGTCATCATCAGACGGAATTAGGATATCAGAAAGTATGCCCAGACACAATCAAAAGCTTTGATTGTGCTGAGCATACCCAGCAGCCCAACATAAAGTTGGGTGTTCGGCGAATGCATGTTGTTGCGGTTGCAAGCTTGGGCAAGTTGAGAAAAAAATTCTTGTGGGTTGCGCCGAGCTTTTATAGGTCGGAAGCTGGCACCACGGCAAGCGAAAATCTCCAAGTGTGTTGTTTGGCCGGGAGACAAACACCTTTGCCCGGAGCTTGAGGACCCACTGCACCACGGCAGCGGCATCCATCTACAAGGCAGACACACCAGATGACGGCCAATATAGTTGCAATTCGAGGACAATGCTGACCGCAGAGAGGCGTGTTTCGCAGCAGCAGCAACAGCAGAGTGTTCAATGGAACCTTCCGTTCTTCCGCTCCACTCAACTTACCTATTCTGATTTTGCCGACAGAAGGGCCAGAGACAATGAACTTCTTTATTGGAGGTGTCAGGCTGATGAAGATGATATATCGTTCAATACTACCTAGGCGCTAAGTTAGGCGCCATAGAGTTTGATCTGGACAGACTGCACCAGATGCTTGCATACGGAACTTTCCTGCCCCGGGCAGTTGCCGGCTTTTCTGTATCAAACAATCGAGAATGGCTATATTAAATGCATCCTGAGCCTCTGCTTATTTCTTGTTTTCTCTCCGTACTCAAGCAGATAGGTTGATTTACTGCAGCAACTGCCTATTTGACTTCAAATACCAGCAAGGCAGACGTCTGGCGTTTACCGGTCAAGATGTCCACTGTTGGGCACCCCCTACGTCACGAGAACTTCCAGAAGGCCGTGGGAGACTTGTTCTGGAGCGGAAAAGACTCAGACCTGACTATAACCTGCGGTCCTTACATCTACAAAGTGCATCGTTTCATCATCTGCCTCCAGTGGCATCACCTTGGAGTGGCCATAAGTGCTTGTTTCAACGTGAGTCGCTTACAGCTGCAAAGCACGTCTTAGATTCGCCTACTGACCAATAGTACAGAAACCGGGTCAATGGGTTCTTGACTTACCTAATGATCACCCTCCAACAATTCATCGCGTTCTTCAATATCTCTATACCCAAGACTACGACGACGATGGGTTCGAGGCGGAGTGGGTTAATCCCAAAGAAGGGATGGTTTACGGACCTGACCGGGCTTCAGAGCGCTTTCAGAGGTGTCCGATCGCTATCCAGGTTCCTCAGAATAATATCCAGGTCTATCTAACCGCCGAAAAATATGGCATCCCCTCGTTGATGTCCTTAGCCGCAGAGAAACTCGGTCATTGGGCACGGGTCTATAGGAGAAGTGTTGCGTTTATCGATATACTGGAAGATGTACTGACCCTAGAACTTGGCGCTAAATCGGAGCTGCGCGGTGTCTTGGTGGATACCTCAATCGACTGTATTGTTGAGCTTATAGAGCGGAAGAAATTTCTTGAGCTCACAACTCAATTTCCGGACTTTGGATCTGAGGTACTCGCTACCTTGGTGAAAACTAAGCTACGCGAACAGGAAAACAAGATACGCGAGCAGGGGATCAAGTTGCGCGAGCAGGAGAACAGATTACGCAAGGAGAGAAGGGGACGACGTGGGCAGAAGAACAAGCTGCACGAGCAGGGGAACAAGCTACGTGAGCAGGGACTCAAGCCACACGAGCAAAGGAGCAGTCGACGCGAGCAGATGAAGGGAAGACGTGGGCGTAATTAAAGGCCGAAAGCCACAGTTGATGTTGTGAGAGCCCTAAACATAAGGATGACAGGAAGTCCTTTATCTGGAAGCCAATCCTCAAATGCGCATTGGCTAGAATGTTCAGTCAACATCATTACGATGAGATTGAGTACTTACCCAGTAATTTCTTGAGTTTTCAGGGATACCAGTGAAATCAATCTATTTCGGTGTTCTACACTATAAACAGCATGATCTTCATTGTTTTTTTGTTATACATTGTAGTTGCCCACCGCTGTGATAATGGCCCTGTTTGACCCAACCCACAAAGTAACCTTTGTGCACATCTCTGCCACAAGCCCTTTATGCATCGAATCGTCCAGAAACCCTAGAGGACCCTGGAGGACCCTGGAGACCCTGTGTCTGCAGCAATAAGCTTTGTCGCTCATCAGCCCTGGATCGGAGCTCTAGTGGGTCCGGCTGGAAACGTCATAGCCAGGCTCCGATCTGCGTCAATTTGACGTCGACTCCGGTTCTACATCCTGCATTCACCACACCAGTCCCTGTCACACCATACTTCGTCCCAAGATGGCTATAAATGGGGTGCCCGTCCCAGCTGGGAGTTGTTTCCCAGAACAAAACATCAATTGACACCACTTCAATTACCTTCAATTCTTCACAATGCCGACCACATTCAAGCTCAACACCGGTGCAGAGATCCCAGCCATTGGGTTCGGAACTTGGCAGGACGCAGAAGCGCAGGAACAGGCGGTCGTTGAAGCCATCAAGGCGGGTTATCGTCACATTGACACGGCCAGAATGTGAGTTTGCATCCTCGACTATTCTGGCCACACCGGTGTGCTGATGTCCGACGGCAGATACGGTACCGAACCGGCTGTCGGAAAGGCGATCAAGAAGGCCGGCGTGCCTCGCGACCAGCTGTTCATTACCACTAAGCTCTGGAACAACAAGCATCACCCCGATGATGTGGCTCAGGCCCTTCAGGATTCGCTCAATGATCTCGACTTGGACTACATTGATCTGTTCTTGATCCATTGGCCTGTCGCCTTTAAGCGAGGAACTGAGCAGTTCCCGAAGGATGGTGACAAGCCAGCTCTACAGGACATTGACTATGTTGATGTATGTCTCACATTCCACCAGCTGAACCTAATGACGGGCACTAACATAAAGGCTCTGATAGACATACAAAGGCCTAGAGAAGCTCCTCGATACCGGCAAGGTCAAAGCAATTGGCGTATCCAACTTCTCCAAAGCGGAAATGGAACGTCTGCTCGCGAACACCACTGTTGTCCCCGCAGTCCACCAGCTCGAAAGCCACCCCTGGCTCCAACAGCGTGACTTTGCCGACTGGCACAAGTCCAAGGGCATCCATGTCACCCACTACTCCCCCTTCGGAAACCAGAACGAGCTCTACTCCCGGGAGGGTACCATCGGCAAGCTGATTGATGATCCCGTGCTGGTCGAGATTGGCAAGAAGTACAACAAGAGCTCCGCCCAGGTAGCACTCGGTACGTCGATTACCCCCATCCCCTCCCTACCCATTGCAGAAAAAAGAGGGAAGCTAACTCCCTACAGCCTGGGGTGTCACAGAAGGTCATTCGGTGCTTCCCAAGTCGAAGACCCCATCTCGCATCAAGGCCAACCTCGAGGGTGACTTCAAGCTCGATGCAGAAGATGTGAAGAAGATCCGGAGCATCGACCGCAAGCTCCGATTCAATGACAGCAGCGCTGACTTTGGTCGTGAGTTCTTTAGCGATCTGGATGGTAAGAAATAATGCAGCTTCTGTGAAGCTCAACCCTACAGTGTATAATAATAAATCGAGATGAGGAATGAAATGCAACGAACCATCCATACTATATGCTTCTTACGACCTCGTATTCATCTTGCTGTAGATGTTGCCTAATAGGTAGATGGACTCGACATCGTGGCGGAGTTAAAGTTCAAACCATACCACCTCTTCAACTTGGTTGCCTACACCACCCTCCGCCAGGGTCTTTATTCTACTAGGTCACCTGCCAGTCCTCCCGCCCATACACAATACATACTTACATCGTAGGCAGGTAGCGTAGACATCATGTCTATTCTATCATCCTTGTCCTGGTCCCTTTCATTGTTCATGCTTCATCCTTTCTCCTAACCGCGAACTATATACACATGTACCCATCTACAGACGACTCCACCACGAACTAGACCAACACTCAACCTCTAACCAGCACATTATCATCTTCATCACGACCACATCACGAAGAACAATGGCTCACCCCTCTACAAAACCCTCCCATCCCACTCCACCACCACAACAACAACCAACAGCACCAGACGCAGTACCAGAACCAAAAACACATACACACATCCCCAAACGCCTAATCCTCTCCTACCTAATCGACTGGATCCTAATCATGCACGTATTCCCCATATCCAACCCCCCAACGGAACACAAACTAACCATCAAAACCAGCGGAACCGCCCTAACCGGCTACGCCTTCTCCACCCTCCCCCCAAACCACCACCCCTTCTCCCTCACCGACGCCAACATCTCCCTCCCGCACAAGAAAAAAGACACCGTCTCAACGGCCGTCCTAGCCGTCGTCTCCGTAATAGCCCCAGCGATAATCATCGCCTTCGTGGCCTGTCTATTCACCCCGCGGAGGACCCATACAAGTACTCGATGGGGAAACTGGCGGACCAAGCTATGGGAATGGAATGTAGGATGGATGGGGCTGGGGATTGCAGTGGCGGGGACGTATCTGGCGACGCAAGGGTTGAAGGATCTGTATGGGAAGCCGAGGCCGGATCTGTTGGCGCGGTGTGATCCGGATGTTGCGGCGGTGGGGGGATTTGCGGTGGGGGGGTTGGGGGGGAGGGTTGCGGGGGCGCCTACGATGGTGACGTGGGAGGTTTGTCGGAATCCGGGGGATGAGGTGAGGAAGGATGGGTTTGCGAGTTTTCCGAGTGGGCATGCTTCTTGTGAGTGGTAGTGGTAATGGTTTAGGGTCTTAAGGGAAAGGGGAGTGGATTTGATCATGTCTGACTGGTGATAGTGTCATTCGCGGGATTGATGTATCTCGCTCTTTGGCTATGCGCTAAGTTCTCTATCGGATTCCCGTTCCTGGCGTATTCGCCCTTCAGCCAGGATCTGCGCAGACAGGACCGTGGTAGCATCCGGAATCAGGGAGCCGCTCCGCCTGTCTATATGCTCATCGTTGCCTTTGTGCCCATTGCAGTGGCCTTTTTCATATCTGCATCCCGGTGGTTCGATTACCGGCATCATGGATTTGATATCATATTCGGGTCCGTCATGGGAATGGTCTTTGCGTGGATTGGCTTCCGACTGTATCAGCTTCCCATCATGCGCGGGGCCGGCTGGGCATGGGGAGCAAGGAGTCGCGAGCATGCGTTCTTCATGGGGGTCGGACTCCCAAGCCATGTTGCTGCCGACAACTGGGCCACAGTGGGAGACAAATCCGCTGCAGAGAATAGAGCACGAGATGTCGACCTCGAAATGGCTCGACCATACCGAATGAATGATTAGAATGGTACCGCGCGTTTTCAAACCTGATGGAGTTGAGCGATGGCGTTTGAATCTACGTTAGTCTGTCTTTTCCCATTCCCCGGATATTTCAGCGACATGCAAAAACGTAGGGACGGCCAGTATAAAACTGCAACCGTGATAGCGACCTTCTAGTAAACGTCAGCAATGCTCTGCATGCACAAGTTACCAAACAAACCTAAAATCACCTCCACCCACCAACTCTCCCCTCATCCCACCTAGCCTTGGCCTCTCTCCTCGCCGCCAACTTGGCCGATTCCGCTCTTACCCGTCGAATCCAATCCCCAACCTCTTTCTCAGTAGCCCGTCCATGATGTTCCTCCTCCAGGAAGCTCTCCTCAACCGCCCGACACACAGCTTCCTGCTCGGCTATCGAAGCCGCAAGACGTTGATACAAAGCCTTGGGCGACCACGGAGCCAGCGCAGCGTCCATCTCCGACTGTTTCTTCCGCCAGGAGACCTCGAGCGACTGATGTGTTAGGAGAAGGGTTTCGGAAGTGGATCGTAGCTCGGTGAGATGAGACTGGAGCTCTAGAAGGCGATTCGCGAGGTCTTTGTTGTATTTGATGAGGGATTGTAGGTTCTCTTGATGTGCCGTGTAAGATGGGTGATGGCTGGATAGCGCGGAGATGAGGTTAGGGTCTTTGAGGATGGTTTGTAGATCTACAGTTCTGTAGAGAAACACGGGTATATTAGCTATGCCCTGGAGAGACGGAAAAGAGGTGGTGGTTATTCGGGAACCGTACGATTTGTCTTTCACACCGCTGGGGAGCCAGCCCTCTTCCACTGTGGGAGGCTTAGGTAGAACATTTTGAGAGCCGGGGTTAGGCACCCCGGGAGAGGAGTACTTGTTGCCCGGATGCATGTTCAATCGGTCTTGAGCATAGTGACCTTCTTGCAGGTGCGGTGTTCCCGGGTGTGATGGGTTGATTTGAGGGGTGCCCCGACGACTGGCTTCGTGGCTGCTGGGCTTCGGGGGAGGGGGAGGAGGAGTGTCTGGGTTAAGTGCTGGGTTCATGGTGAAGGGCCGAGCAAGGGTAAGCGACAGCCAGAGGTACCTGAAGACAAGGCAACAATTGGATGGATGGGCGATGCCGAGAACGACGCCCCCGTGACGCTCAAATGCGGGGAAAGCCCGCGCATCACGTGAGAGCATGGCTACGATGGATGGATCTACGGGTTGATGAGTATACGGCCAGCAGCTGTAGAAAAAGGTCGGGATTTCAAATCGGGTATAGTAAATGGGTTCAATGGTATCCAAAAATCAGCTTTAAGCAATATTGCACCTCATCGTGCCCCTACCCCTGCGCATTATGCTCTTCTTTCCAAAACTTGGCGCATGTCTAGTGCCCTCGCTCAGAGAGTGCTGCCAGATTGACCAAGCTGCTACCATCGTGCCAATCGGAGGCCTATTCTCCTGCCATTGCTGTCGAGGCCGCACCATGTACAATGCTGCAGCATGGTGGGTATATCCGAGCTGTAGGTGCTGCCACCCTAGCCTCGACTCGATGCGAGATCACCCGGCCTTCGGGAAGTGCTTCGACACCAAGCAGGCGGAATGAGATTCATTGCTGTCAGGGGGTCACAGAGCACCGGAATTTACAACATATTACTCAGTCCGTTCTCCGCCGCACATCCCGATCTTGAGTGTCGATGTTGGAGCCTGAGATGGCATCCATGACCAATTGGCGCAGTTGGTTTTGCGTGGCTTCGCTGTGGAAATCCTCCCGCGCGGCCAGCTCATCAATGCGCCGTTTGAACTCGGGGTCAACCTGGTCAGTTCCGGCGTTCGCTTCTTGCTCCGACATGGTGCCCAGATTCAAGTGGATATTCGGAGGCAACGGCGGAGCCGGGTTCAATGCATCGCCCGCCGCCTGGGCCGCCGGAGCTGGCACGCCTGCGACTTGCCGCAGGTAAGCGGCAATCTCGGGAAACGAGTCATCACTCTCGATGGTCTCGTAAGCCGTGAAGCCCTCGTCGTTTCTCTTGTTGTAGTCCACACCCAGCTCCTCCACGAGACATTTCGCGATGTCGAGAGTTTCCGTCACAAACAAGCAGGTTTCACCATCCTCGTCGAGCAGGTTGACGTCAACGTTGTATTCTTTCACCAGGGCGCGCAGGAGATCGATATGTCCGTAGGAAGCCGCAGCATGGAGTAGTGAGTAGCCATGCTCGTCCTGGTTGGATGCGATAGATGGGTTGGACTGCAACAGCGTCAGGACGGCGCCCGGATTGTCGGCGGCCAGAATGTACGGGTTGGGTTGAGTCATCGCGAAGGCTTGGGAGCTAAAGATGAGTCAGTCCCGACGGTGTCCGATGGCTGAGGCACGTAGCTCCATACCTTGAGTCACACAGAAATGCCAGAAGCGATGTAGTGGACAAAGAAGAGCAGGAGAGAATCAAACTGGAAATCGAGGAACCGTCGAAGTGGCGCGGGCGGGAAAAAAAGCGCATTTGAAGGATGGCTGCCCCGCATGCTCGATAAGAAACTCCAACCTTTGGGCCCTGACAAGGCTGACGTGACTCAACCTCTCCCACTCCTCGCCTATCATACAAGGCTCCATTGGCGGTTGGGGTAAGACTCCTTACTTTAAAGGTTCAGCGAACCTGTGGGAATCCATCACTGAGCGATTCCCTTCCTTAGCGGACTTTGACGCGTGCCTTCTCCTTCGCCCCTCCATCTTCACCATCACCTTCTTCCTTACCATTCGCACCCTCTCTACAGCTAACGTACCTCCACGCACGAGCGTTACAATTCCCCGCCTGATTTACAATACGCGACACTCGACGAGTCGCAATGGTGCAGCAGGACGCGCAGGAAGTCGCTCAGCTGGTGGCCAGCCTGGAGGCCGCCAGCAAGAAAGGCACTGCTCAGGGAAAGAAGTCGTTCAAGTGCAAGAAGTCTACCTTCAACGTGGAAAAGGCAGACAAGATCCAGGTGCATTCGTGGAAGTTCATGGACTGGGATTACAAACGCAGCGATCTTCCAACCTACGCTCGAGGACTGTTCACCACCCAAAGGAAGGATGGCACCCACGAGATTGCCGTCCGCGGTTACGACAAATTCTTCAATGTGGATGAAGTTAATGAAACGAAGTGGAGGAACGTGGAGATGAACACACGGGGTCCCTATGAGCTGAGTGTGAAGGAGAATGGATGTATCATCTTCATCTCTGGCCTGGAAGATGGCACCTTGTTGGTCTGCAGCAAACATTCGACGGGCGTCCGGGACGATATGAACTTCAGCCATGCCCAGGTCGGTGAACGTTGGGTCGAGCGCCATGTTAGCTCTGTCGGAAGAACCGTCAAGGATCTGGCACGAGAGCTGCGCAGGCTGAACGTCACGGCGGTAGGGGAGCTATGTGACGATACCTTTGAGGAGCATGTTCTTGCTTACGACGAGAATGCTTCGGGTATCTATCTGCATGGACTCAACTTCAACGTGCCCCAGTTCGCCACGCAGCCTAGCTCGGAGGTACACAAATTCGCCGATGCATGGGGCTTCAAAAAGGCCAATTTCGTCGTATACGATGATCTCGACCAGGTGAAGGGGTTCCTCGATGATTGCGCTGAAACAGGCACCTGGGATGGTCGGGAGACTGAAGGCTTTGTGGTCCGATGCCACATGGGCATTCAGGGACGCCCCCCATACCAGGACTGGTTCTTCAAGTATAAGTTCGAGGAGCCCTACCTAATGTACAGGCAGTGGCGCGAGTGTACGAAGGCAGTCATCTCCGGAAAATATCCGAATATTCGAAAACACAAGAAGATCACGGAAGAGTATTTGCATTATGCTCGGAGACAGCTCGCTCAAAACCCTCACCTTGGGCATCTCTACCAGCAAAACCATGGAATTATTGCTATGCGAGAGGGCTTCTTGAAGGAGAGAGGTCTCAACGGATCGGAAATTATTCAAATGGAAGCCGACGGCGGAAGTGAAGTGACGAAGGATGTGATTCTAGTCCCCGTCGCTTCACTAGGCTGTGGCAAGACTACGGTGTCTCTTGCTCTGTCCAAGTTGTTTGGATGGGGGCAAGTGCAGAACGATAACATCCCAAAGCAGAAGAGCAAACCGAAGAAATTCGCCTTGGACATCACCAATCTCCTTGGCCTACACCCGGTAGTGATCGCGGACCGGAACAACCACATGAAGCGCGAAAGACAGCAACTTATAGACGATGTATCCGTCGTTATTTCCCGGGCTCGCTTTGTCGCACTTCAGTACGTCCACGAGCCCAAGGGTCAACTGCTTCCAGGAATCCGCGAGGTGACGCGGAAACGCGTCCTCGACCGTGGAGACAACCACCAAACCATCCGGGCAGGAAGCAAAAACTCAGAGGAGATCATCGGAATCATGGAAGGTTTCCTCAACCGGTTCGAGGCCGTTGATACCGACCGTGAGCCGGATTGCCATTTCGATGAAGTGATTGACCTCGACGTTGGTGCCTCTTCGCGGGAGAACCTGGAGACGGTAGTAAAGGCTTTACACTCGTTCTATCCTCACCTCGTGACCGAGGTGCCGACAGCACAGCAACTTGATGAGGCTATTGACTGGGCGATGAACGACTACCAAGTGCAGTTGGATCTGAGCCATCAGTACGGCTCAGCAAAGCAGGCCCAGAAACCAAAGAACAAGAACAAAATCACCGGCAGCCCGGTACCTGCAGCACCAGAACCCGAAGACCTGGCCAAGAAGATCGAGTACTTCAACATCTCCCTGCCTGCAGCAGAGGTGAAGAACATCCTTCAATCTTTGTTCCCCCAATCCACGCCTCCGGAAAAAGCACGCCTGTACAATCAGTTAACGAACAGCCGACGCATCCAGGGCGCATTCCATGTGACTCTGATCCACCGCGCCTCGAAGAAAGACTTTCCCGACATCTGGGACAGCTATGTCCGTCAGTACATTGATAAGATGAAGAGCAAACCCGAGTCTGATCCCACCATCACCCCCACGCTGGCTCCGGCTCGCGTGCGTTTGGAGCGTCTCGTTTGGGACAACCGTCTGATGGCCTTCGTAGCGCGGATCATGCCCCCCGAAGACCAGAATCAGGCTGATTGGCCATGCTCCAATGAAACTCCGCACGTCACCGTGGGCACCGTCTCGCCCGACGTCAAGCCCAAAGAGAGCAACGACCTGCTGAAATGGTGGCATGAAGTCGGCTCAGGCGGCGAGACTGGTCTCTGGGAAGCCGAGATCCCAGGGGTCAAGGTGGTGAACGGAACCGTGGGAATGGTGATGAGCTGGAAATAAATTAATGACTGATGATGGGTCATGATTAATGATATCGGAATGAAAGTAGATGCTTAGTGTGTCATAGATATGATTACACAATCAACCAGACCTCTTATTTTCACCATCCTTGATCAAGCGTGTGTAATAAGCTAATAGCAGCATATCCCGCCTTCCACTGACATCACGATATCTTGCTATTCCAGGACTACAGGAGATTAGGACCCCGATATTGTAACTAGTGGCATATGCGACTGAGCCATATTACGGATAGAGGGCTACCCTGCACCTGCTGAGGTCCTCCGGTTCTCACCGACGTACCTGGTATGCAATAATCCTATGGAAATGGGTTGTATTATATGTAGCAAGGTATAAACTGTACAATGGTAACGTATACCTGTCATCTCACTCACGTCTATCGGGATGACCACGGACTTAAAACGGGATTATACATTGTATGCGCGGTCAAAGGGCAAGGCGAGATAGTCCGGTCTCCGGTTGTATCGAGACATCGACCGCATCAGCTGGTCATCCACGCAGTGACACGCTGAGCCCCGAATCTTCCCATGAATTGCAGTCCAGTGCTACCCATGGGGAAGTAGCTGACCAGGTACCAGAGCAGGGCGGCGAGCTGAAACAGCGACGAGATGAGGGTCAAGAGGGTTGAATGGAGCTAGAGAACGTGAGACAGGTTAGTGACTGCTATCTTGCCTGCATTGCGTGCACGGGCCCGACTGGGGTCGACAGTAGCGTATGCACATTCAACCTGCTACTGTTGCAGGACGATGTGAGAGATCATATCCACGACCGGGAAGGAGTGTGCATGATGATGTCATATCGTCGGCTGAAGGCTCCGAGTGTACGCGCACGACCCCATATGCGAGATCCTCGAACGACAGGTTGGGATGCGATCGCAGGGGTGCGCGCGCAGGTCGTGCAGGCATCCTCGACATGGTCGGGTAGGGGAGATCCTGGGAAACCTGGTAGGGACCGAAGCAGCAGGGGTACTTACTCCGATAGCAAAGTACAAGGTCATGGCGATCGAGCCAAAATAGGCCGCCGTAAACGGCAGGCGTGGTCCCGAGACCAGATGTTTTGCGTAGACCCAGGGTCCCATGAGGACCGCCCATGATAGCAGAAAGAGCAAGGAACCAACCGACCATCTGTTGCAGAGGGAAAACCGGTTCGGTCAGCCACAGATTCACAGTAAGAGTTCTTGGCCAGCAATGTGGGTGAAGCGTGACGAGGTTCAGCACAGACGTTGGAATGTAGCCGGATCGGAGATGCGTGGTACATCCTCCTCAGCCAGGAGGGCATGACAAGCACTCCACCGCCTCGTGCCTCGCCGGGTTGTCAAGGAGGGGATGTATTGGGGTTCCAGAGGATCAGAAGAGCAACTTACAGGATGGCAAACTTGCGGGGCTTGAGCGATAGCACCGGAAACAGAAAAAAGCAAAGAAGGAAACAGACGGCAGCGCCAAGGTTGCATGCGATGAATATCAGCATCCGATCCCATCGACTTACTGTAAAGGGAAAGTATGATTAGCATTAGGCAAAAGTTAATGCCGGAGGAAGTAACGCGGAAAAGAAAAATAGAAAATGCATAGAAGCGGAAGAATAGAGGAAAATAAGAAAATCAATAAGGAAAAATAGGAAAAAGAAAAAGGAAAAGGAAAATGGACAAGTATAGCCCCGTACATAGACAGGCAGGAGAATACATCATCCATCATTGTTAGGGCTTCCGTGAAACCCGGCCAGACGCAGGAACTGAGTCTCTGTCACCTGGACCAGGCAGTGCAGCAAATCAAGGAAGACGGCGTCTCGACGGAGCGTCGGTCATGCGTTCGGAGGACTCACAGGCAAAGAAAGTATCTTCCTCCTCCCGGCGACTTGCGGCGGGAAGGGGAGCTCCTGGAGCTTCGTGAGTGGGCAGTTGCAGATAACCCTCCCCTTGGCCAAATGGATTCCAAGACTGTAACCGTGATAGGATGGGGGTGTTGGACGAGTTGGTGCGGGCCGGGAGATCGGGGTCTCTTCGAGACCAGCCCAGGGAGTTGACTGAATCACGGAATGAATTCGAGGCCATGGCTGCGATTCGCTTGCCTGGCGGGCCTAGTTACACCCCGGTGGAGAGGAAGAGGGTGGAAGGGACGCAGCGGATTCGGCTGCAGACAATGATGCTACCGGGTTAGTGTGCACTGGCAGTCGACCACTGGGGGAGCGACACTGCGGTGACAAGGTGAGGAAGGCTCTGCAGGGACTATGCACGACGGAAACCAGTATGTGCGTGCAGATGATCTGCAGATATCAGCGAAGGAGGGGGAGACGACGGGGAGCGAGCAATCGGCGGTGATAGGACCGAACTACAGCGGGCCAGATGACTGTTGCGCAACCGGACTAGACTCCCGAGGAGCTTGGGCACGGGACAAACCTAGAGCCCGCTAATAGAATCCTAGGCCGCTGGTGGTCCACTGGTTTCTCTCAGAGTGAAGCTGATAAGCTTGTGATCGCCCACTTGCCCGATTCGTAAAGGTCGTGTTATCAATCGTAACCACCCCCCCCAAGAGGCAATCCGTCTCTGACGCCGCCGGCCTATTCTTAGAGAGAGACAGCTGCGAGTACTCGCGGCCGTAGCGCAGACTGAAACAATATCTCCGAGGGCCGATGTAACGCTTCTAAAGGACCAGCCTGTCCCACGAGGAAGAATCGGGGTTAGTCGCCCATCCAAGCGCAAGGAATGTAGAGATCGAGAGGCCAATTACCCGGCGAGGTGAGGAGCTGCGCCGACCGGAGAATGGGAAGGAGGGGGGAGCCCGCTGCAAGATGATGACGATGACGATGGATGAGGGTTGCGAGTATCCTGGATGGCGTAACGCTGGGGCCACCCTATTTTCAAGACAGAGATCGGCTCAACACAGGCTGCAAGATTAGCCAGTCGTCATCTGACTTGAGGGGGTGAGAAGAAGGAGGTCGAGCAAAGACAAGAGGGGGAGGGGGACTAAGCAGAAGGGAGGGGAGGGGGGAGAAGGTGTGGGTGTGGGTGTGGGTGAGCAGGTGCTCGCGATGGAGGTAGGAGACGAGACCGACTCCAAACCACCCCGGCCAGACGGCGGGAGGCTCCAGGAGGGTTACATACCAGGCTTGCGTCGAAGTTGAATCGCTCCCAGGAAGAACGCCGTTGAGCGGTGGTGAACTTTCCCCACGGATGTCGTGATAAAATCGGAGGTGATGTTCTTCCAACACCAGCAGCAGCGCCCATCATCGGGATCGCAGGTCGGAATGGGAGTTCGTTCCTTCCTGCAAGCTGGGGTGGACTGCCCCGGCAGCCAATCATCGTCCTCATCCGCCGGGACGGTGTCCGGGTGATGGAACTAAGCCCAAAGCGAGCTGGTGACCCCAGCTGAGCTGTTGCTCCACCAATGGCTGCTTGAGACCGCGCCATGGCGGGCAGCCTGGATACATTTGATTGGCTAGCCGCCTGAGCATTGCCCTCCGTGCTTGAGACCATTGGAGCGTTGGACCACACCGCCCATGATGGGGTTAAACCCGTTTAGCGCCTGTTCCGCTGACCACGTCGGTTCTGACCGTATGGGCGTATGGTAACAGCCAAAACATCCCTAACCACTAGCTACAGCTCAAGACGCTGCCTACTGACGACCACTAGTCCCCCTTAGTAGGTGACTGACTCCAGCAAAAACCTGCTTCAGATTGAGAAGGTGCATGGCTCCTCTGCTGCTGTCTTCTCGCCCTGTCGAATGAGAACCCGAGAAGTCTTGGTTGGACCGGTGGCGCTCTGGAAGCCCTTCCGGCTGGCTTGTCTCCTAGTCCAATCCATCCTGGTTAGAGCAGCCGTCGATGCAGAAGCCTACTTGGACCTCAATACAATCCGTTCATAGTGTATCTGCACATGGAGACTCGTTACGACCGAGAGGCCCCTAGGTGGGTTGCATCAGGCAACTCCAGGGCGAGACACATTACGTACATAGCAGCCTAAGACTGGCTAAAGTCAAAAGTAAATGTGAGTGATTTACAATGTCATTCCGATAGATACTCCAGCTGTGAGCTTTCATCTCCCCCCAGCACTAAGCCAGCGCTAGTCTCCAGAGAAGGGGGATTGTCAGCGGGATCATTAGCCCTCTGCTGCGAAGTAAGTTCGAGGGGGATCCAATGTCTCAGCGCGCAATGAATGCGGCACTAGGTAATTTGCTCCTTTACCTTGAAGATAGATATACAGGAACCCGTTCTGGTACGAGGAACGTCACAGGTTCCCGGGCAAAGCGTAACTTTTCAGCCTGCATGATAGCAGTAGCTCGTAGCTCAGAGCTCCTAGGTCCTATAGCAGCTGCACGTACAGAGACCGGTGGGGAAGCATGGGGCGAAACAGCTCTTGCCATCGCCTCCCACCCTCCGATACGTACTGCGACTCCCTTGCAGTAACCGTGGATATCGGCCATGCCCTCCGAACCTTGACGGGACGGGACGGGCACGATTTGCGGGAACCAATGCTGTTCATTTTTCGCGCTTCCACTTTTTAAGGGCAACACCGGCTTATCTGGGATACCGCATTTGGCAGATTCGACCGGATGGCCTGACCCCGGTCATCCATTCCCGTCATTCCACCAGCAGCTCGATGTACGATGGTATCATCGAGGGCGATGGCGACGCGGTGTGGCATACCACGATATCTTCCGTTGGGGAGGCCGACATAACGACCGATGCAGGAATTCGAGTCAGTCGGCCGTACTTGGTGTATCTGGTTGGATCGTGACATACCACCCATCGGGTCTGCGGCACCCCGTACCAGGGTTGACAGTCTAATCTCTGCTGGTGGCCGTTTTCGGTCTATCAGGACGCCCGATTGATTTGATGCGCGGGGATGATTGGTGAGCTACTTTGACAGCATTCCCAGAGCAGCGCAATTGTTTTCCCACTCGCTGGATGAAAGCTCTCCCTACCCCCCCACATTCCTGGGGGCTTGCATTTCAAATCATGGACATGAGAAGGGGAATGACGGAATGGCTGTAGCAATCTGGTCGCGGTGCGCGTCTATCAAATATTGAGGAGCTGCATGATCAAGACTGCTCGGGAAACCGGAGGGAAATGGAGTGCCGCCGCGGGGAGGGAAAAACGAGGAATAGTAGGATTCAAATTAAACCAAGGCCAGCGTTGGAGAGGCCATGGGTTGGGACCACCCCCACCGCATAGTTAGAGAGGAGGCCTATCAGATCAATGCGATGGTAAAGACGGGCAAACTCCTTCTCGGGAAGCGACAGGCTGCACGGTGTCACGGACCGCCTTCTGTGTCTGTGTCAGCCCCAGTCTGGAGGACGCTCGGACGCTGGGCTGTCTTTTCTGGAAGTCGGACTGCTTCTGCCAGAGCTTCCCAACCAGGCGGCTCCATCCTGCTCCTCGTACTCCTCGACGTGGACGGGCGCTTTGACAGCTAAGCTGCCTGACCGTACCGTATCTCTGAAAGATGATGGGGCAGTGTTTATTGCCTTCAAGGAACCGCGACGCGAGACTGAGGTACGGAGGAGATACGAGTCCAGGTATCCGTCTGGCGCTAAACCTACGATGGCATCGTATTGTGTTCCATGGTAAGTCGGTGTTCTGTCCCGCTCGTCGATCCTATTAGCGTCCAGCGATCCCGACCTTGATCATTCAGAAGCCCGGGGGTGTAGTGAGTGTACATCGTAGTTGAATGGATTGGGAAGGAGATCGATTTCCTTCATGGCTACTAACTACTATGGCCCCCTTCCACATGGTCCGCCACGATCATTCATTCCTTCCCCGATACCCGGGTTGGCGCGGTCTACGGAGTACGTGCCTGTCTTACCAGCACGGGCGGTCCTAATTTCTCACATCAAAACGTTTCTTACAATTAGAGTCTCCCCCCCTCACTCGCAGGCTATGATGTCATCGTTTCTGTTTTTAAATCAAAAAAGAATAATAATAAACCATGATTTTTGTCGAATCTCACGCTCCATGGTCACTAGTCCGCCCACCAGGGTGAATGATCTGGTATGCTTGGGGCTTGCCTAGTCTGGCATCTGATACATTCCCGGGTGGGTTTCCTATCCGTGGGAAGTATACTGGATTACTAGTTCCAGTACATCCTAGTCTAGGAGTAGACCCGGTGCTCCTATCGCAGACGTCGGGTGGTAAGTCCGACGGCGATAATGATTCTTAGCGCGTCGACTTGATACAACGGCCATACTTAGTATAGGACGGAGGGGATGGCGCGACGAGATAATAGGATGGGCTGAGGGAGAATAAACCGGATAACGATGAAGGATCCCCTCCCCGAGGCTGACCCGGGGTGAGTCATGAAAGTTGTTTCCTGGCAAAAAAAGGGACAGGTGACAAATATAGTAGTACCTGGCTGCTCATGGGATTGGGATGGTCGTTATCCTCCTCCATCCGGACGGTGCTACCCTCCTTGATCGATGCTCGCTGACCGTCTCGACTCGCTGCCCCCCCCCCTCCTCCACCAACCACACGCCCCCTTTCTCCTGCGTGTATTGCGGTCGTTCTTCTTCCCTCACCCCTCCCCTCCATGTTCACATACTTAGCTTCCACTCTGCTGAGCTTCCTCGCCACTGGCCTTCCCTCCCTCCTTTACGGTAATTAATCTAGTAGTCATTCTTCTGTAATTTATCCTTTTCTTTTAGGCCACTTTATTTTTTTTTTTATTTTCTGCTGCGGATTTATCAATTCTCGTTGCAATTTACTTACATACTGTTCCCGCTGCAGAACAGGTTTACGCACGTAATCCCCGTAGAGGGCTTGTTAAGCCTCGTCGATTTGAGGATCGACGCCCTGCATGACCTTGACTGTGATATATCAAATGAGAGGCTGTGAAGAACGCCGCGGGAGTCTTTAAAGTCTCCCATTCCCCTCGTCCCTTCCGGCTGGAGGGTTGTGTTTCCTTCGATCTGATTTGGTCTACTATCTATCATACCACTTTGCATTTGTAAGTCTCCCCTCTCTCTCGCGCGCGCTCAACCTATCCAGGTGTCGGCCGGCGGCGCCGAACGGAGTCCCGCGAATTGCCTGTTTACGGCGGTCCCTAATAACCTTGCTGTACAGTGTCTTGTTGAGCACGAACCCCTCCCGGCTGCGACATCTTACCCTGAACAGGGCGCAAGTAAGTAATCACAGCTAAATACCTGTGTTTCCTTTGCCCCGGGCTATCGTGACTTTCCCATATAAGCCCCTCCTGCCGCTGAAATAAGGCTGCCCATGGGCGCTTCCATTGTTACTCCTCCTGTTCTTTGCTTTTTCACTTCTGCCTGGCCTCGCGGCTTGAGCCTCAAGAGTGACGCTGTCTTCGTCTTCTACATCAAAGAGACACTTGTTTCTTTTGTGATTCGCTATCTCTGATCTTTGCGCCATCAACTGCGCCGTTCGCACCACTACAACTCACAATATATGACCTATGCTTATGCCTCTTGTCGCAGGTCCGTGAAGAAAGATAGAACTTGACATACCTAGACCCTGACACATCGATATCCGGTAAGCAAGCCTTTCCATTGTTTCGCACATTGTCCTTGGCCGTTATTGTTCTTCATCATATCCCCCGAAAGCCCTGTCGCATTGGGGAGTGGATGCCCGTGTGAGGAAGAAGCGAGCCCGAGCACTGTCCCGTCCCAGCCACGGAGGAAGAGAGCAAAGGAGGGGTACGGGTTACTCCTCATTTCTCCAGGATGCGATGCCCGGCAAGGAGACTGCCGGGGTTGGCATGGCCTCAGCCGAGCTGTTGTTTGGGGGAGAACAAGCGACAGTTGCAGCACAGCGCCGTTGGGCTCCAACCCCTGCATGCTTTCGCGGCGGGGGAGGGTGATACCCACTGGGCGCGGGTCGAGGGTCGAACAGTTCGCGGGAAGTCAGTGGGAGGGCGCCTATGGGACACTCCAATTTGCTCCGACATCCCAAGGGGTGGTTGAGTTACCGCGGGGCAACCTTGGAAGGCTCATTCTTGTCTCACGGACCCCGAGCCGGAGAGATCTTCCCGGTTGGCAAGAAGCGGGGGGTGGCGGTACTCGGCGAGAAAGGAGGGTGAAGAGCGAGAGACGGGGGAACGAGCGAGGACCTTTCCAGCGTCATCATTATCGTCACACTCAAGTAACACCATGCCCGCCATCACTCCTCACTCAGCGCCGGGGAAGGGGGGCAAACCACGGGGAGGCCGACAGGATCGCAGCGGGTGCCAGATTCCGGGGCAAATGAACGATGCGATCTCCACCGTCCATACTGCCACTACCGACCGCCCGGGGGCACACCGTCGTTGTCACTGCCACATGCGGTGGTGTTGAAAGTGTTTGCCTCCCCCACGGTGCCTGTTTCAGCCCTTCAATCAATCAATCATCAATTGCCGTCTCCTCGCTCTCCAATCTCCAGCGCTCGCCCCTCCACTTCCCCCTCCCCCCCCATTATTCCCATCGATTTCTCTCTACCCCAGACAGATCGTATCATTATCGCCCAGCAACGCTGTTCCCCCACCCCGGGTATTGTTCTCAACGCTCCAACTCTCCCCTCTTAATTCTCACCGGCACGGCCTGCTCTTATCGCTTCCCTTTCCCTTGGTCTTTCCCCCTCTCCCACTCCCACTTTCTCCTCCCATTGTTCCACGCTTCCAGCCCATCGCCTCCGCGGCCCCATCTGGCCGCCTTTTCCCTCCTTTATTTTTGCCTCGCTTATGGCCACGCAACTCCGTCCCCTCCTTTGACTCTACTCTTCTCTGCGCTTCTCTTGTCTTTTCTTTTTCTTTTCTCCACTACTTCTTTTCCTCTGCTCCGGTCGCTTACACCAGGACTCTGTGCACAGTGGGTATTCCTCTGTGCGGTTGAGGATCGACGAGGCGGCCTATTGGATCTCAGACTCCGCCCACGATAGTGGCATTTTCCGAGGCGTCCGCTTTCGAATCTCACCTTCACAGCAACTTTGCCCGCCGCGACCAGTCAAATCCGATCGCGAACACCCCTCGCATTGTCTCCAACCTTTCTCAACATTAGAACCAATCGTACCGTCCACTTATCTAGGAGGCGTCTACAGCGCGGTTTCTGTTTACTGGATAGATCTGCTCAGTACTCTTCCTGGTTGGTAACCCGATACCTTCCCTGATTTGTGGTGGTCTGAGCCACCCCCCGTTTTCTCCTCCCTGAATACTCACTCCCGTGGCTCGTGGCTGCTTCAGTGTCTCCCTGTTTGATGGAGGGCTAACCAACTCTTGTTCGATCCGTCAGATCCTCTCTTCGCCACCCTCGCAACCTGCCCGGATTTCGTTGATGAGTCTACTTCACCGCTTGTCAACTCCCGACCACTACCTGACCTCTTGACCGTAACGCGGAGAGGCGAAGCGCTTACCCTTGGAGCATCTTTCGCTCCGACTTGAGCTTGGGGTCCTGCCATCTTTGACCCCTTATCCTACAATCCTTCGTGAGTTCGATCTTGGATCGTAAGACTCCCCTCCAAGACGCGGTCGGCTCTCTCTGCTTGGGGGCTTGCTCGAACTCGCTGCAAGATGGCAGAAACGAGCATTTTCATCAAGAACGAGCCTGACGAACACAGCAGTGAACAACATTTCCTCATGATGTCACAATCCGGGTACCCCGTGTCCAACCAGTTTGGCAACCCTAACGAAGGGGTTGACCCATCGGACCTTAGCATGCAGGGCAGCGGATTCATGTCGTATCCCTTTACATCACAACAGAACTTCAATTTTGGGAATTCGGGCATCGATACAGACGAGCTGTTGGATCTGGAGATTAACGGACAGAATGGCATGCAGCAGAATTTTCTGCAAGACCAGCACTCGAGCGCTGGGATCTCCATGAGTCATCCGGGCCAGATGTCTCAGATGTACTCCAATACGCCGGATGGGGCTCCCATGCACAGCCCTTTCATGCATGGATTTAATTATGACCATTTCCGGAACATGAGCCAACCCGGACAACCTGGCTCTCACCTCCAGGGTGGATCCCATTTTGAACAGAGCTACCTCAGCTCGAAAGGCCGGCCTAGCTTGCAGGCGGTCGACCGCGCATCGCTCGATGCACGCAGCCCGATGACCCCCAAGACCCCTGCCCTGGGTGGATTGACGCTCGGAACCCCGGAGTCCGGAAGTTTCCCTACTCAGCCCATCCGGACAGGCCTCCAGCACCGCCACCAAAAGACGTTGTCGAACCAATGGGACGGCACGCCAGGCAGTGCGCATTCGTTTGTGGAGTCCCCTATCTCTTCTCCAGGTCACCCCTCGCACCATGCCGGGATCTCCGAAATCCTCAAGTCTGGCAAGCATGCTTCCTTGCCGGCCAAGGTGGATGCGCACATGCCCGGCAGTGCCCAGGATTTGGAGTCCCAGGAGGCGAAGCGACGCCGTCGTCGGGCCTCCCACAACCTGGTTGAGCGCCGCCGGCGCGACAACATCAACGAGCGCATCCAGGATCTCTCGCACCTGGTTCCCCAGCATCGCCTCGAGGACGACAAAGTCCGGAAGCAGCTGGTGAACAACACTGCAATGTCTGCCACTGGCGCCCCGTCGAATGCTGCCACGTCTCTGCTGGCCGGGGGTAATGGCCGTCGGGCCACCGCTGGTAACATCACCATGGGCCTGCCAATCGAGGAGAAGGAGAAGGGTCCGAACAAAGGCGATATCCTCAACGGCGCCGTCGGCTGGATGCGTGACCTGATGTGGGCCCTGCATGTCAAGCTCCAGCAGGAGTCGGAGCTGGCGGAATTGATCAGCAGCCTTGGAGGCACCTGGCCGTTTGAACAAACCGAAGAGGAAAAGCGGATGCGGACCGAGATCTTGGATGCGCTGGAGAAGAACGATCCCACGTCGTTCAGTTACAGCAGAGCGCCCGGAAGCGGACTCCGGGTGCCTAAACACACCAACATGGCTGGAGACTCCGTGGCGGGCAATGGGGCTTTGAGCCCCCAGAGCCTGAGCCCGCCGTTCACCAGCGGCGGCAGCAGCAACGGCGGAGGCACTGGGCAGGCTCAGTACTGGAGTAGCTCGGGCCACGCCGGCATGAGTTTCAAGGAGGAGGATGAGTACGCGATGGAAATGAATTAGATGCTCGACGCTCGGGCTTCCATTTCTTCTCTGGCATGTCATGACCTGTTGCATACAAGGCGTCAAACGGATGGGTGGTTGACCGGCGTACGCGGAAGTCTTGGCACTTCATCGAGGCTAATGGTCCGAATTTTCATTGCTGCGTCGTTGGTTTGATTGCTTCTCTCGCGTGTGATTATGATTTTGCTTGTCTGACCGTCTCAGGTCTTGTTTGCGTGTGCTGTTCGATTTGATTCAATTCTTGTGGTGGGTTTCTTATGTCCGAACTAGTTGTTGTTCATTGTCGCCTGTTGATTATCTAGCTCGCTGTCTTGGGTTGCACGTTTCTTGTGGTTCATTGCGCATGGTGACCAAGGTCGAGTCCGACATTGCTTGCGTCATCTGGTTTTACATCGATACCCTTTTCCCTGTCCCTTTACATACCAGATCCTTAATACTTCGTTTCCTGGCTTTTGACCCCCATTTCGGATGTCATTTACGGCTGAGATTTCCCTGTTGATTTACATAGCCTGATTCATTGATACAGTGGTGCATTCGGTGCATGTACCTTTATACCTGATTTTTCTTTACGTAGTTTAGTTCATCTCACAACTCTCACAACAGTAACCATACCTCATAAAGAAATGAAATAATAAGAAGCACATCCCCACACAAACAAGGAGACTCCGAGGAAATACAACCCAATAGCGTCATACCCTCGCTAATTCCTTCCCCCTGATTGATTGACCAATCCATCCCTCTACTAGTCCTGACCTAGGTACGGAGTACGTGGCACCTACCGTACTCTAGGTACCGAAGTCCGGGGAGAGTTGGGGTAAGTGAAGCGAAGGGAACCATGGATCGCGCGGAACCGGGAGGGGAGGAGGGGAGTTTGACATGTCACATGCCACATGCACTTTCGCATTTATCGTACAGGATAATTAGTTACTCTGATGGAGTGGGTGGGTGGCCAATCATGGTTTGGTCATGTGCGTTCTTAAATAAAATGGAGAAGAATGCGAGCTAAGTGGTAAATGCTTTTGATAGACATAGAAAAAGAATGTACTCAGTACGTATAGGCATATCGTGATGGACAGAAAATGAACATGGTCTCTATTCAAATAACCACCTCTCTCACCGTCCGGGCCGTGTGTGCCTCTATTTTCTATGAAGAAATAGATAGATAGATGAGATAGAATGAAATGGAAGGGAGGATGCAGAAGAGGGTTTACTCTCCCCTCATGTTCCGGAAAAAGTCCATCACTCCGGTGAAGACCACCAGGAGGATACCACCTCCCGGTCCCAGACGCAGCACCTTGGGCAAGAAGCCCTTGTACAGGGCTCCGAAACCTTCCTCCTTCATCACGGTGCCCACGGCCGGCCAGGCCCAGTTGTACTTGGGCACCTGGCCCGGCACCTTGGAGGTGTTCTGAATCCGCGACTTGACGACATCCATGGGCGTGTTGAGGATCGTACCGGCCGTTCCACCAATCGTACCCGCAATCAGATCGTTTCTCGTCTGCTGGCTCTTGTTGCCCGGCTCGGCGGCGGGCAGCTGCGACCGCACCTGGAAGATACATCCGAAGTAACCCGAGTTCCAGAGAATGTGACGCCAGAGGGTGGACTCCAGACCGTTGTACAGAGCCAGAGGGCCCTCGGCGGCGACAATCTTCTTCACCACATCCAGCATGCCGTTGTATTTGGAGGCGCGATCCTGCAGACGGATCTTGACCAGCTCGAAGGGAACCACGACGAAAGACTCGGTCGCTCCGGCGGTCGCACCGGTCAGAATGGCGAGGGATTGGTTCTGCTCCTTGGCGCCGAACAGATTGCGGTAGAACGCACCCCAGCTGTCGTTGGCGGCGAACTTGGTGGCACGCTTGGGCGCCTCCATGAGGATGGGGGCCGAGATACCGCGGTATAGACGAGAGAAGCTAGTGAGGGGAGATGGTCAGTGAGGGGATACGTGGGGAGGGAAAGGAAAATTGACGAACCCCTCGTTCTTGACGATCTTGCGCAGGCAGTCAAACATGCCATTGTAGTATTCTTCACCGGCGACGGCGGCGCCCTTCTGGAGTTGACTAGAAGGATTGCGTTAGTGGGCGGGATCGCAATTGGGTGATAAAGAGAGCGCTTACACTCGGGTCTTGACGACATCCAAGGGGTACCTGGGGTAGGGTTAGTTTTCCATCGCGGGGATGTCGGAATGTGTTCTGGGGGGGAATTGCGCACATCACAAGAATCTAGGGTGAAGTTAGTCGCGTGCCCGCCCGTCAATGGATCACACCATACGTACCTCGGACACACCAGCGACGGCACCAGCAACGAACTGGTAGCCGAAGGGCAAGGGCTTCTGGTTGGGGTTGTTCGACATGATGCTGAATTGGCCGTGGGAAGGCGTGCAGACGAACAATCGGAGAAGACGAGTCGGGAGGGGAAGGGAAGAAGATGAAGAGAGAAGACAAGCGATGGAGATTATCGAGGGAGGAAGCCGGAGTCGGAGAGGGTCGGGGACTCACCGGGATGTCGCCCGATCGGGTAAAACACCGCCCCACGTGCCGCCCCACGGGGCTTCCGACTGATGGACTGATGGACTTATACCGGCCGCCGCTTTCATCGTCGCGCATGGACTTCATTCTCGCGTATAGAGTACCGAGTATATACATGACTCATTACAGACGTTTTATCGTTCCATCATATCCCAAGGGCCACCAGTAGGCCCATTCCCACCATCCCTCGCTGCCACCCCAGTTTCTCACTCCCGCTCGTGGCCTGCTCCTTGGCCACCGTCTGTGTCGCCGTTGACACCGCTGTACAGCTGGATCCACATTGGTATCCTGTCGGACAGCACCCTCCTCCGACAGTGGCTGCACAGCTGAACCAGCCACTTGCGCAGTGTGCCGCCTTGCTGGTTGTTAATGCCGTGGTCGTGTCCGTGGTTGTGGCCACGGGAACTACAATGGTGACTCCGTCGCTTGTGAAAGTCGTCGAGGGTGTTGCGGGGCAGTCCGTCGTGTCGCAATTGCGGCCAGTACGGCAACATCCTCCCTGGTAGACGGCCGAACAGGCATAGAACCCGGTCGGACAGACCGATGCTGTACTGGTGGTTTTGGTGGTCTCGGAGTTCGTGGAGGTGGAGACACTGGTAGGCCGAGCGGGAGGGACTAAATCGCCCGTCGACTGCGTTGCCGTGGTTGCAGGGATTGTGTGTGTGGACGTCGAGAGCATGACCGTTGAGCTTATGGTCACCGTGATCGTATACACCCGCATACCTGTGCAGTTAGCCTCGACGCAATTCAGAGATCGTTTCTATCCAGGCAGGTCACTCACAGCCACCAGTCACACATTCATACCCCGGAATGCAGCATCCTCCGCCCAAAGATGACGAACAACTGGCGTACCCATCCTGACATGATCCGATGGTCCCCGAGCAAGTGTCCCCCGTCGGACAGCAGCCCACATCGCCAGATCCCGTGTCGTTGACCAGGACGCAGGTGTCGCTCGTGCTACAGCAGCTGTCGGCCCGGTCAATCGATGTGCAGCTGTATGTGCCGGTAGGACACTTGAATTCTCGTCGAAGAAGCGGTGAGAAATGCTCGCTCCACCCGCGCCTCTCGACCTCAAGGTCGCTCGGGTAGGAGGGTCGAAATGGATACGAGCGAGGTTGGAAGTCAACCTTTTCGGTGGTGTTTATCGATGGCGGTAGTTGCGAATATAACCCATCGATGTCGGATGTGTTGCCTGCTGTGTAGGCTTCGTCGAACAGCCAGTAGTCCAGGAAGAACTTTTCGCTTTCGTCATCGGTCATTTTCCGAACGCCACGGACGGGCTTCTGCGACAGGTATGACTCGATGAGGGCATTGTGTTGGAGGATTGCATCTGCATGTTGGGGATCGTTGGAGATGGAGATGTTGCTTGCCAAGGCCTGTCCTGCGATTGATGGCCCGAGTACGCAGGCCAGTAGGGGTGCGAACAGCATGAGGCAGTTCTCAGAACTAAGCCAGGATTAGCTTCCACATCGAGGAAAGAACAATTCAAACCTACGGAGTAAAATATGCTTCCAACAGACAAAATCTATGCAACCCAACTGCCCGATGTTGGTGTCCGTGGTCTGTTGGCCATCAAGGTGACCAAAGGGAAATGACCAGGATCAACTGCAGATCATAGCGGCACTAAATACTAACCGCCGCACGAATCAACAATGGTCCAAGCCTAGCCGACCAACAACGTTGGGGGGCAACAAATGCGTGGCTGGGAAGTGGGCAGAACTAAGAGGCCGCAGCTAACAAGTGGGCACCTCCCGATCGGGAAGGCAAGGCATGGCTGTGGATGGATACCTGATTGTGCCGGCAGTACTTTTACCGCTTTGCGTCATGGCGGTGGGCCGGCCCTGGGCTGGCAGGTTGTTGGGTCGAGAGTGGATTGACTCACGGACTCCGCACCGGAAAGCTTATTTTTAGAATGAGATACTATGTCCAAGTCCAGGAAGGAGGGGAAGGATACACCGCGGCGTCAAATTCCACGAGATTAATGGCACCGCGGGCGAACCGCTCGTGCTAGTGATGGGGCTGAGTCGCAGGGCGCTTGTTGGGTGACAGGGTTGTTCCCCCTCCCCCATGTCAACCGTCAACTGTTAAACGCCGTCTGTCCCTCCTCCTCGAGTCCGTCCCTCCCACTTTCTCTTACAATTCCATCCACGCGCAATCATGGAGGACTCCCCGTGTGACTATCCCAGCGAAATTGTCTATACCCAGGAGCCACTCTCGGGATACAAGTTCGGTGGCTACCTGCCAGTCCATCTGGGCGACACATTTAAAGATGGCCGCTACACGATACACCATAAGCTCGGGTGGGGAGGATACTCCACCCTCTGGCTGGCTCATGACATCCTGTGCGCCAGAACTCCCTCGTTTCATCAACCCCATCCACTAACTCTCCCCAGGCAAAATCGCTGGGTCTCGCTGAAGATCAAGACGGCAGACACTTCCCAGAGTTCCCAAGAACTCCCCAATCTCCAACAACTGGAGAAACTGGCCGCCCCACATGGTCTCGGGTCGAGGTTCATCTGCCACCTCCTCGACGCCTTCATCCACTACGGCCCCAACGGCATCCACCAATGTCTCGTGTTTGAGTTGATTGGTCCGACCGTCGACCGGATCATCAGTGACTACCGCGAGCTTTCTGATTCCCTCGATCCCCAGACCATTCTCAAGTTGTCGAGACAGCTTCTCAAGGCTATTGAGTTCACCCATGCCGCGGGGGTGGGGCAGCTAGGTAAGCGCTGAACTCTTGCCGTTGTTTCAAGCACCTTTGCTAAGTAAACCCAGACATCAGCGGCCGAAACATCGTCTTCGGTGGGAAGAGTCTGTCTTATGTATCCGAAAGCATCATTTTTGCTGTCTTTGGATCCCCGGAGCATGAACCCGTGACTCGTCTCGATGGCACCCCGCTGCACAAAGGCTTCCCGCCTTCTCTGATCAGGCCGGTCAACTGGGAGGACTGGCTTGAGGAATTCCACGAAGACATCCGGATTCTTGACATGGGAGAAGGTTTCTTCCAGGAAGAGGTAGCTCCTCAACTAGCCCAACCTGGGCCAGCACGGGTGCCAGAGGAAATCTTCACGGAAACGTCTGACTATAGGGCTGATCTATGGCGCACTGGCTGCATGGTATGCTATTCACTCGAACTTTGCCGAATTATGCTCATCTGCGATTACAGCTTTTCTTTTTCGTGTTCGGGACATACCCGTTCCAGTCCGAGGTTGACGATGAGGTTCTGGTTGCGGAGATGGTTGACCTTCTGGGGGACTTGCCCGAGGAATGGCAGCCAGCCTGGGATGAGATGCAAGAGAGTTTTGATGATGGCATGGACTTCCAAGGTGAGTTGAAGTGGACCCCGCACACGGCTAGTGCTGCAGCCGCTGAGAATTCTACTGGTTCCCCGACAGGCGATGAAATATTGGATCTTGAGGGACTGTTCAATAAGGAAATTGGTGAACCGGACCTCGCTCCTCTCGTGCCAATCATCAGAGGATTGCTGGCGTTCCTGCCTTCTGAACGTATTACAGCGTCGGAAGCACTTGATCTTTTGGGACCTGAAGAAGAGGATCTGTTTAATTAGTCAATTTCATTGGTGTAAATAGGAGAGATTGTCTGCGTTTTGAATTTAGTTACGAATTCCCAAGTCAAAAAGAATCCCGCCAGTAGAATCCTTTTAGTAATTCTGGTCCTGATTTCAATATCGAGCTCAGTTCGACATCTCAGCGACACGGACTTTCATCATTGTTCCATCCACCGGCTTAGCGGTGACCTGCATAGTCTTCAAGCCAAAGTTAGCGACCGTCCATGCTCTCAGAGATATGGAGAGACCTACATTAAACAACTCCGATTCAACTTCATACTGTCCCTTCGCATCCAGAATAGGCTCGCCGGCGCTGTCCCGCGCAACCGCCCCTAATCCCACTTTCACGAAATCAAATCGTCTCGCGGTACACGCCAAAATTACCCGTGCCTCGAGGTTAGCCAGCTCCTGTCCGATGCAGCTGCGCGGACCCCGCTCGAATGGCCTCCACGCACTGGCAGGTACTTGACCTGCCGCGACCGGACCGTTGTCTTTGTCATCTGAATTATCCATCGGCAATCCCAGTCCGGTGTCTGTATCTCCCATCCACCGCTCCGGCAGGAACTCGTCCTTCGTTGGTCCATAGACTGCCGCGTCTCGTTGAATAAGCGTCGGACAGTTGTAAATGATCACTCCGTCCAGACAGAGAGACTTTCCATTCGGCAACTGAACGTTGAATCCTGTACCAGGGGGCATATACCTCGCCGATCCTGATGGTGGATACAACCGCAGGGTCTCCTTGATTACCGCAGACGTGTACGACATTTTCTTGAGGAGACCATCACCACCCGGAGCCAACAGTTTCTCCTGCACGGCTGCGGGGGATGACTCTGGTCCGAAAACATCGTCTAATTCGCGACGAAGTGTATCCAGCGCTCGCGGGGTGCGGCTGAGCTCATAAAAAGCCCATTCTAACAGAATACTGCTGGTGTCGTGACCAGCGAATAGAAAACTCTTTAGCTGATGGCACGTCTCCTGGAGGGTCCGATCATCCAAATGGTCAATGTCTTGCAGACTTAGTGACAGAACGCTACGGGAGAGTTTCTCATTTGACTCCTTGAGCTCCGCGAACTTGGCCTTGATGTGATCTGTTATCAGGGCATCAATGCGTCGAGTTAACACTCGGCGCTGCCAGAGTACACGCGGGTTCAGCGAGTCGTATTGTACGGTGCTATTATTGCGGTATGTGGCTGTTAGCTCTCGGTAGAGGCGGACGAGTTCGTCCTGCTTGCTGGCATCGTGCTGAGCGTGAAAGTCTTTGTCCATGGTCACTGCGCCTTGGGGAAGTCAATACGTGCAACGCACCAGGCTTATCATATGACACACCGATGATATCGAAGACAAGACCAACGCACCGCTCGTTTAACGAGAAATCCTCCCCGCTGCAAGCATACCCATCAAGGATCTCAGCGAACCGCATCGTCTTGTCAAGAATACATGGCAGCAGAGTCAGGAGATGCTGAGGTGCAAAGCCCGGGTTGAATCGCTTGCGTAGAGCCTTCCATTGCTCTCCCTAAGACGTTAAGCATTTATACAGAAGGTATTGAATGATGGCGTACCTCAGACGTAATAATGGAATAGGACCCCAACAAAGGCTCCAACGTCTTCATCCACGGCGACTTTCCCATACTATACGGGAAATTCTTGGTATTCCGGGATACTTGTTCCGCGACCTCATGGTCTCTGACCACACACAACGGACGCTGCAAGGGGCGGAGATCATATAGAACCAGAGGGGGGTTGCCCAGATGCTCCTGGATTTCGCGGAATATGATGTCTAGTGAGCATCGTCAACTAACTCGCATTCCAGCGGCCATGGGAGAAGATGACTCGAACCAATATGTCTCTTCTTTTCACCTCGAACAATAAACTCGTTGATCGCCTTCATATGACCCCAGACCAGGGACGGGGGAAGCTGCGGCCAGTCGCCATACTGCTTGAATCGCAAATGCCGGGCCCGGCGCAGGAGGTATGAGAGTAGCAGAGGCAGGAGGATTAGGAGGATCGTTTGTGCGAACATAGTCGCTGTATCCCATCAAGGTGGATGCTTGAAATTCGAGTTAACATGAGGGGAAGTGAATGCTCCCTGTGTTGTAGGACCGCCGGATGGTCCCGTGGCTGGCATTCCACTCATCCATGGCACTTGCCGTGTTCTTCGTAAAATAGATAGGGTGGCAGTTTACTCCGTAGGGAAAATTCAATTGGTTATGATTCTTCGATATCCACAAATCCCCGTCTAGCAGCATATATCGTCTGTCGTTCCCTCTCTATACAGGTTCCCAGAACTATCTTGGGTATCATCAGTCCACTTGTATACAGGATAATGCTCGACAAGGGCCGATAGACTCTGCCTATGGATGTCTGGTTACAGTTCTGACGTCATTGGAATGTGACATGCACCACTCCTTTCTTCTCGTACATTATGTGACAAAGTGTACCAAGTAGCTGAAAGAACTATGCCTCATGTCTAGCATGGATAGGACCCTAGAATGATTTCCAATAAGGCTTCAAGTACCCATACTCTACCCTCTCTACATTTGCCTCTATTAAAACACGCCCTCTAAGATCAACCCCCTGTACGCCCCTCCCAAATCGCTCTTCCCCTCACGTTTCCTTCCTAGCCATATTCAACTCAAGCTCTGCATTACCGCCACCTTCTCTGGACTCTCCTCCCAAAACAATGCATGCCCCGTCCAAGAACTCCAATGTTCTTTTCTGGATAGAATTGTCTACTGGGGAGTGGCATGAAGGATGGATGGGATAGCGCAATTAGTGTCATGAAAGATTATTGGAACGGGTTTATAGCGGGTATCATTCCCAACATAGACGGATTAAATTAAAATAAGCTCACAATCCATTTTATTATGCCTGCATTCCACTACATATTGAAAAGAAAACCGAGCTATCAATTTGATAATCTGACATGCCGCTGCGCCGAGACTCCTGAGTACCACCGGCATTGCTTCACCTCCACCAACACCATCCAGCCAACTAAATGATTCCAGCTCACTAAACAACCATCGAACGAATGACGAAAGGTAAACCACAGCTATTCTTCCCTATGCATGCTAACGAGGAATCGAAAGCAACGCCTCAAACCCTCCCTTCAACCGCTCACTATCCCGTCGCAGCAGCTCCCCATCACCGGCATCCTCAATCAAGCGCGCAGCCGTATCCAAACTCGCCGGGAATGCCTTCGCAACCAGCGTGCGCACAATCTCTATCCGCGCCGTCCGATTCTCAATCGCAGCCAAGATCGCCTCGAAGATATGCGTCTTATTCACGAACCTCGCATCTCCCACGCCCCGCAGCAGCCCCTGCATCTTCCGATTATACAGCAACCGGTACCGCTTCAACTGCTCCGGAGAATCCTCCCGCGTGTCATACGGCCATCCATACACCACCGGGTCCAAATCCCTCGTGATCCAGCCAGGGAAAACAGCATAGCCCAAGAATCGCGGCATCGTGTGCGCCCCCTCCCAGTCAATGATGCCCGTCACATTGCAATACTCATCAAGGCGGATATTCTTGGATTCAAACTGCGGCACTGCCAGCACGAATGTCTCGCGGTCATCCGTTCTCCGTTTCGTCGACAGCGGCAAGCACGAGATCATCATGTCTAAGAATATGCGACAGCCAATCTCGTACGGACTACTTCCCAGGCCCTCGTTGGAGGTGACTGCCAGACGATCGCGCAGAAACTCCACCGTTGACTCGTATGGTCCGTACTCCGCATACTGGATGCCTGTGTCTGACATCTCTGCATAGTAGCTGGGATGCATCCGCCGATGGCCCTGGTCATCAACTCCCACAGTGCCGATCTTGTCGAAGTAGAACCCGCGCAACTGTGCCATCGCCTCCGCAACACTATCCAGGATCCGCAGACGCTTCTCTTCTAACGACATCGGGCCTGACTCGTCGAACCAGACATCCGCAACTGAGGTTCCCGAAATGAAACCCTCCACGACATATGGCGCTTCGAGAACATTCGCTGCCGAGGCATTGAAGTCGTATATCTCGGGCATGGGAATCATAGTTCGCTTGCGGATGAATCGCATCATTTCCACTCTGGCAATAAGGGCGCGTTTGGCAGGCTCGGTGAAGTGGCCGGGTCGACCGCTGCAAGGCAGACGAATGACATAGCGCAGCTTGTCGTCGAACTCGATCACATGGATGAGGTAATTGCTGCCTGTGAGACGCTCGATCAGGGTGGCCGTGGTGAAGGTGTCTGTTGTGAGCTTTCGACGGATGTCACTGGCCAAGGTGGTGAGGGCGTCGGGGTTGATGGCGAGAAGGGCCCCAAATCGCTCTTCCACGGGGGTGTGTGGGCTTTGGATGCCTGGATGGTTTGCGTCAGACATGTTGCTGGACTCTGTCTGTTGTAGGGACAAGAAGGAAAAAGAGGAGGTCAACTCGGTTTGGGTGAGCGAGATGAAGGTGCAGGATAGATGTAAACGATGCGAGGTTTCGAACTTGACGGACCTTAACACTCTTCATATTCAGAGAAAAGTTTGGATCATTCACTACTCCCTCGAAGAGGGCAGTGAATGCAGCCTTTTCGTAGGAGAATCTATAGCACCATACTCTTCAGTGGGTCAGAAGTACTGTCACTAAACTATCACGGCCAATTAGCTATAGCTCTCAGATCATGGAAAATCCTACAGACTCGATATCTAGCCCAATCTCCTGATGGATCGCGCTTTTAGTGCAGATAGAATCTCTTAAGATGTTGGTGTTTCTATACCACTAGATCGTGACCAAACAATATATTATCACATGATTTCCGATTCCACCGCCAGAACCATTCGAACTTGTCTTCATTTCAGCTCGTGTCTCATCTTATCTTCAATTGTAAAGCTACAACACGTCCTCCACCAAGACCGATTACTTATAATGCTGCTTCAGCAGTAGCACTGAAGTTGTGAAGGCTCCCCCGCGGTTCAAAAACCACCCGGTTCAACTCCAGGTTATTACCACTGTTAATGGGCAGAGAGTCTTCTTCCGATGGCGTTCCCCAGCCTCCTCCACCAGGTCTGTGCACATCGTTAGCAAAATAAACAAAAGAATGAGGGTATGGACGTACGTATGAATAATAATCCGCTCCCCCGGCTGCACCTTCAACTCCATCTTCCCCCCAATATTAATCACCCGTTCAGTCCCATCCCACTCCTTCTTGACATATAGATTCAAACCCGCCTGACCAGGTTCGCCACCCGCGAGTCCATACGGCCGATAAACCCGACGCTCACTCAGCATCGACGCCGACAAGGGGATACGGAACTCCAGCTCCCGAATCACCCCGTCTCCACCACGGTACAGCCCCTTACCGCCGGATCCCTTGCGGATGGAGAACTGCCGCAGGATAACCGGATACCGCAGCTCATACACTTCGGCATCGGTGATCCGAGTATTGGTCATGTGGACATGGACTCCAGACGTCCCATGCCAGGTTGCTCCGGCGCCGGAGCCACCGCAGATGGTCTCGCCGACCCCGAAACCGGGAATATCGTTGCCGTGCTCGTCGAGCCCGCCCATGCCGAATGAGATGATGTTGCAGCATCCCTGTGAGGCTGCGCAGGCTTGGAATGCCCCTAGGACGACATCCGTGATGCGTTGTGATGTGATGGGGTTTCCGGCGCAGACGGCGGCGTAACCGGATGGGTTGATGAGGGTGCCTGAGGGGATGATAACGTTGATGGGGGCTAGACAGCCTTGGTTTAGGGGGATGTCGACGTCGATTAGGGCGCGCAGGCTGTAGATGATGGCTGAATGGGCGATCGCTTTGGGGGCGTTGAGGCAGTTGAAGGTCTCGCGTCCGGTGCCGGTGAAATCGAACTCGGCTGACCCGGTCTCGGCGTTGATGCGAATCTCTAGACGGATCTCTGTACCGTCGTCCATGAAATCGGAAAAGCGAAGGGGCTGGCCGGGTGCCCGTTTGCCAATGCTTTTGAGCAACTCGCGCACCGCGGTTTCGGCGTTCTTTTTGATCGCGTCCATGTAGAAATGGACTACTTCGAGCGTGTTTTCTCGGACAAGACCTTCTAGCAACTGTGCGCCCTTCTGGTTGGCTGCGATAGCTGCTTTCAGGTCGGAGACGTTGTCTTTGTATGTGCGAGTGCCGCTGCAGCCAGGGTATGAGGCTGGCTCGTCATACAGGAACTTTCGGACCATTTCCTCGTCGAATCGGCCTTGCGATACCACTTTGAATCCCATTGTCATGGCGCCTTCCTCGTATAGCATCTTGCTGTCTGAGGGCATAGATCCTGGAGCAATTCCTCCGATTTCCGCTGCAGCAAGGTTAGACTATGGGGGATCATTATAAGTGGCTGCTCTTACCATGGTGGCCTCGGGAGGCAACATAGAAGATGATTTTGCTGCCTTGCTGATCCCAGACTGGAGTGATAATAGTAATGTCTGGAAGATGCGTTCCTCCAGCAAGAGGATGGTTGGTCAGGATATGATCTCCTGGTTTCAAGTCGCTGCCATATTGTTTGTGCTGATACCGGACAGCGTACTCCATACCTTGGTTCAAATCAGTCGTGTTAACATCCACTAGAGGAGAATGTCACTCACTTCCCAGATGCACAGGAACATTAGGTGCATTCGCAACAAGCTTTCCGTCAGGTGAAAACACTGCGCAAGAGAAATCCAACCGCTCCTTGATATTAGTCGAGACAGAGGTCTTCTGGAACATCCGGCTCATCTGGTCGGCAACCGACATGAACCGATGCCCGAAAATAGACAGCTTGATGGGATCGACCACCGTGGCATTGTCATCCTGCTTCTTGACCGATTGGACGTTGAGTATCACATGGCGAGACAGGATGGTAGCCGTTGCATTCGGCTCAACGACAATGGTCTGTGTCTTGTCGATGATCATGGCCGGTCCTTGGATGAAGCTGCCCGGTTGCAGGTGGTCCAGGAAGAACACTGGCGTGGGGACACGTCCAACACCAGCGAAGTACACGTCTGTAGCATCATTCTGCTTCTCCGTGCCCACGATAGAGGTTGTTAGGGACCGGAGCTCAGGCTGGGGCGCTTCTGGGGGAACGGAGATGGCTTTGCCCACTCCACGCACCCGGATATCCTCGACCAGGATGTTACGGCCTGGGAACGTAAAGGAAAACTCGCGTTGATGTTCCTGGATGAATGCCGCCTCGAAATCTCCGGCCTCCGGTCTGAGCACCATGAGTGTGTTGTCGGTGCCCTGGTACCGGAGGTTGAGGTAGACCTCATACTGGATGCGAGCCTCCTCGATTCCGTCGGTAGTCAAGGCCTCGGTGACCTTTGCCTTGAGGGCCGTGATACGGTCGTGAATTGATTCCATCGCAGTTGCAGTAAGAACTCCGGACGCAGGCTCCTGGGATTCATGCACCACATCGGCGAGAGCCATACCGTACGCGGATAGAATCGATGAATAGCGGTGGATAATGACGGTCTTGATTGACAGCGACGACGCAATGGCACAGGCATGCTGCCCGCCCGCTCCACCAAAGCAGGCCAGATTGTGGGCAGATGTGTCGTAGCCACGAGCCTCGGTCAGGGCTCGGATGGGCTTCGCCATGGATTCGTTTGCGACCTGGATGAAGCCTAGAGCAATCTCCTCTGGCGTCTTCTGATGTCCCGTCTCTGCATTGATTTGGTCTGCCAGTTCGGTGAACTTCCGACGAGTGACCTCAATATCGAGCGGCTCATTCTCGTTAGGGCCAAAGATTTTGGGGAAATACCCAGGCAGCAGACGGCCGAGGAACAGGTTGGCATCAGTCACTGTCAATGGACCTCCTTTGCGGTAGCAAGCTGGACCGGGATGTGCGCCTGCAGATTCGGGTCCTACAACAAAGAGTCCATGACGCCAGAATAAAATGCTGCCGCCTCCAGCCGCGACTGTATTGATATCCAGCTGCGGAGCCATCACGGTCACTCCTGAAATGGTGTTCTCGAAGGTATGCTCCAGCTTGCCGTCGTACCGCGAGACATCTGTGCTGGTGCCTCCCATGTCGAAACTATATCAGTTAGCGGATTGGATGCCTCATGATGATATCTGGAAGAAAGGCATACCCGATCACTGGTTTCCGGTCTTCTGGATCAAAGGAGGTACCTGCGTAGCCAACAACACCACCTGCCGGGCCTGACAAGATTGCCCGTAATCCAGTGAATCTATGTACAGTGAGCTATACATACCACCTTCCAGAAGGAAAAGGGTCATACTTTTGGAAATTCACCAATCCTCCGTCACTCTGCATAAACTCGCAGCGTGTGTCTGTCGACCGTAACTCGTCCTGAAAACCCGATCGGAATCCTTGAATATATCGCTGGATGACAGGAGTCAAGTAGGCATCTGCCGTTGCAGAGGCGCCTCGGGAGGTCATCTTGATCATGGGAAGAAGCTGGCTGGAGAGCGAGATCTGCGTGAATCCGATCTCGCTAGCAATCCGCTCAATCGCCAATTCATGCTCTTGGAAGGTATACGAGTGCACGAGACAGACAGCGATGGAGCGATATCCTTCGTCGTAGAGTGTCTGCAAGCTCTGTCTCGTCTTGTCCTCGTCTAAGGGCTCCAGAACGCGAATGACCTCTCCACTGACTCCCCTTTTCAGGCAGGGGTCTGTCTCCAACGCTGCCTCAAGGCCTTCTATATCTGGAAGGGGATTTTGTTGATATCCCTCGATCGTGACCCGCTCGTCTACCTCGACTACGTCCTCGTAAAGGACATCGGGTCGTTGGATATTCAGGGCAAAGAGCTTAGGACGCGACTGGGTCCCGATGCGAAGTGCATCTTTGAAGCCCTTGGTGATCAGCAGCGCCACACGCTCTCCTTTTCGCTCCAGCAAGGCATTTGTAGCCACTGTCGTTCCCATGCGAATACTGACACTGCCGAAATCTGATGTGGTGAGCTTCTGGTCTCGGGGGAAACTTTTCCCTGTGGCTTGCTCGAGGATCCGACGAATGCCTTCGATGGGAGCATCTGCATAGTTGGCTGGGTCTTGGGAAAGCAGCTTGACGACGATATCGTCCTCGCGGCCTTCCACAATGCCCAGACAATCGGTGAATGTGCCACCGCGATCTATCAGGTCAGCTTCCGGTCGTTCAATCAGGTAGGCGTCTCACCAATAGCGATCTTAATGTTTAGTTTTGACGAGGACATGATGATTGGCTAGGATACAGACAGAACATGTGCAAGAGAGGCATTCATTCTCCGCGAACGGCTTGCGTGGCTTTTATAGACCGCACCGGCTTGATTCATTACGAATGGCGTCTCGCCCTAATGCGGCGCTATCTTATCGTGCCTTTGCTGTCGGCCTCGCTCCGACCTTCCCCGCGCCCTAGTTTCTTGGACGGTGGAGTCCTGATAACGAGTCAGTGTCTGTTATCAGGCGTTTTTAGATGATGGTATAAATCTGTCAAACGGCGACATGGTTGGGGTCGTTTCCCCCACTCCATCGATCCAGATCCTGCCCGGTCACCATGACTGCTGACCAGAAGAAACCCGGCCTCGACAGCCATGTCCCTCACGATGATGTCCTCAAGCAGGGACAGCTCGACGACTTCAACCGTCCCCTGGGGCAAGGGGAGGATGTCGCGGTGCAGTTCCTCGCCCAGCTGGATCCCGTCATCATGGCGACTCCTATCGCTGAGGCAGAAGCGCGCCGCGTGCTGTGGAAGATCGATCTGATCCTGATCCCATTGATCATGGTCACCGTCGTGCTGGCCGCCGTCGACAAAGTCATCATCTCCAACGCTGCCATCTACGGCATGGAAACCGACACCCATCTCACGGGTAACGAGTACTCCTGGGTGGGCTCGATCTTCTACTTTGGCTACCTGGTCTTCGAATACCCAGCCGCATTGCTCATCCAGCGACTCCCCGTGGCCAAGCTCTACGCGGCCATGGTCTTCACCTGGGCCGTGCTGATGCTCTGCACCGCGGCGACGCACAACTTCGCCGGCCTCGCTACCGTACGCTTCCTGATGGGCATGCTAGAAGCATCCGTCTTTCCCATCTCCAGCATTCTCACCGTAATGTGGTGGAAGACCAGCGAGCAGCCCATCCGAGTGGCCTTCTGGTTCAACCAGCTGTCGTCCGTCTTCTCCGGCGTCGTCAGCTACGGCATCGGCCACACCCACACAGCCCTCCACCCCTGGCGACTCCTCTTTCTCGTGCTCGGCGCCTTCTCCATCCTCTGGTCCATCATCCTCTACATCTTCCTACCCGACTCGCCCGTCCAATGCTGGTACTTTTCCGACCGCGAAAAGTTCGTCTGCCTCGAACGCGTCAAGGACAACAACACCGGCATGGAAGACAAGACCATCAAATGGTACCAGGTGCGCGAATGCCTCCTGGACCCCAAGACCTGGCTGCTGGCCCTCTTCTCGCTCGCCCAGAACATCCCCAACGGCGGCCTCGTCACCTTCTCCGCCCTCATCGTCACCGGCCTGGGCTACTCCTCCCTGATCACCACCGTCCTCGGCATTCCCACCGGCGTCCTCGCCACCATCTGGCAACTCCTCCTCTCCTTCCTCGCCTCCCGCATCCCCAACTCCCGCTGTCTCATCATCGCCATCTCCAACCTTGTCCCCATGGTCTGCGCCATCCTCATGTGGAAACTCCCCCGCTCCAACAAACACGGCCTCCTCGCCTCCTACTACGTCTTCTACACCTACTGGGCCCCCTACGTCCTCTCCACCTCCCTCCCCATGGCCAACACCAGCGGGCACTCCAAGAAGCTAACCCTCAACGCCATTTTCTTCCTCGCCTACTGCGTCGGCAACATCATCGGTCCCCAGGTCTTTCGCTCCACCGACGCCCCGACTTACTCCCATGGCTACGAGGGCCTGCTCGCCTGTCTTGTCGTCGCTATCGTCGCCATCTCAGCCTACGGCTTCCTCTGTCGCTGGGAAAACCAGCGTCGCGACGCCACTGGCCATACGGACCCTGTGTCCGAGGATGCGGCGTTTTCGGACCTGACGGATAAGGAGAAACAGTCATTTCGGTATACTTACTAACCTGCCATACCAACACTCTAAAACTCATAGTAACCCGTACCTGTCTGAAATAATGACCGTATAAGATTAAAAAAAAATATACTACTCTAAATTCGGGTTTCTATTTACCGTACTCTATAAGCAAACCCACACAAGCAAGCCTAAGATTCCACACACAGCGCCGTATTCATGAACCCCACCACATCCATCCTCCTGATAATAATTAACATTGGCAACTCTCCCTATACGTAGGTATTCTCCCCTTCACCCTTCAGTGTGCTAAGTATCAGCATCTTAATTCATCTCATCTATCACATAACACAAACCCCATCCCTCGAACCCTACAGTACCCAACCCACAAATCCAAAAATTCATCCAAAAGCCAAACAAAACAAAACATGCCTCGAAGCGAGCGACCAAACCATCATCCTCGCTAATACTACTTACTACTAGTAGTAGTGGTTGAGTATTAGGTGGCATCAAATCAAATGCGGGGTGAGTAAATAGATTACGACCTATACCGACCTAGGTAGGTAGGTGCCGGCCGGTACGGAGGTTGTGGGACATGACATGTAATAAGTATTGAGTAATAAGGTACGCGCTGTGCGGAGCTTGGCTTGTACTTGTGGATTATCTAATCATAGATATTTTCTCTTATTATGTGTTAGTCACCTGTTGGAGGCTGTGAGTGAGATACTTCGATAGGATAGAGAAGGTCGGAACGAGGGCCCGGTACTAACGGAGTAGGCCCAGCTTATCTGATTCTTGGCGGACGGGTTATCTATACCTATTCCTTATCGGAGGCGGACCGATAACGAGTCTCTAGGAAGGGAGGGGGAAAAGGGCAGGTCGGTGCGAGGGACATACGTAGTCGGTCATGAGGGTTTAGTTATTGGTTGAGATTTGAATTATCCTGGTTAATAAATACCCCGGTTGTGACCTAGGTAGGACGAGAGATCATATCTCACACACCCAGCTATGAATCCGAATACGAATATCCTCATCGTCGGAGCAGGCTGCTTTGGCACCTCCACTGCATATCACCTCGCTCAACGCGGTTTCACCTCGATCCGTGTGTTGGATCGATATCCAGCGCCGTCGTGCGAGGCTGCTTCCACGGATATCAGCAAGATCATTCGCAGCGATTACAACGAGCCGTTGTATGCGCGGCTGGGCATTGAGGCCATTGCCGCTTGGCAGTCGGAGGAACTGTTCCGCGACTTGTACCATGTGCCGGGCTGGGTGCTGAGCGCGTACAAGCTGTCCTGCGCGTTTGTGGAAGGGTCGATTGAGACAAGTACCAGGCTTGGGGTGAAGGGTTTGGAGCGACTGTCGCCGGAGCAGATCCGGGAGCGGTTCCCCCTGGTGACGGGCAAGCTGGACGGGTGGAATGTGAATGTTTGGAACCCTACGGCTGGCTGGGCGGCTGCAGGGGAGGCGCTCCGTCGCATGGCCGTTGCAGCGCAGGAAAAAGGGGTGGAGTATTTCTCTGGGGAGCAAGGCTGGGTCAAGCGGCTGGTGTTCGAGGAAGGAGGGTGCTGCACTGGGGTGGTCACGGCCGACGGGGCCACGCATGTCGCGGACCTGGTCGTGGTGGCCGCGGGGGCGTGGACGCCCTCGTTGCTCGATGTGGCCGGCCAGTTGACGGCTAAGGGGCACAGCGTGGCGCACATTCAGCTCTCCCCGGCGGAAACGGCACACTACTCGGCATTCCCCATCATGGACAACCTGGAGCTGGGCTATTTCTTTCCACCGCAGGCCGACGGGGTGTTTAAAATGGCGCACAGCCAATTCATCACCAATGTGCAGACGGACGCAGAGTCGGGGATTACGACCTCCATCCCTCACACCTTTGTGCAGAGCCCGCAAGATGATCTTCCGCTGGAGATTGAAGCCCAGATGCGTCGCAACCTGCGGCGAGTCCTGCCGGAACTGGCCGACCGGCCGTTCTGCTATACGCGCCTCTGCTGGGATGCCGATACCGCCGACCGCCATTTCCTGATCTCACCGCATCTCGATCACCCGGGGCTGTACATCGCTGCTGGGGGGTCCGCACATGGGTTCAAGTTCCTGCCCGTATTGGGCAAGTACATTGCTGACCTGCTGGAGGGAAAGCTGGAGCCCGAGATCGGTCGCAAGTGGCAGTGGCGTGCTGGCCAGAAGGTGACGGCGAAGAACTTGGCTCATCTGGACCCGGAGCTGGAGTTAACTGAGCTGACGGGGTGGAAGGGGCGGAAGACCCGTGAGAAAGGCTCGCGCTTGTAGTAGCCATCTATATAGTTAGATGGTATGCCCGAATGAACCTATGTCAGCGCTAGCTTCCACCCGCCCAGCATTAACATAGCATGCTCCCATTCAAAGCGCACCCTCTTTCCCATCTTGACGCCGTTTCCTAAGCCACTTTGCGCAAGGTCGCGGTGTCGCCAGACCATTTCCATCACTTCCCTCGCCGGGGCGATGTTCTATCTGGTCAGTATCTCGAGCGGTATACGTAGTTAGGGGATACACATACTCCGAATCGCCGAATGCCCTCCAACTCATTGAAAAGCTGCAAGACGACAACTCGCTCGTCGTCGCTCGGGGCACAGCAGCCCGCCAAGAAAAGAGGCCACAGAGGCAGCACGGCGGTCCGCATTATGTTGGTCTTGTGCTCTTGTATAAGATCGAGGATCTGACGGATACAATCGTGTTTATCCTCGGGGGCGAAAGACGGAAACGTAGAGTTTGTCTCGGCGGACGAGCAGATTTCATACAGTAGCAGCATCGCTCCCAAGCGGTTCGCTTCAGCGATAGTCATACTGGACTGCGAGTCACCATCCCCATCGGGGGATGTCTGGTGGATCATCTCCAATTTTTCCTTGAGCCCATATACAGTCTGATGGTCCACCTCGCGCTCCGTCCACGCCAGATCCGCAATCCGGTTAATCAAGAGCAGCAGGGAGTGGCTAAATCCCATGTATGGGTCGATAGTATCCGGTAAGGACGAACTAAAAGGGGTTGGTGAAAGACACGCCTGGGTTTGCGGGCTCTCCCATCGAAACGCCGTACGGGCGAGCACGAGGTGGAAAGCGAAGTAGCGGTCGAAGAAACTCAGTAGCTCCTGGCTGTGCCAGGACAGGATTTGGGGGCGCTGTTTCTTTCGCGCAGACATGACCAATTGAAATCCATCGAGGTGAGTCACCCATGATGGACGGCTATTATCCGAGATCTGCCGATGTTAGATTCACTTCTGATTCGTGGCCAACGAATATTTACCTCAAACCAACACATCATGAGAACGAGTCCCAAGATCTCATCCAGCTCCCTGTCTGTCCAGCTGTCGCGACCCAGAAGAGTCCGGAGATAGAGTAGCGCGCGATGATGGTGCTCCAGGGCAGGAACGCGATACCGCGCTTCGGAGAGTCGCAAGGTATTGGCCGAGATGGCCAACGCCGCATGGTAAATGCCCTCTGAATTGAGTGCCATGGGCAATATGAGATACCGGTATGGATTTGACTGCGCATTGTCCACCAAGGTCGAGCTGCTGCAGATGACCGCCTCAAAGAAGGCCAGCAGCGTGGGGTCGTTGGTGGATCGACTCTGACCTGTGACGGGTACCGTGCTCATCGCCGGCGAGAGCGACAGTTGCCGTGTATATTTCGGCCATATCATGTCATTCGTCCCCTGGTAACCTACACAGAACCGTTCCACATCATGGACAGAGGTATGGAGAAACATCCACTGCCGGTGCGGAATGGGCGTGGAGCACTGTACTCTCTTGGCGAGATCTGCTAGATCTGTATCTCCTTTCTTCTGGCCATTCTTCGACCACACCCCCTTTCGTCCATGGCAAATGCCCTTGGCGACCGATTCCTCGAGCCAGGTCAAGCGTAGACCGTATCTGCAGGGCCGGTTGTTTCGCGCACAGCGGCGACAGACAGGATGTGTCTCTTCATTAGATCAATTAGAACCGGAATCCACCATGGGAAGAATCTCTCATACCGTCACACTTGACTCTCCGGACTCTACAAGCCCAGCAGCCCGTGCGGGTGCGTGAAATCGTCGAGGCCGTCATGTTGTGGAGAGAGAGGAGGCCTGGACAGAAGCTGGAGCGGAGAAAGACGAGAGGGGTCGCTTATCCGAGCCCATCTATAGGCCGATCTTATCAGCAAAGCTTACTACACAAACTATTAATACTTTATAGTTATATAGAGTAGATATCAGGTTATTCGTGATGTCTTCAGTATAAACGACACCGCTGTCAGTGTAAAGGGCAGCCATCAAACCCATGCAATCTCCCTTCATCATGGCCTCATCTGGGTGCTCCATGACGTCTTTGCGTGACTACATACCCCATGGTCTGACCACTTTCAGAAAGATTTAACCTCAGCAAAAGGCAAAAGTTTTCTCAGTTTATAGTGCAGAATATACATTGGACATACTTCCACACTACGCAAGTGGTTCTAGAGTATAGATTGAACTGATGATCTTGGTAGTGACGACAATACGAGAAAAGAGCTGCCAGAGTGAAGGGTGACCCTGTGACATCAACGGCACGTGGTCGAGATGTCTCCGCTTTCTCTCCTTTCTTCTCGTTCTCCCCTCCCCCGCTCAATCTCTCATGACTTCACCAACAAGCAGCTATGCGAATCCGGTAGCAAGAATGCCCATTACGTGGTGTATCCCTCATCTTTCTGACTACGCGTGTCAGCCTTGTGAAACATGCGATGACGTTCATGACAGCGCAGGCTCCCCGCATTTACAACTCCAATCATGAAGGACAAGCTTGATCACGAACCATTGCCTGGCAGCCAGCCTATCCCAGCCATCCGGTGATACAAAACCATGATCTGAAGTTGACCGATGCCCGGATGCTTCACATGCCAAAGGGATTTTCATCATTCACTTACGAAGCCTTTCCCTGCAGCAACAAACCTACGGTCCGGGAGTCGCAAAAACATACGTACGCTCGACGAGCGGACCTGAACTCCAAGCTAGGAGTGAATGCAAATCACAAGGCTAGCACGAAGAGCGGAGAGTCTTGGCTAAGAGGGGAGATCCCCGTTATGGTGGACCTTGACAATCGCAAATGCTGGTGGGGTTCTTTTTATTCGACTTCGGCTCTATTTCTTCCCCCTTACGGAGGACGCTTCTTCTAAGTACGCCATCCGAGTGGCTGACGATCTGCATGATGCAGGCCTTGGCGATAATGCATTCGCGTACTTGTCCCGGAAATCATGTCTTCGAGACAATGTTTCGGTCGAAGATCTATTTTGAATGGGCTCCATCAATGCTAGAGCCACTCGGAAATGATGCTGCCTTCAGGGTTCGATCATCCTGCCGAGACGAGAAATATGTGAGCCATACCGCTTCGAGCGATGCAGGGGATCTAACCCGCTTGCCTATAGACTACTAACTGATGCGGCTGTCTTATTACTGATTCAGATGCAAATAAGATTGAGACATATGAAGACTAAAGCTTATTATTCCCGGGCTGTCTGGGCTGAAGCTTTGATTCCTTCGGGATACCCGGCAAATACTCCTTCGGTACTCCGTGGTCTCTATTTTTCGGACATGACGAGCCACCATGCAAGGGGGAGCAACGAGCAAGCTGCAGCTGGCCATTACGCCATTCGTGGGGCTGAAAAAGCGTATTATCTGAGAATGCATAGCTGATCTTCCATGGCCTTTTCTGCTTCCACGAGGATTACGTACGAGGTCGCATATTGCCATCAGCCAAGCCATGGTTCGTCGCGTTCTATGATCGACAATCGCGAGTGATCTGGTCCTCAAATCAATCCTTGTGCGTCCTTCTCAAAAGGACTATAAAGCAATGCCCAGATATCGGAAACTATCTCTCCATGTTTGTCTAACCCAAGAGCCTGATCCTGACTAAACTTGATACATTCAGCAACAATGGGTCCACCGTATGTCATACCCTACCCTATTCCACGATGTGAGATTAATGCTTGAGTAGAGTGAGAGGAACACCAATCCCATGGCAGGAACTGCAGGGTGTCGCACATCTTGCCCGTCGAGGAGCGGTGGAGGTTGGTCTATCACATTCATTAGATTCCTGCGCTAACTGAGACAGCAACTGCTATCTCTCTGGAAGAGACAGAAGGATAGAACTGACCCAGAGCCGCTCTGGGGTGACGAGGTATGATCGCTTGCCGTTCATGAGGGATGGTAGCTGACCCGTCAGATTGAATACTCCCTGATCAACCTTGACGCAAACACATCTCGAGCAACACTGCTACTCAACCAGGAGGAGGTCCTTCAGAAAGGCAGGGATGAGTGCGCCAATGCAGAGGATGTGTGAGTATATGCCACGCATCAGAAGGATTGGGTGACTGATATGTTCTAGTGAACCCTGGAACGAAGTCGCCTTACAGCCGGAATGGGGTCGGTATATGATCGAAGCGACCCCTGCAGAACCATATGGAGGGGATATTGTCGACTTGCTCAGGGTAGAAAGCAACATGAAGCGACGGTAGGCTCTTTCCTCTATACAGCCCGAGCTCGTGTTAATGTCGTTAGACGAAAGTTGATCCGACAATGCCTGTCGCGCGACCAGCATCCCGTATCACTCTGTGTCTTCCCTGGCCTGGGAATAAAAGACCAATATACAATCCCAGAAGAATCTCTTGAAAGTTCGACAGGTCAAATATACTGCCCTATATCACGTTATATCATGATGGTCCAGAATCTTACTGCCCGGCGACAACGGCGTGTTGAGAGCTACATCCCGGTCTATCGAGACGAGCAGACAGAGGCACCGTTTCATGACAAGGCTGGGTCATTCGAGTATCCAGCGGAACATCACCCCCCGGGTAATGCAAAAGAGGGCCACGTTCATCTGGATGGAATCGGTCTTGGGCTCGGGAGCTGCAGCATCCAAGTTACATTCCAGGCTCTCAATGAGTTTGAGGCTCGATGGCTGCATGACCAAATGGTTGCTCTGGGGCCAGTTATGCTTGCCCTGACTGCTGCCACGCCTATCTACAAGGGGTATCTGGTAGACACTGATGTGCGCTGGGATCGGATCTCCGAATGTTTCGATGACCGCACGCCAGAAGAATTAGCTACCACAGTAAGTCCATACCCCCGGTAGTTTATACTTAATAACTAACCCAACGCAGCCGCCACGTTATTCCTGGAATCGAACATACATCTCTCAGGAGAAGCCAGCAGATGCAAATAGCAAGTCCTCGCCGACTCCCATGGACGAGACGGTCAAACATCGCCTACTAGACGGAGGCATGGATGAACCTCTGGCGACTCATTTTGCCACCATCTTATCGCGAGATCCAATCATGTTGAACCGCGCCGACCTGGAGAATTTCGACCCCAATGGTACGGGCGTGTTTGATGTGTACTACAGCAGTGTGTGGCAACATGTTCGACTCAAGATGCCATTAAGCGATGACGGGCCTGGCTGGCGGGTCGAGTTCCGTCCCATGGAAGTGCAGCTGACCGACTTCGACAACGCCGCCTTCTCAATCTTCATGTATCTTCTTTCACGCGCCATCACGGACCTTCACTTGAACTTCTATGTTCCGGTGGACAAGCTGGGTGAGTCTATGGAGCGCGCGCAAAAGCGGAACGCGGCCGTCGAAGAGCGGATCTGGTTCCGTCACCGTGGATGGTCGTCGACAGAGCAGTGCGATCGACCACAGCGCCAGCGGAAGGGCTGTGTGAACTGTTGCGGAAAGACCAGTGGCTCTACATCTCCGTATGGTCTCCTCACCATGGACGAGATCATCAACGGCGAAGATCCTAAGGTGCCGACGAGCTTTCCCGGACTGGTGAACATCGTGCGGGCGTATCTGCAGTACAAGAACACGTCCCTGCTGGAACAGAAGAAGATCATGCCGTACCTGGATGTGGTTAGCAAGCGGGCCAGCGGGGAGCTGCCGACCCCCGCGCAGTGGATGCGATCGTTTGTGACGGGCCACGAGGAGTATCAGCGGGATAGCTACGTGGGGGAGAAGATCCGGTATGACCTGTTGCGGGAGATTGTGCGGCTGGAGGAGTGAATGAGTAGATACCACTTGCCTTCGATGTCTTTAGTTCATATGCATAGTTGAAATGACGCTGTATTTATGATCATATGCTGGATACATGATTGAGTTCACGCTGCGGACATGGTTAACAGAGATGTCGGTAGGGTTCATAGGTCCGACATTGCTACCCATCCCCAACCATTTCTACCAGAACAACCCCAATCGCTGCACCACGACAGGAACTTTTGTGTAAAATTGAAGATAAAGCATCATGACGTGACAGTAGCAGGAACTGTAAAAACAAAAAAGAAAAAAGAAAGGAAAGATAGGATAGCATGTCCTGGTTTCGATCCAGGGACCTCCGGGTTATGAGCCCGGCGCTCTTCCCCTGAGCTAACATGCTGCTGGTTGAAAATAACAGCCCCAATTTGACACTATAAAGGCATAGTTTCCAGTCACGCGGATATAAACACCAGGCTGTGAATAGTGGCACTCAACCAATCCTTCCGAAATCTCGCCCCACGTCGCAGAGAATGACTTGATTTTCTTGAATGATATCGGGATTTGTATTCTTTTATCCCTCACCTTCGCGAGACCCTGACGGAAGGCTCCGACTATTAATCGCGCACCGAGTCGATAGTCCCAAACTGACAACGTGTGCGCGGGCCATTGAATCATATTGGCTCAATGCTTGTCTAGTTTAGGCCGGCGCAAGCCGATCCACTCTAGGTAGAAGCGTCTTGGAAGCGGATGATTGGGTGGCAATGGACATGTCTCGGATGCATCCCCGTCAGCTTACAGGATTGGGGAATTTGGCTCGTGGCTGAGCAGCTTAGATCGTAGCCCTACCAGGCTAGGCGCATCGCCCCGTTTTCGCAGGGTCTGGCACTCACTCCCTCCCTGCAGTTCTTTCCCCGCCGCCACTCTGCCAAACTGTCAGGCTGTCACTCTGCTCGACCAGGACGGCCGTGACGCGATGCCCCGTCTTCCCAGAGATGGCTATGAGCCCGTTGCTCGCTCATCTCATGATGGCGTGGAGGAGATTGATCTCGAGGGCTTCAAACCACCCGTCTCCTACTCTCACTGTCGCGCCTCCCCCGTCCATTACTGCGTTTCAGCGCTGACCAGCGCAGTCAGAGGCGTGATACGGCGGAGAAGACACTGGCTTCCCATCGCCTGGAATCTGCGTCGACTCGTCTCCACCATCGTTTGGAGTCTCCTGGTCCTCATCGTCTTCACCTTTCTCTTCGTGCCATCCTATACCCATTTACCGCCCCATTATGCGGCGCTTCGCAATGTCGTACAAGCATCGAACACCCCCGGCCGAGGAAACCCGCGCAACTCGACCGTCTTCATCGCCGTCAGCCTCTACGACAAGAACGGGGTCCTGGCAGGCGGACAATGGGGCCAGGCCCTCCTCGATCTGATCGACATGATCGGACCCGACAACGTCTTCCTCAGCATCTACGAGAATGACAGCGAGAAAGCCGGAGAACGGGCGCTGCAGCAGCTGAGCGACCGTGTTCCCTGCAACAAGTCCATCGTGTATGAAGAGCACTTCAACTTCACCGGCTTTCCCACCGTCACGCTTCCCGATGGATCCGAGCACGTCAGGCGGGTTGAGTTTCTGGCCGATGTGCGCAACCGAGCTCTACGCCCTCTGGACGAACACCCCGAGCTTCGATTCGACCGACTCCTGTTCCTGAACGATGTCTACTTCAACGCCCTGGACGCCCTACAACTCCTCTTCTCAACCAACACCCAGAACGGTGTCCCGGAGTACCGAGCGGCCTGCGCAGTGGACTTTATCAACCCCTTCAAGTTCTACGATACCTTTGCCTCCCGCGATCTCGAAGGCTACAGCATGGGCCTCCCCTTCTACCCCTGGTTCACCACCGCCGGCAGCGCCCAGAGTCGACAAGATGTACTCCACGGGAAAGACGCCGTGCGAGTCCGCAGTTGCTGGGGCGGAATGGTCGCCTTCGACGCTGGTTTCTTTCAACATCCCCTCCCCCCTCTACCATCCACCATCTCCCCTTCCAACACCGAATACAAAAACCGCTCCTCCCCCGTCCGCTTCCGCGCCGAATCCGACCTCTTCTGGGAATCCTCCGAATGCTGCCTCATCCACGCCGACATCCAAATCCCGCCCCCACCCGCATCCCCCTCCTCACCCCAAGATCCCCAAGACACAAACACAGACACCGGAATCTACATGAACCCCTTCATCCGCGTCGCCTACCACCCCCGATCCTTCAGCTGGCTGCACCTGACCCGCCGCGTCGAAAAACTCTATTCCATCGTCCACGGCATCGCCAGTCGCATCGCCGGGTTACCGGTCTACAATCCGCGTCGGGCGCAAGTCGCGGGCGAGGCAGTCCAAGATCGAGTCTGGGTGGTTGATGAACACCATGATGGGAAATTTGAAATGGCGGAGAGAATTGCGAATGGGGATGGGTTCTGTGGGAGATGGGATCTGCAGGTTCTGAAGAAGAGGGAGGAGAATGGGGAGGGAGGGTGGGGGGCTGTTCCGGTGCCGGAGAGTTAGCATTTATTTTGCTTGCCTCTGGGGTCATGTTAGTGAGTGGTTTCATTTACTTGGGCTGTATGATATCTCGTTTGACTTGATTTGTGTCGACTTGCAGGCAGCATGGCGATTTACTCAGTACTCGCATCGACCATGATAAATATAGTTCGGTACATAGCCCTAATCCGAACCTAAAATGTTGCAGCCTGCTATTTAGGCCGGTGAATTTAGAAGAAGTCGAAGATATGAAACCAAGAAAAATCAAAAAGCTCACTAAATATGAAATTATGAATAATAACAGACTTAAGAATATATTACCACTCTATTAGTCCCGAAACATTTTCAACCCATTTATCAGGCAAAGAGGATCGGGTATAAAACCAACCAAACCAAATCGAAACCTGAAACCGAAAAGAAATAAAGTATAGAGAAGATAACCATCAAAAGGTAAATATAGAATAGAAAGAAAGAAAGAAAGAAAGAAAAGAAAGGAAGGGACAATCAATCCTTATCCGCAAAACTACTCTTCCCTCTCAACCGCTCCCCAAACCACCACAACACCCACGGAATCGGACATCCCACGACCACCGCCACAAACCCCAGGAGACTATTGCCCCACCCGTATCCGAGCACCTGATACATGATCGGACTGAACATCGGGAACCCGAATCCCGTTAGGCCCCGGAGGATGTACACGCCGCCGTTGGCACTGGCTCCGTAGACGCTGTATGCTTCGAGGAGGTATGCATTGGTGCACTGGAAGATGACCGTCGCGCCCATGAGGGGTAAAGCAATGCCGATGTCCGGGACAATCCAGTGGGTTTTGTACTGGGCGGACCAGCCGTAGATGAAGAGGCCGATAGGGACGAGGAGACTGGCGGGGATCATGAGCGGAAGGCGGAATTCGGGCTTGCCGAGACCGTTGTTGGTGGATTTGAGGCGGGTGTAGATCTTGTCGGAGATGAAGGCGCAGGTTTGGGCGCCCAGGAGGTAGCCGATGCAGGGGGCGATGTAGTGGAGGGAGCCGGTGCTGGTGCTGAGGTGGTATTGGGTGCGCCAGAGGGTGGGGAAGGTGGAGAGGACGAGGTAGACGAGGCCGTAGAGGTAGCCGTAGTAGAGGGAGAGGGCTTGGACGATGGGTTGGGTGAAGAGGAGGTAGAGGGAGCGGAGGAGGGTGCGGCGGTAGAGGGTGATGATGGATCGGGTTTTGGTTTGGGGTGCCGAGGTGGAGGGGATGGGAATGTCTTTTTCGAATTGGGTGAGGAGAGTGAGGCCTTTGTATGCGGGGATGGTCTGGAGGGTTTGTTTCTTGCGCTGGAGGAGGACGGGGGCGTAGGTTTCGCGCGAGAGACATAGGCCGGTGAGGATGATGACGCCCGCGAAGATGGAGGTTGCGTGGAACGCCCATCGCCAGGTTGAGTAGTCGCTGATGTATCCGCCTGCGATGGGGCCGAGGCAGGAGCCCAGGACTGGACCCATGTTGAGGAGTGCGAGGCCCAGGCCACGCTGCTCCTTGGGAAAGACGTCGCCGATGGTGCTGGCACCGGTCTGGGGTTGTTAGTAGGTGGTTAGGGTTGTGGCAGGGGAACGTACAGCTAATGAGGCACTCGCGCCGAGTCCGCTCAGTAAGCGGAAGACTAGCAGCTGCGTGATGCTCTTGGAGAAACCACATGCCAGGTTGAAGGCCAGGAAGAAGACATTCCCCGTGAACAGGATGGGCACGCGGCCGAGCAGCTCACTCAGAGGACCGAGCAGCAAAGGGCCGATGCAGTAGGTGAGGAGAAACAACGATACGGTCAGCGGCCCTTCAACCGTCGAGGTGACGTGAAAATCCGCCTCGATGGCGTCCATGGCGGGAGCAATGATGGTGGATGTCAAGGGCATGAGGAAAATCGGCAGAGTGACAGTCAAGAGGATGGTGTATTTTCGAAAATTGGGCCATTGGTGCGGGTGCTCATGGGGATCGAAGTCGATGATGACAATCTGGTTGTTGGGGACACCATGTTTCTCTTCTTGAATGACCTCGCTGATTTTGTCGTCCATCTTGCAAGTATGTCGATATCATGATCATGTCGTGAGCATGTCTGCAGCCGAATAGCGCTTTTATATATCCTGGAGCGCGTCCTGGCCGTCAATGCAGACACATTCCAGTGAGCCTCTTGCGTAAGCCATCCGGGTAGAAGTAGGATCTACCGGGGCCCTTGCATGATCTGCAAGAAGATGAGGTGCCATGATGGACCCGGTGATCTGAGACCTGCGTGTCCCCTGCCTGCCCACACGTTGTGTCATTATCCCTAGAATGTGAAACCGGTTTGAGATTGGAGTGCGGAGATTATCTCTGCAGGATTCATTTTGCGGATGAATGTAGCGGAAATTTGATCCCCTTGACCATTGGAGCCTATCGGATCGCTTCCTGCTGATGTTGCTACATGCAAAAGTGTTGCGAAGGAGTTGAGGATGGAGTTGAAGTGAGGTGGAAGAAGTTGAGATAGCGCGGTGGATGGATGGCCTGAGGAATTCTGTCGCCTCTTTTCATCCGTCTTTCCCTCTCTTCTCTTCCTCTTCCCCCCTCCTCTTCCCTCTTACCCTTCCCTCTTCCTCTCATCCCTCTTCATCTCTTCCCTTTCATTCTCTTTGTCGACCTATAGCCGTTTCTTCCCTGAATTACCTGCCTGTCCATGGATGCCACTTCACACTGCCAAATGAATACCCTTCAGCCCCTTTCCTGGCATCTTCGCCCGCGGAGAATTCGGAACGATTCGCCGAAGCAAAAGGCGCAGCAACTGGCAACCCAACCAGGGCTTCTCCACTCCGCAGGGTTCTGGTGAAATGGCTTCAACGCTAGACAGCCGATGCCCCATGAGCTTGGCCTTTTTAGTCTTAGGTGGGCCCTCCAGGCCAACCCGATCACACTCGAGTCCGACAGCCTCGCGGACAGACCTCTGAAAAGAGCTAAGGGCTGACTTCGTGCAGATGGTCAGACGCTTAGACGCAGGGGTAAATCGCGCAGATGAATATAAGTAACCCCTGAATGGGCCCCGCGGGTCTGATCTCTTATTCCCCCCGATCAGCATCGTGATATACATCATGGCCGCTTTGAACACCCCTCAGCCGGCTGGAAATGTCCAGAAAAAGCCAGAAAAGGAGAGCCCGATCCTGGTACCACTACGGTATCGGTCCAAGTCACTGTATCTTCTTGCCTTCTATGTCGCCATCCTGCTGATTCCCTGGGTGATGACTTGTGTCATGATGGTGCGCCCCCTCGACGCCGCTTCCTATACACGCCAGGGCCTTGGCCAGTCCGCATCAGTGATTCTGAATATTCTGGCCAGTCTGGACGTTATCCTGGTTCTCGAGAAGGTTCAGGCCGTCCTCGCGATTCCTATTGTCTCTGGCTTCCTGGCCCAGGCCGCTGTGGTCTACGCACAGCGGCGCTCGCCTGATCAGAAGTTATCTCTGCAGCAGCTGGTCGCCCTGGCCGACCGTCCCTGGGCTAACGTGATATCATGGTTTCGGTGCCTCTCCTCCAAGAATGGCACTGGGTCCCGACTTGCCGTTCTTGGGGGTCTGTTCGTTCTGTTGGTGGCGGCTACCCCTGCCATTCAATCGCTTTTGGTCAAGTTCGAGGACATTACCATCGCCACTTGTTGGGAGATGCCTGTCTGGTCCTGCAACGCGGCAAACATTGCCACGGTTGTGGCCCTTGACCCAGAACCAGCCGCTCTAGAATATATGCCCCAGAGCCTTGCTGTTCAGCAAGTGGCCAAGAAGACGCAATTGGTAAGCGAGATGGATATACAGCCCTACCTGTGGTCCGAGAATTGGACATCCATGAGTGATGCAGTGGATATCCAGAGGGGAACATTCTTCTGGTACGATGAGGTCTTTCCTTCGGAGAAGTACTTTGTGTCAGCGCTGCAGAATGGGACCAATACGGGTGTCTTGCGTGAACATGCCATTCGATTGAATTCAACCTCTGCCTGCGTGGCTGTACCAGCATCGGACTTCCCCCAAACATGCCCCGGTGACAGACCTTTCGTGACCAACCTGACCGCTCCCGGCCTTCTTGACATCCGGATCTGCGTGCCCGGGATGTATGGACAAACCCCTTGGACCCGGAGTCGGGACCGGCAAGATATTTCGGAGGAACTATGGATCGATGTGGTTCCACAACTCTGGGAATACGAAGTCTACCAATCCAACTTCACCTTGCGGTGTACCACCAATTCCACCCGGGGGTATTTCGAGATCAGCAATTACCGGAATGGTAATCACCCAGGACCACTCCTGGAGAAGTGGCCGAGCCAAGAAGTGCTAGCGAAAGATTTCAATGACTACTTGGGGATAGATGGAGATTTTGCCATTCCGTCCGTTGTGTAAGGCTTCCTATCTTTGACCCCTACAACCCTCCCACGATGCGCTGCAAGTGACTGACATGCTCTATCAGTGATAATGATACCGACTCGAACCTGTTCGTTCTGGGGCCTGCACCAGTTGATCCGTTCAATACTGTGGAGCTCTATGCTGCTGGTCCGCTGATGACCAGTGCGCTGGCCCTGTTCGGCAACCAGAGCTTTTTCGGCGCAGCTAGCAACGCCAGCAACAGTAGCTCCGCACGATCTGCACTATCTGATATCTGCCGGTTTGATGCATTTCCGTTCAACCGACTGGAATCGGCTGGATTCAATATGGCCGCAGCGTACTGTGATGAGCTCTTGTGGACGCTAGAGTATCACGACAACGACTTCTTGTACCAACAACTTCTGTTTACTGTGTATACTTGGATCGCCTCCTTCAATGTGACTGAGACGGCCGCTACCGCGCTAAATATGGCAACCTACTTTGCCAACGAGGCTGTTCTGACCAACACGGCAGCACAAGGCTACGCGCACAACTCTCGAGAGATCTACTTTGACAGCGGCTCCGTGATTATCAAGCCGAAATGGAGTCTCGCAGCGGTGATTACCATTTCCATTCTCATTGGCCTTCAAATTCTAGGTCTCTGTCTGATCATGGTGTACTGCCACTCGGTCCCCACCTGGACGGGCAGCTTTGATGCTTTTGCTATGCTCCGTGTGGGCGCGGAACTGCAGCGGTCCCAGCATGTTCGCTTCGCCGGCATCAGAGATACGGATAAGCAGGACCTGGCGGTTCTGGCCAGTATTGATGGACTTGTGGGAGTCGTGGACAGTCGCCAGCCAATGTCAGAGGGGCAGGAGGCCAAGGAGAACTCGCCCCTGGTTCGTCAGTTGGCTGGGGAGTCCACTACCACGGTGCATGACTTGAACGAATCTCAGACAGTTTATTCCGGGGTTTCCATCGGACTTGACCAGGACGGTGAGAATAGGGATGAAAGAGGAAAGCGAGAAGGGCTAGAGCCACCGTTCCGTCTTGCGGTGGGTGCACCAGGCTTGATTACGAAGGACATGGGCCCTAGGAAAACAAGGAGACGGGACAAGAACGATACGACCGAGCATGAAGTGTGACGGCACCGTTGCAAATACCTACAATATTGTTCTAGTCGTAGTTATAATTGAAGTCGACATAATCACGATTGCACCCCGGAACTCTGTAGACTGTGCCATGCCTAAAGACATGATTGATGACCGAGCTCACTGAACTACAAGTTAGTGAGCTCACTGTCTACGTAAAGAGTCTAGGAAAGCCGCTCTCCCCTATGATAGAGAGTCTCGGTACACTTCAGGCTTTATAATGAACCTTAACACTCAGTTAGACCATCAACCTGACTAACAAATCATTCCAATCTCCCATAATATTCAAACAAACCCAGTTAAGATAAGACAAATCCCCAACAGACTCGTAAATCTTATCTTCTCCATTGGAAAATATCAACACCCATTTCTACCTTCACTGAGATAGTCCACATCCTCCGCATCATATGACACCCAAATAAGGCATAGTATACAGTATAATATACCAACAACAACCGACGGTTATCTCCTCGCTTCTGAGTAAGTATAACTGGAATATTGACCGAATTCCAGCTATCACCATCAAACCAGTTCTTTGACATCGAGGCTGCCATATAGCAGACTTATCGTCGTCGCAGTCGATACAGGTTTCGTATTCAACAAGCCAGGAGACCAAGTCCAGTCCACAGTACCCACCGTAGACGGGAAAAAGGCTCTTGGGATAGCCGATAGTTCTTTGGAGGGACTACATCCTTCTTTGCCTTTGTTTTATCTCATGGATTCTAGGCAGTTGTTATTGTCCCATGGTGAGTTCGTTTCCTGTTGTAGATAGATAGAGTTGGTTGGGGATTGGACCCGTTTGAGATATACTCTGTCTGCCATAATCCATTCCTAGCGAGAGTTTATTCGTGAGGTTGGTAGAACCAGAAGGAGACCTTGTTGCCGTGTCTCCATTTGAGATAGTCAACACCCAAGACAGACACATTAGCAAGAGTATACGGAGTAAGTCATCCAGATCGCCCCCCTATCCTGTACATTCTGCAGTTACAAGGCTGAGTACGACCAGGAGGGATAACCCGCAGCATTATTCCAAAGAGCGTCGAACAAGACCTCTCTCAGATCCAGATATTTCAGATAAGATAATATCCCCCATGCATAGGAGAATGGTATGATGCCACTTCTACTGCAGCGGATCGAAAGAGGTACTTGGTTAGTAGGAGTATTGTGGAGCTCAGGCTTCAGTTATTATGATAAGTATCTTAGATACTGCTTGATAGTAGTGATAGTGATAGGTATAGGTTAGTGGGTTGGTTTGATCGTGTCTCGATCTTGATCCGGGAAGTTCGCATGAGAATTAGGTCATGATAAGAGGTTCAGTTCAATAGCGGGTGAGCTTGGAGTTGTAGCTGGGAGTGGGATTCCACTCCTCTGTCGTCACTGACCTCGACGAGGTTTCTTTTGATGGAGACTTTGTAGAGATCACTGTTTTCCCGGGAGTGTATTGTGCTATGCTGGGTCGGGTGGTGTAGCCGTAGGCTCTGTATCCTTGGTTCTTCTCTGTATGGTATCTGTGGTATTTTTTAAAAGCTGGAATCCTATTGTATTTTGAATTTATCATTGTGGTCTTTCTTGTGCAGAAGGTTGATTTGGTACAGTTTATATCGTGCTTGAGAGCGCTGCTTTGCTCGCCAGGTATCGAGATGATCATGTGGGATGATGGTATCTACCTTGAGGATATGGTAGATTTGATAGAATGGGTAAAGGGTGAAAGGACAATATATCTATCCCAGGGACGGGGCATCGCAGATGATGGCGAGTGAAGGATGTCGTGAATAGAATCGCTACATGCACTGCCAATTCGGGCTCAGAATGTGTGAAATGGCTAGACAGGGAACTTAATTGACGACCTGCAAGGATCGTCAAGATTATCTACTACTAAGAACAGCTCTAGTGTAATGCCAAAATCACGCTCTATCAACCAACCGCGTCTGAAACAGCAAAACAGGATAGACCAAGATGACCTGACCTCCTGTATATCATCAATAGTCATAACAGGCCACAAGCTGGCAGGGTATCGTCGATATGCGAACAGGCAAGGCTGCAGCTCCATCCCTCAAACTGGTCATCAATTCGGACGGGGCCAGCTCTCGCGGGGGAACTGAGCAACAAGACGCGTGAAGAATAGACACGAACAGCAAGGAAAGCACAAGGAGGGTGACACAATAACGACAATGACAATAAACAAAAGAAAGGATCAAAAGAGAGCAGCCTGAAGTCAGGCAAAGTCAGGCGGAATACAAGATGTAGATGATGAATAGAAGGATCATCGCACTGGAAATGTTGACCGCCGGAAGGCCAACGGGTGCGAATCCCTATCGCTCAGGGCTGGGCTTATGTTCGTCCTCGGTGGCATCCTTGCCAGTTTCCTCGTTCTCCTCCGCATCTAAAAACGTTTCTCTCCTCTCCTCCGACTCCTCGTCATCGTCAGGAACGGGCGACTTCCCCTTAACCATGATTACTTCTTCCTCCCGTCCAGCATCATCGTTCTCCGCCTCTGCTGCATCGGCACTGGGCTCGGTATCGGCGGTCTCTGCATCTTCGGACTCCGCCTGCTCCGCTTGCGCAGCGGCTGCTTCGGCTTCCGCCTTCTCCATCTCAGCCGCTCGAGCCTGCTGCCTCTCCCAGACCTCCTTGCGGATGCGGTCATCCTTGGCCCGACGGAGCCTTTCGGCCTCTTCCACGCCGCCACTCTTCTTCAACTTGCCCTCCTCGACAAAAGCTCCGAGCTCCTTTTGGAACAGCCCGACCCGACGCGTCTCCAGCTCCTTCTGGCGGGCCTTCTCCGCCCGCTCAATTGCCTCCAGTCGAGACTCATGGTTGGGCTGCAAAGCACGGACCTCCCCGAGGACGCTATCTTTGGCTTTCATAGGGTCAACAGCCGGATCAATCACCACGTTGCGGGAGGTGTGACGCAACGCGGGACCACCAGTGGCATTCTGCATCGCCTGCTGCTTGGTGGCTTGCTCGACCAGGGCAAACGTCTGCGCAGCTTTCTCCAGATCATCCTGCAGATCGGCTGCGAGATCTTCTTGCATCGTAAGCTGGTCACGCTCCTCGCAAACCTGCTGAAGTTCCTTCTCCCAAATCTTCGTCCAGATGGGCTTCTCACGCTTGAGGAAGTCCTGCATCTTCTTGATCTCCTTGGTAACGGCACTGATGTCCTTGCTCACGGTCTCCAGCTGCCGGGGCAGGGGTCGCACACCGCGGCTCACCACGTCTTTGCGGAGATCCTCGACCAGATCCTGGAGATCATCGACGCGCGCCACCAGACGTTCCGACTCCTCCGCAAGCTCCTTCTTCCCGGAATTGACGCGCACACGGCCCGCATCGCCTTCGATCGATGGGACGGCGACATCTGCCGCCGCAGTCTTCAGTCCGCTGGCTTTGGTGCGGATCGCGCTCATCGAGCTTGCAATATCCGCGGAGAAATTCGAATACGTCTGCCGTAGTACGGCCAGATCACGTCGCAAGCTCTGGAGCTCCGCAATCTGACTGTGGCTTCCCGTGATCGGACCCTTCGGGCTTTCCCCAGACTTGGAGGCAGCCGTGACGGGCACAGGAGGCGCAGCCGCCAGACGGGCCATCTCTTTCGCTGCTTCGAGTTGACGCTCCGAGACACGTTGCATCATGCTTTCCTGTCCCTCGAGAGCACCTTTGACTCCTTCAATCATGCGGCGGACTCCACCAAACTCATCATCGAAATGTCTCTTGACCTCATCGAGGATATCAACGTTGAGTACCAAAACAGCTCGATCCTTGACGTCATTCAGATCCTCCAATTCATGTCGAACCCCGGAAACCGGGTCTTGGATGTAGATTTCTGGCAGGTCCACGCCGTTGTTGTGGGTGTTCCAAGCGAACTTCTCAATAAAAGCCAGCTGAAGTCGTCCGATAGTCAGACCAGCATAGCCTTCGGGGAGCACGTACTTCTTGATCTTGCTCCGGTACTGCAAAAACAGGGTGAGCTCCTTGCCTGGGGACTGTTGCTCAGGAGAATACTGGGCCGACCGCGGTGGAGTAGCAGTAGCGGCAATAGGCTGCTGCCGTTCTGACTTTGGCGTTCCCGGGGGATTAGCCGCAGCAGGCGCAGTGTCCTTGGTGGGCTCAAATGCCTCTGCAAGGGATGGTTCTTCAGGGCGAGGAAGACCAGGGTGCCGTCCAATACCCTCTGCCTGGCCGCTTGCAGGCCGTTCAGCGTCCCTGTCTTTCGCAACAGCAGGGCCCTCTGCTGGTAGCTCCGCAGGTGATTCAACACGGGATTTCGAGCGCTCCTCTTCGATACTGGGGACACCCGAAGGCGCCTGCGGAGCAACCTTCGCATCCTGTAGTCGGTTTGTCGACCGCTGTCGCCCATGGACAGATCCACGTAGACGCACAGCATTTAGGGACTCACGGACATCGCGCCCTCGGTTGGGAATCGGAGAATTCTGGGTCGGAAGCACAGGAACACCGCTGGAAGAAGCACCCAAATGCTTTTGTATCTGATAAGCGGAAAACCTTCGAGACGCCCGACGTTCCAGCTCACCGCTCCTTTGCAGAGCACCGAGAGCATCATCCTGTTTTGGGGCGGGCGGAGGTGGTGGTGTGGGATAGGGAGGCGTATTGGTCACAGACCCGGAGCCTTTGGAAGTTGACCCGGTTTCTGATTGCGATGATTGAGACAAGATGCTCTGCGTCTCGCGCCTCGACGCCTCTCGTTCCGAAAAGCTCGCTCCCCGCGCATCTGCCGGTGTCGTCGAAGAGGGCCGGGCCGTGGCCGAATCCTCCATAGAGCCATTGCTGCCAAACCGACGAGTCGATCGCTTCGGCGAGCTTACCGTGGAAGCCGTCTCCTCGTACGCTTGGTTTAATGCCGCCTGCGCTGAGGTTGCACCACTTGCACTTGTATGCCGACCGGGCAATGGTCTACTTTCCTCCTTCTGTTGTCGGGAACGTAGTCGAGCCTGCTTTTTCTTAAGACCATGCAGAAGATTGATGATGATATCGCGCACTCGGGGAAGGTAACGTTCGAGACTTTGCGGGGACGCATCTTGACTGAGGGTATCTTCGAGGATGGTACGAAGGAGGTCCGGTACGGGGCCAAGATCTGAGGTGTCAACTCCAATGGCATTGAAGGCGCGACAAGCCAGGTTGAATTCATAGCCGAGTCGAACATAGACATCTGACACTTCATTCTCTGACGCTTGTCGGCGCGACCATTGCGTTAGTGTTTCGAGTAGTTGCTTGGTAGCGACTAAAAGATGGGTGACGCTCTTTTCAATCTGGTTGATCTGTTTCTCGGGCTGTGGATCGGACGCACCACGAGGTCAGCCGGAAGATTTGTGGAGTTGAGCCGGCTGGGGGGCAGTGACTGCATGCCAGCATGCCAGCCAAAATAGAGGACTTACTACGACACCCTTTGAGGATTGAGATCGTGTCGAGCTCGAGGAGCTGCGTGGGGCGGAGGTCATGGCGGATTCAACGCTGCTCCCTGAACCGGACGGGAAATGCTGGGCTGAGGGACTTCGCTGGGCGCGGGAAATGCTGGAGCCGGACTGCATGTGTGCCAGGTGAGAATCCAGGGAGATTTCTCAGTCCGACAATAGAAAATGAACGCGGGAACGAGTCTATCAAGAGTGATAAGAAGACGCAGGGTGCAAGGTCGACAAAGGGCTGGGGCCTGAGTATTGTTTCAGAAGGATGTGTAAGGGAGAAGGAGAAGCGACGGCGGGATGGATGGAAATGGACAAAACCGATAAAGGGAAACGAGGGCGATCAAACAGGAGCCAGAAGGAGACGGGGGCGACAAAGAAGGCAGGGCAGGCAGGCAGGGAAGGATCCGCACGAGAAAGGCAGCGAGAGACAGCGGGAGTTATAGCCAAGGAACCAGCCTCTTCCGGTGGTGGGAGGAAGTGGTGGTGGTTGATACTGTTCGAACAGTTTAGTGAGTCTGTTGGACTGCCACTAGGGATCTGATAGACGCCCATTTGGGCACAAGCCTACCAGCCCGGTCTTAGTCTGTCTCAGCCTGAGGCATCCAGGTCACATGCTCCACCAGCCTCCCGGATTCTCGTTGCGCGGATCCACCTCAGCAGCGCCCCGATTCACCAGAACTATAGATAGTTTAACTCGAGATGTCTCGTATTGCAGCACCAATCCATTCATGTGGTGGTGATGCTCCTAGGACTGCCCAGACTGCAGAGTACCTTGTATCCACTAAGGTCTCTCTCGGCTCATAGAAGAATCCGATCAGATGGTCACATTCCAATGTGCGGACTCGCTCATGATGACGCCGATTCATCGGTCGCCCCATGTCAGACTGCAGAACCGCTTCAGTTTAGAGTTTCAAGGCCGGAGGGTGGAGGGTCACTTCCTATCAATCTTCCGGAAATCCTATCCTGTATTTCTGTGTCACTCCATGCTGGGTACTAGGGTTCTGCAGTCTCCAGCTACCGAGGGCCCGCCCCCCATAGAGTTGGTCCAGGTCCAGCCCAGATGTACAATATCTCGTGGTCAAGCCTCTCTCAATCGGCTGTCTCAACTCGCGACTCAGATGTACCGTGGAGTCTCTCATCTCATCGCTTCTCGACCCCTCTTACGTAACGACATCGCCTCGGATGGTTTCGATTCAATCACAATAACCAATCCGACCCATCAGCACCAGGCATGGCCGCTGGCCGCCCGGGCTGACACTCAATGGACTAGCCTAACAATGCTTAGCATGGCCCGGTCGACTGCCCCGTCGCCCGCCTTAGTTCTTACTGTATTCGCCTAGCCCCGTAGTAATGGGATATCTATAGCATCCATTGGGTAGCGCGCTGAAGCGTCAATCAAATGTCCTCGAAGCAGCGTCTTAGGCTCTTAGCGCAAGCTGGTTTGCTGGTTGCTTTACGGAAAGGGCCCAGCTGAAGGAGACCCGGTTGTGACGAGGCACCCCATAGGCCACAATTATAGCCTCGCCAAGCGGGGGGGGGATTGAATGGCCATTCACCTGGAGAATGTCCATTCTTGGTGATCGCTATATGTGTTGGCAGGACAGCAGCCCTTGCTCGCGCAAAGCTGGGTTTTGTTGCACTTACCGATCGCTCTCGGATGCCGGAAGGACTCTGGGGCCTTTCTTGTCGCGGGGACAGCAAAGCGATTATACAGAGGATGTTGAGTGGACGGCGGCTCTGGAAGAGAGCTTCCATGCAGCAAGGGATCATTCCAGACCTGGATCAGTCATAGATACAGAGGAAGCTAGCAGTATGCATGGATTCACAATACCGCGATGGCGGGCCTGTCCAAAGTGGGTTCTGACAGGCCGCAAGGGCAGAGTCTATTGAGTATTGAGATTGGTAACCCGACTGATGTCTGATGGAAGCAGAGGTAAGTGGAGTGAGGCGACATGGTGCGTCTCAGTAGCGAGGTGGAACACGCACACACACACACACACTAGATAGATACACAGCGCTGCAATCCGATTCATGAAGCTGGAGGAAGGGAATGAATGGGCAGAGCCAATTATTGTAATTTATGGTACGGATTACCAGCAGCCGCCAAGAGCCCTCCAACACAGAGAAAGGAACCGACCTGGAAGAATTTCAACGGCACCTCAGCAGATCGACATGGAAGCTGAAGTTGAAACGGAGCAGGAGAGACCAACTAAAGAGACATCATAAAAGGCGTGCACATTACATTCCCATTGCCCACTTCGCAGAGCCATTGGCTTCCCCACTTGTCTGCCCACCGCCAACCACGACGGAGAGGAGACCCTTGGAAATCCATGGGATTTGCCCACCTAAAGTGCTCTCTGACAAGCTAAAACCACCCGCCAGACCCAGCACTAACCGCCCACTCCGTCCGTACATACCAAACCTTGCCTGTGGTTGTTACTGCTTGTTACAGGCCTTTGTCTGGCTCTCTCTCCGGCTCTCCAGCGGGCGGTCTCCTCTTCCAACCAAACTCTGATAATCGATCATTCGATCGACTCCTCCTCCTCCTGCTATCTACTACGACATCTCCTCCTTCTCCTCCTCCGGCCGGCAATTCTGACCGACCTGGAACGTCTGACGACTTTCCCCTTTGGTCTGGATAATTTGGACCTATTGTTACTTTCTTCCTCTTCCTCCTACCCCCTCCGTCTTTACCTTTCCTTCTTCTTTCTTGCATCTTCTTCCTCATCCTCTTCTCCACTTCCCGTCTTTCCTCCCGGATCCGCGTCTCCCCTCTTTTCTCCCCCTTCCCCGATTTTCCCATTCCGTGGAAAGTCGTTTGGAGGCGGTCCCGTGACTCGTCGGGGCTCTTGCTCTCTTACCACAGCTTCTCTTTTTCCCCTTCCACCCCGCCATTCTTCAGTTCCTTCCCCCATCTCTCCCTCCCACTCCATCACCGTCCTTCCCGGCCCTGTTAGCGCAGGCGGTGTCCTCTGGCTTCGTGCCTTCCGTCCGTCCTTTTTACGGCTTTGCGTCGTGCGACGACGTAGAGAGCTTCGTTCGGTGACGATACAGCCAGATGGCTTCAACCGTCAACTCCATGCCGGCTGCCAGCAATGCGTCTGGCAATGCCGCAAATTCGCAGAACCCCGGAACTCGGCCTTCTTTGAGATCCAGTGCCAATCCAAAAGCGTCGGAGGGGGGGCGGCGCCAGTCCGGCAGCCCTCTCGAGGGCGGGCAAAGGTACGTTGTGTTGTCTATCTGTTATGCTCCCATTCCTCGCAGCCTCTCCGACACAGTTGTTCCCATTGGCATCGCTTCACCGCTTATCGCCTCACGAGAGCTTAGTCCTGTGCTCTCTTACCGACCTCTCTTTCCTGTCTTCCATTGCCTTTATTCTAGCTGTTTGTCCCTCGCGTGTCGCTCGTTTTGCGTCGTGGGTTTGCAGCTTCCCAATGCCCAACCGGTTTCTTGCCCACTAGAGGGCCGCAGTCGTCTTTGGCTGTTGTCTCAAATGTTACGATGCTGTGTTGCGCATTGGCTAATCTAGCTCGTTACATGACAGGCGCAGCAATTCCCAAAAGGCCTGGTCTCACGGCACAAACCCCATTACCCAACGGGTCTCATACGCACAGCAGAACGGCAACATGTCCCACAAGCAATCCGCCTCTCCTCGAGCTACGCCCAAGGAGTCAAACACCCCCGACAACCACGCACACGATCGCCTCGTTTTCTTGCTTACTAGTTTTATTGTAAGCCTGGTGCTCCACACTGCACATGCTGGCGGGAAAGGCTCACGGTTTCTAGGGCTTAACTGCTACTATTACTACAAGAAATGGGGAGAAATTCACAGGAATCTTTTCTTCCTCATCGCTCGAACCTAGCGACTCCTCGTTCGTTCTTAAAATGGTGCAACGGCCGCCCAAGGCGGATCAGAACAAAGCAAACGGAGTGAGTGAGGCCTCGAGCCCATTCATGGGGTCGGCACCGGATCATAGCATGTCCTTTGATGTCAAGGACGTAGTCGACATCTCAGTCCCGAACGTCACCACAGCCGACGTCACGGCCAAAGGCTCGAATGGTAGGCGGCCTTGACCTAGGAAATCGTGGAAGGCATCTTCGTGTGCTAACAACTCCTCTAGGGACTCCTGTAGGGTTCAGAACAGATACTGACATTTCCGGAAACCTTGCCATTCGTGAGCGGGCTTTGAAGCGATGGGAGCCTGCGGCAGATACAGATGTCGACTTATCTCTCGAAACCACGAACCACTCAGCTGGATGGGACCAGTTTGAAGCCAATGCCAGGCTTTTCGGTGCTACTAGCAGTTACGACGAGAACATCTACACCACTCGGATCGACAGATCGGACCCTGCCTATAAGCAGAAGGAAGCGGATGCGGCTCGCATTGCCCGGGAGATCGAGGGCACTACCACAGACAATGCACATGTCCGAGAGGAACGAGGATTGGTATCTACGGATGATATCGACGAGGAAGCTAAGTACAGCGGTGTCCGCCGTGATGAGAAGAACTTCCCTCCGCTTGTCTCGGGGCAGCCGAACAAGTACACCCCGCCGGCGCGCCGGCAAAATACCGCCCAATCCGCCATGGCCACAGGTGCCCCTGCAAGCTCTATCAAGCAGACGCAGAGTGCACCCCAAGAGGTTGTTGCCGCAGGACCGCCGAAGGAGAATGGACAGGTCCAGGTTCAAACCGCACCTACCAGTGGTGCTACCAACACTATTACTGATGCGGAGCAGAAACCTGCATTGTCCAAGACCCCTACTGGCGTCACAGGACCGGCTCCTGGAAATGCCACCTCAAACGTGGAGGCCGAGGTGCTGGACTCCTTCCGTCAATTCGCTCACAATGAGAAGGCGAAGTTGCAAGAACGCCGTCGGAACCAGGCTTCGTATGATCGAACAATCAAGTTGAACGAACTCATGAGATTCTCGAAGAACTTCAAACTGGCTACGCCCGTGCCTAAGGATTTGGTGCCAATTCTGGCCAAGGATCCCCACAAGCAGGAGGAGATCATTCAACGAGCCCAACAACATGCGGAGGAGAAGACCGTGCCCAAGGCATCGGCGAGTGTTGAACAGAAACCCGCTGCTCGTGCATCTGGAACTCCTCGCCAGGAAAGCGGGGCCATGCCGCCTCCCGCGCAGTCGGACCGCTCGAATTATCCTCGGGGCCGCCAAATGTTCCCTCCATCCGCTCCGCATGCCGGGCCTGGTGGGCGACCACCCCAGCAGAATGTGCACCCGGGTCGCCAAGCTACTGGCATGCTCGGTCACCGTTTAGCCGATAACATACAGCAGCGGAAGGGAGCTGCCGTGGGGGCTGTTCCAGCTCCCTTGCCTATCCATGAGGTTCGCATCCCCCCAACCGGCCCAGCCGGCGATCCGCCTGCTGTTACCAGCCCGAATAAGTCACACACACCAACCTCGGCCGTGTCGACCAAGTTCAATGTGAGGGCCTTGGAGTTCAAGCCGAACCCCGCCGCAAGCACCTTCACGCCCGGTGCTTCATCCACCTCGTCGCCGTTCACCAGAGGACGCTCTGTCTCGCGGGCCACCAGCCCCTCGTTGTTCTTCGGTGCGAAGAAGCCAAGACCGATTGCTGAAAGGCCATCTCTCCACGATCAGTTTAACCCTATCAAACGACTGAAGAAAGAAAGCACGGAACAGGGTGACAAGGCTTACACATTCAATGGAGGCATTCCTCCCGCTTATAAGACCCCACCAACCTGGGATGTCTCTGCCGCCAACGAGGAGAAGGACTATTTGCAGATGTTCAAATCTCCCGCCTCCGTACCGGCTATTTCCCCTCAAAGCCGCTCAGCATCGAATCCGCAAATGCCCCACCCGCCGCAGATGCCGTTCCAATTCCCCCAGACGACTCCGGGCATGCCCCCCACCACTGGCCCACCGCATGGGCCTCATCTGCACCCGCAACAGCATCACAATGCCGGTCCACCGCACTTCGACGATCCTCACCGTATGCAGATGTCGGCTTCAACCTCGCAGATGTTTCCATCTCCCCGACTGCAGCATGGCTACCCATCCCCTATGGCACCGCACGCACAGCTTGCGTTTGGGCAGGGCGTGCCACAGTTCTATGTTAACCAGGGCGCCCCACAGCCGGCACATATGAGACACTACCCCGGCGGTCCCCAATTTGTGAACCCACAAACGGGCATGGGCGCTCCGATGATGGTTCAACAGCCTTCTAGCGGACCTTACATGGGTGTTCCCCAGGGCGTAGCCCCTTATACGCCCCAGATGCAAATGTATTCCCCCAATCCGAGCCACGCATATCCCCAGCATGTGCCTCCGCCCCAGCCTCACAGTGGCTATCCGAGTCCCAGTCGGGGTGCTCCCATGATGATGCACCAGAACTCCCAGCCGGGCCAGCCCCCACAACCCGTCATGTTCATGTCCCCTGGACAGCATGGGCAGCCCGTATATCCTGCTCAGCAGGCAGCACACAGTATGTTACAGCCCATTTGGAAGACGTGCATGGCATCACGTTGCTGACTTCTAACAGTGCCCCCCGTCCGGGGAAACTACCCTCAGCAGCAACCGCACTTCCAGTCCAGTCCCCACCAAGTGCACCATTATCCGCCCCATCAGCATAGAACACCGAGCAGCAGCTTTAATCAGATGCCTCAGATGCCCCCTCAAATGCCAGCTCAACCCGCGGGTGCTGTGACATCTGGTTCTCAACCGCAAGAGGCTGCGGATGAAGTGAAATGAAACATTCTCACCTGAGCAGCGTGAGACGCCATATCGCTGGCTAAGCGACCTGACCGATACCGCCATTCCATCTCATTGGGCATTCAGGCTCCCCTTTGGACGTGAACCAAAGTTCACCGTTGGTGACTCAGTTGTCTCGCATCGTCCAACATCTCACTATGTTTACCAAAGCTATCTGTACATTTGTGCGTTTGCGCTGTGCTTCGTGCACCGGAGATCTAGTGTTTCCGGTGGACAAGTTGCGAACTTACTACTGGTGAGCTTTCCCAGACAGCTTGGAAGGTCCCGCATGGAGTCGTCTGCTAACCAACCTAGGCGAGGTGGCAGCTTCGTGTAAAGTATCGCAATCAGATCAGGAGTGTATAAGAGTGAAGCCCTGGGGCTATAAGTTGAGAGGTGATCTCTAGGGATTGGTGCGTCGACACATAGTTCGGCATCCGATGGCCTTCTGGCCATTCTATGCAGACCTATACTATACGGCTTCTTGGGAGTGATCTACGCGAGTTCACGAAGAGAATTCCACTAACATTACTTTCCAAGATACTGGGGTACTCATTGCTATATGCCAATGATGTTCTGGGATTTATTTTTCTTTCTTTTCGTTTCACGTTTTTTTGTGTTACCGTCTGTGGGGGACCGAGCCAAGGGAGGGGAAGCTGGGATGGGCAAACGAGTGGTTGAGGCGGGTATGATCAATGCGGATGGGAGTGAGATACGTTGAATCGTGCACGGGTGAGTTGGTTGCGTGGTGTCTGTGAAGTCTTCAAGGTGAGGGAAGAAAGTGGCTTGGGGTGACTTGTTGCTAGCATCTTGCAGGAGATGAATGACATACAGAAAACCAAGCTCTAAGCCTTATGTAGATTTTTGGTTCGGTATAGCGCAAGTATTTGTGCTGTTGTCAGCTTGGTAGTGGATGCAGAATGGACAAGAACAAAAGAAAGGGCAGCATTCTTCTCAGGTCTTTTCAGTTTATATTTGGTCTTCATTCGACCAGGCATGACGACGTCACCGCCGCGGTACTGCACCCCCAGACCGGAACCAACCACCAGAAGAACGACAGATTCCATAACACCCAGTCGAAGAAGCACATGTTCAAACTCCGCTTCCACCCAACCTTCTCGCCCGCCCATCTCCCATTCCGCGGTGTCATATGACTGTATTGCATGTTTGCCGCAGCCATTAGTTTCTGAAGTTCCTCATAGAAGCAAAGCGGACCAGAAACCCCAAATTGCGGCTCGGGAGGATGTTCTCTGTACACATGTCTTTCCAAGCCAACCAACGCCGTGAGCCTCGCGGCTAGGACCTTGTGCCTTCCACAAAAGCATGTGCCCGCATCGGAAACGGAGAGAGGGCAGGTAAGAAGGAAAGATAGCCACGAGGAAATTCCACGACGCGACGATCTTGATGAGAGGATTCTGAGTCCGTTGGTAACATCGGTTGTCGGAATGGGTGACGCAAGCACACATCGGAGACTGAGGTGACGCGTATTCTGGTTCACGCGGTCGGACCTTTTACCAGATTCACATCATAGGAGAATGGCTGTTTTCTGTTTGCAGGGGGAGGGGAGGGGAGGGGGAGGGACAGGATAACAAAGACGTAGGAGGATGACTGGACGTGCCTTGAGTTAGCTCGCGTTGGTATGGATGGTTAGCTGATCGTTCTGCATCGTAGAGTTGATACATGGCGAAGAGAGCCACGTGTAGCCGGTATTGTTGCCATCATTGAGGCGCTCGTGTTGTAGAGGGAGGAGAGGAAGAGAAAGAAGAGCTCCGGCGGGTGATTTGAAGAGCTCCGGCGGGTGATTTGAAGAGCTCCTACCGGCGGCCCTAAACCCGATTGAGGGCGGGGTACCGGGACAGCGCCAAAGGGACGTTCGGCCGCCTTACCGTCGGCGTCTTATTCGCTGTTCCGATCTCCCCTCCGCGGGCTCCTGGTGAACTTGGGGGCTGTGACTATTCGTCCTTGATCTAGACATACCATCGTATACGTGTCATCTCATCGGGGCTTCATTTCTTTTCCGCGCCCCTTTTTCCTTCGTGGACGACGTTCCCCACTAGTTATCGCGCCGCGGATATCTTGAGACCAGCTAGTAATTAGCTGCCCGTTTCCGCCTCGACTGTTAGCCACCACCATGGATTTCCTCAAATCGGCCGTCGCATCGGCGATCGCAAAGGGGAGTTCGTTCCCTTACTCGCTTGGGGATAGAGTCGACCTGTCCGATTCGATATGGACGCTACACAATGCTACGAAACGGGTACGAAAGTGTCATGCTTCTGCGGCTGTCGGGTCCGCGGAATGACCTCAAGGGGATAATGCGATGCTGATCGGTATCTATAGGAGGACGGCTCGCTGTGCAGTGTCTTCACGTTTGATACGGCTTCCAACAAGTCTCGGCTCCCGTTAGCGAAGAATGCGGTGCGAAAGTGCCGGACGTTGAGACATCCGGGTGTGATCAAGGTCTTGGATACGATAGAGGTACAGGCATACGATACTCGGTGCGCCTTTATCATGGGATAACATGCTTACGGGGTATAGACCGACGCCAACATTTACATCGTGACTGAGCGAGTCGTTCCCCTTTCCTGGCATGTGAAGCGGAGGAGTCTGAGCGAAGAGACATCGAAATGGGGTTTATATACGGTGGCGGTATGCTTGGGACCCGGAGGATATGGTTAGAACTGCTCTGACGTATGCGGCTTGCAGTCAACGCTCAAATTCATCAATGGAGATGCGTCCTCCGTTCACGGCGTCGTTAGAGCATCCTCGGTCTTTACGAGTGAGAGCGGGGAGTGGAAGCTGGGCGGATTCGACGTCCTGAGTTCGATGAATGATGAGAACGCTGTGATCTATGTATGCTTACAGTTCTTTATGGACCACAGATCCAGATCTGCTAACGGCATGGAACAGACCTACGGCAGTCTTGTACCCGACGCGGCGCGATACACACCCCCGGAGGTCGTCAAGGGCGGATGGGATACAATCAAGCGCAACCCCTTGACGGCGATTGACGCATACGGGCTGGGAATACTGGTATATGAGGTTTTCAATGGCAACTTCAGCAGCGGAGATCAGGTGGGCAAGACGACGAACATCCCACCCAGCATGCAACAAAGCTACAAACGCCTGTGCACGGCCAACCCTAAAATCCGGTTGAGCCCTGCGCACTTTGTTGAGCAAGGAAAGAAGAGCGGTGGTTTCTTTGAGACCCCACTTATCCGGTTGACGGACGATATAGAGAGTCTGGGACTTAAGAATGACGCTGAGCGGGAGGAATTTGTCAAGTGAGTCTATTTCCATAAAATAGGCCATTGGTTCTGATGCTAATGGGACTAGCGAACTTGATGAGTTGTCTGATGACTTCCCCGAGGAGTTCTTTAAAATGAAGGTGCTCCCAGAACTGCTCAAGTCAGTCGAGTTTGGCGGAGGTGGTCCCAAGGTCCTTGGGGCCATTCTGAAAATCGGTTCAAAGCTGTCTCAAGAAGAATTCAATGCGAGACTTACTCCCGTGATTGTCCGGCTGTTCGGAAACCCTGATCGAGCGCTTCGGGTCTGCTTGCTCGATAACCTCCCTGTGATGATCGACAACTTGCCCCAGAAGATCGTCAATGATAAGATCTTCCCTCAGATTGTTAGTATGAGAGGACATCTAGCAGTATCCAACGCTAATATCTCGCCCCCTAGACATCCGGCTTCACCGACGCCGCGCCCGTTGTTCGAGAGCAGACTGTCAAGGCTGTTTTGCCGATCATCAACAAGCTCAGCGACCGGGTTATCAACGGTGACCTACTGAAGTTCCTGGCGCGAACTGCTAACGACGAGCAACCGGGGATTCGTACGAATACCACTATCTGCTTGGGCAAGATAGCAAAGAATCTCGGACAGGGGGTGAGTGATCTTCTTCGAGATAACCTACATGTTGCTGATAATTGGTAGTCGAGATCGAAAGTTCTCATTGCAGCATTTACACGGTCTCTTCGGGACCCTTTTGTACACGCCCGGAATGCCGGTTTGCTGGCCCTCGGGGCAACGTTGGAGTTCTTCACCGAGGAGGACTGTGCAACCAAGGTTCTTCCGGCTATTTGCCCCTCGCTTCTTGATAAAGAGAGGTAAGTGCACCTGGCTGTCTCATGAACCAATCTAATCGATGAATAGGATGGTAAGAGACCAGGCAAATAAGACGCTTGATCTATATCTAGAGCGCATCCGGAAATTCGGCAACACGATGGCAGATACGGTGATTTCCCCAACCGTCAGTGCCGATCCGACCAAAGATGCCGCCCGCATTGGCACATCTAATGATAAATCCTGGGCTGGGTGGGCCATCTCCTCGTTCACCAATAAGCTCACGGCAGCCAACGGGGATATCCAGTCCTCTGCTAACGGTGCCAAACCTGTCGAGCCTGAACCTGTCCGTCCGGCTTCTGTTCCCCGTCCAACCAGGTCGGCAACTTCGGTGCAGAAAGAGACGCTACGGCCTGCCGCTCAGTCTCTGAACCGGTCCTTGTCGGAGCAACCCACTCTATCTAAAGAAGACGATGATACGGAAGATGTCTACGACGCATGGGGTGCAATGGATGATGACGAAGAAGAGGACCAGCAGAAAGAAGAGGATCCATTCAGTGCAGCCGTGACCGCCAGCCCAACCATTTCTGCTCCCACGCCCAAACCCGCTCCTGTCCCGTATGACGATGGCGGAGAGCCAGACTTTGCGGGCTGGCTTGCCGCACAGTCCAAGACGAAGAAGCCATTGCCCAAGGGCTTGAACAAGACCAGTCCTGCTGCCGTGCCGCGAGCATCGAGTCGCAATAGCACAGTTAAGCCGAAGACCGTTGTCGCGCCCAAGAAGATCGACACGAAACCCAAAGAGGAAGAAGAGGAGGATGGCTGGGGGGATGCATGGGATTGATTCCCCACCCTTTTGTTCTATTTTGCGACATATCACGGCATTCACGGCAGGGGGAGTTTGGGCGCATGCAGTATATAGTTTGGTAGATCGGTCATTGCGGGTTGCATACTGTGCATATGACATGCGATAGGATAGAACCAATAGTACGGACATATTTGACGCCACTGGTTCCAGGGCTGCTAAGTAGACCAACCCACCGCAAGTCAACCTGAAACACCGGCAAAAGGATCGACTCGATAAGGCAGAGGGCGGAGCCAATCAGGCGGCGGCGGCCCCGTGATCACATCCGCCGCTGATCCTCCGCCGCCCGAGTTCCCAGTCAGCCTCCCTCTGCTGCTCAACCGCCGACTGTCCCGCTTGTCAGTTGCGCCGAGCTCGCTGTCATCGACTTGCTGGTAAGTTAAAGGGATCTTTCATCGGCTCCCCCCGCTTTTCCCCGGGTAAGTCGAACAAGGCTGATGAATGTACCTGGATCTAGATAATCTTGCTGCCTTCCAGCATCTTCCGTGCCTGCGTGTCTGGGAAGGCTGGTGGGCGTTGCATATCATTCATGCGCGATGGATGACGGGCGATGAACGTGAAGATCCAACTCGGTCCCTACTTTTGAATATCCACATCTACCGGATAGTTTGCCCTTGCTGCAATGGATTCCGATGAGGCCCCTCCTCCGCCATACTCGAGGGTCGACCCGTTACTGGCCCAAGACAACAACAGTAATGCCGCTGCCGCCGCGGAGGTGAACCGTGTGCTGCTTCGTCTGCGTGGAGGAGAGGCGGCTCTGGGGGGCACACCGTCGAGTCCGTCGTCCAGCTCCGTGGGGGGTGATCCTCTATCGTCTTCCGCCGTGCCCGCCCACTTCATTTCCGCCGCGGGATACTTTGTGGAGAGGCCGCCTCCTACTTCGAGCCAGGAGGGGCAGATCGTGGATCATTGCGTTGCCATCTACCCACGGAGTCAGGCGAAGGATTTCCCGCGTCGTCCGCGATGTTGGAACTCTCGCACTCAAGACATCACCCAGCAGGACTGGGATGTTTTCCTCAGACACTTATTTCCCCCACAACTAGGTCTGGCATCTACCTCGAACCAACTGCCCCGTCAACTGAGAGCGGAAATCCAGCGAGACCGCAAGGACCGGCCACAGGAGACAGACGATGAGCGGAAGCGACGGGTTGCTGCGGTCATCATGGAATGGAACCAGTACTTTTTCGAACCCCGCTCGGCTCGCGTCATGTATGTGTATGTGCTGGACCCGCAGAATGCGCCACGATCGTCCCTCTGTCCCCGGTGCTACCCTGCTGCTACGAAAGCTACACGCGAGACGCGGGAGAATCGAGTCGCCCCAGCGTCCGACGCCGGTCGAGGTCGCTCGCAACCGTCCCCATCTACCGTACCACCAGCTGCTGAGCCGCATGCACCCCCAGCAAACCCCGTTCCTGCTCCAGTACCCTATGCCTATCCCGCCTATCCTGCACCTCCTACTCCTTACGCACCCTATGGGCCGCCTGCCGTATACAATCCAACGGTCTATCCGGCTCATGTATATCCATATCCTACTCAACAGCCACCACCGCCACCCGCACCGTATCCCCAACCACCTCCCTGGGGTTGGAGCGCGCCCCCGTATGGGACGCCATACCAGGATACCAGCACAACGAAGGGTGGTCCCCTGGGTTGGATCGCATCCTTGGCCTCTCAGGCACAAAAGTACGGAGAGCGCTTCACGGAGCAAGCTCAGTTATACGGCGACCAGATCAGTGCACAGGCCCAGCACTATGGGAGGCAGGTGGAGGAACAGGCGTTTGGTCACAGCCGCTGGATCGAGGAGCAGGCCAGCTATCAAGGACGGAAGATGGAGGATGCCTTTACGGGCTTCGTCAATCCGTCTCGCGATGATTGGATCGCGAATCAACTTCCTAAGCCAGGATACCCGCAGACCACTCCGGTTTATGCCTCTGCGGCTGCAACTCCTCCGACTGTGACCCCTCAACGAGCCATGACAGCTCCATCGGAACGTCCTCGTCGGGCTTCGATGGACTCGGAGGCATCCGACCTGTCGTTCTCCTCGATTGATTCCTTGTCGACGACATCTGATCTCAGCGCCTCGGATCTGACCACCGTCCGCGCACAACTTTTGTCTCTGAACGACCATCATGATCGAGAGCTCTACGAAGCGGCCGTGGGTCTGCGTCGACAGCTGGACCTCGTGCAGCAATCCCGACGACAGAGCCGCGCCTCCGGACGGAGCGGCTGGCGGCACGGATGGAGACGATGGGAATCGCCACACGAGCAGCACCAGAAGGAGACGGACAAGCGGATTGTCAAAGAAGAGACGCGGGCTACCCGGAAGGCCTTCCGAGATGTGCTCCGCCGTGCTCGAGAAGAGCAGCGCGAGAAACGGCGGCTCAAACGCAGCCGCCGGCGCCAGGAGCAACGAGCCCGACAGATGCAAGGGGCTACAGAGGTGCCGTTGGAGCACCACATGCAACGTCTGGAGCTGGACACGCATCGCGAGAGCCAGTCTACAGTGCAGTCGTTTACATCCATTCCATCCCCGGCGCGATCTTTAGCAGAATCCGAAATCAGTGAGATTAGCTCGATCAGCACGCCGAGCACGAAGTCTTCGCGGGGCGGGGAGAAGATGGCCGGTAAAGGTGAAAAGAGTGAAAAAGGGGAGAAATCGGGCTTAGAGAAACCGAGCAAAGATTCAGAGAAGGACCCTCGAGGGCCACGGCGCAATTAGCTTAACTTATTCCACGAACGATGCATGATCACAGCGGTGTTATTCAGTGAGATTGGATTGGGTTTCATGTATTACTGTCATTATCCGGCGTCTTGTATACAGGTAATTAGCATGCCTATCATCCATGAGTGATGTTCATCCAAAACCTTACGCTCACACCCACTAGCCGATACACTCAGTTCATATACGATCTACTCTACCGTAACCATATCTATACAAAACCCCATACCTTCCTTCCCCCTCCAAAAACAGTGCCCAATAAACAATAGAAAAACGAAAAGAACTACTACGCCGTCTGCGCCTCATTCTTCTCTACCAAATCACCCACCCCCAATCCCCGTCCAACCTTCACCCTCACCATCCTCTCCTTCTCCTTCTCCCCATCAGTCTCCTTCTTCCCCACCTCTCCCACCTCATCCCCCTCATCCGCCTCCTTCTCATCCCTCGCCGCCCGCTCCCGATCCTTCCGCTCAATCTCCGCCCAATCAATAAACATATTCGACAGGTCCATGCGCATCGCGTACGCGTCCTCCCCGTCCGCGTAGTACTTGCTCTCTACGCTCTCGACCTGGAATCCTAATGTGTCGCGGTAGAGGTGTAACGCGGCGGTGTTGGACACGCGGACGTGCAGGGAGACGTATTGTGCGCGGTGGCATTCGGCCATGGCGCGTTCTATCCAGGAATACAAATATTAGCTTGTTGTCCATGATATATACCAATGAAGATATCATAGTCCTAAGATTAATGACTGAGAGGGATAAAAATGGTAAAGGGCAAAGGGGGGGGGGCAAAACATACGACTCATCCTCATCAACCTCTCCGCAATCCCCAACCGTCTATGCGTCCTCATCACACTAATCGACGTAATATGTCCATGGGCTACTCCATCCGTCGGCTCCTCTTCCATTTTTGCTAACACGTAGCCCACCACCTTGGGGTATTGTTCTGCGGCGCTGCCGGCGCTGTTGCCGGTGGGGGTGGTGTGCTTGGTGTAGCCATGCTTGGGACGGACGACGGCCACGAAGGAGAGTTGGGGCCAGGTGAGGGCGTGGTAGAGGTAGTATTTGAGGAAGTAGTTCTCGGGCAGGTTGGTGATGTTGCAGGTTTGGATGGAGGGGAGGAGGTCGATGTAGGAGGGGTAGCTGGAGAGGGGGAGGATGTCGACCATTTTGGATGTTGGGGGGGTTGTTTTTAGGGGTGTGGTGTGTGTGTTGTGTAGGGAGATATAAGATATTATCCCCGAGAATGGGTGGAATTGGTATGGTAGCAGTAGAGGTGGTGGTGGTGGTGGTATCTGATATTAGGAGTGGTGGGAGTCAGCTGAGTGCGCGCTAGCTGGTTTGGGTTAGGGCCATCGGCCGACTATACAGTGTGAAGATTGTAGGTAGTATAACTCTATACAGAATGACAGATAGGGTATGCTGAGTATCTATCGGTATACATCATAAGAACAACTCCAGACGCCTAGGTACGCTCCCTAAAAGATCGATGCAAGATATTGCACCCCCCCCATCACCAGCAATGTTCCCAGCACGCTCACCCCCGGCATCACACTCGAGGCCGCAGACGCCGTGCCGCAGCACGTCCCCGTATACGTCACGTTGTTCATCTCGGCAGCCACCTCGAACACGGACCCATTGAAGTTGCCGTAGTTGTAGTAATCTACTAAGAGGAAGTTGGGCGGCCGATCCCACATAGCTTAAGAAAACATCAGCGGTGACACAGATACAGTCAGCAGGCGACTTACCCGTGCAATTCTGAGCCATCCGTCCCAGACTCCCGTACCCAGAAACCGCATTGGTCCGGTTGAGGGACGCCGTATTCGGGATCAGCAGACTAATGCTGGCGATGCTCACATCGATGTTGAGGTTGTGGTTGGCCATATACATCCGGTCCTTGGCGTCCTCCGTCGACAGACTGGGCGGACGCTGCTCCGTGCAGGGAAAGTCGGCGTCCGTGGGCGAGAAAGGCGTCTCCCACATCTGCGAAAACTCGTCCATGAGCCACGGGTACGCCGTCTGGTTGGCCTGGTAGTCCATGAAGACAATGGCCCGTTTGCTGGACAGAATCAGGTTGGACATGGTCGGCCAATCGTCCAGAGCCATGGGGATCTTCGACGGCGTAAACACATAGTCCATGAGCCCGGAGTTTTGGATGGGCGCCGTAAAGTTGCCCGGGTCCACATAGTCATAGTTGCCGATCAGGAGGGTGACCACGTCGTACGGGTGGGTTTTGATCCATTTGGTGACGGTCGTCAAGTAGTCTTCGAGGGTGCCCATGTTCAGCAGGTCGCAGCTGGTGTGACAGAGGTAGAGGGTGTTATTAACCAGATGCGTTTGAAATTGCACTGTCCCGTCAGCAGCCTTCCAGAGCAGAGCTAAGCTTTGTCCAGTACTTACGCATGCGAATCCCGTCATCCAACTGGTCAGTCACCGCCAACGCCTGGTTGGCGGCAGCATTTCCGGGCTTGACGAACGGACTGTTATGGGCCGCCACCATGGTGATGTTGGAGTACTTGCGAGCGCAAAACTCGGTGTATCCGTTGCAGGGCTGCGTGTTGACTACTGGGGTCGACGTGGCGGACGTCGTCGCGGTCGCGGTCGCATTGGTGCCATTGACGGCGCCGGTCTGCCCGCCCACCAGCAGGGTGAGGGACTGCGAGGAGGAACTCGATGTGGTCGCGGTGGAATTCCCCGAGGTGGTGGTAGAGTTGGAAGTGGTGGTGGTGACGGTGTGGGCGCCGGTGCTCGTGACGGTATGGCCATCATCGAGAGTGACGGTGGTGGTGTACGAGAGGTAGTGCCCCGTGGGGAGAGTGGCTTCACTGATGGACGAGGTGATGGTCCCTTCCAGGGTCAGGACGCCGCCGCCATCGGTGGTCGTAGTGGTGGTAGCATCGTCCCGAGCCAGAGCCGGCCAGATGCCCACCACCAGGAGCGGCAGCAGGTGAGCGATCAACCGCATGATGGGGTGGATGGAGATAGAGTCGGTCTATCGAGACTCGGAGATTTTGATATTAAAACCAGACAGGTCTCGGGATCATGCGGCGCGATCAGAGGACCACCAACGGGAAAAAGACCCTGAGAACCCTGAGTACCCTGAGCAAAGAGGAAAAGACCTGCGGGGATGTCTCACGATGAAGTCTACCATGGGATGCTGGGCTGGTAAGGTATTTTTAGGTAGGTCAGGTATTATTACCGACCAAGGTGCGGCGAGTCTGCGACTCATTGGCTGGGAACCCCCTGACTGTCCGCCCCGCCGTCTGGCCCAAAGCCGATCTTAGCCCGGGCGTGAGAGTGCCAGATAATACTAAATTGGCAGATCGGCCGCAGGGAAAATCCCCCTCGACGCCACCCGCCAATGAAGACCCTCTCCAGCCCAGGCAGCCAGAATATCAGAGACGCTAAGTGGGTCGCGGTGGTCAATGACGTTGCACCGGTCAGCGCCCGCCAGAAAATAGGCCGTGGCTTTAAATTCCAGGCCCTTTTCTGCGTCGGAAATTCTGCCAGATCAGCCACGATCCCCACTCCATTGGGCAATCGGGAAACCATCAGCGGCTACCACACCAATCACTTCTGTTGCAGTCCATCACCAGCCACGGCCGCGAAATGGTTACCGTACGGAGTACCGAGTGACGAGCAGTAGTAGCAGGTTCGTGGCCAGTGACTAACGGCAGAAGACCCGATCAACGGCGCCATCAGGATAATCTGCTCACGATCTGCCCTCCGCCACCTGGTCATGTCTGAAGTCAGGGCCCATCGCCCAAGGGGGTAGGACTAAAGGGGCGGCGGACAGACAGGAATGACCTGCCACCGAGTCTAGACCCGCGCTGCTGCTAAGAATACCCCCCGCCCTGACAATTCCTGAGTAAAAAATGAAGCCGCCAGCGTTACGGCCCAGATTGGATTTGGGATTTATTTGATTATTTGGATTAACTAAAACAATCCATAGTACTCCGTATGTATTGGGATGTTTGGCTGCCAAGGCGTCTAACTTTTTTCAACCTTCAAGCCCAAAATCCACGGCGGATCGCTGGAGATCCGGGACGTGGACTGTCGCCTGTTCTGTCCAACTCTTGACTCTCCATTCTGATCGTCTCATCTCGTCTCTCCTTTTCCTCCGTCCTCCTGAACTCATCTATCCTCCTCGATCCTGGCACGTGGTCCATGGGGTGTAACGTCATCTCGTCGACTAACCCTCCGCCATCCGGATCGCTCATATACTAACCAACTAACTATACTGGCACACATTTTGACTGACACTTGATCTGTCCTGCGTCGTCTCATCAACTCTCCTTCGACTCGGTTTTCCGCCCATTCCGACCTCCCATCTCCACCGCCACGTGCCTGACAGCGGTCCATGGCAAAGCTGCCCCTGTTCAAAAATGCCCCGGAACGGCCGCAGGTCGGACGGAGTCGGTCCAAGGTGCTCTGGCACCGCATCCTCCGGTCCTTCTGCTATCTGGTGGCCTGGATCTTCCTCATTCTGGTGTGCATTGGCAGTGTCGCCGACAAAGCTGTGATCCGACAGACGTATTTCCTGGAAATCAACCTGGCCAATATCATCCCGCTGTCCACCCCCAATGCCGACCTGATCGATACCATTGCCCGCACCATCGGTCTGCACGACTTCTACCAGGTCGGATTATGGAACTATTGCGAAGGCTACTTGGGCCAGGGCATCACCCATTGCTCCAAGCCCAAAGTCCTGTATTGGTTCAATCCCGTCGAGATCATTCTCAGTGAACTGCTCTCCGGCGCAACCAGTAGGTCCCTGCCTACACCCCCCCCCCCCCCCACTAGCCATCACTAACCAACCCCCCTCCAGTCGCTCTGCCCGCCAACATCACCTCCGCGCTGAAGATTGCCCGCATCGCGTCGCACTGGATGTTCGGTCTCTTCATCACCGCCACCGTCCTGACCTTCATTCTCATCTTTCTCTCCCCCCTCGCCGTCTCCTCGCGGCCGCCCCAGACCATCTCTTCCGACCCGGCCGTCAACCAAGCCCACCCCCAGCACCGCCGCCGCACCTTTGTGCTGCTCCGCTCCTTCCCCTTCCTGATCCTCACCTTCCTGGCCGCCCTCTTTACCGTCGTCGCCTCCGTCGTCGCCACGGTCATGTTCATCATCTTCCGCAACGTCTTCACCTCCGCCAGCGAAGACCTCAACATCGAAGCCTGGATCGGCACGCGCATGATGGTCTTCATGTGGATCGCCTCCGGCTTCAACCTGGTCGCCTTCATCCTGCAGCTCGGGTCTTGCTGTGCCTCGTGCTGCGGGGGCCGCAAGGCCCGCAAGCAACTCAAGCGGAACAGTGCCAACGGCACCAGCGTCAGCACCGGCACCAGCAGCTCGGTGTCCCCCGACCTGCGCGAGAAGGAACACCAGCGCACTCCTCCCGCTACGACCGAGTGAGCAGTTATCCACCACGGGTGCCGGTAATCCCGTGACTATCTCCAGACCATCGCTACCGGCTCGGATCCCCCCCCTCGCCATCTCGGCGAGTTAGACCAGGAGGGATGTCTCCCTGTACGCCCAAGCTACATAGAATATAAACGGGTGAGCATCGCAGGGGCCCCCCAATATAGGCTGATTTGGATCTGTATACTGTACGTTATTTCTCGTTCGCGACGGGTTGGTTTTGTATAGACGCGGTGGATAGACTTAGATGGATGTGGCGGGAGCTTGTCGCTGCTACTCCGGCAAGGGGAGATTACGATCTTTACGACTGTGTCATGATATTACGAGTGGGCGTATCTTAAGGGTTGGTACCATGCAGGAAAGCTTGTTAGACTCTAAAAATGCAATCGGTTCATCGATGGATGACACCATCCTCAACGCCGCCCCGCAGTTATGATTGATCGAGAAAAGATAAACAAGGGTATCAAGATATTTTCAAATACGTCAGCTTGCCTGACCTCAACTCTGGCTCCCCCAGTCGGCGTCATTGCTCTGACGCAATCTCGCGTGGGGTGTTCGCTGGTCGGTGGTCCCGGCTCCGCCCGGAATCCTGAGGCCCACCACCACCGGCTCTTGGGGAACCCTGGGCCATGCGCCAGGCCGCATTGCCGACCTCCGCTTCCCCATCGGCCAGCCACCGGTATCTTTTACTCCGCAGGGACTGGAGCATCTCCGTGCGTCGTTGAGATTCCTCGGGGGTCTCGGCGGGCGCATCATCGCCCGTCCCGTCGGTCAGGTCGATCGTCAGTGGTTCCGCTCGAGCTTCAGACACGAAAGAGCCGCCCGCAGATGTACTTGGTGCTGGAGAATGCACGGGGGTTCCCTCGAGGTTGACCTGACGAACCCGGGGAGGTTTGTATCCCGGGGGCATTGGATTCACTCGAGGTACTTGGTTCTGGGTCTGGATCTCATACAAGAGGCAGTTGTGGGTCACGCTAAGATTGTGAAGCTTGTTCTTCCACTCGGTCGCCTCTTGCTTGTATTCTTCAACCCGCTTTTGGTGCCGGGAACACACCCGTCGCAGCATCGCATTCTGCTCCAGGAGTAACTGCTTCTTCGTCTTACCCGTCGCCGGGTCCACAGCGGTCAGGTCCGACATCTGTGCCAACTCTTGTTTGTACTTGTTGCGTTCTTGGGTCAGCTGTTGGACCCTCGCCCGCAGGCTCGAAAGACGAAAGTTGATCCGATCATCGGACACTTCCATGCACCTGACGTGGAGTCCTTGGGCTGATGGAAGGTATCCCAAGGGCCCTCCGTGAGGCGGATATGGCGAGGCATACTCTGGTTCGACGTAAACCCGCTGCAGGACCTCGCGGGAGGTGTTATCAAGGAGATTCGAGTCAGTGAGGGAAAATCGTTCCTTGGTAATTTCGCTGATCGAGGGCAGAGCATGCTCGGCTAGGTTGAGAGTCTCGTCAGATATATGACTCGTTCGGATGTCCTCCTTCCGCCCCTGTCCATTGTCCGCGTCTGAGAAATCAAAGCTGAACGGGATTTCGCCGTCTGGAATGTTCAAAGTAAGGTCGCATGTAGGATCTTGAAGCAGGATATCTATGGGATCGAAGAAAGCACCCGGCGAGTGCTGCTTTTCGATATCTGCTGGCGTATGAGGTCCGGTGCCCGCTTGATCAGGCTGAATAGAATCAAGTGATGTTAATGAGGGTGTGTTGTCCGGCGACACTGTCGTCAGATCTTGTGTGAACTCAGTGACTTTCCTCTTGCTTGGTAAATCCCAGGAAGCACATTCTTCAGAAAACGCCTCGTCGCCGTCCCTCTTCCGGGAAGGTAAAACCACGTCGAATTCCTGGAGGTCAAAGTCGTCGTCAAAGAGAGGGTCGTATAAGTCCTCAGTAGTGCTGTTGGACTCGTCGGATCCCGATCGGTGTATATCGAATTGTGGGGAACGAGATGCAGCTTCGGTCGACGACTCTTGAGAATCCTCTGTCTGGGAGCGGATAGAACTTTGTTCTTCTGATGTAAATTCGACTTTGGTGTGATGCTCATCACCTATGTGGCTCTTCAGGGTATCGAGCTGTTCCGTACAGTTTCGCGCATCATGGAGTGCTGGTGTAGTATTTACAACTCCGGCGGACAGAGGACGCTCTTCATGTGGGCCGATGTTGGAGTGCTGCAGCTGGGACCCAGGGGAAGGTGTAAGCCCCAGATCATTCACATGCAGATGAGAGATTGATGGGGGAGACGGAAGACCCTCAAGGGCATAAAGACCTTGGGGATCTGTAGGGCAGGGCTGGAAAGAGGTAGAATTACCTTCATCCATGCTCGCAGCAGACATTTTAGACCCAGATCAAAACCAAGGAGGATAAGGAGAAAATCGCTCCGCTATCCCGCTCGAGGCTTCCCAGCAGTATGTCGTCGGCAAAGTTGATCGTATGCCGGTAGCGGGGGTTTCAAGAGATAAGAGAGCGCTCCATCGACTCACGACCCAGCTCTGCAGACGGTAAGAATGAGGTCCGTGTCTGGCCAAGTTCCGTTCCCTTAGAGACTGTGAACCGTACCTCTTGAGAGCGGGCGTCTAACTTGTAGAAAGTTGACGGCAGCCTTGTTATCGGAGGCAAAAGACAAGAAAATGGATCGGTAGGTAGCCCGTCAGCAGACTCCGGCTAGCCACTGACACGCGCCTTACTGCATAATCCAAATGAAACAAGAGCTGTGGTTAGGATGTGCGTCAAGCGGAGACGCGTTACAGCATTCCGCGGGACAGCAGTAGAGCAAGTATAACTTCAGCGAGTGACTTGCAGTCCGTCGAAAAGATTCCCTTTCTTCCAAATTTAATCCGGGCCGGGTCTGCCGCCTTGGCCACCGCCCCCACCACCGCTCACGTGCCCGTCCTGCGAGGCCGCCGCCAAGGCGCTCCCCAGCGCCGTAAGGCCGGCAGGAACCTAACGGTCACTGCATATTAATAGTTCAGTCACGGCCGCCCCCCAAGTCTCCGCCCTTCATCGCTTTTTCAACCCTCCCACCCTTTGCGCTTCTATCCACACTCAAAATGAGCGTGATCCTTTGCACTGGTAGGCACGATCCTCGTCGCTATGGCTGTCGGATTGGGAATTGACTGACCAATGTTCCATTTGTTGGTGATCCCAGCGGGCTACGACCACACCATTCGGTATGTCAGACTGTGTTACTTGCGCCCAGAGATTCACACAGCTAACCCCGCCAGGTTCTGGGAGGCATTGTCCGGAATCTGCTCGCGCACTATCCAGCATCCCGATTCCCAAGTTAATCGCTTATGCATCACCCCCGACAAACGGTATCTGGCCGCCGCCGGTCACAATAATGTCAAGCTGTATGACATCAAGTCAACCAACCCCAACCCGGTCATGACCTTCGATGGTCATACAAACAACATTACTGGTGTCGCATTCCACTGTGAAGGAAAGTGGATGGTGACGAGCTCGGAGGATGGCACAGTCAAAGTCTGGGACACCCGCACAGGCAGTCTGCAGCGCAATTACGCGCATAAAGCTCCAGTCAACGATGTGGTGATCCATCCTAACCAAGGTGAACTCATCAGTGGAGACCGCGCGGGCATCGTCCGGGTTTGGGATCTGGGTGAGAGTGTGTGCACTCACCAGCTCATTCCTGAAGACGATGTCGCTGTGCACAGTGTCAGTGTCGCAAGTGATGGCTCTTTGCTGTGCGCCGGGAACAAGAAGGTAAACCTGATGTCAGAATTAATACTTATCTTCGCATCTAATCTTGTGTGACTGATTCAGGGTAATGTCTATATCTGGCGCATGATTCAAGATGCGGAAATAACCCGCATCGTTCCGATATGTACCTTCCAGGCGCACAAGGACTACCTCACGCGCGTTCTGCTCTCTCCCGACGTCAAACATCTCGCCACCTGCTCCGCTGACCACACAGCCAAAGTATGGAACCTTGACCTCGATTACCCGCCGGCCAAACTTGCCGCGGCCACCGCCGCCGCCAAAGCGAAGGCCAAAGGCCTCTCTTCATCCGAGACGAGCGACACGCCTTCCTCACCAGAATCTCCAGAGCACCTGAACCACGTATCCCCCAACGGCGCAGAAGTTGAAGTCAATCCATTTAGCCTTTTCCAAGGCGCGACCCCCCCAGTGAACAACGAACCCCAGCAGACCTTCCCGGTACAACCCGACGGTCCGCCGATGGACTCCGCAACAGGAACTCTCTTCCTGGAGACCACACTCGCGAACCACCAACGATGGGTCTGGGACTGCGCCTTCTCCGCGGACTCCGCATACCTCGTCACAGTATCCAGCGACCACTATGCGCGCTTATGGGAGCTGGCGTCCGGCCAAATCATTCGTCAATACAGTGGCCATCACCGCGGAGCGGTCTGCGTAGCGCTGAATGATTACTCCGAGCCACGCTGAGCGAGTCGGGGCGCTAGCTGCCTGGCGGCAGGAGTTTCGTTGTTTTTTCCATTTCTTTCTTTCTCCGGTTCAGGGATAACGGTCAGCATGGAGCCTGGTTTAGGCTGGAGCACGGAGGCGAGTCGCCTTCTGTCATTGGAGTTCAAGTTTGCTTAGTTCTCACTGTGTGCTTTGGATGTTAGCGAGCTATCCAGGTATGATATCCCGTATATGCAAGATAAGTTCATCGATTGTTCTGTAGGGATGTAATTGTCCATGGGACACCATCGTAAATATCTAGATGGTCAGCAAAGAACCAAGAACCAACGAAATGTTTGACTTGGTATTTCCCAATAACAACTACTGCTTGATTTACCCTCATAAAACACAACACCACCCAACTCAAAGTACAATTCACCTCCCACTCACCCCCAACCCGATCATGAAAACAATAGAGAAAGAAAGAAAGAAAAATCTCATAAACACCCTCTCATTCATTACTCTATTTAACCCCTCCCCCCAATCACAACAACAGCACCTAACCCAACGCAAACCACGTCACACTAACCACAACATCGAGCCCCCGCTCCTCCGCACCAGGATACTTAAACGTCCACATTCCGTCGCGGTTCACATCCCAGAACGCTCCGGAGGCCGAGTGCATCCCGCGCTTGCCGGTGTTGCTGGCGGCGCCGTCAGCGGCGGCGGACTTGTCGATCAGACCTTGTTGCACGATGGTGCTGTTCACGGTGAAGCGGTAGGGGGGCGGGGTGGAGGGAGTGGAGGGCGCGGTGGCGGTGATGAGGGATTTGAGGATGGTGTTCTATTCATTCATTGTGTGGTTAGATAGGTGGGTATGGAGAGTGGGGGATGTAGGTGGGTGGAGGGAGCAGGTACAATGATCTGGGAGTTCCATTCGCCGACTTTGGTGTGCTCGTATTCGGTCACTTCATTGAGGGCGGTGTCGCAGGCCTAGTTGGTGGGGTTCATCATGTCAGTGGTAGAGTTTCTCTCGGAGTTGGGGTTGCGGGGAGGGGTTTGGTTGGTTCATTGTCTGTGGCGGAGAAAGAGGGAGAGAGAAGATGGGATGATGAACGACGCACCTCAGTGGCGATCTTGGTCAATTCGGGGATCGGGACGGGCTATGCGAAGTAAATAGTCAGTATATGCCAGCAGTTCTCGTGGATAGAGGCAGTTGGACGAGAGGGTCGATGACGTCTGGCGTGCGGACTATTCAGGTACGAAGGTACGGGGTGGTGACACACCGAAGAGGGGGTAGCAGCGTCGACAGCCATTGTGAATGGGCGGGTTCGGAAATGTGGTTATAGAGGGTATTTTGTGAGGCTGGCAAGCTGACAGTTAGCGATGTTCGCGCGGGTCTTGATTCCAGGGGATGCTTGTCGGGGGGCACGATAACCACGGATGCTGGAGATGCGATTGTGGGGAGGGGAGACAATGCGGCTCCGAGGCCGGCGAGCCAAACCCGGAACAACAGTGACTGCTGGGCATGGTGGGCGGGAGAGTCACTTACTGAATTCAATTTGCTATGCGAGGCTGGAATGCGCGGAAGAATCGAGGCGAGTGCGACAGCAGTGAGAGAACAGTTAGCGGGCTGGAGTTGAAGAATGAATGTTTGGGGGCAAGCCGTTGACTGGCATCATGGCTGATCCGGTGCCGTGTCTGATTGGTCGGAGGTGGTTTTCCGCTAGCCTGCAAGTGGCTTAGCGTCCGGTCCCAGATCGGACTAGCTGGTTGCCGGGATGGGATTAGCGCGCTATAGGTCGGAGCTCCCAGTATCCTTCCAATGACAAGGCATACATACTCCGGACTTGATTCTCTTGCTATGGTCACCATGGTTGCTGAAACTATAGTGGTATTTAACGATGATACCTTAAGCTTCTAGACTTTGCAATCATAGAGATGCAATACCAGAGAAAAGGACTCTCATGTAGACTGCAGTCAGGTGTGAAGGCATAGATCCATGTTGCCAGGATTGGCAGAGCATCTATACGGTCTAAGTACAATTCCATAAGCAATGCAGTAGAAAATCATGAGACTTATGATATTCTGTCAGAACAAAGCACCGCAGGCACAGAGAGGGGGGAGGGTAATAGTCTGTGTTAAACAAGAAAATTCTGTAATCTGAGACCTTGGACGCTCTGCTCCACGGGGCCCAGTAGGCGGGTGAAATTGCAGTCAGGACAGTTATGCAGGCGACGGTTGTTCGTATTACTGCTGCCCTCGGAACATGGTTCCCGCCATCTTGGTCGTCGAACGGTTTCTGTTGCTCGTGCACTTGTCTCGTAGCTTTGCCCCAGGATCGCTGGCCAATCTAATTTGTTGTCGTGCATATGCATTGAAAGAACCCCAAACAGCATTGCACGGCACTCAAAATGACAACCTCGTTCGCCATGAAGAATCTTTGCACCCTGCCCTTCGAGTAGGCCATGTAGCGACTGGATGGAACTTTGTCTCACCGCATTCATCCGCTCTGCAAGCATATCATTAGAAACTGCTGAGCTATGTCGACTACAAAGTACTCATCCCAGCATTCATCCTGAGTGTTGACAAAAGCGCATCATAGTGAAGACTGTGCATGCTTACCTATGACCGCCCGTGGGATTGGAAGTCCGAGGGAGTAGATCTCGCCACTACACTGCGACATGGCAATTGACGTAGCACCTCGGAACTGATCTGGCAAGGTGAAGAACCAGGTAACCCATACCCATAGCATCAAGTCTCGTGAGTAAGTCTTCGGTATGATGCTGTCCTGGACCCAGACGCAAGAAAAGAACCCCAATGCAGCTCGGCATCCGTAGTAGTCTGCTATTACAGTGACCTTTGCCAGAACCTCAAGACTCAAGTCCAGGGGTACAAGTTGAAATTGGCAATGAATGACTCTAAGAAAAATCAATAGCGCCTCGATATCCCAACCTTCGGCGGTGATCTCTGTTGAGCCCTCCTGATCCAAAGTGATGCTCTCCCTCCAAGGACCGGTCAGTGCTCTCTCAAACACCGGGGATGCAAGTATCAGGTGCTTGGCGGATACCCGGATGCGAACGCCTTTATTCGTGTCATCTGCTTTTCGAGCCGGACCCGATGATATAGGGGCACTCCAGATTGCAAAGGGAGCATTGGCGTTGTGTAGAATGATTGTCACCTCGCCGCTTGGGTCGATCACATGGGCCATCTCAAGCATATCATCATCATCGCATGCCATATTATCGTAAGCTTTCTTCAAAGTAATGATGAAGACTAGGATAAAGTCAGTTATGCAATCGATGTGATAAGATTGATCAGTCCAGGCTAAACAGAGAGAAAGAAGGAAGAAGGGAGCAAGAAGATCAAGGTTCCTTCTAAATGTATGGCCTTGTTTGCTTGTTCAACCTAGCATATCAGAGATGCCCTCTATGAGACAGAAAACCAGGTGGATAAGCCTTGCGATCACCTTGCTGAACGCCTTTGTAAAGGCTGAAATGAGTATGAGCTCGTGGACAAGGAGATGATGAAACGTTGATGGAACCCAATCAGATTCACATGACTTCGCAATGACTGGTTAGACCTAGGAGATGGGGAGCAAGCCTAAAGAATCATAGATCGAGGGGACCCGACTAGATCTCATGATGATGACGGAATGTATCTTGTATTCGCCCATCTAGCTCTGAAAATGGAATGTTAGAATTGACACTTACCCGGTTTGTTCAATTGACGCTCCCAGGGAGCAACAGAGGCACTCTAATGTCGTCAAGAGACCCAGTGTATATAGCTAAGCATGCCCAGTTATCAAGCCATCAGCTACAAGCCATCAAGCTGGATGACTCATGAAAGCGTATATGGAATTCTGGGGCCAGGTATTTGATGAGAACTGATGATATGCGATGCCATGACTTGAACGACCAGGATACAGATGGGGAAGGAAGAGCCAGCGACAAACGTAAACTAGATCACCTGATCCTGCAGGAGGACTGGGACAAACCGCAGTCAATCTTCAACCTTATAGACTCCATCGCACCTGCCGTAACATTCTGCCATCAAGGGCCTGAACAAGAGCCAAAAGTAAACTTGGCATATAAATGGCATCCACACAAGCTATTTAAATGCCTAGCCTAAAGTCAAAACTTCAAATATCAGCTTCCCGTGCCTGACAGACCCAGCAGCGAAGCCAGGGACAGGATCAGCAGGCAAACGGTTCCTGGCAGCACGCTCCACAGCACTAGATCCTGTCCGCCCACGCCATCAGCCCTGAACTGCCAGCACCACTGCAGGAAATGATTTCCGACGCATGGTAGATCCAGCCCAGCCCAGTCGATACGCAGCGGAGGAACACACCGTGGTGACCCCTTTGACCCTAAAGCGGCGAGATACAGCACCGCCCGTGACTAGTACCCCAGACCAATCGACGCCGTCACCGGCACCACGGCCGAACAATAATGCGCAGTGGGTCGAACCAGTCAATCACAGCAAGAGGATGCGGCACGTGCGCGTTATCCGGCGGCGAAACACGGCAGAAAAGCGCCCCGGCGCGCGCGACTAAGCTGGAAGAAGGCATGGCGTGAGCGGCAAGCGGGGGGAAGCTCGTCTCGATTCATGACCGCCCGGCGGTGCCAACCGCATTACATCAAAGCGAGCTTAAATCCTCCTCCTGGACTAACCGTTAGCACCATTCACTTATCACTGGCGAGCTATTTTTCCATCCCATCGCCAATTGACCCCTGCAGAATTCTCTCTTCCTTCTTCTCTCGTTCGCATCTCACTTTTTCTCCCACTTTTTGAGTCCGATCGTCCGCACGAGACCATCAGTCACCGCTATATCTCCTCCCTGCTATCATCGTCTTATCTCTCCCACTATCACCTATCTCACCTCATTTCACCTAATTTCACCTCACCAAAATGTCCAGCCAACCTCTCCTCCAAACCGCCCCAGGTACCTTCTCCCCTATCATCCCTACCCCCAACGATCCCTCCCCCTTCCTACCACTCCCAATCCCAGTCCCAATTCCAACTCAGCTAATCCATCAACCAGGCAAGCGCATCGCCCTCCCCACGCGCGTTGAGCCCAAAGTCTTCTTCGCCAATGAGCGTACCTTTCTCTCCTGGCTCAACTTCACCGTCATCCTGGGCGGTCTGGCCGTCGGTCTCCTCAACTTCGGTGACCGCATCGGCCGCATCTCCGCCGGTCTCTTCACCATCATCGCCATGGCGGCCATGATCTACGCCCTGGTCACCTTCCACTGGCGCGCCCAGAGTATTCGGAAACGCGGACAGAGCGGCATCGACGATCGCTTCGGGCCGACGATTCTGGCTCTGGCGTTGTTGGCCGCTGTCGTGGTCAACTTCATCTTGAGAATGGTCGGAGAGGAGTAAACTCTCGTCTTCTTCCTTTTGAATTGGGTGTTTGGATTTGAGAGGGAGAAGGGTGTGTGAATTAGTGCTGGTCACTGATTTGAGTGTGGATTTGAATCTGTAGATGCGTGTGGAATAGAATGGACTTGGTGGTCAGCTAGGAGAGGGATGGTGAGTCAGTGGAAGAGTATTTTGTATTTTTTTCTCTCATGGTTTGTTTGTGTGGAGCATTCCTCGATGTCCGATCATGTCTCTTTTCGTTTCTGTTCATGTCTAGACTGCGACTTGGCAAAAGTAAAGTTATCAATAGTACCCATTTGAAATTTCAAGTCAAGAATTCATTCCAAATATCAACATCATGATACAGTATATACATCGTTGTTCGACCGCAAAAGGCCTGGCAATCACTCAAAATACCCAGCATCAATAAACGTCTCATAATTCCAATAATCCTGCTGCTCACCCTGGCCATCCACACTCGTATTCCCCGTATACTTGGCCGTCCAGTACGAGCTGCCCCGGAAATACTCCCCGAACGCAGCCAGTCCCGCGTTGACGTTCCGCTTGCGCAGCGCAAACGAATTGTTATACGTCGCTTGGATCGCCCACTCCCCGACAAACACCGGGAACTTGCCGCTGCCGGACTTGGTGCGCGCATCCGAGTACAGGAATTCCGGCAGGTTCTCCGAGGTCGTCGGCCGGTTCTCGAAGTAGTAGTTGTGGACATCGAAGACGAGGTTGGTGTCGGCGGGGAAATCGCCTTCCCAATATTGGGGGTACTTAAAGCTGCCTTGGAACATGACCGGGATCTTGGGGTTCACGGAGGATACCTTTTGGACCACGGCTTTGATGTACTTGAGGACCCAGGCTGCGCCGTGGTCGGTGAGGGCGGCAGGGGTGCCGAAGACCACCATGTTTGTGTTGTTGTCGGCGGGTTCGTTGATCGGTTCGATGGTGTAGGACTGCGGCGAGCCGGAGTTCTGCACGAAGTTGATCACTTGCTCGATCACCTGCATGGAATAGTTGAAGTTGGTCTCGTTGTAGAACCAGTCCCAGTGGCCCGTGGCTTCGCCAATGGTAAGCCCGTTAATGCCGCCAGGAAGGGAGTGCGTGTCCACGATGATGTGCATGTCGTAGGTGGAGATGGCGTAGTCGGCGATTTCCTTGAGATAGGCGGTTTGGTTTCCTGAGTATAGCTGGGAACCAGGCACCTTGAGCCAGGCTGCGTAGGTGGTGGGGATTCGGAGGATCCTGACGCCGCCGGAGGCCAGCTTGTCAATGTCCTTCTTGGTGATCCAGGTCGCATATCGATGTTCGAGAACTGGGCCACATTGGGATCCTAGGTGCTCGCAGAGTCCCCATTCGTCCGATGCGCCGCCGGAATATGTGTCCCAGAATTGACTGTCGATGGTGGACTCTTGCTCTAGCCATCCTCCGAGGTTGACTCCGTTGGCTTTGAAAGTCCGCCAGTCGATATAATCTTTCTTAGAAGTGGTCAAGGGGGCTGCGAGGGCTGACGAGATGCAGCCCAGCACAGCGAGGTTTCTTAGTAGACCGTACATTGATGGCAGGCTCAGAGAAACGGACAAACGGCAGTAGATACAATCGCCCTGGTGCTATAAACTCATCTTCAGGGATAGATCCAGTTCGGTTTATATCTCATAGATGGCCGTGCCACCGGCACATAGTCTTCGTCCCATACCGAGGCCACCTGGATTTCCCGACGGGAATCCTTCAACTGATCCTCAGTCAAAGAATCCTTCAGCATGGGAATAGCCCGTCATTCGACAGTGACAGGCCCAGGAAAGCCAGGACACGGTTCGGGCCATCCGAGCAACTCAAGACGACCAAGCCCGTGTTGCCCATTAATACGAAGAACCAATGGACCCGTAATAGAGTGGCTACCAGAGAAATTCACCGGGAGGATCATCTTCGCTGGGCACCGGAGATTGTTTGCAAGCGAAATATTTCCGCTGCATGATCCTGTCGGCACGTAGTGCGGGGTGTGGGGAAATAGCGCCGCTTGTGAGAATTAATCACTCGTCACAAGAACGTTGCCTGTGCAATCGGAGGCCGGGCCTCCCCCTTCAAGAAGGATCAGCATGCTCCTAAGCTTCACGAACGTTGGAACGGACTCGGAATTTCCATGCCTCGGTAGAAAGACACCCGATCAGGTCGTAGGATTCTCGGGAGTCCCGAAGTGTGGAGGATGTCAGCCGTTGGGCAGTGGTTATAAATCTAGAGGTCCCAACTTCTAATCCATCAGCAATGTGTCCTTGGACAAACAGCGCGCTTCCTCGTGGGATCTGTATTACTTTGAATGTCTCTTTGCTTAGGAATCGAGGTGAGCGACCCGTCACCCGTTTCACCTATGAGACATTCCAACGTTTCCTGAACTCATGGCGGCTTGCCACGGGATGTGGTGGCTGGTGAGGGATGTTGAGCTGGACCGTGATGCTCTTGGCCTTCAGCAATATGTCTCGGAGAGATTTGGATACCACGGGGTAGATTTCCAGCGATATACCCGCTTATTCAACAGGATCTTATCGGACCCCTTGTCGCACGCGGTCCAGATCCGGGTGCACCCCTCGTCGCCAGTCTGCTGGAACCCCCCGTTAGGTATCCATTCTGGGCCATCTGAAGTGGGGAGCCAAGCAGCTAGAGCCCCATGAAGGAGTCATGGTGAACTCAATCGCTAGCTCGGCGGTGGATGGTGGAGATGATAGGCAGAAGGCGACGCGAATGGATGATGTAACGAGAGGTGCTCAACCGCCGATCAGGCTGATCTGCCTGGACGGCGGGCGAGCAAGGCGTTGAGTGATAGTGGAAAGGGAACAATGTCCATGTGTAGTGAACCTTAACCCGGATGGTTGAGGAACGGACCCATGGGACGATTCGGAAGGGTGAGAGGGCATTATTGGTTGTTCGTTGGGGTGGATGGTTGAAGCGAGAGGGTGGTGGTGAGAGAGGGAGAGTACTACAAGAACGGAGTACGATGCGATGTACGGAGTAGTACTCTGTACTTCCGAGAGGTTTGAATGGATTCTGATCCCAAAGACCAGACGTGTAATGATACCGCATCCCGGGCGGCCATACATACAGGTACGGGTACGGGGATGGGGCCAGCTGTACGGTACTTCTGTCGGGCGGCAGACCCCTGCTGGAGCGCTGGAGCGCTGGAGCACACTTGAAGCACTGCTAAGAGACTAAGAGTCGCTACCCCGGCCATCCATGGGCCATCCATGGGCCAGTCCAGGCCCGGCATCACATCATGGCCCCACTGGCAGCATCAGGCAGTGATTCGACGTGTCATCCGCCCGGCAGCCTTCCCAGCAAGCAGACGAACTGTGCAATAAATAGTCCGTGTCTGAGACCAACCCAGCCGGTATTGCAGACCGGTTGTGAATGGTTCAGAAAGTCCCTCTTGTAACTGGGAGTAATGATGACCGACTAACCAGTAGAACTGCGTAAACCCGTCACTTTCAGTGTCTGGTCTCCCCTCTTCTGCCTACTACCCTCTCTGCCTACTACCCTCTGCCTGCCCGCTCCCTCCTGCTCCTCCTCCTCCCTCTCTCTCTTCTCCCTTGATACCTCTCCGTATCCCGGGTTCTTCCCTCTTCTCCCAACTTCTTTACCCTTCCCACTCACCCAGATCCTTCGCCTTCCCTCGTCTTCCCCCAATAACCTTTGGTCGCCTCTCAAACCGGTTTGGTCCCTGGTCGGACACCTTTTTCGATCCCTCCATCGGGTTCTAATTAATCTTCCAACTATCGCCGTGTTATCGGCATTTACCCTCCAGTTGACTGGATATTATTACTACTACTACAACTACTACCACGCTACCTTACCCCAAACCACCACCACTGGGAACTCGGGTCCCCCTTCTCTTTTTACTTCTCTCCCTCTCTCTCCCCCCTCCCTCTCTGTCTTTTCACGTTGGTCGTTTGACTTCCGCACATCTTCGCCCTCTCTCCTCTCCCGGGCTCGCCTCTTCCCCTCTGTTACCTGTTCCTAGCCCCGGGTGCTGTCATTACCTTCAGAACTACTAGAGATACCGCTGGTTATTATTAATAGATTACGCCACCGCCCAACCATCCGGCCGTGGAAAGGTTGCCTCTCGACGCCGTACAAGAACTGCCTAGCCGTGGATCCGGGCAGCTTTCCTCCCCTTCCCGGCGTGCATGTGACCTGGCTGGGAGGGAGGATCTTCTGAGTCTGCCTTCTGGATAGTCGGATTCCTCTATCCAGACCCTCCCGGACGGAGTGCTTCTTACAACTCCGACCGGCCCTTACTATTTCCATTCCTCCTATCCCTTTGTTACTACTTGGCGTCGCCCCGTCATTCTTGGTCATCCTAGCCGCCGGTGACTGTTATCATTCATATACTTGACTATTACAACTACTTACTACTTATCTATCGCGCTCCCTTCCCCGGCCAATCCCAATCCCCGTCCAACTGCCCGATATCATCCAATAACCTTCCTCGATCGCGCAGCCTGGTTGCATACTACCCACTGTCGGGGCTTCGGGTGTCCGTCGTTTCTTGTTGGGGTCTTCCCGTGTTTCCTTCCCCCTTGCTGGGTGATTCGGTCGCAAACGACGTCTGACCGATCGGCGGCAACCTCATTCCCTCGCTGCCTACTCCCCTTCACTCCACCTCACCCCCCCCCATCTCACTCCCCCGGATTTAGATCGCATTTGCATGCACAGGTGCATGGGTTACTTGCGTGGCACATAATTCTGGATTGTCCTGTGCCTCTTACGTGGCGCCTCTAGCCTGTCGCATATCTTCGCATCCTGTCGCATCGCGCAGATCCGACCACTTCACATTCTTGCCGGCTTGTTTTCGCATGGCATGTTTCGCTTGCTTCCCTGGTCCTCTGCAGTCGGGGGCAACAAGGTGATGGCCGAGGAGCTCAAAATGCTCGCGACCTCGCCGCACTGCGCCGCGCCTGGCCTGGCGGGCCTGCCATTACCCCAGTTGAAGCGCAAACGCTCAGATTCTAGTGATCCCATCTCCGCTCGAGATGCCCCGGTCGCAACCAAGCTGCGCGCGGACGACACACCCTCTAATTCCATCGGCATCAAGTCAAGCTTCTCCCCAGCCGTCAATACGACAACTACCGTGTCGCACGAACCTGGGGGCGACGGTCGCGCCGAGCCGATCTCGGAGTCGTCGCATATGTCGCAACTTGGCCAAAGCGCGATCGCATCGGAATCACCAATCACGAATCAGAACAACACCCGCAAGATCGACGTGGATACGCTGCGCGAGACACTGGAAGCACAACTGAGCCTAGAGGTGTTGCTTAAACACAACGAGTTGCGGCTGATCGATCAGGAGATCGCCAAATGCCAGGTCGCGCTGGAACAGCTCCGTCGGTGCGCCGAGATCCCATATCCTGGATCGTGCGTGGCGGGCTATTCGCCATCGGTCAGCAACGGTACGGGTGCGGCGGTATGGGCTCCTGAAAATGGACCTGCGCCGCAATCTCCTGCACCCTGGGGTGTTATGGAGGGACCGTATTCGCGTCACTACTCCCGATGGCTACTCCCCGACCCTCGGTTCGACGGTGGGGACCTGGAGCCTGGAACTCCTCTGGCCGGGCTCCCTCTGCTGGAAGGTCGGACGACACGCGGAAGTTCAGGAGATCTGGGTTATTTGGCTGGCAAGACGCGACCGCAGCGCGGCTCGGGTGGTGTGAAGCTCCAGTCTCTGCCCAACGGCTACCCACCGCCGAAGGAGAAGGCTGGGCCCATGCTTATTCGCCGAAAGTCGGATAACGTTCTGGTGAAGCTCGTTTGCCTGGACTGCAGACGGGACAACTTCTCCAGCACGCAGGGCTTCATCAACCACTGCCGAATAGCGCACAACCGGAACTTCGCCAGTCACGATGCCGCGGCGGTGGCGTCCGGCGAACCCGTCGAAGTCGACGAGGCGGGCGCCGTTGTTGGTGGCAAAAATGAGATCTCCTATGCAGCCACAGCCGGGTACGTTCACCCGCTGATTCGATCTGCACATGGGATTGAACCATCCAAAACGCCGTCTTCTACCTCGGAGGCCGCGGGTGACCAGGCCACTCCCCGGAAGCGATCTGGCCCGAGCCGACGGGCATCGTCCGGGGTGGAAACTCCTCGTACACTTGCCCGTCCTCCGGCGGGCGCCGCCCCTGGTGCCTGGAGTGACTCGTTCATGGGTTCCCCTGCCACCCCTCACCTCTCATCCCTCATGCAGTCCCGGGGCGTGGGCCTTGACCTTGACCGGTTGGTCGGAGAGGCGAAGACCGTGGTGGACCTTGGCGAATACTCGTCAGACGAGGGCGAGTCGGATGCCGAGTCTGTCCCACCCCCGGTGGCGATGAGTCACGAGCAGACGGCGGCGGCCGTCCGTGCGGGCAGGCAACCGATGCGGACAACAGCCTCGCAGACCGCGCCGCAACACCCTAGCAGCCACAAGGGGCCCGAGAAGACCATCCATAAACCCCCTCCCTTGGAGACCCTGACGCCGACCAAGCCGGCTCCCTATCCCTCCGCCTATGGCCCCGTTCCTTGTGCTTCCCGATCGACGCAGCTGGACGAGCTGCGGGAGGAACGTGCGTCCAACCTGAGTCCGAACACGATCGAGTCGAATCAGGCGCCGAGTCTGGTCAGCGATGACGACGACTATGAAGCGGCCTCGGATTCGGAGAGTCCTGGGCCTAGCTCGTCCGAAGCCGGCGATCCGGAGGACTTTGGTCACATTGATGTAGAAGACGACGATGAGCACAGCACGACGTCGACGGCAGCGCCCGAGGCCAAGTCGGACATGGGGATGGCGAGCGCGGCTCCGCAGCCGCCTCTGGCGCAGTCATTCCGGCGCAGCAGTACGAAGAAGAAAGATCGCGTGCTGCCGGCATCGATTGGGCCGTTGAGCCGTGGGCGGGATGAGAAGCGGGTGAGCTTTGCCAGTCCGGACGCGAGTCCTCCGAAACGCACGGAGAGCCCGCGGCCGCCGAGCGAGGAACGATAAAGGCGATAGACGTTGCTTGGTGCTTTTGATTGTGCCTCTCCTTTTCTTCGTTGTATGAGACTTCAGGTCGTTGATGTTGCGGATCTGGAATTTTGCGCTGCGGCGGACTGGCGGTTTAGCGCGGCGATGTCTTACGATGATGATTAGTAGATGATTCGGCTGTATGGATTAATAAATATGCTCTACACTACCTGCTACGATTGACCTGGTTCGTATGATGCGGGTATGCATACCGCATCCTGTATCGGTCCGTATCTCCGATAAGCTTAGTCCGTACTCCGTGGCTTCACTACATAGTATATCGACCCAAACAAACTTCATTGCAGATGCCCTTCCCACCCACCACCATGGACCTCAATCCGGCAACCATCTCCCCGTCCACCTTCCAGCACCTGCTTGCCCTCTACCCGGTCACGGTGGACGCCCGAGCCCGCGACAAAACCACCGAAAAGTTTCTGTCCCGCAAATCATCCTCCAAGGCTAAAAAGACCAAGACAAAACCAGCAGCAGCAGAGACCAATGTCTCGGGACTCCTCACCCCCGACCAACAGTCCCAAATCGACACCGAAGTAGCCGAGTTCTTATCCCTGGATCGATTCCGCTATGAGGATTTACCTGGGTTAGTGGCTGCCCGAGCTAAAGATCCATCCTCCGATGAACCTGGAAATGGGTATATCGAGAAAGATGAGTTGGTGAGGTTGGTCGAGTGGAAGATGTACGCCCTTCCCCTTTCTCTTCCCTTGAGATTGGCTTGTGATGATTATCTACTACAAACTGAAGGAAACTAACAACCAACGACAGGAAACACGGTATCTTCCGACCCGCCTTACTGGGTTTAATCCGCTCGAACCCCGAGACTCTGGTCCGAAAGGTGACAGGGGAGGCGTTTGCGGCGCTTACTACCACTGCTACCAAGGAAGAAGGGGAAGTATTCCCAGCCAAAGCATTAGATCTACTAGTCAAGCCGTTACGGGGCGTGGGGGTTGCTACGGCGTCGTTGATTTTGTCTCTGGCGGCACCGGCTGGCGGCGGTGGCGGGGTGCCGTTTTACAGTGATGATGTGTATTTGTGGGTGTGTCTGGGGGAGTCTGCGCCTCAGGTGGGTGGGGTGGCGGAGGAGAGGGTCCATCGGGGTATTTATAAACGGGTGAATGGGGAGTTGAATGTCAGGTATGATGCGAAGGAGTATCGGGCGTTGTGGGAGGGAGTCCAGGGGTTACGGAAGGGGTTGGGGGGGTCTTGTAGTGGGTTGGAGGTGGAAAAGGTGGCGTTGGTGGTGAGGTATCGTGGGTTGGAGGGGGTGGAGGGTGATGAGAAAGCTCCCCTTGAGGTGAAGAAGGAGGAGGAGGAGGAGAAGGGGGAGAAGGGGGAGATCAAGAGGGGGGCGAAGAGAGCGTTGGAACTGTCAGGGGAAGAGGGCACTGGCCGACGAAGGAGCAAGAGATTAAGCCGGGGATGAATGAGATCGAGTGGAGAGTGGGCCGTAGCAAGATTCATGCTGCCTAGCTCCAATCTGTATATCAGGATGTTCTTGACTCGTTTAATTAGATACTACTATCATTATTATACATTGTAGACGATCATCGGCCGGAGATTGGCAGAGATTCGCCATCGGGTTGCAGATTGACGTTTCTCCTATCGGAGTCCGGAGCAGTTGGCGGGAATACGTACCGCGATACGTATCATCGTATGCATCACGGGTTTCTCTGCAACGCTGCCATCTGCATCTCTGCCTCTGCCTCTGCCTCTGCCTCTGCTTCTGCTTCTGCATCCCCACCACCTTCATTCCTATTGCATCCGGTTCTGGCCTGTCAACTGTCGACGGTCAACCTGACGCACGCGTCATTCTCCACCCGATGCATTTGCCTCTCCGCAACTTCGCTTCCGATGCCATCCTACACAGGACACAATATCTCGCTCACCAACTTCCGTTCAACTTCACACTGCAAATAAGGTTGGCGTACGCGGTCCGGTGAAATGCCCAGCCTGACGGCTGGCAATCCCTGGGACGCTCCTTTGGATGCTGGCCAATACCCAACACCATTGGTGTCGGACACCGCGTGGTTCTCCACGCTCAGTCCACTAGTGCCGCCAACAGTGGAGCCGGATTCGCCAACTTCGCCCTGATTTCTCTGCTGATTGCTGGCGCCCCCAGCAGGCATACGAATCTGACATCCGACTCAGACTAGCGTTGCATCCACCACGAACTTCTGGGGCCGGCTATGTTATACTCCGTTGGATGATTTGCGACTATCCGCGTCATGCTGTGCCCACCTCCTAACGCCGTCTCGCTTTTCCGTTTGCAGCGCCAGAACATCCTCCCCTCACCATGCCCGAATTTCTCTCCGCAGCTTGCCATCTTCTGTCGACTGATTCTCCTACACTCCGGAGTATATCTGCAGTAGATGGCCGTGCTGCTGGTTTTTTGGGCCTTTTTGCCCTTACTGGCAACGGCCTTCTCCTGGCGTGGCCTCTGGTATGAACTGGGCTTTCTCGGACCCCATCCGACCCTGAAATATGAGTCGTTTGACCAGGAGTCCCCGGAGGTCAATGTGATGCGATGGGATCCACGATGTGAAGAAGGATACATCTTTCTCAGCCCTCGCGGCCATTCCTATCCGGAGCCGGGGCCATTGGTGTACGACAACCAGGGCAACCTGGTCTGGATCGAACGGGAGTTTGGCCAGGTCATGGACCTCAAGGTGCAGCACTACCGGGGCGAGGATTACCTGACGTTTTGGGCGGGCGAGGATGATGGCACGCGGGGACTCGGCCAGTACTATATGGTTGGTAGACCACGGATGACGACGAACCAGGCTGACAGTCACAGCTGAACTCCTCCTACGATGTCGTCTACATTGTATCCGCCGCCAACGGCCTCACGGGCGATGTGCACGAATTCAAAATCACCGACGAGGGCACCGCGCTCATGACCATCTACGACATTACCCAGGCAGATCTCACTGCCGTGGACGGACCGAAAGACGGCTGGATTTATGACGGGCTGTTTCAGGAAATCGATATCGAGACGGGCGAGCTGCTCTTCGAATGGCGCGCGAGCGATTACTACGACATTGAAGATTCATACTACCCACTCGACTTGAAGGGCACCTCGCCGTCTGCGGAGGATGCCTACGACTACTTTCATATCAACAGCATCGACAAGCATCCCAACGGAAACTACCTGGTGTCGTCCCGATACATGCACACGGTCACCTGCATCAGTCCGGATGGCGAGATCCTCTGGGTGCTGGGTGGGAAACGCAACACATTCAAGGATATCTCGCCCGATGGGTCGGCAACCGGCATCACCTGGCAACACGATGCACGCTGGCAGTCGGATACGGTCATCAGTCTGCTGGACAACGGGGCGCACGAACACCTGAACACGCGGGACCACTCGCGGGGGTTCATGATCGAGTTGAATTTTGACGACTGGACGGCCAACACGCTGCACATCTACGAAAGTCCCGGCTACTTCAGCAGCCACTCACAGGGCAGCCTGCAGGTGCTTCCCCGGACGGGCCATGTGTTCATCGGCTGGGGGAAGCCGTCCGCGTTCACCGAGTTTACCGAGGACGGCGAGGTGCTCTGCGACTTCCACTGGGGGCCGCGCATCTACTTCTGGCTGGGATGGATCAAATCGTACCGAGCACAAAAATTCCACTGGGTGGGCCGGCCCCGAGTGCCGCCAGATGTGGCCGTCGACGAGGAGAGTCACACGGCGTTTGTGAGCTGGAATGGGGCGACGGATATCGCCGGCTGGGTGCTACAGCGGGCGAGCAATTCCAGCGCGGCGGAGGATGATTTTGAGAGCATCGAGTACACACCCAAGGAGGGATTCGAGACGGAGGTAGACCTGGTGGGCGAGGGATACTTTCGACTAGTGGCGGTGGATTTCGAAGGCAACATCATGGGGGTGACGCGAGGGTTCGAGGGAATTTGGCCATACGTGAGTGCACTGACCGGATGGATGAGACCGTGCTAACCTGAGCAGGATGCGGACGATGCAGATGACTCGGGGTCATCATTCTTTGTGTTTTCCGAGCGAGCGTTTCAATGGATGCTCGTGGGGACATTCACCGCAGGGGCGGTGGTGGTAGGAATATGGCGGGGACGAAAGCGAATTGAGTTGATGGTGCGGTGTTGTTTGCGTTTACGTTGATACCCAGGTATATACCACTTGTTATTGTTTATTATACTACTGTTATTATTACCATACCATTGCCATTCTACCAATATTCACCACATCATTATACATTATTCTCACATAACCTTATACATACAGTCTACCCATCCTCCAACTCTATCACCTATCCCTCACACCCCTCCCCTCCCACCTCCATCCCATATTCCCATCCCCAATCCACCCCACCCCCTCCCCCAACCACTCCTATACACCTAACTAGACAATTCACAACCCCAAAACCAAAGCCCCCAAAATCCCCCCCAACAACACCCCCCTCCCATCACCACCACCACCACCAGCAACAATAGCAACAGCCGCCCCCGACGACTTCACCGCCGACGCGGCCGCCGTTCTGGACACCTCACTCGAACTGGTCGTCTCCGTCGCGGCCGTGCTCGTCGAACTCACAGACATCGACGACGTCGTGGTCGAGTATAAGCTGTTGGCTTCGGCCGCGTTACAGTATTCGATTTTTTGTTGCACTGCGCCGGCGTGGTTCGGGGAGGAGGGGCAGTCGTTGTAGCATCTATCGTCATTTTATCAGTATTGTGTTTGGGTTGGGGGGGGGGCGTGGTTTGGTTTGGTTTGGGGTAGGGGGAGGTAACTTGTGTATTATGGGATGGAGGATATGTATGTAGTAAGAAGGATTAGGTAGGTAGGACATATGTTGAGTTGGGTATAGCACAGGACAGGATAGGATAGGATAGGATAGGATAGGGCACAGTAAGGTAGGTACATCACAACACACAGCCCATAGCACCATACAAACCCAGTATCCAAGAAAAAGTAAGGGAGTGGGGGAAGGGCATCACATACGTCAAAATATTCTTGCTCTGAGTACACAAACACGACCAATCATTCTGGTTACAGTTGTCCATTTCAGGTTTCATTTGGTTGAGACACGCTTCGAGGATACTATTCATTGATTCTTCTGTCAGTATGGTTATATTTCATGATTCGAGGGTTGTTAGGATCCAGTGTAAGAGGGGGGGCCATACTTCTCCGCACATTGCACATATGGACTACTACTATCGCTGGAACTGGTCGGGGTGGAAGCAGCGGCGCCGGCGCCGGCGGCTGCGGTGGGGGTTGCAATGGAGACGGTGGCTAGGGTGAGGGTGAAGAGCAGGTGGAGGAGATGAAGAAGATACATCCTGGCTTGGGTGTCGGTCTCTTCTCGTGTATAATGCAGGGTGGTAGTTTGATGTACAAGGTATCAGGGTGGTAGGTACCAGGTATCAAGGGGCAGGTATACAAGGTACAAGGAAGAGATCAGAATCAGGTCGGTGCCTTCGTACTTATATCCCAGCTGGCTACACGAGACAGCCCTCAACCGGTTCCCTCCTGCATCCCGAACGAATTATTGATGCGAGGCGCGGGCCCATATGAGACGTCCGATGAACCTTAACCCTAAGCCCAGGTCGGTGTGTACTGAGAAAGAGGTCCCCGAACCACATTCAAGCTACTCCGTACACCGGTCACTGCCCGCCCATGGCTGCGGGCGCCGCAATAATACACTATATACAGTTCCCACCTAAAACATCTTCAAAGATCCCCCGGCTAGCAACAGTTATCAACGAAAAGGGTCCCCGAGGGATCAGCGGCGGTGCTCCCGCCGCAGGCAATCCGTCTGGTCCGAAGTCATCCGGCGCGCGCCGACGCTGTCCGGACGGATGTCATGTCTTGCCTTGCGTTTGAATTATCGAGGTCATATGCAATAGCGCCCGATCACTTGGACCTGTCTCTACTCTTGTCCAAATCCGAGCGTCTCCTCCACAGCAATGGACAGTTTGTGCTCCAAAACATCGTGGGTCTTGTACGGTGGCAGATCCAGACGGTTGAAACTACACCAGTTAGCCGGTCATCCAAGGCAAACCAATCATCCCATAAGCATAAAACATACCAAGTGTGCGACTTGGGCAGCGCAATCGGGTCGCCCGACTTCTCAATCGTGAACCGTCTCGGTCCGTCCGAACCCTGCAGATCCTTGAATCCGTTGACCGGAATACGAGACGTTCCCGTGGTGAACTGCAGCAGACGCGACTTCTGCTCCGCATCCCAGGTGCGGACGATCTTCCAGAAGTTCTGGATCACCTCGTCCTGCTCCTGGTACCCGCGGTAGTCCGTGTGCTTCTTCCAGTCATCCACGTCAATGTCGGCAATACCGCCGATCAGCAGCTCCAGCTCGCGCTCGTCGAACACGTTGACCAGATCGGCCGGGATCAGCTCGTTGAAGCCCGACATGAACGCGTTGAACTGCTCCTCCACGCGCTTCACAATCTTCCACTCCGTGACCAATCTGCCATTGTCAGCACGTGTCATCCCCCGTGGCGGCGGCGTACTCACTCTACATATTCGTGCTTGTTCTCGTTGGTAACCGGAATGTCCCGGCCCCCGGGCTTCAGGTCGACCGTAGTGCGCTCACCGAACTTCTCGTCGTCCACCGAGAAGGTAAGCTCAATGATGCCTTCAATATCATTCTCCCTGCCAAGTGTTAGAAATAATTCCCCGCATCGAGCATCACACATACAAGGTCCACGTCAAATTGCGGTGCAGGTCCTCGTCGACACCCTCCATGTCCTGCAGCGAAACCTTCTTCCGCAACATCATCTTGTAGAACGCTCCGATGAAGAACGAGTCGAGGAAACGGCGGTGGAAGATGGCCAGGCCGACCACGCGTCCGATGAACTTGAAATAGTTCAGGTGCTCCGGGTTCACGCCGGAATGGGGATTAATTTGCAGGGTATAATTATCATGTGCGGAATACTCGAAAAGACAATAGAAGGGGTTAAACATTTCGTGCGAGAGAAGGAAGAAGAATTCACTAGACCCGTCAGCAAATTCATCCAAGACCACTGGGGGAAATACATACCGGGAAAGACCACCATAGTCCAGACCGTCTTCGCCATCGAACTTGATCATCAAGCGCTTCTTCAGATCCGAAGCGCTCTGCCGCATGATCTCGGCGTACGAGTCCTCGAAGATGTTGTTACGCCGCACCTTGACATGGCACTGTCCGGACATGATGCGCAACGCGGGCTGCGACCGGAAGTAAATCAGCTTGCGGCGGAAGTCACGCTTGTACTGCGGCACGCCCTGGTCCAGCGATGACGGCAGCCGAGGATCGTCCCACGTCGTGGTCTTAGTGTTGTGGTCCACAAAGTACACGCGGGCCGTGTTTGTCAAGCGCATTTCCCAGCCGCTGGGCAGGGGTCCCAGCTGGGACACCGGCTGCTGCTGGATGGTCGTGTTGCCGCCGTTGGCATTGTGTCCGTACATGCGGATGTACTGCTGTCGCCGGGGATCGACCCACGTCGTCGTCCGCGTGTTGTGGTCGACAAAGTACGGCCGGCCCTCGGGCGTCGTCCGCTGTTCCCAGCCGGGCGGGAGCTCACCAGTGCCTGCAGTGGTCGCTCCCGTGGCCATCATGGACACAGCACTGGCACTGCCACCGGCCGGCGGGGTATGGGCCTGCTGCTGCTGGCTCTCGGGTAGGTTCGGTGAGTTGGCGCCCGTGCGGTCTTCGGGTAGCATCCGACTCTGATGAGCGCGGCGCTCCAGTTGCATGTTAGCCTCGCGCTGCGTGCGTTGTGTCTGCTCGTTGTAGTTGGACGATGGCCGGGTCCAGGTGGTGGTCCGCGTGTTGTGATCCACATAGTAGGTCCGTCCCAGGTTATCCTCCCGTCGCTCCCAGCCGGCTGGCAGGCGACCCTGGCTGTCCTCGAAAGAGCTGAGATTGGTGCGAGAGCCATGGGGGGCATTGGCCGGAGGCGGGGCGCCATTGGCCGGGCCGACAGTGCTGGTCGGTCGGGTAGTCGAAGGGACTCGTTGCGGGTGAAGGGACGCACTCGACGCGGTGGCGGACGGCTCCGCTTGACTGGGGCTGACGGACGGATGCGAGGCGGACGAGACCTGCGGAACAAGCCCACTGGAGGTCGAGGACTGAGCATGTGAGCGGTGGAGGCCATTGGCCTGGTTCGGAATGGGGGCGCTGAGGTTGGTAGACAGATTGATGATCAACTTTCCGTGCACAACCAGATTATCATTGGACTTCTTCAAATCTCGGGTGAGCATTTCTATCAACAGACGAGGCCGGCTGTCAGTACACGACCTCCGAAGCGTGAAAAAAAAAGAAAAGACACCGATGCACTCACCGTCGCCACCCATCTGTAGATCTATCACATCTCCGATCCGCACATTGATCACACCGAGAAAACCCTGGTCCTTCTTCTTGAACTTCTTCTGGTCGAATATCTGGATGGCAAGGATACTGTCTTCGTTGACTCGGCTGCATACCCCGGATCAGCGCGGTCCGCAGACGCAACCGGCGGGGTCGGGGTCCTTACAGATCAAACATCTCATTCCAGTAAGGGTTCAGCGTCTTCTTGATAACGGACGTGGTGTGGGTTTGCTCCCCCCCGACGGTGGCCACGGCGAAGGGATCGGGGAATCCTATAGCACGATCGTCAGCTCGAGTCTCCGTAGAGTCAATCAGGCCGTAGGATCAGCGCGGGACGTACGGAACACATCGCGCTTGTATAACCCATCTGCCGCGATAACTATCGAACAAATCCAGTCAGTCTCAGTCCATCCCACCCATTTCATCGATCCCTCGGGATCCGCCACGGCGGGAGTGTCTTACTGGTGACCCGAAGATTTGGTTGACTGTAGAGTGAACGATGGTTAGCATCCGCTGTCAGCAGCCCACGCAGGACGTGGGATTCAGACCCCACGCAAGGGACCGGGACATGCACATACGCTGGCAGGTTGGAACCCATCCTGGTAGGGAGGGATCAGGCAGGCAGTTACGCGCCTCTGAGTGCAGCAAAGGGCCGATCCGGGCAAGCCTCAAAAGGTAAATCGCGGCGTGCGCATCCACCGCCGTCGACAGGCACGGACACGGAGGAGCAGCAGCAGCAGCAGCAGCAGCGGAGAGAGGCGTACGGAAAAGGCGTGGGGGAAGCGAACGGAGGAGGGTGGAGAGAGAGGGGAAGGGGCACGGGAAGGAGACGATAAAAGTGAGGTTGACGATAACCAACGGGCGGCGGACTAAGGCTTGAGATGGAGGAGGCGCGGGCTCGTTCCAGTTGGGGCTGAGCAGGCCAGTCCTGACGTTGCGCCGCTGGAGCCAATCACGCGGCCGCGAGGGGTTCGTTCGGGAGGTGCAGTTGCTGTGGTCGTGGGGAATTCCAGCAAGGCTTGTCGAGTAGATCGTACTAGATATCTAGGTCAACTCTTCACAGCGCTACTAGCTAGACACAAGACAGCGCTCGAATCGATCGAGAATGGAAGTTCGATGTGGTGGGCGTCGGGGGTCTCGTGGCAAAGGGAAAGGAGGGGGGAACTGGGAAACGTCAAGCAACTAGTCACTCGTCCTAGTCTCCGTCAGTACTAGACACTAACTTGACTACTACTGACTAGGTAGGACGACGCCCGTCTGAATCGTCCGGCTGGTCGTCTGGATTCGTGCGGACACCCTAGGGGATTAGAGACTGACCTGAGCCGCGACCGGAAGAATGAACCGTGGAGCCGTGGAGAGGGATGATGAATGATACAGACACCGAATCTGAGCAGTCTGATTGATAGAGTACAAAAAAGATGGAGGATTTCCATCCGATCGCTTGGGCGGCTAACGGAATCCCGCCCAATACTGTGTATGCAGCCCCGCGCCGGTTTCCTTCCGAATCCTACGATTGCTGTGTCCAAATCTCTCATATCCAAGGCAGCGAGATTCTTAATCTACGGGAAATTGCTCTCCTCCTAGCCTACAGCCCTACCCTCCCGACGATTCGATCCTATCCTCTCCGTTCAGGCCAGGCTAACTACTCCCCAATGGACCATCGGTCCTGGTATCGGGCACGCCATTACGACGGATTACCCAGCTCGGTGGGGCGATGCCCAAAGAAAAGCGTTTTGATTCCTCTTTGCTGCTCCGCTCCGGGAATAAACTCGTCAGCGCCTCGCATGGTCGCCCTTCTAGACTCGAGTGCTGACGGAGTAGGACTGCCCATCTTTCCACTGACGAGCCCTCCTAGCAACCATCTCCTGCCGGCCTTGCCGATAGTGTAGGGCTGCCCTGCCCTGCCCTGCTGCCTCGTCATTGGTGCTTGCTGCCCATGTGACGCCATCCTCTATTCCACAGCTTGCAGGTCATTACTCTCCGTACTCCTAAATACTACGACGACGACTCCGACTATAGCAGACACATTATTGCGAGAATCCTATACACCATACGTATATCAATCAGAGCAGTTCCATTAATATGTCGGGTTCAAGACGCTGTCCCAAATGACCGTCCTTTTAGACTCCCCGATGCTTGATCGTAAAAGATTCTCTGTAGGCTTTATGATTATCACAACAGAAACAATCACTTCCGTGCTCCGCCATCGGCCCAGTCCGAGATTGCCGGATGGTTATCATACAAAGTACATTCCAGTCCAGAACTCCAGAGAAATCGGTCTTCGATCAGAGATTGGTGCGCTTCAGACCCCGACCAGCGGCCGCAACGGACGTCGTCGTCGTCGGCGTCGTCGTCGTCGTCGCCGCGCTTCTTTGTCGAGTCTGGCACTGAACTTCATCTGCACGCGTCGCCTCGCAATGGATGCCCTTAGTAGGGCGCATAGCCGCGACCCCGGCCACGGTAGCCACCACGATATCCTCCACGGGGCGTGAAACCACCGCGGTAGCCCCGGCCACCACGGAATCCACCTCGTCCGCGACCGCGGCTCATGCCGGGCAGGTTGGTACGCTTAGGGACGACCTGGACATCGAGCATTAGAACCAACCAAACATTGACCTAGATGACACGACCTACCTTCAAGTTCCGGCCGCGGAAAACACTCTCGTTCAGGACCAGTGCTTGAGCCACCAAGCTGGGTTCTGCGAATTCCACATAAGCGTATCTGTAGATCGGATCAGCACACGAGCCCCTGACAGACAAGTCCGCTGCAACATACCCCTTAGGCTGGCCGGTAAACTTGTCGAGGAGGATTGTAACCCGGTTTATCGAACCGCAGCTTTGGAAATGCGCCTGAATTTCCTCGGGGGAGGCACCGTAGTCCACGTTACCGACGAAGATACTCCGAGCGTCAATCTCCTCTTTATCCTCGCGCAGGTTCTCCGACTGCTGATCGAGCGTGGCTTGCATCTCGCGGAGCTTTGCAGCCTCGGATTCCATTTCGGCCACCCGTTTCTTCATCGCGGCAATCTCCTCCTAAAAAGCAAAAATAGGCCACGTTAGATCAATCCAGCACGGGAAATCTTGCAGAAATCATTATAAAGAAAAGCAAGCAAGAACGCAGATTCAAGCTCGGTTTCCCGGGGGCTGCTGCGCAGGGCCATCAACTTTACCTCATCGTCACCGGTCTCTTCCTGGTGCTCCAGGCGCTCATCCTTGATCTCGTTCTCTTCCGTAGCCATTATGATTAGAGTCTTAAAGTAGTCGCGTTTTCCTTTTCACGTCACGGAGTCGCAATGAAAGCTCGAGCGGCAACGGTAGCTCCCGCGGGTCTGGTCTAGCGGGCGGGGGAAAATCTGCAGGGAAAATATAAGGTCCGAGAAAGACAGAAGAGACAGGCACCCAAATTCGGTCCAGGGCCCGGGCAAGGAGAAAGAGGTAAGGATAGGTGATAGAAGACTGGAGGGGGCAGAAACCGATGTGATGCTTGCGTTGATCGACGCCGAAGTCACTGCTGCTCGTTCCGGCCTAGCAGGTTTGTCATTGGACCACTCCCGTCGGTACCGCTCTACAACTGACCCAGAACCCCCATGATTCTGATTCTGCCAGACTTGCTTTCAGCGCATGCAGGGGATTCATGAAGTGTACATTTCGGATTATATTCACTGATAGCCTCTCAGAGACTGAGACTCTTGGAATACACCTTTCTTTTTGGTGCTGCGAGATATCCAAGTAGCATCACGTACTAAGAAGGTCCGACAAGCTGGGTATATATGTACGTAATTTTCAGTGTTGACCATAATATACCGTCTACAATACATGTTCCATTTGTATGCATTGTTCGACGGGGTGTAATCTTCAAAGATGCCATGCAATGGTAGAGTCCTAGTAAGCAACAATGCAGGCATCAATTAACAAGATAACATCGGCAGACTGGTTAGAAGAACATCATTATCGTGCCTGGTTCTATGTATGTACAAGGGGGAATTATAGAAGCGTCAACTCATGAAGATGGGAAATTGTTCTTGCGGAACGATACTTTCTCGACCGCGACGGTTTCAACCCCGTTGGCGTCCGTCTTCAACTGGTAAACGTATAACACAAGAACATCGCCCTGGATCTGCACGATATTAGTATATACCACCTACGGAAGCTGGTAGCAGCTTGTAGCAGAGCGCGACTTACATCCATCAGACAGAAACTCGGTGTTGGCTCCTCCCCCTCTGGCCAATACCCCGTGCTCATAGCGCCGGTAGCACTGCCCGGGTTGACAAAGAATCTGCCTTCCAACTCGAAGGCTTCAAAGCGATGAGTGCCACCCCACAGCAGTATGTCTACATCCATCTGGCGTGCAGCGATGAGCAGGGCATCGGCGTCCCCAGGGGGGATGATAGTGTGGCCATGAGTGAAGCCGATGCGGAGACTTCCGTGAGTCACGACTTTGGAGAGAGGAAGGTTGGGAGAGTCGACATCGAAGTCTCCTTTGACCAATTGCAAGTCCGGAGCGACCTGCCGGAGGAGCTCGAAAGTGCTTCGATCGGTGAGATTGCCGAGACAGAGGATCTGGCCGATCTTGCCAGGCGTGAGGAGTTTCCGAAACTGCGCTTGTGTCAATCGAGAACGGAGGGTTGCAGAACAGAGGGGAGGATCAGGGTGAGGGTGTGATGGTGCGCACCTTGGCCGGGAGGTCCTAGCGATCAGGAGTCAGCAGACAGATCAATATGCGAAGATGCGACACGGGGGCGTACGGGGGCTCTGTCGGGGATGAAGAGGTCACCAATGACCAGGACCAGGCGCGAAGTCATCCTGGAAGAAGCAGCAAGAACTCAAGGGCCCATTCCAAGTGGGCGCTTTGTCGGAGGGATGGCTAGCGACGGAGACGCAACAGTGGTGATGGAAATTAAGCTACGTATGACTATCAGTTGCTCCTCCGGCTCGATGGAGCTCCGCGGGGAAAGCTGATGCCTGGCGCTGATGCCTGGCTGGCGCTGCCCTAAGCCCTATCCTGCAGTCCCTTTGGGATTAGCTTCGAGGTCACTGACAGTATGCTGCAGGCGTAAACAGACGAAGTACAAGTGATCGTAAAACTTTCATGTATCATAATGACTATATATTGGCATACCAACTGTTCATGACAGGCCATTATTCTTGGCCCCAGTTCAACGCCATCCGGTCACTGCTGATCTGATAGTCCTTCAACATCTTCAGAACATCCTCCACTTTGGTAGCCTCGGCCACGATCCGGGCATTCTCAGCGCTCACCAAGCCCTCTTGGACGGAGGTCTGGATCCATTGCAGCAGTCCATTCCAGTAGCCGTTGATATTCAGTAACACGATCCCCGCCTTGTGAATACCAAGCTGGTTCCACGTCGTCATCTCCATGAGTTCTTCCATGGTGCCGAATCCTCCAGCCAGGGCGACGAAACCGGACCCCGGACCGCCCTCTAGGACTTTCTGGGCCATTAATCTCTTGCGCGTGTGCATGTCGGGAACGACCGTAACCATGCCGAAGTTGGACTCCTGGACGGACTGGTCCACGATCCGCTCGGCAGACTTCCCCTCCTTGCTACCCGAATCCTTGTAGCCTTCTTCTACCTCCACCAAGGCTTGAGGGATGATGCCCTGGACTGATTTGGGGCCTGATAATGATACCAGGGTTTTCGCGAGCTCTCCCATGATACCAACAGTGCCGCCGCCGTAGACAAGCTGCACATTGTGCTTGTGGAATTCTTGCGCAAGTTTGCGGGCTGCTTCTAGATGACTTGGGGATTTACCGGCCTGTGAGCCGCAGCTAACGGGGGATCAGTATAGGATCGTCTTGGAATTTGGATAGTTCATGGGGTTGAAAGCCTACAAGACACAGACTACCGCGGGTTTGACTTGCTGGGAATCCATCGTAGCTTTCGGTTGGAAGGATAAGTAGTGCGAAGGGTTTGGTCGACTTCAAAGCCAGGCAACAAGAATTTCCGTTGATTTGGTCCAGGCCGGGACTGAAGGGTACATATATCTATTGCTTCGGTGACTAGGAGCAACGGCAGCAAAGGCCGGGAGTCAGCCAGCTGGAAGACCCACTTTGGGAGAACCAAGGCTCTCGATGTTCATGGTTGGATCCAACACCAACAGCAGCCTTCCATGACAGCATGGGGGCGCTGCCAGCAACCAGGATATTTATTGTCGATCTGGTCGGGCAGAGAAATGCACGTGCACCCGTACAGACAGTTGGAGACTGGACGAATAAAAGGGCCGTCTCAAAAAGGGGGTCATATTTGTAGGAAGCCCTGGATTCCTGGATTATGAGCTGGCCAGACCCTGCAGTCACGCTGACTGTTGGTACTTTTGGATCGTCACGGGAGCCAATCTCGGGAGGGCTGATTTGAGATCGCCCGCATGGATGTGGCTGGTACTAGGATCTCTACCCAGCCGATAGACATGTATGTATATGGCACAGAAGTCGGCCATTGCAGCCGCATATCTGTGAAGGGGGAATGAAATGTCATTGGGATGAGTCAAGCGACGATGCTGATCGCGGAGAAAATCGTGGGACGGAAGGTTCCGCCCGTTGGGGACAAAGGCTTCTTCCGGCCGATAGAAGGCAAGGGGAAAGGGAAAAGGGGAAATTTTCTGAGCATTGAGAGAGAAACCTCCCAAACAACTCCAAACTCCTCTTTTCCCCCCCCAATTTCTCTCTCCTCATCACTCTCACCATTTGGGTCGCATCGAATCACCCGAATTGAAGCATTGCGCTAAGGCTGGGAAGCGTATACTTCATCAGGACCGGCGATCCCCGAGGGAGCCACGGTAGTTCCCCCCCTCCATAGTGGCAGAGTTATCGTTTGTCCTTGTCTACCCCGCAGGCTCTCCGTCGAGAGCCGACTGTCGCAACCCTGGCGGCCAAACGGACGCAGCAGCGCCTGAGCCTGATTTCCAGGCACCTGGATCAGCGCCTTCCGTTGCCGGACCTTAACACTCCCTTCTCGACCGAGAGGAATTCGCGTCCTCCCGACGACATTGAATATAAACCCCTCGATCGCACGGCCACTACTCCTCCTCGTTCTACTTCTCCCTCTCCTCCATCCCCCTCTTCATTCCCCGCCGCCAAAATGTCCTCTCAAGCCCCCCACCCCACCCTGTTGATCCCAGGGCCCATCGAGTTCGACGATGCTGTCCTCCAGTCCATGGCTCACTATGCGTAAGTTCACTCACCACTGGAACCTCCCCATTGCCCCTCATTGACACCTTTTCGACTCTAGTGAGAGCCATGTCGCCCCCGGTTTCGTCAAGACCTTCGGAGAGACCCTGTCTCTAGTCCGGAAACTCTTCCAGTCCACCAACCCCGCTGCGCAGCCCTTCGTCATCTCCGGCAGCGGTACCCTGGGCTGGGATATCGTGGCCTCCAACCTGATCGAGAAGGGCGAGAACGCCTTGGTCCTGCACACTGGCTACTTCGCCGACTCCTTCGCGACCTGCCTGGAGACCTACGGCGCCAATGCCACCCAGCTCAAGGCTCCCGTCGGCGAACGCCCCTCCTTCGAGGACATCGAACAGGCTCTCAAGGAGAAGCCCTACAAGATCATCACCATCACCCACGTCGACACCTCGACCGGTGTGCTCAGCGACATCAAGCGTGTGGCCGAGATCGTCCGTCGCGTCAGCCCTGAGACTCTGGTCGTCGTCGACGGTGTCTGCAGTGTCGGCTGCGAAGAGATTGCCTTCGATGAGTGGGATCTCGATGTCGTTCTCACTGCCAGTCAGAAGGCCATCGGCTGCCCGCCCGGCCTCAGCATCCTGATGCTGTCTGGCCGCGCCATCGACACCTTCAAGTCCCGCAAGACGCCCCCGTCTTCCTACTACTCATCCATCGCCAACTGGCTCCCCATCATGCAGAACTACGAGAACTTCAAGCCCTCCTACTTCGCTACCCCGCCCACCCAGCTCGTCCACGCTCTGCACACCACTCTCTCCCAGATCACTGCCCGCCCCATGGCCGAGCGCTTCGCCATCCACGCCCAAGCCTCCGATCGCGTCAAGGCTGCCGTTGCTGAACTCGGTCTGGGGCAGGTTGCTACCAAGCCGGAGAATCAGGCCCACGCCATGACGGCCATCTGGCTGCCGGAGGGTCTGACTCCTCCCGATGTTCTGCCTGGTCTGCTGAAGCGCGGAGTGATCTTTGCAGCGGGTCTGCACAAGCAGGTTGCGACCAAGTACATCCGGTTCGGACACATGGGCGTGAGCGTCACCGATCCCAACCGTACGGACATTGACAAGGCCATTGCCGCCTTGAAGGAGGCCGTTTCGGAGGCGAAGCAAGCCAAGGGAATTTAAATACCACGAAATCAAGTTACGTCACGACTATCAAATACAAAAAATGAAATAAAAATATGAATATCAAGAATATGTACACTTATCCTTCCTAGAGTTATACATACTATATAGCTAGTATCTGTCTACCCCTTAAGAGAGCCCGATCTCGGACATGCCGCGATAGCGATACGAGAGTAACCATCTTACCATATCGGGTTATCCTATCCCGCTGGGTCTCCCCACTTGACCTATCCAGATACAGTAGACTACATCCTCCATTGTGTTAAGTTGTTACTCCTAAGTTGGGAAGAACTGCCTTCAACACCCAAATCAAACAGGAACAGCTTCATCCGCATAACATACTCGTGGTTACAAACAACACAGTACTAGGTAGATCATATTTGCTGAACATGTGAGCAATTGATACCTCGGTTATATATACACCCGTACTACCTACTTCACATAGTCATAGTTCGCAATAACCGAAAGCATCGAATATCAGACAGAGTCCTACTGTTAAATTAAATTCCGCTCAGTAGAGTTTCGGTTTTATACATAAGTAGCGTCATGTCATGTATCTGTCTCTGTCTTTTATTCTGTTTGGTTTTGTTTCGTTTCCTACATCTGCACTTCTTGTTCTTGTGTCTCTTGTCTTCTAGTCTCTATCATACACCCTACCATGCTGAACTTAACTACCAAGGGTTCATAGTTTCATGATTACTGAATTTATACCTAGTTGACCAAGCCCGACAGACGAAGAGTCCGAACCACAAAAACGGTGGAATTGCTTCTCGCAAGGCGATGATCTATCTATCTCCGGCGTCCGGGAAACCATACAAACAGACAGACAATTCATCCAAAATGGGGAGCAGATCTGTCTTCCGACAGAAGGTATAATATATTTAAAAGGGGGGGGGGCAATAATTGATGATCCTGACTCGTGACACTCCATTCGGGGCAAATGACAAGAAAAGAAAGACATGAACAGGAAAAAACGGCGAACAAGTATAAAGATAGGGGGAAGATAAGATGAAGGAAGATAAGGAATTACAAGAATCGGTAGGGTGGGCAAGGATAACAAGAGAGAGGGGTATGGAGTAAATAATATGCTGGACACTCGTCATGCTTTCCCATCAGCCTCGTCTTTACAGGAGCTGAGCTGAGCTATGAATGCATTATAAGGCTTCCGTGAACATCAAATGGTGCTTGTTGTGTTTTTTTTTTTTTTTAGGGTTTCTTTTCTATGGTCTGTTGAAGGCTCCCCCGTCCCCGCCAGGTCAAGCTTCCGTTTCTCCTCTACGCAAGGCCAGAAATGCCCGCACATCGGTCACATACTGCAAAGCTTCTAACATGGGGACGAGATGGAGCAGACCATTATCCGTTGGATCATTAATCCACCCCTCGATGGGGATAGCATTATCTGTCGGGCGTTAGATCAGGCCATCGCATGGCAGTGACGCTGTCGCAGACGATACGCACCTTCGTGAAAAATATAACTCATAGGACTGTTGTCCAGGATCATCACCTTACTCAAGTCAGGCTCCACCGAGCTGAGGTCCTTGATGTATGCGCCGTTCCGAAAGGTACAGTGTTGACGGTAATACCGCGCATGAAAGTATTTCCGCTCTTGCTCGAGCCAGTCAATGACTGGATCAGCATATTCTTGCACACTGGCCGTGAAAATGACCAGCTTGTACCACTTGCAGATCTTGCGCAAGAACTCGTCGCAGTGCGGCCGCTTATGTACGTAATATAAGATGGGATGCTGCGGGCCGAGTGTCGTGGGTGGTCCTCCAGGGGTGAGAGCGGTCGTCATCGGCGTGGATAACTTGACTTCCACCATGTGGCCACTGGACATGCGGCCACCCTTGGCCAGGGAGTGGATGAGAGTCTCATCCAGGTCAAGGACCAGGGTCTTTTGCGGGCTCTTAGGGCTGCGAAGGTTGGCCGTGTAAGACGGCACTCGGGGTGGAATCAGCGGGCGAGGAGGTACCGGGGAATGCGGGTACCTGGTGACGCGATGCACAGACGGAGACGTAGGAGATTTCAGGCTGTCGAGATTGAGAGTTCCTTGAGCCCCATTTTCTGGGGCCTGACGGAGATCGGCGCTTTGCGACCGACGTTGCCTCTGCCGCTTAACCTCTTCGCTATGGAGCTTGATTCGGATTGAACGTCGAGGAGCAGCCTCATCTGGCACCGGTTCTGGAGTCGCCCTGGAGGGTCGAGACCGACCACTGCTGAGGCCCTTGCTGCTTCGACGGTCCCCTTCAGATTCGGACGTGCTTGAAGCGATGGAATCCCGTGATACGTGACTTTTTGTTCTTCGAGAAGTACCTGTTCGTCGTTTGCTCTCCGCTTGTCGACTACCTCTACCCGCCGTCGCTGTACTAGTCGATTTTGGGTGTCTAGACACAGATCGTCGCAGATTTCTCATGGGCGCCATGAAAGAGTAATGACCGTCGTCGTCTTGGAAACATTGAGCAACATAAAACCCGGGAGCGGCTAACGTGGATAGGATAAACTTGATTGTCTCGGCGATCGCATCGAAGAACCGCTGAGCAACGAATCCTAAGGTGCCTCTCGTAGCAAATGAACCGTCTTTGTGAATACTTCGTAACAGGGGTGATTTCTCGTCAAACGTAATCTCATGGTAATCTATGTTCTCTGCATCATGGCTCTTCTCGGGGGCCTCGGCCGAATGAAAGTTATTTTCGCTGTACGACCGGAGTTTCGCAAGGTCGCCGGGCTCGCTCGCTCTGGCGACATCTCCCTGAGAACGAGAACGCTGGCGGCTGCGACTCGGGAGAGAGGACTGGCCAATGACTCGAGACGAGAGGATGTTGAGCGAGTTCATCTTCCCACACGGCCCACGGGTGTCCGGGCTGGCGCAGGTGTCTAGAGGAAGAGAGAGCGTGGGTCAGCAAGCCTTCACTTGTACAAGACAGTCGAGACCGGCAATGGAACGGGCATCCGGGAGCATTCTGAATGCGACGATGCGACGAGCCACGCCATCGGGCGCTACGGACCTCAATGCGCCAGTCGACAACCCGTGCTTTCGGAATCACCGTTACCCCGACCTGCTCGATGGCGGAATGACGACAGGTTGATCCGCTGTGAGGGAACGGGCGGAAAGGAGGGCCCGAACGAGCGGCGGAGGTTAGGAGGCAACGAGAGGTAGGCCTCGCGAGAGGGGGGAGGAGGGGTGACGGGGGAGGGGGGGGAAACGGGGAGGAAGATGGGCGGACAGCAGCCGATGCAGCAGCAGCCGGTAGGAAGTCGGTTGAGGGCGATGGGCGAAGCAGAGGAAGTGTGGGGAGAGCCTGAGGAGGCGGACTGGCGGCTTACTGGCCGGCGTATGGTATGTATTGATACGTTGGGCCGAGCGGCAGTTGAGGAAGAAAGGCGGGCAAATTCTCCCGCCGTCACATCCCACCATAACCATCTTCTCCTCTGCTCCTCTTCCCCCTCCAACCTCCCCGTCGTTTTCAACCCCCCTCCCCCAAATCTTCCCTCCACGTGGGGTTCATCAGTCTCCAGTTGGAGTTGCTGCTAGAAAATCCGGTCGGAACAAATCTGAGGGATTTCTCCGCCATCTGCAAGGTATGTCCTGTTTGCGACACCGTGACTCCTCCCATCTTCTCACAGTGTGGGTGTCTGTCCAGGAAGCCATTGGAGCTTGCTAAAACCACCAAGCCCTATTCCACCAACTCAACACGAGCCCTCTCAGCGACCAGTGTAACCATGCCGTCCAACTCCGTGGCCCTCACGCCTGGGCTGGCGTCCTTCCTCAAGTCTTTGAAGACCAATCCGATTGATACATCCATTGACGATCTGATCTCGTGCGTCCTCGACGTCATATCACTTTTTGTCGCAACCGCTCGTGCGCCATACTGATCCGCCTCTAGGCTCTTGAAGCGCAGACAGATTCGCCATTCCAGATCATGTGCCACGGCGACTGCCTACCTCATGCGCAGTGTCATCTCGGCTACCCGGACGTCGGATGCAAACAAGTTGATCGAGCGGGTCCAATATGTGGGGAGGCGCGTGATGGCCGCCCAGCCCCGGGAGATGGTAGTCGGCAACATTGTCCGACGTGTGCTCGGATTGATCCGTGACGAAGCGGAGGACGACAGAGAGGGCGACTTCACTCTGAGCGAAGCAGGCTCGGAGAGCCAACCTCAGACCCCTCGTGCCCTGGATGGTCAGTTTGACTCATAGCACATCGAACCTGGACCGTGGGAGCTAACTATTCTCGCCATCCGTAGACCCCTCCGAGGTTCTATCTTATCGCCATGATGGCTCCGATCGGTCATCTTCGAGACAGCCCTTCACTTCAGTGTCGGCGACACCCATTTCTATGTTCAGTCTACTCTCACACCCGGAGCCCGAGACCTCTCTGCCTGGTACTCCCGCCTCCGCCTCCCCGTCCGGCCGGCTGCTGGGCCACAGTCACAACAAGGACATCCGTGCCGAGGTTCTCGACGGTATCAACGAGATTATCGATGAGTTGGGCCAAGTAGACGACCAGATCGCGGCCTATGCCCTCGAACACATCCACTCCAACGAAATCATTCTCACACACACCTCGTCGACCACCGTCCAGAAATTCTTGCTGAAAGCTGCAGCCAAGCGGAAGTTTACTGTGATCCATGCCGAGTCTTACCCTAACAACCATGAAGCGACTCATGCCACCGTCAGCGGTCAGGCTCCCAAGGATGACGACATGCTCAGCACCGAGGCTTTCCAGAAGCCTTTGATCGCCCTGGGCATCACTGTGATCCTGATTCCCGATTCCGCGGTCTTCGCGCTCATGTCCCGTGTCAACAAGGTTATTCTGGGCACACACTCTGTGCTTGCCAACGGTGGTCTGGTGGCTGCGGCCGGCACCCGGGTTATTGCTCGCGCGGCCAAGGTGCACCAGACGCCGGTGGTGGTTGTGAGTGGTGTTTACAAGCTCAGCCCGGTCTACCCCTTCGACTTCGACTCGTTGATCGAGTATGGCGATGTTAGCAAGGTGATTGGTTACGAAGATGGGGACTTGGTGGATCAGATCGACGTGCAGAACCCGCTGTACGACTATGTCCCGGCGGAACTGGTTGACCTTTACATCACTAACCTGTGAGTCCTGCCTTCGTGCTTGCTTTTAACTATGCAGAACTAACATGCCTACAGGGGAGGCCATGCGCCGTCATATCTCTACCGTATCGTTTCGGATCATTACCGCAAGGAGGATATCATTGTCTGATTGCTTTGATGCAAGATCAGCGATGGAAATGGACCCATGTGAAACAGTATAATGGGAGTGCAGATGACTGCATCATGACATTCAAAAGTACGGTTATAAAACGGCGTAAGGGCATAGACAATGGAACGCAACGATACCCGGGAATATGTATAGTCTATCGGATACCACCACGTAGCTGCTCCCTACCGATCGGTCTGCTAGCCGACGAGTTACAGACACCATACTAATGTTTTTGAAGGATTTGATATTTTAGGGCCCTCCCAAAGAAATAAATCATGGCGCCATCTTTTATGGATATATCAATCGTAGTAGCTGCAAGGGTATTTGCAGGGTCATCCGTCCTGAACCATCAATTCCAGACCATAGACTGTGCCTCCCGAGCTTCCATGGAATGGGCCCCCTGTCCCGAATATCATCATTTCCGCTGGGTTGGGTTCTTTAAGAGCGGGGCTTCTCCTTCTTCTCCTTCCAGAGAGCGGCCAGACCGACACCGGAGACCTTGACGACCTTGAAACGGACACCGGGAATATCACCCTTGGCCTTGCCCTTACGACCGAAACCGGCGAGGAGGACCTCGTCGTTCTCATCGATGAAGTTCAAGCAACCGTCGTTGGGGACTAAGCCAGTTAGCAAATGCCATATTCTCCATTGACCCCTCCATGATTTCCAATATTCATCCCCCAATATTCCTCCGCTCACACCAATCCAGATAGAAAACCGGGAAAAAGAAAAGGATTACCCACCGAAAGCGGTAACCTTCTTGCCGTTCTTGATGAGCTGAACCTTGACACACTTGCGAATGGCAGAGTTGGGCTGCTTGGCCTCAACACCGACCTTCTCGAGGACGATACCCTTGGCGTGGGAGGCACCTCCGAAGGGAGAGGACTTGTAGGCAGTACCGAGGAGGCGCTTCTTGTAGTGCAGATCGGCCCAGCGGTTCTCACGACGGGTGGTCGCGAGCTTGCGGGCGGCGTTCAAACCACGGGGCTGTCCCTTACCCATCTTGTCGGATTATGTTCGAGGACGGTGAACTGAAAAAAAGCCGTTAGAACGTGTTCCTTCTATTCCTCCTGTCTTTTCTGGGTTTTAATGCGAATGGGTTGTGGCGGGCGGGCGGTGCTCGGGAACGTGATATAATGTTGAATATATGTAGTTTCCTCCGTGATTTTTCCCCCGGGAACTGCGAATCGAACGGATTTCAAACGTAGGGGTAGGGGCTGCTATACATACCGAACTGATGGATAAATTGGCTGGATGGGGGATGGTTGTCGAAAGTCGAAGGGGGTTCGCTTTCACGGCCGGCGGTCGCTCGACTAGATCGAAAATGTTCTGCTGTGCGCCTTCGCCCTAAACGGCCGCTAAGCGAGGCACGGGACTCGGCGTCGGCGAAACGTTCCCCTTTGCGATGTCTCCTTTCCGCTGATAACGATAAGCTTGGTTATCTACTTTGCTGATACCGACTTGACTACACCACTCTATACATCTTCGACATGCATAGTCTACGAAGATCTAATGTTTAATCACACAGCTTAAGCAAGGGAAAGAGAACAAAATGGACCCCCACCTCAAAATGGATCTGAAAATGGATCCCAAAATGGACACCAGGAAGATCAGCGCCCAGCGTCTTCCCCCGCCGGTCCTCTTCCAAGGCCCCCCATCCCATAACGCCTCCAATCTCTCCCTCCCACCACCGGTCTCCGCAGTCCCAACAGCCGGAACCAGTCCGCGCCCGCCTCTCCAGCGGAATCGCTCCTCTCGGGGCCTGGATGCCCCAGGGTCCCTGTCGCCGTTCCTCAGCCGAAAACAGTCCAAGGGGGAGGTGGATGGCTCCGAGGCAATCTGGCAGGAGATGCAGAGTGCGTTGTCGGAGGTGGAATTGAGTGCCGCCACGGGGGAACATGTCTTTGGGGAAAAGCATTCCGAGGCGTTGGAGGATCTCCGCATGAAACAGCTGAAGCTCGCGCAGGCGTGGGCGCGCAGTGAGGCGGGGGATGAAGTCGTGGAGGGGAAGGGGGCGGCTGTCGCAAAGAGTAATGCCTCTTTGAGACCGGCGTCGCGCAGTACGGCTGGGGCTGGGGAGGCGGGGAATATGGAGGATGGGGCTTCGAGGAACTTGGATGAGGAGACGGAGAAGGATATTCTTCTGGCGCGGGAGAGACGTGAGGCGAATGATCGGTACTTTGATCGGGTTAATAATGGGGTGCTGGATGTTGTCGCGAAACTGGAGGAGGTTGCTCAGGCTATGCGCGCGGTCGAGAGGGAGAGCAAAGACATCTGGAGCGATACTGATAGTCTGAGTACGACGACGCAGACGACTGATACTGGATGACGTTGTTTGGCTCTGCAGCGATTTATGACTGAAACTGTGACTGCTCTGTAGAGCGAGGTGGCTGGCCTGCATGATGGCTGACAGTTGATGTGCATTCCTCCAGGGGCTGTATATATCTAGCCAACGCAGTCCACAGCCTGACTGCCATCCGGCAACAGCATGCTCAACCGATCGAGTCTGCGAACTGTACATCATCGCTTACCTTGAACCACAATGCAGATATCCACCTAACTCACCAGTAGTACCATATCCAACCCATTCCCCAAGCACATCATCCCCCAAATCTCACCAGATAACCAGAGAATCAAGCATAGCATTACCGCTATTTCATAAAACTAAACTAAGGGTATCTGAAAACGTATTCCACACCACACCACTCCCCTCCCCCCCCTTCAATCACATATATAACCAACACAAAACCACACAAATGAACAAAACAAATCCTAGGCTCCTAGTCCTAGCTACTCCCTCTTCACCAACCTCACCACGGTCTTCCACCCCTCCACCGCCGTATCCCTCGCATCCTCCCACCGACTTTCATACGCCTTGCGCGCCAACGTCTCCACCTCCTGATTCCACCGCTGCTTCAAGAAATCCTTCATGACCGGTTTCGACCCCCGCAATTTCTTCATTTCCTCTTGCTCCGCATCACTCGGCAGTAAGCGTCGATCGTACGCGCCGGTCGACGAGGCTAGCCAGTTCAGTGCCCGGGTTTGTTCGCGGATCAGGTTGCGTTGTTCCAGTCGGTTGGCTTTGTGGACTTGGAGACTGATGTAGAGGACGGAGGTGGTGAGGGCGAAGCCGCTGAACTGGGAAGCGTTAGCTTGCTTCCTTTTGGGTTCTTTGGATGAGGGTGGAAGATTGAGTGAGGTGGATGGGACATACGAAGCCGGTGAAGAAACCCATTTTGTTCTTTATGTTCAATTATATCTGCGATTATGTATTCAGGGACGTTGAACAGAGACCGGAGAGAGATTGGTATGTCGACTCCAGCTGGGTAGGGATGTAGGTAGATGGACCAGTGAAAAGCGGGGGAAACAAAGCCCTTCCTGCGGTGGTCACAACTAGACGATCTCTTCAATAGGATAGGAAGTCGGATTGAATCGAAGGCCTGATCTACCGCAGCAGATGGCAAATCAGAAACAGATGAACAGATATCTCCCAGTCCTTCAATCCACACTGTACATGAACTAGATAGAAACTAGATACCAGAAAGATAGATGTTATTCCAGCGCTGGAAGTTCTTCGGGGGCGGGATCGGGGCCGATCAGGCCGCACTCCGATTGGCTACGGCGCCTGAATCGAATCTTTCCCGCTGCAGATGCTCTTCTCGACTGAAACCCCCAAACTCCCTGCCAGCCCATCCAATTCATCCAATCCACCCTCTATCCCCGTTAACTCTCTCACGGCGTGACCCATTGACCCGTCCTCGTCCGCCCACCATCCCAACACCCGGGGCCCTCGACCACCCAAACCCGAACCCGAACCGAACAAAACCAAACCAAACCAACCCACCCATCCACTTCATAAACATTCACCATGGCCGGAGGTGCAGCCAAATTCCGCCACTTGAGCCGCAAGTCGTCTCACCGTCAAGCACTCCTCCGGAACTTGGTGACGTCCCTCTTCAAGCACGAATCCATCACAACCACCTGGGCCAAGGCGAAGGAGGCGCAACGACTCGCCGAGCAGTTGATCACCTTGGGCAAGAAGAATACTGAAGCCAGTCGGAGACGCGCATTGTCGACGTTTTATGTATGCCTTCCATCACCATCATCATACGACCCACTATTCTGGGAAGGGGGAGATATCGTGGCAGAAGGGACATGTATGAAGGAAGGACAGTAGCTAACCAAGCGGATCTAGACCCCCCACGAAATCCTCCCAAAACTCTTCGGTCCTCTGCGGGAACGCTACGCTGAACGCCCAGGTGGATATACGCGCGTGCTCCGCGTCGAGCCCAAGAAGGATGATCAGGCCGCCAGTGCGATCCTCGAACTGGTGGACGGACCCAAAGATATGCGGTTTGCGTTGACGGCACGCACCGTGGCCAGACAACGGGCGCAGGGCCTGGAGACGCTCAATGAACTCACCACTATGAATGTGAACAAGGTGACGCGCTTCAGGAAAGGCGGCGTGGCGGATCTGGAGCGTGAGATCAAGCGCTTGGAGATTACGGAACATGGTCGGGAGGAGGACAAGGCGAAGTCCGCCAAGCCTGCGAAGCAATAAAGGCGCGATGGGTTGGGGGCATTTCTTGTATCTGTATTATCTTACCGCCGTGTTTCATGTTTCATCCAGTTGGCCATCATGAGTGTAATTCTAGCTGTTCCCTCATCTCTGTCCGCACGTACCGTCGAGATCATCTAAGAGGTGGAGTCATACAGTTTATTTATCTAAGCACTATCCCCCGCCCCCAGACCAGCAAGATCTAGCAAACATAGCAATGCTGCACGTACATGAGTAATTCAGGTGTCCAACCAAGTCCCGAACGCCCACGAAATCCCAGTCATCGACCGCTAAGGATATGAAACCCAGATCCCGCTCATCAATTCATGTCTCGCTCCGACGGGTGACGCCAAATGGCTCAATATCCGTCCCCGTGTCTAATCTGCCAGCGATCAAACGGCCATGTCCGGAACCTTGCCACGGGCGACACTCCACGACGACAAGGAAGCATATGTACTTTTGTGGAACAGAAATCAGATACCACCCCCACCACAGAACCCCCGGATTGGGCCATAGGAGGGGAAGACCCTAGTTGACCCTCGGGAGAGTCGCTCCACCCGAAACGACGAGTGGCCCGGTCTTGGTGGTGGGAAGCGTGTTGCCCGAGTAAGGATGGGTCGAGCTAGGGCCACTCCGCGGCTTCAGGTCAAAATCGGAAGGAACCTCGGACGGTGGCGGTTTGGGGGGAAGATGCGACGGTGTCCCCCACTTCGCGATAGAATCTCTGCCCGACAGACCACCGCGAGCCAGTCCATGCCCAGCCGATCCAGATGCTTCCTGAGGCTTGCTGGTGGCATCTGGGAAGTTGGGCCACTGAGGCTGTAACCCCGGTTGTATGCCAGGGTATGGATTCATTCCATGCTGGCTGCCCTTGCTTGGATGCCTTGCTAACGGCGCGCCGCCGGGGACAAATGAACGGGTTTGAGGGTTAAAAGGTGACCGATTAAAGCTGCCCGGCAAGGGGTGGGTGCCCGAGTGGCTCTGCATTCCCGGGCTCAATGCTTGTCCAGGATATTGGGCGTAGGGGTAGGAGGTTGGTGTCGGATAATTGGTCCATGTAGATGGAGGAGGGTTGCGAATTGGAGTCTGTGGGTAAACGCCCGGGTAAGGTGGGGTGGACCAACCGGCATTGGGCGGATATTGGACAGAGTTGGGCATGGGATAGCTGTTCAATGCAGGAGACGACTTGGTAGATGCCATCGCTGGTGACTGGTTAATGGTCGCATATCCCGAGTAAGGGGACTGCTGCGGCACAGGGCCATTCTGCCACGGGCCGCTCGGGGTCATCTGAGGCGATACTGGCATTGAGTAGTGCGGCATGGCATTCACGTTCATGGATCCGGAATACGTGTGACCGGTCTGGCCACTAGGGCCGAAGCCCATAGCAGGCGGGGACACGCCCGGTCCAACCATGCAAGGATGATTGGGGAAAGACGGATCATTCACAGCCATACCGTAGGGCATGGATCCGTTGGTGTATTGCATCCCGGGATAATATGCGTTGAATTGAGACCGAACTTCGAAACTGTCATCGTGAGGAGTCTTCTGCCTGTGTCCCTTCCGGCGTCCGCTCGCTGAACTCGAGCGTGACATATTGGTCCCAGTCTCGCCATTGGCATTCTCAGACGTCTTTGGCTCGGCAAAATCACGGAAGATCCGCTCCCGAGCTTCCTGATACTTGGCTTCTCGCTCCTCGCGGGTCAAAGTCAACCGGTCTTTGGCCGGGGTAGCTCCGGCGGAAGAACCACCGCGCTCCCCGTCGCCACTGTCGCCGGCCTCGGATCCGTTCTTCGAGGGAGCAGAGGAGCTTGCTGCAATGCTTCCTTCTGTGGAGGGTCGCTCACTATCCGTACGGCGCATGATTTTCATGGCGGGCATGGCGGGAGGCGGGGTACTGCTATTGGCAGCGTGCAGGACTGACAGGGGCGTTGGACTACAGCAATCAGCATACAGTTGCTCCAAACTTTTGCCTGCAAATGCGACAATTCCAAAGGAGGACTTACAGCCGACAGAATGGGGTTCGGTGGAGTCGAACAGATGTAACGTTGTTGTCCACAAAGTGGGTCAAATGATAGTAGTCACCCAGTTTATGCGCGAGGAGCCGTCCAAAAGCGTTTGAGGGTGGAAGTTCCAAAGAGTGCTCCCTAGAAAAAGATCAGGACATTGAATACGGGCGTGTGTGCAATGTGCTGTGCCGACTCACTTGGAAGTTTGTATAAAGTGTCGGACTTTCTCCTCTAGTTGAAGAATCAAGAGGCGGTCTTTGGGAGATTTCATAGCCTCAAGAAGTTTCTCGTCTGGTTCGGATGGGAACCCATGGATGGGCCGCCCATCTTGGAAAGCATCGGCATTCGGGATAATGTAGTTCGTTGCGACAGCGTCCGGAAGAATGGCACCGTTCGTGCGCTGGATGCCATCATTGAAGATCGGGCCGGGAGGTTGGAGTATTCCCCGCGGTCTTTGTAGGTCCCGAAAACCGCGTGCACCCGACTCTGACCCTGTCAACGAATTCGCGGCACCGGAGGCCGGCCCGGACAGAGACTCCTCCTCATCCACAGCTTGGACGCTAGCACTGTCATCGGGACGCAGCGAGTCTTTCTCGTCCATTGCGAATGTAGTCACCGATGCCATGCTCTTGGAATCGAAGCTCGTGGGCTTGGTCGAAGAGTTCGAAAGGTGGGTACGGTCGTCCTCAAACGAGGTCTCCCGTTTCAGAGAACCGTTGTCTGGGGCTTCACCGGAGAACATAGAACTGCCATGATATTTCTTCTCTTCCAGGTGAACGCTATGCACGGCCTGTGATAGACTTTCGAGATTTCGATCCGCAGTGACAGCCTCGCCTCGGACGTTACTCGGGGCTCCTGAGTCGGAGAGAATGTGTCCCGAGGCATGCTGTTCGGAACATGATAGGTCGTCGACCGACAGGGAGCCGTTCACCTCGTCAGATGAGGCGGGAGCCTCCGAGTTGGATGGTGGAGGCATGGCCGCGATCTGGTCCAACGGGTCAGCAGGAACCGGTCGATGGGCGATCCGCGTCGCGACACCTACCTTTGCAAAGGAAAGACGATGGGCGTCTCTGGTGGAACTGTCAGATGCCATTGTTCCCTGACTCGCTGAGCAGAAGGTCGAGGTCTCTTCTAGCGGTCCTTCCGCGGAGATGAAAAACGGACGGATACGGACGGATTGAATAAGGGGGAAACCCGACGAGAGAGACGGTACTCCACCCGTTCAGGTGTTGACGGGGACGAACCCGAGTTTCGAATCGATCAAAAGCCACTCAAAGATCCCACTTCACACAAGCCCAAAAAGAAAGACGGTACATCTCTGGAAAACGTAGTTCGCCATAAGGAAAGCTGCTTCGACGTTAGGTCCGGTCGGAATACCACCCAGGCGTGCAGTGGGAGAAGCGGGGGGTGAAGTTGACAGGCTGAGAGGCAGCCAGGCCAGGGGACGATGCAGGCACGTAGAGACAGAGGAAGGGGGAGGAGGCAGGGAGGTGACTGCTCTTACACGATGGTCAGAACGATTGGCTCATGGCTCTTTGGGGGGAGAAGGATGATGGGAACTCTTGTCTTTGTAAAAAAGATTCAAGAGGGGGGCATGAAGATTCCACCAACAGAGTTGATCGGGACACGAACCAGAGCCAAGGTGAAAAGAAAGTCGGGACGAAAGCGCCGCTCGACTTTGACGAATGCCGGCGAGAAAGTGGGTAAGGCAAACCCGACGATGCTGGACCGGCTTTTTGGATCTTTTGGGCTGAGAAGGAACGAGCAACGGCGAGAGTCGATCGGGCGGGTTTCGCTTGTCTGCTCCTCCTTCGTGGGCCGCCGCCCGCGCTTAGCCCCGAACCGCGCGCCTAGCCCAGGCTGCCCCGTCCACAGCCGCGGGGGAAAGAAGAGCTTGGGTTTGGCATCTCAAAGAACTATCTACGATCTAGCAGCAAGTCCCAGTGTGTGAGGATCCTGCTCTCGTGCTCGTGCTCTCGCTCCCGCTCCCACTCTTTCTCTCCAGAACGGGGAGCTATCGTCTTCAGCGCGATGAACCGTTATCGAAATGCTCCCGGGCTTAGAGGCCCTACCAAGGCAACCCCCAGCACCTTGTGTCAAAAATGCTTGAAACGAGATACGTCCATGCCATTTCAATCTCTCTTCGATGCATGCTGACGATTCTAGCACGGCACTACAGTTATGAATGTACCGTGACCGCCCAGGAGCGGCCGTACATGTCTCGACCCTCGCGCACGCAGCAGTTGCAGAACCCGAAACTGCGGCCGCAACTTTCGGCCGACGTCCCCAGTGACTCTTCGCGCACGTAGGTTGATTGCTGATTTGTAGGTTGGCAAGAGTTGAAACTAAAGATACCTTCAGGAAAGGACTAGCCACTGAAATCCTCGCCAAGCGCGAAGAAGAACGTGGTCGCAAACGAGAATTCGAAGAGGCAGACCCTCTGGACAATCGCTCGCAGATGTCCAAACGAGCTCGGTCAGCATCCTCCGATTCCGCCAGCTCTGTAGCGACGATATCGACCACTCGGTCCCGCTCAAGATCCCCCCCTGGCCGTGGAGACTATGGCGCACGGAATAGCCATGATCGAACGAGATCCGTCTCCTCACATCCTCCTGGACAGAGAAAGAGACGCTATAGCGATGCCTCTTCCCACAATTCGGCGGTTTCTTATTCATCCGGGGAGAGAGGAACCCGTTCTCGATCGCGCGAGTGGCAGGGGGACAGAAACACCCGGCGGAGACGTCGAGAATCCAGTCCCGAGGAACGAGGTCGGCCGCGACACCTGTCGCGGGATCGTGAACGGCGGGATCGATCTCGGAGTCGAAGTGTGGATCAAAGTCGAGTCGCACGGGCGAGACGATCAGTGACTCCGGAGAGGCTGCCTGAGAGTAACTATCCGGGTCCAAAGGATCCCTCGCGGAGCCATGCCAGCAATTTGGGCGAGGATAGACGCGGCCAAGGACGTCCGCCGGCGCGACGGGAACGGAGTCTCAGTCCCTATAGCAAGCGTCTTGCGTTGACGCAGGCCATGAATCTGGGCAATTAGGTGACTTTGGCTTGGTGTTTTGAATAGAAAAAAGTACTGGACAAGGATGTGTGGGAGTTTGGCGTTTTCCTCTTTCGAGGCTCATCACCGCAGGCTGATTCCCCAAGGCTTAGAAACGGGGACTGTACTATAGTAAGACCATACAGCAGGCTAATGCATTGAAAGTAATATTCCAAGTGATCCGTATGCAAATATCCTCAACGCCTTGCGACACTGTCCCAAATCCTCGACGGTGAGCGCCTGAAAAGCAAGATGCAAAGAGATGAGACCGACTCGCGACTGCTCCCATCCATGTCTTCCTAGGGTATCAAAATCATGCCGTCTCATCGTCCTCCAATCCTTTTCGTGCCTCCTCCTCTTCCCTCTCGCGGACATGGATGCCCTGGACCAACAGATCACCCTCAATGCCCACTTCCTCTCCCGGCTGATCTCCATTCGGTCCCGCCCCGTGGGCCTGAGCTGCGCGCTGCGCATCCTCTATCCGTTGGCGAACGAGTTTCGCAACCGCATTCTGTGTCCTCACGTTGAGGACGTTCATCTTCTCATCTAGGTCCCGCTTCAGATCCCAATTCGGCTTCTTCGGCTGCAGCTTGAAAAGGTCGATCGGCTGATCCCCCTCTTCGTTCTTCTTGGCTTGCTCTGCAGTGGCCTTTGCGATTTCGGCAGCCTGCGTTTCCACGGTGATCTGCCCATCAATGGGGGCCATGTCGAAGCCCAGCTTCGGGCCCCGAGTCTCTGCATCGTAGTTCCTGCCGGATAGGTATTGCTTTGTTACATCGGGAGTGGCATCTTCTATTTCGTCACCGGCGGCAGGAGTTTCCGCCGATGGCTCTGTTTCGGGCTCGGGTTGTTTCCGTTTCAGCGCGGCGAGCTTTGCGAGACGTGCTTTGCGTTCTGTCGCCGCCGCATCGAGCGAGGCATGATTGGACGACATGGCGGGGAAGGTCGAGTATAAAAATCGAGCGGGCGGAGGAATTCACAATTTCGAGGCAATTTCGGGCAGGGACGAGGTTCAGGGTAAGGGGTAAATGTAGGGTCCTCCTACCAAAGATTCCCAGAGCCTCTTGGAGAATTGTATCTGAGACGATGGGAGAAAGTGCAACGAGTAGATCAAGAGATCTCGCAGTGAACGATATACAGAAAGTAGTAGGCGGTGATGCGCCACTGCCGGGGCCACTAGCCACATCGGCGCCGAAGGAAAATCCGGCGGCAGAAAGAAAGATTGGCTTCAACAACCGTTCTTCTCTCCTCTCCCCGGTCCAAACCCGCTTTGATTGTGCTGGCAACCTTCTGTCAAGATATGAGCTGATTACACTCTGGTCCTGAATGTTAGTTCGTCCGCCACGTTTTCTGCGTTCCCGCGTCGGCGCTGGATTGCCATCCTGTGTTCCGCAGCACAGGCTCCGCCTCGGGCGACGGAGAGGAGCTCAGGACACTGCTCCCTTTGGCGACAATGCACCGCTTTCGAATACGTCGTCCTCCGCGGAGCTTGATGCTGCTCGCGGTGATCTGAAACAGCCGAACGCCCGCTATGCGATTACCCCGGAGAACAATCGGCAACACCCCTCCAATATTCTCTCCGCTTATGGTTTGACCGTTGGCCGATCTGCAGGAAATGGCCTGCTTCGTGGCCAGCACTTGATGAGTCGGAGGCCCTTTTCACCGCTGTCTTTAGGGGCTGGAGTTCGCCACCTAAGTTCATCATCCGTATCCGACAACCACACTGCAGTCCCCGCGGTGCAGTCGGATTGGGCCCATGCGCGTGGTTTGCCCGAGCCAGTCAACCGATCTATCAGCTCAAGTTTCACTTTTGAGAGGCCTTTGAAAAAATTGCCCTATAATTGGACAGTGAAGGCCCAGGATGATCATGTACGGTCGAGACAATATAATTACCCTGGAAGGGGGATTCGAGAATGGAGATTGGCCAACAGAGAGCTGTACCAGGCTAGATGGGATGGGAGAGAAATGAAGGAAGAATTCGTTCAATATAGGCTGGATGACACAGATAAGCAACTACTCAAAGGCCTCGAACACGACAGTTGGAAAACGTTCATGGAGCAGTGGACTTCTCTCCCCTATAGGGAACGAGCGATTCGCTGGGAACGACTGTCGCTGTGGCTATTATGGAACTCTCCAGTACTAACCTTGGAATTTCTCTTGGTCACCTGTCATCCTTCCCGGAAGTACAGACCGGTTTTTGCAATGGTTGCGGATTGTCTGATCTATCTCAACGACCTGCATCGTGCCGAGGTGGAACGATGGACAAACGGTATCCACGATTTTCGGGCTGTCATCAGTCGTTGCTTGAGACATACACAGTGGCCTCTCGCCTATGTACCGCAAAGAGGTGTCCGTCTTTATATCCGGACGGTAGACCAGATATTCGTCTATAAAGCCTGGAAAAGTGTGTGCTACAGCGGCCATAAACTTAAGGGCGAGACCTTCCTTGCTTTTATGGCCCGCTTCACAGAATTTGGGGACATTGACAACGCAATCCGGGCGCTGGAGCTCGCAAGGAGGTCGTTCAGACACCTGCAAATCGATCCGATGAATGTCATGGTTTCACGCCATTGCAGCAAGCTCTTAACACTAGACTCGGTTGAGGACACCGAATCAGGGGAACGCAATTTCCGCATCCTTCCCACTCTCCTCAAAATGGGGATCCGACCCGATCGAGACATGATGAATGTGGTTCTGTCCAACGCTCTTAAGACGGGGGATCCTCATCTGGGTGTTGACATGCTGCGCTATATGAAGGCTGAAGGCTTCGAGTTGGACTCGTACACTTATTTGGCTTTACTGCACGATGCAGTCACTCGTCTCGACCAAGAGCGGCTTGCGCACTTGATAGAGGAGCTCGCAGCCCGGCCGGAGCTCAAGAAAAGCCCTTATATCGCGAGCAAGCTTATGCATGCCCACTTTGTTTTCAACGTGAAGAGTCTTGATACCGCAGCAAATCGCCGTGAGCTTTTCTACTCTCTGTTGAATATGTATCACGAGCTGCATGACATCACGCCGTTGAAGGATCTCTCGATCGTGCCTTATGAATACCATCTTTCAGCAAGCGGCGAAAAGACTCCTCCCTCCGCCATTGCCCTGTATCTCATGATTGCGACTTGGCTCCGGTGCCAAACCCAGGTGGCCAATGTCGACCGTGTATATTCCAAGTTCCGGGAACTGGTGAAGCAAGGCCACACCGATGTCGCTCCACTCGCCACGACCGACCATGTCTACAACGAGTTCATGCTGGCGTATCGAAAGAATCCTCACGGGCTCCGACCGGCTTGCCGCGTCATGGAAGACATGCTACACTCCGCCAATACCGGCAGCTCCGAGGCGACCATTACCCACACCTTGCCAACGGTCCGGACGTGGACGCTGTTGTTGAGTGCCTTTATCTTCAACAACCAACCACTTGCCGCGGAGAGGGTGAAAGAAATGATGGCTAACCACGGGGTGGAGTACGACATGAGTACGTGGAATGTAATTATTAGCGGGTTGGCGGCCCAGCAAGATACAGCGGGAATTGCGCAGTCCATCAAGGAACTTGAAGCTCAAGGCTTCGCTGTGGATGCCTATACGATGAAGGCCCTGGGCTATCTTCGAGACCCGGAGCAGCTCTGGACTGCGATGGAGAAAATGGACTTGAAACCCATGTCTTTGACGCCTGAGGACCCTCTGCAACCCGCTCCTACCCATCTTCCACCGAATGAGACGGACGAGGAGCAACCCACCCCTTCCTCTATCCTGTTAGACGAGCTGGAAGATGAGCAGCTGCTAGACCGAGGCCTGCAGCGTCTAAAGGCCAACGCATGAGATACCCTTCCATCTGTTTTCCGTGTGTTTCTTTTCTTCCCTTGCATCTCTAGCGCTGTCATGTAAATACGGTGGTTTTGGATCAAATCCAGTCGAGCATTGGTGTCCGGATAGTGTAAGATTTTATGTACGATATACAGATCAATAATCATGAGGGGCCCCTGCAACAGAACAGACACGGAAAAAGAAGCTTCAGTAACGCCACCGCCTGGTAGAATGACCATGGGTATTCCAAGACCGTAAGAAGACACGGCGAGTCCATCAGCCGCCGAAGAAGATCGAGACCTGGCAGTATCATCGTGATCAGTATTTATTTCCTACTCGATCCTCAGGATACTCACAGCCATCACCACGCAGCATATGCTGACATATGGGCTCAGTCGTTCGCCGATTCGAGCGCACTTCCAAAAGATGCCAAAGAAGCTACAGACTCGTCAGTTGCATGTCACTTGGATGATGAGAGGTGAAGACCACGGCACTTACCCGCTCTGATTGCGGTCCATGATGCCCGGCATCATCGAATGCGCATAGGTGCTCGTGCAGATGATGAGCAGGAACACCAGCAGAAGTGACTGGAAATTGAACAAGGCCGACTACATATCCCACTGGTTAACGACAAATGTCCAGCAGCGTGGTGAGAGCAAATCCCATTCACTTACCATCTTGATAGAATCCAGTCGCTACCGACCTCCCTTTCTTTCCTTCCTCTTACCCCAAAGCAATCTGTACAGGTAGAATATCTCTTTTCTTCAGTACCGAGCAAGAACCACTCACTGACGTGACTGACGACACTGGACAAGATCGCACCGGAGACCAGCGATTCTGCCAGGATGTCTTCCGGCACCGCCCATCACCGCCTTCCCTCCGTGACCGCCGGCCGGCCTCCCGCCGCCGCTCCTTCATCATCGCGCAAATCGTCCTCTGCCCGTCCTTGTCCTCGTCCTCAGCCATCGCATATCACTTCCAGGGTCTCACCCGGCCCTCCCCGCCAACTTAGCACTGGCCATGTGCCGAGTCAACTCGCTCCTCCTTGGCCCTTCAACCCCCAGGAAACAGCGCTAATCCGAGCAGGATACCGTCCCGCCTTCACCCCGGAACCGGCCGCCGCGGACGAAGAAAACGCCTTAGCCGGAAAGACGCCCAAGATGGCGGAACCTCGCGCCCGTGCCGCTAGGCATAAGGGGCAGATGAACTTTGCGTCTGAACGTGTGTATCCTATCTCTCTAGCATTGAGGTCTACTACGCTTTTTCGTATCTTAAAGGTGTGGTTGCTAACATGAACGGTGAACGATGTGTTAGTCCGTCTGTTGCTCCTTGCTTATGGCGACCCCAGTCCCCACCCTTCATTTTCCCCCGAACCACTCCCCGAAACCGTTCGCGTGCTCGACGAGATCGTCACAGACTTCGTTCTCGAAATGTGTCACGGAGCGGCGCAGTACGCGAGCTACTCCCGCCGACAGAAGATCAAGGTGGATGATTTCCGCTTCGCGCTACGTCGGGACCCGAACAAGCTGGGCCGTGTTCAGGAATTACTGCGCATGGAGCGCGAGTTGAAAGAAGCGCGGAAGGCGTTTGATCAGAACGATGATCAGGTCGGGAACTTGAAGGATGCGGGCAAAAAGGGCCTCGAGGAACTTGGGGAAAGCGTCGATGGGAAGAAGGGTAAAGGAAAGGGAAAGAAATCTGCCAGAAGAGATTCGGATGTCACAGAAGATGCGTTGCCGAAGAAGAGAAAGGCCCTGGGATGAGAGCTGATGCACTCCTGATGTGTCGCTCTAGCTGCTTCGGTTTTTATCTGCCGTTGACTGGCGTTGAGGGTGGGAATGGGCTGCTTTCGTATCATATCTATCATATATCCATTATCTGGTCGGCATCGGGGGCGTTTATCAAGATGGATGGTTAGTTTATTGCTCTTTAGCTTATCGGGAATCCATCCGACTCAAAAGGGTTAAGCTGCTGTAGATAAGAGTGCTCCAACTCCTTACCTCAACAGTAGCTTCATCAGCTTCAACCATCCCTCCATTGCATATACATGAATACCCAGACTCCCAATCTACACTACACCTCTAATATATGACCCCCCACAGAAGACAAACAAGGGGAAGTTCAACCTCCACTAGAGGTAGATCGTTGCTAGCAACATCAACATCAACAGCAGCAGAATCATAGGTCATCAGCTCTTCTCTTTTTCCCATTTTCCATTTCCAAGCACACTCTGAACAAAGCCAGACGGACTCCCATACGCCGTGCTTCTTTTCTTTCCTTTTCCATTCCGTTCCGGATAGTTCGTTTTCAGTTATCTCTGTTCACCCAGGATTTCTTTTTGTTCCTTTTGCGGATGCAGTGCCGCCATGCCAGACCGAAATATAGATCAAGTGACCGTGGCTGATAACAGGGCATTGGACATATCCCAAGACAAGGGGTAAATGGTGCTTTCAAATAAACAGAGAAGGAATATGAAAGAGAAAAAAAAATTGCACAATGAATAATGTTAAAGAAGAATGGAAAGGTTTCGTTATAATAACCCTATATCACTCTTACGCGCGAGCCTCCTCTCCACTGCGCTCTTGGCGCTGTTGCCCGCCCCGGCCTCCTTTGCCGCCCCGTTGGCCACCACGCTGACCTCCCGACTCGGCGTTGCCGGACTCGCCTCCCAGAGTCAGCTGGGCGGTGGCTAGACGGTTGGACAGCTCCATCTGTGTCCGGATGGTGTTGGCCAGGTACGACACGACCAGAACGTCCTGGATGTGGTTGTTGCTGGGGTGGGTTAGTCAGATACTCGGATTCCTATCGGGGGAGAAGGTGGGGGGGGGGGGGGGAACATACAAATCACGCTCGATATCAGCAGGCTCCACCTTGGGCGCCAGGGCCAGGGTGTTAAGCAGGAACTGGCCCATGGCCGTCGAAGCAGGCGCCTCCTCATCAATGACCGACTCGACATAGCGGGAAACCCGGTCAATCATGCCCAGCACATCCTCGATCGCACGCTCCAGAGCCTCGATGTCGGTGAAGATGTTGGCGGCACGCTCCTCAGCATCCCGGGCCGAAGCAATCGCCTCCAGACCGCTCTTCTCGGCCTCGCCGTAACGGATCTCGTAGGGAACGGGGATGAAGGCGGCGCTGTCCGCGGCTCTCTCGGCGGTCACACCGACGGGGGCGGAGATGTAGGCGCGGGTCTCGATATCCTTTCCAGCCTCGGTGGACACGGTCAAGTGAACGGCGGGGTGAGGCCATGTGCCATCGCCCTGGCCGCTGTAGAAGTTCTGGATCAAGGCGGAAAAGGTGTTCAGCTCGGACGCCGTGGCGTACCAACCGACGAGCACTTCCTTGGGGTTGGCCTTCAGGTGCAGGGCCAGCATCTGCTTCTGGTATTCCATGTCCACCTCAACCTGGTCTGTCGTCTCCGTGTGTCCGACAGCGAAGGTGCTGCGGATTTCCACCTCGGTGCCATCCTCGGACCTGGTTCCCAGCAGAGTACCGATGACACGCTCCTGGTCGGCGTTGCGACGGAGGGAGTGGTCCAAGATCGAGAAGAGGGCCTATGAGGCGACGTTAGCATCGGGATCGTGTTCCCCAGGGCATCAGCATCCGCTGTCACACGTACCTGGGGCTGGATGACAACGTTCAGAGGGGCGGTAGTCGGTGCAGTCCCCACTGCCACGGGGCCCAGAGGGCGAGCGAGGTGAAGGAAGGAATCAGTGTCAGCCATGATGGGAAGTAGGTCGAACGGTCTCTCGGGTTGATCGCGTCCTGGCCGTGGGGGAGAAGTGGCACTCTGGGGTCGGTCTTCTAATTAAATCTTCCGCCTCTGCTGCGGCGGAGGTTCTGCTGCGAGGCTCAAATTGTGTGTGCGCAAAGCGAATTTCGCGCTAAGATAAGATAAGCCGCTCCAACGCCGCGAAAAAATAATCCGCCCAGGGCCTTGCTTAGTAGCACCACTGTGCCTGTTTCCTTTTTATTATTATTTCAATGGCTCCTCCAAGAGGTAGAGGTTCGAGAGGCCGCGGACGAGGCTCCAGGGGTGGTCCTGTTCGTCGCCGTGGCGGCTTCCAAGCGTCTCGAGTGGACGAGATAGAGTGAGCACGACTCCCGCGCCGTCACTACATGCACGCTGACCAACTCGTAGGTCGGCTGATTCTTCAGAGGGCGAAGGTAGCTCGGTGGATGAGCGTATGGAAGATGACTTCGAGGAGGAACCGATGGATGTTGGCTCGTCGAGCGACGAAGAGGACGACCAGAAGGCGGGGCGGCCTTATAACGAGCTGCTGCAACTGTTGAACACCTCCACTGACACCAAGGGCCCAGCCCGGAAGAAGAGAAAGATGGATCATGGGAAAACCGAAACCATTGAGGTGGCTCGCGAGGATCCTGATACGGAGGATGAAGCAGCCGGTGGGGACGATCTACAGCAACAAGAGCCTTCGGATGAAGAGGACAATGGGAACCAGGAGGAGGCTGAAGCACAAGATAGCGATGGTGAAGATGGTAGGACTGTTGATCTGCTTGTTGTTCGACCCGCTGACGTCTAGCAGACAACGATCCGTTCGACACGCACTTTACGATCCCGAAGGAAGACGAGCTCGCCCAGAAGATCAAGGCTATTGGAGAAAACAAGTGGAAGAGCAACAAGAAGGAGCTCCCCGATGGGCTGCGACTTGTGCGCTCGATTCCTGATACTGGGGACGATGCGACCTGGCTACCCCCCATGAAGCACGTTTCAAGCGTCAAGGTGAGCGTGGCGGTACCTATCTACCATCACATAGACTGACCGGGATGACACAGCTTAAGCGGAAACTGAAAGAGCCTGCCACGAACAACATTCCCGAGATTACTGGACAGGCGCAGCATCTTGCGCCGTACATCTTCGGCTACCAGGACGTCCTGTATGGAGCCCGGACCGCATCCAACTCGGCCCAGATGCGCGACCTTCTGGCCCTCCACGCCACCAACCACGTGCTCAAGACTCGCGACCGCGTGCTAAAGAACAACGCCCGTTTGGCCAAGGAGCAAGACGCGGACCTCGATGTGCGGGATCAGGGCTTTACTCGGCCCAAGGTGCTCTATCTACTGCCGACCAAGCAGGCCTGCGTGCGGGCCGTCGAGTCCATCACGCGGTTCTTCCAGCCCGAGCAACAGGAGAACAAGAAGCGTCTGCTCGACACCTTCTCTGGCCCTGAAGACAAGTCGTGGGAGAGCAAGCCGGAGGACTTCCGCGACTTGTTCGGTGGCAACGACGATGACATGTTCCGCCTGGGCGTCAAATTCACCCGCAAGACGGTCAAGTATTTTGCGCAATTCTACACCTCCGACATGATCCTAGCCAGTCCCCTCGGCCTGCGCACCATCATGGATCAAGCAGAGTAAGCCACCACGCCATTGTCTCGGGACCGGCACTAACCCCTCGCAGTGCGAAAAAACGGGACCACGATTTCCTCTCGTCCATTGAAGTGGTGATTGTGGACCACGCAGATGCGCTGCTCATGCAGAACTGGGACCACATCGACTACATCCTCAAGCACCTCAACCTGCAACCCCGCGAGGCGCACGGATGCGACTTTAGTCGCGTGCGGACGTGGTACCTGGACAACAACGCGCGGTATGTGCGGCAGCTGATCATGCTGGCGTCGTTTGTGACCCCCGAGATGAACTCGGTGTTCTCGACGCAGATGCACAACACCTCGGGCAAAATCAAGGCGACGCCGACGCACGTGGGCGCCATCGCCGACGTGCCGCTCCCGGTCTCGGTCAAGCAGACCTTTTCCCGCTTCGACTGTCTCTCGCCGGCGAAAGACCCCGATGCTCGGTTCAAGCACTTTACCACGACCGTGCTCTCCTCCCTCGTCCGCGACATCACCTCCGGTCGCGGCAAGTCCAGCGCCGGTGGCACGCTGATCTTCATCCCCTCCTACCTCGACTTTGTACGGGTGCGCAACTACTTTGCCACCTCGGCGCAGACGACCAACGTCTCTTTCGGCGCCATCTCGGAATACACCGACGCGCGGGATACAGGACGGGCGCGATCACATTTCATGAACGGACGGCAGTCGGTGCTGCTGTACACGGAGCGTGTACACCACTTCCGGCGGTACCAGATCCGGGGCGTGAAGCGCATCATCATGTACGGGGTACCGGAGAACCCGACCTTCTACGGTGAGCTGGTCGGGTTCCTGGGGTTGGATCCAGCGGGGGTGGTCGAGGCGGCTGAGGGAGGCGTGCGGGCCTTGTTCTCCAAGTGGGATGCGCTGAAGCTGGAGCGGATTGTGGGGAGTAAGCGCGTGGGCAATATGTTGCGTGAGAAGGGGGGGGATACATTCAGCTTCATGTAGATACTCCTAGTAAATCTTTGTATTCTATTTCGCGAGCTTGCCGCTCAATATACAATCCCCTCTGAATCTTGTGCAATTATGCGATCTGCCCTGTGATAGTGCCTAGTACTCTGTACGGAATGTACCAATGTATATCCGACACCCATCCCCAACCAAGGCAGCAGCAGCACCACCCCCAAGAATGACAATGCACGTACAGTATACATACACGACAATCCTTCAGAAACCCCATCAAAAGCAAATCTCACCCAAACCAATCACATCCAAATGTCTACCTAACTTACTACCCGGATATATATCCAGCTCCAACCTAAGAAAGCACAGTGTCACAAGGGCCGATTAGTCATTCAGCCCGACGGCCGATCGCGGCTCTCATTTTGCATTCTTTTTTTTTTTTTTTCAAAACATATAAAGTAAGGTTGAGGAAGGGTGGTCAGTCGGGTTTGTCTGACATACATTCAATTCACCTGCCTACCTAGCTATCTATTATCTGGATAGAGAGATACTAGATACTGGATACCTACTGGAATTGGTATCTAGTTCTAGATTTGAGTTCGAGGTGACTTCACGGGACTCAATCAAGAACCACCGGAAACAACAAGGCTCCCTCCCTCTCAATGGCTTCCTCGAATCCACTCGACGCCGCTTGCGTCACGGGGTCCCAAGCGTCCTCGTCGTCTTTAAACCCGGGGGTGTACGAACGTCAGGATGAAAATAGTCCGTTGCTGGCACGTTCGCAACCTATTGCTGGCGATGGGGTTGGTGCGACTATGAACTCGAAGCAATCCTGGTGGACGAGGGCGCAGGATGTCTGGTTCCAGGGTAAAGGCATGATCCTTGTCATGTGTGCTATGTTCTTTGGCGCGTCGATGAATGTCATGACTCAGTTTTTGGAGATTAAGGGACGCGAGGGGAAGGGGTTTCATCCGTTTCAGGTGAGTGGTCTTGGGGTTGGTGGTGGTGGTATCGGGCCTGGCTGATAGGATAGATTCTCTTCGCGCGCATGTCGATCACCGTCGTCGCGAGTTACCTCTACATGTGGTATGCGCGGGTGCCCCATCCGTTTGGGACCCGCGATGTCTTCACGCTTCTGATGCTGCGCGCGAGCGGTGGCTTCTTTGGTGTCTACGGGCTCTACTACTCCGTTCAGTATCTGCCGCTGTCCGAGGCCACTGTGGTGACCTTCCTGGCGCCCATTCTCAGCTGCTATGCTTGCTCGCTGTTGATCCCCAATGAGACCTTCACGCGCAAGCAGCAGCTGGCCGGCCTGGTCTCCCTGGCGGGTGTCATCCTCATCGCTCGTCCGTTCCCGTTCATGAGAGCCGGGGCCGCCGACCCCGAGCCGGATCAAGGGGATAAGCCCGGCGCCACCGACAGCTACCACCATGTGCTGGCCATCGTGGTCGCCTTGGTGGGCGTGCTAGGCGCCTCGTGTGCGTACACGACGATCCGAATGATCGGCCAGCGCTGCCACCCGCTCGTCTCGGTCACGTACTTTTCGTCGTTCACGACGGTCGTGGCCACGCTGGCGATGCTGCTCGTGCCCTCGATCCCACTGGAGCTCCCGGGCACGCTGTTGGAATGGACCCTGCTCCTGGGCCTGGGGGTGAGTGGCTTCCTGCTGCAGTTCCTGCTCACCGCCGGCTTGTCGTATGCGCCGCCGCCGCGGACGCCCAAGGCGCCGGCGGAGTGGGATCAGCGGAACTATGGGACGCGCGAGGAGGCGCCGGCCAAGCCGTCGTCGTCCGGGTCGCGGGCCACCTTTATGCTGTACACGCAGATGCTGTTTGCGGTGTTCTATGACCGGGCAGTCTGGGGGAGCACGCTATCGGCGGTGAGCTGGGCGGGCTCGGTGCTGATCCTGGTGAGCGCCATGTATGTGGCCACGGCGCGCGAGGGCGCCAAGGGGGCCGCGAGCGAGGGCAAGCAAGAGAATGAGGGGACGGATGGCATCCGAGCGGCGGCTACAGCTGCAGGAGACCTGGAGGAAGGCGGGGAAAGGCAACGGGGGCGCGGATGAGGCAACACACGCGACGATCTGAGGGATTTGAGCGCATGTTTTCGCAAGGAGCACGGGTGTCACAGCGCATGGACGACGGCGGGGAGCTGGTTCGAGCGATGCCACATGTTTGGGAGCGCATTGCATAGCATGGGCATATCATGGCATATATACGGCGTAGACGGCTGGCACGCATGATGATATGATGAATGACAGGATTGATTGGATGATGGTGATGCCAGTGAGGCGGTCCATGTCTGGTACGCGCTAGTAAATGACGCCAGCCCCGATGCGGCAAGGGTCGCAGCGAGCTCCACTCCAATGGCATCCCTCAAATTGCAGGAACCGCCGTGAGTGGAGGTGTCGATCCGGGGTGGTCAAGACACAGCTGAGAATGGGTCTCAGGTACCTAGGGACACACCCGAGGGGAGAGCTTCCACGGAGTCCAGAGTACACCCCGGAGCACTCTGATCCTATGCATGTCGAGGGACCTGTCACCGTGGCGCTTCCAATCAGAGGTCGCCCCTCGCCGCCTGCGACATGTGATTGGCCGCCACCCCGTCATAGGGTTGCACCTGAAGCAGTATTTAGTATTTATATGAACCGTTCGAGGCTCTGATATACTCCGTATATTACGGACGCATCATGGGCTGCGTGTTTTCTGCTCTGTATATATGGCCTCGGGCCTAATTCGCTCTCTTACAAGTCAATTAGATTCTCCTACCCATGCTCTATCTTCCTCGAATACATACACTCCCCGATTAGATCTTACAGCATCACCACTCATAGACTACCACCATCACTCCCACCACCGCGACCTATACAGTATACAGTATCCACACCCACAACTATACACACACACACACACACACACACACACACACACACACACACACACACACACACATATATATATATCCTAAAGAGAGAGAGATATACCTCAGAGACAGCAGAATGCGCCACTTCGACACCTGGCTCATCCGCGACCCCTACTCCATCTTCCACTACTACCCCAGCGGCCGTCGCTGGTCCGAAACCCTTCGCGAGATGATCCAAACCCGTCAAATCTGCAGTCCAGATGCTGCCTCCAATGCCTCCAACACCCCCATCCCCTTCGCCGACAGCACCTCCCAACCCACCAGCGCCTTCTTCCAACGTCTCCCCCCGGAAATCCGGCTCATGATCTACGCTTACGTCTTTGGTGAGGACACCACCATCCATCTGGTGCAAGTGAAGGATCAGATCCGTCATGTGCGATGCACGCATCCGGCCCCGTTGGAAAAACATCGGCAGTGTTGTCCGGCGACGGTGGCGAGGTGGCGGACTCTTACCAGCAATCCTACCACAAACACCACTACCACCAACACCAGCACCACAAACACAAGAACCACATCCAAACCCACCACCACCCCTTCCCCCCCTCAACCCTCAAAAGAATCAGAACCCCCATCCAAACTCTACCCGCACACCTCCCCCCTCCTCCCCCCCCTCCTCTCCACGCCCCAACACACCACCGCCCCCCTCCACACCTGCAAAGCCATGTACACCGAGTCCGCCCCCCTCCTGTACCGCACCTTCACCTTCGACACCGACGACCTCTACACCCTCCTCGCCTTCACCACGCACCTTCCCCCCCCGCATCGCCACTCCCTCCGCGCCCTCACAATCCACTACACCCCTATCTGGACGCCCTTCTCCACCGACGAACCGCATGCGTTCTCTGTCTATACGCATACGCATAATGATGAGTTGTGGGTGGCCGTTTGGGAGGTCGTGAGGCGGTGTACAGGGTTGGAGGTGGTACGGCTGGGGTTGGATTTGGGACGGTGGGTGGGGGTTGGGATGGGGGGAAATGCTGGGAGGGTTGCGGGGGGGCGTCGTGTGCCGTTTGGGGTGCGGGAGAAGTGGGTGCAGCCGGTGTTGAAGGTACGGGGCTTGAAGCGGTTCGAGTTGGGGGTGGTGGTGAAGTGTGATCGGGTGGCGAGGCGCGTGTTGGAGGTGGATGGGTTGGTGAGGGAGGTGGAGGCCTTTAGGGAGGGGGTGAGTAGGGTCGTCTGTCAGCCTCGGGAGGAGGAGGAGGAGGATGATAATGAGGTGAAGGGGAAGCAGGCACAGAGGTTGGCGATTGCAGCGGCGTGATCAGGGTGGTGGTGGTGGTGGTGGCGGCGGCGATGTGGCTACAATAGAAAGACATACCTAGGAATTAGAATGCATCTAACAATCTAGCTGTACATTATCCCTCGCATGCATTCAATCCCCATGCAATTTACCCAACCGGACATTCAGCAATCAATTTCATCACTCCAACCAGCATTACCGTCCCGAATGTTCCGATTCTATCCCCAACCGGCTCCCAGCCAAAAAAAATGTCGTCGTCGCTAACTTACACCGCTACATCCTCGTAGATTAAGAGTGAGGCGTCGCCTCCGTGCTGCGTTCCACCTCTGACTCGTGGTCTTCCTCGCTCGTCGGCGACGGCGCCCGGCTGCCCACCAGAGAGTGCCGACTGCGCATCTGGCCATTGTTAGCGATGCCTCTAAGGATCAAGAATCCAGCGCACTCACCCATGCCCGAACACCCCCAATCAGCCCCAAGCTGTAGCCCGTCGCAAAGTCCGGCTCGTTCCGGCCGTTGCCAATCGTGCTCTCGGGACGTCCCAGCGCCTCCACCCGCGAAACATGCGCCTTGCTGCCCAGCACCGGACTGGTCACTCCGCTGCGCGAGCTGCCCAGGTCCACGCTGTTCCGTGCGCTCGACAGCGGGCTGTTCGGCCGGCTGTTCTGCCAGAACTGTCGCAGCTCCCGACCCAGCTCCTGACCCGTTGTCGTCCAGTTGGTCCGGATGCTGTCCCGGAGCTCCGCCACATGTCGCTTGATCTCCAGCTCGTTCTTCTTGATCCAGGACACGTTCAGCTCCTGACGGGATGCTCCACGCTTGAACTGTCGGGAAATATACCGATCGTAGTCACGAACGATTCTGCAGCCTCGTATTAGCCGCTGTGCATCCCCAACCCACCACAACTCACCTGGTGATAATGCCCGTCGTGCTCACTCCCTCCGTCCGCTGCGTAACCAAAAACTTGCCTTGGGCCTTGATCGGGGCATAGATGTCATCGCCCTCGTCTGCGCCATATGGCAAATCGTCATGTGCCACATAATCGATCTGGTGCTCGTCGATAAATTCCGGCGTCACGATCCAGGGACAGTCAGGAATCACTTCATCCACCCATTTGCAATGGCGAAGACTCTCGGCGCGCTCCGCGCCGCTCAACACTGTCAAACCCTTGCGCTTGTGTGTTTCGTCATCCCCGGTCACACCCACAATCAGATACACCTCCGGGAACGCTTTCTTAGCCTGCTCCAGTTGTCGCATGTGACTGCACACCCCTTGTTAGCAGCGGAACGGCAACCCGACGAAAGACACGTACCCCACATGGAATAAATCGAACACACCATCCGCATACACCCGCACCGGTCGCCCCGTTGGGGGAGGATTGGTGCGATAACCCACGGGATCTTGAATGCCACCCCGGTCTGGCGGCCGCATCAACCGCTCTGATGTATCTACCTGCAATCCCGGCCGGCTCTTGCTCCGCGTCTCAATGTCACTGCTCGCCACGGTGGTCTCGGACGGCTCACCCGGGTCCTCCTTGCTGACGGCCGATGGTGCGTCGGGCAGGTCGCCGTTGGACGCCGGGACGAGGGCTTCACTGACGGACGCCTTCCGGGCCCGCTTGGTGGGCGGAACGGTGCCGGAAGTGACGTCGAGGGACGACTGTTTCTTGTGCTTGCTGGGCAGCGGGATGGCCGAGCCGGTGGACTCGTCGCCTTCCTCCCCGGACGCGTCGCGGGAGGAGGGCTGCAGGAGCTCTGCAGGTGAGGGAATGGCGACATTGGCGGGAAGATGTTGGGAACCGCTGCGCTTCCGTTTCGAGGACGGGGGAGAGGACATGGTGGCTGACCGAGGAGCACAGCTCGACTGCTGTCGGAGGATTAAACAGGAAGGGAGAAACCAGAAGCCAGATCGAAGCGAGCGGTGGGAATTGAATCAGGAGGCGTGAGGTGAGACAAGACAAGAGGACAGAAAACCGAGGGAGAGGAGGAGGAAGAGGGAAGAGGGAGGGAGCAGCACGGGCGGTGCCGGGGAATGGGATCCAAGGCAAGAGGGGGATGAATTCCCTCAACAAACCATGGGACTGGGAGGTGGGAGAGGTGGGAGAGGGAGAGAAGAGAAGCAGGAGAGACAATCGACGAGCCGAAGCGACTAAAGCACGACTAAGTCGAGCGACGAGCACAAAATCTGCCTGCGCCAGCATGAAGATACTCCATACCGCAACGGTACCGCGTACCTTACTGAATCCTGCGGTGTACGGCCGGGGGTCCCACCCGGGTTCCGAGTACCGTATGGTATGTATGCCCATCGGTCCCTTTCATTCGATCGCTCGGCCGAACTCGATGATCCCCACCACTGCTACTACTACTACTACTTGTACCCTGTCCAGTCTACACATCGCGTCGATCGCTCGAACCCTCGGCACAGCCAACGTTTCTATATGCATACGATCTGAAAGGCTTTGACATACATGCCCGCTTCCATCCCTCGTCCAGAAACGCCGTGGCTGAAGCATTCGAACATGTCAGTTCCGCTCCTCAGGCACCGCCGGATCTCCTTCCGACCTGACCGACTGGTTACGCCATGTCAGGTCCGGCGGACACGGTGACAGTGGAGCCGAAGCAAAGAAATGGGACAATCGTGGAGATATCATGGTTCATCAACAGTGCGTTTTGTGCGGTATCTTGTTCATGGCATGAAACAGACGTACTCTCGTGAGGCCTGCCGCTCGCGGCTCTGCATAAAATGGAAAACATAACAAAACCCTCCGACCCGATCCCATGCATCCACCCCGCAGCTAAATGCCGAAATCGCGAGTGACTAGAGACAGGCCCCCCCCCCGGCAACGTCTGCCGCCTCCTCTGCAACCACCGGGCCGTTCAAGGGGACTCGGGAGGGTAATAGATAGATGGGTTGGTTGGAAGGAAGCCTGGCGCTTCAGAAGGGCCAAGGAAGAGCACAGAATTGTAAAGGAGAAAAAATGGAAACAGCAGTCGTAGAATCACACGAGGATGGTTTTCAAAGAACCAAAATAAAAGAGAAAGGGGAAAGGGGAAATATTAGGGAGAAATGCAAGAGATCCATCATGACTACGAACTCGTAGGCTTTTGCGGTGTTCCAGCGGCGCTGCCGGACGAACCCTCCGCGGTGGCGGACGGCGACTCCGAAATCTCAGTCGCATCCGCCCGGGGGGTGTCCTTGGACTGTGGCCCAGGAGTCCCCTCCCGTTCATTCCGAGCCGCATCGGGAGTGTCACGGCGCACCTGGTTGGCAAGGTCCTGGTCTTCCTCAGCCTGGTCAAAGAGTTCGTCATCGTTCTGCTCCGGAATCAATTCAGTGCCGTCCCCCAGGAGGATGATGCGGCCCGAGCGGACGCTGAAGCCACGCGCACGGTCGTTTTCCATGTCAAAGTCATCCGGGTTCTCCTCGAATTGATTACGGATGCCGGGGCCGCGGAACTCAGCTGCACCCCCCGTTCAGTCAGTAGGGATTGGAATGGGAGGCCGTGGGATCCTCGAGAGACTTGCCGTACTCGGGCGGAGCGCAAGGGCCGTCGCCGTTCGCCACGCGCTCAGCGATCTGGTTGTACCACTCCTCTTTGGTCCTACCGTTCAGGAGACCGATGATGATCATCGTCATGTTGTCACAGCCAACGCCGCCGGTTTCGCTGTTGGAGGCCAGGCAGTTGTCCATCATGTTCTCACAGATCCGGTAGAGATCCTGCTTCGCGGCAATACCGCGGCGGACGAACTCCACCACGGACTGCGAGGACTGGCAATCCCAGATACCTGTAATCCGCATTAGCGACCCCGAAGCCACCGGCGCCAATCATAAGACTCACCGTCGCAGGCGATCACGAGAAACTCGTCATCGTCACTCAGGTCATGTACCGTCACGTCGGGATAAGCAGTGACAATTTGTTGCTCAGGAGACAGCTCGGGACTCTTCTTGAATTCAAAGTCTCCAATGGCCCGCGACAAAGCCAGGTTACCATTGACACGGCCAAAGTCGACGAAGCCACCGGCAGCGCTAATACGAGCCTTTTCGCCTATTGTCGTGGTCAACACAATCCCAGTGGGGTTCAATTCAGGATACAGGGGCGGATGTACCTTCATTCTGAGGCTTGTGATCAAACGAAAGCGGCTTTGCGCGGCCCTTGACACCGAGCACGGAGCGAGAATCACCAGCATTGGCCTAGAGCCCGTTAGATTCCACTCAGACCATGTCGCCTATTTCGGATACGTACCACCCAGATCTTGTGCTTCGAGATGACGCTGACGGCTGCGGTACAGCCTGACACTTCCTCCTCGTACTTCGGGTCTAGTCGGGTCAGTCCGTTGCTACTTCGGAGGGACACGACAGGAATGAAAGGAGAGAGGCGGGTAGAGAGGTTGCCCGGACTCCGATAATAGCGCTCACGAACCTTCCAAAATAGCCCGGTCGGTAGCGAGGAAGCCATCCTTGAGGGCCTGTTCGATGTCGCCCTTGGCGAATGATTCCTGCTTCGCGACGATCTTGTGGACATTCTCCCCAGCGAATAATGCTACTTTGTCCCCACCGTGCCCGTCATATACACCAAAGAAAGCAAGTCGTTTGTCAGGATCGGTCGGTTTTTCATTCTGGTCGGCGAATTTGGCCTGGAGGTCTAGCACAGAGGCATGGGCATCCTCCATGCTGATTCGCCATCCCTGCATGGCCGAGACACCGTATATACAGCATTCATCTTGGCCCTCAGCGGAAGTCTAGATACCACCCCATTTTGGTTAGTGAGATTGTAGGAAAGAGCGAGAGGTCCGGAACACAATGGAATGGTGACAGGTCATCCTCCCGGAATCGCGTGCAGGAAATTTTCATCCTTCTGTGGAGGGACCCCGCGGGGGGGGGGAGTGGTAGATCACCACACTTGCAGCCCCTCCGACACAAAGAGAAGTGATAAAATAAACACAAGAGCGAACAGCGGACCAGGCAAGAGTCATGGTGGGCGACAGAAAAATTGCAACACCGTGTGGGTATGGGGGGGAATGGCAATGCGGATGGTGCGAGATTGGAATGGCGTAAGATGCTTTGCAGTGTGGGGGAAGATCAAAGACCAGGCAAGCAGCGTGCTCCTTTTCACTCACCTTTTCGACGACGGGCTCGGACAAGGTCTGACCCATGATTTCTAGTGAGTCGCAATTAACTGTTCACGCAGACAGAAGGCCCGTTACAGACATACACCACGGTGGGGGAGGAGCAGGAGGGAAAGTTTCAAGGCCGGAGGATCTTTGAGGGGGGGGAAGACGAGGGGAGGGGAGAGGAAGAGCCAGCAGATCAGGTGGAAGGGAGGATTAGGTTGGCTGGAGGGCAAGGGCAGAATGACTATTCGGGGAGGCGGCGAGCGGGACTGGCCCAGTGAAAAAAAAGGGTGAGTGAGCAGCGGAGGAGCCAAGGAGGAATCAATAATAATCCAGCCTGGAGTATCCGGAGGACGGTGGAAGAAAGAGTTGGGTAGGCGGGTACAAGGTGGTGGACTGGGTGGTAGCACCTATCAATGGGGGGAGTGGGGACCCGATTCAACGATGACGATAGCTCTGGATTACGGGACAGTTCAAATCAAAACCCTATCAGTTATAACAGAACCCCCAGGGGACCGCCCGACGTTAGGAGGGGTGGTGTCACAGGAAGGGGCAGAGATTTTCTGCACGATAATGGGCATCAATGATTATCTGGCCATGGGGAGATTACTGATTTTCCCCCCAAGGGCGTCAGCCGCAGCCAGAGGGAGCAAAGCAGCATGTACGGGAGTACCTCCAGCGTACCTCCACTTCTGTCGGGAGGTGGGCAGTTGGGCCAGGCTGCAAAGGTAAGGTACTCGCCTGGTACCTACACTATACCATACAGGCCTGGCCGGTCTCGGCAGGCGGTAGGCCCGAAAGGGGAAGAGCCGGAAGCTGCCAGTCGCGTGCCTCTGGAACCGGCAGTGAATCGACAATGACGAAAATCCCTTGGCGTCGGCTGACCAAGTACGTACAGTAGACGGAGTACCTCCCCTGCCTCCCCTGATGCCTCCCCAGGCGATAAGATGCAGCCTCCCCAACCGAAGAGCTTATGGCGGAGCTGAACCGGGAGCTCCATGCTGTCCTCCAGCCATGGTGTCCGTGCGTCAGCCCTCACCCGACCCAGCATGTCGTCGGATTGACGTTAGGGATATCCGACCTATGTCCTCGGTACATAGGAGGTAGGACGGACGGGAGGCTCGGAGTAACTACCAGAAATCTACTTTACTAAATATACCACTCCTAGGAGGATGGAAATGAGCTACAGATCAGTCCCATGCATCCGGGTACGTGTTCGTACATGCAAACTAGACCGGTCCGCAAGAAGTCCTACCACCGCCTTCATCGGCCCAGAGGCCCTATAACAGCCCCCCTGCACCTTGCTTTCCGACTTAAGGTTGGCTCTCCGCAAGGGATCAGGGTTGCCTAGTTTCGTAACAGCTCGGGAGCTTGAAGAGATCGGCATCGGGCATCAGATGAAACGGGTCCCTGAGGAACTTGAGGTGTACACCGTGTATGAAACGAGTCCAGAATCCCGGCGGCTGGAGGTCATGTGGCCGCAACGGTCGTGCCTTCCCAGACTTCTTCCTCCTTCCTGATCGACTACTCCGTACGAATGCCCAACATCTGAGGAAATGACCTCGCATGGCCACATCGGATTTTTCTGGGATTCAGCCATACGCGATAATCAGCCAGCCCGTTCAGGATTGACACGGTCACTAAATAGCATTTCTGCATGCTCTCTCTCTTTGGCTAGCTAAAACTGCCATCACTCTCTAAAGAGAGCTTGATCGCTTCTCATTTGTCAAATTATGGAGCTGGGCGTGATACCGACAGCTACTCGGTCCAAGATACGTCGATTTCCCGACTAATTTGGGACACGGAGACAAGCAGCTGCCAGGCCAGCTGCTGCGTACAAGATAACCCCGACCATCCATGGCAGCCCCATCCAAACCCCTTCCCAGGCCATTCCCGTCCGGAACAACCCAGCCAGTAGGGGTCCGGACACCATAAGCCCAATACCCTGTGCGAGCGCCATGGTCGTATTGAGGAGTCCAATGTGCGATTGCCCAACCAGTGCACTGCTGACGCTGCGCAGAGCAGCATAGTATCCCCATCCGAGCGCAATTAGGGCAACCCCCACGATAAACAGTGCCGGGTGGGATGCAAGAGACATGAAGCAAAATCCGGCTATCAAGATACATGCGCTGCCGAGTGCAACCTTGTGATCCCTCTTTACCGGAGAGAAATATCTCCCGAGAAACTTCGAAACCATGGGGAGGATGAACACCAATGCGAAGCTGTTGAGTATACCTTTGACGGCAATAAGAAGGCTTGCCTTGAAACCTTGTCAGTATATAGACCCAGATCTCATGCAGCAGGAAATCGTACCTCTGCCAAGCTCCACGAAAAGCGCCGGGAGACATATTGGAGCATAAAGGGAACAGCTATTATTCCATAGCTAGACGCCAGGAATGCAAAAGAGACGACGATGGAGCTGGGATGCCCGCAGACAAAATCATTCAGCTCGGTGATTTGGGAGCGAGCAAAGCGAACAATGCCCGACCATGTGAACACCAATGAGTCCTCAGGGCGTTCCATTGTGTCAGACACGACCTCATCCACGGGATCTTCCGAGGACTTCGGTTTGGTCTCTGGCAAGAAGAAAACAACGAACGCGCCCCCGACCTCGCAGGCCAATCCCAGCATCCAAGGCACCCAAATGCTCGAGGACATCATCCAGGCGCTCAAGGGGATCGCGACAATTTCAGACAGCAGCATTGCTCCCGACAGCAGGAAGTATGCAACAGAACTATAGGAGTTGATAATCAGTGAAAGGAACGTCTCAAAGGTTGTCTAGTCATCAATACCGCTTCTCGACCGGGAACACATCTGCGATGACCGTCCACGCGATAGAGGTGGATATCTGAGAACCGCCACCAATGATCTGGAACAACGGTGTGAACCAGATCGCTTGAGGTGGGATGGTTGTATGGTACCAGCCTTGGATGTTGGAATTAGCGTCCTCCACCTCGCCGCATCAGCTCCACTTACAGATAAGCCGAATCGCGATCTCCTCCAGGATGGCCCCAAGCAAACTCATGGCCAGGACTGGTCTGCGACCAATTCGATCCGCCATGAGACCGTACGGAAGCGCGAGGATGATGCCCGGTAGCTGATCAAAGGTGCTCATCCAGCCTTTGAGCAATGCTAGATCCCCCTGCACATCGGCAGACTTACATGATGGAGGAGCGACCAGGGGAAGACTCTCGCTGGGGATGTCAGTGAAAAGCTCAGGATGCAAGCGCTGGCAGATGATCGACTCAAACGCCTGGAGTTGGGGAGCAACGGAGAGAAAGTTGCCAAAGTCTATAGTCACGGCTGTGATGCACGCAAACAGCAAGACCCGATATGCTGTACGGGTAGCACTCTTCCCCTGCACCGGGTGTTCATCGTGCTCAGCTAAGAGAGAGGTTGTCTCAGACGGCGGCTCTGGTTGGGAGGAAGCAATAGCCATAGTAGAAGACCGAGGGCAAAGGATGGAGAGGAAACATCCCCAGCCCAGGGACTGTGCTGGTAATAAATGAAATAGGGCTTATGTTTATCACCGCTGATAAGAAGAACGGGGGTCGTTCAGCCTCAGGTCCGAATGACGCTAAACGAATCCAGGATTGCGCAGCCAAAGGATTCGTGATTCCACGTATTCTAGGGGCTGAAACTAAAAGGATCCGTCGGTGACACATGGACGTACCCCGAGGTCCGATGTCCGATGTCCGATAGGGACGAGGGTTGGTTGCATTGTTGTGCATTGACGACAGCTCCGCCAGTAAGACCGATCACATCGGCCCAATCGCATTGAGGTATTAACTGGATTATCTAGGTAGACACTAGACACTAGACACGGAACCGTCCAACGGCCCATGGATAAATAATGAAAGCAATTCAGATGAACCCGCCAGAATCCATGGATATCACGCTCGCCGAACCATTTTCGAACCCCAATCAAATATGAACAGAAAGACCAAGCATTTCACTTTCCTCTCCCTTACAAGAAACTCAGGTCGTTTCTCAAGCTTCCTATCGGATCCCCCGCCCGGTTCAAGCTGACTCGGCGTGATTTGGAGTCGTCTGGAAGAGAATAAAGCGAGGGGGTTCTGCGCAGGGATTGCCCGGCGCCAGCCATGTCACCTTGCGTGTAGAAACCAGTCTGATACCAAGGCCGACTGCTCTCCCCGATCTGCCGCTCAGCGGGCGGATCATTTTCCTTCCCAAAGACTCCTCCATCCATCATCGGTTTCTTGCCATCCAAGCTCACCTCACTGTAGAACCCAGGCAGAGGCGCGATCGCCTCGGAATAATTTTGTGCCAGACTCGATTGGCTGGGCAATTTGCTCACAGCACGGGACGGGGGGATGTCGACGGATTCTTCTGACAAGCTATGTAGATAAGCCGATTGGCGATTGTCATCGGTGTAAATGGATGCAGACATGGCTGCCGACCACGGACGCTCTTGGGCTGAGTAGCGAGATTCATCGACATAATTGGAACTGGCCACCGTCTCTGTCCGACTCACGGTGCTGCGGGCGCGTTCGAGAGCCCGGCCCGCCGATGTACGGCGACCGTATTGACCGGCGAACAATGGGTTCGAAGAGTTCCGGCTCTTCGCACGGCTGTGGACAAAGGCCTCCAACGAGTCGGTCTCGGAGATCGTTAGAGCATCCGGCTCTACAGTTCGAAGGCTCAATCGTCTTGAGAAATCCCCGCTCTCTCGGGTCCGAGGGGGCGGCCGAGGGAACAGCGGCGCGAGATTGCCCACGTCGCTCTCGTCGCTCTGGAATGAAGCGTGCGTGTTTTGCCAGGAAAGGCGCACCACCCCATGGCCCGGGGGGCCGAACCCACCGGCTCCGTGTCCAGCACCACTGAGTCGGAGTGGGAGCCCGGATGCAACCGTCGAAATGCCGCTCGACCGTTTCGAATACCTTCGTGATCGAGACGTCGTCGAGTTTCGCTTCAAAGATCTCCTGGGTTGGGTTTGTCTAAGAGGCTCTCGTCTCCGCGAACTTGTTGTGGTTCGCCTATGTAAGGGAGGACTGTTCTGGAACGACAGGCGCTTCGGCTGCGCGGGCAAGTCTTCGACCGGTTTGGTCGCTGCCGGCTCCGGTTCTTTCAAGGGCGCGAATCCCCAGTCGAAAGTGGAATCCGAGAAGGTGTTTTCTTTGTCGGCCGCTTCAGGAGCCCGTTCACTGTCATTCAGAGGGCTCGCATTCCATAAGGGTAGCTCCAGTTTCGGAGGCTCAGATGATGGCGAAGGGATTCTGAGTATCTTCGGAGGGTCACCCCGCGTGGTCTCTTCAAAAGGCTGACTATGCGAGACATCACAGCGCTCTGGCCGTGATGGCGGTGTTTTCTCGGGTGGCTGCCCGTCCTCGGGGTTGGCCGCGGCCGCTTTACGCTTGTGACGCCAGCAGCAGAACAGCAGCAGGGCGGTGCTCAGAAACACAAAAGGAACGACTACGGCGATGGCAATAATTCCAGCTTTGCCTCCGCGAACCATATTCTGTTGGCTAGGCGCTGTAGAACTGGTCGTGTTGTGCCTGTCGGTGGTCCCTTCCACCACCGTTTTGATGGTGAACTGGCGAGTGTCCTCTGCGGTGCCCTCCCGGGCTGTCAAGTTGATATGGTAACTTTCTGGGCTGATGTCGGAGGGAACTTGTCCGTAGAGCGTCTTGTTGTCACGGTTGTAATGAAGCCAGGGAAGGTCTTGCCCCAAATCCACATCCACCTGGACAGAATCATTGGTCAAGACCGAGCTGTCAAAGACAAACATGAAGTATCCCCCAATGATAGCATCCACCTCGTCGGTATCATCATGGAAAAATTGGGTGAATTGTAAACTGATGATAAGCGTCGCCACGTCTTGAAACCTATCCGTCACGCTAATCGTGACGTTATTGTCTGCTGCATTTGCCGGTGGAGTGCCGCTCAGAGAAATGGTCTCGTTGTCCAGCGACAACCAATCCGGTGAATCCACCTGGATATTAACCACATCGTTCTTCGTTACATTGTGTCCATCCAAGGTGAGATTGCTGGCGAATTGAGGGCTGGTGAACTGTTGACCTCGAGAGATGAAGAATGTCTGTGTGCTTCGATTAAATGCCAAGATATGGGGACTAATTGCCATCTCGAAAGTCATCGTGGCTGCACTGAACCCGGTTACGTCCGAGGCAACGAGATTAAAGCTGAATGTTTGGGGACCACTGTTCGGGGTTGAGCCTGAGAAGCTGAGCGAGGCTGGGTCGAATACAACCCATGATGGGAGCGGAGCATTGTCTGGAGATGTCCCGTAGTAGGCAGTCGAGGGGCGAGTGTTGGCGAACGTGTCAGGGTCGAAGGATAACGAAAATGATTGCCCGGTATGTATGATGATGGTGTCCGGAGCCGACGTGGGGCCCATGTCTTCGAGCTGTGGGAGTAATGGCTTCCCTGGTTTCGGTCCGTCGTCGGTCGTTACGATCAGAGTGACCCCCATGTTCACTGACCCGGAGTTATCCGAAGCCACGAGATCGAATGTCGGTGATCCTTGATCGTCTTTCTGAGGCGTCCCGGACAGGGTACGGCTTTTGCTGTCCAGTTTGAGCCATGCCGGCGCGTTGGAGAGCGTGTATTGTGTTTGAGCGTTGCTGCCGGCGAACGTGCCTTGGGAGAAGACAAATTCGAATGGCTGTGATACCCGGGCCACTGGAGGGAGCTGTGCATTAACGGGGTAGCTTGTTTGGAGAACTGCATCAACTGTCACCAGGATGCTGAGGAGAGCCAACGCAAAGAGCGCCATGTCTCCAGAGCAGGTGGAACGGTTCTGGCAGATATTCAGAACAACGCGCAGGAAACACGTTCCTATAGAACGTCCAGAGATATCATTCGAGCACAGCCCGATATACTCTGCAAAGCTGGGTGTGAGAGAGGCAGCGAAGATAGGAATGACAGCCGGGGGAGCAAAAGCCTTGGGTTCGTCCTGTCCTTAGGGCAAGGACCTTCCCAAGGGCATCCGCGCCCAAGGGCCCATCGGGCACAGGAGAGGCGCGAAGCGTGTGGCCCCTTCAACAGAGCCATACCTGGATATGTTTGACGTCACTAAAGTATGGGAATGGTCCAGGATGGGTGGTTCGCGGCGCGGGAGTTAAAGCTCACGTTGCGAATGCACGCCCCTGCAAGGGATGGCTTGCAGGAGCCTAGGAGCATAGCCATCCCAACCCCTCTCTGCGGCTTCGTATTCCCCGAAGGCTTAAGGGATATTTGACAGGCATAGGCACCCTATCTTCGGGACCGAAAAATCCCGTGGTCCCTTCCATTGCATGAGGGGCACAGGTCTATCGAGGGGCCGCGGGCGATGCTCAGTTAGGCCACAGGGCGGGTCAGGGGCCCCGCTAGAGATCGAGGATCATTTTGATCCCGGTGCGCCCTGGCGCATAGTAGTCCGGGATATGCTCGCGCTCCTTGAAGCCATTGCGGGCATAGAGGGATCGCGCGGGAGATCTTGCTTTGTCGACCCAGAGGTGAATATGCTGACACCCCTCCCTTTGCAGGCGAACACGAAGATAGTTCATGAGGTGCATCCCGACGCCCTGGCGGCGATAGGCTTCTCCCACACAAACCTTGTTCAGCAGGGCTATTCCCTTCTGGCGGACGTAGACGGCATAGGCCAGCAGGGTTGGGCGAGCATCTGGAGCCGCACGGGTCACATACAGGACCCGGGTGTTGGGCTTCTTGCGCCAGAGTTCCTCACCGAAACCCATGGCCTCGTTAGTGGGGAAGGTCTTTTTCTCGACGCGTGCCATCTCGGCAAGAATTTCGAGTGCTTGGTCTTTTTTTAAGGAATGAATGTCTGAGACGGTCAGGTCAGTCGACATTCCTGCGAGCCCCTCCAGGATCTACATTCAAGATCGTTTGAGGGTGGAGTGACAGGGCGGGTTCCACCGGTAAGGGAATTGATTTTCCCGAAGAATCAAGCCGGGCACTCCTCACGCTCTCTGTATTAGATGCCCAGATCCCGTGCGATAGCCCAATGGCGCAACTTCATGGAACCGTGTAGTTGGTTCTTTTGTTGGAGTCGAAAAGAAATCGTGAAGATGGATGTCCCGAACCAATCACAGCCCGTCCACCATGGCTTCCCGTCCGGGCCTAGTACAATACAGCGGGACGGTCACCGCGTTACTACTCTGTATTACATACCGACATACCGACCACCTCCCCTCTACTCTTTACTTTACTCTAGACTGGACTCAAAATACCACCACCAACCCATAGTTAACCACCCCCAACATCTCCCTATAATAAACTACCAGTCACGCCTTATCCCGTGTACACTATCCAGCATTCTACCCAATCCTTCAAGTCACCACCCCCTCTTCAAAGACAAAGCCAAAGACAAAGACCAAGAATATGCCCTCCCAAGCCGACGACAAACGCCAGGCCGCCCGCGAAGTAATCGACATTCTTCACGAGATCTCCACCCTTCTTGTACGTGAAACCCCCTCTCATTCTCCGCGATGGCGTTAAAGCAACTCCCCCCCCCCCCCAACCCCAATCCATCCAAGTGATGCATACCTATCCAACTACGGAGTACCGGGATACGTCCTCTCATCTGACACCTTGATTAATGCCTCCGACCCATCTAGAACACCAACCTCGACCGCACGGAACTCTCTCTGTGCGTCTCGCTGATCGAGAATGGAGTCAATCCGGATGCTCTTGCGGTAAGTTTTTTCGGTTTCTCTATCTATCATGTGCCCTTTTGATTTTCCCGCCCTCTGCTTTTGTTCGGGGGGGGACGCGTGAGGTTGATGTCCCGGTAGGCTGTGATTAAGGATCTGCGGAAAGAGGCGGCGGTGACTTCGCGGGGGTTTGCGAGTGATCAGCAGGTCTTGCCGGAGTGATTGCGGATGGATGATGATGTCTGGTCTTTTTTTGGGGTTTGGGGTGCTTGGGGAGTGGTTTACTACTAGTGATACCCGTCTTTGATTATTGAATTTTGCAGTGCCGGCTTGATTACGGAGTAGAGGGGAAGGTCTACTGGAATCTGGGTATGTTCGGCTTATCAATGTGTCAGTTCGAATCGACTACCATGGTCTGTGGTCTCCCAGTTGCAGTCTTTGGTATCATTAACGTCGGCTCGAGGCCTTGGTAAGGTAATGGCATGCAGAGTACAAGTAGCAGCATGTGCGTGTTAAGGATGAACAGAATGTGTGTGAGGGTAATAAGAAATAATGAACGGATCAAGCCGGCACTATGACTTGCCCGCGCTCTCTGCCTTGGTGCTGTCTTTCGACGCCTCTCCGGCCGCCGCCTCGGCCGTGGTATGGTCCTTCGTCTTGGTCTCCTTTTCCTTCTCATCCTCGCTGTCACCTAGACTAAACGGATCATGCTCCCCGACGGGGGAGGGTTCAACGGTTGACAGGGGCTGCCACTTGCTTGATTTGCCGGTCGTAGGAGGGGTGCGTCGGACGGGTTCAGAGGCATCGTACAGATTGTCAATCTCGGCGGGTGGGCCCTCCTGGAAGGACACCTTGCGTCTGTCGGGGGAAGGCGATGAGCTCTTAAACAGGTTGGGGTTGGCGAGCGGGCGTGGAGGCCGCGGGGGAGGGGCTATCAACGCAGGTTAGTCGGGTGGTCGGACTAAACCTAGAAAAATACTCTCTGTACTAGGGCGACATACCTTCTGTATCTCTCAACTCAAGTGCAGAGAAGTCGTCATTCAGAATGCGGTGGTCGGCATCGTAGCGCTCACGATCACCGCTACGGCGCCCTAGGTCCCCGCTTCGTCGGGGTCTACCGTAGCTTTCTTCGGGGCGGGCTTGAGCAGAAGACTCCTCCTCTGGTGATTCACCATCAAGCCGCTTCTTCAGGTTTTGGACCCACGAGTTGACTTTCGTCTGGGTATCTAGGAATCCTTTGCGAATGTTTTCACGGATCACAGGGAGATCATCTATGCAGGCCCCCAGTCAGCATCCGGGACAGTAAGAATAATATCCATATGACGAACCATCAAAGAAACTGTATTCTCTTTCGTCAGAGACGTCGCTTCCACTTCTCGGCCGCTGCTGCGGACGTTCATTTTCCCAGCGGGGTTGCGGCGCACGACGATTGTAGTGTTCGGCCAGCTGACGAGCATACAGCTCATCTGCTTCCAGCTGCCTCTGCGCAGCAGTCGGGCGTGGTGGCTTCGGGGGAGGCGCATCGCGTTCGGCAGCAGACGGATCCGTCATGCCTAAAGGGGCTTGTTAGTGACGCCGCACCACAGTACCTCCGATTCACGTCCGTACGTACTCAGCAGAGCATGGAAAGAGCGTTCCACATCCCAGTTACTGGCCACCAATACTGCTTTTATCACTGATCCTTCGATAGATGGGAATGCTTCCTTGAGGGTGGTCTCGGCCTGTTGCCGGGGGCTCAATGGGCGGGGTGGCTTTGGCGGGGCTGCTTCTGCAGCACCCTGCTGAGCAGGAGCTGTAGACGATGCGGGGATGACGCCGATCTCCTGAGGCTCATCGTCAAAATCCAGCGGGCGCGCAGTAGTTGGCGACTCTGGTTTGGGGCTGAGTGGTCCAACCGGAAGCTTGTTGGTAGTCTGGCTTCGAGTGAGTGGGCGGCATGGGGTAAGGAGCGGGATATAGAAGACCACCTACATTCTTGTCTTCTTCTGACATCGTGGGAGCGGCTCTGGCGATGAGGGGACTTCACAAGATAGTTGTCTGGAAGGCAGATAAGTATGCCAAGATCGCGCAGGCCCCGAATCTATTTATGCGACGGGAAAGTTTGCCCAACAGGCAGAAAGCAAGCCGGGGATGATGCGATTGGAGCTCCCGATCTCAGCCCCCTTCCGCTGCCCGCGGAGTGACGTTGCGCCACGTGACAGCACGGAGATTAGGTAAGCGATGCCGCAGGTGCGCCGGCATCGCGGCCCAAACAATACGATGTCTTGCTGCCACTGGAGGGCAAATTCACAGCTGACCCGGGGATTTTGCTGCCGATGGTCTCGATATGTCCATCCTAGGTCTACCAGCGTTTCCTTGACTCGCTTCTTGCTCGCCTCTGGTTGACATCGGTGCTGCGAACCACCTACTAGGCCCATCCGATGGTGATCAATAGGCACTGGATCCAATCACAATGACTTCCGAGTTGGATCTCTCGACCACCTTTATCCCGGCTCTGTACAAGCCGGCCGCATTACTTCCAATTGCCAGGCACAAGCAGAGCTTATTGTATCTAGTCGAGACCTATCCCGTGACCATCGTCGTTGGGCAAACAGGAAGTGGAAAAACGACACAGCTGCCCCAGTATCTTGACCAAGCAGGATGGTGTGCAGATGGGAAAGCCATAGCCGTGACGCAGGTAATTCCCCTCTGTCTCCGCTCTTCGCGTTCAATATCGATGCAGGAAGAAAGCTAATGCACTACAGCCGCGTCGAGTGGCAGCTACCACGGTGGCAGCCAGGGTAGCCGAGGAAATGCGCTGCAAGCTCGGCGAAGAGGTGGGCTACTCAATCCGTTTCGAGGACCTAACTTCGGCTTCAACCAGAATCAAATTCCTAACAGACGGAATGTTGCTTAGAGAGGCCCTCGTAGATCCTCTGCTGTCACGGTATTCCGTAATCATGGTGGATGAAGCTCACGAAAGATCTCTCAGTACCGATATTCTCCTGGGAATTCTCAAGAAGATCATGAAAAGGCGGCCTGAGCTTAGGATTGTGGTCAGTAGTGCAACTTTACAGGCCGAGGACTTTTTGCGATTCTTTGCCGGCGAGGACTTCAACAGCGAAGCAGAATCCGGTGAGATCGGTGGGAAGGTGGGAAGAATCATCAGTCTGGAAGGTCGCATGTATCCAGTGGACATGCTCTTCCTTGAGTCTCCTGCGGAAGAGTACGTCGAACGTGCGGTCAAAACCGTGTTTGACATCCACCTACAAGAGGCGGAAGGTGATGTACTAGTATTCTTGACAGGCCGGGAGGAAATCGATACTACGGTCCAGTTGATTGCTGAACGAGCTGCAACACTGCATCCTAAGGCGCAGGCTGTCCTGCCGCTGCCGCTGTATTCTGGCCTCACCACGGATCAACAAATGTACGTTTTTGAACCGGCACCAGAGAATACACGCAAGGTCATCGTGTCGACAAACATCGCCGAGGCTTCAGTTACTATCAACGGCATCGTATACGTTGTCGATTGTGGCTTCGCGAAGCTCAGAGCTTATAATCCCAGCACGGGCATAGAGACCCTGACAGCAGTGCCCATCTCCAAGGCAGCAGCTGTCCAGCGTGCGGGTCGAGCTGGGCGAACGAAACCTGGGAAGTGTTTCCGCCTCTATACTCAGCAAGCGTATGAACAGCTCCCAGACGCTACCGTCCCAGAGATTCAGCGGTCCAACCTAGCACCTGTCATCATGCAGCTTAAGGCCCTGGGGATCGATAACATTGTCAGGTTTGACTTTTTGACTTCTCCTCCCACAGAGCTAGTTATCCGCGCATTCGAGCTTCTGTATTCGCTGGGAGCAGTTGATGATTATGCCAAGCTCACCAAGCCCCAGGGCATGCGGATGGCAGAGCTGGCCGTCGACCCGATGATGGCGAAGGTGCTTCTATCAGCGCCGTCTTTCAACTGCCTGAGTGAGATCTTGTCGATCGCTGCCATGGTCAGTCTTCAGGGTTCCGTGTGGGTTCAGCATGAGGGGGATAGAAAATCTTCAGAGAGCCACCGCAGGAAGTTTGCTGTCGAAGAAGGCGACCACTTAACGTACCTCAACGTTTACCAGGCATTTGTCACCAAGGGGAAGAAGGACTCCAAGTGGTGTCGGGACAACCTCTTAAACTACCGATCGCTGCAGCGAGCTGTGAGCGTAAGGGGGCAGCTCAAGCGGTACCTGGAGCGCTTTGGGATCCAGGTCGACGAGACCCTTTCCGCTCGATCCAGACAAGACGACCCAAGCAATCTCCCGGAGCAAATTCGGAGGTGCCTTACCACGGGCTATTTTGCACACGCTGCAAAAATGCAGCCCGACGGGACGTTCAAGACCGTGAGCGGAGGCCTGACTCTCCATGCTCATCCAAGCTCCTTGATGTTTGTATGTTGGACATCAGATCCTGACCTGCTATGCGAAGTATCACTGCTGACTGGTATGTAGAATCGAAAAGCCGACTGGGTCATCTTCCATGAGATATTGCAGACCGGCGAGAAGACCTTCATCCGCGACGTGACCAAGATTGAGAAGAACTACCTTCTGGAATACGCCCCAAACTATTACCAAGTCCATTGATGCGACACTCTGTGGAGAGCGGAGTGTGAGATGGAGGCGATTGCGAACCTACAAGTAGTTCTCGATGATATGGACAAGCTACATCTGTACTATATTTAGCAGCGTTGCCCTTTAGAGTGATATCCTGATATCCTAGACTACGCATGTCTTCATTTGTAGTCACCGACGTAGAATTACCCATGCCAGCTATGCGAGCCGGTCAGAGTAGGACAGGGAAACTGCAGGCTCAAGGCACGCCAGAAGATATCAGTAGCGAAATGGCGAAAATGAGAGGACTCGGTTGTCGCTCTCCCACCATCGATGCATCCGAACCTCCCCAGAACCCTCCAGAACCACCACTCTGACTCCTGTTTGTTTCGCTACTGAGAATTCAAGGTCCTCACAACCTCGGGCAATTCACAATCTTTAAATTGTTCCTCAGTCAGGGATCCGACCACTTAAGCCCGCAATCTCCTCGGTTACAGGTCCAAGATGTCGGGTCATCATCATCACGATCACAGCGGACATTGCCACGGAGAAGATGGCCACGATCATTCCAACGACATCACCCCCGCACTCCAGTCTCTCCTGTACTCCCAAATCCAGTTTGATTCGATTACTACATTGAACGGTATACGAGAAGAACCCCCTCTGCTCAGCTTATTCAAAGGATGCTGACCGGAGCTGCAGAGGCAACTCCCAAGTCGGGCGCGGCGATTGTAAAAAAGACATGGTCTGAAAGGCTGAACGATGAGCCGGAGCTCGAAAGCGATGCAGATGAGCAGCTTCTGATGTATATCCCGTAAGTCATACCAGCTTTTCATCGCGGTGTGTCGTCGAGCGTCCAACGACGCTGTGGCGAAGGTTTTACCCCGCCAAATGCCCCTCATCAGCTTCGCGTCGCGATAACCCACCCAGCATTCTACCTCGTACAACGCGCCCACCCCTATATAACTAACCCATTTTGATACTTCAGGTTCACCGGCCAAGTTAACGTCCACTCCCTCCTCATCTACACCGCGCCTACATCATCCGCCCCCAAGACCCTGAAGCTGTTCAAGAACCGCGACGACCTGGACTTCTCAACGGCCTCGGAGCTAAAGCCCACGCAGAAGGTGGATGTCCCCCAGCCAGTGCCTGGAGCGGATGTCTTCGAGTTGCCATTGAATCGCGCGCATTGGAACGCGACCACTTCCATCACTTTGTTCTTCGAGGACAACTGGAGCGACGGGGAGGAAGACGTCACCAATGTTGGCTACATCGGCTTCAAGGGACAGTTTATGGCTTTGAATAGGGAACCCATCAGTTTCCTCTACGAGGCAGCTGCCAATCCGAATGACCATGTCGCTATCCAGGGTGTGAATGGTGTAGGCAGCAGAATATTGTGAGAGTGGTAGTCTCGTGGGATCGTTGTGTGGTTGGAGGTCATTGATTGTAGGCATCGCATGGTGGCTCGATGTTTGCCAAGAAGATCAAATGTCGGCGACGGTTGGGACTAACTAGCCAGAGCTGCAACTCTCGCTTGGTTATGGAGCTGGACTCTACTGAGACAATGCGTGTGATTCCATGTTCAGCTGTCTAGTTACTAGCGTGCAAGTAGCAATGAATCTAACAACATTATACTTTGAAATCCCTAAAACCACCAACGCCATAAATGCTAAGGACTGCAAATGAAATAGGGCCCCGAAGGGGGGCCGTCGTATATATGTCAGTCTCAAGCAGCGATCGCGACTCGCTCCTCGACCGTGGCGTCTGCTTCTTCCGCGACGTGCTCGTCTTCCTTGATCCCCTCGCCCTCTGCCTGCTCCGGGAATGTCGAGCTGGGTGCATTCGGCAGGACAACGGGACCCTGGACGGCCCGTTGCAACGCCTCCAGTTCGTCTTCAACCTCGTCCTCATCTTGACTGGACAAACGCCCAGCAAGCATCTCGCTGATTTCCTGTACCGCCACCACCTCGTCAGCACACCGAGTCTGCCAAACAATCCATCGCGCATTCTCACCTCTTGATAGGCTCTCGCCTCCTCCGTCTCACCCATCAGTTTCTCCACCCCTTCAAGACCGCCCATTTCTTTGTTGATGGTCTGCAGGACCTTGGTGCCCTGCTGTAAACCGAACAGAACATCCTTCTGCACGAGCGCAAACTCGATCTGTCCCGTGAGTTGTTCCAGCTGCTCGAGCTGTTTGTCGGTTTTATCCAGGAGCGACTCCTGGTACTTCTTGCGGCGCAGGGCGAGCAGGGCGCGCTTGCGGTCATTCCGGGCCAGACATTCTTTCGCGATTGCCGTTTCGCGGTCCGTCAGAACGGTGATCCGCTTCTGGTACTGATGGAGCTTGTCACGCTGGTTCTTGAGGTCGAGGATGGCCCTGAGGAGAGGAGTTGCAGTTAGTTGGGTGGGTTGACTGGTGAAGGACAGCGCCGATGAAGCCAGCGATCGGGCAGAGAGACGGGAATCACATACCGGTCCTGCGCGGAGATCTTATGAGTGCTGTTGGAATTCCCCATTGTCAGGGCATATTGGGTCTGTCTATCACGGAGCGTAGGGGGAGATCGAACCAGTCCGATGACGTGCGTCCGTATCAGCGCCGGTTCCCGTTATCGTAATTCCCGCCGCGGGCACCATTGCCCAATGGGGGCTTACACCGCTCGCGAAACTGCCGGTCTTTGGCTGCTCTCCGCCGGGGCTTCGATTCTCCGGGGCTCTAAAATTGTGGGAAGATCGTCTGCGCTCGTCGTTATCAATCAGCCAGAAATATATAATTACAGCCCTTGCTCTACACAAGATGCGCCGTGGGGGCAGGCCGACGCTGAGGCAGGGCCTCGACAAGGATGTAAGAGCAGCGCCATCGTCGCGCGGCCCCAGTCGGGGTTTTATAGACATAACATATATTTATTCGCTAACACCCACCGTTCACAGATCTACCAGATCGTGCGCAAAATCATAGATGATAATGCTGAGAATGACCAATTTCGTCTATCGGTCTCCGGGATCTACGACACCATCAAACGGTCCAATTCCAGTCTGAACAGGAAGCCCAAGAGGATCCTCGAGGACAGCATCGAGCGAGTGGTGGGAGTACTCGGCGAAGATGAGAACGACTCGATAGACGGTGACTTTGAAGGTCTGGAGGAACAACCCGCACCTCCGGTATGGAACCTGCGCTCTGCCTCGCGGAAGTCCCTCCTCGAGAGCGGTTGCACTCTGGCTGGCAATCGGTCGGTAACTGACGGGAGCAGGAGTCCAACAGCCTTAACAAGAGCCTGGTTGGCATGTGGAACACAGGCACCGCCGCCAAACCGTCAAAACAGAGCGAATCGAACACCGCCGAGACGACAGTACCGGCATCTACCTCCACCTCCACGAAGAAGCGACACCACGGCGGCGAATCCCAGTCCTCCAAGCGGCGCAAGGCCGAGGCCGCAGTCGACCGTTCCCCTCCTACTCATGTCAGTCTGGCCGATCTGGGTGGTCTGGACGATGTGGTCCAGGAACTTGGAGACCTCGTCATCCTGCCCATGACTCGCCCGCAAGTCTACATGTCGTCCAATGTCCAACCGCCCCGGGGTGTCCTGCTCCATGGCCCGCCAGGTTGCGGTAAAACCATGATTGCGAATGCATTCGCAGCCGAGCTGGGCGTCCCCTTCATCTCCATATCCGCTCCGTCGGTCATCTCCGGCATGTCGGGAGAGTCCGAGAAGGCCCTCCGCGAGTACTTCGAAGAGGCTAAGAGGATCGCACCCTGCCTCATCTTCATCGACGAAATCGACGCCATCACCCCCAAGCGTGAAAGCGCCCAACGAGAGATGGAAAAGAGAATCGTCGCCCAACTTCTGACCTGCATGGATGACCTGGCCCTCGAAAAGACGGACGGTAAGCCCGTCATCGTCCTCGCCGCCACCAACCGACCCGACAGCCTCGACGCAGCTCTGCGTCGCGGTGGCCGATTCGACAAGGAAATCAACATGACTGTGCCCTCCGAGCCCGTCCGCGAGCAGATCCTGCGCGCCCTGACCCGCAAGCTGCGTCTCGCCGACGACCTTGACTTCAAAACCCTCGCCAAGCGAACCCCCGGCTTCGTCGGCGCCGATCTCAACGACCTCGTCGCAACCGCCGGCTCCGCCGCCATCAAGCGATACCTCGAGCTCCTCAAGGCCAACAGCGGCGAGGAAATGGAAATCGAAGGCCAGGACGACATCAGCCCCAAAGTCAAGGAACTGCGCCAGCTCATCGCCCACGCCAAGGAAACGCCCATCGGCGACGAAACGCAAACGGTGCTGGTCTCCAACGGCGACTTCTTCACGGCCCTCCCCAAGATCCAACCCTCCTCCAAGCGTGAAGGCTTCGCCACCATCCCCGACACCACCTGGGCCGACATCGGTGCCCTCGGCGGCATCCGCGACGAGTTATCCACCGCCATCGTCGAGCCCATCAAGCACCCCGAGGTGTACGCCAACGTGGGCATCACCGCCCCCACCGGCGTCCTCCTCTGGGGTCCCCCCGGTTGCGGTAAAACCCTCCTGGCCAAAGCCGTGGCCAACGAGTCCCGCGCCAACTTCATCAGCGTCAAGGGTCCCGAGCTCCTCAACAAGTTCGTCGGTGAATCCGAACGCGCCGTCCGCCAGGTCTTCGTCCGCGCCCGCTCCTCCGTCCCCTGCGTCATCTTCTTCGATGAACTCGACGCCCTCGTCCCCCGCCGCGACGACACCCTCTCCGAGGCCTCCGCCCGCGTCGTCAACACCCTCCTCACCGAACTCGACGGCCTCGGCAGCAGTCGCCAGGGCATCTACGTCATCGCCGCCACCAACCGCCCCGATATCATCGATCCCGCCATGCTCCGTCCCGGCCGTCTCGAAACCCTCCTCTTCGTCAACCTCCCCAGTCCCCTCGAGCGCGTCGAGATCCTCCAAACCATCGTCCGGAACCTCCCCATCGAATTCAACGAGGACCTGCGCCGTCTGGCCGAGGAATGCGAGGGCTTCAGTGGTGCCGATCTGGGCAGCTTGCTCCGTCGTGCCGGTTACTCGGCTATCAAGCGACGTGATACCATCAAGTTCGAGGACTTTGTGGCCGCGAAGGCGTTTATTAGACCCAGTGTGACGGATCTGAAGAAGTATGAGAAGTTGCGTCGGGATTGGAGCGGGGGGGTGGTGTAAATAGATTACCACATCTTTTTCGTACTTCTTTGTTGTTTATGGCAGGTTTTTCTTGTGTATAGATATAGGGTGTTTGTTCAAAAGCTTTGGGTAGAGTGATAGATGATGATTTGTTTCTTTTGGGGGCTGATTAATGATATGATACATTCATGTGGATGGGAACGGGGCTTCTTTAAACATATGGTCAAATGACTAGTGTAGACTGTGGTAGGTTTGGGATCTACTGGGATGTGAAGTTGAGAATGAACTTTTGTATGGATGGATATCAGAAACTCTAACAGATGCACACCAAAACGCCTCCCATGTAGATGGACCAGGATACAAGGACGGCTGTGAGAACAGGGACGACGGATTCATATACGCTTGCAAGTCGACGGTGTAATTTACATCCATAACCGGCAGGTTCCGTCGGCGCCGGCACTGACACACCAGGCTTCGCGCGGGTGCCAGTCCAGGTCCAACACGCCCAGCTCGCCGGTGATCTTGTGGCCCTTGAGGACCTTGAGGGGGACGATGCTGGCGTTGCTGAGCATGTCACCCGTGACGCTGCCGTGGAAGATCTGGAGAGAGCCATCGTCACTGGCGTCCGCGAACAGAGGGTAGCGGCCGCTGGGGTGGAACTTGACCGCACGGATAGCCTTGCGGTGGTAACGAAGGGTCTTGTAGGGGCGCTGGGAAAGCTCCAGATCGTGCCACAACAGACGACGGTCGTAGGATCCAACAATGAGGTTGTCGCCACCCGAGGCGGTGGAGGACGTCGGGTGGATGTCGAAGGAAGAGATCCAGCGGGCACCGGGCTGGACGATCTTGACGAGGAGTTGGCGCGAGAGATCGTAGGCACGAACGGTGCGTTGGTTGGCGACGAAGAGGATGGGCTTGGAGGGGTGGAAGTGCGCAGTCTGAGGCGGGCCACCTCCCTTGATACGCCGGCTGAAGGGGTACTGGGTCAAGTGCTTGGACACGGTGTGGATCGCAATGGCCATGGAAGCCGGGGTAGAAGAGCCCGGGCAGACCGTGACAAAGTAGTCACCGCGGCGATGCCACGAGATAGACTTGGCCACATAGCGAAGGGGAATGACGGCGCACACGCCGGAGTCGGCGAGGGCAGACGACGGCCGCGCCCACTGGGGAGGAGTGGTCTTCTTCTCTTCCGAGGCCTTGGGGGCAGGTTTCGAGGCGGCGTATCCCCAGCCGGCATCCATGAGTTCCAAGCTGGCTTGCTCAAGCTCGGGGTCGAGAATCGGGGGCACGATGAGGAAGAGATCATCACCCGCAGCGGCAGCCAGGACGACAGCGTCCTTGCCAGGCCTCCAGCGGACGACGTTCACAGGATCCTCGTCACTGACCTTGACGCTATACAACTGGCGACCAGTGAGCAATTCCCACACGCGAACCGTACCGTCGTCGCCACCAGTCGCAAGCCACACGCCAGTGGGATCAACATTAAGAGAACGAACACGGCCCTTGTGTCCCCGGAACACCGTCGCGCAGACAGACGGGAACGGCTTCAGTTCCTCGGGGCTAGGCAGCTTGGGAAGGAGACTCTCAGGGTCGATGTTCAGCTTGCTCCGGCGAACTCTAGGGGCCAAGTAAAGATCCAAGCAACGTTCGAACTTCTCCTTGACAAATTCGCCGTAACCAGGAACCTTGCGGAGAGAGCCAAAGTCGGTAGGAAGATACTCTTGCTCCCGGTCCTCTGGGTCGGCTTCCTCCCAAGTCTTCCGCTCCTTGTTGCTGGGCAGATATTCCGGAGGCGGGTGGTAACTCTCCTCGTAGCCGGGGGGAGGGAGTTTGGGGGCAGGAATGTGCATGGGGTGATCAGGCCGCTCGGCCTCGTCGGCCCACAGGTCAAAGCTGACAAGATCGAGGCTCTCCTCCTTCTCCTCCGACGGGGGCTTGTAAGGCAGAATGCGACCTTCCCGGATCGCCTTCACGATCTTCATGACCCGCTTGGCTTCGTGCTTGGACGGAACGAATCGACGCTTGGGTTCCGGGGCAGCACTGAGGGGCATGATTTCCTGCTTGTTACTGAACCATTCCATCAAGGGCTCGTACGGGTCGTAGCCCTCCGCGGGGATTTCGTTCATCTGCACCTTGCGCAACAGTTCGAGTTCATCCTGGCTCAGCTCCAGAGGCTTTCCGGTCGAGGGATCGGTCAGACCGGTGAAACCCTTGGGGATCTCAATGCTGTCCAGCAAGGCATCCAGGGCCTCGCCCTTGGCGGGACGCAGGATCTTCTTTCCATTGATATCGTAGCCAATATGGGGATACTTATCGTAGAAAGTCAACGGGATGTTACCGATTGTGTTGGCGTTCTCGTCGATGTCAGAGTAGTCGGAATTGTCGTCCGGGTTAATCTCGTCGTAGATATAACGATCGTTGCCATTGGCATCCTTTTCGATACGGAAGTTCACTTCTGCCTCCTCCTCGCTCGAGCTTTCGTCGTTCGTAGGTACTTCCAGGTCGGCGACGGGTTTGCCGGCCTTCTTCTTCAAAGGCTCCTCTCCATCCGAGGGAATCTCGTCGCTGTCTAGTTCCTCCTCCTCATCCTCGTCCTCGTCATCACTGAAGTCGTCAATCAATTCGATTTCCGAGTCCTCCTCGTCACTCGACAGCTCGTTGGCGTTGTCGGAAAGCGCGCCGTTGATGTCGCCGACGTTCAATTCGTCTCCGGAGAAGACACCTGCCTCCTCCTCGACATCTCTGGTAACAGCCTTGCGCTTCTTCGAAAGCTTGGAGGCATTCATGGCGGCGTAGCTTTTCCTGACGAGAAGCACCTCTGGAAGAACTCGAAGCTGGACTTTTTCGACTTTTTTTTTGCTGCGGCCGAGATTTGCGGGCATCCCGACCGCCCACGTGACACACCGCCTTTCTTATCGATTCCCCTCTCCGGCCTCAGGCAGGCAACTTATCGATCTCCGAATAGTTGCTTGCTTCATTTCCATCCCCTCTTGGCCTCCCTCACGTCTGATCAATGCACGCCTGGTGCTGAGCCCCCCCGAGTTCTGCATCATGATGCATCAGCAGCTTTATCCGGAGCACGGCCAGTCCCACCCGGTATTCGGAAACAATGCGCCAAATAGCGATGCCGCAACCGCCATGGCACGGTCGGTGAAGAGGCATGCGGCGTGTGACGAGTGTAGTATGTCTTACCTCGGTGGACTCGATGCTGGTGGGCGCTAACCGTGGTCTTCTATGCTACTAGGAAACCGCAAGCTGAAATGCTCGGGGGAGCTAACCGGCTGCACTCGCTGCATCAAACAAGGTCTCCTTTGCCACTATTCAGTACAGAAACAGATGGGACGCCCCCCAAAGAAACGGCTGCGAGAGGATGACGATCTACCTTCTTTTGGCCTGCCATGCAATGGGCCCTGGACCAGCGACTCAGACTTGACCTCCCTCGGATCATCAGCCTTTGGAACAACCGAAAACACGCCGTCGAACTCTACATCCCAGACCAGTCCTCATATCTTCTTCGCGGATGGGAACGACAACCATGCGGGGCAGTTCTTCCTCAATAAGCCCATAGACACAATCCCTACGACAGCTAGCCTATGGCCAGACTTTTCCAATGTATCGTCTTCATCCGCCAACCTATTCACACCACCGCCCGACTTGTCCCAGATGCAGTTCCCTCCTACCTCCTCCCCGGACTCGGATTCGTCCGACCGCCAATGCCCCTGTCTATCCTGTCTATATCTTTGTCTCAGCCACCTTTCATCCCTTGCGCCGTTTCCAGTCTCCCATCATACCCTATGTTCCTTATACATTGGGGCTAGAACTGCCCAGGCAGTCATCCGCTGTCAAATATGTCCAATGCGCTTCACGACAGGCATGCAGAACGTCACCTTTACGGGGACCTTGTTGACTGTCATTGCCGATACCTGGCTAAAGGTTGCCAAAGCCAATGCTATGGACCTTGGCCGACAGGCGACACCGCCTGCCTACGCAGCGGTAATAGATGGCTCATCGGATCCCATGAAAGGCTGGAAGGACTGGCTGCGGCAAACCGTGCGACACGGTGTTATAGGTGGACCATATGACCAGGCCGGTATTCCCACATGCGCAGAAACCGCCAGTCTTCTGTCTCTCATTGAAGAAATGGAAGCACGTCAACGACGATGGCATCGATCACACCCGCTGCCAGTGGAAGAACGCCATCTCCCCGTGCCCGAACTAGGCTCTTCATCCGAGGAGGAATCGTGCCACGAGCGGGACGCCCTCTGTATGCGCATTATTCGAAGTGCGCGCGATGTCATCGCCAAGTTTAATTTCGAGCCATCTGATTATCCGGACACTCCAGAATCTACGTAGACTCGATGGCACGTCACAGGTTCGAAAATATAATGGGGACCCGGCGTTGATGGTAATTTACGTTCCATGGCTATGCTCTCGGAGGCATGTTCATCAGACCTCTTTTTTTGCTCTGGGTCAATTGGCGACCCTCATCTCACGATTCATGACGATCATACTCATACCTCTGAACGTTTGCGTTTCCATACCCTTGTGATATTAGCATTCCCTCTCACAATCAAGGCTGATCTACCTGCACCATATGTACATCTTCGCAGAATCGCCCGGTTAAATATTTCTGCAGTAGAGTCCTGATATCAAAGTATAACATTGGATGTGGGGTCGACCATTCATGCGCCGATAATGACTCCCAGAATTGATGGTACAGTTACATGTCATTAGCATAGGAAGGCAAGATTTTATAGGACTGCGAAGGGAATCCACTGGGGTAGAGGCAATCACTCTTCGTCGTCATCGTCCACGATATAGCGGTTCTTCTTCCGGGTAGGAGGAGTGCCCCTCTCGACCTCGGGCGAGGCTCGTTTCTGTCGGGGTCTTGCAGGCGGGAGGTCTTCTTCCTCGCCTTCGGCATCCATATCGTCATCCTCCAGAACATCCTCTTCATCGTCATCATCGACGATCTCCGGTTCTTCGTCACTGCCAACCAGGAAACCGTCATCTTCGTCATACTCATCCTCCCGAGTCCGTCCGCGGCGGTCATACTCTTCTTCGTCATCCGTGTAGATCTCACCCCGGCGGTTGGGTTTGCGAGGCTTCTTCGCACGAGTCGTCAGTAGGCCGTCGTCATCTTCCAATCCGCCCACAGTGAGGCCAGCACCTCCGGTGCGATGGGGGAACCCGTGGCGACGACCGCGATCCAGCTCGCGGTCTTGAAGCTGCTGGCGGCGACGAGCGGCCTTCAATTTCTCCCGTTCCGCCATCTCTGCTTGCCGTTTGGCAAGTTCGGGATCTTCCTTCACTTCAATAACAGGTGCCGATCCGTCCAGCGTTTTCTTGGCTCCGCGGGTGGCCGCAGCAAGCGACTCCTGCAGACGCTGCACTGCATCATCGGTTTCCATGGTCGTCGGGTAAACCGTGAGTCCATGAGTGAGGTGGGAGGTGAGTCGGAACACCGAGGAGGCTTCTGCGGCTGCGCCGAGGTACACGTGCGAATCTAGTTTGGTATCGTACTCGCCGGACTTGCTGAGTGGTGCCAATGGCTTGGTCGAGATACGGTACTGCTCTTTCGGCGCGGATGCTAGCTGCAGAGTCATGGAACCATCCTCCCAGCGGATAATTCGGGCATTTGACTGCAGGAGCGATTCGTCCTCGGGATCATGGCGCCAGCAGAGAGACGTGGCCGCTGTCGCAAACGGAGGCGCAACATAGGTCTCCGGGTTGAACTCTTCTGTTTCGACGGACAGAAAATGGGGGACTGGCATCGTGTACACCTAGAATGGCAGCAGTGAGCTATGGAAATGTTCACTTGGTAGATGCTTGAAACATACCTCACCGTTGGAGGTCACTGGCTCCGGTGCCCGGCTCAAGCTCAAGTCCATGATATTCACCGTCTCTTCATAGTCTGCTCCCCCTTCGTAGTCCATGGGCTCTCCCACCCGATCGTTGCGATCCACGTCATCTCCCGAATCGAGTTCCTCGTCGTCCAGTGTCCGTTGGGGTCGACTATGGAAAGGTCAGTGGATGCCGTCGTCCGAGAAGGGTCAGAGAGCCATACTCGTCATCATCGCCAAACCCTCCATCGGAGGCGTCCGAGCCAAACAGGTCCGCATCGTCGTAACCGTTCACGTTGCCCGCATCTGAGCCAACAGGGCTTTGACTGCGCGCTGGGACCTCGCTGCGTTCGCTTCCAGATGGGCTCCCTGGCTGAGCGGCACCTGTGCCACGCCCAGGACGACGGACGACGTCCTCATCCGACGACGACATTTGTTTGATGTGAAGGTGCGAGAAATTCAGCCGATGAAGATGGTTGCTGCTAGGGACAGCTTTGGAGCGAGACCGGAGATTGTCGTCGACACAACCTCCCGGGGTAAAAAATGGACTGATGCGGGGAGGTAAGAGGAGTAACACCAGCCGCAGGGAAGGTAAACCAGGGGAGTATCAAATTGTGGGCTGGGTGAGCATAGGACGCCGCGCGACCACTCTGGATCGCGAATAATGTCTTGGAGGGAGAGCGAGAGAGACACTCGGCCGGGCAGCAGGATGATCCCCTCCGGGCCTGAAGCGGACTAGGGCCAGCGGGCAGCTCCACGGGCCAGACCGAAAGAGCGAAGCCGAAACGCCCAGAGGAAATCAGGCCCAGATCGGGGTTGACTGCCTTAGTAACTCGGACTATCCCCAAAGTCATTCATCCTCATTCCTCAATAATCCCCTCGCCTTGCCCTTTTTCTCCCCTTTGAACACGCCCCCCTCTTTCCCCCCTCACTCCTCCGGGACTTTCACTTTTCCTCCCCCCAATTCCCTTGTCGCCAGATTAGTCAGTCTTCCGCGCACGTGTGTGTTCATTCATCATGGCGACTTTCTTTCAGAGTGTGTATGTGGTTCCCCCCCCCCCCCCCCTCCTCCTCCTCCCTCCTCCTCTTCCCCTAACTATGCATCTTCCTGCCTGCTCCTTCACTCTTGCAGCTCGGCACCAGTGGGCTGCTGCTGCTGCTGCATGCCTGGGAGCACAAAGAATGGTGCCCCTGAATTTGTGGCCATAATCACCGTGCTGTCCTTTGTTTCAGCACTTCACCTCCTGGCGCTCTCCTTTTCGCCTCTCCCCCCACATCTCCGTTTGGACCAGCTTGAACTGACTTGCGACTCGATCCCTTTTCCAGCCGCCAAGGGTTTGGCAGAGGCAACAACAACAAGAACAACAACAATAATAATAACAACAGCAACAACGCGAAGATGAACAATGGAAGTCCGGCCCCGTCGCCGACGCCGCAGATCCCCACGGCCGGCCATGTGCCCAACTCTCCGTCGCTCACCTCGAGTCTCTCGGTGGACACCTCTTCCACGTACGACCCCGATGCTCCCAAGTACTTCTTCCAGGAGAAATACGCTCCCCTCAATGTCAAGGGCAACTTCTTGACCTTGTGTGCCTGTCCCAAGAACGTGGAGCTGGGCGAATGGCTGGCCCATCAGAGTAAGCCGACTTGCAGCCTCCTCCACTCGGAGACCCCCAGGTGCTGATTCTTTGCTCCATGCAGTTGTCGAACAATATCGCTTGCTCCACGGTATGCTCCAGGTGATTCAGGAGGTCAATAGCCTTAATGGATTACCGATCTGTAACGAGAACACCTGCCCCACCATGTCGGCCGGCCGGTAAGTCGATCGCTCTCTCTTCCTCTCCCTCCGCTCTTGATATCCGGCAATCCTTCTAACGTCTGTGTCACTCTTTAGTCTGACATACACCTGGCTGGTGGATGGTCGTGCCGCCAAGATCTCGGCCCCCAAGTTTATCAACCGTGTCGAGAAATGGATCGTCAGCAAGATCCACGACCCGGTCATGTTCCCCACGGAAAAGGTGACGGGCATGCCGGATACCTTTGCGCTGAATGAAGCAGGAGGCCCCAGCGCCACCTCCGGGGAGGAATGGATCGGCAAGTCCAGTGGCTTCCCGCAGACATTCTACAAGGACTGCCAGGGCATCATGAAGCAGATGTTCCGCTGCTACGCTCACTTGTACCATGCGCACTGGCTGAACCCTTTCTGGCACATCAACAAGCATGACATTCTCAACATGTGCTTCGTCCACTTCGTCACGGTGGCCAAGTACTACAAGCTCGTCTCCGACAAGGAGATGGAGCCGATGCAACCACTCATTGACCTGTTCATCAAGCAGCAGCGGATCCCGCCCGAGGCCTTGTCAGGAGGCCACTGGGGCCAGCAGCAAGCCTCTAGCTGAGCTGGAGCACAACTGACTATATCCTCCTTTCACCAGCAAGAAGTTGTCTGACCTGGCGTTAGAACTCACCACCGGATTAGGCGGTCATACTCGAATCTATGATGGCCGTTTCTTGGTGTCTTGCCTTTTTCAAGGAGCCCGCGGATTATATGACACAGAGTTGGCGTTAAGCATTTAGCATGCGGTGTGAATCTCTTCTTTCTGTTACTCTTGCATATCCTGTGGCAACCCCGACCGACTACGCGATTATTGTAGCCTAGATTAACATGGTGTATCATGGCTGGACGAGAGGTGGTTGAGTTTTCTGGAACTAGCCGGGCGTGGAGAGGGCCCCGTTCAGCCAAACTGAGATTATGAACAATACAGCACAAAGTCCTGTCCCATAGAGTAGATCATGGTGATCGCTCGGGAGGGCCAGTTTCGACTAGCATGCCTGGCATAATGCTTAAAAAAATACCACCAGCGGCGCGACACGCCTGAACCGGATCCAGTAGGTAGAAGTTGACTGCGAATGCAGACTGGGCGGAGAGCAGCATAACACCACCTTGGCAGCAGGTCGACTGGTAGCACAACAGATCAGCGTTCCGTCGCTCGCGCAGAACAGCAGTAGGCGATGCTGCGTAAGTCCCACGGGACCCTGCCTGTCTCGACGTTCCAAAGCCAAGGCTAACAAGAATCCGCTTCAAAGGTAGACCCCCTCTTCATCTTGGCCGGCCTGGGCATCCCCGGAATTCTCCGCCGATGCGGGGTTGGACGAATCCTGCTGCGCCGTAGCCGCTGGTCTTTGCGCCGCTCCATTAACAGGCGGGGAGGGTAACGATGTTGGATCTCCGTTCTGTTCCTCTTTCTCTTTCTCGTCCAGCTCGATCCACTGCTGCCCACGATTCTCGACCTCCGCCTTGAGCAGATCGATTCGCTCCGTCATAGAGACGGCGACGCCTTCATTCTCGACAATATAGCTTTCTAGTTCTTGCTTGTCGGCGTCGGACTCGCAGGACTCGGTGATGAAGGTTCGCAGCTCCTGGTTGGAACGGTGCAAGTGCGCAATCGAGTTGCGGATCTCGGAGACCTTGGCGTAGAGGACGGGGAGAGGGAGCTCCTTGATGGCCTCGGCGAAGGCGGCGGGGGCGATGGGGAGAGATTCGCCGGACATGGCGGGCTTGGGGGGGGATGAAAGATTGGTGGGTTGGTGAGTTAGCGGAGATGTGGGATGAATGGCGTTCGAATGATGATGGCATCTTCGAGGGTCGCGGCTTATCGGCGCAAGCACGGCGTATCTCCACGTGACGGCCCTCCACGTGCCTGAGGCTATGGTCGACTTGGTTCCTGGATGCTGGCCTGAATGAAGAATCATGGCCCTCGTGTGGCAGCGACCGAGTCCGAATCAATTATCCGTCGATATCTCAACCTTTCGAGGATTGAATCCTCCGAAGCAGCGCCAGGACTTCATCGGCCTCTGGGGAACAATTACAACTACCGGAGCAAGTCTCGGCAGGCGGAGAAAATCCCGGAGGTCCTCCGCCGTCCGGTGCTTTGTATCGCAACTTGATTCTCCGTCATTGCCAGGGTAGCAGGGTTCCCCAACCCCCCCGTTGCAGGAGATGAGCAATGCGTTCGGCGTAGCCTGGCGCATTCCTTGCCCGGGGCTTCAAGCCTCGCGCTGGCTTTCCCCCGTCACTCCATCACCGCTGCGCTCCGCCCCGCGTCTCTCCGCACCTCCTGCTCTCCCATGGCGTCTGGATAGCATCTCCAGGTGCTTGCTGGGCTCCTGGTCAAGCCCGCTGCCTTTTGCGCCTCGCTCTGCCAGACCTACCCCCGCCCCCCTTTCGACCTCCGTCCGCTCATTCCACAGCTCCAGTTCCCTTTGCTCCAGTCAAGCACCCCCAGTGGAACATGGCGTCAATCCTCGCTCTCAACCTTTCTCCGCCGCTGAACTCAAAACCATCTTTGGAGCCAGGTCCAAGATCCCCCCGGCGATGGGGAACCGGCTCTTGGCCGTTCTACAAGGCCGGCGTCTCCAAGGCACCCTCGATCTAAACCTCCCCGCCGATATCGTCCGCTCCATACACCCACGCAGTATCGAGGCAGCGCTGAATTACCTCCGCACGAAGTATCCGGTGGATGAGGATGCTGCAATTATGGCCCGGCTCGATCGCGAGATGGATGAAGAGGAAGCGATGGACATGGATCGGTATCAGCCGCAGAGTGGTTCTTACGGGGCCGAGCTGGGCCAGTCCAATGATCCGTCCGGCCGGAGTGTCCTGGAAGAGTACCGCGAGAAGAACGAGGCACGGCTCTTGGCCGAGCAGGAAAGGAAACGACAGGAATGGCTGCAAGGGGGGCAGTACCACGACGAGCGGTTCAGGCGCTCGTTGGAGACCAATAGTCTGGCCCTCCAGAATGTGGACGAAAAGACTGCCATGGAAATTGCCCCGAAAGGTGAGAGATAGCGAGCCCCCAATCTGCCGCGGGCTTGTGCTGATCGACTGGATACGTGCAGATCGGCAACTTGCGGACCCCCAGCAGCGCCCTGCTCTCGCATGGGTCCAGAGAAACTACTTGGCTGCTCAGGACCTGGACTTGGATATCAAGACGCTCACCATGGTGAGTTCTCCGGCCTCTGGTGGAGTGCGTTGGGCTAACAGCATCCTGGATAGAGTCGCCGGCTTCTGCCCTCGCTTGCATTTGTGTTCCTGACCCTGGGTCTTTGCTATGCCTTCGCCCAGTACTATGAGCCTCCCGCGAACGCTGATCGGATGTGGCCCAATATTCCTCGATCCGCCGCAACGACCATGGCCATCATAGGCATCAATGTCGGGATCTTTGCTCTGTGGTGGTTCCCCCCAGCCTGGAGACTCTTCAACCGCTATCTAATCAACGTCGTCGCCAACCCTAACCCCCCCTTGAGACTCGTCGGCAGCATTTTCAGCCATCAGTCCCCCATGCATTTGTTCTTGAACATGCTGTGTCTCGGGTTACTCGCGCCCCGTTGTGAGTATGCCCCAAACTAGTCGATCATGTTCTCCCCGGGCTCCACACTGACTAGCATCCTCCTCACGCAGTCCACGATGAAATCGGCCGAGGCGAATTCCTTTCTCTCTTCATCGCCTCGGGCGTGGTCGGCTCTTTCACAACCGTGGCCATCCACTGCCTCCGAGCCCAATGGACCGTCACCAGTCTTGGTGCCAGTGGAGCCGTCTCCGGCCTCGTCGCGGCGTACTGCACGCTTCACGCAAAGTACGAAACCCCCCTCCCTCGCGGTCGACTTCATCCTGTACCCGGCTCACTAACCGTCGAATAGTGATACCCTTCACGCCTCCTTCCTCCCCGATGGGTGGAAGGATGCGCTCTCTGTCCCCGGATGGGCCATTGTCACCACGTTGGTCTCGCTCGAAATCCTGTCTCTGGCCCTGCGACGCCGACTCCGCAGCCCACCCGCACTCGACCATTGGGGGCACATGGGCGGATACTTGACGGGCCTTGCCTGGGCCTTATACCGGAAGAAGGGAGAGGATGGCCAGAGAACTCCCGGACAGACGAATCATTGGTTCTTGTGGAAGTCCTTGAAGAATTGAACCATCGCCTCATGCTTGGGACCGGGGCCGAGTATGGCTTGACTGGGCTGGCTCTGTATTTTTAGTTTCCACCCCCCGGAAGCATATATTGTATAGATATCTTCTCTCCCTTCCACTACGTATCCATGAATCCCAATAGGGCGACCGTATGACATCACAGGCCTAATTCCCATCCGGGACTCATGTGTTGCTGTCGGTAGACAAGGCAGCGTCGAGCACGCCAGTGAATGCCACCTCGCTCACGCCTCCGGGTGTTACGATGAGCCCTCCTTGGCCCCCCACCCTCTGTTCCTTTCGCCAGGATCTCAGATCCTTTCATTTATCTTCGCTGCCTGCTCTTCAGTCTTCTCCTCTTCGGCGGTCTTGCTTCCAATTCAGATTCTCGATATCTGACTCTGCGTTGCTCCTGCGGACACCCTCATCCCTTAATATCCTGCAGACCACCTTTGGATTTTATCATTCGTGACTGCGGTCGTGACTGTCGGACAACCGGTGCTCGCATACTTCGATCCCTTTGCTTATCTGGGTCGACATGCCAGCTACCCTCCTTGTTGACCCTGAGGCTGAGCCCGTCTCCCTCATCTTAAAATTGGTGAAGAGCTGCAAAGGATCCGAATTCGATCAACAGGAGCTCGAGCCCGACAGTCCTGCTTCATATCTCAGTGAGTTTGACCCGACCCTCTCCGATGATACGGCCTTGGATCATAGCGCGAGTCTGGCCCGGGCAGACGTGGTAGAACCGACCAGGCATGATGTTGAAGATCTCGAAACGGCGTCTGCAGCATCCGGCGATTCTCACGGAACATCTATCGATGAAATCTCAGATGCCGGTCCAGATGTCGACGAATGCCGAGATGTCGAGCCTGCAGCTTATGTCCTGACCTGGTTTGGATTGAACAAGATCGACTACCACTTGTATCTCGCCCATAACGAGAGAGGCATGGATGATCACATGAGACGCAACAGCATGCTCCTGTTTGATGGTGAGGAATGCCGTCCTTGTCTTTACGATCAGCTATCGGACCCCCGAACGTATTACCCAAACGGTATCGGCCAAGATGGGGATCCCATCATGCTGTTCAACTGCTTGCCGGTTATTAGAAACCCGGCTTCTCCCACCATGGAGGCTTATATCTTGGGCTTCGATTTCGACACCGGGAATCTGTTCGTCCGCCAGTTCGGCTGGTTCCCGGAGTACCTTGACGATGTCTGGTGCGTGTGGAATGAGGGCTTCAACCGGTACGAGGTGCAAATCAAGGCCTTGCGTGATATTCTCAGAGAGTGCATCGACGACTGTCAGCTGGATCCGGGCGTGGGCATCCTGAGCAAGGGCAAGTATGTCGCAGGTAGCTGGGAGGTTGCAGAAGCCAGCGAGGATCCTGGCATGGAGCTTGTCATTGTCATCGGCTTCTGTCAGTGGATCCTGGATATGGCAGAGCCACTGATACGGCGGTATGTGTCCGGGACCGAGAATCTCATTCAGGACTTCCACCGGTACGAGAAAGAGTGCCGTGGAATCCTGGCGTGCGCCTCCGCCAGGTTCTGGGAGCGCGTCCGGAAGGGCTACACTGAAGAGCAGGAAAAATGCGAGAAAATCAAGAACCGGTACATTGACCGACTGATGGCTCTCCGCATGCCTACGAACGATGACTTGAAAGAGGACAAGGGGCGTGCACCCGGCCTGGACACTGCCAACCGACTGCGGCGGCAATATGAAGGGCGACGAAAGGAGTGTCGCGAGCAGAGCCTGCAGGATGTCTTTATCAGGCCTAAGAAAGGCACCATCCCTGTGTCTCCCGGGGCCACGTTCAGAGAAATCGTCGAAAGGTCGAAATTAGCACTGACTTCGAGCATGCTGCCTTCTCCTAGAACCCCACGGACGGCTTCGCCTCTCCCAGATGGAGCTCAACCGCAAAATGGCTGGATTGCTACGTCTCCGGGAATTCTTTCCTCATCGGTGGAAGACAACAACTTCCTTGAGGCTTCTGAATACCTCGAAGACCCGGTGCCGGTGCTCCTACGGCGGATGTCAGACCTGTGGCAGGCACATCCAGAGCTCGACAATTTCAGCATTCGTGGACAATTGGGGACGATTTTGACAGAAATGAAACATAGTATGGTGTAACGCGCCCTGGACGAAGCTATGGCTTCACTATCGATGACTCATGAGAACGACAAGTTAAGTCTCGTACCTGTTGAACAGGCACGCCTTCCTAGCTTCAACTTTGATTGCTGGGGCTAAATTGGCTGGTTGGCTCTTACAGCATACGTTGGAAGCGATGAAACCTACATTCTCCTCCACAACCTTTCTGGGTGTGGGGGTTTGGGATCTGTTTGAAACGATCTGGTGAACTATCCTGGTGTATTGTTGGAGTCGGGTTACCTTTCTTTACATGGCAGGAGCCGTGTCTGGTTACCTGCCGCTTAATCTCTTTTGTTCGCTCTTGATCAGGGATTTGCTGCACGGTGCCATTGGGGTAGGAGCTTGGCCTCTTGATCTCTTGACGGGTGTATGAGTCTTGGGTCAGCAAACACAGGCTTTGAGAAAACTTGGGCTATCCGAGGAAGACCTAAAAGCAAAGGGGAAGGGAAAAGATAAAAGATGAAGACGGGGGAAGGGGTTCTTGAAGAGACAAGGTCGATAATGTGGAATGCAGGGGAACGAGCAATGGTATGTATCTAGTAACAATCTTAACTATCTGATGTCCAATCTTAGTCAGTGGCCCAAAGATCACATGATATTACTTCCATGATCAACTCAGGAACCATGGCTGGTGATAGTCCCGGTGAGTAGTACGACTATATCACGTGGATGAACACATCCAGTTGCCTCCTGTGGAAGGTAGTACGGAGGAGTAGTAGTACGACATGGTTACTCCATCCATCCATCCATCCATCCATCCATTCATCCGTGTTTACTCGATCAGTACTGCATCTACCATTCTACATACAAAGACAGATCCACCAGCATCCATCGAGCGAGTCACAACATGCCAACGGGGATGACAATGCATTCAGCATCATCATAATCCTCATCTCTGATGAACCACGTCGGATGATTGCAATCCACCGCCAAGCCCACCCGTCAGCCAGTCAGCCACAGGACGCTGCACCGCCTCCCACCAATCGGGGCTAGCCGCAATGCTCGTGTGGCTGCCTGTGGCTCGGCTGTGGAGCTGAAGCCATGGATGCCCCCACTGGGCCTTCCGGCCATCGGTTATTGGCCAAGGCTGGGAGTTCAAGCGCCCCGTTATCTCTGGGCATCATCAGCCGGCCCGGCTCCTGTCCAATGAAGAGGCGGCTCATGAGATGAGCCAAGGGAAAGAGGGATGGGCGGGTGTCCTCGGGTCAACTGAGAATCTGGAATCCTGGCCTACTTATGGTCCTATGGAGTACGTCCTTATAATACCTACCAATACGAATACTGAATACTACTGACCCCCTGAGGGCTGCTGCCAAGATCGCTAAGTTGTCGGAGAATTGGAGCCATCATTAGAAATTGCTGTGTGGAGGGCCCCCATGATTGGATGGGTGGGCGCTGACTTACTTGAGGAACTACTAGTAAGAGCATTTTGATTTTGATTTTGGTGAGGTACCTGAGGGCACTAGCCGTCACTAGTCATCGCCCGTGTATGTACCTCGAGCGCGACAAGGACTCTTAGTATCTACATGCATGCAGGCCCAGCCTGGTCATTTCCACCTTTCTGGTCGTTCATCACACACATTCTCTCTCTCTCTCTCTTTCTTCTCCCGCTCAGCCCTGCAGCCCTACTCCTCCCCTCCCTCTGGACGTGGTCCGATCTTCCGTTCTCCGTGCGACCGTCGCTTGACCCTGTTTGTCCCTATCGTTGGAGCCTGCCATAGTCTCGTCTCGCTCCATCCCTCTCTCTAGGTGCACCTCCAAGCCGTCTTTCCTTTCGCGGTTGCTCCTCCTGTTATAATCATTGGCTGTATCCCGTCGCTCCTTCCCAACAACTCCCTCCTTCCTTCCCTTGCCGGTCTCCCTGCCTGGTTCTTCGTTGTGGCTGTTGTTTGATACCCTTTGCACCTGTCTCTATTTCCTGTGCTTTTCAACTGTCGACATCTCTTCCCCATTTTCTTATCTGGTTTTGTTATGTTTGTATGATTTTCCCCTTTATTCTGAATAATCTCCGTATTCCCTTCCTGCTCCGGTAAATTGGTGGTTGCACCTCCTCTTAATTCCCTGCCATTGCGGCTGCCCGTGACCTCATCTCTCATCTCTCACCTCTCGTCTCTCACCTCTCCCTCTCTCCAGCATGGTTCATTTTGGTAAGTCGCACCTCTGTTTTTGCACTTTGCACCCCCCCCCTCCCCTCCCGTCTCTTCCTCCCTCAACCCGACATCCCCTCGGCTCCATTACGGACGTTATCTACTTGGGAATTTGTGACTGACTCCTCTAGAAAATGCACCGGCTGCGGTCACAAACGGCCAGGCGTCCAACCTCAATGCGCGGGTGGACGTGATCTGCGGCCCTCTCATCAATTTCAAGAACATGGATGTGAACCCAACCTCCTCCATCTGGCGGGGAAGCGTCTTGATCGTTACTCAACCTGGACAGAGCCAGCCACGGCTGCTGCTGCGCCAGGCCGGTCCTGTCGAAGGTCATGTCGCCGCAAATGGGGCCCGTTCTGGCGACGCGGCTGTCGCCGTTGACGGTGTTCGTTTATACGAAGATCCCCAGAAAGCCTTCTGGCGTTTCTCCCTCGCTCTCCCCCTCGAGAGGTATGAAGCGCGCTGGGAATACTCCATTCCCGGGCTTCAATATGCGGAGGGCAGCGAGGTCCACTCGCCGTGGGACTTTGTCGTGCCTTCCGTGAACCAATCCATGCGCCTCATGTTCCACTCCTGCAACGGCTTTTCCGTCGGCACCGACATGAACGCATGGGTTGGACCTAATCTGTGGAAGGACGTTTTGCGAGTACATGCGCAGAAACCCTTCCATGCCATGATCGGTGGCGGTGATCAACTTTACAACGACGGCATCCGAGTGGACGGACCGCTAAAGGAGTGGACTTCCATCTCCAATCCTCACACAAGGCGCGCGCATGATTTTGACAACAACCTGCGCGCTCGCTGTGACGAATACTACTACGCTAATTATATCCGCTGGTACTCGACCGACCCATTCAAGGCAGCAAACGGCCGGATTCCCCAGATCAATATCTGGGACGATCATGATATCATCGATGGCTTTGGTTCCTACACCGACCACTTCATGCGCTGCTCCGTGTTCCGGGGCCTTGGCGGCGTGGCCTTCAAGTACTACTGCCTCTTCCAGCATCACATTGCGCCCCCAAAGTCGACCTACACCACAGATGCTCCCCAGACAATGCAGGCCGTCAACGGAACCGCAGGCGCAGATCCGCGCCAGCTGGAGAACACGTTTGTCCTGGAGGAACAAAAGGAAGACGATAGCTGGATCATCGGTAAGCGCCCTGGGCCCTATGTGGAAGAGAGGAGCAGGAACCTCTACATGCGTCTCGGCAAGCGGATGGCCTTCATCGGCGTTGATGCTCGTACCGAGCGTACCCGTCACCAGGTGAACTATCCAGACACATACGACCTTATCTTCTCTCGGCTGCAGAGCGAAGTGGCCGCGGCAAACGGGGATATCAAACACCTGATTGTGCTCCTGGGTGTTCCAATCGCCTATCCCCGCCTGGCGTGGCTCGAGAACATCCTCAGCTCTCCCATCATCGCCCCCATCCGCCTGCTCAACAAACGGTTTGGTTTCGCCGGTGGGTTGTTCAACCAGTTTGACGGCCAGGTGGATCTGTTGGACGACCTGGACGACCACTACACAGCTCGCCAGCACAAGAAGGAACGGCGGATCTTCATCCAGCGTCTCCAGGACTTTTCCAAGACCCATTCGGTGCGCGTGACGATCCTAGGTGGAGACGTGCACCTGGCCGCCATCGGGCGGTTCTATTCGAATCCCAGCCTTCGCATTCACAGCGAGCACGACCCGCGATACATGGTCAACGTCATTAGCAGTGCGATCACCAACAAGCCGCCGCCGAAGGCCGTCGCAAACCTCCTCGCGCGGCGAAACAAGCTCCATCACATGGACTCATCTACCGATGAGACACTGATGGACTTCTTCGACCGCCAGCCAGGTGGGCAGGAGAAGAGTGCTGCCTGGAACAAGGTGACCATGCCGTCGCGAAACTATGCCTGTATCACCGAGATCGGCCTGCCCATGTCCAACGGCAACGCCTCCGCGGCGCAGGAGGATCCTGCGGCATTCCCCCTTCCCATGGACGGACACTCCCCACTCCACAAAGGCGAGGCGAATGCCGGCTCGAGCCATCCGGCCGCCGATGGATTCAGCAGCAGCAGTGGCATGCCAGGAGGCTTGGACGTGACCATCCGGGTGGAAATCAACCCCCAAGATCGAGAGGCGGCGACTGATGGCTATGCATTCAGCAGTAAGTTCTTTACATCTCTCCTGGATGCTCGTTCACTAAACTCCGGCGCAGTTCCTGCTTTGGCTTATGTGCCTTCGGAAGCCGATTCTCGCCCCCATTCACGCGCCCGTTCCCTCCGGCCTCGGTCCCTTCGTCCTCCCTCTCGTCAGTCGGCGCGTCCTCACAGCGCGGTCCCGTAATTGACGGCAACGGGATGCATTGGTTGTATTGATAGAGCTCATAGTAATCTTCTTGGCATGGTCCAAAATCTAGGAGAGACTCAGCCAGTCTGGTTAGTTTGGATCTGCGGGCATAGTTTCGTGGATGTGTAGGATATTTCCATGATGTGCGTGTTATATACAATCTGTTATCTGGATTCCCTACTGCAATTATCCCTTTCATCATCTCATTTCTTCGTCTCCTAGCTTGCAAATCATGTTGATTGGCTCAGTTGGCGCTTGTCAAGCTTGACGTGATGGTTTGCCTTGCTTCCTCTTACTGCTTTCGTTGTCTCTCCTGTATGCATTGTTGCAGGATCTTATCGGGCCGCAAACACGATCATCCTACGCCACTTGAGATCGAGCTTTCAACGGATCAAGGCGTGTCTCGACTCTCGGCCGCCATAGCCCGTTCCGGCCCTTATCTAGCATGAAGCATGATGCAAGGGCGCTCACCCAGCGTGCAGGGACACGATGCCCGATCGCCACTAATGGCCTCGTATACTATTGTCTGTTGTGTCACATCGCCAATGTCACCTCCCATTCGGGCCTGCAAGGGTGTGTGACCGAATACGGGCATGGAACCCAGGGGCAACAGGCCTGGGCATGTATATCCCGCAGACGAATGCCACTCTCTTCGGGTCTTGCCCCGTCCCCGCTTCGGTTGGGTCTTTTCTCATCAACACTTGCTACCCGGGGCCGATTTTTCCCATGGACACGGTCGTGAATGACGGGCTGGCGGCGCCTCGCACCACCACGCCGGCCAAGGTCACACAGGCATCCCAACCGGGGGACGTACACGAGCTGGAAGGACTCGAGGCTTTGGGATACAAGCCGGAGCTGCGTCGCAACCGCTCGGTCATCACTCTCCTGTTCCAGACGCTGGCCATTGCCGCGATCCCCTTTGGGGAAGGGGGCCCTCTGCTCAGCGCCATCTACGGCGGAGGCCCATTGTCCATCTTTGTCGGCTGGCTCGTGGTTGGCGTCTTATGCGAGTGCATCGCCCTCTCGCTGGCCGAGCTGGTGTCCCGCTATCCCACCTCGGCCGGGCCCTATTACTGGTCTTTCCAAATCGCCGGCAGCTCCAAAGCCGCCGTGTCCTTTGTCACCGGCTGGGTCTGGGTGGTGGGCAACTGGACCATCACCCTGTCCGTCAATTTCGGGTTCGCGTCCATGGTCTCGGCCTCGATCTCCATGTTCCATCCCGGCTGGACGATCGCGGACTGGCAGCTGCTGCTGATCTTCTACGCCATCTGCCTGGGCGCCTTCTGCATCTGCACGTTCGCTAACCGATACCTCCCCCAGGTGGATATTGTCTGCGCCACCTGGACGCTGCTGACGATCCTGGTCATCCTCATCGCCCTCTCCGTCAAGGCCGGCGCGGGCCGGCACAGTGCTGCCTACGCCTTGGGCCACTACGACTCGAGCTTCTCGGGCTGGTCGGGCTTCACCTTCTTTATCGGACTTCTCCCGGCTGCCTACACCTTCTCGGCCGTGGGCATGATTTCGTCCATGGCGGAGGAATGCAGCAAGCCGGCCGTGAAGGTTCCACAGGCGATCAGTCTCTGTGTCCCCGTGGGCGGCATCGCTGGTCTATTTTTCATCCTCCCCATCTGCTTCACCCTTCCCCCCATGGCGGATATCGTCCAGGCCCCCGTTGGCCAGGCGCTTCCATACATTTTCCATGTGGTGATGGGCAGCCCCGGCGGCGGCCTTGCCCTCACCATCCTCGTACTGATGATCACTTTCTTCGCCAGCATCAGTATTACCGTCGCCGCCTCACGAGCCACCTGGGCGATTGCTCGAGATGATGCCATTCCTCTCTCACGACTATGGTCGCGCGTTCACCCAGGCCTCGGCGTACCCGTCTGGTCGTTGGCCTTTGGGACCGTCATCCAGATGCTCCTCGGACTCATCAACCTCGGCAGCAGCAGCGCCTTCACAGCCTTTGTCTCCGTCGGTGTCATCGCCCTGGCGGCCTCCTACGCAATCCCCATTTCCTTGAGTCTTCTGAACGGCCGCCGCGAGGTATCCCGTGCGCCATGGACCTGTGGCCCCATCCTCGGGCCGATCGTCAATATCATCGCCTTATGCTGGATCGCTTTCGAGCTGGTTCTTTTCAGCATGCCAACCTCATTACCAGTCGATCGGGTCTCTATGAACTACGGCTCTGTTGTCTTCGTCGGGTTCATGGTCATCTCGGCGTTCTGGTACGCTGTGTATGCGCGGAAATGTACGTCTATCGCATCCCTCACAAAGGCTTTGGCATCTCTGATTGCTAACCCCGTTGCAGCCTTCAAGGGTCCGCCGGAGGCCATTGAGCTCTCGTGACATGTTGTGATATATACGACCGTTCGTGGCTTCCAGATCTGCCCAGTTGTAGGGAATTGATGTGTGTTGGTCCGCACCAGACCAAGTGCTAGTGCTGTGAGTATCTGCAGTCTAGACGATATAGGATTTTCTTATCTATACAGGCCATCATTCGAAGCGGAATGACGAACAAACATGATTGCTATCTAATGTACAGCTGTCCTGCCAACTCATTCGGGTTGCAAAAACAACGGACTACTTAAAAGTGACATTTAGGAGATGAACACCCTATTACCAAGCTCATGATTCGCTCAAGCAAGGAACATGTTATACTTCCCTGCCTAGTATTACGTATCGTAGTGAACTATCCGACTCGGAAGATAAATTTGGGGTTTCTTTTCTCGTGTATTCACATGATGCAAGATTCTCTACCTCTCTTGCTCAAGCTGCAGTGGAAGCAAGCCTCCCAACCCCTCTTGATAGATCGCAGGCATTAAGGTATCTCACTCGCTGAGTAAAACCCTGTCATCAGATCAAGATAGCCATAACTCGCGTAGAGATGATTCGTGCCCGAGATTCTAGTATCTCGATCTGAAATTCAAAATCCTGCTCCCTCCTAGTTCATAGGATACTGACAAGTATGAAACCGATCAGGGAACTCAACCTTCTCAAGATCAACAACCACCACTTTATTATCCCCACGATCTTTACTCTCATCAGTAAACAAAAATCATCGAGATTCTGGTCTGGATATAAGGCCCCATACTTCGAAGACCCAGTAGAAACTTCCTCTTGCTAAGCTTCTAATGACTCCACCCAAATCTCGTAGTTACTGTGTGCTAGATCATTACAGTAATCTTAATCAATCTCCGATAGAATAAGTGCAGATATGCCTACCAGATCATTCTGGTTCTAAAAGTATAGAATCACGTTTCCTTGAAATCTCTTGAATATTTTATTGATTGTAGGGCCGCTAAGGCAGAAAGGAAGAGAGAGGGAGAGAGTACGTTGATAGTAAGATCAGAGCAATAAGCTCATTCGACAGGTGATCTGTCAGGTACAAGGGGGAGGGGAAAATAGTAACCTAGATAGTCGGTAGTTCCCCGTGCTGGGTACTACCTATCTAGTAGCTTGAGCAAGTGGCTTAAATTAGACTTCTACCCCAGAGGGCCTGTAGTGCTTGTTGATTGGTTGGTAGCTCATTCGTTCATTCATTCGTTCCTTCATTCATCTAGTGTTGAGAGCCAGATCATGTACGGAGTATATGATGCTTCTGCAGCTATGTTCACTAGTTGGATCCATACTGGGTTAATGAAGACGGACTAGTTCATTGATACACACGTCTTGGTTATATTAGATCGCAGGGATATACCTCAGGTGGGCAGGTGGCGCATAGTCCTGTATGACATTTATGAGAGTATGAGAACCGTTGACTATAATGGATACATAATGGGAACTGCGGAGAGGGAGTACTAAGGGGCAGGGGTTTCCCTGTTTGGTGATGTGATAATCCAAGCTATATATGCTTACCTAGGCATCATGAAGAGAGAAAGAGAAAGGAGAAGCCTGCGCACGAACATAAATGATTCAATAATTGGAATCATCTTGACAGTCTAAACTGCCCGAGAAGTTCATCGCATCTCTGGCGTAGTCAATGCTGTATCCTCGGCGTCGACGCGGGAGTCCCTCGTTGGGTACGCGACGCGGCGTGGTGGATGCGTTCTCTGCGGGTCGGCGGCGGCGGACAATCTGGTAGCTCTTGTCAAGCTCGATCTCAATGACGCAGCGCACTTTTAGCGCGCTCACGGCGGGCCAGACGCCCCGTTCCCCTTTCAGGGACCAGTGGGCAAGACTGTCTTTGTTTGGGTTCTGGAAGAGTTTGGTGAAATCCATCAAGGAGAGATCAGGCACGAGGGTGAGATTGGGTCCGGGGATGGTCTCCTCAATGAGGAGCCGTGCGAGAGTGGTCGGGAGTAGACCAAGGTAATCCAGCTGTCGGAGACGGTGGCGGATCTCCGCTATGATGAGACGCATCAGAGTCTGCGTGATGTTCCACTGGCCGGTTGGGCGCCGGTCTAGCAGGTTCAAGTCCGACCGCAGGAACGGGACCAGGTATGGTCGCGCCTGCGATACAATGAAATGATTGACGTTGAATAGCTCGGCAATCCGGGCCAGTGGTGATTCCCCGTCGTTGTAGTGGACGTGACGCCAGGATTGAAAGGTTGCGTCCCGAGAATGCGGCCAAGGCACAATTGAACCGGTTTCATCTTTGCAGTATATCGTGACTGGCTGGTAGAACGAGGTGTTGGAGGCGTTGGAAGCTACAGCGGCAGACCAGATTAACTACGGGCCTTGTTAGTCCACGAGTGATGAGGGCGTGCATCGTCACGTACCACATTCGGGGCAGTCAGGTAGTTCAACAGATTCGGGCTCGCATTCTTGTTCGATGTAGCAACCGTGATATTCAGGATGCGCTTGGACCGGGCATAAGCTTCTTCAAATGTCAGGTCGCCAAGATTGGCGCGCACGCATTCCTCTAAGACCTCCGCATCGAAGAAATAACCCTTCTGGATGAACCGCTTTATCCGTCGGAATAGAGTCCCCAGCCAACTGTCTTCGAGATCAGACGGCAGCCACCAACTGTCTTCGCCAGGCGTCTTCATCCTCCGCCGACGATCGAAGGCGCTCAAATCGATCCCGTCGCTGTCGAGGAACGTGAGCAGTTCATCCTCGGTATGAACGCCCACCAGGGCCGCGATGAGTGCCCCAGTCGCTGTTCCGGTGATTATCCTTGGCAGGAGACCACGCAAATGGAGGGCCTTTACCACTCCGAGATGACACAGTCCAAAGATGGACCCGCCTTGTAGAAGTAGGGTCGTTCTGCCGAACGCCTGCCGGGTATCGTGCAGAAGTTCGAGCTTTGCTTGCGAGGTGAAACCACTGTCGTGGATCGGGGCAGTCTGAAGGGCCGTGACTTGCTGAATGGAGAGCGCGACTTGCGTGATATAGTCATCGATGAGAAGTTTGGTGCCGGCATAGGCGTGCAGAAACATATTGGGAGAGGTGATGTTGCCTAGATTGCGAAGTAACCCGGACCGCAGGAGGTTAACTAGATTCAAGATATCCTCTTCCGCTCGAGCGTTCATGAGAGACTCCAATCTACCTGCAATTAGCCGGTAGTCGTAATGCCGGCTAGTATGATTCTGACGCCTGCACCGGATGGTCAGAAATAAGGGCGAGGGTTCGACGCAGGGTCTTGGGCGAGCTTACCATAGGTCCATGCTGAGGAGCTCATCCAGTTCGAAAGCAGCTTCTTCCCATTCCTCAAAGGTGCGTGCTGTAGCCAGAGCATGCTGCAGTCGCTTCTGGGGAGACTTGGATCTCCACCAGGAGAGTAATCGCTGAACGACAGGCAGCATTAGCTACCAATCCAGCTACTGGCCGCATGGAACAACGTACTTCTTTCCAGAACAACGCCACGTCGAGCATCATGCTAAGCACCGCGGCGAATAGTCCGCAAAGGGTCCCCCAAGTCTCCATGGCGACGGAGGAAAAACCGGGCTTTTTCTAGATGGGTGGGTTCAAGGAGAGCGTTGGCACATGGCGAGGGGCAGAGCCATTCACATGCTCGCCGGAGTCAGAAGGCCGTGGACAGCAGGCAAGCCACCAGCGCACCCAGGGAAGATTGTCTCAAGTTATATCGGGGTTGGATGAACAAGGAGAAGGGTTAGACAATACATCGAGGAGCCGGGAGAGGGAGAGAGACAGCGAGGGGGAAGGACGAGACGGAGCGATGATGGCAGATGGCAGATGGACGATGGACGATGGGTGATGACATGATCGCGACGGCGGTTCCCCGCAAAATCTCCCCGAACAGGCACAGGAACTGCATGGGATGAATGCGACCGATTCCCTACACTACATCTCTGACGAAGCAGTTCAAGACGGACAAGAGGATATTGGATTGCTCGAGAAAATATAGCCGACCGTTATTCTTTTTGTCTACACACCACGATCTCCCGGCGGAGGAAAAAAAAGTCATCCCGACCCGTGGACACGTAAAGGGGCATTTGAATTCCATGATTTTGGTTTTAAATTCCGCGTTGCTTCCCTATGCAAGTAGGCGAAAAAGAGATTCTCCAGACATCCTTCACTACCCACCAAGGCGGACAACCGCCGTTTACTCCTCGACAATGTTACCCCGCTCCGACACGTACAGACCGTCAAGGAACTATTCAGCGCAACCCGCGTCAGCACCGGTCGCACTAGCAGGGGAGACCACAGGGTTCTTCTTACCTTACGGATATCCTTGTTGCGGACTCTGCAGATCTGCTGGATGTCGGCAGCACTCTGGGAGACACCCTCCAGGGAGTTACCGGAGAGCTGGAGCTCATCCTTGACGTTGGGGGAGGTGATGACCTCAACGCCAGGCTGGGCGGTCACACGGCGGACGTACTTCTCACCCAAGAAGTTTCTGTTCAGACGCAATACCCATCAGTAAAAGTCTTCTCCCTCAGAGCATTGACCCGACACCACAGGTCAAGAAGCCCAGGTCCGAGCAGGGATGATCCCCGTTCCAACCCGCTTCAAGCCCCAGCTTCCGATCCGTACAGATGGGTGAGTTCGGCATACCTGATCTCAACGTCGTAAAGGCCGGTCTCGGAGTTCTTCTCAATGTTCACGTTGATGGGAAAGTGAGCGTAGACGTAGCGCATCTTGTACTTGAAGCCCTTGGTGACACCGATGATCAGGTTGTTGATGAGGGTACGGACGGTACGAAGGGAAGCGATTCCCTTGCGGACACCGTGGTGCATCTCAATGGAGATGACATTCTTCTCGGGGCGGCCGAAGGTAACAGCGATGTGGGAGAGGTCCTTGACGAGCTTGCCTGAACAGTAGGGAAAACACCCATGTTAGTGTCGCTGGATACGAGGGAACCCGGCACATTGCCTAAGCGATGGGCGCCATGATGTTCGTAGTAACGAATTGGTCGAATTCGTTCGAACTGTGAGGGTGTTCAATGGTGAAAATTTTGCATACCTCGGGGTCCCTCAACGGTCACAATGCGCGAGCGAATGTGAACCTTCACTGTATGAGGAAATTCGAATTAGTCCAGAGTCCTCGTCGTATCACCAAAGCTGAATCGCAGTCAAATTTCGCTGGGACAGGCATCAGAAGCATCTCTCTTCCCAGCGATCGCCAGCTGAGGCGGGCGCATCGCTCGGTCCAATCCCTACATCCCCATGTCCTCGATGCGTGCCTGTCCCTCCATCCAAATCCCCTCGATCTCCAAACCAGCGAACAAAGCGACGACGCTCGGGGAAAATCGAATGCTCACCATTCTCGGGGATGGGCAGCCGTTCCTCGGAGTAAATGTACCGCATCTTGACTGCGTGGGCTGTGGTGTGTCCGAGGGGGAATTGTCGATATCGTCGAGCGGTCGGTCGTCGAAAGGATCGAAATTCGACAAGGCAAACCGCAGTCGAGGAGTGGTGGAGCGAAAATCACGGGTTGTGCGTCGCTTACGGTCCAATCCGGTTTAGCCCCGTCTGCCTAGGGTTGCCCATTTTGGGTATAGCCTCGACCCGGCTTGGGAGGCTTTCGCCCATGGTTTGCATGATAATAATTGTTGTATAATGATAAAGCGTGATGCTAATCTAACACTCGTCATCGTTCTCTTCGGGTCTTTTCTTTTCTTTTCTTTTTTCTTGTGGCTCACTAGTTGCGTGCCGTGGAGAGTTGTCCTCCGTTGTTCCTTCCCCCCCCCGGCTGGCAGCATACCCAAGTACTATACGGAGTACTTCTCTTCCTATCTCCATACACAACTATCACTCTCTTCGCAGCATCGCGGCAGGAATATCCCATCCTAGAAATCACATGCATGATTAGATATTATACTACGTACTAGATCACCCGGTCAAACCAACTATGTACTGAGAAAGCACAATCCAACCACACCGAATCCCATCTTCCATGTAATCCCAATTGCTCCGAGCCAACTCCCCCCATTAGAGATCAGACCAGCCCTCGATGCCAATAACAGAAACCACGGTTCCGATGGCCAGAATGATGGCCGGAAAACCAGATTCCCCTTCCGAATGTCCCAGTCACTCCGGCCATAGACATCCAGGTGTCTATCTATAGTGGCTTCATTCTTTGCGACGGACCTCCTGGACCCACTTGCCCCCCAAGCTTTTCAATGTTGACGCCAATTCGTCCTTCTGGTCGAGGGCTGTCACATCATCCCCTCCTCCAATGCTCTTCCCATTCACCAACACGTTCGGGACCGTGTGACGCCCGGTATTCTCCCCCAGCAACGTCTGCAGTGGTCGGCCCAGCTCATGCTGGTCCAGTTCCACGACGAAAGGCGCAGGGACAATGGAGTATTTCTCTAAGAGGATGGACTTCGCTCGGGCGCTGTGCGGGCAGTAGGACTTCGAAAAGATAATAACTAGATGCGGAGGCACACGGTCAGCAAGTGTCCCCATGAGGTGAGTAGTCCCAAACACGTAAGGGATGATGGGCGTCGTACTTGGTGCCCGTTTCAGTATCCCATTCAGTTCCGCCACCGCGGTCGCGTGATCATCTCTCTCAGGCTCTTGGACTTGAGGCTGTTCCGACGTCTCTTTCTCCAGATCATTTCGGTTTTTGGGTATCGTCATCTTCGTGCGACCCGCAATCGGGATCTCCTCCATTTCTTCCGCGTCATTGGCCTTGGGAATGGCTGGTTCTTCCCGGTCGTTGTTCATTACCGGCTTCATCTCTTCCTCAATCGGCTTCGGACGGGTCTGTTCTTTTTGTGCGGGGATATTTGCTGCGGTCCCAGCTTCCTTGGCCTGCTTTCGAGCTTCCATTGCTGCGACGGTTGACCGATAGAATTGTTGATTTTGGACACTCCGTGCTTCGCTCTAAAAAAAAGTCATGCACTGCATCAGCTATCGTATGCGCATAGAAAGTCGAGCCAGGGGAGAATATACCGAATAGTAAAAGGCCATGAGGATCATCACCAGCACGGCGATGGCCAGAAGCTTAATGCGCCGCTGCGAAAGCATCTTCGACAGGGGACACGTTTATCGATGACAAGGACGCAATACAAGAGTATTTTCACCGGATACTCTCACAGAGCTGTGAAAACGATCACACTCGGTCGATCGGTTTGCGAGTCAATCAGGGTGTTCAAGAGTAGGCTGGTTGAGCCGACAGGTCATAGGTGCAGCTCCAATACCAAGAATGGCTGGACATTGGGCGAGCAGGCAACCTACAACCGCTGTACAAAGCCGGGTATATATAAGACGATCCGGGCGAGTCCTTCAGGGCAGGGTTCCAAAACCCAAGGCAAGAATGAATGTCAATGACCAAGTAATGGGCCGGGATGGAGGGAACTCGTCGAACTCCTAGAAGAGTACTTGGTAAGGAGTGGGGGGAGCGAGGGTCGGGCGGAACCAACGACAGGCCCGCACCATCTCCGTACTACTACATAGTATTAGTACTAGAATGCTTCGTAGCCCCGACCAACAGCAAGGGATCTCGACTGACGGTATCCACTTATACAAGCCTACCACCGATGGTTGACTCGGAATAAATTCCCAGACTAGATCAACTCGCGAGCGTCGATTATGCATTAAATTATCGAGTATCTATATATGCTATGATCGGGGTATGTAGCTGTAAATGGATGGTATCATGATCAAAAGAAAAACAACAAGGCATCAAGTCTTGGTAATGGCATGCAGGGACATGTAAACGCAGTCCGCTCACAGCTGCGATTTAGGGGAGGGGAAGATGCCTTGCTAGAGGGAAGAGCTGCAGTGAAGGACCGCAGAACCTGCAGCGGTACAACTGAGCAATCCCCGTAGCGTTTAAAGCTGCTCCCAGGGAGATCCATCCAATGACTTGGGATCTCTTTCCCCTCCATCTTCCTTTATCCTTCTCTTCGGTTCTTGGAGAGCGTCCGGGCGGGCAACACCAGCCATTCACTGCATCTTCATCATGATGCTTGAACCGCGATGCCTGAGCGTGTTCCCACGGTTGCTCTGCGCTTGCCCTGCACCACTATCATCCAATCTTCCCACTCCTTGGCAATCTCCATTAACACATTGCCCATTACCGCTGCAGAAGCCATCAGCCCATGGCCCTCCCCTTCCAGGACTCGGACCTCACAACGCCGCATCGTTTGGCCCAGCCATCGGACATTGTCAACAGGGACACGGGTGTCTCGACTTCCGTGGTGAATCACAACGTTCCGAGTGATATCCATGTATCGAAATCCAATAGGCTGGCGGCGCTCGAGGCAAACCAGCAAATCCACCGCCGGGTTCGCATTTGTAGTAGCCAGCTCCCAGATCTTATGGGTGAGTCGATTGTCGTAATCGGTCTGGCGTTCGCGTTCTTGGGATGAGGCAAGCAAGATCTCACTCTTCGTGGGCTCACTCTTCTGATAACTCTCCCCGACAGAGATATCCGGTGCCTTCAGGCCCTCAATGGCTTTGAAGTCCGCCCCTTGCTGATAGACCTTGGACGGAAGTCGTTGCGTGCCCTTGGCTTCAAGACCAGTGGGGCTGGAGCTGTCCTTCAGCATCGCTTTTCGTTTGGCCCGTCGAGGAGACTTGGGTAGACTCGAGGTAAGGCTCGCACTGGTCGCGCTCATGAAGCTCGAATTGGCCACCTTGAGAATAGACGTTGGGAGTGCTCGAAGTATCCGTTGAGAGTATGGAACGGCATTAGTGGGGACGGGAGCCTTTTGTGATCCAATGCTAGAGAGCTGAGAAGGCGGAATCCACGGAGCCAACAAATGAATGCGGCCCCGGATATGCTGTGGGATCCTTAATGCAGTGGCCAGTGCGTATATTGCTCCCGCAGAGTGCGCCATAATCGAGAATTTGGTCACTTTCAGGTGGTTGCATACAATCGCAACATCGTCTGCATTACCGTCAGTGGACCTATGAACGAATGCGAAACAGTATCTCGGGCATAATGGTACTCACCAGGCCAACTGAGAGGAGTCCCCGACTCATCCACATATGGCCCGCTCTCACCCACGCCAGGACGATCCAATGTGATAAGCCGAAGGCGCAGGGACCGTGCCAATTCATCGTAGAACGCCATCAGATACCTCGTTAGGCCCATGCCAAGACAACATAGTACCACATAGCCCTTAGGGTCCCCAACTTCCGAAAACGCAATAGTACGGCCGGACGTGGGATGAAACACTCTCTGAGTAAGCTTTGGAGACGATATGTAGTCATAAACAGCGAGGTCAAGAGAATCGGAACTTGAGGGGCGTTCCTCTCCAGTCGGAATACCAACAGGAGCAGCCGTATCAGATGGGGAGCGCCTGTGAGATAGAGCAGGGGTTGGCTGCTCCAAAGGCCCACTGTAGCGAGCGAGAGGATCTGGTCTGTCCAAAGACTGCGGCAAAGCATTGATTGACTTCGAGGCCAGCGGAGGGCCGTTGCGAGTTATAGAGCGGCTCTTGCCCGTCATCACTGCTGGGGCCGGCGCGCTCTCGTCGAATCCGCCATCTCCCTGGCGGGCCTGTCTATGCCCAATAGATTCGCTGTTGTCACTGGTCTGTTGCGGCTGCCGAATAGGTGCGACGGGTGCGGCCTTAGAATGCTTGTCTGGGGTATCATCTATCTCTAGTTCGCTCTTGATCTTCTGCTGCTGATCTTTCAACTCTTGAATTCTTTTCGTTACCTGTTCGGCCTCGTTGCTCATGCCTGAAACTGCGCTGTCCATTTTCATCTCCCTGCTACTTGTTGAAGAGTACCGACTATGGTGGGTGGACCTGCGATGTTTTGGGCTGGAAGAGAAGCTATGCCGTAAGGATGACTCCCGAGCAGGAATAATTCGTCCACTGCCTATGCCACCGGGCGTACTCGGCGCACTGTCTCGGGCGTTTTGCAAGGAATGGCGTTCCTTACTGGGTGGTCTGCTAAATGCAGCTTCTCTGGTGGGCTCGGTGGCCGATCGTACTGGGCGTGTCTCTTCGGCGACGTCGGCCATAGAGCACAATGAGCGTATGCTGGCCCGACTGCGCGGTACGTTGTGTCTCAAACCGTCGTTAAAACTACTAGTTTTGCGCAGCCGATCAATCTGCCTATCCTTATCACCGCAGAACTCGCGGGACGGCCTCTTGAGGAGGCTAAATTGGTTTCTTAGGCTTTTTCTGGAGCCCGAGGATGCGACACTGTTAGCAGTCGAGACTCGAGGAGGCCCGGGTTCCGTTGTGATTGTACCGAATGCCGAGTCTTCATAGGCAGCCTTAGATGAAGTATATGAGCCCCTAGATGTTGGCCTTCCTGGCGATAAAGGGGGATCGAGAGCCGCTTTGGATTTGGGGGATGGAGGCGCCCGTGCCATGCGAATGACAGGAGGAGCAGCCGCATCATCCGGGTGCAAGAAGGGGGTCTGCAACGCCTCCTCAGACGCTTGGCGCGCCCTGTTGCTCACTCCATAATCATGTTCGCTAAGCTGACGTTGGTTGAGGCTGGAATGTTGACCTGAGGGTGTGAACACGGGCAAAGTGGCTGTCTCCGAACCAATGCGCGGAACGTTATCGAAATGAGTCTGGAGGGGCACCGAGATCGTTGAGAGCGATGAGATCAGAGAGGAGATGACTTCGGGAGAGGCCGGGTCGACCGTTGTCGAAGGGTCAGTGGAATGCGAGCGCGAAGGGGTGGACTTGTGATGCCGGGGGACCAGAGGGGAGGGTTGAAAAGGGGCATCAACCTTTGACGCCAGAGGATCCTCCACACGATCCATGGCAGCCATTGACAGGGAAGATGACGGTCCAAAAAAAGTTCACCCCGGCCAGAATCAGGAGACAGTCACCGACGATATATGCGGTCGAGCGTAGTGCGCGCTTGCATGATCCAGTGAGAACGCAAGATAGCGTCTACAAGCTCGGTAGCTTAACGGCAATAATCAATAGACTGCGGGCGCTTGACGCATATGCCAGTCAGAATGCAGGCTGGAAGATCCAGGGCGGCCCTATCAAAGCCCCTGCACTCTGCAAGTCAGCCCCCTTGCCGAATGTGGTTGTCTAGAGGCGAGACCTTAACGAAGAGGATGGGGTGGGAGGTGCCGATCCGAGGGGGGAGAGCGGGAGGGACTGAAGGCTGCGGGTTTGTATACAGCAAAACACGCGAAGAGAGAGAGAGGAATTGGTGGAAGGAGTGGATAAGGAAACTATCGCATTAATTCGTAAAAGGAAAAGGGGAAGCCCAGCGAAGGTAAAGACGGAAGTAGGATCGATCAAGGGAAGTACCAAAAAAAAGAAAAAGAGAGGAGGACGAGGGATGGAGGGGCAGGAGGACGGAAGGATGGGTGGAAGATCAATTATCAATTGAATTGATCCAAAGCCATTGAGATGAAGAAAGAAGTCTGAACCTTCATCGTGACCCCGGGTGCTCCTTCCACAACCAGCAGCTTCCTCTGCTTGTTTCCCTCACCTGATGCTTTGAAAGAAGATTAATTCACGGCTAAGAGAAATTCGAGGGCGATGCTGCACTGTCATTTGCCTGGCCGGGCCCCCGCCCGGTGTTAGTGTCCCTGCATGGCCTCCACTCCTCGATTCCAATTGAATGCGCCATTTCATCCTCCGCACCGTTCGCAGATCCAAATTTTAAGGGTGTAGCAGGTCTCTTGTTTACAGGGGCATATGGCTCCCTTCCATGGATCATTCCCTCCGTTCCAACAGGGTCGCGCTGTACATGAGATACCTACCTAGGAGGGATAGGACCCCTGGTCGGAATCAAGGGGGAATGGGAACAAAACTGATGCCAGAACGATACCGATGATGACAGTGAGTGTCCCACCAGGCTCACCCTGGCCTAGATAATCTAGATATGGTAACTGAGAGTTATTAACCCATGTATTCACTGCTTCGGTGTTACTAGCTTGTCCTTTGTCCACGGAAGCGACGAAATCGCCACGAACTGGATGGAGGCTTCCGTCGTCCAATTCCCCACCGGACCACAGGCTGGCTGAGATCGAAATGAGGGTCGATGGTTCTGGATCCGGGAACCTGGGACGGACTTTTCCGCCTCCCAGGTCCCAACATCATTCGTGGCTTGTGGTCCAAGCATAACTCCAACAATGATCGTCCAACCGTGGACGATATGCAAGGTCGTTAGATCCCATCATCTGGATCATGGATGGGCCTTGTGCATTCAGACTGCATGCTATGGCGTCATGGTGTGAGTGGCCAGGCAGAAAACTAAATATTAACGGTCCATCCAAGATCATGTCGTCTACCACGATGTACTGCGTACTTCGTACACAAGGCAATGACGGATAATGACTGGACTGGCGAGAACCACAGAATTCTGCGCGAGGTCAAGTGGATCCACTGCCACCCATGTCTCGCCTAAAGCAACTTGGGGGGAAACCATCCGGCTGTGCTCGACACGGGAGCCAAATGCACAGATACTGTAATGATCATGTCTCTGGAGTCTGGAGACTGCAGTTGTCAATCTCCTTTCAGTAAAACATGCACCATCTGGATTAGCATGAAATTGAACGGCGGGTTTCCTCCAACTCTGTGGGACTGGGCTCGAATCAGTATGGTTGAAAGCATTAGATTTGTCCTTACGTCCTTAATAAGTTTGCTGTTAAGCACCTGGTGACTTTGGTGGGCTCGATTATATATCTTGACTTCACTGTGGCAGGCCCAGGTACTAGTAGTGATGAGGTAACCATGCAAGTTCTGTGGCCTCAAAGAATCAGACAATCAGTCAAGCCGGCCAAGATCCACCATATCTTTGAGAAGGCACTCATCTTATCGTAGTGGAATGTTCTTGCGAGAAGAGGCATGGAATGGTTGAAGTTCCATGATGCCCGACAGACCCAGACAGGCTTGGCATGTTTCGGCGATGGTAACCGAAACGGACCATCAAATCGTCTCCAACTTGAGTGTTGATCCAGGTTGAAGTCCGCGACCGCAAAGAGCGAGAGAAACCCTTTCTTCACAGCGCTCCCGAAGCAGACCCGGCACCTCATACTTCGTCTTGCAAGCTATTCTCGGACTAGTCAACCCCCGTGGTGACCGTTGAACACCCCTCGATCCAGCCAGAGATGCGGTGACCGATACCAACGAAACAGCTTGTGTCCGCAATGGATGCCTACCCGGAAGATTATGTCGCCCACAACCTTCCATTTATCCTGCTCTCCGGTCTCGAGGCAAGCTCGGGCGATGATCTGCAACACGTGCGGGCCGACTATCCTCTCCTCCGGGAGAAAGGCGTGAAGATATACTCGGATTTCCCGCCGTTGAGCGGCTCAGTCGCGGAGGAATTGCGGCGTGTCCTTCTAGAGGAAGATGCTTCCCGTGTCCCATGGGACCCTAGAGATGGCGCATATGCAAACCCAACTAAATTCGAGTACAAGATCAAGAGTGTTGGACGGGTAGGTCGATGCACGTTGACTCCCAAAGCATTAACCCCTTCCCCGCTGCATCTTGACCCCGGGGACGAACAAATAGCCCACCCGAGCCCACAGACAAAGTGTGATATTCGTACGACGCGCTGGTTTCCTCTGCTAGACCCATTCGGATTTCATATTCTCTTTCACCTCCAGGCTCGTGCGCATCTCCACTGACAGCCCGTCTAGTCCTACAGTCTCCCCCCGCGCAAAGCTGATCCCCCACTCTTATCTACCCCGACTAGCCCAACGGCCGGACAAGACAACGACATATCGCGTGGAACGTCCTTTATTCTCCACTCTCCCATATCTCCATTGACACCCAGCTCGCCGACTTTTCCTGATGGTCTGCTTAGCCCTCTATGGGTCACGAAGCACCAGGACCTTGTTCCTGCGGCAGTCATCGACTTCTTCCCCTTTTGCTTCGACCCTAATATGAGCTCGCTGCGCGACAACCAACTCAAGATAGAAATAAATGGATTGAAAAAAGAATGGTCCGCCTCTGGCTACAAGACTCGGTTTATAGTTGTCCTCCTGTCGGAAGAAAGCACAGGCAACTATGTTGGGGATGCTGAGGACAGAATGGCAAGCATTCGGAGGGCAACCAATCTAGACCAGAAATCCATCTTTCTCCTTCCATCCGATGCAACTTCGGTGGAGTTGAAGGAATTCGCAACGTCCCTGTTGTCTCTTCTTCAGCCATCGGTGATGGAATACTACCGGGATCTGTCAAAGCACGCCAGGCGCAAACGAAACCGAGGCACCATTCCCCCGCCGACAGCACCTCCGACAAGTGGAACCTCCCAGACCTTATCGACACAGGGGTGGAATGTCCGATACGAATTCAAACTGGGGATCTTCGCGGAATTTCGCCAAGAGATAGATGCGGCCTTGAGAAACTACGAAAGCGCATACGAGACTCTATTCGGACAAGAGGTATTCGAATACATCGCTGGCTGGAACCCTAGATTCAATGATGCGCGACTTTTGGGCGACGCATTGGCCATACGCATCATCCGCTGTTTGCTATTGACGGGACAAACAACTCCCGCGGTGCGGTCTTGGACCAGTCATCGAAACCGTTCACAAGACATTATCAATCGTCGAGGCAAGGGCACCAAAAATTATGGCTGGGAAGCATGGGAGGCTAGATGGTCCATGGTAATGGCTCAACTAGTCCGTCAAGCCGGTATTCCCCACTTCACCTCGGTGGGTATCCCCCAGGATCAGTTTCAAGAGCAGTACTCAATCTTCGTCCCACGTGACAAGTCGATAGCGACTCCAGACGCGTACATTCCGTGGGAACAGCTTCACCACGAGGGATATTGGTTTTATCGATCTGCACAGCACACCAAATATCGTCGAATTTTGGCCGAGCAGATTCCAGAGGATGATCGATTATCTCCGGGGCAGTCTCCCGCTTCACAGATCGCAAATAAGTCTTATTTGTATGACACCTACTTGGTGCCCGAGCCGCATGTCGAAGCACCCCAGCCAGGAGCGAGCGGTTTCAATCACTCATTGCTAAGAATAAATACATTGAAAGCGGCACTCGAAGAGTTCACTAAGAGAGACCAAACTAGGAAAGCAGAGAGTCTTTCCTTGGAGATCGCAGAAGAACACATGCGTCTGGGTTCATGGTCGGAGGCTTATGAAATTCTTCGCCCTCTGTGGCCGACTCTGTCCTGGCGACGCTCGGGCTGGTGGCAGCTCATGGCACAATTTGGTTGGGCCTTACGGGAATGCGCCTTACGAGTACATGACAGTGATATAGTTCTGCGGGTTGACTGGGAATTGCTACATAAGGGTGAGGATTTCTTTGCGTCGAGTTGTCCTACATCTAACAAGTCATCCTCTATCAGTATTCCCACCACGACCTGAGTGGCCTTACGACCTTCACAACAGCCTTGAGAGCATTCCTTTAGTGGAGCCCAAGCCATCGGTTGTCTTGCGCGCGGAGGATATCGTATCTAGCGGCAAGTTATCACCGAAGCCTCCCGTGACATCCATATGCTTACATTTCCCTGATCTCCAGTCACGGCGTCTTTCGTATTCCAAAGACCAGAAGGGAATGTCGGCGAGCCCTTGAAGGGCCAACTCGTAATATCTTCTGGCGCTCAGCCTTCGGCAAGCCCGATCAGGTTCTCCGAGGTTAAAGTCGTTTTTGAAGGTTGCCTTCGCCCAATAAGACTTCAGTCTGACGACAACTTGGATGCTGATAAAACTACCCCTTGCACAATATTATCGCCTTCGCTACGTGACCCAAGTATAGCAGAAGACCCATCGTCTCTCCAATCACCCACTAGTGGGCTGACAGCCTTGACTGGGGTTGCGGATCTGACGCTTGGCCCTTCTCAGACGAAGGTGTATGACATTACATGCATCCCCAGAGAAGCTGGGGAGTCGCGAGTTGCGTCAATAACGTTGACAGTCGAGGAAGAAAAGTTCGATCTTGCCAGCGCTATAACTGATCTGACGCCCCATGAGTCATATTGGTGGCAGCAGACTTCGAAGGGCCCCAGCCGACGACGCGTGGGTAAAGGCCGGGATACTGGCCGGTGCAAGATATTGCCCAAACCGCCAAAGATACGGATAGAGCTACTGAATCTCCGCGAAACGTACTACACGAATGAACAAATTGTTCTCCGGATCGGCATCCATAACGAAGAAGACGAAGCTGCAGATGTTTCCGCTGAGACTAGGCTTTTCGGACGTCCCGAGTCAGCGGCCAAGATCCGGTGGCTCGACGAGGAGAGTCCCTCGGAGACGCACAGCTCTGGAGAAAGCACCCCAACGGAGGGCATTTCTCATTATATCAAACGGACGATAGGGGTAATGGAGCGCTCCTCTCGTCAAGAGCTAGCGATTGTGGTCGCCGACACCAATGATGCTTCGGATTACGAGCTAGAAATCTCTACCGTTTACAACCTTGTCTCGGATATCCAGACGCCCATCATCGCAACCATGCGTGTTGGCTTATCCATCATCCGGCCGTTCGAGGCTAATTACGAATTCCTCCCACGCATTCATCCTCAGCCCTGGCCGGACTTTTTCACCGTGGACGACGATTTACTCGCGAAGGAGGGGGAGGAAAACAAGCCTGGGGGTTTGCAACAGAGATGGTGTCTCAACTCCAAGGTCGTCTCTTTTGCGTTGGAGCCTCTGGTGATTGAGAAGATGTCATTGATGTTACTCGGACTCGGCGGCGCAGCCACCAGTCACATCGGGCCGGAGGAGGTCGTCAGCCCCGAGGTGGTGGAGATGCATCCAGAGGAGCTTCGCGAGTCGAACTTCATCATAGATCTTCAGAAGGAGATCCTGGGTGACCGCCGATCTACAGCCTTGAATCTTGCCCTAGAGATCCAGTGGAGGCGGAGTGCAGCCGACGATGGTCCACTCCCCGCCGGTAGCGCCGTCACCACGTCCACGCTTGCTATCCCCCGGTTTGTGATCCCAGCGGGTGAGCCTCGGGTACTCGCCTCGGCCAAAGCCTCCAAGTCACTGTCCGGGTTGATTCATCTCGACTACACGCTAGAAAACCCGTCCATGCACTTTCTGACATTCAATCTGAACATGGAGGCCAGTGAGAATTTCGCGTTCAGTGGGCCGAAAACGATGGTGGTCCATTTGGTGCCCTTGAGCCGGCACACGGTTCGGTATAACCTGCTAGCATCCAAACGAGGGTTGTGGATTCAGCCTCAGCTGCTCGTGGTCGATACGTATTTCAGCAAGACGTTGCGGGTGCTTCCGACGGAGGACATGCGGTCGGATAAGAAAGGGGTATTGGTGTGGGTGGATGCAGAGGATTAGAGGAGCTATAGGGGGATTGAAATAGCGGCTGAAGCGAACCTGTGTGTACTGTCTAGATATGCTCCCTACTCTGTAGATGAGATAGCATCACGTGTGCGCGCCCTTATCACGCGCGGCCCGAAACGGCCTAGCGGCGGCGATCGGGACGGCGCCCGCAGCTGGGCCCAAATCCGGAGAGCAGCCCGGCTGCTGCAGACCAAAAGCAAGAGTTCCCTCCTCGCCCTCACTCGTTTCTCTCTCCCCTCCTCGCTCCATCTCTCCCGCGGCCCTCCCCTGCCTCTCCGATCTCAATTCCACGGCTGTATGGTGTCGACCTGTCCTGTGTCCGGATAGGCCCCCGTCAACCTCTCCCTCATCTGCCTCGCTCAACCTCTGGTTGCCGTTCTCATTCGTTCGGCTGCGTCTGTCGCTATCGCTTTGACTGCCGTCGTCCCGTCACTACAATCCTACTAGCCATGGCGGCGCAGGCGGCCCTGATTGCCGACACGATTGTGGGCATGAAAAGAGCCCTCCGCAAGGAGAATGACTGTACGTTCGACACTGTGTTCGTCTTGCTTGCCTCGTCTGTCTTACTGACTGTCGCCTTTGTTAGACTCCGGTCCCGATGAACCGATCACTCAACCAACAAATCGGGGCAACAAGCTACGCGCGAACTCCAACTTCGTGCGGGAGGGTGCCCTGGGCTATATACACCCCGAGGAACTCTACAAACAGGTTGGCTTCACCCCCGCAGCCCCTCATCTCTTCTCAGGCCTACCGGTCGACGACGGCGAGGAAGTATGTGCCTCGAAGACGACTGACGGTTAGTGGGGCGTATCCCTTGACAGAAAATCGAACATGCTGGATATACACGTTACATCCTCCAGCCCAATCCTGTGCGCTACGATTCGGAAGGTGATGAGCTGGACGAGGATGACGAAGACTCCGAGGCCGATGCCGCTGCGGCGGAAGAAAATCCATTTTCGGAAATTGCGCTAGAAAGTGAGATAAACTGCCCACCATTTGTTGGAGATCAAGGACATCCCGCTGATAGATTTTGCCCGATCAGATTTCTTGTGCCCGCTGAAACATCCGTCCGAACTTCCCACTCACCCTTCTCTATCGCATGCTTATACCTCGAAGGCTCTGCTACACATGACACAGGCCATTGAAGCCAAGCTCCGTCAGGAAAGAGCACTTCTATGGCGGGCAAGGAATCTACACCGGCAATTTCTGGGCGATAGTTCCTGGATGCCATCTGGAGCGGTTGAAACACCGGAAGACCGATTGATATTCGAGCCCCGGATGGCAAGCACTACACGTAGTTCGCCCGCGAGTCAGTATAAGCCTAACGGGACTGCTAACCACTTGGCGCCAGGGGCGCCTGCTGCTCAGAAAAACGGCACACAAGGCCCGTCGTTGGTGGCAGGTAATGCAAAGTTGTCCCGGGCCACGCACAACGAGGGTTCTCAGGGCCATTCCACCGCGGACAAGGACATTGAGATGGCCGATGCCCATGAACAGGGGATTCCCCCCAAAGATCTCGTGTCGATCACGCTTGAACAGACCCGAGAGCCCAAATCTGAAGAAGTTGATACGCCAGTTGGCGACCTGCCGCATCACTCGGAGACTACCAACCTGGAACCGCAAGTCAATGGAAGCAATATAGCACACACCGACGCTGACGGGGATCGGATGTCGGACTCGGATGGCACCCTGGACAGAGATGGGAAGGAGCACGGAGGTTCCGCCCTGCAGGGAGGTGCGCATGCCGACCCCGGTCATCAGGACAATACCCAGGTAGATGAGACGGATAGAGATGCAGAAATGCAAGATGGATCATCGCCCGAGCCACCCCGCCGAATGACCACGCGAGCTCAGGCCAACGCAGCGAATCCACAGCAGGAGGAAGAATCCGGGTCGCTCTCCCCGTCCCCGTCTGACGATACGCTAGGGAGTCTCCCGATACCACATCCGCTTTTCCTTATACCGGACTCGGTCCGGCCAGACTCAAACTTCGGCCTCCCGCCCAACGAAGCTGAAGACACCCGCCGACTGCTTTGGTCTTATGTCCAAAAGCAGGAGGAGACGGTTCGTGGGTTCGAGCACATGCTGGAGTCTCTGCTTCGAGCCTGTCGGATGAAAGACGACGTGCTAGAGTGGTGCAAGGCGGAGGGCCACGTTGGCGAGCTGAGTGATGGAGAAGATTGGTATGACCGGGAGAAATGGGGGCTAGCGGAAGGGGAGGATCTTAAAAAAGGTGCCGACGAAGACGAAATCGAGACGGTGGAGGAAAGCCGGACAGCGAACAAGAGAGGCAGAGGCCGGCGGGCATAGACCGGACAGACCCTGGAAGTTGACCGGCGTTCTATATACCTTGGCTTGATTGTAGCCTGGACGGTGCTGTTGCCAGATGTGCATGCGCATCCCGTCCACTTTCGAAAATCCATAGCGTGGAGTTGGTGGTGTTTGATTGAGGGAACCCGGTGTCTTTTGGCTACCCCCGACGATTGTGCGATGGTCTTTTATGGGATTTGCCTAGTGAATTAGCTGCTTTACGTCTGACTTTCTCGGGGATACGGTGTGATTTATGATAGCTGATGATCATCGCAGAACTACACAAGCGTAGCAAATGATACCCGTTGTTCCTGTTACATGAGAGGTAATGGTAGTGGTGATTTTCTTCTCCTATCTAGTTGTGTAGATTTATCTCTCCTTTTCGCTTGCCTGACGCGGCCGGCAGATATGCTATTGCGTACCTGCCCATCGAAATCCTTTTTGGTCCCCCTTTCTTTCTCCTTCCTTTCTCTCAACTGACTGGTTGACTAGCAGATCATTGTTGAGAACCAATTGTGTATTCTCTGCTAGGCCTTAAATTGTAGGGCTGGGTGAGGTCTGTGATTTCACTTAGATGACTGGCGCGAACGGCGTAGGTATTGAAGGTCCGAGCTCCGTTCCCGCAGGCAATCTGGACTGCATCGCAGTGCCCTGGGGTTGAAGCAGGGTAGGTGCCAGACTCGGGGAAATCCCATTATCCGGCCCAGGCTTACAAGCTCTTGCCGCCCTGCTTCGATTTGGCGCGCTCGCGTTCCCGCTTGGCATAGATCTCCGCCGTAAAGGGACTACCATGCCGGGGTCAGTGAATTACCATGTCCATGAGTTTTGCGTTGGGGCTTTGAACATGCGGAGACAGTCTTCGGTTGCAAGGGTATCCATGGCCATTGTGGACAGAGGGAAAGAAGATCGGGCACTTACTCTTCCCACTGAAGAGCGAACCAGTACAAGATGAAGACCTCGGCCGTCAGGAAGACCCCCGCGACCTTGCCCCGGTAAAGAGCAACTCCCAAGAAATTCAGAGTGCTTCCCCAGTACATTGGGGAGCCCGTGACGTTGAAGGGGAAGCCGGTCACGGGGGCATCCATCAGGATACCAAAGTAATCTCCAAGGTAGGTGCCGGTTACTCCCAGGGCATACATGCTGGACAGAACGAGGACGGAGCCGACGGCGAAGAGGAGGCCGCCGAGAATCGGTTGGTGCACAGGGGCATAATAAGGTTGGTCTTCCAGGGCCACTTGGTAAATGTGGTCTCGCAGGATTCCCAGGCTGAAGATGGTGACGGCGAGAAAGTAGCAACCATAGTAGGCATTACCGAATATACGAGTCAAGAAGTGACTCCGATACTCTACAGGACGCAATGACAGAGAGTTGCCATAAGCCTTTTATACTGGAGTCGGTGGGATAGGAAGACCCAGGCCGAAGTTGTGGGCCTGGTCATGAAGGATGGGGAAGGGTGGGTAGGACCAACCAGCACGAGCGGCGATGCTGGATCGAAGATCAGTTAGCCACGGAGGTGACCATACATGGTTTATCGAGTTGGAGCACTTACTTCCAGAAGATGGGGTTGAAAGCAATGGCCAGCGCGGCCCCTGGAGAAGGGTAGACGTTGAGAATCACATGCGGGGAGAAAAATAGAGACCGTCCGGGGGAGGGGGAGGATCAACGTACATTGGAGAGACGGCTGAGAGAAGTCGACAAAGTCGGCGAGGGAAGCCATGATTGATTGCTGAGGGGATAGAGGGGGAAGCAGCAAAGCGAGCAAAAGGACAACTGAGAGGGTTAAAAAAAAAAAAAAAGGACTAAGGAGGAGGAAGAGGAAGAGGAAGAGGAATATGATGGATGGAAGAGAGAAGAAACAACAACAGAAGAAAGTGGAGAGGAACAATGGCCCGAAACGGCATGACGTCGGGGCTTGGCGTTCCCCGACCAATACCAGTACGTACGGAATACACCCCTGGTACCCTTTCAGTGGTAGTACCGAGTACTGATGAGTACTCGGTACATAGTATGGTGTGTCCCCCCAGCCGTGCTCACCGCCTGCCCGGTGGATCGGCTATCGTATGGTCTCTCCTCCCTCATTGTCGTTTATCTCGCCGGTTCTCTTTCCCCTCAATCATCCCTTCCACAGTCCTCTTCAGATCTTCGGCTTCTTCTACCTCTGAACTGCTGCACCGGAACTCCGCCATGTCTTGCCCCCGCGTGATTACAGCCTTCCTTGCCTGACCGGCATGGCAGCACACCTGCTCCGGGGAGAATGGCCCTGAAGCATCGTGACTACGTCCTCCTGGGCATTGGTGGGTTTATAGCTTGGGGCCTGGCGGTGAAATGGCTCCCTGTGCTAAGGTACCTTGGCTATGCGCTGGTTTTGGGTGCCTTCCTTGCCTCAGCCGTCGTCATCGGTCTCGTGCTGCTCACGACGCGCTCTCGAAATGACGCTACTTCGACTGGTCCCAAGACCCTCTCCGTCGCCTTCCTCGCCCGTGCCCATTGGGAACAGGAGACGCAGGCTGTCCGACGTCGCTCGACCTATCATCCACCCTCCCTATACCCGCAATCTTTCGTCGTCTCCGAAGGCATTGACGAGCTCCTGACCCTAGCCACCCGGGATTTAATCGCATCGTGGTACCAGCATATCAGCCCCAACCCCGTATTCGTGAACGAGGTGGATCAGGTCATTCGGACGGCCATTGGAAATCTACGCGACAGACTTCTAGCGGAAGATCTCGTCTCCCTCGTGGTGTCCCGTATCTTCCCCATCATAACGGCTCATCTCAAAGAGTTCGAGGTCGCGGAGCGATTGGTACGGGGCAGGAACCTCACCCGAAATGTCACCGAGTCGGAAGAGTTGGACCTTGCTATCGCAAGTAAATATTGCGAGGGCCATTTGCATCCAGCAGCAGTACTATCCGTCTCCGACCAGAAGCCTGTGGAACAGGAATACCTCCGCAAGATCGCCGTGGGGTTACTGCCGCGGCTGTTTCCCGAGTCAGTCCTCAACAGTCGCATAGTCTCCGTCCTGATTCGTGAGATTGTTGCCTGCGCTGTGCTCTTCCCTCTCGTCTCCGTTCTCTCCGATCCAGACACGTGGAATCAACTGATGGAGGCTTATGGCCGAACAGCGATTCAGGACCGTAAAACCGTGCGAAAACTCAGGGCCGCCCTGGATGAGCATGCATCACCGGCGCCCAGGTCCAAAAAAGGTCACCCGTTTCCTCGATTAAGCCCTCACGATTCAGAGCGCGCTTTCGAGCGATTTGTCCGCGCCATCCGGCGCTGTAACAATATCTCCGACGCCAGGCGGTTCAGAGCCCTCGTGGCAAGTCAACTGAAACGAGAGATGATGGTGGAAGGGCAGGACCAGGTCTACCTTCGACGACTGGAGACAGGCAAGAGGGTCTTGGATCAGAAAGTAGCTAAGCTTTCCGCACCAGGAGGTACTCAGCTGTCGCACGCCTCCGCAGCCGTATCCCACTTTCGTCGTAAGAATTCAGTTCCTCAAGAAGCGTCATTGGTGGATGTCATGCACGACGCCTCAGGTCTCTCCTATTTTATGGAGTTCATGGACCGGCAGCAACTCATGTCTTTAGTGCAATTCTGGATTGTCGTCGACGGGTTTCGTAACCCCCTGGAGGATGATTTTGGAGACGAGAGCTCTCCAAGCTCCACGACTTGGACGCCGGCCGATAGGAGTGACATGGCCCTGATCAGCGAGACATATCTGTCGAAGCCTGAGTTGAAAGTCACGGATGAGTCGCGTCGAGTAGTTAAAAGCTTCCTGAGCGCAGGGAAGCGAGCCAGCTCGGAGCAGTATCGCAAAGCCCGGACCGTGATATTGAGCACCCAATCCGCGGTTCTTGAGGAGCTTCAGGAGACTTACTACCCTAAGTTCAAGCAATCTGATCTTTACTACAAGTATCTTGCCTCAGATGAAGCATCCCAAGCTGGCACTCAGTCACCCCAACGAAACTCCCCGAATATCGCAGAGGTGCCTGAACGGCGACCTCTTCCTCCCCTAATGAGTCGTACCTCGTCACAACCAGGAGCCAAGACGAAGGATCTGCGACGAGCGGCGGTTTCTTCGAGTGATGTTCGAAGCATGGGTAAATTGTTTGACGATGACGAATCTTCGAGGCGCTCTTTTGACTCTGAACGGTCCGCACCGCTGTTTGATGATGACTACGACACCGATCCTCTTGCGATGTCCACACACAGCCTGGGAAGAGACTCGCAAAATGGCGAGACCGAGGCGAACCAGAATGAAGTCATTGAAAACATGGAGGCGGCGTTGAACGACATTATTGCTAATGAGCCGAAAAATAGTAGGATTGAAGATTTGAAGAGCGCCGATGTATCGCCAACCGGACTGCCTGGCAGCGACCAGTATCCCAAGTCTCCGCGCAGCTCCATGGAGCTTGCTCGGGCAGAAAGCCGGACAGACGACAGAATAAAACCGAGCATCGCCTCACTGGGCCTCGTAGACCGATCCTCGCGCCTGGGGGTCTTCGATGATGATCTTTTCCCGGAACAGCAGAAGTACATCGAAGATGAATATGAAGAGCCTGTGGGAACTGACAACGACCCGGCTGACCAGGTGCATGAGGCGGCTCCTGGGGATCTCGGGTTGACAGAGGCAATCGAGGCGCTCACAGCTGACATCGACAAACTTGGGTCTCAGGAGTCGGTGGTGGACACTCTCACTCGCAAAGCAGAACTCACAAACAACACCGCGGAATTGAGAATCCTGCGAAAGTCCAAGGCCAGCATCCAGCGCGAGATGCACCGCAAAGAGATGCAACGGCAGCAGTACATCATCCAAGAGAGCGACAACAGCTTGTACGGCCGGTCGACCGTCCGCATCAAGTCCATCGTCGTTGGTAAAGAGGAAGATGGCCGAGAATTTGCGATGTGTATGTTAGCTTGCTTTGTTTCACCCTCCTCGCTCCCTCTTTGGACAACTACAGATGTGCGGTCCACTAACTCATTTCCTAGACGTGGTCGAGGTGCAACGAAACGCTGGGGAGCAGATGCCGGCGGCTTCCTGGGCCGTCGCCCGAAGATACAGCGAGTTCCACGAACTCCATCACAAACTGCGCATGCGATACCCATCCGTCCGTCACCTGGAGTTTCCACGTCGGCGCGTAGTCCTCAAACTCCAGAAGGAGTTCTTACAAAAACGACGCTTAGCTCTGGAAGCTTACCTCCAGAAGCTACTATTGCTTCCCGAAGTATGCCGGAGTCGTGACTTACGAGCCTTCCTTTCCCAACGGGCCATCATCCCCCGTAATGAAGCCCAAACCTCTACGAACGGAGAGACCAAAGACTTGGTCACCCGAATCTACAACTCCGTCGCTGACGGTATGGACGACTTTCTGGGTAACTTCGGGGTGTTGGACCAACTATCCACGGCCGGACAAAACCTCATCTCCGCCGCTACTAGCCAGCAAGCCTCCGCGATCCCTGACTCGGGGCTGGCCACAGAAGACGCGGTCACCGCCGCTGAAGCTGAAGCGGAACTGAATGCGTTTGAGGATCGCGAGCTGGAGCCATTCATCAAACCGATCTGTGACCTGTTTCTGGAGGCTTTCGAGCTAAACAAGGGCAACAACTGGCTGCGCGGGCGCGCCGTTGTCGTTGTCCTGCATCAGCTTCTGGGAGGCACGATCGAGCGCAAGGTGCGCGAAGGAGCACGCTCCCTAATCCAGGACGACTCGCTTTTGCGCTACCTCTCTCTGGTCAGGGACACCATGTGGCCGGGAGGAGTGCTGCGCCAAGGCAGAGTCCGCACTGCCTCCGAGCGACTGAAGAGTCGCACCGAAGCCAGCCTGGTCCTGGCCACGCTGATCCCCGACCTAGCAGGCAATGTGGTCGGACGAGCCAACGCGCAGGCCGCGGCACGAAGGATCTTTGCGACCCTGAACAACCAACGGCTGAACGCGCATTTAGTCTTCACCATCCTCGACGAGATCGTGTTGGTCTTATTTGGGGGAGGGGACGCTGGACGGATCCGTTGATGACTTATGTTTATGTGTATGATATCGATTTCCCTCTTGTTTCCCTTCGTTGGCCTTCCCCTATTTCCCTTGCGGACTGTATCAATATTAGCGGGCGCTGTGCATCGATGTGCTCTACCTAAGCGTCTTTCTTTCTTTTTTTTTTTTTGTTGTTTGTCGTGAGTTTCAGTCTGCTGAATGTTCTGCCAATCTGCCTTGGTACCGATCATGCTGTATGCTCGCCTTACCTACAAGTCCTGAAGGTTGTTAATGCACCGAGCCTCTTGATGGGACTGTAGATGGACATACTGATGATAATAAGCAGTCAGCTGCTGATAAGAGTGAGACACCTTTAGTTTGTGCCTGACGAGCGAGTTAGTACATCTACTAGTACGGGACTAGGCGGCAGCTCCAGATCAGTGTCACTCATAAAGTCAACTAAGTATGCTTTCTCTGTCTCCATGATGAGTATGAATGAAAGAATGTTGCTCGAAGATACAAGATCGTCCGATGCCCAGTAAGTCAACTCAATGGGAGAAGCCAGTGATGGATCCCCGAAATCGAAACGAAAGCAGGGAGTTGGGATTGAAGAACATTCAAGGCAGATTACAGGGATAATCATCCTCCCGTTTGATTCCTCCCTCGACACTCCCAAACACTGTTCTAGGAATGCCGAGAGCGAGGTAAGAGGCAAAGCATCACGCAGTATGGTGGAAGTACCCATTAGAATGGGGGATAGCAGGCATGAAGATTGTAGTACGAAACGATCGTCCTTTATGCCTCCTCTGCTTTCTTCTTCTTGGACTTCTTGCTGGGCTGTTGAGGGGGGCCCTGCTTGGTCTGGTGAACAATGAGACGTGTCCAGCACTCCTCCTTGTCCCACTCGAAACCAGCGAGGTAGGGCTTGTCCAATTCATCATCGGCCTAGAGCGCATGGGGGTTAGCATTGGTTGGCAATACTCAGCACTTCCGGCAAGATACCTTCTTTTTGAACTGCTTGTAAATTGCGTCCAGCGCATCCTTTATCGTGACGCCCTTCATGTTGCGAGCGGTCACCTCCAACCCTAAGGGGAAGTGCAGATCAATTTTCTTGACTGGAGGGTTGACCAGGTGAAGCTTGAGCATATCTTTGTCCTCGACCGACGATGGCGAGGTGTTGAGCTTCCTGGTTCCCCGGTTAGCTCCCTCTTTTCTCCTGGGCATGTTTTACAGCTACAATGACGGGCTTACCATCCGGTCTTTTGGGTTTCGATCGGGAGTGTGATTTCAATCTGCTTCTCCTCTACCAGGGGCGGGATCGTTAGCAGCGAGCCCTTGAACGACGGGAATCCTCAATCCTATTAAACATATAGGAGGATCTCACCCAGTTCTTTGATGTTGAAGACGCCCTCTTTCAGGGACGAGGCACGTCTCTGGCCCTTCTTAGCCTCCTTGTCGGGGGATATCGTCAAGCCAGCGATGGCCGAGTCAACCTTGGTCAGCTCTTCAGACATGGCTGCAGACAAGGTGGCAGTGAGGAGCTAAAAGCTGAGAACTGTACTGGTATCCGGAGCCAAGTGTTAGTGCATCGATGCTGGACCAAGGCCTGTTCTAATGAAGGGGACACAAGACCGGGGATGGGTGATGACGTTTGAATGACTACCTTCTGGGGAAGGGGAAGGAGTTGAGCTTACCTGGTAAGTGAAGTGAAGTGAAGGGGACGATAGATGATTGGTATTGGTAGTATCTGGGATGGCAGAGGAAGGCTAGAGAAGATGATGAGGATTCAGGGAAGAGGGGGAGGAAGAAGAGGAAGGAGAAGAAATAGAAGAGGGGAGACGGGGGAGAGAGCAAGAGAGAGGGCAGGTGACTTGGATGGGCCAACCCAGAATTGCGACCCCCTCCCCCCTCGAGAAGGGAAGGAGCGGTCCACTGGAGGAGGGTGACTTACCTGACGTACAATACCCCGGACAGCCCTTCCTTACGTCGTCTACTACAAGTACCTGCAGCACCGGGTGTCCGTCAGGTCACTCACTACTAGTACTACTACTATGTATGTATCAATGACGGACTAGTGACTACGGGGACCAAGGAATAATGGGGAGGCGGTGCTCAACATTGAATTAGATCGGGGCCCCCAAATCCACCAGCCCGGGTCGTACGTTTGCTTCGACGAAAAAAGGGTGGAATGATGAGTCCCGACTTAGAGGAAGACATGATGTAGCGATCTCCGCACCGGGTGTTGGTTGCATCTTCATCCGGGCCATCACCTGATGCGAGTTTCACGGTTTTCCCCAGGTCTCATCCCTCCGTTCACTGTCACTGTACTTGGGGGATTCTTAAATCCATCGACCTCGTCTCCCTCCCTATTCTTGACGCAGCCGGCGCAACCGGATCACACGAGCAGGGCTTGACGTCGAGAGCTCCGGGCGACGGTCCACTAAGGCTGCACCCCGCATTCCCGCTCGCTCCACTTGGCCTACTTTTGTCGTGTACTTTATTTCCTGCCCGCCGCGGCTTTCGGTCGGGCTCCCGGCTGGCCGATTCAATATCCATACCTGCACGGTACTTGACCTACGTGTGGATAAACCAGTGCGACACCTCCTTCGTCGACACACAGCTACGGTCGAGGGATCCATCTGTTTCGTCTCCGGGGAGAGCAAGTACATCGGATCGGATTGATCGACACAGACGGAAAACGGAAATGGATGACCTCACGGTGCCCGTTTCCTTTCATTGTGCCAGACAATCGGCGGTTTCCTTTCCGTGGTACAGACCAAACTGTAACCATCCATTCATGTAAGGCAAGTCACCAATCGCAGCACGTGAGCTCCCCAACTTCGAGGTCGCGATTGATTGAATGAAGGGATACATCCCTGGCCGCGACGGGACCAGCTCCATGTTTATCACCCTCACGGGGTGTGCCTGTCCAGGCCCCGGGACTGGACCAGTGGTATGATCCAGTGTATTCCGTATCCTACCTAAGTACATTCAAGAGTGAGACCACCACCACCGGGCCCCAGCAATCGACGATCATATGGTCGTGGGCTGCAGGTAATTGGCCGTCAGTCGGCCTGGCCTTGCAGGTTTGGGCGGGGTCCTACGAATCACCATCTGGCACCGGCTGCGTTTCCATATTGCCTGCAACACTGCTGCCATCGGTTGTAGTGGGTGGCGACCAGTTGCAGCTCAGCTCAACGTACCACTCGTAGTCAGTACTATTAGTGTCCTGGTGGTTGATGCAGATCGTTGCGGGTGTCCGACAAAGGTCGACTGAACATCCTGCAAATCGCTAGTCTCTGGACCAGACAGCTCGGAACGTGGATGTGATGGGAGATGGGAGAAATCCCTACACCGTGTAGATACAGATATACATACGGTACCACACCCGAGGTCGAATCAGAAGACCATTGCGAACAGAATATGATAAGCCAAAAGAAAGATGTAAGATGACAAACGGCTATATAAGGGAGGAGTTATACGAATGGATCCGACTGCCAGAAGACCCCCAGGTTTCCAGCAGATGGATGGGGATGCACAGCAGTCATCCTCATGGTGATGGTGGTGGTGGTGGTGGTTCGGGGGAAGGAAGCTCACCCCCGCTGACTCAGCCGTTTGTCTTGTTTGAAGGCGGTGAGGACGACCGGCGAGAACTGAGAAGATATTCGATCAATTATTGCCCGTTTGGACGAAGGAGCATTCGTGCCATTCAGTTTCATTCCTTCGATCTTGAATGCTGCTCTGGTCGCCGGTCTAGTGCGCCCCTCGCCATACCCAAGCTCAACAACCCCCGTTGGTCAATTCGGCTGGTTGCGCCCTGCGTCTTCCGCTATCGCGTCGCTGCCTTCCCGCCTTCAGTCACGTCTGCTTTTTCCTTGTTCGTCTCGCGCTGCGGATCCCCTCAAGTTCTCTGCTGTGCACTTTTCACCTAATTGAGTAGAACCTCATAGCAACCCGCCGTTCGGATGTCGCTCTTCAGTGGTGTCGGCGCTTCGGCGACCACGGCTGGTCAGACCAACACCACGGGTGATACCTCGAAAGATGTCGCCCTCAATTCTCCTCCCGAGGACAGCATCTCGGACCTCCGATTCTCGCCCGCCAGTGATCATCTTGCAGTCGCCTCGTGGGACAAGAAGGTTCGCATCTATGAGATCAACGACCAGGGCCAGAGCGAAGGCAAAGCTCTGTTCGAGCACGAGGCCCCTGTCCTGAATTGCTGTTGGTCACCGGTGAGCTTCCTCCATTCCCTGTTGCAGCGTTGTCGGTCCGCTGACAGCGTCTCTGTTTGCCTAGGATGGTACGAAAGTGGTCGGAGCCGGTGCCGATAAAGCCGCTCGCATGCTGGACCTCGCAGCCAATGCAACCACCCCCGTCCAAGTCGCCGCCCACGATGCGCCCATCAAGTGCTGCCATATGATCCCGAACCCGGCCGGAAATAGCCCGCTACTGGTGACCGGCTCTTGGGATAAGACCGTCAAATACTGGGATTTGCGACAGTCCACGCCCATTGCGACGGTGGAGTGTCAGGAGCGGGTCTACACCATGGACGTCAAGAACAAGCTCCTCGTGGTCGGCACCGCTGACCGGTACATCAACATCATCAACCTCGACAACCCCACCAAATTCTACAAGACTATGCAGTCCCCCCTCAAGTGGCAGACGCGGGTAGTCAGCTGCTTTTCCGACGCCACCGGGTTTGCCGTCGGCAGCGTCGAGGGCCGCTGTGCCATCCAGTACGTCGAGGAGAAGGACTCCAGCTCCAACTTCAGCTTCAAGTGCCATCGCGAGACCCCCCAACGGGATGTCCACAACATCTTCTCCGTCAACTCCATCTCCTTCCACCCTGTTCACGGCACGTTCAGCACCGCCGGCAGTGACGGCACGTTCAACTTCTGGGACAAGGACGCCAAGCACCGTCTTAAGGGATACCCCTCCGTGGGCGGCACCATCTCTAGCACTGCCTTCAACCGCAGCGGCAACATCTTCGCATACGCCGTCAGCTACGACTGGAGCAAGGGCTACTCCGCCAACACCCAGCAATTGCCCAACAAGGTCATGCTGCACCCCGTCGGCCCAGAAGAGGTGAAGCCCAGGCCAGTCACCCGGAAGAGGTAATAGAGAGGCTGGCTTGCGGATCTGAAAATGGGGGCGTCGTTGGAAGGGAGCCAGCCTAAACTGGGCTCGGGGTTCATCATGTGGAGTATCATGCTCGGCCCATACATGGATTGGCTAGTCATGTTCTGCTATCTCTTTTTCCTTTTCCTTTTTTTTTACATCTCATCCATGTATCATGTACCCTTTTATTAGTATTGTTCACTGGGAATGCATATGAGCGATTCATTTTAGGTCAAGTGTGTTGCCTGGGTTTTCAGGGACAGGTCGTTTCTTCGAGGGAGCAGAGGAAAGACAAGAGAAAGAACCAAAACAACCTCCTGTAGCTATTGTGAGTTGGGAGACCCAGAAATGGGATTTCTAACCCCCCCCCGGCCGTATAAAAGAAGAAGATGAGATGCATTTGGTTGAAACCCATGTTGAATTCTCGAGTTCTGTTGAACGGCGGAAAGGGAAAAGACCAAAGCAAGATATCCAGAAACTAACTAATGAAATAGTACCCATCAATCAATTCATCATGTCACCTACATCGTATCTCATATCGACCCTTCCACATGTATGTACGGAGCAACACCTAACAACGACCAGCCGGAAATATAGAACGCTCTAATCATCAGGATATCAAGGAGTCAGTAGTCACTGCACTCTATAGACGCTGTCGTTCGAGTCTGGACTAGGGTGAATTCTATTTAGGATGAGGGGATCGTGACCTGGGCCACGCCATCGGTGACCTTCTCGACGGCATCGCCGGTGACATCCGTAGCCTGGGCTCCTCCTTTGGCAGAGGCCTCAACAGCTTCGCCACCCGCAGCAGCAGCCTCGGCAGCAGCCTTGGCCTTCTTCTCCTTCTTCTTGGCCTTAGCGGCGGCGTTTGCGGCCTTCTTGGCCGCTGCCTTGGCAGCTTCCTCCTCCTTCTTCTGCCTGTCCGCCTGGGAGCCACCGAACATGTCGCGCCACACATCGGCCTTCTTGGGGTCGATCCGGGAGAACAGGTACTGGGCCTTTCCGATCTTGTGGCCAGACTTGATAACGGTCGGCTTCCAGCCGTCCTTGATGTCCTCCAGAGACGGGATCAATCCGAACGGCACGTCGAGCTGCTCGTTGATCGACTTGGTGGTGGCGGGAAGGTAGGGAGCGAAAACGCTGGCCAGGAGATGGATCAGATTGAGCACAGTACCGACGACGGCAGCAGCACGCTCGGGCTCGTTGGCAATCAAGGTGTTATCCAGGCGGTTTGCCTGAATCAATCCGTTTCCGATCTCGGCCAGCTTCATCGCGCTGGTGACACCGGCGCGGAGGTGGGCGCCCTCCATCTCTTCCACGTACTGCCGAAGAGTCGCCGTCACCTCGTCCAAGGTAGGCTGGAAGCTTTCGGGAACAGTAAATTCGGGCACAACCGAGCCGTAAGACGCGATGACAAGCTTGATGACACGGTTGACAAGGTTACCGAGCTTGGCCAGCAACTCACTGTTGTTGCTCTCAACGAAGGAGCGCCATTCGAACTGAGTATCTCCGGTCTCAGGACGGTTCTTCAGGAGATAGTAGCGCCATACATCCGGGGGCACACCCGTCTCCTTGGCGCTGGTGCCAAAGACACCGATACCCCGAGACTTGCTGAACTTGCCGCCTTCGTAGTTCAAGTACTCGGTTGTGCTCAGGTGGTGAAGCATGGTCCACTTGTCCTTGGTTCCCAGCTGGGTACCTGGGAAGATAACACTGTGGAAGGGGACGTTATCCTTGCCCAGGAACTGATACAGCTGAACATCTTCCGGGTTCCGCCACCAGAGCTCCCAGTCCGGAGTATAGTTGGCAGTGATGGAGGGGTAGCCAATGCAGGCCTCGAACCAAACGTAGAGCACCTTGTTTTCCATGCCTTCTAGCGGCACGGGGACACCCCATTTAAGGTCTCTCGTGATACCGCGGTCTTTCAGACCTTCCTTCAACCAGGATTCGGTAATGACACGCGAGTTCTTAGGCCAGTCACCCTTTTCAATGGCATTCTTAGACCATTCTTCGATCTGAGGCTGCAGCTTGTCGAGGAGGAGGTGGATGTGTTTCGTCGAGCGGCGGACGGGGGTGGCACCGTCGAGCTTGCAGCGTGGGTTGATGAGGTCGAAAGGATCGAGGAGATGTCCACACTTGTCGCACTGGTCTCCACGAGCGTCGTCATAGTGGCATCGAGGGCACTCTCCCTCCACGTAGCGATCCGCCAAGAAAGATCCATGAGTCTCACAGAACGGCTGCTCGGCCGTCTTCTCGGTCAGATAGCCGTTCTCGTACAGCTTCTTGAAGATGGCCTGTGAGATTTCGGTGTGTTGCTCCGTCGGGGTGCGACCGAAGTGATCGAAACCAATCTCAAACCACTCATACACCTCCTGGTGGATCTTGTTGTACTTGGCGCACAGCTCCTCTGGCGTCACTTTCTCCTCCAAAGCCTTGGTCTCCGTCGCCGTTCCGTATTCATCAGTTCCACAGATGTACAGTGTTTGATGTCCGCATGCCTTGTGGAATCTGAAGGTCGGGGTCAGCACCGCAGAGTCGACATTGATGGCGAGCACGCGACAGGCGTCAGACAAAGGGAAGGAAGAGGATGATACCTGGCGAAGACATCGGCACTGAGGACGGAGCCAACGATGTTACCCAAGTGAGGCACGTTGTTGACGTAGGGCAAGGCACTGGTGACCAGGATATTGCGCTGGCCCTGCTTGGGCAGGATCTTGGATTCCGAAGCCATGATGGGGTTGGGGGAGGCGGATGGCGGGGTTGTTTATCAGCGGAGGGAGGGGTAGAGATAAATAAAGGATGTTGCAACTTTTTCGCGGGTGTGGATGATTCATCGAGGCGCCTTTTCGGCCGCGCCTCTCCGCACCTGGCCTTCCTTCGTCCTTCTTCCTTCTTCCACTCCTTCCACTCCTTTCCCCCCACTCGGCGCCAGTCGACTGCAGATTCGGATTTGTGAGGTCGCGCTCGGACTTGGCTCCTTTCTTATCTCGCCGTCGGGGAGAATCTCTCATTATCGCCTCACCGAGTTCTACTGTCTCTCCCTCTCTTCCGCTCCGTTGGACACCAGAAACATGGACAGTAGTAACCTGCTCGAGAGCCTCCTCGATCTGGAGGAAGACTTTTACAAAGAAGGCTATGACCTAGGAGTCGCGGATGGCGCGCAAGCCGGGTACACCGAGGGCAGTGTATTTGCTGTCGAGAAAGGATTCGAGAAATTCGTCGAATTGGGAAGACTGTATGGCAAAGCCCTGGTCTGGGCTCAACGTCTTGCAGATTCCCAGCCGTCTAACCACTCCGACTCGGCCGGCCAGGCCAAGGGAGGCCTCTCTTCTTCCCTGGTGGGTGAGAAGCCAGAACAATCCTCCTTGCTAGACCCGGCCATCTGCAGGGAAATGTCGAGCTTCCCGTCGAGTTCTAGACTAGCAAAGAACATCGATACGCTGCTGGAATTGGTAGATCCCGCATCCCTACCTATGGTGAACACGGAGGAAGCGGTCAACGATGTAGATGAGCGTATGAAAGGCGCGGCCATCAAAGCCAAGCTGATCCAGCGGGCGTTGGGGGAGAGGGAAGACAACTCGGACATTCATCCCGATGCCAAGGAGCTCCCGGTGTCTGGGGATGGAACCGGCAGCATCGAAGACATTAGTTCCCTGAATATCCGGCATTGATGGGTTGATTGCTGCTCTCCACCGGCAAGGATCTGCCATGGTCAGCGGACACGGCTTTGGCCTGCAGTATCTTCCTCGGGGTCTCCTCGGAGGTGCTCCGACTAGCGAGCTCCCAGAAGCTGCTCTCTCTGTTCCTGCAAGCTTCGATGCCTTCCTGGGCTGGGATTGCTGGGCTAGATACACTGAATTCTCCGCAATATTGGGACACCTTGGGGACGGCCCCGGGGTGATGATCGTTCCGCAAACTCGCCATTACCCCACACTAAGACCTTCTTCCGTGCAGAGCTCGCCAGTGAGGCCTCGGAATGCCCCCTCAGGGCTGTTCCCCGCATATGCGTGGGATCAAACTGGCTTGAGTGAGAATCAGGGTCAGTCCGCTGATCCCGCATTTTCTTTTCAATCACCGCCGCCGTCTTCCGATGGGGTTGACTACAAATATCGAGTCCTCCCCCGGGGGGACCTTCCAGCTGATCAGAATGAAAGCCTGTCATTCCAACCCCTGACCCCTTCGAAGCCTCAACTCGATGGACCTTTGATAGAATATTCGTAAAAGAAGAAATCACAATGCAACTGCTCCTGCTGCTTTTCGGATCTCTCTCAGGCAGACTCGCTCACGCCCAAACCGGGGTCACCAAGCCCATCTCAGAAGCTTGTGGTCCTTCGGTGGTATGCATCAATCACTACGCGAATGTCCTCCCGTGAGTTGCGTGCAATGTACAGTTGCTCAACTAACTCGTACCCGTGTTGATGTATGACCAGCTACCATTTCTTTCGAAATGTAACCACCATGGACGCCGTTACGACTTTCGGTGACACTACAGTAGCAAACGGCTCCACACTGCAGGACATCAAGGCAGCCGACTTCATCGTATACAATAAGGAGAAGGGCCTTGAGATTCTGGGCTCCACGCCAAGGTACGAATACGTCTTTGCTGTTTCCGAAGCGGTGCACGAAGCCCCAGTCTACGTAGCGTCACAGAACAAGCTGTACCTGTCGCAACTGGCTCCTCCGCCAGGCTACCTGCCGCAGCTTGTGATCGATCTCAACCAGAACCCGCCGACGTTGTCCGAGTTTCTCTCCGATCCGCCGGTGTATGCCCCCAATGGCGGAACGTTCCATGACGGCAAGATCATCTGGGGAGCCTCAGGTGGTAACAGATCCATTGGCGGCACCGAACAACGAGTCTCTCTGAGGACGTTAGATCCAGAGACCAACAAGACAGTCAGTCTGGTCAACAATTACTTCGGATACTACTTCAACACCATCGACGATCTTGCCGTGCATCCTAAGACCGGCGATATCTGGTTCACCGATCCACGTGAGTCTCCGCCACGCGACCCCATCGGCATCTGCATCTGCATCTACTAACCCGTATGTAGAATACTCCTGGTTCAATGATCTCACCGACACCCCTCCACAGCTCCCTTGCGCTAGTTACCGGTATAACGCCTCTTCCGGGGCAGTCGTCGTGGTCGACGACTCTATCGGTCAGCCCAATGGCATTGCTTTTACCCCGGATGGATCCATCGTGTATATCAGCGACACCGCTGCGGTTAGCGCTCCTGTTGATCCCAGATACGGCCATCCAGGCAGTACATTCAATACCACGCATCGGCGGTATGTAATCTGAGCCCTCGCACTGAAGGAACCTTACTCACGTAGCTCTACCTGCGTCCCTATAGAACCATTTATGCCTTTGACGTGAGCGAGGACGGTGCCCATGCTTACAATAAACGGGCTATTTATCTGGCGCCTGGATTTGTTCCCGACGGGCTGAAAGTAGCAGCGAATGGGTACATCGTGACGGGGTGCGGCCGAGGCGTCGACGTCCTCGACCCTTCTGGGGAGCTGCTCTTGACGATTCAAACCAATTACACGGTACAGAACTTCGCCTGGACTGGCCCTGAGCTGAAGACGTTGTGGCTGATGGGCAATGGAGGGATCAGTAAGGTCGAATGGAACCTGCCAGGCCAGGTATTGAAATAGGTGGGCGTGCATGGCAGGTGCGACATCGGCCTGCAATCCAACGTCGCATTATGAAGAGGTGGTCTAAAGGGCTACGATAGAAGACTCCTAGGACATCACTGCTTTCCAAACAATATGACTTTTAGATGAACTCTTATCAAAACCCCTTACCGTCGTGACCAGAAGTGCATACCTGTCGTTAATTGCAACTCAACTCTTTACTCCAATCCACGGATGGCCATAGCAAGAGCGCCCTCCTTCGTCTGGTGACCACCGATGAAGCCACTGGCGTGGACGAAGACCGCACCTTCGGGAACCTTGGGCTTTCCTGATTTCTCAGCCTCCGCTGCCATAACGCCATCGAGGTCGGCATCGCGGACACCCCGCCACGCCTCCGGCAGAGGCTTGCGGGACACGAAGCTACCCTCGTTTTCGGAGACGCACTGCACACGCCACTTAGACCCCTCGGTGGCACTCTCAGGATACAGGACATAGTAGACCTGGTCATCAGCACTGATCTCGTTGGATCCCGAAGCTTCCTTCTCGAAGTTGTAGAGGTGCTCTTTCCAGGGCATACCACCCTGAGGCAAGACGATGATCCGACCCGACGCGTTGACATCCCGACGGGAACGGTAAGCCGCACCGATGGTTGTGCGCGCAGGCAGCCAGGAGGAAGCGGCATGGTGCAACTTGCGAGCAAAGACGTTTCCAATGAACGTGCTAGCCCGGGCGAACAGACTATCCTCGTCCTGAGGCTCCCCGGGGGGGCAGGTGGGGTCCGGGTTGTTCATATCACCAACCACGGAGGCAATCGTGATTCCGCCGTCCTTGAAGCGCTTCTCGATGTTGGCGGCGGAGATGGCGGCGGGGTCGTAAGCGGAGATACCGTTGTCGTTGGCATCAACAGCTTCGATGAAATCGGTGTACAGCTTCTCGTACAACAGGGTAACGTCCTCATGGTCCAGGGGCAACGAGGTGTGTTGGGCGATGATGGCCCGACCAAAGTGCATGTAAACTAGTCCTGCCGAGGAGAGCTTGGTGTTGCGGTTGGGGAAGGTGGTGGCGAAAGTACGCTGGTGGTGATCATAGCGGTTGTTGGCGGGGTCGTATTCTCCGCCCACGTCGACCACGGTATGGCAGGTAGCGAGTTGGGCGGGATCCCGGGTCCGGAGGAGGGGAGAGGATGAGTATGTGGGCAGAAGACGGAGAAGGTAAACGGCAAGGGCCTCGTCGGCGTGGAAGTGACCGCTGAACAGGGAGGATCGTCAGTATTTTGGAGCCCAGATCGGAGACAAAGCTTCGTAGGAAGCTTTTCCGGAGACTTACTTGTGAGTTCCGATCAAGGGAGAGGAGGTCTTGACCTTCTTCGCAGCAGTTTCGGCCATCTTGAATAATTGGCGGTACCGGAGCATACAAGAGTAGTAGAGTTAGGTGGGGGATAAGGAATGAAGAAGTGAGGAAATCCACTCGATGGTCAGGTCGAGTGATCTTGGAGGATTAGGTAGAATACTAAGTAGTGTAACTAGTAAGTCGAAAGTAAAATATAGAATGTAGAATGTTGAATGTCGAAATGTCGATACTGCCGCGAGGGCCTGGATCGGTTTGGTATCCGCGATCTGCGATTGGCGCGCTGAAGAGGGTGCCGCCTTCCCCAAGCGGAAAGGTCCTAGACGGGTCGGAGCTGCCGCCTTACTGGAACCGGCTGCCAATTAGGGTTTCGAGCAGAGGGCTTGACGGGAGCATGTGAGGGGGAGGGGAGCTACTAGGCCGGAACAAGCAGTCCGTTGTATGACGGGATGTACTCCTAATGTACTTCTCACGTACTTCTCATGTAGTCTGTATGTACGGAGTACAAGGTACATACGGAGTAGAACGTACGGTCGCGTGCTTCGTCTGAAGACTCAGACATGTTCAGACATGTTCAGACTTCAAGCTCTCCCCTCGAAAGCCAGAGCCCTTAATGTTAGCCGCCAGAATCTCCCAGATTCCACCAGCCTCTGACCTGACCGCTACTTACAGGTAGGTCTGGCCAGAGATCCACCGCCTTCCGTTCTGCGCCAAAGGCTGGGCTGGAAGGGATTAGTGTTATGATGATTATTATTGCGACTATCGCCAAATGCCAGACCGTGCCCCCTTTCCTGATTTTGCGTCCTACTTGTCCATCCCGAAGTCACTGCGGCCGTTAAGCTTTGCGCCTCTCTGTCCGTGGCCCTCCCCAGGACCGTCCAGACTCTGGAGATCGGTTGGCGTGTCTTGACCTCTGCCTATCTGTCCTTCGCACGTGCCAACTGCCTTCCAGGCCAATCCATCCAAATTATCCCATCCCTCCTCCGTCCCGCTTGCGAGATAAGATCGAATCTTCGCACCACCTGAAAGAAGAGGCGCTTTTATTGAGATTCCCATACACGAAGCATCGTCAGAGCCGACCAGTCTAAACCCCAGGAACCTGACCCCTGGCTTCATGTATCCTTAACTCAGGATTTCGTCACCCTCTCGCCCTCCCACTCCAAGATCGATCTAGTCTTGGAGGCTGTCTACCTGACACCGCGTCCTCCCCCCCCCTCCTCTCTCCCCTCCTCCCCCTCCGTGCCTGCTGCTGCTTCCTCCGGCAGATTCACCCTCCGTACCTTGTCTGCTTCGATCGCGTACCCCCCTCCGGTCCGGTAGCCTGGTCTATATTGTCCGATGTGGTTCTTTCGGGTCCTTTCGTCGGCCGTCTTCCTGGCCGTCACCGTCTCTTCCATTCCCCTCGCCTTTGACGTGGGTGGAAAAACATGCGGTCTGGCCTATTCCCTGTCCCTGGCAACCTTCTATTTCCTATTTTCGCTGCTGCGGCTTACCACCCCGGATCGGTCATGGCTCCGTTCTTCCCTGATCGTCCTCATTAGCTCGACGCAATGGCTCATCATCCCTATCCTGCTTATCTGGTCGCTGAACCGCTTCTCCATCGATACCGACAACGCTGGCTCCTGGGTGGAACGGACCTTCACGGGGAGAAGGGCCCACGACTCGTCAATCCAGGAGTGGCTATTTGGGCCCGACGGGCTGGTGGAATCCGTGACGATCGGGAATTGGGATAAACTACTGAGATGGTCGACCCCGGTTTTCCAGCTGGTCGAAGGATTCTGCAGCTTATTGGTCATACAGGCTGCAGGGCAAATCACCCGCTGGCTTGTCAACCGCGGTGGGCGAAGTGATAGCTGGATGGTGCGTACACGTCACTCAATAGTTCATCCAGCGTGGAGCCTATTTGCTAATTATGCTTTCTTAGATCGGCCTTTTGGTACTATCGGCCTCCATCATATCAAGTTCCGTATACTTTCTTTGGCGGGTTCTTCAGTTCCCCGAGATTTCTAATGTCGACGCGGCCTTGATTGGGGTGTCCATCACCTGCGCGGTGATTCTATGCGCGTGGGGAATAGGGAGTGGGCGTGGGAATCCAGTGGAGAGTTCCCTGCTGTTCGCATACATCGTTCTATGCATCTATCAAATTTTCACCGATTACCAACCGTCACATCCCATGGAGCAAGTTCCTTCTCCCGCCCAAGCCGGGGATTTTCCACCGCTTCCTCCAATCATCATGGCTTCATATACGACCTTGATGCATGCCTTGTCTACCTTGCCTTCCATCATCCATGCCGCCTTCAACGTGATCACCGCAGTTTTTGGTGCTGTCACTCCCTCCGTGCTGATCTCGCTCACATACCGCATCATCGTTCTGTACGCGTCAACTCGGATCATACCTGCCGTCCGCGAATCGGGCGCGCGTGCTCTCTCCCAAGAAGCGTCGCTGGATGACACCGATGCGGCTGGCCAGTTCCTGGGCGTACTCAGCTACTTCTCCCCATCGATCCTCATCGCCGTTTACACCAGCCTCTTAATGCAGCATTTCGCGTCTACCTCCCAAGCGATGGGCGGCAGTGGCGAGTGGTGGAGCACTCAGGGGGCCGGCGGTGGAAACTTGTGGCGGTGGGCCAACCTGGCCGGCACGATGGCCCTGTATGCTGTCGAACTATACCTTGGTGAGAACGACGACCTAGACTCCGGCTTAGCTGGTCACTGGAAGACCGACTGAGCGTCATCGAAAGTCCGGATGCCATTTTTTGGGGCCCCTCATCGACTTGGACTGCTTTCATCGGGTACGGTTGGCGGTTGACCACTTCCATCTTGAAGCCAGATAAACATGGAGAACGTTTCTTATGGGCACGGACCGCGGATATGGACGCCTATCGACACCTCTCACTGAGGTCGATGTTGCCGTTGAGCAGTGACTTTCCCAGCTAGGCGGTGCCGGGCAAAAGGAGCATGCTTTTCGAACGATCCCAGGGAAAGCGCTTCAGAGGCCAGCATTGTCATTTTGCTATCTCAGATACTCTTACATTCTTCGCACGGGATTGGAAGCACAAGGAGCTTCCAGTTTTCCCTACTTGCAGCATCTATTCCGGACGACTATGTTACTCCGGGAACCCAAGGCTGCGACGCAGCAAATAGCTCTTGGACCATGTTCCTGGGCAGTGATACGGAACCGATGTAATCATCGCTCTCCAGCCAAAGGCAATGGCCCAGTGTAGCTTGTGCTGGATAGTGTGCAAGCACATGAACCGGCGACTTGCTTTGTGCTTGTTCTGCTGCCCTGTTACCCCTCCACGCCTGACTAGCCCCGGTCACCCGGCCGGGACTGTGCCGCCTCCTTTTCTCACTCTTCTTCATTGTTCCTTATTTTATCACGACCCTACAATCCACTTTTGCTACTATACCCCCCGGTCCTTCGTTGAATTATCCACGCCTTGTCTTTTCCATGCGCCAAGGACCATATTTTCTGCATGTATTGTGCCTTCTCCGCGGCTTTGCTTCGCTATTTGATTTGTGTGCCTTAGACGAGTTCTTATACCCAATGGCAGTTCGAGGTGGACGATGCGATGTTTGTGTCTGCAGCGACTTTGTGTTGGTCATCTTCATGTTACACATAGTGCCGGATGTCAGCTGAGCCGAATTAAGTTGCTTGCACTAGTGCTGTGCTTTCCGAAGCTTTGATGGATTGGGCCTGCGCTGGTTTCCATGTTTCCACGTATCAACGTAGGCTGCCGCAAATACGGTATGCAGACAGCGCGGGAAGAGACCGAGACAACCGTCATAAGCATTTGGCCATGCTGGAGTATAAATCACGCCCAGGAAAGTATCATCATCGAATGGAACCGTGTACCCAGCACACATGAAGCAACTGTACTCCGTATGCGAAGCCATTTTCAAATTTCGAGGGGCATCAGATGTGCCACCAGTAACATATGAAACAAACAGACCAGCAACAAGGCGATTCGCATACGGTCGGACATAATCAAGTCGACAAACCACAAATGACCTTACTATATGATCTGCAATTGATATTGACAGAGAAGAGAAAAGACTCGAAAAGATATCCTTGGAAACAAAACACGCAGCAACGGACCAGTGTGGACGGGCTCGGTAGTCCAATCTTCATCCACCAAGTCATGCCCAGACCACAGAAGGTGGCTGAATTGAACCTCCGTCTCGCCCATGCAACTTCGTTGCTGCTGGCCAGGAACAGAGCCCACACGGGTTCGTTCACAGAAATCGTTGATGCTGGAAGAGGTGGGGGAAAGGCGAAAAGAAAAGAAAAGAAAAGAGAAGAGAAACAAATGTCGTGAATACATTAGAATAGACCGATAGCGCCAGGCTCTTTTGATGCCACCCACCACCAACAGGAAAACAGAGAGACTGAAGCAAAAGGGATGTAGACAAGGCAGGAAAACGCATGTCGATGATTTATTGCCGAATAGGAACCCCACCCCGAGCCGGAGGTGGGCTCACGCTATCATCGTTGTTCTGCTCAGCCCCCTCGGCTTCATCCACGCTTGTTCCCCGTTGCAGATAACTCGCCTCCTTCACAGGGCTTCGGCTCTGAAATCCGATGGAGCCTGGATGGCCACTAATGCTACCGGGGATCTGCTGTCCTCCCTGCGCGCTGATGCTCCCGCCATTGCCTGCGGCTGCGGGATTGTTGGCACCGGGCGAGGTGGCCGTCAGATGAGGGATGTTCTCCGGGACGGGGTGTTGGGAGCCGATGTTGGTGACACCCACGTCCGAAGCCTTTCCGGCCTTGCTAAGCGCATAGTCGCCCGAGTCGAAGTATTTCCGCTCCTGGACGGTAACCAACAGCGTTAAAGGGTGGACGAGGACCGAATTCAGGGACAACCGAATCGACATACCTTCAGCTTGTTCTGCAGGAGATCCTTCTTGGTGGGCATTTTGCCATAGAGGCGAAAAAGGCGTTGCTCATCAGGGCTCATCTTCTGCGGGGCACCGTGTCAGTCTCAGCCCAACCAATAGCCGGAACAAAGGGATTGTTGGCCGAGACTCACGCTGGTATCGATCTTGTTCTGCTGATGGGGGTTCATCTTGGCGAGATGGGAGGTTGAAAATGGACGATTCGGAAAAATGAAGACCAGCCGCCAGTAGGTGCGAGTAACAGGGAGAAGAGGTGAGGCGGGGGGGGGGTGGAAAGGTCAGGTTGTCGGGTTGTCAGGTAGATGGATGAAGTGTGGTAACTGGAAGTGTCGTCAGGAAACCCCACCGATGGCGGGGAGGAAAGTATAGATCCAAATAGATGAGACGACTTGGGACAAAAGTCAGGTGAGGGTGGGGAGGGACGAGCAAGACCAAGCAGTGTTTTGAACGATAGAATTGTATGCCGACGACTTGGAAGTATGAGTGAGGCGATGAGTGCAGTTGAGCAGAGAGAGGGAGGGGGAAGAAGTCGCCCGAGCAAGAAGATAAAGACGAGTGAGAAGCAGCCAGCAGCCAGCAGCCAACAGCGCCGGCCGTCATGGGGATCATCATCGAGGTGGTGAGCCACCGTCGGTGGTTGGCTGTGACCGCCCCCGTACCAACCCTGGACTCCGCCAGCACCAGCTCACTAGCCCCTGTTCGAGCCTAGGCTCGCATCAATCCGGTAAAGAGCCGTCTGCGTCCGGTTTAGTGCCATGGATTCTGGAACGACTCCACCAGACCGTGACCGTACCATACGGCACCGGCCTCCAAATTTATCAATGATCGCTTTGGTTTTGCCCTTTCTTCCTCGCTCGGGGTGCAGCCAGCCAGTACGGAGTGCCCGGCATGCATGGCAGTCCGTCTCTGCCGGAAAGTCGAAGTCCTTTCCCCCTTTTAGTTCATTTGTGGATTCCCAGATTTACAATGGTTCGTAGTAGTAGATATACCCAGTACGTCGAGTCGCAGACTACTAGTTGCAGTTATCGTCCCGATAAGTCCATCCGGTTATCGATTAGAAACCACACCCAACAGCCCCTCTCAGGCACGAAGATGCCGCGTGAAACAAGAGCTTCGACCCAGCAACAGTAGGATATAAACAACTTGAAGGGAGTCTGGGATTCGAGTCTGTTCCCTCGGATCGCATAAGATGAACGGGTAATTGAGTCGCTGGGGCGGGAGGGAAAGGATGGGTTGGCTGGTGGTGTGGTGTATTATTTATTACTTGGTATTCGCCCTCAGAATTGAATTGACTTCACGGAATCAAATTCGGCGGCGGCTGCTTTTTCTCTGCCCCTCCCACGGCCATCGTCCTCGTCGCTTCGACGGTCTATCTAAAGTCCCCACTTGACAGATTCTCGTTGTTCACTCCTTGCCTACAAGCTGTCGGTGTCCAGCCATAGTTTTGGGGCATTTTTATTCTTCTTCTTTCTCGGTCTGCATTCCCATCTATCTATCTACCCTTATAAAAAGTTATACCCGTGACGACACACTTGGGGGTACGGGCCACACTACCTTTGATACCCCACCAACTGTAACAAATAGAAGCCATTGTTTCGGTGGCAGGAAACAACAAGCCCTTCCAATCGCAACACAATGAGCGAGCAAGGTTTGTCCTCCGGGCCCGTGACCATTGTGGTCGAGCATCTGGACCCCGAGCTGGGCGCTTGGTCCGCCTTGGAGTATGGCTGCATTGCCCGGGAATCACACGCAGCCGGGAGCAAATTCCTCCTCAGCTCCGTGCCCACCTCCCTGCAGATGCCAGAAGACCTGGCCGCTACCCCAGGACTCGGGGTGGAGCATCGCAGTGTGGAGGAGGTCTTTGCAGACCGGAAATCTAGGGTCTGTCTGTTGGACCCGTCTGCTCAGGTTGAGCTAAGTCCGGCCGATGCGGAGACCTTCGATGTCTTCCTCTTTGGGGGGATCCTTGGTGAGTACTACTCGGCCCGCTCCTTATCCGGACTGTTGGGTGTGCCAATTGCCCTGGTGGGATCCTTGTATGGCTAATCCCAGAGATTAATTGGTCTTCAGGCGATGACCCTCCCCGTGGTAAGTTCTCAGCAAGAAGCTACCAGCTGTGAGGTTCCGGATGCTAACGAGATGACATCAGATCGGACCTCCGAACTGCGCAAGAAGGGCTATGCCGGAAGAAGACTGGGCCCTAAACAGATGACCACGGACACGGCGGTGCGTGTTACACGCATGGTCGTGCATGAGAAAGGTCAACTCTGCTTCCCGTGACAGTGTGAGCCAAGAGATGAGAACTGACTCCTGACAGTGCCTCTGGAGCAAATCTCATACATTGACCACCCGGAGATTTTGATCAACGAGCATGAACGCACCGAGATGCCCTTCCGCTATGTCAAGGGAGCGGATGGTGAACCCATCATGCCCAAGGTATGTCCTGGCTGCGACCCTTCGAAGGGATGTGTACCACTCACACGATAACTTCAGGGCATGGTTGAGTTGATCAAGAAGGATGCCGACCAGGGCATCGACGATCTTGTTTAATCCATTATACTAACTAGTTAGCGGCGGGCCTAGTTTTGTCAGCAACTGTATTGAATCATCACGAAGGGGAGCACCCTTGGAAGTCTGCTCTATAGAACTGCATGGATGCTTACGCTAACCGTGTTGAACGGCCTGTGGTTCGATTGGGGGGCATAGATAGCTTCGCCAAGGAGGATAATATAATTGGAGCCATTGCCACGCGGGCCTTGTGGCGCCCGTCCGATAGGCACTATGAATCGCTAGGCCAATTCTTGCATCTGAGGGACACAGTAAGACGCTCGATTCCTCTCTTATTCTTTCTATTATTCTATAGAACGAACCTATAGAGCCCCCAAATAGGCAAGGATGGGCTGGGACCGTTCCGAAACGGTATCAGATCGGTCTCGTCCCGCCTCCCGGGAAGGCTCCGGGGCTGCCTCGCGGCGCGTATTGAGGTAACCAGATCGCCCAGATACCGGGTGGTACGCCGCCATACCGTCCGCCGCCCCGTCTGGCCACGCCATCCATTCATCCACTCATCATCCACTGCAATCCATCTCATTCCCTCTCCTCTCCTACTCTCTTCTCTCGGTTTTCCCTCCTCCCTCAGATTCCCTCGTGACGATTCCTTCGTTGTTCCGCCTGGGAGGAGCTGTACCCTTCCATCCGCTCGGATTTCTCGTCCCTTGACCTGTTCCTGAGCTATCCCGCTCCTATCCGCCGAGAGACTCCCGATAGCACTGCCCATCTCCTACCGGGTGAAGGGTAAGAAGCGCAAGGGCCGGTCGACTCAATCGATGATTCCTTGAACACTTTTCCAAGTCCGCTTGGGACCGTTCCCTCTGCGCTGTCTTCAGCAATTTCTACACAAAATTCCCCCGTATCCGCCTAGCTCCTACCGATGGTCTCCTTATCGTTCCGCGGGGCGACCACTTCCGTTCCCTCAATGGCATCCTGGTTCCTCTCAGCGCTCTTTCTTCTGAGCCCATCCTTGGTGTCAGCCAAGTCGGCGGCAGACTACTATGTCCATTCCTTGCCGGGTGCCCCCGAGGGCCCCCTGTTGAAGATGCATGCTGGGTAAGCTCCCATCTCGGACCTGTCCGCGTAGCGCAAATGCTGACTTGTCTCGCCCGCGTGCAGCCATATTGAGGTGGACCAACAAAGCAATGGAAATCTTTTCTTTTGGCATTACCAGAATCGCCATATTGCCAACCGCCAGCGAACCGTGATCTGGTTGAATGGCGGTCCCGGATGTAGTTCAATGGACGGAGCCCTGATGGAGGTCGGTCCGTATCGCCTAAAGGACAACGAAACCTTGGTGTACAACGAGGGGTCCTGGGATGAATTTGCGAACCTGCTGTTCGTCGACCAGCCAGTCGGAACCGGGTTCAGTTATGTCAACACGGACAGCTATCTTCATGAACTCGATGAGATGGCAGCTCAGTTTATCACCTTTTTGGAAGAGTGGTTCAGGCTATTTCCGGAGTATGAACGGGATGATGTAGGCTTGGCTCCTCCCATACTACCCACGTTATGCTCCTTTAAGGACCTTGTTCTAACTTTCCCGGCAGATCTATATTGCTGGCGAGTCTTACGCCGGCCAGCATATTCCATACATCGCCAAAGCCATTCAGGAACGGAACAAGAACGTCCAGGGGAAAACTATTGCTCGGTGGAATTTGCAGGGCCTCCTGATCGGCAATGGCTGGATATCTCCCACTGAACAGTACCTTTCTTACTTGCCTTACGCCTATGAAGAAGGCCTCATCAAGGAAGGTAGCAGGACGGCAAAGGAACTCGAGGTGTTGCAGTCTGTCTGCCAGTCCAGGCTGGAAACGGGAAAGAACAAGGTAAATCTGAATGACTGCGAGAAGGTCATGACTAGTTTGCTGGATAAGACGGTCTCAAACGATCAATGCTACAACATGTACGACATTCGCCTTCGCGACACCACCGACGCATGTGGTATGAACTGGCCGACCGACTTGGAAGATGTGAAACCCTACTTGCAGCGGCAAGACGTTGTGGAAGCGCTCAATATCAATCCGGAAAAGAAATCCGGCTGGGTGGAGTGTTCAGGAGCCGTGGGCAGCGCCTTCAATCCTCAGAAGTCCGTGCCGTCCGTTCAACTGCTCCCGGGACTACTGGAATCCGGGATTCAAATTCTTCTCTTCAGCGGTGACAAGGATCTTATTTGCAACCATGTCGGGACCGAACAGCTGATCAACAATATGAAATGGAACGGGGGCACCGGTTTCGAGACCTCACCCGGTGTCTGGGCTCCCCGACACGACTGGAGCTTTGAAGGCGAACCGGCTGGCATATATCAATACGCCAGAAACCTGACCTATGTACTTATCTATAACGCCAGCCACATGGTCCCTTACGACCTTCCCCGGCAGAGTCGGGACATGCTGGATCGCTTCATGAATGTCGACATCGCGAGCATCGGAGGCAGCCCCACCGACTCGCGCATCGACGGTGAGAAGCTGCCCCAGACGTCCGTGGGCGGTCACCCGAACAGCACTGCAGCGGAGGAGCAGGCCAAGGAGAAGATCAAGGAGACGGAGTGGAAAGCCTACGCCAAATCGGGCGAGGCCGTTCTCGTCGTCGTCATCATTGGAGTGTCCGTCTGGGGCTTCTTCATCTGGCGCAGCCGCCGGCGTCACCAGGGATACCGGGGCGTCTGGCACAAGGACATGAGCGGAAGCTCTGTTCTGGAACGCTTCCACAGCAAGCGCACGGGAGGCGCCGACGTTGAAGCTGGCGACTTTGACGTGGCCGAACTCGACGACCTGCATTCCCCGGGGCTCGAGAGAGAACATTACGCCGTGGGCGACGACAGCGACGAGGATGACATCTCGCGACAGCATTCTCGACAGGCCTCCCGGGCCGGATAATCTTTCATCATTCATCTTGGCTGTTGGTTTACTTTTGATAGGGTCTGGTTGGTGTCTTGCTTTTGGCCGCGAGGGACAGTATATCATCACTTGTGCATTTTCCATCGTATCTATCTAGGTTGAAACCTGGCATCATGTAGACATGAACAAATTTATGACCCAACCTCCCCAATCCATCGTGATATGTAGCCAGACAAAGGTCCTCCTCTTATCATCAACTCCCTATCCAACAAGATCCATGCCGGTTTACTCTATCTCTTTCCCGAGACAAACAACCCTGTATCGTACTCATCATCGTTCACATTCGTTCGACAACATCACCGTTCGACCGTCCAAACCTTGACACTCCCATCATCGGCCGTGGTGATGAGCACCTCCTCTTCCTTACTCTCGTCCCGCCCGCGATCAGCGCGCTTCGCCCACGCCGCATGGTTGATTTCGTAGATGCCATGCGCCCCCGTCAACGCAGCGAGGATCACCCACTCTGTCCGCGCGACAGCCGGCGCCGACGACGGCGGTTCTGTATCCATCGGCTGCGGCGAGGCGACGTCCACCAACCGCTCCTCATAGAGCACGATACGACCATCGGCACCCACGGACGCCAGCAGCCCCGTCTTACTCCAAGCCACCGCATACACCGCGAGATCATGCACCGCCGGAAGCACCGCCTCCTCCTCCCACGTCTCATCCATCCCCGTCGGCCGAATGATACTCGGCATCGCCGTCCCCGCCACCGGAGCCTGTTCCTTAGGCTGTCGGCGCCAGACACGGACAGTCCGATCATCCGAGCATGACACCAGACGCGGTCCAGACAAGGCACGCTGTCCCGCCTCTCTCCAGGCCTCCTTCTCCGTCTCCTCCACCAACCCCGCCGGAACATTGTCAACCGCTTCCCAATCCACAAACCAGACCGTGCCCGCGTGGCCCCGCAAACACGCAACCTGGCCCCAATCATCCAGGTCCTCGCGCCAGATGCGAATCGTATCGTCGTAGCTCGCACTCGCCAAACACTCCTCGACAGGATGCCACGACACACACTTCACGTCCCCCTCGTGCTCCTGCATCACCGCCACCGTCTCAAAATTGTTGTCGCCGTCATCTAGATCCTCCCAGATCCAGATCGACTTGTCCCGAGAACACGTTGCCAGGAGCATCCCCGACGGTGACCATGCTACGGACTTCACCTCACTATCGTGTCCGTCCAAGAGGACTGCGAATCGCCATTCATCGTCGTCGTCTTCTGCTGCGTTGCTTGCGTCGCGGCGGAGAATATCCTGCTCGTCGGCTTCGGATTCAGCGCGGTCATGGTTATTGGTGGCCTGGTCTCGTTGACCCAGGCCCCACCCGTCGGTTGCCTGTCCGTAACTGTCCCATCGACGCCAGATGCCGGCTGTGGCATCGAAACTGCCCGTGGCGAGCACGCTTTCGCCCTGGGCGTGCGGCTTCCAGGCGGCGGTGCGAACGCTGCGCTTGTGACCGCCGACGATGGTCGAGAGGAGCCGGAAGTTGGTCAGCGAGTAGACGCGCACGGTCTTGTCGGAGCTGCAGGTTGCAACGATGGGGAGACGCGGGTGTGGCGCCGTCAACCAGGTGCGTTCGAGGGAGGGCGGGGTCAAATCCGACAGGAGCTGGAGGTGAGCGGAGGAGGTGACGGGGTCGGCCATGGCGATGGTGGGGGATGGATTTATTGATGGAGGGCCGTCTTGCTTCTCGTTTGCGGCCATGCCATGGAGAGGTGAAAGCGCAATGGCGGGGAGCTGGTCGAGGCGAGGGTTTCCCAGCTCTGGCCGAGATCGGGGATTAGTCACGCCCAGTCCGACTAACATCCTCCGGACGTGACTACGAAGGTCGATCTATATCTAGTGCTTCCTCATGCCACACGGCAGGAATGCGGCCTGCGAGACCAAAATAGATTCGCGCATCCACTCTATGTAACGAGATAGCAACATTACGCCCTCTCCGACCCTCCCATCCTGTTCCCCCTTCCTGCTATAGACAGAGACCCCTCCAATCAATAACCCATGGGAATAAGAAAACCAGAAGAAACGAAGAAACCCCAGCCAGCAACCAACTCAGCCGCGCTTATGTCCCCTGCCTTGGGGGGGCACCCTCGGCGAGGATTCGCTCGTAGACCCTGCCATGGCATAACCAGTCCACCTCACGCACCTTCTCCAACTCATCCGTCAATTGCCCGACCTCCATCACAAACTCGGGCATGCCGGCCCCTGCCAGACTTTGGCTAGCGGTGGTGGTGGCCCGCACCCTTTCGCTGGCGCTCGACGCACTCAGGCGCGAGAGAACATGAGCTCGCAGGCGGGACAGGATTAGTCGTGCCACAGGATCCGTAAAGCTGGCCGCACTAGCTGCGCTCCCACTCGAGCCTGCAGACCCGGCAGAGCCCGCGGACGAGGACGCGGACGAGGACGCAGCCGAGGTGCCCGGGTCCATTTGGATCTCGACGGTTGTCGGCGTTTCTCCCGCCGGGGAGGCGGCGGCGCAGGCCATGCCCACGGGCGCCAGCACCCGTCGAATGGTTGCCGCCAACTGGGCACTCGCGCTGGGAGGCATCGGGTGAGTGGATTCTAAGATCGACTGGACCCGATCGGGTTGGATCTCATTGAAGTTCAGGGACAGGAGCCGGTCCGCTTCGGCCTTCCACTGAGACCGCACATCGCGCTTGAGCAGATTCTTGGCAGTGAGGAGGATGGACGCCGTCGCCACAATTCGAAACGCCTGCGCATGCAACCGCCCTAGCCGCTCGCGATCCAGCTCAAGAGTTTCGGGAATCAAGTCGTCGGACACGGAGGCATTGCTCAGCACGAGATCCACGAGTCCTTGCGCGTAGACCTTTGCCATCGGCGGCTGCGGCTCGCCGTTGACATTCTCCGGGTCTCGCTTTCGCATTTCGTCTGCAAGAACCTTTCGGTATGTCCGCCAGAAACGCCGGCTCTTTCCCAGTCCCAGTGAACCGTCCTGGAGACCTTTCTCAAAGGTTCTCTGTTCGTAGCCAGGCGCCTCCTGGATGAGTTGCGGAGCCGCCACCTGAATCATGAAGTTTGTGTGGTCAAGGGACAGAAGATCGATGATTCCCATAAGTCTTGCTAGACGATCGATTGCATCCCCCGACGTATCCTCGACAAAAGCTTTGACCATAGGGTCTCTGTAAGGAGCGCAGAGCTTTGGGAGGATGGTATTCATAAACTCGAAGAACTTATCGTAGGAGAAGGCGCCAGCCTTGCACTCGTTCTCAATCAGCTTGGGGTCCAACACTTCGCTGATCAGCACATGGAGCGAATTGCCTGGCCGAAGCGAACGCAGTAACCGATCCTGTATCACCGTGGCCATGGCCACGGTCCAGTTCGTCCCCAGGCCGGCATCCACATCTCTGCGCATCATTTCGCACATATGCTGCATGATCCGCCTGCGCGGCTCCGTATATTGCTTTTCATCAACCTTGAACCCTTTGTCGATCAGGAGCTCATGTACCAGTGTGCGATTCTCCGGAAGGGCAGTGAGGATCCGGGTAAACCGTTCATGGGGAGATATCCGCTGCTTATCTAGTTCCTGTAGAACACCACTGTCCACGTTGGTGAATGTTTCACTGATGGGAGACGTCACGCTCTCAGTAAGAGCCTCGGTCGAGGAGGGCGCAGCTTCCGCTGACCGCGGGATGGCCTGCTTTCTGGAGGCAGTGCGCTTCTTCTCACGCTTGGCCTTCCTCAAAGCATCCCGCACCATCTGCATTGCCCGGTCAGAGCCCGCCAGACGCTTCAGCCTGGCGAGAAGTAGAATCTGGTTCTGTCTTATGCCCTGCCGATAATCTTCGGCCACACCACCAGCGCGGTCGTCCTTGACCGTCTGCCAAATCAGCTCCAACTCGATGAACTGAGCGAGCATTATTTCGATCAAGACGCTGGAGTCATGCGTTTTCCACGCATGAAACGCAGAAAAGAAAACATTATATGCCTCACACAATGCCTGGATCTCGGTTGAGATGAACAGAGGCGAGCAGCAACCGGACGAGAGCAATGGGGTAACTTGGTCGAACGCCACCAGGAGCTCCCGTGCTTTAGCGATGAGGTCCTGTTCCTGCTCTCCATTGCTGCTCAGAACCTCCGTAGGATGGGTGACAATTAGATAGCTGCTAAGGAACGTGCGCACGGCACCCCGGCCGCCCATGGTCCCACTCTCCATATCTTGAAGCCCACAGAACCGGAGGACACGGGATGTGGTGTCCAGTACCGCGTCCTCCGACAGCAGCGCACCGACGTCCTCGAAAGTCATGTCACGGATGCGGCTGGTCGTCAGGTCTAGGTCTAGGAATTGTCGCATAATTAGCTTGGAGTGGTATGTCCTCCACGCTCGTTGAATAGTTCTCGCTGCTGCATCCCGCGTGATGGGACTCGTGGAAACCCTTGACATCTTCTTCTCCTCGGTGGAATTTAGGCTACTTGTGCGGTGGCGCCGATGACTCTGTTGGTAGAGCATCCGCCTCTTTTCCACCTCAGCGAATTTCTCCGCGATCTCCAGGCGAAGCCGAGCGTGTTCAGCAGCCTTCCTTTCACGATTGTCTTCGGCCTTCTTCTTTGCCCGGCGAACTTCCTCCTCGCACTTGGCAGTAATCTCAGCCAATAGCCGTTCCCGAGCCTGCTGCGCAGCTAGCGCTCGCTCCTCTCTCTGAAGGTTTCGAGTCGCAGCTTTGGCCAGGGCAGCGCGCAGCCTCACCTTTTCTGCATGCAACGCGCGGTCGGCAAGCCGTGCCTTCCGGCTCTCAAGTATGGAAGTCCGCCGGAGATGCTGCGCTATATGATCAGTGGAAGTTGCGCCATGAGATGACGCGTTTGAGTGTTGCGACTGAAGCGAGGAAATCGAGCCTCGACGGGATGAGGCCGCCGAGGAGCGGCGGATCACACTTGGTTTCCGGGCAAAGCGAGCGGCGAGGTGGGCAGGGAGGCTCAGAGGGAGAGACGGTTCATCAGATGACATCTCCACGTCCGGTTCATTCAAAGGTTCGGCGGCGACGGGGGCACCGGTATCCGGGAGTTGGACCTCGATGTCTGAGTTACGACGGTTCATATTCAGCTGAAGGACGGCTATTGCTGTGTTGCCGCATCCGCCGCAAGGAGGCAGGGAGGAGCCTTATCGGAGGGCGGGGATTCCGTTGGTCGTACGGAGTATATAGCGCGATGATAAGGACTGGTAGGATCCGTGACAGACGAGGGGAAAGGAGAGTCTGGGGTTTGCTTGGAGAACACAAGAGTCGCCGTAACAGATGTGCAGAAGCACCCCAAAGGTCGGGGAAACGTTCGTAATCAGTGTGAGGATTGGAACATGCCCCGAGGAGATCCGTGCTTCGTTTCAGAGGAGAGATTAGTGAGCAGCAGCCACAGCAAGAGCGCACGGAGCGAAGGAATGACAAAGACGAAGGGAGTGGAAAGGGGGAGAAGAGCAGACGACTAAGCCTCCCCAAAACTAACTAACACCCGGATGGTAAGTAAGAGGCAGAGAAGGAGGAGGAGGAGCAGCAGCAGCCACCCATGGGTAGATCAGCGATCACGCATGCATTCCATCCCGCTCGGAATGGCGGCATCCTCTTGTCGTCATCGTCCGCTCCGTCCGAAGAAGGCAATCAAAGACGCCGCTTCCAGGTCGCTTAGCTAAGCCGGTCGGCATCCCTTGCTCGACTTATCTACCTACCCGATGGATAAGCACCACGATGAGATAGACTTGTGGATTATTGCGAACCATGACTCCTATCTATCTACTACGAGCATGTAGTAGTACCATTAGTTGGCCCGTCTTTACACAGGTAGGCCCGCCCATTCCCCTTTATCTCCGTTCGGGCGCTGTATGCAAGCGTGGGGGTTAAACAATGATATCAATAGAAACATCGGTCTCTCATGCTCAACACCAAACGCCCATGTACCCATGCCAAAATATCAATGCATCGTAGAAGGCAGCTTCAGTTGGACCTGCCAGCTTCTGCCATTGCACATTCATTATGGTGGTCGTCGCTCCCACCCCTCCCCGGTGACCCCATGAGGAACAGTTGTGTGAAAGTATATATAGAGGGACTTCATCGATGTCCGAATATGTTGATGCTCTCCGGCTCATCTTCCTCTTCATCTTCACTATCGACTTTTCCATCTTCCGATTCGCTATCACCCGACGATCCATCTTCGTCCGCCTCTTGAACATCCGCATCGGAGGCCCCATCAACGGATTCGGTTTCTTGTCCGAGGAACCCGTAGCTGTATTTGAACTTGGTACCCCATAGCCGAAGCTCACCACCGTCCTCATTCCCACTGTCTCGGAATGAAAGGCCGCCAAAGAAAGATGTCGACCCCGATCTCTCCGAGTCACGGCCCGGAGGGATGCCAAAATAGTTGCTGATCACCGGGGACACTGCACGACCACGGGCAAGGCTGTAGGACGAAAACTGACCACTTGGGTCGGCGGACAAAGGTGCGTTAGGCCGAGGGGCAACAGAGTCTGTCCCTGGGACAGTACTCGTATCAATGCGCAGCGAGGCCAGCGTTGATAACCCAGGATCATCCGCTCCGTGGGAGGAAGATCTAGCCCGTGAGGGTTGTATATCCGCACCCTCACCATCCGTTTCGGGGATATCCTGAGAATTCTCGTGCAGAAGCTGTTTCTGAGCGGTATTGTATGATTCGCACCTAGGCCTTGGTTAGCATGCCGCTTGGACAGGAGCATCGTGAACTCACATATCGCATCGTAGACCCAGCCAGTGGTACTTGACAATAGATTTGGCGCAACAGTCATTGCAATAAATGAGAGCCCTGGTCCCTCTGAATTCGGCTGGCATAGGCTGACTTTGAATGGTGCGATCCAGGTTCCGAAATGTAGATTCCATGTTTGTAATGGTTTTGCTACATATTGGACAACGGTACGAGGTCTTCGCATACTCAGACAGACATCTCTGATGAATGCTGTGCCCGCACCGCATAAAAACCACGGTCTCTGGAGATGTGAACATGTAGTCTCCGCAGATTGGACAGTCACATTGAGTGGAGCGTTCGATGCATCGATGCGTGTTCTCTATAGAGATTGGGAGACAGACACTGCATGTCTAGACGTATATCAGCGCCCAGTTCTCACCATACCCCCTGCAAAACCGCTGCTTACCTTGCAGTGGAAGAAATCTTTCCCTAGGCCCTGCCCTATGCGGCAGATACCGCAGTCATTGCAATGGTATATGCTCTTGTTTGCGTCATTATCCCAAAGTTTGCAGGTATGGCAATAGTACTGTGCCGCCCTTTCACCGCACTGTCCACAGAACTGCGCCGCGGGCTGCGCACACCCACACAACATGCACAGCATATTCTCTGTTTTCGGCCGATCGAGGTGATGATCCTCGACTTCATCGTGGCAGAATCGGCACGTATACCATTTCTTGCACGCAAAGCATTGCAACTTCACGTTCCTCTTATAGTGCTGGCATCCCAAGAAGACTTCCTCGCATTCTTCAGTGTCTATATCTTCCACCTCACCGAGAGGTGACTCGGGCTCTCTCCGGGGTGCATAAGTTGGCACTAAATCCTCAGGCGCTAAATTGTAGGTGAGAGGCTGCGGGGCATCCGAAGCTGTGGAGGCTGGAGAGTGAGACGATTGACCAGAGGAGCGGAGAGACCAGCCGCTGGGACTATCCGCTCGTTTTGGACTGCGAGGGCTAGGAAGTGATGGACTACTTGGGATTGACTGGTCACCCAGGTTCTTTTGAGAAGCGTGATAGTTTTCCGTCATCAACGCGTGAATCATGCGTGCCTGGTCTGCGTTGCTGGATCCCAGGTCTCTGATGGCATGGATCTTCTTCCTCAGAGCGCCCATCCCGTCATCTTCTGGCAGGGAAAATGCAAACCCGCCCTCGTCTACCGAGACCTGATCGTTCAGACGTTGTTCGGCACGCTGGATGTCTACGCTCGGTGGGGTTTCTCGCGCGGGAAAAGCGACAGGGGCGAATCGTATCAAGGATGCCGAGGGACTTCTGGGTGTGTTAGATGAGCCTGACAGATGCAATGACGATTCGCCTGCTGGAATTTCGGGCCAGGCCGTGGAAAGGTTGTGTTCTGCCTCATGATGTCGGTTGGTCGAGTCGATCGGCAACAACGTCGGCGAGATCGCGCGACCATGGTCGGACCCCGCATATCCACCATGCGACGGAGATTCAGCATGCTTCTCTTGTCGTGGGTCAGGCATTATGGTCTCGTTGTATGCGGCCTTGCAATTGCCATCTGCTGGCGGGACATGGTCTCGTGTGCTAGCGGGTGATTCTGGTCGGTTGTCGGAAGGCGATAGGGAGATACTAGCCTGCTGCGAGAGGCGACGGGCTTGCCGAATGACGGGTTCAAGAAACAGAGAAGTAATGAGCCCACTCATGGAGGGCCGATGGCAGCATTTGATGCGGAGGAAGCGCTCCGGAAGTCAAAGGGATCGAATGGAATAAAGGAGACTTAGTTTGAAGTCGGCAGGATTACAGAATGAGTTACTTTGCTGGAACAAGCCTGGAGGCCTGACAAGGGCTCTCCGGAACAGGCACCTCAAACATGTGACACTGGCCCGATGCGGATGCTGATTCGCTAGCCGCGGTTCAGATCTACCACAACTCTGGTAGACTGGTGGCAACCATGCTAGCTGAAACGGTGCCCATCTCCCAGTCATCCCACGGCCGCAGTTCTAATTTAAAACAAGATCTAATCATGAAATTCGTACTCCGTATAGACCTCGTAGCCCCTGCCTTGGAAGTTGAAGCTGAAGCATGCCCGTGATTCTACTTTAGGAGGGATCGACCCCTTTATCAGAGTCGGGGTCAAACCAGGATCGACAAGCGCATAGTCCCCATACTCGGGATGTAGACAACCGGGACATGGATTGCATGGCTACCTCAAACAGATGTCTAGACTATCATTGAGGAGGGCCAAGGTCAGGTTAAACTGCCGGGTCGCATCCTGCGTCAAGGTAGGATCCCTCTGATCGACCCCTAACCCTCTCAGGCTATGTGGAAATCAGTCCTGGGCAGTCTCGAGTCTCTTTCGGGGGCTGGTAACCTACATGCGATGGTCTTTCCTCACTTGCGGCTGCTCCCAGTATTTCATCATCAACAGATTTCTTAAAATCTTATGTTCCATACCTGCAACGTCGGCAGCTCGCTGGAGAAACTGGAGAGTATTGGCTATGCGCCGTGGATTCAGCTCTTCCGGCGAAGATGAACGAAAGGTGGTCCGTAGACTATTCCGAAGAACATGCCGCGCAGGGCTGGAATAATTGACGGCCTTCAAGCCCTGACGATACAAGTGACGATAGGCATGAACCACAGCCATTTGGTCCACGGCGGTCTTCAGAGGCTGAGTAGGATTCATCTTGTTTGAAAGGGACCAAAAAGAAAAAGAGACAGAAATATTCAAGGGGGCCGTGAAACCACTAATACACAGTACAGGATCTGTTCTTGTCTCGTGCCTTGGACTGTGTGTTCAGCAAGGGACTGGAAGTGCCCACATCACTGGGCGATCCAAGACTGAACAATGATACACAAAGTGGTTGATATTGAGCAGATGTCTGTCGCAACTCCCAGAGCCAAAACTAATGAATGAATGAATGAATGAATGGTGCCGGCAGCGCTAGCCCGATCAGGCAGGCACCTTCGGCGCCCGCGCGTTAGGCCGCAAGTGGTTTAAGTTTGGTGGCCCTCCGGCTCTCTCTTTCCTCCTCCCACCTCTCTACCCCCCAGCCCCAGCCAGCCTTCTGGATGTTCGTTGTATACCACGGCTGCTGCTGTTCCTGCTGCTCTGCACTCTACACTCCAAATTGCCGGAGGTCTGCGCCAACCAGCTAACGTTCCCGGCTTCATCAAGCCCCTTATCCCTCTATCAGGGCTAGTGCGTCTTGGTAGCCAGAGAGGAGGCTAGACCGACTTGAACAACCATCGTTGTGTTCTATTTTCGGGTTCATCTTGACTCCCCGGGAGCTGTGATCCATGCTTAGGGCTTTTCATTGTGTAGACATGGCTTACTAACCGGATTTACCTGAAAAGAGCAGCTTCCTATTGACTCGTTCTGCCTGTTCATTCGCTCGAGGGATGATCGAGGCTGGACGGCCTTTTCCGTGCAGCGCGTATCTGAACCGCCACTGGTAAAATGAAGGCTTGTCTTCTGTAGCTACTTGGGACGGTCCTACTTCGTTAGCATGGCTCGAGTATCTCGGAGACCGGCCTCGGTCCTTGCCAGGCGAGCTCCCAGCAGGGTCCTCAAGAGGAACGCTCGAAAACATAGAGTGATTCTGGAATCTGTTACGCAAGAAAAGAAAAAACTTCGAAGTGTTGTATGTTATTGTGTCGCCGGTTTGTCATGGGCACTCTTGACCAAGGAGACAGATCTCGTTTGAAGCAAAAGCCCCCCCTGGTTACACTTTCATCACTGCAGGCAACCCCCAGCTTACGACTGCATGTAAGGAAATGTGCCGAAAAGATGGTCTGAAGGTGTTCGCTGTGACGGTAGGCCGACAGCCGTATCCATCTTTGGTCCTCGATCTCCTCTAATAGCTGCTCATAGACAACACCGCATATGCACACTCACAATCTTTCTCAACATGTACATCGAATTGGCTATCATTTCCCAAGCGCTACTGTCTCTGCAGTGTGCATGAATTTGGGTCTCTATCTCACTGCAGCAGGGAAAGCGGTGCCATTTCAGAGTGTTGGCGGTGCGAACAACAACCGCAAACGAGCTAACTCAGAAGTATCCCAGACCACCATCAACACAGAAGCGAGGGATGTCTTGAAAGACCTTTTCCCTAATATACCAGATAATGATCTGAATCAAATTATCAAAACTGCATTTCAAAAGGTATGTCCGAAACGAGAGACATGGGTAAAATGGAGTGAAGCGAAACAAGTCGAGTGACAGATGCTGAGACCAATCCAAGGGCCAGCGCAAAGTAGGAACGGCAGTCGAGCTACCCCTAGCTCGTCGGGCTCAGTTAGCGGTTGTGGCACATATCCGACATATTTACACTGACTACGATCGTCTCCTAAAGGCGACATCCTTCCACGAGGCTAGAACCCTGGTTGAAGAGCCAACCCTAGCTAAGGTAGTGGAATGGCGAGGAGATGATGAAAACGGAAAGACAGTTCTGGAGGACGTTTTCCGGGAGGTCATTGTCATATCCGATGACGAAGATAGCGATACGGAGGGAGAGGCGCCTCCTTCTGTCGATCGAGATCACAGTGTGATGGTTGTTTCCAGTAATCCTCGGGCTGACGAGCTTCAAACAAAGCCGCTCAATTATGCAAACCCTGCCCTTCGTGACACCCAGCTAGACATATCGGATGATGAAGCGCCACCCGGATTTCGCTTCATTCCAGAGGCACCCAGAAGACACAGGATTGATCGCCGTGGTTTCAGCAGATATCAAGCCTGGGACCGCGCTATCAATCGATATAGAAACATAACAAATGAAACTGACCAGCGCAGATTGCATGATGTTTCTGATGTTCGGAGGCCAATTGTTGCTCGACAGCCATTACTAGAACATGTCGGGTTTGACCTAGAGCCTGCCAACCGGCCACATGTTTCGCTTGCACCTCTTGCTACATCAAATGCAAGACCGTTTAGTACTGGCACCAGCAGAACTGTTATGGACCCGGTAATGGAACGTGTAAGTCTCTAGTAGCCTACCTCCCGTGCTCATCACCGCCGTGTTCTTATACTCTATGTCAAGAAAATGGCATCAGGCTAACTTTCCACAAGCCGTATGAGTTGCACCGCGTGGCTGAATTGCCTGTCCAAAGGAGAGAGGTTGCCCCTCTATCAGGTGCGATTCCCTTGGAGCGAGTGCCAGCTGTTCAACAACAGAAGCGTACATACCAGCGCGAGGGCTCTCCAAACGCCCCTGTATTTGTGAGTGGCCCTAGAGATATTCATGAGATGACCGGGGACCCAACTGTACTTCAAAGACCACCGGGCCCGTCCCACCACAGGACCAATGTACAGCCCCAGGATCATGCATTGCCCTCTATTGAGACCCCTTTACCCGTGGAAATCCGGCGTCCCAACAGTGGCCAGTTAGACCATCTTGCCAAAAGAATGTCGGGAGGCTTCTCAATTCGATCAGTAACACCCCACCGCCTAGCCCGCCAGGATGATCTGGAAGGTTCAGATCGAGATCAAGCTTCTAAGCGAAGGCGTATGGCTTACTACGAGTCTGATCGATCTGAACACACTCATTCTAAGGTTGCCTCCGCCAGTGCAGCTCTTCCCTACACCGGCAGCAGGTACCAGGAAGCCTCTGGATATACACCCCTAGGACACTCTTCAACCCAGGACGAACCTCATTTCCGTAAGAGATATGCCGCCCCGGTTGGATCCTTTCCTATTGCCGAAAGTCAGCCAGAAAGAGCGCAATACCCCTCTGCGTTTGCCACCAATATGGATCACAGAACCGGGATAGCCGTTCACCCAAGGCCATTGGAAGAACTTCACGGCCATGCATCTCATCTTGTCCCCTCTGAGATTCTTATTCATCACAGGTCTCCAGGCCAATCTCATGTTGTGCCGAACATGAGATATGGCATCTCCGAGGATAATGCTTCTGATAGGCTTGTTCCTGTGTGGTCCTCCGAGTTGAGAGAGCGGCGTGTTTACCATAAAGTACCCGGATTTAACACTAGCAGTTCGAGACCGTCTGAAGCGGTAGAGCCACCAGGACCTACTTGGGGTGGCAGAGATTATGAGCACGCCTTTGTTTCGCAGGAATCGTCTCAAAGAAGACACTATGCCGAAGACTTCGTTCGTGCTGTTGATTTGAGGGATCCCGTCCCACTAAAGTATCCAGCGCGGCGTCGTCTTCAAACGGCAACTCATCCTGTCGGAACCCATCCGCAACCAGTTGGGGTTCCTGTGCAGACCGAACCATATCTGCGTAGCTTGCCCGGTAGCATGGAATCCCAGTCCCTTGGCCGTGTTTGTCTGGATTCCCGGGCGGGACCCGCTATCCAGGATTATGCCATGGCAGATGATCAAGGCCCGAGAAATTACATTGACAGGGTACCTAATCCGCCTTTTGCAGCCCGCTACTACGACAGGGGATGTGAAGGCGCGTTGGACTCTTCACGGTATGGCTCTCGCAACCGGGATGAGCAAGCTGTCCCCCTCAATTTCTGCTCTGGTCACTAACGGATCCGCAAGGGATAGACAAGCCTACGAGCATCCACACGATGGCTCGCGGACGGAACAACAGCGTTATTCTACCTATGTAAGACGAGCTGAGCGAGCTCCGTATACGATCCCCGAGGGTCGGACGGTTGTTATCGTGGATTGAAGACACGTATTGGGCTCCTTGATGTATTTCTTGTAAATGTCCGCATATGCGTTGCTGTACATAAGTCAAGCGGATGTGATACCCGACCACGTGTCAACAATGAATTTGGCAAGCAAGATGCTTGCTTCCTACGCACTCGTTCTGCTCTACTTGATCCAAGCATACTTACGAGTAAGCACAGCCCCGAGTTAGTTGGGCCCACGATGGTACTCGTGTCCCGCACGTAGGTCTGCTCATCGGCCGAAGCCGCGACGAAGACACATGGCGCTGTGGGAAGAAGAAACGCCGTGCCGCTCAATAGCACTAAAATCTCCAATAAGGCTTATATATACAAGAACGCAGCAGGGTATATCGCATCCAGACCCGGACCCAGAAGCTGCTGGTCCCCTCCTTCCGATCCGCATCATGCACACGCTCTGATGCCGCGTCGCTCTCTATGCTGGGCGGCGCCGCCCTTAAATAGCCATAGTCTGGCCATCGGCCTCTCCGCTGTTGACAACTTTCCCAGTCTTCTTGATTGTAGCCAACACAGTATCATAGGACACGGAGGGTTCGGTCACCACGTCGGCAGTTTGGGACTCGAGGTTCACATTGAAAGACTTGACGCCTGCGGTAGAAGGTTAGCGTTAGGAATGAACAATTATTCTTTGTGTGTATGGTTTTCTTTTGTCCCCAGCAAGTTGGGAAAGTTGAACCAAAAGAGTGGGAATTATTTCGGCCAGAAGGAGAAATCAGGGGATATACCGTCCAGCTTCCTGAGGACGCGTTCCACGGCACCGGAGCAACCGCCGCAGCTCATGGTGACGTTGAACTTGTATTGATGGTCGGACATGGTGTGAAGTGGGGTGGTATGATCGAATAGAGGGAGTGACGAAAAGAGGGAGAGGAGCGAGTGAGGGTGACCGATGGAGTCGAGGATTAGATATTTATCAATCGGAAATCCTGCGAGGATGACGATGGCGGGGCTGGAGCGGGGTGGGGACCCAGGGGGGATGGATGGTAGTTAATTGTCGGTTGTTTCAACTTGAGCGGCAATGCCGTAACCGCAGTCCTTTAGTTGGATGGATAGAGAGTGTAAGAAAGGATATGGAAAAGGGAATAAAGGAGGGCGTTCTTATACTTCCATTGTCGATAGTAGCTGGACCGTGACGGGGCCAGAAATGCGCAGAAATCGCTCATCCATTACCAATCCGGGTAGATGTCTATTGGGTGCCGGGAAGTCATTGTTCTATTATTTCTGATGCTGTGCTTGCTTATACTTTGGACTGTCCTAGAACCCCGCCGCTCGCTTCTTCTTACGTGCCTTCGTGACACTCTTTCGCCCAGCCTCTCGACCACCAAATATACCTCGCTCGATCTGTGTCATCGGCACATCCTCCTCCACAGCTTGGCTGCTCGGTAGTCTTAGCACCGGAGCCTCACTATTGTCCGGCTGGCTTCCCCAACCCCGCACATCCGAGGGAACGGAAGACATAGGAGGTGCAGAGGCGTTCAAGTTGGTCCCTTGCGATGAAGACATCTTCTTGCGTGTTCGCCGTTTCGGAGTCGAGGCCTTAGATGCCGGTTGAGATTCCTCCATTTCCTGTGTCTGTACCGTTCGTTGCCAATTATAGCCAGCTGGGTCGGTCCCGGGTTGCCAATGGCCCAACACGCTCGCTACATTCCGTGGCATTGCCCGCTCTCGACTAAAAGTCGTAAACGCCGAGAGACTGGTATACGGAGACTGTATGTTCTCGAGGCTTTCAACCTCGATCTCCCCACGAACTAGGGTACTACCAGGAATCGCGCTGCTACCTAGGTCATCTAGGCCACCGCTGCCAGGCAAGACCGATGGCTGAGACATGCGCATCGGATTTCCAGAGATCAATGCATCGAAGGAGTCGTCCACGGAAAAACTTAATGATGATGAAGCATCCCCGGGGCTTTTGCGTCCACTGCTGTCCAACTCATCGACTGCGTAGGCCGGCTGGACTTTGAGACGTATCTGTGCGAGGATCATATCAACGGCCACACTACGAATGATCTTCTCCTTGATGATTCTCGTGCGTCCGGGAATATCGTAGGGCAGACCAGCCAGCCAGTCGTTGACGAGTTGGTCATAGATTGCCAAAAGATTCAATGGCGAGATGACCGTAAAGTCGGTTGACGGAAAGAACAGTGAGCTGAAAAGGCCATATCGTTGACGACCGACTTGCTTCTCAAGCAAGAGAACTGAATGGTCGTTGGAAAGAAAGCTCTGGAGGCTTGACGAGGTTTGGTCGATATCATCCAGCAAGGGGCTGCTACCAAGGGCCTCAAGCCTAGGAACATCAGGAACAGCGATCAGATTATAAGTATGACAGAATCACTCACGCTGTACGACTTGTCTGGTGGTCACTCGTCGTGTCACCAGTGACGATCGCTTCTAGCTCCTGGATAGCTTCCTGGAAGCTTCTTTCGGGAGTTGGTCTGCGGTGGTCTTCTTCTCTTGGCAGCAACGTTAACCTCCCAGTAGCAACTGCATATGCCTGAGAGTAGTTCAGAGTCCATTCGGGAATTGCAAGTGGCGTTATGCTAGACATCCCAGTGTCTGGGAGGGTGAGCATGCCAGTCCCCAATACATGTTCCTCCAAGTCATCTACTACGAAATCATCTGGAGAGAAGGCAGTCTGCGCTCGCTGCACTCCTTGATGCCGTTTCTTCACTCGCAGCACATCCCTTGAAAAGGATTCCTCGTCCGCATGGCTGTCACGGGAGCGACCCGCGTAAATGGCTTCGCGAACAGTGAGGCCCGAATCTACCACAAAAAGCTTGATGAGTTTAGCATGGGGATCATAATGTTGTTTACCGACGGACGACGGCAGGTGCGTAATCTCCCTGAAAACAAGCGTTGAAAGCTGCACGTTATTGGAGAGTTGGGGTTCCACGGCATCTCGGGACAACGATGGGATCTCCATTACAAAGGGATCGGGTATTGATATTGCCTCCGTTTCTTCTAGAGTTGAGGATGGACACTGAAACGCTAGCGCAAGATGATTGAGGCGTGAGTATAAGATAAGGTAGAAGTCTAATGGAAGATCGTCAGTACAAATGTTATGAGAAGCCGAGAATGGCAACAATCATCACTATACCATCATGCACAAGTAGACAAGCCAGCCGCAACGTGGTGTCCTCAGGATCCCGAAAATGACGCCATGACAGACGGGGGTACAAAGGAGGCCGCGAATCGCTTTTAGTCGCAAGGGTCGGATCAGGGCATGAAGTAATATCCAACCAGAAGATCCGAGTGGTTGTCAGGATGAAAACATGCGACACATTTGAGGCACTTCTCTTGATGTCAAGTATCCATTCTGACCTTCGCTTCAAGCCAAGCTCGATCGTATATGGATAAACCTGGCCACTGTCCATGCGATAAAGCATCGGGCAGCGCCGATCGGAAACGACAAAGCTATTGACATCTCCGGCCCATTCAATAGCAGCCCATCCATCATGCCGACGAGGGTCATTACTGTCGTAACCGTCCCCCAAGTCTAGCCAGGGAAGTGTGCCAGATTTGACAGACACGGCTGTCCAATTAGCCTTGGTGCGCCTGTGTCGTCCAGATAACTCCCAAACACTCCAATTGCCTCGTTCGTCGACAACAGCAACTTGCTTCTGATACCAAGGGTTGAAAGTGACATCCGCATGCGCAAAGCCACCAGTCTGCGTGTTCGATATCTCCACTAACGGGTTTGCATCTAGGCGAGACTTACGGGACCGATTAAGCAATATATAATCACCGTCACGGTTTCCAAGCTCGGGCTCGGGGTTTCGATGATACTGTGGCCGGAAAATGGTAGTTGAATGGGGCATACGAGCTGCCATCCACGTTGCCTTTTCCTCCACCGTTCGCGCAAAGCAGATTTGACGGACAGGAGCTCCTCCTGCAGACCACTCATTGCTCTCCGTTTGTCCAATTGCGGGAACGCGAATCGAGGTAACTGTCTTTCCTCGTAGTTCCACAACATCGTCTTCAATCTTCCGAAAGGAGATGGTGTTGCCACACTCTCCAGATGCCACCACGGCAATCGGTATTACCCGGCTCCCCGAGTCGTTATTTTCCAGATCGACAGCATAACCGATATCAAATAGCGAAGAAACTAAAGGATCGCATGATTCGCAAGATGTGACGGCATGGGAGAGTATTTCGGTGCTGGAAAGAGGCCAACAAGCTGCAAGCTCGGGGTAGACTCTGGGCAGAAACCCTTTGTTCTCAATCGACGACGTCCGCAGCGCAGTGAGTGGCGATGGTATCGTGGTCTTGGTCACACCGGCGTAGGAGATATAAGACGCTCAATGAGTTGTCAGTTATTCAATCGCCCCAAATCAGTTGTCCGGGTCGCTTACATGGGGCTAATGTTCGCGAAAAGGCCCAAGTCTGTGTCTGTGAATTGTAAACTGGCCTTCCCAAATGCCCATATTGCAGAGCACTGGTAGAGTTTTCATCCATCTGGTCTGTTTTTGCTCCTGGCGATATGCGCTAGCTCCAGCCTTATGATCGTGAGCATGTCGAGAACCGGGGGACAACGGCTCGATCACAAATTGCGAACTGATGGACAAGTCTTCTGGCAGTGCCCTAGAGTGCAGCTGCTTCTGACAGCTGTCAAATCATAATCCATGCATACGCAAGGGCAAATGATACAACGGCCGATTACAAAAGGAAGACCCGGGGAGGGAAAAAGAAAAGAAAAATCAAAAAGAGGTGATAGATCGATGCCAAGCTTTCGTTAGTTTTGTGTCCGGCGGTTGCGCCGCAACACCACGCTTTAGCGTTCGCGCTCAAGAACATGATCACGTCAATAAGCATCACCCCCGCATCATCTACCAGAACCTCGCAGTCTACGGCTTCTCGTCAGCACTCAAAAATCTGATTAAGTGCAACATGAACTCCTCTTTTGATCCGTCACTCTCGACAAGTGGCATGCGCCCGCCTCTGGCGTCGGCCGATGCCCCCTCGATGGCCGACTCCCTTCCCAGTATTAATTTCGGATTCGAAGATCTAAGGAATCGCATGGCCCAATTTACCGCCCGCTTTGACGCATTCATCGAGCGGGGCCGTAAACAAGTCTTAGAGGAGAGGAACCAGTTCAAGATCGGACTGGCAGAGCTACAGGGTATGTCAATGCCTTGGAAGAGCGCGCGAGAACGCCGGGCTAATTGGGTTTCGCAGAGGATGAACGCATGAAGCAGAGAGATATTGAAATTCTTGACCTCAAATCGCAGACCCACCAGCAAACACTCCAGAAGGAAGCAGCCGAAGCTGCGGAAATGCACGCCGCCATCTCGTCCGTGACTCTGGAACGTGACTCCCGTCTTGCCAAACGCGACCGCCTCAAGCAACAAATCGATGAGACCCAGAAAGCGATCGGTCAGAAGCTGGAGGCACAGAAGACACACGCCAGGTATCTAGACGCACAGGCTCGGCTGAACGTGCCAGAATTGGAATTCTGGCAGGACTATCTGTGCCTCCGCATTGAAGGGGCAGGACGGGAGGATCGGCTAAAGTTTGTTTACACTCACCTGCTTGAAAAGGACTGGGAAGCAGAAGCTTGGTTTGAACTCGGCACAGCCAGCCGCGATTACGCTGTGTTTCACACACGACCCAGGCTCGACCGGGAGGCTCTTGAGCGGGAGCTCGATATCGTGAACGAGGATCGTGACTTTGGTGCATTTCTGAAAAGGATGCGGAAGCTGTTCGTCGATACAATGAAGTAAGGATGACGTGTATGATGTAGATGCCATTGGAGATGCAGGTAATGATTAATGTATATCTATGGAAATGTTTGCCTTAGTCAGAGTCAATGCGCTACGATCTGGAAAATATCGGGTGATCAACACTGAGAGGCAAGCATGGCGCCCTCTTTATTGCAACAAGCATATGGAATCTCTCATATAGCCTACCGGTCGTGAATAAGAATGTTACGACGGTCCAACGACTCATACCGGGGCTAGAGCCTAACCACCGGTAGCTTCACGATAAAGAGATATGCTCCGATTCGCACCAGCCGTAGCAAATCCTACCGATCTCCCGATCTTTGATAGCCATTTCACACTCCAAATTGCTTTCTCCGTCTCAGAATGTGTAGCAACGCATGCTCTGGTGTCTATTGACCAAACCTTCACTTTTCCATCAAATGACCTTTCGAGCATTAGAGCACATCCATGAAGGGATACACATAGATATACTTACCCGCTGAGAAGGTGCTCCCCCGTGTGGCTCCACGAAAGCGACATGATCCATGCTGTGTGCCCCGAGAGATTCGCCACTTGCTCACCAGAGGAGGTGTCATAGAGCACAATCACCTTGGAGTCTCCAGCAGCAGCGAGGAATTTCCCCCCGGGAGAGAATGCAACAGCTCGTACGGGTTTGACCAGGCCTTTGAAAAAAAAAAATGTAGGTTAGACAGCCACCCAGGCCTGATATAAGTTGAATGAGGCAAACAAAATGGAATGCTCACCAGACAAGCTAAATGGCATGCGTCCGCTTTCTGTACTGAAGATGTAGACACTGCCATTTTCGTGTCCGCTTGCTATGAAACGGCCATCTGCAGACTGATTATGACATATGAGTATCATCTTGGCAGTAAGAAATGAAGGCCAGTTCTTACCAAGTCTATGCAGGTGCCGAAGCTACCTTTGGTCTCATAGTCACGGATTTCTTCCCCGTTAGTGTCCAAGTCCCACACCCTGATGTGTCCATCCTGGGTGACACCGGCGAGATATTGTCCATCCTCGGACAAAGCGATGGCCCAGACATCTGCAGGTGTCGCCTTCTTGACTGGGCCACGATTAGTCGCGGGGTTAATACAGCGAAGAGTCACCTACCAGAGGCCGCGTCATCCTTCGCCCAAGTACCATCCTGACAAGACCAGATCATGATCTCACCACCGAATCCGATGCTGACAGCCCTCGAGCCCTTTCCGTTGGTTACCACATGATGGCACCCTACCTTATGGGCATTATCAATTGACTGGACCAATGGAAAATCAGGATCGGTGGTCGAGTGAACTTTGAGTGAAGAGGTACCCGAGGCCGACAGAATCTGCTTGTCGGTCACGGCCAGCGCGAAGATATCAATAGGATGCGCTGTTTCGGTTTTAGCATATATAAGTGATCGAGAGATACAGCTTAGTATACAAACCATTATCTGCAGATCCACAAGAGAGATATTGTTTCGACTAAACCGAATGGTTTTCCCCAGTTAGAATCGATCACCGCAACGCTGGCTTCTCCTATATCGAGACATTACCATGCTTAGATCAGAGCCCTAGAGGTCTAGGCAGTGTGGACCCTAGACAACTCGAGCGCGTTATGATGCTGAGGGGAAAGTATGAACGTTGTTTGGGGAACCGAGCGACAATCATGGCGGGACAAACTGACTGGCGGCCGAATGAGATCATGTTCCCGATGGCACCCACCCGGCGGACCTTCAATGAAAGACTGACGTCCTCCGCCCTGCGCTGGTATAATCTTTTGATTACATTGGAACACACCAGATCCCTCGGGCTTTTCAATTGGCCCCGGATAGCTATACAAATAAATAAAACGGTCACGATGCAACAAAATTAAACCACCGAAGTCAAGAACCCTCAGGCTGTGCCAGACGCCGAATGCCATGCAGCATTTATCCTACACTTCATGAATACCAGGTAAAAATACAATCCCAATGCAAATAAAATCCACCGTCTGTCCGTTTTTCATAAAATGTTCCTTTCTTGCCCTTTAGGCCGTTTGGGTATCCTTCCATTGCTTCTTGACACCTGGAAGACGGTTCACGGTTAGACGCCAGGCTGAAAGGTCGTTTTGGGGAGGGGGGCGCTCATCAACAGCGGGGTGTACCTACTTTCAACGCAGTTGGGGCACAGGACGTGCGAGCGCTTCACCTGGCCACATCCGGAGCATGTGCTAAGACCTTTGACATCCTTCAGGGCCTTGCCGGCCATTTGCCTATGACGCTTCTTCATATGGGAGGTCTTCTTCTTGGGTACGGCACGGAGGACGGAGTCCCAGAGGCCCTCGATGAGACCGGGAATATTCAACGAGATGGCAGCGGGCTTCAGAAAATTGTGAGACCAGGCGGAGGCATTGATAGCGAAAGCAGACCACGGTCCTACCGCCGCAGCGGACAGGGAATCGGTGAGCAGGCGGGTTCGAGGCAGCATCTGGGCGGACAGGCTGGAGGGAAGGAGTCGCAGAGCCATTTTCGGATGAGGCCAATGGGGACAGAACGCTGGACGGATTGGAGCTCAGATTCTGGAGGGAGAGAAATGGGGAAATTGGGGTAATGGCTGGCAGGGCGGCGGCATAAAATCGAATAATTCTGAAGCTTCCAGGTTTGGGCGGCGGTTGGCCCGATTTGGGGTCTGGAGAGACGCTAAGCCTGAGGGGGATTAGCGGCCCCCCTGAGTCGCAACCACCGCTTTGGGTTGGATGGCCAGAGCGAGCAGCCCAGCTGGTTGTCGTCGCCTGGCCTTCTCTCTCCAGTGTTTTAAGGGGCCCCCGGTTGTTCTGCTTCCACTCCTTCCTCCCTCCAGGTAGTAGTAATCGGAAGTCGAAACGCTTGGGCTTTGCCGTTGCTCTCTGTCTTCTACTCGGTGCGCTGCCCCCTCTCACCATCCGTTCCTCTTCCTTCACTCCATCCTTCATTTGTTTTGCTCCTCGCTTCCACTCCCCTCCGGCCCCTTCACTAACCAACCACGTCTCCCTACTATAGATACATACCACCGTCTGATTCCACCCGGCCTCCCCCACTGTTCTCGACGTCTCCAAGATGGCAGCCGCAGCCAATTCGTCTTCGACCACCCCCGCGACGGTCTTCCCTCGCAGCCATGTCGGTTTCGACAGCATCACCTCCCAGATCGAGCGCAAACTGTTGAAACGTGGATTCCAGTTCAATGTCATGTGCGTTGGTGAGTCGACCCTCCCACCTGGTGTCTCCGACCATTGGCCCTCCCTCCCGACTAACATGGAGAAACAGGTCAGACGGGTCTGGGCAAGTCAACTCTGATCAACACCATTTTTGCTTCTCACCTTATCGATTCCAAGGGTCGCCTGACCCCCAATGAACCCGTCCGCTCGACTACGGAGATCCAGACCGTTTCACACAGTATGATGATTATGCCGTTGCTGATCCAGTCGTGGCAGAGCTGACGCCTATACTCTAGTCATTGAGGAGAACGGCGTGCGTCTACGCCTCAACATTGTCGACACTCCCGGATACGGTGACCAGGTTAACAACGATAGATGGTAATAGGGACTCCATCCGCAATAGCTATCTCCCAGCTAACATGTGACCAGCTGGGACCCAATCGTGAAATATATCAAGGATCAGCACTCCGCATACCTCCGCAAGGAGCTCACCGCTCAGCGTGACCGCTATATCCAGGACACGCGTATCCACTGCTGTCTATTCTTCATCCAGCCCTCCGGCCATGCGTGAGTGCCAAGACACTACTGTCTTGTAACTCAGCCCGGAAACTGATCGTCTCCTATTTTAGTCTCAAGCCCATTGATATCGTTGTTCTGAAGAAGTTGTCGGATGTCGTCAATGTTGTTCCCGTTATCGCCAAGGCGGATTCGCTTACCCTCGAAGAGCGTCAGGCATTCAAGGAGCGAATCAAGGAGGAGTTTACCTTCCACAACCTGAAGATGTACCCCTATGACAATGATGAACTTGATGACGAGGAACGTGCCGTCAACGTCCAGATCAAGGTACGCAGCTCTTCTTGAACAGCCTTCTGTTCGACTTTGCCTCTAACGCCGGTCCAGGACATCATCCCCTTTGCTGTTGTAGGCAGCGAACGGACTATCGTTGTCAATGGTCAGCAGGTTCGCGGTCGCCAGAACCGCTGGGGTGTCATTAATGTGGAGGATGAGAACCACTGCGAATTCGTTTATCTGAGAAACTTCCTTACTCGCACTCACCTGCAGGATCTCATCGAGACGACCAGTCAAATCCATTATGAGACCTTCCGTGCCAAGCAGCTTTTGGCCCTAAAGGAGAGCAGTGCCGCCGGGGGCCATCCTGGTAGCAGCCGTCCCATCAGCCCCTCTGCGGACAGGGAGCTCAGCCGCAACTCGCAACGCATGACTATGAACGGTTATTAATTTGACTGAAAAGATGAGTGGATTGCAATGGTTTCGTGGAACAAGCACCTGAAACGAGCCGTTGCCATACAATGGCGACCAACCACAAGACAGTCTAAGAGTTGATTTTCTTTCCCTTTCATGTTTTGATCTTACTGCACCAACTTCATATCGGCATGCTCTTACAGATATCCTCTTTAACTTCAGGCTTTTCCTTATCGTATTAGTGTTCATTCTACCCCCCGCCGCTGAATGGGGGTGACTTGTCTTTCTTTGTTTCCTATGAGTTGGTTATTCCAGATCGAAAAGAGCTAGCAACGAAAGCGCTAGGCGTCGTCTTGTCATTTCATGTACTTAATTCCCTTAATACGCATCAGCAGGAGAATATACCTGGTTCCCAAGCATAGGATCATTACTGTTCTTAACATAGTCATATCTATGGGAAGCACACGGTCTAATATAGGACTATTTATACTAATCAAAGGCGACATGGCTTGTGCAGCTCCATCAAAGAACTGATCATTGCGAGGCACCGAATTTACCGCCGTCAACGATCCAATCCCTCAGCTCCGTGTACGCCTTCTCCAGGTCGTCGTTGACAACGATCTTGTCGTGAGCACCCGGCTCCTTAGAGAACTCGAGCTCGTTCTTCGCTTGAGTAAGACGCTTCGTCAAGCTCTCCTCGGTCTCTGTGCCTCTTCCACGCAACCTCCTCTCCAACTCCTCCACCGAAGGAGGTGCCAGAAACAGGAAACGGGCGTTAAGATCGGTGCGCTTCACCTGCTTCACTCCCTATTTTCGTGGAGCTATCAGCATGTTTTCCTCTTAAGCTGGCGCGGTATACCGGTAGATCCAGACACAACATCTCAACTGCTTACCTCCATCTCAATATCGAGAATACAGATCCGGTGCTGCTCCGCGATGTTCTTCACCGCTTGCACACTAGTGCCGTAGTAGTTTCCGCCGAACTGCGCATGTTCGATGAAGCCGTTCTTGCTCACGAGATCCAAAAAGTCCTCCTTTGTCGTAAAGTAGTATTCGCGGCCATGTTCCTCACCCGGTCGAGGTGCGCGGGTGGTATCTATTACAAGCAGTCAAGTGAGATTCAGTCCAGGCTGGAGGGCGTGGTCCGTTGGTCATATCGAGAGAGCCGGCCTCACTGGGGAAAGGGGCGCGGGGTTTGACTGACGCGAAATCGAGAAGCCGAAACGATCAGGGATTTCGGCGAATAGTCGTTTCAGGAGAGTCGACTTTCCTGTGCCCGAGGGGCCAGATACCACCACCGGACGGAACTTGTGCACTGGAGTGAGTCATGGGTCAGGAGGACTTGTTAAATCATGCTTTCTAGGACGAAGCGTACCAGCACTAGTAGCCATTGTTAGCGCTGAGGGGCGACTGATTGATGAAGTACGGGTAAATTTCGGCAACGAAAGCAGTCGCAGCCACAAGAGGCAAGAATGCATATAAAGGTTGTTTGGTATGAGGCAGAGTGGGATGCCGCATCTCGCCCGCCATGGCTTTCCGGGGGGGCATCCCGGCAGAACCAGAGGCGGTGAGGTGGCGCTGTTGGCGACGCAGGCATGAACATTACTCGTCTAGATAATAGGCTGATGTGAGTACACATTCTGATAAGATCCTGCTTATCTCACAATACACGGAAACAACGGCACCGCCCCAAAGTTCTACTCGGGGTCGCCGGAATCTAAATAAGCACTTGGTCGTTTCGCGCCACCAGATCTACTAAGCCTGGTTCAGGGCTTCGGCGGTAAACTCTCGGCGCTCTGCGACTCCTGCTCCAAGAAGTTGGACCACAATTCTGCCAGCGTCTCTTTGTTGGTGTTGCCGTTATCCAAGAATTCCGTAGCCAAAGTCTGGCTGCTAGGGGTACGATGGATGGGAGTGCTTGGAACCCTCAGCTTGCCAGAGATGCTGGATGCCCCAGGACGCGCCAGACCTGCCTGCTCCCGTTGCTCTGCCACAAATTGTCAGCATCATGGTATATATCATCTCACATCAACGGTCTATTCCGCTTACCATCAGTCCAGCCTAGAAGCGCTGCAATAAGCTGCAGGATCTGGAACTTTTTGGGGTCTGATCGGTCGAGAGCAAGGAAATGCAACAGGTGGTTCGTCACGATATGTCTAGAGCATGCTGTAAGCGGAAATCCCGAAACCCCTGGGTCTCTTAGCGGAGCAAGGATTTGACATACCGATCAACATTGTCCTCTGGCTTGCCTTTCTTGAGGAACCGCAGGGCCTTTGTCAGGTGGTCATTTAGCGTTACGGCTTCATGGCGGAGCTTGCCAATCAAGAGATTCTTTTCTTTGACTTCTTTCTCAAAAGGCCGTACTCGCTCGAGCTCGGTTTGGGCATCATGGAGAGCCTTGTCGGCCTCAAAGGCTTTCTTTTCTGCGTCATGAAGAGCCTGCTTTAGTTTCTCCAATTGAGCATCGGAGCTTTCTACTAGCTCCCGAAGTTCCTGTTTACGTGCTAAGACTTATTAGTATCTGCAGGTGTAATGTGATGACGGACTTTGGCTCACCGTTTTGGATTTCTTGTAGCGCACGCTGAAGTCCATCCACGATGGCCAATTGGGAATCACGTTCAGCAGCGGTTTTTTCGTAGGCGTCTTTGACGGTGACAAGCTGTTCCTCAAGATCTACAATCTTCTCCCCTAAGTTTTCTCTGATAGACCGCTCCTCCATTGCCAGCACTTCCCAGTTATGCATAGCTTCCTTAGCCTGCTCAAACTCCGACTGCAGGTAGTTCTCTTGTTCAAGCATTTCTTCTTTTTCCTTGAGCCAGTTTTGCTGTGACAGATTTGTACGGTCTCGCAAGGTCGATAGCTCCCTTGACATCTCACCATTCGCTTCCGATAGTTGCTCAACCTCGGTACTTTTAGATTGTAACTTTTCCTGTAAGCTTGAGCTCTGCTCTTCTAGCTCCTCGATCCTTGATCTCGCTTGGGCAATTTCCTCCTATTCAAAGGGTTAGTGACGCTAGAAAAGGTTGGACTTCAAATGGTAGAACACACGGCATCTTCCCGGAGCCTCTCGCCAAGCTGTGACTTGATTGTATTCACTCTTTCCAGAAGTTTCTGAAATTGCGATTCCGCATGCTCCTTCTTGCTTTCGGCATCGTCCAGCTTCTCCTGCAGGGCCGCCATCTCCGCCCGATGTTTGGATTGTATCTCCTCCAACGACTTTCGCATATCCGTCACCTCTGCGCGCAAAGTATCTCGATCTCTAACAAGTGCATTAAGTCGTTCGTTCGACTGAAGGATGTCCGAACCAGATGACCCATTTCCATTGTCCACATGCTCGGCCTTTTCTTGAGAGACGTCTGTTTCCCCATTCCCGGTAGCCTCGTGTATTGAATCCGCAGTTGATTCTATCCGATCCCCCACACCTTCGTTACTTGAGTCTCCGACAGTATCCGTGTTCATATTACCCTGCAGGTTTGGGAATCCGCATTTAGCGCACGCAGGCCTTGACCATGTTCATGCGGGGCCCTTACAGTTTGTTGCATGGCCTCCGAGGGGTCAATTGCTTCCTTGTCCGGGTTGCCTTCTGAACGCTCATCTACCTCCTTGGGCTTAGCGGCCCCCTTGTTCTTCTTCTTGATTTTTGGTTTCGCGGCTGTTGGTCAACCGTGAGCAGGAACGTCAGTGATTAGAGGGAATCTAGAGACTCGCGGCTAATGACGGACCTTCAGGCATGTTTCTTTCTTCCAAATTCCCAGGAATGGCGTTCTGTTCTAGGGTTGCTGCGATGGTCACTGCGCCGGAGGGGCTTGCGTGTCGTTATGAGGTAGGGGCCATAGCTGTCAACATTGCTAGCGCAGGGAGATGGCTTCCGCAGTCCGCAGCTCTCGCTTAGGTACGCAGAACCACCACGGATACACCGCAGGGCTTCAACTACATACCATAGCATGCCATACTAATAATCAACTACATGTGTGGGTTGTTCTTAATTTTCTAGCATATGAAGTCATACATATATCCAGCTGATCGTAGAGCCTCCCACACATTGAGTTCGCCGGCTTTTGGCCCTAACCACTACGCCGGGAGATATCCAGAATTTCGCCGATCGCTTGTTTTCATGGATGTACGGAGCACTCACAATCGCATCAGGAACACGGGCAATATGCCATATGAAAGTGTTGGGACATGATACCACGCCTGAGAATCCACCCCCAGAAACTCAGACGGCGAGTTGTTTTATCCTATGCAGTCTGCAGCCTCTCGGGTATTGCCCGACATGATCATCTCGTCCTTCTGACAATCAGCTCGCTCTCCACTCTCGCCCTCACATAAAGTCGTCGAGAAAGTCCGGATCCCGGTCTTGGTTGCTGCTCGCCTGGATGTTTTCCTCGCTCATCAGGTCATCATAGGCATGGTCTTTCTGCCATTTCAATTGCTCTCGTTCCCTCCGCTCCTGCTTCTCCCTCGAGCGCTGCTCTTCTCGTACCTTACGTTCCTCTTTTTGCTTCTTCCTCAGATATTCATCCTTCTCCGCCCTGAGGTCGGGGAACTTTTCAACACGGGTCTTGTTCAGTCGATTGACAATGGGATTCTCCCGTTGTCGAACATAAACCTTGCGGACCAATTTAGGATTGTGGAAAGAGACCTGGCCAGTTGTCATAGAACCGTCTTTCAGGAGATTCGACCACGGTGTGTAGATCACGGTGATGTTGTCCTTCTTGTTCCCTGCTCTGCCACTTAGACTACCCCTCATAGATGGTTTTTATTTCCGAGTCACTATTGCTGACCTTCGATCGAATTCGCCTTTGTAAGCTGTGCGCAATCTTCTAGGAGCTGCTCTGGGATGTTGTCCCATGTTTCACCTTCCCGGAGGCGGACGTAGACGTGAGCACTGGACAGGTTGTCGACATGGAACTAAAGGCAACGTCAATAAAACATGTGTCGTTACCGCAATTCGACGTTGAACAAACCCTACGATGGAAATACCCGCATGAAAGCGTTAGCACGCTCTTTGCGAGAAGTGGCCGGTCACAGCGCAAGGGTCACGGTACCAGACGTCCTGCTCTAACCCATACTTTATGAGATCCTCATCTGCCCACGTAAACAGTCAGATTTGAGCATGTTCTCAGACTGGAACATGGCCGTCGTACTCTCAAATTTATCTTTCCCGACATAGATGAAAGCAGAGGGTTGAACCACATTCGACGTAAAATAGTAAACCATTTTGCCACGACGGCTTCTCTGATGAAGGCTGACACAACAAGATCAGCACCAATGCGGCAGCAAGGCAAAAATGGCAAGGCGAGCTTTACAATGATCAGGCGAATTCAAGAATGTGTGGAAACTGGGAAGATTTCTTTGCCAGACCGACGCGGGGACCAAAAGGCGGATTAGTCATGACTGTAACCATAGTAAGGCTGGTGACTACGGTATCTCGTTGACAGGCAGAAATGTCAATGCCATCTCTTCCTCTAAATACCACATTACCCAACACAATCTTGTCCCGCCACGGCAACAGAATGCACTGCATAAGGTTTCTAGCCTTGAATATCCTCATCAGGGCCTGCCTTTCCAGTTGCTTTTTACATACCTATTTAGTACGAGGTACGGAGTAGGTAAATAGGTCTAAATGTGAGTATTGCCTACCAGGTGCATAATAACCCTTACTCGATCAACCACTGGAAAAGCCACCTGTCAGTTGCAAAAATCATTGCATTGGCAATTATAGGTCGGTAATCTACCTATGTTGGATTAGTGAGTCACGCTGGACTTCAACAGGCCGCACTAAGTGGGTGTTTCAGTGAGCCCACAGCAGGGGACATGGGGGCCATGCACTGATGACCATTCTCACAATCCCTGAGCTTGGCGCGTAATCTTAGAGTTGGTCAGCCAGACTCGGTGCCCGCAGAGCACATCAACTCGTCAGCGGCAAGGGGGCTGACTGGCCCGGCCTAGGGAAGCTGCCCACCCAAATCAAGCGTGAAGCTTCAGGTCTGGGAGTGAGTTGTCGACATGGAGTGCCCTTGTTGTCACCACAGACTCACTGTAGGTCCAAGTACCTCGGGTCGGGTACCCGATGGAAATAGCGTGATATTGGCAGGAAAGCAGACCTTCGTCTTGCAATGTTTGACCTGGTGCTGGCAGCAAGTCCCAGGTTAAGAATTTCAGGCTTCGGCGTACACTTATGACAGATTTGACAAGTGGCAGCTATCGGAGGTCAAGGCTGTATCAAATGATAAATAGACAAGCAGGAGAAGCAAGAAAGGTACATGAATCGTCAAATCAGTAAATCATCGCTTATGCAGCAACGACAAGGAACACCATGCTTTAGCTTGTAAGAGCTATGCTTCAACCTGATGTGGAAGGAGAAACAAAAACTAACTTGTTAGTGTGGTTGAACGCATAGCTCCTATCTGTGGTTCACGGCATCAGATACAGGCACACACCCAGGCCATGATTTGCTTACCAAACAAAGGCAAGCAAGTTGACAACTTACATGCGCAGATATAGCTATGGGCGATCATAGCCCCAGCACATACCCAGAATCACAGATTGGCCTGGGTTACTTGGCTGTCCTGCTGTTAGTTGCATATCAACATTGTGTCAAGGACTCCGTGAACCTTCGACTGCTACTAACTAGCTAGCAGAAGCGGCAAGCTGCTGCCGTGGGATTTCTCTCCATACACAGTCAGCACGGAATACTGCTTGATAGTAAGACGATGCATAGTTTGATTTGTTGTGCATATTTTCTAGCCAATAGGGCGATCGGGCATGCTTCAAGGGAACGAAGGTACCATAGCTGGCGTTCGAGAGTCGGAAGGACAGATGCATACGCCAGGGTGTACGTAAATCTGAAGGTCTTTTGACTTTTCCACCCCGAAGCTTCCAGAGATGCGAGTCATTTCAGCTCCCGGTCTAACCTAATAGCAGTACTCCAGACCGCCCGACCAATTCGCCTTGCAGCGAACCACCCTAGACCCACCCAGCTCATGCACCGGACCGTACGGACTTGTGGGCGAGTCGTACGTATGTACATTGTACGGAGCGGTTACGGAGAATTGAACTCTGGAGTCTGAACTCTGAAGTCATGGAGACTGTCCGAATTCTCCAATCTAGCCATTATCGCCCATGGCGGTCCGAGGAGAACTTTCCCGGGGGACCGACTCAAGTCACAACCCCTACCTCATCGGCTCATACTCACTTACACCCCAGGTCCATACTACATATGTACATAACAAGTACTCCGTACGGAGTACTCGCTTCCCGAGTACTTCTCCTAGTATCTGCTCCCACCCGTCGTTGCTTTCCCAATTGGGATTTCCCTTTTCAGTTGTCGTGAATTTTTCCGAAGAGCCGGTCACTCGTGACCACCGAAGTCCTTTTTCCTACCGTACGAACCCGGGTGGTATTAAGTTCTACTACGGACCTAAGTAGGTCAGATACTTCTCGACCTGTTCCCACTTCAACCCCATTTACTCCGTAACGAGCGCCCACTGGTGACCCAGCCGTCCACGGAACAGGAATACCCTCGGTTTCTGGAATGGTGCAAGCGCCGGCTGTGCCTAGACGGATTACCCGTAGTTACCGGACGACTACCACCGATCCGTACGTAACCAGTTCCAAATACTGCCTAGTATCTACCAACCAGCAGGAGCCGCTCGTTTCGGCCAGGTTCGCAACCCTACCGTTCTTACCCTACCGTGGAGCCCAAATCTGACACTTTTCCCAACGCGAGGGAAACCGTTACGCCAAGGGCTCAATACTAGACGCTGCTACAGCGGGTGAGCCCGTACGAAACCCCACCTGCCACATGGCCATACAAATCAGAGCAATGGGAGGGAAATTAAAGAGGGTGAGCGCAAAGAAGGAGAAAGGAAAAGTGGAAATAGGGAGCCCGAGAGAATCTCCACCACTGCAGCCTCGGTCCCCTCTCATGTATCTACATAGTACATAGCACGGCTTGAGGTATTTCAGACGACGTTGTGAACAACGGCAACGGATGTCCCCTCCCTTTTTCTTTTTCCCTTCTTCAAAGGGCACAAGGGGGCAGAAAAATAAGATCGGACTGAGCCGTTCAGACAGAAGCTGATAGGCTACAACAGGAATAAATAAATCGATAAATTCCTTAGGATGCACTGCAGGCGCCTATTTGATGATTGGATAGTGGAGGAGAGGGTGATGAAAAGGGTAAAGGGATTTTTTTTGTGAGGGGAAAAAAATAGAAAGGAAAAGTTAAAAGTAAGAAGAAAGAAAAACGAAAAGAAAAATAAAATTAAAAAAATTTAAAAAAAGAAGGTAAAACAGGAAATACATTCAAACCTGGATGTTCCCCCGGCGCCAGCACGTCCATTCATTTTATTATCTTTAATATATTATTCCATGCTCAGAGAATTACTTTAAAGGTATTAGTCTCATTTGGATATTCTTAATATTATTGAATTATTAGTATTATTGTCCCTTGTAAGAGACTCGATCCACGATTGCCCACCAAACCCCCTACTCCACCTGGACGATGTTAAATGGGGAAGGTCGGAGCTTGCTAAAGACAGTCCGCCAAAAAAATTTTGATGAGAAGGTCAGGGATCATTCTATTTCTACCCCTTTCTCCCACTGTCATTAATCCGGCCTGCCCTCCCCTAAGCACCCAGCATTCTGCATTACCTGCGGGACTCTTCATTCTTCATTTTTCAATACCCCAATCCGCCAGGAATCGTGCCTATCCTGAAGCACCGAGTACAACTAGTCCACATGGCCAACTCTGCATCCTCCCCCGAAGTGCGAAACGCCTTGGACCGCGCCAGAGATAATCAAGGTGACGCTGGCACGGCGGCTATCCTCGAGGCTGCCGTCGGGAAGCTATGGGAGCGGATCCAAAATGAGCCGGAGTACGTGCTCAATCGCGAGGAGTTCGCCTTATTCAACTACTTTATCTATCGCTATGGGAAGGAGCGTGAGGGCCGAAGGGCTGTGGAGCAGTTTTGGAACCATTATCGCCCAAATAACTCGGCCTCCAACGGAAGCAAGACTTAGTGACCGTCGCCCCGCCATCACTTGTCATCCATACGCTTACCCGATCTTCGGGCCCAAGGCTCAAAAAGAACTGCGGGCGCCAGGCCCTGATTGATCTAGACAATCGGATCAAGCAGAGAGCTTTGCTCAGCAACGACGGCTCAGCAGCTCCCCGTTTACGACCTCGTCAGTCTGCCAAGGCACACAAGAAATTGAAATGTGGCAGGAAGACGAGATGTCAATCACAAGAGAATGGGCATTTGCTACTGGAGCTCTCTGGAGTACGCGGGTTCGGGGAATACCATCTACAATTTACGACCTGGTATGCGGTTTAGAAGACCGAACACGCTTTTGGATTCTCGTGTCCGACCTGGTTGGTCCGATACCCGAGCGGGCGAGAGTACTCGGGTATAGCCGTCTCCAAATGTACCCGTCAAGATGCCTAGCCTGGTGGAAAGGGCCGGTTTAAAAGGCTGGCCCTGTTTGGTTTTATTTTCCTAGTCATTTTTCTAATTCTTTTTTCTCGTTTTGCTTATTCTTATGGGTCAATCTTCTTAATAATTTCTCATACCCTACGCTTCTCCTTCCTGTTCTGACTTATCTTTCCTACCATCATTCAATACCCTACCTTTCAACGGCCATGGGCTCACTCTTAATGTATCTTTCCATCTGCATCAGGTCAAAGAGTGATCATTGTTATCGTCGTCATCATGACCCCGCATTCTATCTTGTACCCTAGAAGGTTTCGAGGGTTGCCCCGCTGACCTATGAGCTGAGTTGCTCACGTACATGCCCACTGTCTCAGGGCTGTCCTACACCATGAACTACGTCAGGGACCAGCCATACGCACACACATCTTCTTGAAGTGGAGTGACTAGACCAAGCTACATCGGTACTACCTAGAACTAGGCTCACTTGAGTTGGAGGTGGGGAAGGTCACCTTACGTTACGAGGCACCTTGTCCGTCTTAATTTTACATTAGCGACACGGAAGCGGTGCGCGACATGGCTGTCGGGTACAGGCTATTCCGGACTGTAGTTACGTACCTTTGTACATACCCATGACGCTAAAGAGACTCCAGCGTACGATGGACATGCAGCTATACATTAGATCCGCTGTAGTTCTACACGAGACCCAAAGCACACAAGCTGACGGTGTGCCACCTTGCTCCTGCGATATACTAGCATGTATACGTGGCTGGGGCTGAAGGTAATGAGATACTGGTCCCCGGGAGTGGTAGATAGTATACGGTACTTGCTTCGATATGATGGCTGCTAGTATCTGGTACAGGCTATCTACTGATAGGTAGGTACTCCGTACTGGGTGCAACCAATATCCTCGGACGGGCACCAAAGGGAGAGCCCGCCCGATAAAGGCACACTAGTCCATCTCAGGTAGGTGGGGGCGGGGAGTGGTAACTGGGAAAGGCCGAAATCGAACAGGAACCTTGTCCAGGTTGCATCCAAATCGGGCTCCCGCGCGGACATCGTTCCGCGGGCCTTCTGATTGGATGATGCTGTGGAGTCCGGATCTCATTTCACCTGTTATAGTAGTAGCCATGTACTTACGGAGTACTTCGTACCTCCAGCTATACTACGGCCTTACCTAGGACCACTACCTTTGGATAAGGTAGACACCCATGGAATAGCTTATTGCTACCAGATACTAATCAGAGCATACATCGAGCACGTACTATCAGTGCATCTTCCTAGGACAATTTACGCAAGACTCTCGCCCGTGTATGATCAACTAAGATAGAGTCAGCTAGGGCTCTAATTCAGTAGTAAGTACCAGGGGCCCTAAGAACTGGAAAAGAGATACAGTTCTCCACTCTTTATACGTCAGACATTCCTACTTGTAGGGGTGAGTAGCTTTAGCTAGGTGCTCTGAGTACCTAGATGGGCAGGGTAATCGACTTTCTTCTCTCACGGCTACTGCTACTACAAGTAATAGCTGGATATATGAAGCATACAATGGCGATTACAATGGCGATTACAGCGGTCCACAGGGACATTACCACCAGGGAACGCGAGTCCATGGCACTTTTGCCTCGAAACATCTGCACATATATCGATTTTGCCGCAACATGGGCGTTGACGACTCCTGCACCCGCCATCTTGCTTATGTGCTTTGCTAGTTAACCAAGAAGGACGATTATAGGCTACCCACTGTCGGAATTACAATTCTATACGAGATCTTTCTAAACAATGTCTCAGCTGAGTTGAGAGATGGAGGAGCGACACCCGTCCCAACCAATTTGTCTATCACAATGGCCGTCACCGTATAGAACGTCATTTAAGTTGCAATGGAGCCAATGCCTCTTCTCTCATATCTCGGAGTTCTAAAGAAAATTTGAAGAAGGCGACGGCCGCGAATGGAGATGGCTCGTCTTGTGAAGAGCTGCCCCCACTATCCTTGCAAAACAACCCCGAAGACACCGATACACCTGATTGAGGAGAGGAAAGATAAGCTTTCGAGACATCCTGAAATCGCGAGGATAAAATATCACAATGCGCCAGTCACTGAAAACAGAACTGTGCACCCTGAGTATCCAGAGAGAACGCTCGCCACAATGGAGAAGGTCAATATATGGCTACCCATGATGAAGGTAAAGAGCACCAGCTGAGCAGCACCCATGATCTCACAGCCAAACTGACCCCCCCCCCCGGCATCAGCCATGCTATGTGCCTGGGCATAGCGACATTTAAAGTTCCCAAAAACGAGTCCCGTAAAGGTGGTTAGAAGCCCGACTCCCACGATTATGACAACGCCATTGCACAAGTAAGCCAAAACGGGGCCATGGAGATTCCTTCGAGGCAAAAGAATCTACGGGAGGCGCCTCAATGTAGCTAGCACTCTGGAAAGAGCGAGTACCCTAAGCGATATGATCTCCGCTATGATTTCTGGCTCCGTTGAATGTCCACATGCGCGTGTTACGGAGCGTGAGGAGAGGTTGACTTGATCATTCCAGCTTGCCTGGATCAAGATCAGCATTTGTCGAGTCGAGTAGCAGTCCAAGGCTTATCACTTACCACTAAGCCAACATTTTGTATTTTTCCTCCACATTAATCTCGTCCCGAACCTATCTTCTCCCTCGCGAACTGTCTGTGGTTGGCGGGCTACGAAGAGAACCTAGTTTGCTTTGATATCATTCTCATGCGGCTGTGAAGTATCAACGCCGGGGCGCCTCGGTGAAGCTTTCCATGCCATGATACGGTGAGTGCAGAGTCAGCTCTGGTATCTAATTTAGAAAAGGCTTGGGAACAATGCCGATGGTATGATCCAGCGCAAAGCATCATCTATGGGAAACGGTAGGTAGAGGCCGGTAGCCGGGCAACGCATAAACATAAAGACACGTCTCTACGTGGATAACTCAGGGCATAATTACCGAGCCAATAAGCGAAGCAAGCCAACACCATGAAGACCAATGACTCCATCCCTCAAACTCCCATATAGACACAGATAACATACCAATCCTGCCGAGCATAAACTCGCATACTTTCCTACCTATTGACTAAGTACGGAGTACACCAATCGCTTATACTGAGGGCAGTCAAAAGGCAGATGAAAACTGTGCCGCGCACCTGGTTCTCCCCCCATTGGCTTTTCACCAGGCATTCTGTACGTATTGCGTGCAGTGATTGGGTAGTACTGCCCAATCACTCTTCTGTTCGACTGTAGCCTGGATCCCGAAACCATCTAGAAGAAAGGGATGCGATGTGCTAGGACAAGCACAAGCTTGCGATGCCCTTGTCCGCAAGTCAATGGGGGAGATTCAATGATAAAAGAGAGTTGGTTGAAGAGACAGAGGCCATCGATCAAGCCCATGATAGGTTATGGGACCAAAGTATACATCTAAACTATTTATACAAAAGACAATGCTCTATAGCTCGTAACGCTCTCTATCTGTTCGCCGGGGAATCAGGGTGTATCAGCTGGTTTGAATCTGGCGTGGGAATGTCACTACTGAGCACATCTGATGGCGGATCTGGAAATAATTAGCAACTCTGCTGGGACTGAGCTTCTGGGGTCGATTCAACTCACCAGTCCGAGAAATGGACTTTCTTTGTGCAATATCCACCTGCTTCACCTTGCCCGCCTCAACATCCTCCCTAGTCATATTGAGGAAGTTCTTGGGGAGACCCATAGAGGAAAGGAAATGGACGCTATCTTTCCATTCCGTATCCTTCCTGTTCCTATCCCACTTCAGCTCTTCGCCCATCAAATCAATAATGTTAGGAAGAGCCTCGAGTGCTGCTTCGGCATTCAGGAATGCCAAGCGAGTTCTGCGAGCTATAACATCGGTGGCAGTCTGTGCGTATTCATGGCGCACGGCATAGCGAATCTCACCGTCAATGAACGGGTATAGAGTGGAGATACGCTGGCCTCGGACAGGGAAACGTGCATTTGTTGGGGAAGACAAGGCCGCAACCTGCCAGGCTCGGTCACCATATGATTCTGTAAGGTGCTTAGCCACATCCACCTCCAACCCGAAATGCTGGATAAGGTTGATGAACAAGGTTTTGGAGAAGCCATGAGCACCAATCAATCGGACCTGATGGGTTTGGCAAGATCCGTCGAGGACAGCGCCGTCGGAGACCAGGCCGCTTCCCCCAACACCACTGATATCTGGGGCGCCGGACACTCCACGCGGCTTGATATTGAAGACACCGATGGCTTCATCTACTGCTTCTTCGGCCATCTGCCGGTAGGTGGTCCACTTGCCTCCAGCGCAGGTCAAAAGTCCGGATGCGGACACAGAGATGAGGTGATTGCGAACTAGGGCTTCGGAGCTCTTCACCTTGGGGTCACGCACCAGAGGGCGAATTCCGGCCCAGGCAGCAAGCACATCGCTTCGATCAATGTTGATGTCCGGGGCTAAATAATTACGGACTTCTGAGAGAATCCAATTGATATCCTTCTCAGAGGGCTGGGGTTGAGGGGTGATCTCGGTCGGCGCGTCTGTCGTTCCGGCAATGGTGTTCCCTTGCCAGGGTAGGAAGAAAATAACACGGCCGTCCGACGTAGATGGGTCAATGAGACCCATATCCGAAGGACTGTAATAGCCGGGGAGGATCACATGGACACCGGAGCTCGGGGCCACGATCTCCTTTACGTCGGGCTCGTCCATCTTCCTAATGGAGTCGGTGAAGGGCCCTGTTGCATTGATAATGCCCTTTGCCTTGATTGTGAACTCCTTCGCCTCCTGGCCGTCTCTTTCCGGAATAAGGTCCTTGAGCCGAGCACCGTTCAATTTCCCAGCTGCGTCCTTAGTCAAACCAGTGACCTGCATGTGATTAACAACAGTAGCTCCATAGAGCGCAGCCGTCATCGCGAGAGAAACGTTCATCCGAGAGTCGTTGTGAGCACCATCTATATATATATATATATATCATTAGCAACGGAATACCGAAGGGCGAGACGGGTTGGTCGTTACATACCATAGTATACCATGGCTCCAATCAAGTTATCCTTTCTTAACATGGGGAAAGCATCAATGGCCTTGCTCTTGGTCAAAAAATAGGAACTCTCAATTCCCTCTGACCCAGCCAAATAGTCATAAAACTTAGTTCCTGCCCAGAAATAAGGAGCGTGCCACCACTTCTGCAACGGTACCATAATAGGGAGCCAGCTCGATAGATGGGGGGCGGTGTTCAAAAAATACTTTCGCTCCCTCAAGGCCTCCTTCACCAGCTTGTATCTACAGCGAAAAGATAATTAGTTCTCACGACCAACTCCGACAGTGGCATAGGGAGAAAACTGACTGGTTGTAATCCAACTCCCAAACGGCCTTTTCCAGGTACCGAACACCACCATGGACAAGTTTAGTACTCTTGCTGCTCGTTCCAGCACTGAAGTCGTCTCTTTCGACAATAGCGACCTTCAACCCTCGTGTGGCGGCATCAAGGGCGATGCCCGATCCGGTGGCGCCGCCGCCAATGACAAGCAGATCGTACTCGTCGTCGTTGGTTCCACCAGAAGAGCGTTTCAGGTCTTGAATTTGCTCCAAACGGGATTTAATTGTGGGAAAGCTTGGGGGCACGAGTTTGCCTTCATGGTAACCCGGTGGCGGAACCGCAGGGGCTTCCGAGCCAGGGATATTGCGAGGGCGGTATGAAATATAGAGAACACCAGCTCCTGTAGCAGCAGCAAGCGAAGTATATAGTAAAGGCCGCAAAAGCCTACGAGACTGACGGGAGGCCATCGTAGTTGGGCAAGTCGGATCTTCAGCTACCGGATTCCAGCGACCAGCGAACGATTATAGCGGATCGCGTTCTCTCCTCACAGCTTAAGCAACGGAAGGGAAGATTTCTAGCGTAAAGAAAGACGCGTTGTGCGTTCTAGATCCGAAGACGCCTGGCACACAAAGGTCAGTCGGGCATTGACCCAAGGGCTATAGTTATGGTGTCTGATAGATGTGCAGAAGTGAGCAGGAATTGGAGCGGCATACCTTCCACAGCAATATTTATCCAAGAAGCCAAGCCCGATGAGAGGAATAAAAGAGAAACGTGGCCGTGGGGACAAGCAGAAAAGAAAAGAAGGCGAGACCCAAGGGATGTATATACTGCAGTACTCCGTACGTATAGGACAGGAGAGGATAATAGAAATTGGAGTGAGGAGATCGGGATGGACGGGCTAGACGGGATGGACGGGGATTGAAGTATCGCGAGAGACGGGAGGAGGAGGAGGATGCGAGGGATAAAGAATGCCGGACCACCTGTCCACTTTGAATGATACCGTCAAAGAGATTGAGGGTACAGAGGAGGAATGGGATGGATCCATGGCCGGGTAACCTTCCACCTTTTGGAATTTTGGTGGCTGCGTCATGAGCTCCCCGACAGGCGGAATCCGGGAATGGGATGGACTGGAAGGAGAAAATAATGGGGGCGGGTCGCTATGACGGTGTCGCGGCGTCAATCAAGATTGTCCCACCAATCAGCGACTCGGCAGCCCCGGGTGTGGATGGGCCTGATCACTGATTTGCCCGCCGCGCCCGAACTCCGGGACCGCATGTGACCAGCAAAGATTTTGTCTGCTTTGCTATCTTTTCCCAATTCGGCTCTCTTGGGCCCTTTCGCGGCTTCCAGACTCGCGGTCTATTATGATTAACACAGTCCCTCCTTCCCACCCACCACCCCCCCCCTTTTTTTTTATTCCTTTCCCGCTATAGTCTGGCGCTGGGGAGGATGGAGGGCGGAGTAGCGTGTCACTGCTTTCTATAATTACTATTTTTAAGCCGTCCACTCGATCCTACCTAGTCTCTACCACCTGACTGACGGGGGCAATACTATGACTAGTTACATAGTACTCAGTAGCCTTGACGGCAGTGCAGAATACCTATCTAACTAAGTATGTAGGTCAGCTACTTAGTGTGCTGATCAGAAATCACGCGACTGTCCACGTTTTCAGCGTGGATCAGGTCCATGTATATAGTATGTACTATCTATGAGCTGCCCACCTACTATCTGGTAAGTGGTATACTCCGTATTGAAATATCTACAATCCTATTTACGGAGTACCTAGAGCTCAGTGACCCCGGCCGTCGCGCCCTGGGCTGAAGGCAAGATATCTAACCACATGCTAACTGACTATCGTGATCTAGACATTAACCATATTTAGTCCCGTAAGATCCCACCTACTCACAACGAACCCGCGGAAGGGGAGTGCGATAAGGATTGGTTATTCCTGGTTATCTTCAAACAAAGGGTGGGTGTCCCTGTTTGTCCGGCTGTTGCTCCACTTGCCCAGACCAGACCCTGAGAGAACCGCGGGTACACATGTAGTGTTCGGATACTAGTACTGTGTAGTGTCTGTCTCCGCCTGTATGGCGTAATCATCATCCCGACCGTGGACGGATATGAGATAATACTAAAATCTGAGGCAACAAATGCCTTCTCATCCAGGATACCAGCTGTGCGATGTCGGAGTCCCACTACCCTACGTCAGCCTCTCCCACAGTAATACCTGTGCCTTGGAGTGATTCTATAGCGAAACTTCATCCTTTAAACTTGACATGCTGATCATGATGGGATCGATTCGTTCAATCCGGCGTGCAGGATGAATAGACCGTGACAGGACACGTCCTAAGTCCTAATTCCTACCCGAACCTCCCCCATTCGCTCCGTGTGGGTCACAACTCCGTTCCATTTCAATTTGTCTGTGCATCTCTCACCTCCTGCATCTGCCAAGTGCGCTCATGCACTCTAGCCTTCAATAGAGCATACCCCTCCGTCAAGGGCGCCCAGATCAATATTTGGAACCCAGAGGTAGGTGTCTATTTACCCAAAGACCCTCCCTTAGGTGGGCTCAGCAGCTCAACTCCAAGCCTGCAGAGGGAAGGTCTAGGGAATTGCGTCCGAAAAAAGTGGCATTTGCTCTGCATAAGATGTAAAAAAACTGCAATCCTCGGATTTCCAACCTTCCTTCGTCGCTTTGATACTCACCAGTCGGCGTCAACCCCGGGCCGACGTTACTTGCCTCGGATAAGTGAGTGTCCACGCTCATATGCCGACCCTGCTCTTGCTTTGCGTTTGATCTGGATGGGGAATGGCCGGTCGCACGATTACTCCCGCAAGACGCTACTATGAGCGTTATCTTATGGAATTATGTGGTCCTCTCTTGGAGTGCTGCCTTTTCTTCCACCTCCCAGGGATACCTTTTCATTCATACTCCGTAGACAGAGGAATGAGATGCACGTGTGCGGACGATCATCTGGGCCCCTTAGGATGTTATCAACGTTGGCGGTTGTTTTGATGATATATCTAGCGGTCAATCCATCCTAAGGAATCATAAGAACATCTACGTAACACTGCAGGCGCAAGTGTGAGCTTTACGACCATTCCGGTTGCTCTCAGTGGGTACGTACGATTCCGGCAATCTCTGACCCAAGTACTGATCCTGTCAGTAGGAATAAGGAGAGTTTTGTGCAGAGATTCATTCAAAACACCAATGCTTCCCAGCTCGGTGAAACATGGGAAGCGGAAATGTTCCGGGGTGCGGAACTTTCTCGGTTGCTACTTGCTCCTACCGTCCTGCCACTTTTCTTGCCTGAGCTACCAACTACGATCGAACCCCGGGTCCGTGGTCTGGGATGCCCGGCTGGATTACCCCGGCTCTCTGCGAACCTGGGGTAAAGGGTAAAGCAGCAAGCAAAATCGCGGGTCCATCAGCGCTGTGATTTCCTCGCAACGGAAATGTTCCTTCTTCCGGCTGGAGGGGAAGGATGGCGACTTCCAGACGCATCACATGAGTACAGGGGTATGAAGCTGCATTATATTCAGTTGATCTGCCCTATCACCAGCTTTGATTTTCGACCACTGCTCAACCATCGCAACAGTTACGAAGTGACACAGCTTATTCATCATGGCCATCATGGCAGTTATATCCCTTCTGCAGCACAGCATCACTGAATCTCCGCTGCAGGTACTGGCTGCAGCCGCTTTATTTGTCCCAGTCCTCTATGTTGTCGTCAATGAATTCGTTCGAGCTTCCGCTCGGGTGTCGGGTCTCAAGGGTCCTCGTGGACTCCCTCTGATCGGAAATCTTGTACAAATCCGCAAAAATGCTGCAGAACAGTATCGTATATGGTCCAGAACATATGGACCCGTGTACCAGATCCAATTGGGAAATATCCCGGTTGTCGTCGTGAACTCGGCGGCGGCAGCAAAGGTTCTTTTTGGACAGAACGCACAGGCCCTGAGCTCTAGGCCTGAATTCTACACTTTCCACAAAGTAAGCCCCGGGCCCTCTCTCTACTAGTCCCTTTTTACTGTCCCTACATGTGACCCTGACTCTAAGCAACCAATCAGATTGTATCGAACACAGCTGGTACAACAATTGGAACTTCTCCATACAGTGAGTCACTGAAGAGGCGCAGAAAAGGCGCAGCATCAGCTCTCAACCGTCCGTCCGTGGAGTCCTATGTCTCGCACCTAGATGTTGAGTCTAAATCTTTTGTGGATGAACTCTATAAGTATGGGAATGGTGGAGAAACACCGGTGGACCCCATGCCAATGATTCAGCGTCTAAGCTTGAGTCTGTCCTTGACTCTCAACTGGGGAGTACGTGTGGCATCACAGGAGGAGAGCCTGTTTGCCGAAATTACCCATGTTGAGGAAGAGATCAGCAAATTTAGGAGCACCACTGGCAACCTTCAGGACTATATTCCTCTCTTACGACTTAATCCGTTCAGCAGCAACTCCAAGGTGGCCAAAGAAATGAGAGACCGACGTGATAGGTATCTCACTGCTCTCAACCGGGATCTAGATGATCGCATGGAGAAAGGCATTCACCAGCCCTGCATTCAAGCAAATGTTATCCTCGACAGAGAAGCAAAACTGAGCTCTGAAGAGCTTGTCTCGATCAGCTTAACCATGCTTTCTGGGGGCCTCGACACCATCACGACACTTGTAGCCTGGAGCATTGGGCTCCTTTCTCAGCGCCCCGATATCCAAAACAAGGCTGTAAAGGCAATACGACGAATGTATGGTCAAGATCAGCCATTGTGTGACCCCGCAGATGATCAGAAATGTGTGTATGTCGCAGCCTTGGTAAGAGAATGTCTGAGGTACGGCTTGTTACAAGATCCCAAACTTGAATTTTATGTGCAATCAGGCTGATGATATTCAGGTATTTCACAGTCCTTCGTCTTGCACTTCCCCGAACTTCTATCAGAGATGTTACCTATGAAGGCACAATTATCCCGAAAGGCACCGTGTTCTTCCTGAATTCGTGGGCTTGCAACATGGGTAAGTTGTGGATTATACGAAGGATCTATCAATTCATACCATCCATCTGCTAACCCTGTCTCTCATAGACCCTGAAGTCTGGAGTGACCCGGAGGTGTTCCGGCCAGAACGATGGCTCGAACAACCAGATGCTCCTCTTTTCACCTACGGGATGGGTTATCGCATGTGCGCTGGCTCACTACTCGCGAACCGTGAACTATATCTTGTTTTTATGCGCACACTCAATAGTTTCCGCATTGAGCCACTCAGTAAGGCTGATTGGCATCCCGTTCGAGACAATTCGGATCCCACAAGTCTAGTGGCAATTCCCCAGAAATACAAGGTTCGATTCGTTCCTAGGGACGAAAAGGAACTTATAAAGGCCTTGGATTAGTTACTGGCTGGAAATTGGGGTTGACTGTGTGAGGCGTTGCTGCCACCATTATTTTTTTATTAATATGCAAACTTCCATGGTGACAACTGACCGTCTTCTCTCGAGCGATGTCTAATTGCACTAAAGGTTCTATATTGGGGCGAGAAAATCTGTCATTGACATCGACTCCTATTTGACGCTACATTTAATGGATTATATCTAGGTCTAGTGACTCACTTACAAATTACACTACACTTAAGTCGTAGCCTGTTTTGGTTCACCTTGAAGGGTTTGCACCTTGAGAAAGACAAGCATGCAAGCCATAGTACAATTTGTTTAGGAATCACTTTCAGCCAGGTATCTTGTATCAATACTATTGTTTATCTGATTAGACACACCGTTGTCGATCGTGATATATCATTCCTTTGGCGATAATGCACATCATTCCAGTGCCGCCAATCTACTGAGCAAGGGTGATGGGGTTTGAGCATGCTTGATAGAGAATCGGTACTTCGACTCAGTACAAATTGGTCCGTCAGGTAGCGAACAACCTCCAAGTACACAGGTTAAGACTACATAACGATGGTGGGTGCCTTTCCTTGTATTTCCCACTGCTAATATCTCAATATTCTTATTCCCCATAGCCATCTTCTATAGGGTGTCTTCTTGGGTTCTTTCTGCCCTATTCCTTTTATGCCTTAATTTTTCGGCTCCGTTGCTTTCTTATTTGTACCGGCCAAGCCAAAAGCCACACCGCAGACTTAATTTGATGCGCATGCTATACAGGAACGCTAGGTCGTATGATCGATGTGGGATATGTAGATTCGTAGGAAGGGGCTAGGGAGATCGAAAGGTGGCTGATCCTCCCGAGGAACCTAGACATTGGCACAGGAGTGCGACAGGTTCACGTGCGTGTCATAACCAATGCAACCACTCTGTCGTATCAAGGAACTATTTATGGTCGATATATCACAGGCGTAAGTATATGAGAGGGTCACGGCTCGCCTAGTGTTATGACGTAAAGCGTCTCTTTAGATCACGGACATGATCGAAACTGCTTGCGTAATCACGTAATTCGTTCTTAGACTGACTTGATACAACGAAGGATTGCGATGGATTGCTCTTGATTGAGGAGAGTGATGTCTGTGAAGAAGACGGTGATAGATCTCTGGAGGGATAGTGGGATCCCCATGAACTAGCGGGAAGTACGTCAATCTTTGCAAGGGAGCTGGATACAACTCGCCCAGCTAGACTGAGGGCCCTGGTTGGTTGTGGGCACACAATTGTATGTGGCCCCACCCCCTCCTTCGGGACAATGTCTAACTCAGCTAGCCTGCAGGCTTGGGAGCAGTAAGGTCCTCCCGGAGTCTGGCAGTCACAAGCAAGACAGAAGTCAAGGGACCATTCCGTAGCCATCCTGGCTAGTAAGGTGACGGGCCAGTAGCCCGACTCTGCCCACGAAAGGAATAAAGGACGGGGAATAAGAATGATAGGTTAAGGTCTGGAGAGGCGAGCTGGATGAAGTAGTCGCCCCTTTTAGAATCTGAGAGAATACAGGGCGACCCGATGTGTTTTGGAGGATGCTTAATTCAGGGATGTGCGTCGGTCCCTGTCCGTGCACATCAATAGTCACAGATACCAATAATCCCAGGTGTTATTGGCGAAGAAGAGTTTGGGTGCAGGTGGACAGTAATATATAAGGTGCGAGTTGTTTTTGTGAGAAGTCAAGGCCGTCACACCATAGTAATCCACTTCGATCTCATTCTTGCGAAACAGCTGGGTCACGCAAGGCCAATCTGCCCAGGGTTGTGAGAGCAGGCCCGGCCGGCAGATTAAGGTCGGTGTACAATAAGAGTGAATGGAGGAGTACCTGGCGGTATATTAAGGAACCGTTATGGCGAGGGCGTCGAGGACGAAGCAGTCCTTTGGGCAGATAAATATGGAACAGGTTCCTCGTCCAGTGCGTAACATGACCTCGATCTGGTCAGTCAGCACAGGGCCGAGTCAGATAGTAGGTGAATAGAGCCGTGGGCAGTGGAGTGGTTATATATAGGTAGATGGCCACCTCAGGTGCTGGTGGCATGCACCCGCCTCCTTCAGGAGGGGGGGAATATGGTTTGGGCTATGGCATGTATCACCAGGTACTCCGTACCTTGTCGCAAGTAGATCCATACATACCGGCCTAGTACTCTACTGAGTTCAGTCCTACGTTGGAGTACAGAGTAGGCATTGTTGAGACGGGACCGAGTGGAGAGTAAAAGAGGGGGTGACTAACTTTGGGCCCAAACCTTCTTTGTATTGGTCTGTTACCCTTTATAGCCTAGCGGGCGACTTCAGCAGGCTCTCCTTCAGCACCTGCTGTGGTCACTGGGTTAGATACCGGACAACACAATCCCTTACTCAAGGTCACCTATCTAGGTTGGTGACACTTTACTAATCATTCATACAGACCTAGAAAGTAGGTGACAATCCTATATGTACATATCCAAAGTAATTTGTACATCCGTACGGAATCTTCACTAACCAGCGGCAGTGAGTGAGTTACTTACCTACGCTATCTAGATACAGAATGATCCCTATGTGCTGATTATTTCCGGTATTACCTTAAGAACATAATGCAGGGTAGTCGTTATTTACCGCCTTCTCCGCCCTACCCGCCTACTAATAGTATCACGCAACTGCATTGCGTTGTGGGAAATGGCCGACGGGCGATGTGCATCGGCCCAGAGGCTGGCCACGTAGTACCTAGGTCTACTCCATAGGGTGTAGATGAATAATATCTAGCACCCCGTTCTCCTTAAACCTAACCATAAATGCATGGCACCTTTCAAGTTCTACTTCCTTCCTCCACCCGAGAGTGAGCTGTTGGATCCACGGATAGGGGTTTCCCAGACCCTTCATGACAGCTTACAAGGCCTGCCCACAACATTCTTTGTGTCTTCCTCAAATGCCTCGAGGATATGAGGATGCTATGAAATTAGTGCTACGAAGTGGTCCTTGCGAAGAGCATGATCAAGACTAGCACCTGTTAATATTGACAGAAGGATTGTGCATTGATCAAAGCAGTAAAGTCACATATACTTTTCGAGGGTGAGATCACATTCTATCAATATGAGGGAAATATCTGTAAATTAGGTATAATAGCTCATATAAATTGTCTACAATAGTTGTGGGGTTGTGGTTTAGTGGTATAATATTCCCTTAGCATGGGAGAGGTCCGGGGTTCGATTCCCCGCAACTCCATTGACTTTTTTTGCCATGTTGTCGGACATCACCCGTCCTCTGTCTTGCCCTTACACTATCGTTTCAAAAGAAAAACCAACACACTCATAGCGAAGTAATGGCACATTAGAGTATGATCACATGTAGTACTATCCACACCCAACACCTCCGGTTCTTGTGGATATCGATGGGTGCGTCTATGGTTTTGCGTTTGTTGTACCAGATATTGCTATGATTTCCCATCCTCGTGAACCTTGCTTCAACTGTCATCATCCCGTATATTTGGAAGTATAGCTTTGGCTGACCCGCTTCAGCCATCAATATAGCGCCGAGATCGCCCTAGCCAGAACAAGGACCCATGGCAATGTCGTATAATACCAAGCAGTTTTTGAGTAGTCTGCTAGCAATAAGCCGCTGTAGACAACGAATTTATGCCAAAGCATGCCCCATTTTAGCAACAAATCTCTATCATTCTTCCCTTTTCTATACCTCACTTTCCAGACGCACTGTGTCCCTCAGAGGAGGGCTCGAAAAGATGCGAAGGGGCTCAGATTTCAGTGACCAAGCCAAAAATTCCGTATAACGTGGCATCTTCTGCATGGTGTGCTGTTTCCTCCAATAGGATATAGCAAAGATGCCTGGGAGGACAGTAGGATTCAACTTGTGTTTTGCACGTCCGAGTAGGTGTAACCACAGCCTCATGAATAACTGGTACTCGGGCGAGATCTGTATTTTTGCTTGATCAAACTGGCAATGTCTCAGTTCCTACCATTGCAGGTCTGTCCCGGTTTGTACGCACCTTGTACCTCGGCATAGGATGCGCGTGGACACAAAAAGACACCTCCAATTTAGAGGGGTTGACTTATCGTACACAGAGCTTTATTGGCCACCGGGGTTTTCCTGCTTCGCAACAGGGATCCGCACCAATGTGGCGGGCATAGGAGAGCCATCTGGCGCTTTTCCTTTGCTAGAATTTGTCATGTGCTCCGGAAATTCCAGACTCGCAGCCTTCGCTTTGAATTGACAAACATCTCAGCATCCATTCACGATTGTGACTCCCCAGGAGTGAGCAGACTTACTCGATGCCATGCTGATTGCCCGCAGTACATTATCCCAATTCGCGAGAACACAAGCAACAGCTAATGTCGATTGGAAAATCAATCAGGACAGGCTCTACCATGGTCATAGATACCCGACAAACCTTCTGTGCCATCTTTGAGTGTCCCAATTTTGCCCTGTAAAGCCTGCATCTGCGACGCAAGCACTGCACTCATGTCACGGAGTTGCCTCAAGTTGTCTAGTTCGGCTCTTTTGGATGCGATGCGTGTTGCCAGGACAGAGGACTGCTGTTGAGTGATGGTAGATTGCTGGTTCGGCTGCCGGAACGAGGATGCTGAAGCTCCTGGAGGGAGCATGGCAGTAGGACGAGGCATATATGCCATGGCTGTAAAGGGAATCACTACAGGCCGAGATCGAGTTTAGGTGCCCTCTATCCTCGATGCAACAGCGGGCTATGTAGATCCCTTATACTCGCACGGTAGTTGGTGTCCCTACAGTTGGAGCTGCTGAACACAGTGGGTGAATTTAAGACAGCCACAGAAATGAAACTGGTGGAAGATTCTGGGTGTTAAATTGCTATCAGGGAACAAGGGCAAGGTTACTATTGCCTCCTCAGTGATGATGATAATTGCTGTACCATGTGACTGTCGCGGGACCTTAGACCCACTAGACCTGATTAGGACAATTGTCAACAACTCTAGCCATGTTTGTGATCTCAGGGCACCCACTCACTCTTGTTTACTTTGCGCCCCTCTCGACAAGTTGGACCACATTAAGCACTCATTGTTTACCATTGCAGATAAATCGAACACTATTGACGCTGGCTTTTCTGATTCGACGAAACACTGGGTGATCGTCTGCCTACAGTAGCGTGAGACAGCCAGTGCTGCCTCCTTATGTAGGGTATGGCTCGCTTAAATGAATTCTCAGCGCCAACCGAGCATATCGAGGCTCGTAAGTGTTCTCAGAAAGTCTCCAAGCACATTATTAAAGCTGATATGTGGCTCATACTAGTGAAACGGCGATTTGTGCGACAAAACCGTGAGATCGCCCGCGTAAACTCCATACAGTCTCTTCGCATTCGCAGCCTTGAATCCGAAGTCTCTCATCTTTTATCAGAAAATGTTTCTCTGAGAGAGCAGGTGATAGGTCTCAATCAAGAGATAGAGAGATATGAGGCCGTCCGGTTGCTCCAGGATGGGGTCTACGACATCAAGACGAGACTAGATAGCAAGTTGGCTGAGCTGAATAACTTGGTGGCTGACCTGGGCGCACTTCCGCGACGACTCTGCAATAAGTTAACGGAAAAACCTCAATCTGCAGGTCATGGTCGTCCATTTCCTGATTGGAGGCCCAAGTCTACCGATGACGAGCTGAACGCCGGACAAAGCGGGGATGGAAGACTTCCAGTTATCCTGGAAGACAAATACTACCCCAGAAGGACTCTAGAGTAAGCACATCAGGCTCGGTCTCTGACGTATGTTGCTGACTATTGATAGGGCTCAAGAGCTGCAGGACATAGGAGATCACTCTACTGACATTTTGCGGTCGGCCTACGTTGAAGAGCCTGTGCGGCCAAACATGGAGGATGGAAGTTCCTCTTCGAATGAGCCTCACATTATCAATAACGACCAGGCATTAAGCTACGACGCGCACATACCGGCCAGCGATGATACACTTTTGCCCCCCACACTTGAGACTCGAAAAAGGAAAAAAAACAACCCAGCACCAATGACTGTGGAGTGCTCTAGTACGGAGCCTGGGCCATCTCCAATACGAGACGACTCGGAAGCTAGAATGAATCATGGGACCAAGCGCAAGTTTTCCCTAAATTATGGCGATAGGCTAGACCCGACACCGGCTCGGATCGACGGTTTACAACCAAATCCACAGTCTCCCTCATCAGTAAGCAGGACCGACCAATCACTATCGCCTGATACCGATGGTACTCCATCAAGAGAAAGGGTCCGGCCGTCAAGGGAAGGGACTACAGACTACAGACTAGCGAAAAGGAAAGCGCTGGAGCATAGTATGTGGCGTATTATCCTGCCTTACAGTTTCTGGCAGCTGATGAGGAGACAGAAAGCACTAATATTAGCATACTTTCTCCGACGAGAGCACACTCTACAGGGGCACAAGAGCTAAATGATAAGATCACTACTTCACTGTTAACGCACGCAAAAGGTGATAAGGGCAGGTTGTCCCCGATATCACTTGATACGAGCATAAACAGTGCGCAGACGAGGCGGAAGTCTATGTCTGGACAGTATCAACCCGCCGAGCTGACAGACGAGGAGGAACAGAGCGGGAATTCCATTGAAGAATCAACGGTGTCAGAACTTAAGCCTGATACCCAATCAACACTTGAACCAGAAGCCAGAAACGAATCGAGAATAATGACTTGTGTGCCCCCTGACTCAATGAGACCTGCGAGGCGCCAAAGAGCCGTTGTAAGCTACGCGGAACCAAATTTACGAGACAAAATGCGACGTCCCACGAACGAGTTGATCGCAGCTGTCGGTGACCGACCAAGACGTATATCTGTTCCTCTTAATGCACAATCGGATGATGCAAGCGGCGATGAATATTTGCACAAGAATGGGAAGAGAAATGCTCGAAAACCACGAAACTCAGATCCTAGCAAAGAACCTAATTTACTGGGGACAAAGATGCCGGCCTGTCTTTCTACACGGCAGATGAATATCTCTCAGAGAAAACGCAAGACTTCTCCGACAAGCAAATTTGATAACGCGGCATCCCAAGGGATTGCCGAAGAGACGACCGGGGCGCCCCCCCGTCAGTGGGTGGCTGAGGAATCCAAAGACAGGGAATTATGTGGTGCAGATGATAATATCGAAACGCAGCCGCCCCGGAAGATGGGACAGAGTGTGAGGAATCTCCCAATTAATGCGTGCAAAGCAAGGCAAACCACAGGCCGGCAGCCTAGACGGCATTCCTCGCACTCCGAGTCTTCCGGGCAAGACCAACGTCAAACAGCAGATAAAGACAGAATGAGCATAGGAAGCCAAAGGGCCTCTCCACCAGAGGCTTGTGCGAAGAACTTGGCTCCCACAAAGCCCCTTGAGGACCTTGCGATCCTGAACCCTCAGGCACAGCGACCGACTAGCACCCAAATTTCGTCTACTACGATGCCGACAAATGCAGGGCTATCAAGGCGCGGGCAGCGTGCTGCAGCTGCAGCTGCTAGAAGGAAAAGCATGATGTTGTAAAATATGTTTCATAGTTGAAAACAAGCAACGCCTACATTGGCCCAGGCATCCGTAGTTCGCAACATGGACCTTAACTATTATAAATTGTCTTCCATTAGATCTTGAAAAGAGGGATTGTGAGATCAACGAGGTAGATTTCCTGCATCGAAGTCTCGAAACGGGCCCAATATGGATACTATGTGCCATACATATCCGCACCATCTATATTCTTTCCATGCGCAGCACTTTGAGTGTCATCATTATCCAAGGAAGATCGGCGTACAAGGCAAGAAAAACCCTTAGAGACCGGCCCCGCTGGTTAGTATGCCGCCCGAGTACTAGATTCGAGAATCTGACTTCCACGGGATGGACCGCCTCGTTGCGAAAGAAATGAACGCTATCGGGGGATCGCAGTTGTGCTCTCAGACTTTAAAACTTTCAGGTCAGCCACAGCTTCACTCCACACAAGAAGAGTTCAAGTATTTTCAGCGACCCTTTGCAGTCTTTGGCATCTTCTCGTAGGCATTTGGGCTTGGTTTTCGTTTCGCTTTCTTCTCATGGCGATGGGCGACGGTTCGTTCCCTTCTCGGTGAAGGCCTTTGATCACGACTATCGCTTTGATTTGGAGGGTGAGGGCGTGCCGCCCCTCTACGACAGCCCAATTCTCCGTCACTGTCTGTATCGGAATCAGGCATACTGGAGTCCGAGGACTCGGATTCTGAGCTACTGTCGCCAATAGGCCGGTTTTTGTGATAAATGCAGCATACTGTCCCATGAACAATTTTCAGTATAAGTCAGCCCAAATCAGTAATAAGCATCCCATCACGCATTAGTCTTACCTTTGGAACTTTTCTTCCCCATCCCTTCATTATCTATGACATCTTCACTCCATCGTATATGTCGGGATGTGCTCTCGTCCTGGCTAATTGCCCTAGTAGAACGCCCATCCCCTGCTCTTAACCTCAAAGTGGTTGAGACAAGAACAGCCGATGAATTGCTGGGATGGTCCTCGGTCGACTGAACTTGAGAACTACTTGTTGCCTCTAACGGTACCTGGCGCGTCCGAGACATGGTCATAGGCCGCGATACGTATGCAGCTCAGAACACGAAGAGTGGCACTAGTATTTATTCCGGGGAGGTTTGACGCAGGGGCTCAAAGTGGACCAAGAGATACCAAGGCAAGCAATGTGTTATATGTAGTTGTTTGACCGGAAATCTGTGTAACATGTAACAGGGGAGGATTATCCTGTGATGAAGAAGCGAGGGCACGCCTCACCGCCTTTGAGGAGGAAATAGATCCTCCGTATGCTATTCACAAAGGCGCTGGTCGAATCACACAGGCTTTACACAGCTAAGTTGTTGCATAACAGAGCAATATATGTTCATTTTGTATTGATTCTTCCCCATTTTAATTCTCAACCCTCCTACCGTAGTCTCTCCCGATCCCCGCTCACAGCTTACTAATTCTGGTGCAATGAGTATATTCAAAGTACTGTTTTGAAGGGGAGCTGGCACTGAATTCGACCTGGGGAGCATAGGCTAATGGTTGATGGGATATCGGACGGCCGTCTGAGGGCTTTAAAATTGATTTTACACAGGATTCATATGACAGAGAACATCGGAAGAAAAGAAAACCCAGGCCGCCAATGACGACCAAATGATAAATACGACCTGAGACTATTGCGTGAAATAGTGATCCGCTTCAGAATTAGAGTCCATAACAGGACCAGCCATCAAACCAGTCATTTTTTGGGAAAGCCCTGGAACCTCTGCTATGTGATATGGGATCAGGAGTTGAAAGCGCAATCTCAGAGCGCAATTCCTTGTCTAGTCATAGCTCATCCTCTTGATCCATCTCAGATGGCTTCAATAGACCTCCCACTCTCATTGCACGGTCTCGTTCGGCAGCTTTAGCGTCTCGCAACGCTTGCTCTCGTTCTTCTGCATATAAATCTGCGTTGTCACCGGAGAACTCCTTCAGTGATATCAAGAAGTCACGTAGATGAGTCTTGAATTTGTTGAAGTCATCATTGAACGTAAAAAGGCCAATAACGAATTGTTTGATTTGGATCCTAAAAGAGGTTAGTTCACCTTCAAGTTTCCTCAGATGCTGGGAGTTGTCACGCTGGGATAAAACTTACTCCTGAAGATTTTTGAACGCATTTTGTAGGAGGTTTGCAACATATTCTTGCAAGAAGTCCTTGTTAGATGTCCCTAAGGGAGCCTGTTCAGGGGAATAGATCGGATCCTGCACTTTGCCAGACTCAATGAAGTAGAACATGCGCGACAAAAGCATAGCCTGCGATTTGAATCCTGTTGCAATCTAGATCAGCACAATCCTGTCTGAACCAAAGGAAGACTTGCGCACCCGCTTTGTGATCACTGTCCGTGAGGACAAAAAATACATCCTGCAAAATGGGGATATAAAACTGTCGGAAGAAGATATTTGAGGTTTGGGCATCAGTGTCTGCCATGTTGTTCATGAGTTCCAGGCACATTGTGAGACCCGTGTTCTCGACTTCGCGATTATCGTGTTTGCTAGCCCACATGCAAGAATCAATGACAAATTTGAACTGTGTAGCATCAAGCTTGAGCAATGCCGGGAAGCAATATAAGTTGATCGCTTGAATCAATTTAAAAAACTGCACACGGTGCTCAGGATATTCATGGAAGTCTTTGTTGATCATTTCCAATGTGCATTCAAAGACGCTTTCCATGATGAGAGGGACCTTGTCTTCCATCAAATTCTAAAAAATACTGATCAGCTTCCAATTGAAAGTCTTCAATCATAGTGTTGGCTAGTGGGGGTTGACGTACATGCAACTTGTGGATTATCGTCGTCATAACGTTTAGGACTTCTGCTTCCCGCGCATCGGGGACATTGCGATTGTAATCAACGAGAACGGCTTCCAATAAAGGAGGGACCATGTTTGCGTTAACCATTTCTAGGTCATCAGCTTTCTGCACATATGTATCGATGAGTTTGAGAATCTCTTTCTTGATGGTCCGAAGGCCCCTGACTTTCGGGGTCTTTGTTGCAATGTTGCCTATCGAAGTGTTAGCAAACTTATGGCCCGGATTCCTAATATTCGCAAAAAGCAAAAGAGTTAAAAAGGCAAATGACGAGGGGGTTACGAAGCAGGAGAGAAAGGGGGCTCATAGGAACATGTCATTACCATCATGCGCGACAGCGTCACTGATAAGCTGGCTGGATGCACGAAACATGTTCAGCATGTCGTGATATATCCGGCCGAGCTGAGAGTAAAAGTAAGTGCCGATAGAGGAACATGCTGCAACGTTCGTTTTCATGATATTTCCGATGATTTTTATAGTCTCACCATCCTGAAGGATAGCGGGATTTTGGTTGGCCTGAACAATGATAGCATCCCAAGCGGAATTAGGCAACGACATCAGGTTCTCAATCAATCGATCCTGGAGACCTTTCTGGCCTTGTGCTGAGATCATGTAACCGCAGGCTTCGTAGAAAGTGTGGACCTGCTGAGGGGATAGGTCGCAAGTGATCTTCCTCATATTCCGAACAATTTCCTCGATAAATGGTTCGTTCTCTCCTGGCTGAAGTGCGACAAAATGCCGCCTGCATTTGTTCGCAATTTTGATGAACGTATCGCAAGCCATGTCTTGAACACCTAGGTTGAATTAGAATAGATGTGTTGCTTTTGAAAAGCCGAGGAACTCACCTTCGTGCGTCTCATGCATGAATTCGAAAAGCTTGTTAACGACTGTTTTCAAGAACTTCCAGTGGGCTTTCAAAAACCTCGGGTACTGTCCCACGATGTACATGATATTACTAGCGACGACGGCCTTGTTATCCTTTCCGCGCTTCATCTCGGTGAGACCAAGGAGATCCTTAATGACATTGACAAGGAACCGCTTTTCAGTCTCTTCGTTCATGGCTCCAGAGATCGAACCAATAGCCCAGCAGAGAGTATTACAATTGGCCCAGGACCACTCAGATCCGTCCACCTGTTTTGCTAGCTTTTCGATCATAATATTCTCCGTATCGATGACATCCAGGTGCGTCAAATAGACAAGGCATTCACGTATCGTCTTGTAAAGCTGTATGGTATCGCTTTCCTTGACGAATTCGCGAACAATTTCACCTTCATCGTTCTCAACGATTAGGACTTCCTCAGGGCGCACCATCTTCTCGATCATGACCGTACGCAAGCTTGACAGGACCTCCTCGTATTTGTGTTTTCGAAGAGGGTAGTTGGCCAATGTGCTAGGATGCGGTGCACCCCCGTTCGACAGACCGCTAACACCCATGCTGACTAGCGGGTTGATGTCTGTAATTGGAAGTTGCTGCATCTCTTCATACAATTCTTGCACTAGCCTTGTCCAATATTCCAGGCAGATTTTGAAGACTTCCCTATCATCAATTTGACTGATGCGAATGAGGTAAAAATGGGCATGCGTGAGGTAGTCGCGATTGGGCAATTTCTCGACGAGCTAATCAGATTAGTATGGGTTCGAATCTCAAACTCGAATTCAAAATGCTAGAATAGGACTCACATTCAGATGAGCGCTGAAGAAACTGCAGAGGAACAGTGCCAAGTTGAGCACGAATTCTTGGTCCCTTGAGTTGCTCTTGGCATAAGTTTGTTTCAAATCCATCGACAAGGGAATAATTCCCGAGACTACAGTCAGCGTCTCCGTGAACATATGGACCAGTCTTTCATCGTAGTTGTAGGGGTTGCCGATTTGTAACCCGCCTATCTCAGTCAGACACTTGAGCGTGACATTTCTAAATTCAGCAACATCCAGAAACCGCGTCAGCAGAGTATTTATAATGGGAGTCTCGAAGATATATCCCAAGGGAATCCAGTTTAAGAAACGAAGCAGGGTCTCCAGTGTAGCTTTGACGAGACTCGGCTGGTTCGCCGTATTCAGAACCTCGGAGCACAGTTGGAAAATAGATGAAAACTCTTGAGTCATAGAGGTCTTCAAATTTCTCGCTTTCACAGAGGTCATTTGATCCTGTGAGAAGTCAAAAACTTCTTCGGATAAAAGACGAAGGATTGCCATATTGTTTTCGCAGATAGACAGGCTTGTGTGGCATGACGAAATAATTTCGTTGATAAATGTCGGCCAGTTGTGTGGCCACTCCTGCTTCAAGATAGAAACAAGAACCAGATTGAGCTTGTTTAAAAAAGCCCGTTCACTCCTTAACTTATCCTCTGACTTGGAATTTTCAATAATGAAATTGACGATGAAATTTCGTATACCTGAGGACGTTAGAACAATCCAACAGCCAGTGTCATTGATGAATTACCTAGGCATTGCTCCCTGGGTAAGACCTTCCATCGCGTCATAATCACATCGTCGAGGACCTGAAGGGCAAGATCTAACATTATCAGCGCACACCCGATCATAACATGGAATGCGTTGTTGTCTCGCACATTTTGTCTGTGGATATGTCGATTCTTGCAAGATGTTTCCCACAATCAACCAAGCATCTGGGTTTTGCTTAAACTACTCATCCAATATAAGTCAGAGCTATACGGATTGGATATACATGCAACTTAGTCACTCACCTCTGTCAGGGTCTGCTGAGCTTGCTTTTGCTGTGAGCGTGATTCCCAAGTTAGCCTCTTATCTGAATCTTCATCCTATGACGAGCGAACAAAAAAAGGATAGTAGAGGTCCATTTCTTGCGGCATACCAAGTCTCCCTTGCCCTCATAGAAGGCCCGGACAGTATTGTCCAACTCCTGTATGGAAACAGACATTCCGCTCCAGAGGTCGACGGTACGGTATTCTGTACACCTCGGCCTTCAATAGACGATATAGGCAGGCGAGTTCTGAAAATGACTCGATGTGGTCTAGAGAAGGCCGTAGATATTCGAAGGCGTAGCAGAAAGTGTAGGTGGGCAGAATGTATGGTGGGGTAAGAGGCTTTCTTGGAGGGGTTCGTCGGAGGTCGGGTGAGCTTGGAGCAAACTTCTGCTTGAAGATGCACCAGTCTTCGAGAAGCTGAACGTAAAGTGGGGTAGGACGACTGTAATCTAGGACGTTGAGTTCTGGCTCCGGGATATGGATATTTCTGGAAAAACAATGGGTACTACGGAGTACTGGCGGTGAGAACAGCGCGTCTCTCGGGTTGTTGGCACTACCCTATCGGGCCGGTGAGATGTATCTCCAGTTGAGATTAGTCATCATCAAGAGCTCAGTTAACTAACTGCTGTGTACTCTGTAGTTTGCTGGCCTCTAGAATTTGATTTTGTACTAGTTATAATATCACTGACCTATGCCGCTCAAGTAGTATACTATGAAGGGAACACAAAATCTAAATAAACATGTTTGCATGTGTGAATGGTGCATAAAAGACTGGATCATTTGCAAGTCTGGAAGCTTCAGCCCTATAGATGGACTTGTTAGCTCATGAAAGGCCACCTTGAACCAAATATAAAGAGTAACAATGTGTTAGTGAGAAGAGTCCTAGTGGTAGGAGAGATAGTAAAGTGATTTAATCTACGGAGTATCTCTAGTACTATGAGACTGCACTGTAATGTAAAACAGATTTGTGAAGTCTCAATGTACATAGTGATTTATGACCAGACAGTGTATAAAATTAGCTTGACATCCTGGTCATGTATCTCTGCATATGATGCCATTCCAGGAATTTTTAATACTTTAGCACTCTATGGGCACAATCTTGACAGTCAACAACAGCCACCTAGAATCATACCCCAATCAAGTGGTTGCTTCAGCAAACAATCTCTTCCCCAAACAATGAAAAAAATCAGACAGTTTGTCATTCTTTTCTTTTCGCCAATAAAGGCATCTAGATAGTTATTTAATATGCTTAAAATCCATATAATACACATAGTTCCCATGAAGCAGCTGCTAACTACTTACCAACTTGCGACGAGAGGGGCCTACTCCGTACACAGTATATAGATGAAGACACTTCTCCATATTTTACCCAAGCCTGCCAATATTCTTAATATGGAGTATTAGGTAGTACTAGTATTTACAAGGGTACGGTCCATGCCTTCTTTCGGAAATTCAAAAGGACTACTCCGTAATTCATTTTACTCCGCAGTACGGAGAGTACGGCATAAACTGATACGTACTACTAACCGCAACCGCGCCCATTCTGCCTGGCGCCAATGGCGAATAATTGGCGGAAGGGGGAGACACTGGTAAGCGATCGATCTAAGCGGTGGGAAGTTCGTAGTCCCACACCCACCACCTCAGTTGTCAACGCGCAGGTCGCTTCGACCCACCAGGAACCTCTTCCGCCGCCGCTGTGCCGCGCTTCCCTCGCGGGTAGAACAGACCACCAGACCAAGGCGAGTCGATTCCCCCTCCGAAGGTGGCGTGTCGCCTGAGCGCGCCATCGCTCCAACTCATGCGTCTTCTAACTTCAAGCTGGACCAACCAGACGCCATTTGTCCGAGATGCGGTAGCCAACCAGTTGCTTCGCGCTGCCCATGGCCGATCGCGCGCCAACTTTGAGTGCTCAGCAGCCAGCTGGCAGCCGCATCCTTCTGCTAGGAAGTACGACACCCAATAAACGGCCTTAAACTGAGAGTGCATCCATCCCACTACTGCTAGCACCTCGACTCCCCTGGTCAACCGAAGCCTCAACTCTTTACATTACTATTTTCCTTCCCGCCCCCTCCCTCCGGCTGCTCGTCTTTCCTTTACCCTTCTTGGGGTTTGCAATTAGGTATCCCGTACTATTGGCTCCTTAGTGAAATGCCTCGTTTCTTGATTTCCACCTGCAGGCGGCAAAAATTTTCATTCTAATATTCCGTTTTGACATACTACTCGCTGACTTATAATTGTTATCGCTTGCCTATTCATCTTCTCTCCACTGCTAGTACGACCGCGGCCACCACACTTTCCCCTCCTTCTTGCCTTGACGCCTTTCCCCTCTTTTCTATTTAGTGGCCGCTCCATCTTGAATTCATGGCTTTCCCCATACCACATTGACGAAAGACGGCGAGGAAATCATCATCTCGTTTGCTCAGCCTAGTCTAGCATCTCTATCACTTCAGTAATTTTTTGCGCTCCATAGTTACAGCATTTTCATCTGCTATTTGCTTGACTTTCTCTGAAAAATCAACTTGCTTTTTCTCTGCTCTTTGCGATCGTCCCTCATGAAATATCCTACTGAACCTTTCCTCTTACTCCCGCGCTAAATAACCATTCCTTGCCTCTACTGCCAGGGCCTTGTTTCCCCCCTCCCCAACAGCTCAGATTCAGCCTCATTAATGGCACAACCCTTGGTATAGTCATACAAATCACCTAATCGTTCGCTGGCGACTCTCCACGTTTTTTTCTTTTTTTACTTGAAATACCACGCTCTTATTCCCTATCTCCCGTCTCAGCATAGTCGGCGTGCGCAATACATATCTTCAGAGCCAACGCCTTACACACCTTCCTGACTTCGCACCCCTGGGAGCGTCCCGCCTTTTTGGTCGGATTGGCCGAACCCTCAGTCGCTTTTTCTTCGAGTTCGCAAATGAATCAATTCCACGTGCATGATCCGCAAGATAATATAAGACGTTTCGAGACAAGCGCCTAGCGGATTCATTGGCCATTAATCAGTAAGTGGCGGTGGTCATCATCGAATATATGCCAACGGTATTCTCTAAGCAAATGTTGGATAGTTGGGCCTCATTCCACTTTATGTTCTAAACGTTCATTACAACCCATCCATATCTTGATCATGGCAACAGTGGCTTCCACTTCGGTAATGAACGGCCATGAACCTGAAAGGGAGCCTAGGGCGGACCATAGCCCTTCTCGATTTACTGCAGTGAATGGAAAAGAGGCCTTGATTACCGTGGGGGCTGTGCCGACGCTGGCTACCAGTGGTTCCTCAAGCAATGAGGAGCATCGTGACTCCTCCGACATCTTAGTACGAAACGGTTTTGATACAAAGCCTCGCCTTGACGAACAAACGCAAGGAAACGGAAACTCTGGGGGCAGCGAAACCGCAAATGAGCAAGATGATCAGCACTCACAGCGGTCGCCGTCCGTGAGCGAATCGCCTGTCTTCAACAAAAGCAAACGGAAGAGATCTGAATCCGAGGAACAAGAAGAGGCGCGTAGCGCGCCAATCAAGGCTCCCAAAAGCCCAGCTTTGCGGGCAGATGATCCAATGGACCCTGATGCCCAGGCAGCTACGTCGAATGAAGTTGGTGTGTCCCAGGGGGAAGGTAACGTCAACAACTCCTCCCCATCTATGCATCCTCGAGCGGAGGAAAATGGTAGTGGCATTCGAACACCATCGGCGAACACACCATGGCACGACTATGATTCTCATCTGGTACATCAGGCTCAGCGTGCACAACAGATTGACGCTTCTGATGCTCAATTGGCTGAGGCACTTCAGCGCGAGGCCAATGGTCATGATCCGTCTCAAAAGAATTGGGGCTCTAGTAATCGTGCAGGGGAAGGATCTGCACAGATCGAGCAATCATCGTCATCATCTGCTCTTCCTCAGGAACGGCCACAGGCAGCAGTGCAGGTTGCGCCGAAGAGGAAGCGCGTCTTCAGCAACCGAACTAAAACTGGCTGCATGACATGCCGAAGGAGGAAAAAGAAGTGTGACGAACAGCACCCTGCTTGTAAGTCTGTGGCCACATGCTCCCCGTAATTACATTGCGATGCGGATCACCATCTAACCTTGGCGATGCTGCAGGTAATAACTGTATCAGGGGAGGATTTCTTTGTGAAGGCTATTCGTCTCGAAGCACTTGGCAAAAACCTTCGAACTCAAAGACACCGGTTCCTCTACAGTCAAAGGAAGGCTATCTGGATGTCAATACCCAGTACGTGCATGATATAAGCCAGCAGCATGACCGGCAACAAACATTGACGGAACAACTTGACCCCGGGAAAATAAGGTCCATTGTTGTTGATGAAAGCGACCGCACAACTACTCAATTCAATACAAGCCCCACTGGAACTGGCTCAGGTCGCGGTCCTTGGACGAAACGCACCTGGGGAAACACAACTCACCCTGCCTATATGTCGGACCACGTGGCGAAGTCTGATTATCGCGAAGTGCCCCCGATTCATGAGCTATCTCGCGAAACCCATCCTAAGTCTGATTTTCCAATTGTTCCTTCCATTAGGGAGCTCCCTCATGGAACCCATTCCAAAGCCGGGGGCGTGCCGCTTTTCCAGGGCGGAATTGACCAACGACCAGCACATTCTGGGAATGTGGACACCAGTAGCCCACAGGCTCAGGCCCGAATGGCTCTCAACATCGAGCATCAGCTGTCTACTCGTACGGTATCTGCTGAAGACACCGAAAAGGATAAGATGATACGTGGTGACCTCTACCGGCCTTACGATGTCCACCTAGTGGAAGAGAGGGATCGCTGCAAAGCCGCCTTATGGCGTTTTAACAATGCTTGCAACCCTATATCTGGATTAAGCACAAAGGAGCAAGGCCGGCTACTGAAGGAGGTGCTTGTTCCTCCGGGCTCAGTTACCAGTCCACCTCCAGGTGTAGCCTCGTCTCGTTCCACAGGGTCATTAGGACAGGGCGCTATCGTTGAGGCGCCTTTCTATTGCCATTACGGTTACAACGTGCATATTGGTGAAGATGTCATGATATCCGAGAACTGCTTATTTGTCGACGATTGCCCCATCACCATCGGTGCCCATACATGGATTGGGCCCAGGGTTACGATACTCAGTTCAATGGCTCATGCAAATATGCAAGAACGCAAGGGCTCACAAAGTCGATATCAAGGCCGTGCTGTTACTATTGAGGAGGACTGCTATGTTGGCGCTGGCAGCACGATTTACCCAGGTGTTCGGCTACGACGGGGGGCTTATGTTGCCCCTGGAGAGGTAGTGAAGTCTGACATCGTAGCCTACGGTTTCCAAGGTCTAAAACCGAGTTACATGTGATGTATCTGCGAGTTTATGAGTATGTAAGGATTGGTTCCTGGTTGTACAGATGTCGTTGTGTACATCTTGGTTTCGTCGACCTTCAACTTTTGTTGTAACTATACGGGTTCATCCATAGCACACTCAAGTTTAGGTGTCTGGCTGGTTCAGAGCACAAGGCGTGCGGCATTATACTCTCGAAAATTTTAGTGCTCTATTATGCCGTCCTCTGTACTTCTTAAGGGCCCCAATAGAAGTAATTCAGTAGCCATTCACATACAAGTGAATTGCCAATCACTCTGTTTTACAAGAACGGGTCACTCTTATTTTCTCAGCACATGCCAGGCTCAGCATTATAGCATATGGAGGGCTTGAGTTCAGTCTGTCTTGGGGCATTAAACATCATACGTCACAAGAGCGACGATAAATCCATCCCGGTACACTAATTTCAATGACAGTTTCTTAGTCGAGTGACGATTCAATATTTCTCCCTATTGACAAACTCAGATAGGCTGCCTCTTTGAGACTGGAACATCACAGTAAGCAGGGCAGGTGCTGGGTTCGTTCATGTATTGGGAGAATGCCTAAGAGAGCCAGTCCAGAAAGTCAGGCACAAAATAGCTCACTATAATGCCAGCACCGGCGCGTAATATCCCCTCGGTGCTCTCAAAGGCCATCGACTTCAAATCAAAAACACCTGCCTTTGCCCCTGCATGTATCATAGCAAACTCACCACTGACCTGGTAAGCAGCAACTGGCATATCTTTTGCAAGCTCCTTGGCGTCTCTGATGATGTCCAGGTAGCTACTTGCAGGCTTCACCATTATGATGTCTGCACCCTCACCAATGTCTCTCTGTATGGCTCGCCGAGCAAGCCCCCGACCACCCGGAGGCAATTGGTAACACCTCCTGTCTCCAAAAGAAGGGCAGGACCCTGCGGCATCTCTGAAAGGACCGTAAAGGCAACCGCTAAACTTGGCACTGTAGGACATCAAAAGAACACGGTGGGCCAAACCAGCTTCGATCAACTTCAGCTTGATGGCGCGGACTCTTCCATCATTCATGTCCGATGGAGCCACACAGTGAGCGCCGGCAGCAGCATAGGCCAAAGCTACATCAGAAATCCGGTCAACGGAAAGTGCGTTATCCAATGTTCCGTCTTCACGCAGTATGCCGCAGTGACCATGCGAAGTATATTCACAGAGACAGACATCTGTCACAATATAGAGCTGGGGAAAGCGCGAACGAAGAAGGCGAATAGCCTGAACTACTGGCCCAGTCGGGTCGTCTGCAGCGGTTCCCAATGCATCCTTTGCAGATGGGTGCAAGGGAACGCCAAATAGAATCACGGAACGCAGACCTTTTTGCACCAGTGGCCTTAAAAATGGAACCAGTCGATTCAGTCCTCGACGGTATTGATTTGGCAGGGATGGTATGGGTGTCTCCTCATCGGGATTGTCGGTAATAAAAAGAGGGTAGATGAGCATCTCCTGCACAAGATTAGAGTATGTTATATGACTACGTTGCAGTGCGAACCTTGGTCAACTGCTTCTCTGCTTGCCATGACCTGCTCAATGGATGGCTGTAGCCAGAATGAAGCTGACTAGAAATGTCACCAGATATGCTAACGCTTGTCGCAGCTGTACTAGTGTACGATCGAGCAGTAGCCTGGGACCGTGCATGGGAAATCTGGGAGCTCCGGTCATCCTGAGCATCCCTAAAAGCGAGATCAGAGACGAGATTGGAGAATGACATGATGTAAATTTATTTATGCCTGTCGAGATGTGATGTACTTGATGTCTGCTGACTACCGAAAGATGGCCTCGATAAAGACTTGCCGATGTCAATAGCACCGGGAGAATGGATGACTTCAGAATTAGATTCGCTTTCTATCGTCAAGCATTATGTATTGAAATGGTGAACAGGGGTTTAGAAGAATGTGGTATTATATTGAAGAGCGTGATGTTTGGTAAGATGCTGCTTTTAAATTCTTGCGGAATACGGGGTAATAACTATCATTATCTAGAATTAGTGTCTGATTACTAAATAGGCGATGCATGTGTGGATGATTGTCTGGGCATTGCTGGGTGCCTCAGGCTGTAAATAGGCGAGTGCTGCTACCAAGTAGCAGTGTCATGATCTGCTCTAAGTGCGCTTTTAGAGTGAATTATACCAGGCTCTAGTTACTACTAACTAAACTATCTACTAAAAGATTAGAACTTTAAATTACTTATTTAAAATATATATTTTTAAATTTCTTATTTACAGAAGATAAGTTATATAAGAAATTGAAATTTTAAATAATTTTTATATTTATTAAATAATTATTCTTAATTATTAGTTATAGATAAGTTTTATAAGCTAATCTTTAATTGATCTAGTTATCATTTAGTTATATAAATATCTAGTCTAATTAATTATTAATTATAGATCTAATTTCTTGTGATAGGATCTACTTGTTAGGGTAGAAAGCCTGTTAACTAGGTAAGGAACTGGTTACTGAATGTGACGGGCTAAGAAGCCGGGTGGACTATGTAAGGTATGATAGTCTGTAAAGAAATTGAATTCACTAGAAAAGAAATTATCTAATCTATAGACTAATTAGGTTTACTTATAAATAATTCTTTCTAATAGATTTCTTTATAATATTAATAAATTTTTTTATTATTTTAGAGATTTCCATTCTTTCTAAAGATTTCTATCTTTTCTATGGGTATTATTAGATTAAAATCTAGGACTAGATAAGTTAGAATATAAATATTCTGATTCTAGATGGTTAATAAGATTTAGTTTTTTTTAATTATTATTTTTCTTACCATAACGCGACTAGCCTGTAGTAGATTTTAAAGAATTAAATAAATAAGATTATATTAATATTTATAAATTTTAATATTATAGAATTTAATTGCTAATTTCTATATAAATATAATATATTTTTTTATTTAATTAAAAATATTTTTTTATATATATATTTCTCTTGGAATATATTTTTTTATCTAAGATTTTTTTAATAATATATTTCTTAATATTATCTTTTATAATAATAATATCTAATTACTAATTAGTTATCTTTTAGATAGATAGAGGATCTGTAATAATAAATTAAAATAAATTAGTATAAAATATTAAATAAATTTTAGATAGTGTATTTAATTTATAAATATATATTTTAATTTATTTTAATATTATAAACTTTATATTTTATTAATCTAATTTTTTACTAGGTTAATTAATTATGATATTTTTTAGATTTAATTAGATCTTATTATTTTCTTTATAATAAGAGACAGGATTTTATTAATAGTTAATATATTATTCTTATATCTCTTGTGTTATTATTATTATTAAATTAATAATATTTTAAGTTTCTTAGAGTTTATTAAAAATAGTTTTAACTTATTCTTAGGAGTTCTTAGTCTAATACTATTTTAAAATATCTATTTTAATATTTAAATTTAAAGATTTCATATAAAAATTATATTATAGAAAAAAAGAGTTTATTTCTATTAATATAGAGTTTTAATTATTTAAGGCTAGTTATACCATAGATAATAATTTTTATTAATTAATTTATTATTAATTAATAAAATATTTATAAATTAAAAATTATAATTTAAAATTACTAACTAGGATACCCCATGGTAGTTATAAAATATTTAAATAAATATATTTATAAAATTTTTTATATTTATGTTTAGGATAGCTTTAATAATAATATCTTTAATTAACTATTTAATAATGATTATAATATTTTTATAGCCTTGAGACTCTAGGAAGTCTATTAAAAAATTAATAATAATATTTTATTAAAATTAATTAAAGATTAGCAGTAATTTTAAAAGATTTTATTTAAAATTTTTTTAATATAATTAATTTTATAGCTATTATAATTATAGTAAAATTAATAAATATTCTTACTTATATCTAGTTAATAATAGTAATAAATAATTATTTTATAAGTTTAATTTTATTTAAAATGTCTAGTGATTATATTATTATAAATTTCTTAAATAATCTAGATTTATAAGAACTTTAAATTAGAAATCTAAACTTATTTTTAAAAAAGTAAATACTAGTTTATATCTAATTAATATTCTATAATAAAAATCTTTAATTTTAATTATTTAAAAAATTTAAATTTATTTTTAATTACTACTTCCCAGTACTCTTTTAAATTTTTATTAATTTATTTAATTTATTTTTATAGATTATTTAGTATTAGTTTTATAGATTCTAAACCAGTAAGAATCTTTATATTAAAGATTTTTTTAATAAATATTATATAGCTAAATCTCTCCTTAAATATAAAATAAAATAATTAGATTTTTTAATTTATAATATATTTATCTCTCTTCTCAAACATATCTTAAAATCTTTAAGATAAAGTATTAGATTAAGTATTTATTATTTCTAGATAATAATTAATTATAAAATTAAAATAATTTAAAAACTAGATTTAATATATCTGTTATTCTATGAATTATTATTAGATTATAAAATATTCTAGATTTTAATAATTACTAAAAATCTTAAAATAAAGAAGTAAAATAAGTTCTAATTTTTATTTTTATAAGATTTAAATAATTACTAGTAGTTCCTTATTATAAATCTAATAGTTATATTTTATAAATAAATTTTTCTTTAAGAAGTATACTATAAAGTAAAAAATTTTTTAATTATTTTATTAAAATAGTATCCCCCCTATATATTATTTAAAGAAGTTAATTTTTATTAAAATTTCTCGTTTAGAATCCTAGTATATTAGAATAAAAATAATAATAAAAATTTTTTTAAAAATTTTAAATGTTTTTTAAGTTTCTAGTATTTAATTAAATTTAATATTTTTTTTTATAAATTATATTAAGAATTTTAAGTAGGCCCTCCAGTCCTTAAAAAACTATTAATAGAAGTTAGTAAATCTTAGAAAAGTTTTAATATTATAAATAATTTTTAAAATCTTTTAATTTTATATAATTTAAATTTTAGCGGGATCTATACAGATCTCTTTTTCTATTTTAATAATAAATCTTAAATACTTAGTAATAGTTATCTTAAATTTATACTTATTAATATTTATTTAAAGATTTATATTCTATAAATATTCTAGTATTTATTATATTTAGACACAGTATTTAACTAGACTTTTATTTATAAAAATAAAAATATTATTAATATAAATAAAATAAAATTTATTAAAAAATTTTTATAAGATTTAATTAATATATTACTAAAAGGTACTCGGGCAGTTAATAAATTTAAATAAAATTATTAATTATTTAAATAATTTAAAATAAATATAAAATGTGGTTTTCCGTTTATTTTTTTCTTTAATTTAAATATAGTAAAAGATCTAGATAATATCTAACTTAATATAATATTAAATCTTTAAGATATATTAGAGAATTTTTTAAATAAATAACAGAAAATACTAGTTTTTTATTATTATTTAATTTAATATTTAATAATTTATATAAAAATATAGACTATTACTAGATTTTAAAATAAATAATATGGGGATAGTTACTAGGAAATTATTAATTTATATAAATTTTTTTTTAAAAAAATTAATTAAAGTTTTTTATAATATTAAAAACTTTAATTAATTTATTTAATAAAAAAAATTTTAAAAGATCTCCTTTTTTTTTAATATTTTTAATTATTTTTATAGAGTAGTCTATCCCCAGGTAATAAAATAGTAAAATATTTATTATTATTTTATTAAAAATATTTAAATATTTATAATAAAATTTTAATAGTTTACTCTTTACTTCTATGGGATTTTTTAATTAGTTAAATTTATAAAAAATTTTATTAATATTTATTAGATTTATTATAAATAGCTCTACTGGATCTTTTTTCTTTTTTTAATTTTTTTAAGTATACTATATATTAGTAGAGATTATATATAGTATTAAAAAATAATTCTATTTTTATCTATATTATATCTCTATTCTTATATTTTAATATTTTATCCACGGGAGTCCTAATATAATATTATATTTATATATATATAATAAAATATAAAAATATATATACTTCTACAGGCTCCTATTTATATCTAGTAATATCTTTATTAATTTAATTATATAAGTTTTTCTTTCTTTAAATTTTTTAATATTTTAGGATTCAATAGGAATATATTCTAGTTTATTTTTATTTATAAAATTTTAATTAATTATTTTATATAGTATATAGCCAGTATCAATCAAGGTATTTATAAAATAAATTCTATTAATTAATTTTAATATAGAAAAGATGTAATGGCTTTTAAATTTTTAAATTTTTTTTTAAATTTTTTATAATTTTAGTTAATTAATATATATTTTTTTAAATAATAATTGAAAAAAATTATATTTTTTCCAGGACTGGAGGCTACTAAATAATTAAATTTTTTAAAATCTAATTAATTTTATTAATTAAATTATCTTTAAATAAAGCTTGGTAAACTTCGCTCTTTAAAATATTTTTTAAATTTTAAAAATACTATAGTAATAGATATAAATATCTAATAATATAGTATTTTAAAAATTTATAATATATATAGAGTCCCATCTTACAGTATTTAATTAGTATTTTTTTTAATATTTATTAAATTTATTAAGTAGGTTCTGTACTTACTACTATAAATTTTTAATTTATAATATTATTTATAATTATTTTTTTAAAGATATTATTTATCTAGACGCTAAAATATTCTAATTATTTTTTTAAAAATTAATTTATTTTTACGAGCTTATTAGCTACCTATTTAACTTATTAATAAAAATCTTTAAAATCTAGTTTCTATTTAATATTAATTATTTATTAGTAAATATTATTATTCAGGACTTAGTATAGAAGATTTTTTTTATTTAAATTTTTTTAATTATATTTTCTAATCTTAATTAATAAATTATTAATTTTTATTAAAAGATTATTAATTATTTAACTTTTCTATTTAAAAATAAATAATTTATTAATAGTTTTTTTCTATCAGGCTGGATCCTCATAAATT